ACATTCGGAAATCCACCTCACCAGCAGGATATCCTATCCTATTCGTACCAAAGAAAGATGGAAGTCTTCGACTTTGTGTGGACTATCGACAATTAAATTCGATTACCATCAAAGATCGACATCCGTTACCACTGATTCACGAGATCCAAGACCGCATTCAAGGAGCCAAATACTTCACCAAGTACGACATCACTGAGGCTTACAATCGGCTCAGGATCAAGGAAGGCCATGAATGGAAGACAGCATTCAGGACCAAATTCGGACACTTCGAATATGTGGTTATGCCTTTTGGTCTTACCAACGCACCAGCATCGTTCCAGAGGTTCATCTTCACCGTTCTGGAAGAATACCTCGATGTTTTTGTTATCGCTTACTTGGATGATATCTTAGTATTCTCCAAGACCGAAGCAGAACATATTGAACACAACAAAAAGGTGCTGCAGAAGCTCAGAGAAGCCAAAGTCACTCTGAAGCTCAAGAAATGCGAATTCCACGTCCAGGAAACCAGCTTCCTTGGATACACCATCAGCCTCGACGGTCTAGGAATGGAAGAAGAAAAGGTCAAAAGCATTGTGGAATGGCCCACACCCAGAAACGTCAAGGACGTACAAAGCTTTCTTGGATTGGCAAATTACTATCGGAAACTAGTCCCGGGTTACTCGAAATACGCCGCCGGACTATACCGATTCACCAAGAAGGGAGAAACGTTCAACTGGGACGACAAAGCAGAAGAATCATTCCAAAAACTCAAGAGCTTGTTCGAGAAACGAACAGTCGTTGGAATCTTCGACTACGAAAAGCCAACCACGATGGAAACCGACGCATCAGACTACGCCCTGGGAGCACAACTGACCCAGCCGGACGAAAACGGAAAGCCCAGACCAATCGCATTTTGGTCTAGGAAGATGATCCCCGCAGAACTCAATTACGACATCCACGACAAAGAACTGCTTGCTATAGTGTCAGCATTTCAAGTCTGGAGAGCGTACCTCGAAGGAGCAAAGCATACTGTGACGGTCAAGACGGACCACCACAACCTGACATTCTTCACCACCACGAAGAAACTCACTCGACGGCAAGCTAGATGGGCTGAAACCCTTGCACAATACGATTTTAAGATTGTTCACTGCAAAGGGACTGAAAACGCTGTCGCAGACGCACTCAGCAGACGACCTGACTATCAGATCGGCACAAAGGAAGCGGAGCCCGCTATCCTCACTACAAACGACCAAGGAGACATCGTCTACAACCGACAAATACTCGCAGCAACCAGCGAAATCGAAGACGACGGATGGCTAGACAAGGTCCGAAGAGCCACCGCCGAGGACGAATCAATGCAAGCAGTCCTCGGGAACGAACGTCACAACGGCACTACAAGCGACGACGGATTCGTCATCATCCATGGCTTGATCTATGTTCCACGATCGCTGCAGAACGAAGTCATCAAAAAACACCACGACTTCCCGACGCACGGACATATGGGAGTTGAAAAAACAATGGAACATATCTCACGCAACTACTACATCCCGAACATGCACCGAAAAGTAAGGGGGTACATCAAAAGTTGCGACACATGTCAACGGAACAAGCCATCACGACACCTTCCTTACGGGGAAATGCAGACAGCAGACACGCCAACGCGGCCATGGGAATGGATTACCATGGACTTTATCACGAAACTACCAGAATCAGAAGGTTGCGATATGATCATGGTCATTGTCGACCGACTCACAAAGTACACATATATGGTTGCGACAAAAGAAAGCATCGACGCAAACCGAATGGCGAATATACTACTTCGCTACGTTTTCGGAAACCATGGAGTACCCGACAAGATCACATCGGACCGAGACAAACTGTTCACATCCAATATGTGGCAATCATTTGCGGACCAAATGGGTATTGAGCACAGACTCTCTACTGCATATCACCCGCAAACCAACGGACAGACAGAACGAGTCAACCAGACTCTGGAACAATACCTGAGACACCATGTGAACCACCAGCAAGACGATTGGGCAGGATTGTTACCAATTGCACAATTCGCTTACAACAACGCGATGCATGCAACGACGAAGGAATCGCCGTTCTTCGCGAACTATGGGTATAATCCCAAGTTAATCGGAGAACCCCGAAACGAGAGAACTGTGGCAGAATCCGCAAGACTACTGACCACCGGGATCAAGCAACTCCACATGCAAATGGCTCGAGACATCGAATTTCTGAACCTACGCATGAAAACGCACTACGACCAGCGCCACCGAGCCGGCCCTGATCTGAAAAAGGGGGAGAAGGTCTACCTCCTACGACGAAACATCAAAACCAAGCGACCGAGCGCGAAACTCGACCACCTGAAGTTGGGACCATTCGAAATTGAAGAACAAACAGGACCAGTCAATTTTCGCTTGAAACTACCAGAAAGCATGCGACGCATTCACCCAACGTTTCATATCTCGTTACTCGAACCCGCACCAGAAAACGCCGAACTCGCTACCAACGTGGAAATCGAAGAAGAAACCGAAAACGAATATGAAGTCGAAAAAGTTCTGGACAACAAACGCATCAGTGGCAAGCCTCACTACCTTGTCAAATGGAAGGGGTACGATACCTCTGAAAACACTTGGGAACCTATTGAGCACCTGACGGGTTGCTCTCAGCTGGTTCAACAGTTCCACCAGCGGATAGATCGAAATTCCCTTCGGCAATCGCAGCCTCGACACTCCAGAAGCCAGGAGGCATCTGATCCAGAGACTGAGTCATCCTCATCAGACTAGCGTCTCCCGACGTAGCAGCCAATTGACGAATCTCCTGCTGCTCCGCCAACCGATCAAAATCACGAAATTCCTCGGCGGTAGGGGGATCCTCTTCGTTTAACCGATCCAACGTCGTCTGATCGTGATCCAACATCCGACCACCACGTTCTTTGAGAAATTGTTGATGTTTTTGGAGGCGAAGGACCTTTGCCATCGCCTCATTCATCTTTTGCGAATGCTGAAGAAATTGCTTTTGGGCCTCCTCGAGATCGGACGCCAACTTTCGTTCATTTTGTTGCAGGTCATCCCACTCCTTATCTGTGTGGAAACTCCTCTCACAAGTGTGTCCACGACGAGCACAAGTCGAACACTTCTTACTCTTCACGAAAGGACTCATGATGCAACACTTTCCACGAATAAGACAATAATCGCACGGGAAATCCACGGGGCGACCAGTTCGTTCAATCCTATCACCCAAACGAGCGTTATCAGCGTACTTGTTACGCTTCGGTTTAACGGCAGTGCGGGGGGACATGACGGGACAACATTGTGGGAACTCACCTAGAGGGGACACCGAGAATTTAAGGACTTTTCGAGGACGAAAATCTGGAAGAGGGGGAGATGATGTTACGAACCAAGCCACCTCACTCGCGCCAACAGGGGTACAAGAGGAAACCAGAGCCAACCAACCCCGCGGTGATGATGCAGGACAACAAGGGTATAAGTCACGTGACAATATACCACGATCCATCGCCAAGGAATGGTATATCGGATGGTATATCAATGGGACTACTACATGCCTGCATGCAGTATACCACAAACGAGGGCGTGGAATACTGGGCAAGGGATATATAAGGACAGTCTTTACCACATGTATTTAGTTCTTCGTGATCAATCCCATCATTGTTACTTGGAACCACCCTTTGGTACTTCACAGTTCGAACATAGCGACAACCCTCCAACGGTCTTGGGAGCTTACTTAGTGATCCTCGATCCCTAAGTGACTGACTTGACCGGCGCTCTAACTGGCACACCTTGCAAGCACCCTAGAGACCCGAGCCCATAGAAGGCCCCCGAGGCATTGGTACGGTTGCGGATACGCTTGAGGCCTGCAGTACTCCTAGAGAAGTATCACCTTTGCGGACGTTACTCACCGTGACCAGTTAGCAGTTCGTAACAAATAGGCTCTACTAATATATACGAAGTTCATTAGATAGTAAGAAATAGATTAACAGGTTAACCTATAGGCTAACCCGTTGACCTAAATAATTAGATAAGAGTAATACCCCAAGATTTTTCTTTTTATCCCCAAAAAATTTCAACCCAACCAGCTAATATTGTTATTTTATATAAATTCAGAAAAAATATTTAAAATAATTCTTTTATATAATTAAGACTATAATATACTTATATATTAATAAAGAAATATTAGATATTAGATTTATATCTATTTTATTATTTCTAATATATATAGTTTATTTATATAAAAAATAGTAATACTACTATAGACTTTAAATATATATTTTTAGGTTTAGTATAAAAAAGGGTTAACTAATATCTTCTTTTATCTATATCTATCTATTATAAAATATAATTCTTATCTTAAAGTATTAAATTAATAAATTAATATATTATATATTCTAAATATATTATTACTATATAATATTCTTTTTATAAAGAGTTATAATTATAAGTTATATTAGAATAAAAATAGTATCTTATAGTATAGATTAATTAATAATAGTCTTAATCTTTTTTTCTTCTATCTCTAATCTATATAGACTAATAGTATATCCTAGGAATATTATTTCCTAGATATAAAATTTATACTTTTTTAGTTTTAGTATAATCTTAGCTTCTCTAATTGATAGCGGAAAGCTGCGATGGCTTATTCCGCAAACCATACCACCCGGGCACACCCGAGAGGAGAATGACCCATTAGATCACGGCACCTGCGTCACCTCCCTTATTGGGGGTGAAACCTATGGAGTGGTGAAAAACTTGAAAGAGGTTGTCGTGGTGAAAGTTGCTGCAGTGAAACTGGGTCTTTTCGGAAACATGAAAAAGAAAATTAGGGGATATGAAGACTTATATGCTCGCAATTTGCTGGAAGCGTTGGAGCTAGTGAAGCAATATATTATCGATCATAAGTTGGAAGGTACCTCCGTGGTCAACATGTCATTGAGTTTGCGGAGAAGCATTATGGATCTCCTTCCTGCCTGTTTTGAAGGACAACTGCAACAACTGATGGTCGAGTTGGGGAAGATGGCGGCGGTCTTTTTGGCGGCTGGCAACCAGAATCCCTTGCAGGAAGACCGGATAGATGATATGGGGGTCGTCAGCACCTATCCACAGCTCTTCCACAACCAGGTTGCCGGAATGACCCTAGTTGGTATGGCCACTCAAAAAGGGATTCAATCCAAGTTATCCAAAATGGTCCCAAGGAACGGCTTGTGGGCGATTGGGGATCGAGTCAAGTGCGCGAGCACTAAACGTCGGGGCTGGGATTGGAAAGTCGGCACGTCTTTTGCCTCACCCCTGGCTGCTGGACTCGCGGCGGATGAAATGGCCTTACTCCTTCGATCCTATCCAGAATATAGTGAGCGTTTTCCGGACGAGGCAGAGACGAGGCGCTTCTTGGACGATGTGCTGGAGACAATGTTTCGAAAACCTTGGATACGACCTGGGGGCGTATGCTAACGCCAAAAAACGTCAACCGGCGGTGCCCCTGATTTCCAATCAGCCACTGGATCAGGTTCCTGTTCCATAGACCAACAGCATTTCAGCTGTTGGTCCTCCCTACCGATACGTAAATTCCTACCGAAACGCAAATTTTTCTCTTTATTCATTAATTACATAACAATTTCACTAATTGAATCAAAAAATAGTGGAGGGTCCTTAGTAGTTAATTCACCTTTTTCTAATACTAATATCTCCCTATTCTGATCTCGTTATAGGATATAGGGTGGCTGCGAAGCTGCCTACTTTCTCGCTCGTCGAATATTCTAGTGTATCTCTTTCGTCGTACGGTCCGCAATTCGATAATCCGTATCTTTCACTAAAAAAGATCCTAATATAGGGATTTGTCTACGATTTGTAGGTGCTTTTTTAGGTTAAATTTAGCGAAGATATTAGGCGAGAACTAATATAAATATAAGACAAGTTTAGTAGCTTCGATAGAGGTTTTAAAAAAGATAATTAAGGCGACGCTGGTAACTATTATTTAGCTATAGACTCCTATCGATTTAGGTCCTCGCTTTATTAATATTTTACTATACGCGATAAATTAATAAAAAAAGGCGACTTTATTAAATTAGATAGTAATAGAGTGTTACGACCTCAGGAAAACTCCACTCTCAAGAACACCGGAAGGAACAACAGGAACCTATCAAACACACCGCCCCAGGAACGACGGGACAAGAAGAACCTCTTTTGTACTTCCATACTGTATTTTATGTATGTATATATATTTCTAAATACCCTTATATATCTCTCCCTGTCTCTCTTTGTTTTTATAAAAGTTTGTGATATTTTTCTTGACTGACCTAATTTATTTATCCTCAATTTTTGATTTGATGCCCTGCCCAACCCCGGCACACCCAACACCAGACAAGACGATGCCAAGTCATTATTACAGAGGACCTAATATAAATACCCATCCCACTACCATGGACCCGGACACAATCAAGTAGAGTAAGCAAGGTATCACTATCAATCTGAAAGCTAGTCGGAGCAAAACAGAAACGAAAAAGAACAAGCGGCAATTTCAGAACTCAACCAAACTCGCCGGAGAAACATGACAATGAAGAAAAAGTATAGACAACAGAAGCGGAGGCCAAAAAAAGAAACAAGGTGGTTGGAATAGATGCCCAAGAGATATGCGGTCACACCCCACGAAAGAACAAAGAGAGAGAGAGAAAATAAAAAGAAACAAGTCAGACGGTAATACAGACAAGAAAGAGCGTTGCATAGCATAGCACACACACACACACACAAGTACAGAGAAGACATGAAGAAAGGCGAAACAACCAAGCAGGAAGATAAATGGTCGAGAGGATAGCAGATTTCTCGGCCCTATGTGAAACATAGACCGCCGACTCCACGGCGGCCAACCTTCTATCGACCATATATGAAAGGGAAATATAAAAGGTGAAAATAAAATAAGTGGAACAACGTACATCATCCTGTAACACTCTGTCCAGAATAAGAGAAGCAGCGTCAACTCCGAAGAAACAACTCCAAGGAACCACCCCAGAGACAGAACAGGGATCTCACAAAAGAGGCCTGAACACAACCGGGTACAACAAAGGGTATAGGAAGGAGGACCCAGATTAAGATTATCGAAGATCCTCCACAGAGGGATCAACACACAGGCAGAGACATAAAAGGGATGGAAAAACGAGAACATAAGCAGGGAGGTGAGAGCGGAGGCGAGGGCGGTTGCACATAAAAAAGAAGGATTGAGCAACACAGAAAACAAAAAGACAAAAGATGCTTCAATGCTTTCCAAGTCCACAAACGCCAGTCTAGACAACGCCGATCACAATCTAGTAGAATGGGCTGCCAGACTGGCCGGGCTGTTGTTGACCGGGCTGCATTGCTCCAGGGCCAGGCCACCCGGGCATACCACCTGCTCCCATACCCATCGCGATACCCGCTTGTTGAGGATTCCCAGTCATAAATGGCTGGCCTCCGGGGCCTTGTGTAGAGGGATACATCGCCCGCGCCATGCCAGGGTAGCCGGCCGGGAATCCCATGGAGCCCATGGCTTGAGGTTGTGGCGCTTGGGGATGTTGCATTTGGTGGAAGGATTGCGGAATTTGTGGCACGGACGGACGATGCTGGTTGCGAGGAGACTGCTGGGGCTGTTGGCCGTGATGCCCCAGAGGCGAGGGTGTCTGCTGTGGGGCAGTCGGCATCTGCTGACCATACTGAGGCATCCCAACGCCTTGCGGGCCCGCCGACGATAATGGAGACGGCTGTGGCTGCGGTGGTGGCTGGCCCCACATCTGCTGTGGTGGGTAGCCGTAGGGAGGCGCTTGGGGTACACCGGGCATCGATGGATTGGATCGCTGGTGGACAAGGTTGGGTGGCATACCCGCAGGCATTCCTCGGACAGGAGACTGTCCGATGGGCTGTTGATGCGGTTGTGGCGGGAAATTTGCTTGACCGGGCATCATCGGAGCTTGATGGGGAAGCATGTGCGACGCGTGATGAGGAGCTCCCATCCCCGCCGGTGGGATTTGAGATGGTTGAATTGGCTGTGATATAGAAAGACCTGAATCAAGAGCCGTGCTAGACTGGGGCTCCGACTCTGGCGGTTCCCGCGGAGTGGTATAGAAATCATCCAATCCTTTCTGGCGGAAGCTGCGCTGCGAACCCAGGATCTTGTTAAAGTTGGCGGTATGCTCGGCCTGGTTGAGAAGTTCGGCCGCCGAGCTTGTTTGCGTGCGATCCGAGTAAGGCTGTCCAGTAAGTTCCTGGCGAGAACGTTGCGTATTGAATTCCCGTAGCCGTGGATCGTCGGTCGTTGCCATATGGATCATGGGGAGCGGGGCGAGCGAGGTGGACGTGTCAGTAACATCCAGGGACAACCCCGGTGGTAAGGGCTCGACAATATTGCTGTAAATGACATCGTTGTGGGGAAGCGCTGGCAGTAGACTGGAGCTCGAAGTCTCTGGTGCACTGCCATCCCGCCCCTTGGTGGACCCCGGACGTTTCTCCCCGGCCAAGTCATCCTCTGTGAAGCCTTGCTTCCTCGCCTTGCTCTCCCAGTAGTCATCTCGCACACGTCGCCCATTGATAATCACGCGGCTGCCGAACTGTCGGAACATGGATCTGGCGGACACGATGGCAATTTGGCGAGAGCGGTAGGAATATGGGAGGATGTCTTGTTGAATGAGGTCGTCCTTTTCAATTTGAGAAGCGATGATTTTGTGCAGAGATCGGTTCTTGTTGAAGAGCAGATACGAGTCCCGGTAGTTCAATACTCGTGCGCACTCGGTCGCCAGCATAAACAGTTTGGTGCCTCGGTTGGGTACGCGGAACGTCCGGCATTTATATTCGCGGCCACCTTGGGGGTATCCCATGGTATCAACCTTTGTTTCACCAGCATCATCGAATTCCTTTGGGATGTACTCATCGCCCTGTTCATTCAACTGGTCTGACGTGTGGTCACGGACAGTCGGAAGGGCTTTGACCAGCGTTTTTGTCGGGGTGGTCTTATCGGGAGGTGATGCAAGAGGCGGTGATGTGACATTTTGTTGGGGAAGTGCGCGCGGCTGCATTTGGGGTGTTTGAAGGGGAGTGCTGGCAGCCGGCTGGTCATTTGGGCCTGCACGAGGCGTTTTCGGCGGACGACCGCGCTTGCGACGGCTTTGTTCCTCTGCAGCAACAAGAGTCTGTTAGAATTTCCGCATTAAGACATGAAAGTAGAGAAAAGTCTGCGCAGATGATGGCTGGACGGTGCGAATCCAAAAAAAAAATGACCAAGAAAAAATGACAAAACATCAAGTCCCCCGGACTTCGATTCAATCATCAAATCGCGCAAATACAATAATGCTCCCCCTATCGCGCACGTACCATCATCCTGATCTCCATCCGGGCGCCCATTCCCACTGTGTTCTGGAGTGCGACTACGCTTGACACCACGAGGGATTGTATCTGCAGGGGATAGAGCCGGCTGAACAACAGAGACTAGGGAGGGGTATCAGTTTGAAAGAAGGCGATGGGGGAGCGACAGGATAGCCAAATATGACTGCTCAAGGCAACACGAGGCATGTCGTTGAGGACTGAGCAAAACCGACCGCGCGCAAGAAACAAGCCGCGATGGAACCCGGCAAAAAAGGAAAAGCGAAAAAAAAGGTAACTGACGCGCGCAAAAAAAGAAAAGCGACAACGGTTTCAAAAAAGAGGAATAAATGCGACTCCCGACCAACAGAGAGAATAAAAACATACCGGAGTTGTTCAAATTCGCCGGGTCGATGGTCCCCGAGCCATCGACGACATCCCCTCCCATTCCGTTCATCGTCGAGAGGGAGTGAGACGTGCCATACATGGATTAAAGGGGGCGCAAAATGGCGCGCCGAGAGAACGCGCAAGTCCACAGACAAGTATGGAGACGCCAGTGGGTTATGTTTGCATGCAGTGTCGGGACCTCTCAGGTAGATCGGAGTCGAAGGTAGCGCTGGAGCTGTTCGATCGGGCGAACTTTGGTTTGAGAGGGGAAGGCTGGAGGCGGTGAGTGGTGGCCTGGGGGCTCAGGCTGCAGAGCACAGCCACGTGAGGCTGTGAAGAAAACAGTGCCAGAAGAGTATGGAGATTGGGGAGAGTCATGAATCACTGAGGGAACAGCATTGGAATACACGCAGGATAGGCAGGGTTTCCAGGGCAGATCTGGAGGTTGGTCATGGGGGTAAATCAGTTGGTGAAAAAAGTACGAAAAAATCCAGTCAAAACAAGATTCAGGGCCAAGATCAAGCAGGAAAAGGATCAATACGTGGGAAAGGGATCCGCGACACCGTTTTGACCCCGAATACGAAGGATCAGATCTGGTCTGGACTGGGGCCAGAAGGGACGGGGGTATCTTTTTGTGATCTTCTGGCGTGGCGGGTAGGGCGCCAGGGCGCAGGGTTACGAACAGGGCTGTTTTTGAATGAGATCATTCCTCCATGAATAAACGAGGTCTCCGAGGTAGGACGATCGACGGGATTCGGTATGGAGTAAGACCCTGCGTATTTGTGAGGATACAAAAGAAATCAACGGGGTGAACAGGCAAAACCAAAGAAATTAAGGAAAAAGTGCAACCGTCGTACAAAGGCGATTTAAAATTCCCAGAGCTTTCCCGCATGGGGTCGATCACAAGATCACCTTGGAGGCTCGCTGGTATTTTACAATGACCTGATTATAGAATTATAGAATTATTGGAGTTCTCTGGGTTGTGTAACTGTCCAGTATCTTCAAGTCTGGTATATCAACATACAAAGTCAATATGGGAAACAAAGAACTCGGGGATCTGTTGCCCTCGGATTCTGCAATATGCAGGACCAAATACTGAGACGCGCAGTCGGATTATATCGGAGACCCTGCAGACATGCTTGTTGTGCATGCCGCTTCCAAGGTTGTTGTCTCGGGCGATAATCTTCCGGAGAAGAAAGAAATATAGTAAGCTCTAGGTGAAGCGTACGTACTGCTCAACCTAAGCTCAGTCCAAGATTGCGGTCAATACCCATCGAGTGGATCCAGCATCTCTATCTTTTTTTTTTTTTTTTTTTTTGGTGCACCCAATAACGCGAGGTTCTTTCTGATGTAAACCCTAGCGGGTACTAAGGTATACTTCCCACTTCTTAGCATCTCCCCGAAGTTCCCCCTCTGCCCGCGCCCTGATTTGTCTGATCGGTGGAATGGGTCATTTTGTCAACTTCCTCCCCGGTCTTCCTCGGATTGGGTGGGGGAAGTGCAGATGACCGACAGTCTCGATGGAGCCGAGAGGGTCACTTGAGCGGGCACTAGGGAGTCGATCAACGGGCCCATGCGCAATTCCCTTAATTCCATTCATGCAGATGCTGAGCTGCCTGGGAGCATATCCACTTTAACGCCAATTCCAAATAGCAAACACCTTGTATGAGTACCGACGCAGCCCCGACCATATACTGTCCATAGATAGCTCCTTGACAAATTATATCCATGGATACTCTAAAAGAGAATGACAATAAAGAAAAAGAGTCTAGTTCTCTAAAGTCGTACAATAACGACTGCCACAGCCATTGGACTCGACCCAATTTTATTTTTCATTTGTTTACTTTCCTTTCTTCTGTGTAAGACTCCAAAAACAGAAGTACTCCAAGCAACTCGACATGCTCTCTCATGGTTTCACAGCAGTCGGCATGCAGCACTGCCGTTTCCATGCTTGGCCCCGGTTGTTTCCCGGTCGTCACATCAAAGCAACAGTCCAAGCACAAGGTGACTCAGAAATAAAAAAAAAACTCTGGAAACTCTTTGCAAAAGCCAGATTGGCTCGGCTTAGATCAACTAGCTGCGAGTGTAAAATGCAACGTGCCGTCTTGGGCTTCAAGTTACATAAAACATTAGTCAATCCATTGCTCGCTTGGATCGAGACCATAAATAGAAAAGAAAGAACTGCAAGGACCCCGATATACCTAACAACCCATCATCATACAACCTGCCATTGCTCCCAGTAGCGAATCATTATCCAAAAGATAAAGCAATTCATACTTAGAAACAAACCCAAAGCCAATCCCGCAGTCAAACTTCCATCCCTCCATTCCTGAAGAACTATATCCGGCGCATGCGGGGTGGAGGAAGCCCAATGATAAGCAGAAAAGCAGAAACAAGACCAATCTCCATCGATGAAGAATGTGATCACTTCTCATGACAAGGTTGACAGGTCAAATCACAGCCATTCCACTCGACAGCTTCATCACACCGTCCCTTGCCCTGACAAAGCTTCTGATGCCTACCTATTATTGTGATGCAACGGCAAAACCAGGCACCAGTCTTACTGACGATCCTATGAGCAGAAGACAAGACAAGGAAAGAAAAGAGCATTTACTCCGCAAATGGTCCCCTCGTAAGAAACGAGCACGGACCAGAGTTCTCGAAAGGCAGCAACTCCGACGGAATATACAAACAGCCAATCCGAGTGAACGATCAAGGAAGGAGATGCGGGAAATCCATGATTCGATAGGAAAATACAGACCGACACTCGAAGCCCAAGCATGTGCATTGGAGTCAATCACGCGTCACAGGCAAAGCCAGCAGCCTGGAACTGCGAGTATACTTTTGGGGCTGTCTTCTTGGAATACCACGCGTTCTAGATGCTAACGCGTTGCACAGATTACAATCTAGAAAGCTCTCGCAGACATACATCGGACTCAAATAGCCTCAAGGGTCCCATACCCCTGTATTTCAGATGAAAGAGGCCAGCCTGGTTGACAATACTAATTAAATAACTAGGTTGGGTATATAGTATACTATCCAATTCAATTTGTACCAGATTCATGGCGTGCAGATCGTTGCAGTCAGCCAAAAAAAAGACGAGTCATTAGTGGCGCGCCGCCATTTCTCGAATGCAACAATGAAAGAAGAAGAAGCTCCGAGGTTGGAATGGACTCAAACCAAACACATTAGAACCTTTCATCTTTCATCTTTTATTATTTTCCTTTTTTTGACATGCAGAATACAAGAAAGAAAGAATTAGGCTGATCCCGCAGCCACCTAACCCGTTCAATGCCCGTCTCCCAGACAGGAAATTCGCATTTACACCCCGGGGGCCGGGGCACAGAAGAGGGGGAGGGGGGCAAATGGTGTCAGCAGCGGAAGAAACAAGAGGAATGTTTCAGGGCCTCTCAAACAGGATAGATGGGACATGCATTATGTAGATTATGTGGTCTGCGCACGGGGCAGACTGAACTCATGACTGACACAGATCGAGGGGATCGGCAGGTCGCATTGCTGAAAAAAGGGAAAAGAAAAAAGAAAAAGAAAAAAAAAAGGGCTATCCCTGTCTTTGCTGGAGCCATGAGGGCGTCATCCGCTGTCATGCAGTAGTGGCCGTCGGGTATGCTGGGACTAGACTAGGGCTAAGTGGGTATAGGACCGGGATGGCGGGTATTGAAGGATTCATAAGAAAAGGATTAAGATAAAAAAAAAAAGTTGAGGGTAGAACGGGATATATGGAAGAGAGATATAGGGAAGAGATATCTTGACATGTTAACAGGAATATATCAACCCGGAATTTCTTCTCAAGAGGCAGTTTCCACTTCTCGTTGCTGATGACTTGCCAAGAAAGGCATGCTTCCAAGGATGATCCCGGGTTTGGTCTACTTCTGTGCCAATGAGATAGTCAAAAAGTGGGGAGATTGAGGTATGGAGTCATTCATGGATAACATGGATAATTCGTCGTCCCAAGATAGGAAGGTTAAGCATGGAAGACATGCACTAAGTTGCAGCAGTCAGCTGGACACCAACCAGACGATAAGCAATAATAATGGCTAGTATGATATGATTATGATTATGATTTAATAATATAAGAAGATGTGAAGTGGGTCGTTGAAAAATGGGAGGATTCAACCTCGCTACCCCCTGCGTGACCCCCCGACCTTCAATACGCCTATAGTCGTAAATTTTTGTCTAGAAAAAAAGGGATTAGGAAAAAGATTAAAAAATAGGTAGAAAATAGATATAGAAAAGAAAGAGAATTAATTAAGTAATTTACGAGAGAAAAAAATATCAATAAAATAACAGTAGTAGTAGTAGTAAAATAGCTATCTATATATTTGATAAAAAATAAACCTCTTAATTACCTGGATACAATGTAGTTTATAAGCCATTTCAATCTAATTCTTATTCTCTACTTTCTCCTTCAAAGTCCCCTGAGCAAAGCGAAGGTTAGCGGCTGGTGACTATTATGATGATTATGATCATCATTTCTCTGAGAACTTCTACACAGTGGGTCGAGCAATGTCGCTATGCAATATAATACATCTCCACCGAGAAACCCGCTCCTCCCGCATACTGCGGACATCACGGAACGGTTGCGTCTCCTGGCCACTGATGCGCTCGCCGTAGAACTTGGCATTGCCGTAGCAGTTGATTTCTCCCTCGATGTCTCCGCCACCCAGAAACCGGATGCAGCCCTTGTTCTTAGGCCCAAAGCTCATCTCTCCTTCGCCGCGCTCCCAGCCACGCCACACAAAAGGGATCTTTTCGTAGGACGAGCCCCATGGCCGCTCTGAAAACCACATGATCCCGTGGAACATGCCAAAGTCGTATGCACCCCATACATTGTTCCCAGCTAGACAGAGGGAGAGATTGAACTCGTCGACAGGGAACTGGTGAGAAAAATCGGAAAAATTGGGAGAGAAGATCTGATAGTCCCCGTTGATCAGGCCTAGCAGTCGAAGAGGTCCTCGGTTGGAGGGTTCCGAGTCTGAATTAGCCTGGGGACCATAGCCATCATCTTCACTCGGACTATCCACATCCATCAATCCATCTGCATTGTCGTAGGAAGAGTATCCGTCCTGGCCAGACTTCTGAGCGATGTTCCGTATTTTTTGACCTGGCGAATATGCTTACCGGTTCGTAGATGGATTCATACGAGGGAGGATTGGGTTGGGCCTCGGACTGTTCAGACCCCCGATGAGTTACCAGGAGCCTGCCAACCATTGATGCTCCTCGGCCTCGGCCAGAGCAACGCGCTGTCTGTTTGGTCTGCTTGGGTGGGTCATTGGCAGGTTCGGCCGGAGTCGCCTTCACCCTCGATCCAGCAACCGCACCGCCGCGTTTGGCAGTCTGTTTACGGGCCGTAGCAGGGGCAGATTCAGCAGCCTTGGTGTTGGTGGACTGGGCTCCTGAGCCGGCAGCAGATTTCTTCTGTGCCGTGGCCTTTTTATTGTCTGGTTCAGATGCGGCCTTGGCCTTGGCAGTAGTCTTTGTAGTTGTGGTAGTCTTAGTGGTTGCTGTAGTAGTGGTGGTAGTGGTCGTCGCCGCCGTGGCTTTGGACTTCTTGGGTACCGCAGCAGTCGAAGCAGTCGGTTTGATCTTTTTAGCTCCCTTGGCCGCCTGGCTTGCTGGCTCTGCAGTATCTTCATTGTCGGTTCTTTTTCTCTTGGCCGCGGTGCCCTTGGCTGGAGATTGGGCCGCTGCTTCCGACCGCGCCTACTTATCCGTCTTCTTCCACTTTTTTTCAACTCGGTTTCGACCTGGGTGATATCCTTGGGGACCGAATGACTCCCACCACGCAAGGCGTCCTGCAACCTCATCTTGGCGACGGCCTTGTTCTTCGATGGCGCCAGGCCATAATGAAGGAGCTGGGCTTCATACCAATGACCCACATGGTCTGATTTGCTGTTTGCGTCGGAGGCCGTGTCAAAGAGGGTCTTGAGCTCTGGGATTGTGGCTCGGTGGTGGACGTGGTGGCCGGACGACTCGACGTAGAAGCTGTCCACGGCGTACGAAAACGAACCGCTGGAAACGGGTGCGAGAGGGGGCATAGTGGGGCACCGGAATCGATGCTCGCAGTAGAATACTGTGACTTTGGTGGGGGGCAAGTGTATGTTGTCCCGAGCTACTTGAGCCAGTGCCAGACAAGAATGCGGAGAAAAGAGTCGCGCAGGACGCGCTGCGGAGGTACTCGATGCAGTAGGTGGGCGCTCATCAGGGCTAGGGTTGCTGAGTCACCCCCTTGAATCTTGCCCAAGGTCCAAGGTTGCAAGTTTTGCTTTTACTACGCATCGAGGGATTTGCCAAAAAAAAAAAGCTAGTGTTCAGTGGCAATGTATTGAACCCCTGTGATTATTCAGTGTCAAGAAGGAACCACTTGGGAGGTCCGGTGCGATGAAGATGATCGGATTTCCGGAATAGGCAAGCCGCGGAGATCGTGAGGTTCCCCGTGCAACGCTGCTCTTTGGGTGGGTTTGGCTGAATAAGAAAGAAGATAAGCTACGCGTCTCCACCGAAAAAATTTCGAAGCATCAACTGATCACACAACTGGGACCCACTCTCTCCAGTGCCCGACCCCCGGGGCACAGACTGGGGTAAATTTAGGAGGGAAAAAGAAGATCAAGGAATGAAAATGTAGCGAATGAATTGTGGCGATGCTCTGAGTCTTGTATCTCTTCCTGCGGGTCTTTTGAAGCCCCAAATCGAAGAAAAAGAAAGAAACAAAAAAAAGTACAAGAACCGCCCCACCGAGTGGATCGTCTCTCGGCACAACCTTTGCAAGTCTAGAACCGGATGAAGGGTGGTGACTCGCTCTTAAGACGCCCTTCGTCTTCTGAACTCCCCCTCGATTCCCATCCCACTTCCATTCCAACCCCCCATTGAGGTCAATTATCCAAAGCTATGACGGTCTCGATTGCTATTCAAACGGCTCCCGCATCTCCCTTGCCATCTCGATCGGTACCAATTCTCAGGAATAAACGCTGGCCCCCCATGGCGAACCGCAGTGCCCTGCCCTACAAACTCACGATCATTTCGAAAGAGAAACTGGCCCGCGAGGCCACCGCCCCCGACCCCAATCTGCGTCGCTGTGTGGCCCATTTCCGGCTGCACTGTGGTTCGGTCGAGTGGACCGAGAAGGACATGAACTCGCGGATCAGCTCGTTCGACTTTGAAGACACCGACGAAGAAGACGAGAAAGAAGAGGCCGAAAAAGAGACCCAAGAGGAGCAGACTCCCAAATCTGAATTTACCACCATCGACATCAACGACGAGCCTTTGTCTGCCTCGGAGACCGACGCAACCTCGCCCCCGTCAGCCTCACCACCTCCAGCGCCTGAGCTCTCGCCCGAGAATGGGCTCCTGGATACGAACCAGGACGGCCTTGAGATGACTTCCAAGAATTTCTGGCCGTCGGGCGGCTCTTGCATCGCTGTGCAACATATATCTGCCTAAGCCAGGCTCCGACATCTTGAACCCCCCCCCCTTTGAACTCTCCTCGCCTCGCCTCTCCGCTTCCGACTCCTGGAACCTCTTGTGCCCGATATAATGATTGACGACTCTGACGATTACGACCATTAGACAAAGATGATTACATGTAAAATCGTGCTATGCAAAAGCCATGCTTTAATTCCACGGGGAAAATTACTTGATTGCTGGACAGTTGTGGTTTTGTACTTGCTTTTCAAATATACTGGAACGATAATTTCTTCAAATAATCAATACTTTAACTCAAGTTATATTTATTCTTCTTAATTCACATATACTCATCTCACTCCTCTTCGCCTCTCGAATATTGTGTGCTGGACAGATCATATGACCCTGTACAACCCGTGTTCAGCCCTTGGCCCATTCGTCAATTCGACTGTGAGTATGAATGTGGCTTTGATTTTCTTGTCAGTTAAATCTTACCAGTCCCAGTTTTTTTTTGCCCCAGAAAACATCCGGTTGGCGTCGAGGGATCAAGGCAGTGGCGAATCCCTGCCGATCCTTGTGGATGTCATCATTCCAGTGTCACTTTATCCACCGGGGCGTCGTCCTCTCCAGGGCAAATTCATGGAGGCTATGCTCAAACAGTCTTGTAGATGACATACACATCTGCGGAGCATATGTGTGCAATCGGGGCCACTTTGGCTGGAGGATCCGCCACTGGATGGATCTCGTAGAGATACTAGTTCGGATGTCGTCATAGTCTTTTTTGGCGGAAGTAGTTGAAGCAGAGAAGAAACAATTCCATGGACGAATCAGAGCAGGGATTATATCCCTGCTTTCTCTCTCTTGATATCCTAGATTACTTTACCCTCTGGTATATCCTGGCGGCGTTGCACAACTCACAGTATGAAGCATCAAATCATATTCTATTTATGACAAATGAAGAATATCCTACAAAAGTTATCTCCGTTATGATGCCCGTTATGAGAGCATAGTAAAATACTAGGAGATATTTAGAGACACTTGGTATTTGAATTCACTCCCGGACTTCTTCTCATGGCAATGCAATGTCTGGTATTTACTTTAAGCATTGGACATTATTTCAGGTTAAAAAATAAAATAAATGGCAGTTGAATGACTTCCACATGATCTTGTATTCGATCCAATGAACTAAAGTGCCAAATCCTAGTCCAGGTTCAGCTCCCAGCCACCCCCTGCAAAGGATTCTTGGCATGGGAGACAGTCATTCTATTCCACCCATCTTCATTTCACACGAAATACTACTATCCATCGGTGTGTGCTATAATTACATACCATGGCATCATTCCTGCAATGGGCATAAATGGCAATCCGGAGAGCACTCTCGCCTCCTATACGCTTCCCAAACCACAGCCTGAGAAGAAACTGTGTATCTGAGATCCTCGAGGAAGAACGATTTGAAAATTTTAGGAAAGGATGTTACTACCCTGTCGAAACTGGGCAGGTCTTCTATTCTAAATACCAGGTTGTGGGCAAACTTGGATTTGGAGTGACCTGTACGGCATGGCTCGTTCTGGATTTAAAGTATGTTATGCCAGTTCATTTTTATCTGATACTTATTGATATTCTAACCGAAATAGGAGCCATACTTATGCCACACTAAAAGTATATATACGCAATGAAGCGAACCAGGAAGAGTTCCAAATCTACAAGCATCTAAGCCAAGGGAACCCATCACATCCAGGCTATGCGCATGTGAGAACAGCTCTTGATGCTTTCACCATCCCGCATCCTGGAGGCTGTCATCATGGTCTTGTTCAAAAACCTATGTGGGAAAGTTTCAGGGACCTACTCCTTCGCAACCTCACGCATCGATTCACCGAAGATCTTCTCAAAGCTGGCCTTATGCAGGTCTTTCTTGCACTTGACTACCTGCACACAGAATGCAAGTTTGTCCATACAGGTAGGAATCTCTCTAGCGTGCCTTAACCAGTTTTTGCTAGCCCCCCACCCCCCACCTCCCCTTGGTTAGACATTAAAAGTGACAACATTCTCCAGGAAATATGGCAACGATCCTGATGGGAAAGGGTATTCGACCCGTGCGCACCTTGCAGAAGTGATTGGAATGCTGGGAGCTCCGCCTTTAGATCTCCTGAAGCGTGGAAAGCGATGTCATGAGTTTTCACTGAAGAAGGTATGTTGATGTTCCTTTACTGAACATATCCCTGAACGCCGGCCGAAACTAATATAATTGTCTGACAGGGCAATGGAGAAATGATATCGAGATACCCCAAAATTCATCTCTGGCACAATCGGAAGAGTTTCTCGATGGACAAAACAAAGAAATGTACTTGCAGTTCATGAGAGGGATGCTACAATGGCGACCAGAAGATAGAAAGACGGCGAGAGAACTACTAGATGATCCATGACTAAATAGCATCTAAATAGAATGTGGCATCTATTCGAAGAAAAAGAAAAAAGAAGTCATGTCTATCAAATATATTAGCAAAAAGTAATCTAAAGTCTATTCTAAAATACAGTGTCATATCTAGTCATTAAAACATCAAGTTGAACCATGAGAGAGGGCGTGGTAGAAGACTTTTGGCCGAGTGGTGATCACAGCAACAGTGATCCACCCTTCTTCATGCGACGTCAATTAACACTCCATTTCGAGGGAATCTTGATACTCCGGAGTTGACTCGAAGCGTTCAATCAACTGGTCAATATCCAGTCGCCCTTCGGACTCTTTGCACAAACAATCGGCGGCAACATCCACCATCTCGTTAGATGGGCCGTAGATGTATTTGCGAATCTTATCCGGCAGCTGAGATTTCTCCACTTCGCCTTTTTTAATCGCCTCCCACAATCTGCCTGGTGAGTCATCGTTTGCTGTCAGCCAGAAAAAGGTCATCATCGCCGCGAAGATGTCGTCGCTCTTTGGGGAATGGTCTTTGACTTGTGTCTCGATTTCTACAAGGCGATGCTCATTAGTAAGGGGTATACATACATACATACATACATATATATATACATATATATAGGTCGATATGAGATATCGGGGTCACTATACCTGGGGAGACATGGCCGTTCGAGCCAAAAAAGCTGGAAATGGTTTTGTTTTTGGTGGCGGCATCGAAGTCGGCCCATTGGGGGGTGTCCATATCCTCCATGAGAATATTGGTCAGTTTGAGATCACGGTGGGCAATGCCGTGGTGGTGCATGGTCGCTAGCCCATCCAGAAGCTTCCGAAACAACTGAACCTTCCGGGTCATGCCCAATCTCGTTCTTCGCCTGACTTCGAACAGGTTCCCCATTCCGCGCTTGGGCATCACGAGCCAGTAGGTAGTGGGCTTCCCCGGGACGAAGAAATAGGAGATGGTGGGCAGGATATATGGGCTGAGATCCTGCACCTCCTTCATCAGAATGGCCCCGGAGATCATGTCATAGCCTTTGCTTTTCTTTGTCGCTACCTCGATTTCCGGGTGGGTGTTGTTGTACAGCGTCGCCTCGGTGACTGTTCCATAGGCCCCTGACCCTAGTTCAGGCCCCAACTCGAGTTTATACCCGCCTCGTCCCCACCAGTTGGCGCCGACGCGATAGACCTTGGGCGACTTTTGCTTTCCCTTGGGGATGTCGTATTTCTTGAATGGCCACCACGAGTGCTTGACGTCGCGGGACTCGAGTGGAAGAACGGTCTCGTAACCCTCACTGGATGCTTCGATTTCAGACTTGAGACCAATCGATGGGAGAAGGAGGGGCGTGGCGGATGTCGACCATATCAGGGAGATCTGGATTATCGATGCAAGAAGGAGGAGTTGCGGAAAGAGATGCATCGTGGGCGCTTCCTAGGGAAGAAAAAAGGGCGATGGCAAGTAGACATTTTCCTTTCAACGAGAACTTGAAAAGAAAAATGAAATCCAACCACCCCCCACGAGCTAATGGTATTTTGATACGGGATCAAAATCAGTCTTCATCAGCCTTGGGGGCTGACAGGATTTTGCGGGCCAGGAGGGTTCCACAACTGTGTATACGCTTAATATGCTACATATATGTACGTATACCGATAGACCTCATCGCTTATTCTATTATCTATTCTTACCGAAGATATTTCTGTTGCTTTGTTTCTTTCTTCGATTGCATTATTCTGGTGAGTGTTGGTTTAGTTGAAAAAGGGCATACTTGTCTGCCAAGAGAGAGCTGCAATCCTTCAGGCTAAAAAAAGAAACATTCCCTCAGAAATTTACTAACTAGCCCACCTTATTTTTTTTTCTAATTTCGACTAGTTGACCGGCATTGGCAGAGCCCCATTTGTATTCTTTAGGTTTATTATTGTTGTTTATGCCAGCTGACGCCTATGGGTTACAACTGTATCATCCCAGTCGAGGTATAACTTTGTTGCACTAGGGCCCTGGGTCTAACGAAACGGGCAAGCGAGTGGATCAAAAACAACACAAGCTACCTACCTAGGTATTATTGAATAGTTGGGAATTATGTGATACAAAAGGAAAAAGAATCCGCTGGGGCGGAGTCGAACCGCCGACCTTCTGATGAAAGTTCCATTACAGTCAGACGCTCTAAACCAGCTGAGCTACCCGCGGTAATTTATGACGATCACTGGAGACGCTTGAAAATTGTGATCTTTTTGATAGAGGTCTTGTCGCTAGGGTTTAGTATTGACTATCAATTCCTATTCCTGTCTTGTCTTTGGTTCAAATCTTCTTAATATCCAATTGATCATTTTTAAAAAGCACCTCTACAGAGGAAAACCAGAATCATACCATTGATTTGTTATGATCTCGTCGACAAGGGATTCATAGCATGATACATCCACAGCCAGCCTTTGCATCGTCACATACCTCACCCGGTTGATTGGAAATCACCCTCACTGGCGTGCGATATTTATCATGGGGACCCGGATTTTTGATCCTTTTTTTTGAGCCTCGGGTCAGATTCAAGAGCATTTTTGCATACCCTCCAGCAATCTGTTCGTATAGCCGGCAGGATCTGACTCGGGGTTATCAAAGTCCTCCGGCTTCCAATTTTCTGCATGAATTGAGCTGTGTTGACTTTTTTTTTTGTTCAAAATATCCATTATTTCATGTTATTCTATCCTTCTAATCAATGCATACATCATGGTCGAGATATCCGCGAGATCATGATCAGTCCCTGTCGATCCGCATACTTGACAGGATCAGGATCCTTAGGCAAAAGATGTCCATCGCCATTCGCCACTAGTGCTTCAGCAAGAGTACATTTCCCAGCTTCCACAAACCCCAGACGTAGATACAACTTCACCGTGGCATGGTTATCCGGTTTAACCATAAGCCGCACCTGAACTGCCGGAGGAGATGCACGATAAGACCGAAGAAAATCGAGCGCCTCCTGACACAGATTCCCGCCGAGTCCCTTGCCCCGATGCTCCGGAAGTGTGAACAGGCTGAGCATCTGCCAGCGCTCTTCTTCCTCGTCTGGTCTTTGTGGTGGCTGCCCAGAAGCCTCGGGCAAGACGAAATCGGTTGCTGATAGAGGTCCGCGCAGAGTCACTTGGCCGATCCACTCGGCGCCCTCGGAGAATGAGAGGCCATTGTTATTGCTGTGTCGTGTGGCGGCGCAGATAAAGACTTCTTGATTGGGCACAGTCAGGCGATCGATCCAGTCGGCGTGGGTGAAAGCGGCTTCAATGTCGTAAGTAGATGAGAACGAGCTGGGCGAGGTTTTCAGTGCTTTGAGGCGCAGCTCGCGGTATCTCTGTGCCGAGGCACTGATATCCTCTGTCTTGGAGACTCGGAAATATGAGTAGGTGTAGTGGAATGCCATGGGGTATGAATATATTTCGTGAGTGCTGAAAGCAACATGTCATTTCCTGTTGAAGGGCTCCAATTTATCTGCTGTGCGTTGATCACTGTGGATCCCACTGGAGTGCGCTACGGCCAACTTGAAAAATGCCGGTGACGCTTATTCGCGGGCTTATCCACTTTTCGGCGGATTTGAAGTCGGCCGGTGCATTCTATGAGGATGATGTGTGTATATTATTGAAAGATCTCTCGATTAGCCTGGTAAATAGACCGGAAAGAATGGATATAGAAGAAGTAGGCCTTGAATGAAATTAGCATGTGTTAGATAATCAGTAAGAAGTCAGCATACAAGTAGGAGAAGGCTCTCGATATGGACCATGTTTGGTCGCTCCGGGATAATATGAATGAGGTGTAGAGCACGCACAAAATAAGCTGACCCAGACACAGCTGAAGTGTTCACCGGGTCCCGTGGTGTAGAATAGACCTGACCAATTGCAAAAAGGGCAAAGTATTTACACTTCATCGCTGAGTTGAAGTCCTTTTTCTGATAGATATTGCGAAGAACGTCCAGTGCTTCTTTTTTCAGAACCAGGTGGAACGATGGGTTCATATGACCCAGTGCTGTATTCACCAGCAGTTCGGCATAGGCAAGACTGGGCCATTGCAAATCCAGCTGCAGCAAAGACGACAGGGTAGATTCATCGGTATACCGCCATCTAGGAAGGTGCAGTGTGGGCGTCTTTGAGCTTTACAGACACTGGCATAGACGTGTTGCAAAGACCGTGCAGGTGGCCTCGTTGATATAAATGGGAAGGGCAGAAGCAGTATGGGATTGAAACCATGGCGATTCTCCAATAAAAATGGATTCCTTGTCCGGTGCATTATTTTCAGGACTTTGTTGCGGCATTTCCATAGGATGCTCTCGGTTATTGCGCTGACCATTCTCAAGGCGAGTTCGCTGGTCATGGAGCTCTTGGCTGTCTTTGAGAAGCTTTTCAAGATAACTTTTTGATTTTTAGTATTTATCTCTGTTTAACGGCGTCCAAGGTATACCTTTCGTCTACTCGGACTTTGCGGTCCCGAGCTGCATATCTGCACTGGGCCCCGTAGCCCGACATCTGGCATCGAGAGCATGGCTTGTCCCCAGAGCATTTGATTTTCTGTGCGTGGCATCGATAACAGCTATGATCAATGTTAGCTATAATGACTCAGGCCGGGAATCAGAGCCGGGAGGACTCACGCAACGGGTCTCTTTCTGGGTCTCGGGTGGGAGCTAGGTTGTGGGTTACGGCGGTTGTTGGATGGTAAATTTTGTAGTTGGCCAGACATGGTAGTTCAGCAAGGAAATAAGGTCATTTTCATGGGGCAGATGGAGGGAAACGGGCCTTTTATAATGTTTGGCGCAGGTGGAGACTGTGGAGACTGCCGAATCACTGGGGTCTGTACTCCTATAAGAACTGGAGCAAATGTCAAGTCTTTTTACATAGTATTTTTTTAACTGAAAAGATCTACTTAAAACGTGGGTAGAAGTGGGATGGAAGTACTTTCGCATATAATGTGTCCGTCTAATCGCGGAATATACGGCCTATATCTCTCAGGATGGGGGTTTGAGCTCTCTACGTATATGTGTCTCTGGAGATCAGAAAAAGAGAGGTAAATCTAAAGACTAGGATGGACTTCGAGTAAGTCTTGAAACAGTGAGAAGTCAGCATAGAGTAAAAGGAAGGCTCTCAAGATGGATCATGCTTGGTGGCTCAGAGATAATGTGAATGAGACTCTGAGCACGTTCAAAACAGCCCATGAATGAGTTCGTCAGGTCAGGTAGAAAAGAGAACTGGCCGAAAATAGAAACAGCCAAAGATCTCCCCATCTCTCACTCTCACCATCTTCCTCTCTCTACCCAACGTCCTTACCACTTTCCCTCTCCCCTCGGCCTTTTTCATCCACAAAAAGGTAGGCTTCATGTCTGTTATCCTCTCTACTTCATTTACACCTAGACTCACTATTCTCTCTTCAATGAAAGCATAATGACCAAGAACAACCCCTGTGCGCAGAAGGGGCGAAAGAGGCTGTCTCTTTCGGCCCTAAAGAACCCCCCGAGCAAGATAAATACCCACAGTCCCTTTCTCTCACCCACCAGCTAACCATCTTGCTCAAATCACAGACCGAATGTTGCTAGTACCTGATCTCTGGTAAATTCGAGGCCAAGCCGGGAGAAGACATGGCCGAAATTGCTAAGGCCCAGATTGCGGACCAGGCAGCCGTGGCCTCTTTCCATACCGTGGGCTCTCACAAAGTCTTCGATAACGAGGATGGCCTCATCATCCTGGAAAAGTTTGCCAAGGCCACCCGCAGCATCGAGAGCCTCGAGGGGCAGGTCTCTGATCTTGAGTCATTGATCAATATCATGAAATTGGAGACCGCTGTTCTGAAGCCGGAGAACGCTGCCCTGAAGGGAGAATTGGCTATTCTACGGACGGAGAATGCTGCCTGCACCGTTGAAGTGCCCAAGGTCCACCACATGAACGGGTTGTACCTGAATGTCCGAGAGCGAGGGTGGACCACTCTTCTGCGTGACAAATGGCGTATGAACGAGCCTGAGCAGAAAATCCCTATGAGGCAGCTATACGCGGCTGCTGTTCACGATGGCCAGGCCGTCGTCTCTCAAATGTTCCTGGATCGTCGACCCCGAACCGAGCTGGAGAACTTTGTGTCTGTCTATGGTGCCGAGCCCGACAAAAAATGCTGGATTTCAGTAAGTCTGAACCATCATGACTCTTGATGTGTTATTTCTTCTCTCTTATTCTTTGCCTAACAAATTCTAGACAGCAAGGGATTTTAGACCGCCATCCAACTCTTTAACACGGCGGGTAGCATTCACATCCAGCTACAAGAGCTGCGTCCTGAGGAACAGCGGGTTTTCGATGAACTCGTTCACCTTGTGCGGGACTCTAGCCGCTATGAGAAAGTAGAGGAGGCTGCTAAGCGATTCCCTTTCAACTCTGTGAACGAGGACTTCGAGATTGAGACTGTGAACCAGGAGGTGTAGACCGACATCGACATCGACGTATGAAAAGTCTTGTCTCTATCTTTTTTGAAGGAGATTTGTTGTTATGGAAGAGATCTAACGGCATGACCGAGAAATTATTTGTTTTCTGTGGCATCATTCTACACTACAGACAAATCCTTCGTATTTTTTCAAATCCCACTTACCTATTCCCCAGATATAAGAGCTCCAGTTTCAGAGCTGATATAGTTAAGCACCAACACACCGATGTGAAGCTTTTCAAAAAAACGTGGGGGCCACATGCGGCTCTCTCCCTTCAACGTCTTGACGAACAGTGGCACTACACAAATACATAATACCCTTGACAAAAGCCATGTCCCCAGGACCAGAACCTGCGTCTGCACCGAAACCCCCGAGGGGAAAACCACAAGAACCCACCAACAGAACACAACACATTCGAGACAAACGACCCAAGACCGGGACATAACCCCAATGGCGAGCCTCAATTGCAGTCACTTTTCTGGTGCTGCGTGCGACATGTAGGGCAAAGTCCGAAGTAGTATGTGCCTTGGGGATCTGCTCTTCCGATATGAGCCTTGTGCGATTGTCAGGGTTGGAAGACTCAGTAGACTGATTATTGTTCTGCAGCTTGGTGTATGTCGGGATCATAACGATTCTGGTTCGTGTGCTCTGCAGGCTTCGGTGCGAGGATTCGGTGCGAGGATAGCGAGTATTGCGCGCATCTGGCGCTTTTTTTGGGGGGGGGGCGCGGCAGCAGGTTGCGGCGCGGTAGTTCATAAGAGTTTTCATATTCGAGGAATGAGTAAATAGGTAATGTTTCAAATAGATTTGTTTATTTGTTCTGTTTCCTTGGGAAAAGGAGTGCATGTATGCTAGAATTGACGGTGACAGAATTCAGTGAGAATGTCTACCGGCTAAAAATGCTATCTTGGTCCATAACCCACCCACAAAACTCCATGACCAGAACATCATAGAGAAAGACAAAAAACATGACCCACAATAAACTCCGACATCAAATCCATGAGACATGCAGACAAATCACATTCAGACATGGCCCGATGCAAATCCAGAGTTATAGCTCCATCTCGTCATCGTCCCAGCCCAGCTGCGCATATATCGACTGCGATTTGTCTGGTGTCTCCGGCACAGGGGTGCTCCTTTTAACTGGGGTCTCAATGGCACCCGGCGGAGAGCTTGCTCGAGATTTATTGGCATTGGCCACCTGCATACCCGCGGCAAGATGCACGGGACTGGCAGAAGGGACGGGACGGGGAGCGCGTTGCTTCGGAGGCGTTTCTATGATTGTTGAGGAACGGGGTTGGTAAGATGATTGAGTCGTGTGGTCGGCAGATGAGAAAAGGTTTTTGCGGTGCGAAGACACGGGCGTGGATGGTGCGACGGGTTGTGTAATGGCTGTAATAGTGGGACGAGGGCCAGGTAGGCTGGGCACTCGGAATAGGCCTTTGCCTTTACTCGAGGAGGAAGATGGTCGACGACTCCCCATTGACTCGGTGCTCCCGCCGTCGGTCTGGAAGAGTTTTGGCGGGGGCCGAGATGGCGTTTCTTGGATGGACCCGACATCTGCTCGCGTTGATTGTGAGTGTCGTTGGCTGCCACTCGAGGCGCCACGCGTCACAAATGGATTAGAATCAGCACCAGAGAACGAAGCCGGCCGCCGGCTTGAGGAAGGGATCATAACCGGGGAATCTGCCAGCGAAGGATCGTCGACCTCTCCCGCAAACGACCGTGATGGCGCTAGACTGCGAGGTAACGGGGGAAGGCCCACACCAGCGTCCTTCTTGCGATTGCCCCGCGGCGTTGCCATGACCTGCACGCCTTGGCCGAGCGGATTGCGGACGGGGTTCTTGGGCTTCCGCGAACTGCCTCCTCCGGTGGAAACGCGCTTGACCGCATCGTCCGCAATATCCTTGGCAACTAGCTCTCGGTTCGGCTTGCGAAGCGTAAGAATGGCAGCATCCAGCTCCTTCTTCTGATCCGTCAACATCTGCACCTTTCGCAGTTTGGTTTCGTGCTGTCTGGCCACAGCATGAAGATCGACCTCGCGGTTTTCTGTGCGCTTCGCTTTCTGGATCCCGCCGCGCACACTGCCGCTCAGCACGGTGGGAAGCAGGGGTTCTATCAAATCACGCTTCGTCTCTCGGTGTGTTGGTGCAGTATTGGACCGATTCAGTGAGGGGGGCCGGTGCTGAGACGCGGCCGCCGTCTTTTCGTCTGTCAGCACGCGTTGTAGTGTCCTTCGAGACTTTGGTGCTGGTTGCTGGCGCTTGACTTCTGATCCTGGCTCTGCACGTGGTTTATTGGAGGATTGTGTCTTCTTAGCCGCGGGCGAAATGCCGCCGGACACACCAAACTTGCGTGTGATCAGCTTGCATTTGTCGGGGAGACGAGAAGCATAGAACGGAATGATCACTTCGGTGCAGAAGTCTCGCACTGCATCACTCTCCACCTTCTTTCCAGACATATGTCCGTTGTTAAAGGATGAGGCTTTCGCCGAATCAGCAGCACTAGAATCCTCCGAGCTGACAGCGTGCCAGATGCAGAGTCGATCAAGGTGTAACTCAAGGAGCACATTGACATCCTGGGGCTTCTTAGCCTTAGGTTTTTTGGGTATCTCGTTCTCTCCACCCGCATCTTTCTTGTCTGAATTGGGCTTGTCGCCGGTGCTGACCGATTCCAAAGCCATGACCTCCAAAATTAGAAGGATCTGTAGTTGGGTTTCGCGCAAGCGGAGGTCGGAGATGTGCTTCTTGGTTTCGGCTTCGCGTGACGATTCCTGAGTGGATGTCTCGTTCATACTTCGGTCTTTCCACCACTTGCGAATGAATACTTCCTCCTCGGCGTAGAGACCATTTCGACCCAGTTTCTTTTTCTTGCTTTTTCGCTTTTTGGCGCCGTCCTCGCCGTCGGAAAGTGCGAGCACAGCGTCACGGACGACCGTTGGCAGAGACTCTCGGTATTTGAGATCCATCTTCTTTGCAGCCAAGATTGCCTCGCGGTAGAACGCAACAAGCTCGTGAGACGATTGGTATTGCTCGGGATCATTAGATTGGAAAGCAGCACGGCAGCGTGTCAGCGGACCTTTTGCAAAGTACGCCACGGACGTCTAGAGAACAAGTCAGACAAGTCCAACAGAAGCGATCTCGACGGAGCCTCACCTTGGACACATAGAGAGCTTGCAAATAATGGTCTCTCATGCCGCTCAATAGCTTATCTGGGGATTGCTGCACATCCACGCCGTTGGGATCAATGAAACCGTCAACTTCCACTGCGTCGGCAAAATCATCACTCAGACCCTGGGACTCTGCAGGCCCAAAGGAAGCCATAGGGCCAACATCTGCGCCCCTCGAGGCAGGCGCCAGTGACTGGCTCCGGCATTCCAGCACATCCACAAAAGGCGCCTCATCGGGGCCGGGCTCCGTAGTCGAGGGCCCAAACACCACGGCAACATCCAGCCCCGCGGGCTTGTCTCCCAGAGCAAGTTCAGACAGAGGTTCCTCAATCTGAGCAGCATGCCACCAATTGAGACCATCCGGGATCGTACTCGGCTCATCGTCGACCATATCATTCACTTTCTCTTCGCTGGGGCCGTGCCACCCCTTCACCGCAACGACGACATCGCCCTCGTGCACCCACCGCACCAGCCTCGACAATGAGTATATGCCCCTCTTCACGCGCTCAACCACATACAGCCCGCCGTTGGCTAAAAGCCGGACCGTCAGCACTGTTGGTTCGGTCCACGCGCGGAGGTCGGTTTCGAGGGCGGGGATGTCTGCCGCGAACAGGCCGCCGGGCTGTGCATCGGAGTGGGATGAAGAGGCATCGTCGAGCCAGGACAATGGGAGTCGGGAGCGGGGCAGAGCAGCTAGAGGCTCGAGGATCAGCGGCTCGTCGGATAATGAAGCCGCATGAGCCTGGAGGAAACGAGGGGCATGCAGGTTAGCTGCGGCAGATTCGAGGGTCAATAACACGGCTTAGATGTTGTTTTGTCTTACTCGAATGACAATCGAGGTAGTCGCAAGCTGGGCACCGGTGCTCTCATGGCTTCTCTTGCGTTTCTTTGTGGGCGGATGGGCCTCGGAGAGCTTGTTCAGCGTCGATGAACTGAGAGGGTCTAAAGCGCTGGAGATGGCAGGCGAAGTCATGACGTTCAGAGAATCGAGTGCATCGTGTATTTCTGCAATCACCCACATCTATCAAATCAACATGCAACGGCGGGTTGAAGATGTCGATGGTCAGGTCAAATCGCGCCCGAATGCTTGGCGCATCACGCGTCGGCGTCTCCGCTTATCGCGATCTCCAAGAATCCAGGGAGAAAGAAGATTGAGAGAATTAGTTGCTCACTACTTTTAACTGAAAATCTACACATTACTTCTACTTGCTGAACAATCATGAGCAGAGCTCCATATAATCATTATTCTAATTGCTAATGTTTAGATTAGCGTACTCGCGAGTCAACACAAGAGCCTGAGCACTCATGTCGACTCTCTCCCGAAACCGAAATCAAGCGATTCTGCATGCAAACAGCAGTCACCCGTAAATGGCACCGAGTGGGTGTTGAGGTTTGTGGTGATGGTGTGTTGAAGACTTTCGCTCCGGAAAAACGCCAAAAAATCCCTTCCCAGCCGATGAAAGTGGTATCATGTTGAATTTTGTCTTCGCCGAAAGGCCCGTCGCTTTGCAGGGCGACACAATGCAGATAGTGAAACAAAAAAGATTGATCTCCGAGGGGAGAACCAATCTTTTGGAGGTTTTCGTAGTGTTTTTATAGGTCTATGCTCTCGCGCTTTGAGTTGTTGAAAACAAAGCAAACTTCATCACATTCGTCAAAACATCTCCGGGAATCAGCGGACGGAGGGATCCGTTTAGAGGTTGAGGGCCTTGGGCTTCTCCCACGAGAAGCTCTGGTTGGTGAAGTGGCCGTTCTTAGCGGTCTGCGAGTAGATAGGCTTGGCCAGGTCAAGGTCCTTGACGATCACACCGGGGCGAAGATCGAAGTTGTTGCGGACAATCTGGACCAGCTCGTCTGAAGACTTGGAGGACGTGCCGTAGGTCTCGACAAAGATGGACAGGGGCTCAGCAACACCGATGGCGTACGAGAGCTGGACAAGGGCACGGCGGGCCAGCTTGGCGTGGACCAGGGACTTGGCGATCCAGCGGGCGACGTAGGCGGCCGAACGGTCGACCTTGGAGTAGTCCTTGCCGGAGAAGGCACCACCACCGTGGGCACCCCAGCCACCGTAGGTGTCGACGATGATCTTGCGGCCGGTCAGACCGGCGTCACCTTGGGGACCACCGATAACGAAGCGGCCCGAGGGCTGCAGGTGATAAACAGTGCGGTCATCAAGGAGCTCATTGGGGATGACCTTGCGGACGACCTTCTCCTTGAGGGTGTTGCGGATCTCTTCGGTGGAGATGTCGTCGGTGTGCTGGGCGGAGATGACGACGGTGTCGACACGTTGGGGCTTGACGGCACCGTTGTCGTGAGCGTACTCAATGGTGACCTGGGTCTTGGTGTCGGGGAGCAACCAGGGGATGGAGCCGTCCTCACGGGCGGCCTTCATGGCAGCGTTGAGCTTGTGGGAGAGCAAGATAGTGAGGGGCAAGAGCTCAGGGCTCTCGTCGGTGGCATAGCCGAACATGATACCCTGGTCACCAGCACCGAGCTTCTCCAGGGCCTCCTCGTAGTGAAGGCCCTGGGCGATATCGGGCGACTGCTGCTCAATGGCAACCAAGACGTTGCAGGTCTTGTAGTCGAAGCCCTTCTCGGAGGCATCGTAGCCGATGTCCTTGATAGCGCCACGGATGATCTTCTGGTAGTCCAGGCGGGCCTTGGTGGTGATCTCACCGAAGACCATGATCATACCTAACAAAGCCGTTAGATTGGAAAACCGGAAGGCTTCAATTGGGGCAACATACCGGTCTTGGTGGCGGTCTCGCAAGCGACCTTGGAGAGAGGGTCCTCAGCCAGACAGGCATCGAGAATGGCGTCCGAGACCTGGTCACTGTGAATGAATAAGTATGGTTGGACAGTTGGGAAGCGAAGGGGGATAAAACCTCCGAGAAATCCTCAGGGGCAAAAAAAAACTTACGCAATCTTATCAGGGTGGCCTTCACCGACGGACTCGGAGGTGAAGAGGAAAGTGCCGGGCTGTGAACCGTTTGCGAGGGAACCCATTGTGACGGATGAGCTTGGAAAAGAAAAGAATTGAAGGGGTGAAATTAGAATAGAAAGAAGAGAGGATGGGAAAGGACAAGGGAAAAAGAGGAAGAGAAGGAAGAGGGGAAATTTTGGTGGGGGGGGGCTTGCTTTTTCGGACGGGTACACCGCAGGTACTGGTGTGACCAGCAAGCTTCTGCAGCAGTGGTGGGTACCACCAAAGTACCTCCAGAGCCTGTCAGCGGCGATGGCGCCATCCAGGGGCGGTGACAGGCGGCATATTGGAGGGAGCAAAAAACTTGCCGATAAGACCGACGATAGTTCCGATGCTCATCTCCAGCTTTCTCCAGCTTTGATCTCCCAACATGTCCAAGTTCGGTGTCCTGGTCATGGGCCCTGCCGGTGCAGGCAAGACCACCTTCAGTAATTCTGTGATTCAGCACCTGCAGAACACCCGCCGGAGTTGCTTCTATGTCAATTTGGACCCCGCGGCCGAAACCTTCAGTTATGAACCCGACCTCGACATTCGCGAGTTGATCACATTGGAGGATGTCATGGAGGAACTGGGGCTCGGTCCAAACGGTGGACTCATCTACTGCTTCGAGTTCCTGCTCCAAAACCTGGATTTCTTATCCGAGGCACTCGATCCACTCAGTGAAGAATATCTGATTATCTTCGACATGCCGGGCCAGATCGAGCTCTACACCCACGTCCCTCTCCTCCCGTCATTAGTTCAGTTCCTGTCCCGCCAAGGTCCGCTGAACATCAATCTCTGTGCAGCTTACTTGCTCGAAAGTACCTTTATTATCGACAAAGCCAAGTTTTTCGCAGGGACACTCAGCGCTATGTCTGCCATGCTGATGCTGGAGATGCCCCATGTCAATATCCTCAGCAAGATGGACCAGGTGCGGGAGATGGTGACACGCCGGGAATTAAGGCGGTTTGCAAACGTGGATGTACAGCTGCTGCAGGGTGATGAAGAAGACGACCTTGCTGCAAATGCCAACCCCATGGCTAAAGATGCATTAATGAGTGGCGGATCATTCAAGCAGCTCAATCGGGCTGTTGCACAGCTGATTGATGATTTCAGCATGGTTTCATTTTTGCAGCTCGATGTCCAGGACGAGGATAGTGTTGCGGCGGTTCTGAGCCATATCGATGATGCCATCCAGTACCATGAGGCTCAGGAACCGAGAGAACCCAAGGATGAGCAGGAGGTAAACTACGAGGACGCCGATATGTGATGGAACTGCTACTTGATTGCATTCATCAACATGTCTCGATATTGATGCCTACCACCTACACCAGCAAACGCGCCAATACCCACCGTCAACACTTACGGGTAATCGAAGCCCTGGCAGTCCTATCTCGGACCTGTACACACCTCTCGCCATTTCGGGTGACGCAGATTATGAGTGCGTGATGTACTGTCAAAGGACCCAACAAAAATAGTACCCACGAGATTACCAATGGCCGCCCCGAATTTTGGTCAGCTTCTACGCCGCAGAGATGATGCAGGCTTGAAGTCGAACTCGGGGACCCAGCAAATGGGTTATCCAACAGAATTTTTGACCATGGCCGAAGATACAGATATTGAGAGATCTCAATTGACCAATCTTAATGAAAAAGAAAAGAAAATACCATGAATTTCAACATGTCCAAACCTCCAACAAAACAACCCTCCCGCTAGACAATCCAAGAAGTAGAAAAGCAACCAAGAAACAAGCCCCCGATGCGCCCAAAATAACCTCAACGAGGTAACTTCTTTTTAAACCACAATTGTTGACACTCTCCTCACCAACCCCACGAAGACCCCCGATTCGCACCTCTCCCAGCACCCCAAGCAGCCCCAACACCAGGACCACTGCCCGCATTAGCCGCATTTGCATTCGCATTCGCGTTAGCAGCAGCAGCAGCACTCCGCGCCTGAAAATCCTCCACAAACCCCAAAACAATACCCCACAACCATCCAAGATCCCGCCCCGCATTCTCAACCCCAACGCGGTACACATACCACGCAAAACCCAGCAGTGTACCCCAGAAGACCAGCCGCAGCGCCAGCACGACCCAGAACATAATAAGGCGGCGCGCATAGTCGAGGATGCGGAGGGAGATGAGAAGCAAGACGCCGAGCAGGACGACAGTTACGAGGTCTGGCATGGCAGCTGTGGACCAGGAGGCTGTTGAAGCGAGGAAGGATGAGAGCGGTTCAATGAGGCAGGGCTGCACGTAAGCTGTGCGGAGGTTGGCGAGGTGGGTTGTTACTTGGGCTTGGGTTGAGGTGCGGAGGTAGTTGATTGAAGGGTGTTGGAGGAGGGTTTGGAGGTTTTCTGTTTTAGGGGAATTGTTAGTGACTGCAGTGGCTTATTTATTCTTTGTAGAAGTGGGAAGAGAAAAGAGGGACGAGAGACGAGGAGAGGGAGACGGAGGCCTTACCTGGCAGGAAGTCCATTGCCGCGGATAGTCTGCGAGGACTGGTTGTGTACTGACGGGCAGATGAGATGCTGATCCTGCGCTCACGCGAATCGTGACCGGAGCAGGCTGGAGGCCGAGGGTGTTTTGTGTTATAACCTCGAGGTGAGACAGCGTCGCTGGGGTGGGTATGCGCGTTGTGTAAGTTCCTTGCGGCTGGCAAGGGCGCGCGTTGACGTTGAGACTCGAGATGTGGACGGAGGAGAATATGGAGGGGTAAATCCCGAGACAACAGAAACAGGTCAGGATTTATATTTAGGACAGACTCAATCACACAAAGCAGTGGAGAAAGCGAAAGATGACATTGACATCTACAGGAGAGCCAAAGAATCAAAGAAGCCCGTGCAAAACAAACAAACGCCAAGAACTCGAGATAAGAGACGCGGGACAACATGGAATCATCACAACAGCATATCTCCAATACTGTACAGTCGATTAGATATTTACCCAAAAAAGACGGTCTGTATATACAAGCAAGACCAAATCAGTCAACCTCCAGAATGGACCGAGCGCCCGGCTGGGGGCATGGTCAGCGCGATGCCACGCACATAATCCAATAACCTCAAATCCCCAAGGGGCTCTCGACTCCAAAACCCAAACTCCGAATCACTCGGACATCAAGGAAGATGCGAGCATAGATGCAGATGCAGATGTGGTATAGTAGAACAGCAGGAAAAAAAAAGAACACGCGAGGATATTATGCTTAGCCCAGGAGGGCCTTGAACGCATCACGCTCGGCTTGGATTTCACCTTGGAGCCGGCGAGTCTGGCGGATAGCCTCATCACTGTATCGAATGTTAGCATCAACTCAGAAAAGACAAGATGACTGATAGAAAAAGTCACATACCGGTCGGATTGAAGCTCCGCCACGTCCACTTGCGTGCGGTTCATCCGCCCAATGACTTCTTCCATCTCCATGTCTGCATCGCGGAGAAGTTTCTCGAGTTCCTTGACCCGTTTCTCCAAGGCGTCGGCCTGGACCACCTCGGGCAGAGGCATGCCCTCGCCACTGGTGGTCTTATCCAGACGCGGTGTCCGGTCACCGAAGGGAGTGTTCGGTGTCCGGGGGGAAAGGTTGGCCGGGGCACGAGCCCCGTGCTTCATCCGCATCAGTTGAGCGTTGTGGCTGTCCTTCAACTGGCGGATCTGCTCTTCATGTTTGCCCATTTCTTCCTCCGAGTGTCCTTGGGCCACCAAGAGGTTGTCCTCGAGCTCCTTAAGTCGGCCCTGCAGCAGATTGATGCGCTCCACTGATAGTTGCTGGTCCCTCTCGCCCTTATCAACCGCGGCTGCCAACCGGCCGCGCAGGGAGGTGTTGATGTGCAACTGCTGTTGTACACTGGTGGACAGCATGTTGGTTCGCTGGAGGGATGCCGCAAGATCGTCTGACGCGGCACTAGCCTCAGCCTCGACGCGGGCGGCCTGGAGCTGCTGATAGGCGGACTCCAGGGAAGATGATGTAGCCATCACCTCAGCAAAGCTCTCCTGGTCAGCCAGCAATTCTTCGGGGACGGGAGTGTCGTGCTCCTGCAGAAGTACCCGGAGAGAGCTGGTCTCCTGTTCGGCACGATCCAAGTCCATCTTAAGACCCGCCAAGTTCTTTTCGCACTGCCACTTGCCATCCAAGGCATCCTCGGCGCGCAGGCGAAGATGGTTCACCTCTTCTCGCAGGTTCCGCACCTCTCGTTCGTAGCCGAGTTTGCGCGGGCCCGACTGCTGAGCCCGAGCAAGCTCGATTTCCAAGATGCGGGCATGCTTGTCGTGTTCCCTAGCTTGGACCGTGTGGCGAGCAAGAAGGCTCTTCAAGGTCCGGTGGAGCGCATCCCGCTGGGCTTCCATGTCTTTGGCCTTGTCCGCCAGCGACTCACGGCTCTCTCCCTTCCCGCCAGACACGGAGTTCGATCGAGATAAGCCGCCACCGCCGGGTTTCCGGGCAAGGGAATTCGACCGTGAAAGGCCAAATGCCGAGTTGCGTTTGGGAGCCATGCCATCCTCTTCCGCAATTGAAGCGAATCGACTTCCCTGCAACTGGGCCAAAGACGCGTTTTCAATCTTGAGAGCTTCGATCTCTTCCACCAAGCGATTCATCTCAGCACTGGGTGTGTGGCCTTCTCGAAGCTGGTCTCGTTCATTTCGTAATTGCTCTAGCTCTACTCGCATGGCAGTGAGCAGATCCTCGAAGTTGTCTTTCGATTGTCGTTCTTCAAGCAGCTTTCGGCGGGTATCCTCGACGGTTATTTCGAGTTCCCGGGTTTTAGAAGAAAGATCGGAGTGGTCCACTCGGTCACGTCGGAGCTAAAGACAAAGCCAGAAGTGTCAATTATGAGATACCATATCAATCAGGGGTTGAGGCTGTCGTACCTGCTGCACTTGATTTTCTAGTAGCTGGACATGTGCCTCGGACGCGGATCGCTGGGACCGCTCATCCTGCAACTTTTGTGAGAGCTCGACCTTCAATTGCGCTCGTTCCTGCTCGGCGGCGCGGCGAATCTTCTCAACATCTTCGGCGCGCCCCGGGTCAGGGGCATATCGAACAGAGCTGGTACCCGAGTCCGAGAAGTAGTCGCTGGTGCGTCGGTTGGCATCTGGGCCCTCGGATTGTAATCGTTCGACCAGGTCTTCCAGGTCCATTTCCCTTCGAATGGACCCTGCCAGCTCGGAACTGATTTCTCGTAATTCATTTTCCAGGTCGGCCATCTTTGACGCATGCACATCTTGTGCGTTGGGTGTCCCCAAGGACGCGGTACGGACAGGTGGGCCAAAGCCATTAGACTTGGAATCAAAGGGGGAGGGGGTTTGATAGGGACGTTTGCGAGAGGAGGCATTGGTGATGGCACAGGGGACCGGCCTCCGTCGGAGATCTCGGTGCTAGATGAGTCGGCTCCAGGGGATGTAACTGTGTTGTTGGCCTTCCAGCCAAAGAAAGAGCTGATTTTGTTTCCAGGGGTCTTGGGGTTTCGAGGATCTGTCGCACTCATAGGCAGAGGCTGCCTGTCCAAGTCGATATGCAGGGGAGGGGGCGGTTCATAGGGGGGTGCAATGCCATCGTCGTGGCACGCCGTTTCGTGGGAGGAGGGGAGTTGAGCACTGGGATAAAAGGTTCGCTCACGAGACGACTGTGGAGGGGGGTTCCATTCGTGAACTGGTTCTCGTAACCCGCGTCGAAGAAGTCGGCGCCTTCTTCTTCGTCGTCGTCGTCGTCCTCAACCACGGACCTCAAGTACGAGGCAGAAGCGGAGGTGGAGGTGTCAATGAGGAGAGGTTTCACAGGGTATTGACCCCAGGAGAATCTAGGAAATTGCGACAGGGGCCGGGGATTAGTCTTCCAGGTTCTGGACAGGCGTGATAGCATGTAGAGGCCATGTCAAGCTCGAGCCATGGGAGGGATTGGCGCCGAGGATTGAAAGCAAACAGGCCGAACAAAGAGAATGCCGATAGGGGGTGCGGGCATCGCATACCGATTGGGGTTTCTTGGCACCGATATAAAGGAATCTCCATCCACCGACGATGGGGATGGTGGTCTAGCCACGGGAGGAGTGGGAATAGGAGTGGGTTTATCTCCTTCGATCGAAAGGGGAGAGGAGGGGTGCACCAAGCTGGAGATCACTGGATCGGCATTCTGGGGCAGAGGTTTCCGACGCACTTGAGCGGTTGAGGAAGGAGGGGAGGAGTTGGGACTAGAGGAAATGTCTGGATGAGCGGGAGAGCCGCCAGCAAGAGGATGAGAAGCCATGAAAGACTCCCTGGGTCAGTATCAAAAAATAGCCATCGATCGACAGTTCATGGCCGGTTGGCACGGGTTAGAGCGAAAGGCACGCGCCACTTGATACCAAAGAGGAAAGGATTCTTGCGCGAGAGATTCTCAAGAGTGAAAAACAGAAAAGGAGAAGGTCAGGTAGACCCTCTGGGAACGATTGGCGCAATCCACCCGTGGTTCCAGCCGCCATACAGTAGCGCTGGGGGCTTTTCGGGACGAGTAAGCGTGGGTGGAGCAGGGGCGCCTCGATGGAGTTGCTGGGTCCAAGAGTGTGAGGCATATGGATTCAATTGGCAAAAGAACACAGTGCGTATTGATAGCGCTGCCAAGCAGAGTGCTTTGGCCGGTACGATCGACATGGGACGTGAACGTGGGAGAGAGATGTTCCCTTATATCGAGTAAACCTGCCCTCTCACTGTCTCTGCCACTCTGTCTCCCTGCCTCTGTCTCTGTGTCCATATTTCTGACTGAGAACAGCATGTACCTTGCAGCAAGGCATTGAATCGATCAAAATAGAAACTGGATTCAATAGTGCCAAGGGGCACTGCGAACCCCCTTGAGTCGTGGATCTGGAGAGGTTGGCCCCGCGCTCATCCTTGGGGCGATTCAGGGGTAGTGTGCCAAGTTGCTCGCAGGTACCTCGCAGGTACCTGCCATATGGCAACCCCAGTCCCCTGATACCTGACAGTACTTCTGTGATACTTGGAAGACTTGAGTTTCCATGGTTCTCATATTAGCAAGGCTCATCGATGAACTCGCAATTGCCAACTGTTCTATGATTATACAACTATATCCACATATCCATATATTCATATGGATAACTGATATCATCTATCAGAAAAGAAAATCAAAGAGAATCTCTCTTTGCCATGATATTCAGGGGTTTTTATTGATTCGAGTCTAGAGCAACTTGCTTTGCTTTTGCATTACGTGGATCTCATCCGCAGTGGAGTGGAGATCGACCCCCTTTTCCCCTTCAAGTTCCTCTCCCCTGGCCCATGCGCCCGAGTTCTGCTCTCAGAAGAACGTGCTTTCCCCCCCCCCCCTGTCCTGCAGGCTAACCGTCTTGCTGTGGCAAACTGCCAATCAAGTTGAAACGCCCTCCGATCGACACACACTCTCGGGCACTCGGGCCAACGCGTGGCCGGTATCTTTCTTCTTCAACAGGCAAAGCGGCAATGTGCCCAGCTGCAGCTATCATGTCACATTGGAGGCGAGCGACATGAACCAATGTGCTTGCTCTTGGGGCACCTTAGTTCGCCGAGTCCTCAGTTTTGAGGGCCACATTTTGTTCCGTGTTGCCCAGCTGTCACATCAAAGTGGAAAAAAAGGGTGCTCCTGTGAGCAGGTTCGAGTCTTGGCAACACAATGTCCCGTAGATGGGAAATTGCAAGACCAGAAGTGTCGGACGAAAGCAACCTTGAGAGCCGGGTCTTTGATTGCATTTCTTGGAAGTTGATATGCGGAACTATGAGAACTCTACGGCCAAAATATTATTGGGTTAGAAAGTTGGCGCTTATCTTTTTGTCTTTTTTATCGTTTTATCTTCTTTCTTTTTCTTTTTTATTATTCTCCATTACGCGTACATCCGGTGTTGTTTGTCTTAGTCCCTACCCCTGACCCTGGCCTGGATAAAGAACCCGCCAGTCCCACATGGATCCTATGCAAAACACGAATAACCGCCAGTGGCGTAGATGGCTGAGTCTATTGTCACACCAAGTGAATTATTGACTCCGAGGTCTGCCAGGCACTTAGGGCTGCATATTGCACCATTGCTCCCTCGAATCTATTGAAGCTGCCAAAAATGACTCGCAAACTCCTTAAAAAAAAATAAACATGTCTTTATTTTGACTGAGATCTTCTGGTTTGATGTATCCTCTAGGTATATCTGCAGGGCAATACATTGACTACTAAAGCGTTGGCCCCAAGGCTATGTCGGTATCTAAATAGCACTACCTAGTACCCAAGTAAATGGAGCTTAACATACCGACTATACTAAGTAATCCCCTATTGGGTATTTCTGCAAGGCCGTTTGTACTACCGGCTGCTCCACTCTGTCAGTCTAGATCCTGTTTCACTTAGGGCATTCAATAGCTCCAAACTATGGATCCTGCAGAGGTCAATAGAGCTATACTGCTGGTAAAACTAACCAAGAATATATTGGTGGATCATCCTATGATTAGAACCCGAGATCCAGAAATATAGGACACTGTCAGACCCGGCTGCAATTATAAATAGAGCAAACGCACGCTCTCCCTGTCACTCAGGGAAGACTAGAGAAAATGCTCCCATCCCCTGGACTCTCAGTGCAGTACAACGCCTTCCTAAACCCCGGACTACCAGAATGGATTTCGTTGTACATAAGATATCTTGACCCCAGTTCGGATCATACTCGCTGGAGCAGGTTATCCAGCTGAACGATATCGACCCGAAAGAAGAGTTGTGGCGTGCGTTTGGTCAGATCATTGCGATCCGCTTGTTGCCGGGTGTTGCTCATGAGCTGCTGGATGTCCTCTTAGCCAGCTAGGATCAGAAGACTGGCCGTAGTGGCATCCATGAGCTGGTGGGGTATAAGTCCGGGCCAAGTGGCGGGAACTACAGGATTGTCATTGATTAGGGCAAAGTTGATGTCAATTTCCAAATAGAAACACTGGTATGTATTTGAATTGTGCTGCCGGTTTTGCGCCTGCGAATAATTGACACTAGGTATAGACAGTGGCAGCTAGAAAAGAACAAACAGGAAAAGCCAATTTATATATCTCAATTGACAATCTTTGAAACATCACTCGTTGCGCATCAGACATAGAGACAACCGTCGTAAAGGAAGCCCTTAATAGGGAATGAAGTCGAATCTCATTCGATCTGCACAATGTGTTAGCAAGCAGGACACTTCAGAATGATAGACAGCGCATGTGCGTACCAAGAAAATGGCTCCAGTCTTCGTCTTCAGTTAGCTGGTTCGCCCAGTACTGCTCGAGAAACTTCAAGGACTGCAGCACATTCGGGACTCGGATCGTATCATGCAGCGATGCCAGTAGATGTCTCACGGTATCCCGATCATCGCCCCGCGCTTCGCAACCAGCAATAAACAGCGGCGTCGTAAGAATCACCCATGGGCTGAGCCCAGACGACGGACCGATCTGGGTCGCGCAGTCCAGGATCCGTTGGACAGACTGTTGCACGTCGGGCGACCTCGTCGGTGTTTTGCGTAGACGTCGGTGGATCTGGATAAGCGCGCTATGTTGAAATGCCTCGTTGCAGAGCGCAAGTTGTTGGACGCTTTCCGCGGACAGTCCTTCGGCGACCCCGGGGTAAAGCGAGGGCTGGGACTTGGCGCCCCGGTCCATGAGTTGTTGAATGGATAGCTCCAGACATGCGGCCTCATCTTCGACGTTGCTGTCGATTTCGCCCTCGACAAAGCCCTGGGCCTCGGCCTGATGGTTCCGCCAGGCGGCGGCGCCGATCTGGCGAAAAACTGCTGCAAGGTCGACTGTGAAGCCCCAGTAGTCATCTAAATAGTCTGGGGAATCTCCTTGATCGACGGGACCAAACAAAGCGGAGTCTGAGATATCCCCAATCGGCGGACCATTCCCCGTCAATGCTGTGAGCGACACAATCGACCAGTACCATCGATCCAGATACGGACGGAAGCCGCCTGCAGACTGGAGCGAGGATCCCTCCCCAGCGGCATCTGCCGCCTTCATCAATGCCCTTGCCCCCTCAATGTGAGCCCTCCAGGAATTTGGATGGATGGCGCCGGAATGTATTTCTGCTAGACAAAGCGTCCGGGCCGTCGCGACCAGCGCCTCCGAGCCCTTGGTCGAGGGATTTTGAAGTTCTGTGCGAAAATGTTCCAGACTGAGTGCCATCAACCGCGCAATGTCTGGCGCAGACTTGACACTCTCGGACTGATTCTGTAGGGCTTGCAAGTGAATTGCGGAGAGGGCAGTGGTGGCATAGAGTAACGAGGGAGTTTGCAGGGCCATAGGCACAAGCATCCGGCAGATATCCTGTTGCATGCCCGAGTGGCACGCGGTGATCTGAGAGGCATCATTGATGAAATGGTGCAGCAGGGCACGCTGATCCGAGGACAAGGACGAGAAAGGGTCGACGGGCTGCGTCAAGGTCAGGTCCGACTCGGCGCTGGCCGATTTCGTGGTGTAGATAAACTCGCCCGGCGAGTATTCTGCGACGATTAGCGACTCCATCACCCTGGCCATATCTGTGGAATTCTTCTCTTCAATACGAACCCAGTCTTTGCATGCCTCCAGTCCCGACGCAGGCTCCAAACCGCGATCGCGAGAATGCCCGCCCTCCCCACTGTAGTTGCATCGCATATTTGCATTGCACCCCGGCAGTCTGGCAGCGCCCGCACTCTGGTCGCTGCTCGTCACATTTCTGCCGCCGTGCCTTACATCTCTTGCAGCCGGTGAACGATCTCGACATGGGGAACGCGGTTTTCGAGGTTGGTGAAGAATTCCTGCGGGGAACCCGACGATCTCCACGTTTCGAGTCTCCGCGTGGCGAATTTGGGGGAAACGCAGCCCCTGCGGACTCAGTCCGAGCCGGAAATTAGAACGTCCCGGGCTTTTTGTAGGACGTTATCTAGCAGCCGATCTAGCGGATCCACTGCAGATTGACAGGGACTATCTGGATGAACGGATGAAGTTGGACGTAATTGCATGTCTAGAAAGCCCCCGAAGCAATAAACAACTCTCCCGAGAGAAATAGAAGAAATAGACGTATGCGCTATGGCAGGAATACACACATGCCCACTATATGTTCACCCCTTGGTTGTGAAATCTCATGTTAAAATCACCCAAAGGTATACCGCATCCACTCCCCGACGGCTCGCAGGCTCTCCCACCGCACCGCTTCATCTTGGTCGGCCATCAGTTCCATCACTCGTGTCTTCAGGCCCAGTCGCTCCATTTGAGTGCGTCGTTCCGGCAACTCCTTGACCAGGTGCCCCACGTCGTTACAGGCGATAGCCAGCACCTGCTTGTCATTATCCCAGTTCTTTGATAGGATCTCGGCCAATTTCTTGGGCAGTGCGCCATTCGCTTCATCCAGGATCCGGCGTGCATTGTCCTTCCAAAAAGTCGGGTTTTTATGAGGAGGGGACCAGCGTAGATGGCCGGACTGAAGTTCGGCCGCATATTCATCGAAGGTAGTCTGTGTCTTGGTGTACTCATCCAACATGGTAGACAGCGTATTAAGGTCCTCGAGGAGGTCGGGGTCGGTCAGATGGCGCCCACCAAGGTTGGTCAAAAGGGCCGGGAGCCGAACGAACACAGCCACGGGCAGCAATGCCGTTCGGTTGCTTGAACAGAGATTGTACAACGTGGCGATAAGCAGTCTCGTGGTTTTCTCCTTTGGTGACAGGCGCAGAAGTTGGGTGTAGAGTTGAACGATCTCATAGCTCCTGAAGCGAGAGGGTTAGACGCGACACCAAGGAACTATGCAACCGAAAAGTCACTTACTCTTGAAGTTCCTCGCCCACCAGAGCACTCTCAAACGTGAGCTGCCACACTACCAACAGTACCCGGTACAGCAGCTGAAGACCGACTCCACCGGCGAGGCCAGGCTCGATGGTGCGCGTGCTGCTTCCTGACGTTCCATTTTCCTTGGTCCCCGCGGCAGCACGAAGAGTTTCGATCAAGGGCTCCAAAGTCTCTTGGCGCTGAGTCCAAAAGATTTTCCGAGATTGTGCTTTGCGAAGTAACTCCGAGAATCCTTGGACGCCAATATCCTGGAGCCCGCTATCCTGGTTCTTGGTTAAGGTCGAGAGATAGGTGTACAGTTGCGGGAGAGCTTCCTCGTCGCGGGCAGCAGGCTTGGAGGAAAGAAAAAGACTGTGCGACACGAGCGCTGTGAGAAACGTAGAAGTAAGCAAGGGAATCGGGTCTTCGGCATTCGTCGAATGATGCAAGAATGGTAGGAATGGCTTGTATGGTTCCGGGTGCGAAACGAGCGAGTCGGCCAGAGAAGGGACGTCTATATATGGAGAAATCCAGTTGATTAGTATTGATACCGAAGAATATCTCGTCTTCGACAGCTCCGGGCATACCCTGGATCAAATCCGATGCCAGCACCAAGATATATTGCACGATATCGGTCCGACGGGCTGCGGAATCCAAGACACTCTTTCCCTGTTCACCACCAGCCAACAGACTTGTGTACCCAGCAAGGTCGGCCTCTATTGTCTGGCGACGCTGGTCCTTGCGCACCTTATCCACCGCCTTGATCTTCTTCAGGTGGTCCTCGGTGATGTTCCCCGCCCGAACGGCGCCATCCCACGGAATTGGCCGGGCCCGAATATTGTTTTGTAGGGAGCTGAGATATGTGGGTGACTCCAGCGACATGATGAATGTAAAGACCCCCAGCTAGTCAAAAGAGTGTGGTTTGGGGGGGAGGTGCGAGAAGGGAGGAGCTCGGAGGAGGATGACGGCACAGACGCCAAGACCGGCTTGTCGCTCCCAACGGATCTTGGCTCATCGCCTCGTCTTCGACGCGGGAACCTTCTCTCTCTCTCTCTTCCTCCCATTCTACCTGATTTTCTCTCGGTGATCTGTCATTGATCTTGCTGGATAGCCCTGCTTTGAGCTCAGCAACCTCACATTCCTTCATTTGATTTCTTGTGCAGCATCCATTTTGCAACGTGGTGTCAACCTTATACATTTCATCTATTTGGCCTCGACCTCCAGACCTTCATTTCTCGCGTCTGCTGCCTGTGTGATTGCTACCTACCTACGAATCAAGTCCCTAGCCTTCTCCTCTATCGATATACACTATATATTGGCAACAGCACACCCCCACCGAATCCATGCAAATTGAACAGGCATCTGCTGCGTACCAGTAGCCGAATTGCGGCCTGATAACGTATCGACCTGTCATCATGGCGCAGAACTCGCAGGCAGCAAAGCAAAAATGGGGCATGGGGTCTTTTTTCCAGCAAGCCGTCGCGGGTGTCGAATCTCGGCTCGACAATATCTTGATGGACCCGGACGAAATAGCGACAAAACCTGCCAGCGCAAAAGCAACGGAGACTGAGAAGGCCGAGGCATCAGCACCGGCACCAGTGCCAAAACCTCCTGTTGTCTGTACGGATTCCGCCTTTCTCCATGCTGCTGAACTCGGCTAACAGACCTCTAGCACAATCACGCAGCGCTTCTGGTGCGCGGAAGAATGATCGACTCCAGGAACGTTTGGCGCGAGCCGTGGTGAAATCTAATACGAACAGTCGTGTTTCTCAATCTTCCCCCAGTGGCGTCTCGTCGCGAGCGTCCAGTCCGGCACCGAGCAATGGTGCGCGATCAAGTATGGATGTCGACTCTAGCCTGGCGCCTTCCACTGTCGCCGACAATGAGAAGAACCCAACCACAAATGAAGAGGCCGCTCTGTCGGTGTCTGCCTCACCGAGGGCCAGCTACGAGTCGGGAGTACCACCGCGCGTTTCCGGGGAATTCGATACAGCAGGATCAATACCAAATACGTCCGGGGAGACACCGGAACGGCCTGCAGATCCGGAGAAGACCAACGATGATCTAACGGGCTCGCACCAAAATACAGTTGCCGGCGTTTCGGTATCAGAAAAGGCCCCGCGAGTGAACGTGGAGCCACCGGAACAAGGAGATGACCAGGATCCAGCTATTGCTCGATTGCAGGCTGACCACAAGGCGGCCGAGTCTCAGTGGCAAGAGGAGGTGTATGGTTATATTGAGCGGATAGACGCCTTGCAGTCGAAGCTCCAATATCTGGCCAAGGATGCAGCCGAATCGGCAAAGACTGCCGCGGCTAATGCCGCGCCAGGGAGTGCCGACAAACAACTGTTGGAAAAAGACGAAAAGATTGCATTGCTCCTTGAGGAAGGGCAAAAACTATCCAAGACGGAGATGGACCATCGAACGTTGATCAAGAAATTACGCCAGCAGCTTGCGGAGAGCACAAAATCCCAGACCGAGTTGAAGAAGAAAACAGAGAAATTGGAAAGGGAAGCGATCAGCGCCGAAGCCAGGGCTCAACGGTCTGAGGCCGCAGAGAAGAGGGCGAACGACTCTTTAACCTCCCAGAAGAGAGTGGGCGATGACCTTCAAGCCGTCACGAAGGAGCGCAACGCACTCAATCAGACTGTCCAGGACATGAAAGCGCAACTGAGCCGGGCCACCGCACGTGCTGAGGCTGCTGAGACGAAGGTGCTATCGGAGGCAGCAGAGAAGGAGAGACGCAAAGCTTCTGAGCTGGAGGAGGAACTTTCGAATTTGAAGATCGAGCGTGACATTGGCGAGGAGAAATCGAAGAGGGAAATCAAGGACTTGAAGGAGAAAATGGAACAGGAAAGAGATAGGGCCCGGATGCTCGAGACTGAACTCAGAAACGAACAGTCGGTGCTGGAAAGCAAGATGGAGAGCCTTCGTGCCCGCGCAGAAGAGGCCTCGTCCGGAGCAACTGGAGAGTCTCAAGCCACGCTTTTGCGGCAGATTGAGACTCTTCAGACTCAGTATGCCGTCGCAAGTGAAAATTGGCACACGCTCGAGGGCTCTCTGCTCTCCCGGATGGCAAACATAGAAAAGGAACGAGATGAAGTTGGCCGTCGCGAAGGGGAAATGCGGAAGAAAATTCGGGAATTGGTAAGATTTGTGGCATTCTGCCTGTGGCTTGGGAAAACACTAGTCTGACACACAATGCCTACACAGAACCTGAAGGCGAAGAGGCTAGAAGAGGAACTTGAGGGTGCAAAGGAATCTGAGCAGGACCTGGAAGCCAAGCTTGAAGAGCACATGCAGGACCTGCAGAAGATGCAGCAAAAGCTCCAGAAGGCCGACGACGATCTCACGTCTGCGCAGAAAGACTTGCTCGAGCAGAAGAAGGTGTCGGATGCGACCTGGGCACAGAAACTGGAGGAAGAACGGGCCCGGTGGCGGGAACAATCCAACTTCCTCCATGGACCACGGGGCATGTCGCCTGTCACGTCCACGCGGCGGGCGAGCAACCTCGAGGCGGCCGCTTTGGCCATGTCAGAATTCCGTCCACCGAGCCGGCGCTCGTCCACGCTCCCACCTGGCTCGCCTGAAATTGGCACGCCGCCGCGTCAGAACTCCTACCCGACGTCGGTTTCTAATGCTGTACTTTCCCCTCCCCAAATCAACACGTCCACCCCGTCCATGATCATGGAAACCCCGTCGATCAACTTCGAGCCCGATGAGGTCTTCAGTGGCTCCGGCACTCCAGCTACCCCATCTGCATACGGTGGTACACAGGCGCCGGCATCGCGTGGGATCAACGATATCATTTCCGAATCGACCGTGGGTGCCGGCCCATCCGTACAGCTCGTGGAGCGCATGAGTGCCACGGTCCGTCGTCTCGAGAGCGAGCGAGCCGGGTCCAAGGACGAGCTGGCCCGTGTCACGTCACAGCGCGACGAAACTCGACAGCAAGTGGTCGATCTGATGCGTGAGCTCGAGGAGAAGAGAGTCTCTGACGCGCGTGTGCAGGAGCTCGAAACGCGCCTTGTGGATCTCGATCAGCGGTACCAGACGACTCTGGAGATGCTGGGCGAGCGAAGCGAGAAGGTCGACGAGCTGCAAGCTGATGTTGCCGATCTCAAGAAGATTTACCGGGAGTTGGTCGACAGCACCATGAAATAAGTAGGTTTTGCGACCCGTCAAGTGGATGAGATGAGTCAACGAGCCAACAATAGTTGCAAGATTTTCTTTGGGCGTTTGGGTGATGCTTTTTATTTTGCTTCTTTGTAGGACTGTATAGAAAACCTGCGCTGTTTTGCATATATTCACCAGCGCAAATCGGGAGAAGAAGACTTGAATTTTATGAACTAGACAAGATATACCTGACACCTGGTGCCAATCGTCGTAATTGGATTTGGATTTGGATTTGCTCTAGCTCATCGCGGAAAAACCGACCCTGCACCTCCCTTGTCACTCGCTCTTGAAATCCTTGTCCAACTTGGTATACCGAGCCGATCAAGTGTAGACGAAGCCGCCCTGCAAGTAACGTTGCATGACATATCCCACAGCCCCTTCCTCGTCTTCGGTTGCTTGGAATTCCCTCCATTTTTCTTCGGTCTCATACTCCCGGTGGAAGTCGCACAGCGCGAAATCAATCATCAACGGCTTCAACACCTGGTCCGGAGTCATGCTCACAATGAAACTCCTGGTATTGACATCATGATTGAGGACCCCTCGATCACCGACGCGATGAATGATTAGAATGGCTTCTTCGCAGAGCGGCTGCCAGCTCTCGCGTGGAGCATGAGTAGCGACTCGGTCAACGGAAACCCTTTGATATACTGCAGCAGAATACCAGGGATTTCGAAATACTCGCTGATAGAGGCAGGCTGTGGGAGGAAAAGGGAGTCGCGCATTGTGACACACGCAAAGAGTCGAGGGATGCCCTTGCTTTGCGGGTCGTTCAAGATGTCGTAGACCTCGACCTCGGTCTTGTAGAATCCCCGAGCGAGATTGTAGAGAAAGGTTTCCTCCTGCGCGGCATTCCAGGTGGAACCCTCGTTGTCGACAAAGTTGTCATCGGCTTTGAGTTTGGTGATGAAGTCTGATGCGCCCCCATCCAGCACAAACTGGCCATACTGCGAGCACATCGACGCTCGCGGTCCAGCGTTCACATTTCTCGTTCTTTCTAAGCTGAGATGCAAAACGTCGATCGAAGAGCTTGAGTACCATGCAGCTTTTCAGGGCCTTGTAGCGTCCACCGTTTGGTCATCGTGTGGTGTCTGGAGCTGCAATTTCAACGTACTGCCGACTTTGTAAGGACAGCTAGACAGGTTAATGCACAGGACATTGTTGGGGTTTTCAGGTTGCTAAACAGACGAACACTTACTTGGTTCCTCAGCTTCTTCCATGGTGCCGAGTTGGGAAAGTATATCGACGGAAGTTCAATAGAAACTGTTGATGTACTAGAAGAAATTTAAATTGTGTCGTAAATCTGAGGTGACACTTTAAAGTGCTGCTCTGGCTGGTAATAGCTCCTTGTCTGAAAGTAAAGAGAAGATGAGAGATGAAGTTGAGGTTAAATGCGCTCAAGTCAGGCGTCACCCAGCGCCGCAGCCTGGAAATTTAGGTAGGTCATCTGCAAACATCACAAAATAGAAAGCAAGCTTCATTCACTCGACAGCTCTTTATTCTGAAGATCCAACCTAGTGGATATGTTCGAGCGATCTTCAACTCCTGATCTTTCTGCACCCGGTGTCAGACTTCTACCACAAGGTGTGTACCATGAGAGGATACCTCTACTGCTATGGGACCACCTTGACTAAATTGATATACAGCTTGACCAAGCCAATAAGAGAGGTTACTCGATACTTTGGACCCGAAAACGTTGATCAAAATGGTTTGTGTTCTCGTCTTTCGTCTTTCCAAGGACAATGGTATGGACTTTACCCTCCCATGCACACTTGCCTCTCTCATCTGAGTGAGATAACCAGCAACTAACATCCTTTGTATAGGGCAAGAGATCCAGAATAACTGTGCGAGACTACGCCGATCACGTCAAATTCGAAAACTTCGTGTGCCACTGGGATCCCGCTGGAGCCTGGAACCGCGTTTACGGTGGTAAGAAATCGAATAGCATGGGCTTCTTTGTCACCGAGAATATGAAGACCTCGGGTGAAAAGCCGGTTTGCCGCGTGCGAGTGAAGCGCGGAAGCTCGGTTGTGCTTGGATTTGACATGCCTGGGGAGGATCAGCCGAGCAACGAGGACGTGGCTCGTGAGCTGAAGAGCCAGACTTCCGCTTAGATTTAAGTGAAGCATGATTTCAACGTTTTGAATACCAAGGAATGGATCGTTTTGGTTGACAGTGATTAACCTTAACTCTGCCTCACCTATCGTCTAATGTAATAAAAGGACGTGACAAAAAATAGTGTAGAATATGGAGTAGAATATGAATTTAAAAAAGCATTCAAAAAGCATGTATATCTAGAAGGATTCAGACTAAGAATGAAATATTCGGGGTTATATACTTTTTGGCAACCCCAAAGCGCGACTCCAAAAACTACCTCCATCGATTATCAATAATCTCGAGCAAATAACGCCAGGATATACTATAGCTCTTGTGATAAGCACCAACCGCGTTCAGGGCTGTCGCTCCTTTAATTTTCTTGCCAAAGACTCAGGCCTAACCCCAATAGTATCTTGAATAATGCACTCGCATCATCACCCGGACAATCACACCCACAATGCTCCATAAGAAAGCTAAAAATATGTATTCCGAACGGACTATAGCTACTTGGCCTTAAAAGCCCAGTCTGCACATTTACTCTGCCTTAAGATGCTTTCAACAGTCTCGGCCGGGCGAACAAGTAACCAACGATCGTGGCCAAAACACCCACAGTACCAATAAGCAGTGAAGTATTGTTCAACAGAGATTCTTCTCGAACGCGTCCCAATTTGGTCGCTTTCTTCTTTGAAACTCGATCCTTCCCTGTCCCTTCAGCAATATAGTCCTGCCATTCCACAGCTGAAACTGCATTCTGGTATTCGACCGCGGTTCCGGACCAATTGTTTGTGATGATGCCATCTGCAGTCTTGTACCAGCTGTTGCAGTTGGGATCCGCAAAATTGGTCTTTCGAAGGGCGGCTTGGAGTCGGTCATTGTATTCTTCTATGGCATCAAGCCCTGGTCGAAGGATGAGGGTGCTGCCTTGCTGCCGGGCCTGGATCACTTCGTCAACAAGAGTGTTTAGATATCGTGACTGTGCCTCGATCATGAGAAGAATGGAGTTGTGTCCTATGAGTAGTTAGAATACCTCAAGAACACCCCCAGAAGAGTGTTGCGAGGACATCAAATACTGACCAAGGTTGGTGTTGGGGCCATAGAGCATCCCAAAGTTAGGCAGGTCTTCGACCGTGATGCCGTAGTAGGCTCTGGCGCCGGTCTTCCATATATCTGCCAGAGACCGGCCATTTGCTCCGTAGATCTGGATCGGATACATGAACTCCACAGTTCGAAAGCCCGTGGCTAGCACGATGAGATCGTATTGCTGTACGCATCCTCCCTCGACTTCAATGCCGTTCTCCGTCACCCAGGTAATGGGCCTGGTCTCGAGGTCGACGTTCTTACGACCCAGGGTAAGATAGTAATCGTCCGAAATGATGATCCGTTTGCAGCCTGGGGCATAGTTGGGCGTTAATGTATCCCAAAGCTCGGGCTTGTGAGTCAACTGGCTTTTCACCATGGCTGTCGAATATTTGCGAAGCATTCGAGAAAAGTACGAGTCGTTGTCTGTCACAGACGCGTAAAGGGCCTCTCGAAAGTCCATCTGAAGGGAACGTTTCCACCAGCGGAGAGGCGGGACGTAGGTGAGCAGAGCTCGCTGAAACGCGGAAATCGGTCTATCCCGTCGGGGGACCACCCAGTTGGGGGTCCGTTGGTAGATTGTCAGATGGGACGCAACCGGGGCGACTTCTGGGGCGATTTGAGCAGCGGTTGCTCCTAGATGGTGGTGAGCAAGGGCTTCTGATGATTGACTTCAACGAAATAAGCTATACATACCATTCCCGATAATCGCGACGCGTTTCCCGGTAAAATCGTAGCTCCAGTCCCAGCGGGCAGAATGCATCATCTTCCCTTGAAACTCATGTAGGTCGGGGATATTGGGCTCACGCGGCCAGTTGAGCTGACCAACTGCGGAGACCAGGAAGTCGGAGACAATCATATAGGACTTGGAGAACTCGGCATCCTTTTTTCCAGACACATTCACGCTGACCTTCCACTTGGATTGGTCGTCGTCCCATCGGGCTTCATCCACTGTCGAGTTGAATCGGATATGCTTGTAAAGTCCATATTTCTCTGCAATATGAATGAGATATGCCTAGTGAAGTAGAGAGAAATTAGTTCTCACTTGCGACAAGGTCATAGAGTGGGTTAGTTGTTACATGAATCTCTTCCTGGCCGGGGTATTCTCTCGACCAGCTGGAGTTTTGCGCGAATGAATAGCTATACAAGGAGCTCCAGACTAAGGCTTGTCAGTATTTGCAACACCCACAACTACATGAATATTAGAATTACCATCACAACAGCAGCCAGGGTATTTGTTGTCGTTCCAAGTACCCCCAACACTGCTACTCTTCTCGAGAATGACAAAGTTGTGGCACTGATTTCGCCGGATCAGATCGATCGCCATGCACATCCCTTGATAACAAAGTAAGACTCCTGGATCTGACGAAGAAATAAGCAAGCCTGGAGTCGCTTACCAGATATGCCAGCCCCAATAATCACCACAGTGGCATTGGTAAAGTCCTTGTTCCCCACAGGGAGGCGTGATGTAGATGGAGATGACATGGCCAACAAGATAACCTGATATCTTTGATTACTTCCCAGGAAGCCAGAAACCTACAGAGGATTTATTCCAGAAGAATCCAGGTTTATATTTTCGACCCCTTCGGCTAACATTGCCTCCCTTTAAGACTACCGAGACTTCCCTCATCCCTAGCTGCGGTGATCTGCGGCTACCGCATCCGTGCAACATTACTGCCCGTGTGAATGGCGGGAATTCTTCTGCCATGCAGTCATAAACCCGAAAACAAATTGGCATAAAGCACATATTGGTCGGCTTAGCCGTGAACATCTGTAAGCTAAGTCGGAAGAGCTAATAGTCTATTGTGGTTACCAGCTCTTCTCAATCGAATTTCGAATTTCGAATTGAATTGAATTGAATTGTCGGAACCCTCGAATAAACTATAGAGCTCTCGGAGCGAATATCTTTTATTTACTAGATATTGATTTATTTTCTTTGTATATTTAGTATAAGTTTATATCAATTAATATTAGGGGAGTTTTTTAATTTTTAATATGGTGGGGTAAATCGAAATTATAGACTGTCAGTAGACTTTTGGCCGTGTAGTGTATTTAATAGGTCATTGTTTTCCCAGCTCTCCCTTGGCTCTTTGCACATCTAATTTGGGAATACCTTGGTCTTCCTTCCTCATGAGTGAGTGAGTGACTTGACCTGACTTGGTCAATTTTGGTCCACAATGTCCTCAATCCCAACCTCCGAAGAGAATCTCCCTTTCTTTGATCCCCCATCCACAGAGCTTCCCAACCCCCCGGTCCCTTATACCACAGGCTGGATCTTCACTGCGCAGTCTCACCGGCCTCCTCAGCCAACTCCGATTCTCAGGGATTGCCTAGTCAATAAAAAAAAGCGACCGGTTGGAGAGATACCGCTTGAGTGCAGTTGAGCGATGTGCGAAACACCCTCCGTTGCCCAGTCAATTGGAAAACAACACAGTCACCCTTGAAATTGTTGAGCTATTATAAACAGGCGATAGCATCCCTTCGCAAATTTTCACTGTGCGGGTTTTACATGCGACCTCAGCATCCAAGGTGCCCCGGGATGACACAAGACTTGTTGCGAAAATATATGACCCGCTCTATTTCGATGACGACGGGGGATTCCTCAACCCTTTCCTTTGCGTCAATGAGCACTATACCCATGAGGCGAATGTGTATCACCATCTCTCTCAGTTTCAGGGGCAAGGCATCCCTCGATTTTACGGATCATATTCTGTAAATCTGGCCGTCGATTCGAAGCAAACCCGAACTGTGCGAATGATTTTGATCAAATACATCCATGGAGTGACCATGCGAGATGCAAAGCCAGAGCACTACTCCCAGTCAGCCCGGCAAAAGATCCTCAAATCCATTGTGGATCTAGATAGCCGGGTGTACGAGAAAAATATTCAGCTCCAGGATCTTCACCCCCGGAATGTGATCATAAGCTCGCCAGATCGAGACCCTTCCGGTGTGGTGTTCATTGATTTTGGAAAAACACTCTTTAGTCGTCGACCAGACGATCCATTTGCTTTGAAGCTGGACTGGTTTTACGGCCAGTACATCTTGCCTTTTTGCGATGGGCAAAACATCGTGGCACTAGTAGGTTCGGAGATTGGATTGACTGGGACTGGGATGCGTGGCTGGAAACCGAGTTTGCTCACACACCGGGGAATATCACACCAGATATGCGAAAGAGGTGGCCATAGCCTCTTTCTCCTTATTTCATTGTCGGGTCTTGTAGGTAGTGATAGAAACTATCAATGTACAGCCATCGTCACGGAAGCTCAATGCCTTCTCTTTCTGCTGTTTGCAGGATGTACTGCTTGACCTGGTGACAGGAAAGGAAAAGCCCGGCGATTAGACGTTGGGTTCAATGGACCACAGAATCGAGAGTGACTTACCTTGGGATCTGGAACCAGGTCGATCGCCAAACGACCATCATTGTCTCGCTTCTCTGCTTCTGCGCCAGCCTTCAGCAGCAAAATTGCTGCATCACCGTGGCCCTCAGAGATGGCGTGGTGCAACGCCGTCAGCCCATCACCATCTGTCGCATTGATGGGGCTTTTCCCCTCGTCCAAAAGAGTCTTCATTATTGGCACAGACCCGACAGCTGCCGCTCGATGCAAAGCTAGTTGGCCCCGAACATCTTTTACTCTAGCACTGCACTTATTGGCGATCAGAGTGCGGACGGTTGAAATGTTGGCCTTGGAACTGGCAAAGTGTAAAGCATTCTGCCCAACTGTCAGTCCCGACACGGGCTTGGATTAGAATACTATTGATTCAAACACTTACCTGTCCCGTGGTACTCTTCACGTTCACATCGGCTCCCTTTTTTAGCAGGAGGTCGATGATAGGGTCACCTGCGGCGTCCCGGAGGCTGGCAGCAATCATCAGTGGCGTCCAGCCGGAGCCATCCTGTTGGGGGAGGTTAGTAGTTTCCTGCAAAGCGAATATGGCAATTTTTTAAATAGAGAAGAGATGGGAAATAAATGCAACACACTTCAACATCGGGATCAAAGTTCTTGTGGGCAACAAGTAACTCCACGATAGGGAGTCGATTGTAAGCTACAGCCCAATGGATCGGGAGACGTTCGTCGTCATCTTTAGTAACAGCAGATTTGGGGTTAGCCTGTGTCGATGGTTAGCACTTTCCCAGTTGTCAAAATATAGAGCTGGCAGAGAGCGGGTTCTGCGGGGCAGTCGGCTCTACCAGAGAACTCACGTTGAGAAGCGACTCGGCAACTTGGACTAAAGCCAGTTATTAGAAACACTGAAAGAATACAACAAGAGCGTCCATCAAAGCAACTTACTCCTGCCCTCTCGGGCGGCCTCGTGCAGAGGGAACTTGCTGGACTCCATTGATGACTGCAAAGGAGAGCTGTCGATAAGCGCGATAAGTGAGAGTGTCGTTGTGGCCTGAGGCATCAACACAACTTCGGAAGGCGAAAAGATCCAAGGCGCCACAGTCCTCACTCCACCATCTCCATTGGCGCGGCCACTCTCGACAGCAATTGATTAATGTTTTCTTTCGGATGAGTTGATATTACTGCCCGAAACAATCTGAGCACCCTTGCGCAGGGTTTTCACCGCGCGCACGACCTATCGAAAACCTCGGAGCTTCAACTCTCGCGCGTGCTCCGACTCTTTTCCGCACAGCGACGACGGCACCAACGCGGCGAAATCGTCACCAGCCCCGACCAACGATGGATTACACCCCCTCCCATACGGCCGACGAGGCTGTGCGCACTTCGGCGAAGCGCACAGCCGACCTCTTCGGCGCCGAATACCTGATGGTCACACCCTCGACCCTGACAGATGGTTCCATCGGCGTTTCCTACCGACGAAAGGCAGAATACCAGGATGTGAAGGAACTTCCCCAGTTCTCGCAGAAAAACAGGCCAAGGCGGCGGCAGGCCGAACGAAACGCCCCAAGATCCAGTCACAGGCACCGGCGGACCAGAGCGGCGCGTCCATGTCGCTGGTGAAGAGGACGCCGGGCGCCGGTGCCGCCGGTGGTGAGGACCAACCCAAGAGCCTGATCCAGCGACCATCTGCCACGAAGCAACAGAGACCGGACTGGCATGCGCCGTGGAAGCTGATGCGTGTGATCTCGGGCCATCTGGGATGGGTGCGCAGCTTAGCTGTGGAGCCGAATAACCAGTGGTTTGCCAGTGGAGCTGGAGATCGCACCATCAAGATCTGGAATCTGGCCACGGGTGCCTTGCGATTGACGCTTACGGGTCACATCTCGACTGTACGTGGGCTGGCCGTGTCGCCGCGGCACCCGTATCTCTTTTCGTGTGGTGAAGATAAGATGGTCAAGTGCTGGGACCTGGAAACAAACAAAGTCATTCGACACTACCATGGTCACCTTAGCGGTGTCTACACGCTTGCCCTCCACCCCCGTCTCGACCTACTGGTCACGGGTGGTCGAGATGGTGTGTGCCGGGTCTGGGACATGCGCACGCGGAGCAACGTCCACGTCCTGGCCGGACACAAGGGTACCGTGGCCGATATCAAGTGCCAGGAAGCCGACCCGCAGATCATTTCTGGCTCCCTCGACGCCACCGTGCGGCTGTGGGATCTGGCCGCGGGCAAGAGCATGGGAGTACTGACACATCACAAGAAGGGCGTTCGTAACCTCGCCGTCCACCCGAGCGAGTTCACCTTCGCCAGTGCCAGCACTGGCAGCATCAAGCAGTGGAAGTGTCCGGAAGGCGCGTTTATGCAGAACTTCGAGGGCCAAAACGCCGTCATCAACTCTCTCGCCGTCAACGACGACAACGTTCTTTTCTCCGGCGGTGATAATGGCTCCATGTCCTTCTGGGACTGGAAGACCGGTCATCGCTTCCAGTCTATCGATACCACCGCCCAGCCTGGTTCTCTTGATGCCGAGGCTGGTATCATGGCTTCGACCTTCGACCGCACTGGCCTGCGTCTTCTTACCGGTGAAGCCGACAAGACTATCAAGGTCTGGAAGCCGGACGAGGAGGCCACCCCCGAGACCCATCCGGTGACTTGGGCTCCCACTCTTGGCAGAACACGGTATTAAGGGGTCTTTTGGGGTTGAGGCTTCTGTTCGGAATCATTAATACCCTCGTGTTTTCTTTTGATATTTCTTTCTTTTTGTTACTTGTACGGCACTTCGGTGGAGTTCAGCGTGGTTTTTGGGGGTGATTCTGAAATTCGAATCTGTCTCAAGTCTTTGGGCAGCTATTTCCTCGGTAGATGACAAAAAGAAATCTTATACTGGGTTGTACTATACGAAACACCTTTCTGTCTAGATATCTTAATAGACGTTTGAGCTGTTACAGATAGATCAATACTACGACACCAGAGGCCCCCGAATGATCAAGAAGGGTATCAATTGTCATGCAAAAAGCTATGCCGGGTGTCTACCCCAATCAGAATGCAAAGAACAATAACTCCAATAAAATGCAGAGAGGCGATGACACTTGGCCTCATTGCTCAAGTCCCAGCCCAAAGCCTTTAGCCTCGATATCCTCGCGGAACGCAACCTTGACATCTTCCGCAGCAACGCGGAGCCGAACCTTGCTGCTCCGGTCACCGCGCGAGGGAATCGTAGAGCCGCCCAGCACGGTTTTGGACCCGGTGCCCTGCTCTAGAGCCAAGACGCCCGAGTTCATGAGTTCCATCGCCGCGAAGCCCAGTGCTCGCACGCGGGCCCCGGGGCCTCCTCCAAGCAGGAAATCCTTGACTCCTACCCCGGCAGCCCCGGCCACAGCCACAGCAGCATCGGCAATGCGACGCGCCTCGTCCAAGACATCGCCAAAGGTTGACTCGGTGATCCCGGTGCGGTGGACACGCGCCAACAGTGCGGCGAGGAACAGTTTCCCTGAAAGTGGGAGGCAGCGGAGAGATTGCTGGAGCGGAGTAGAGGTCGCTTCCTGGATGGCTTGCTTGATAGTGGCGATTGTCACGCGGCCGGGCGCGCCTTTGCCCGGGACAGGTTTCGGAGCAGGGGATACGCCGTTTGCTTTGTCTGTGAGTGCTTTGTTGCGTCGAGCAGGCGTTTTGGTAGGTGTTGGGGGCAAAGACTCGACGTCGTCTTTGGCTGTTGAGTCTCCAGCCGCAGCCTCGTCGGCAGCTTGCTCTGCTATTTCGACGGCGCGCCGGCAGATATCCAGGGCGCGTCGTGCATCGCCGCTGACAGCGGCGACTTTGCGGCTGGCGAATTGGACGGCATCTGCGTCGACGATATTCCCGGGCACATTGGCCAGGCGGGTGCTGATGATCTCCATGAGATCCGTGTGTCGGTATCCTGGGAAAGTGATACGGGTGAGACCGAGACGACTAGAGATCTTGTTGCTGAGGGTTCGTTCGGGAAGGTCCATAGTGTTGGCGACGGCTAAGACGATGAGACGCGAGTGGCGGAGCGCGGGCCAGTTGAAGAAGTTGTACATGACGGACTGGTTCTTCGTGACCAGCTGGTCCAATTCATCCATGAGTACCACACAGGAGACCCGGCGAGGCGAGGGGTGAGAGAATTCTCTTTCCAGAAGGTCGAGTGCATGGGAAGGGGACACTCGATCGCCTTTTAAGGCTTCCCACAGCAAAGAGTATGATTGATGGGGATCGGTGACTTTCATGCCGTTAATCTCGACGAAGATAAAATCATCCATCTCCTCTGCTAGGACGGCAGAGTTAAGCTGTGCGACAACTTCACGCACTGTCGCAGTTTTACCAGTACCCGGTGTTCCCGAGATGTAGATGCATGCGCCAGTGCCTTCCATGATTGCCGCGCTGAGATGGTTGTATACTGTGTTGAACTCGTTCTTTCGGCAAGGAAGAGAGTCTGGGACTGTCGAGACATGCAGCAATGTTCGCGCCTGGCGATAAGGCGAGGCAAAATGCGAAGGCGAGAGGACTCGAGTACCAAGCGGCGTGAATTCGAGAGGCTTCTTCACCACGATGCTGGGTATGTGTGAGCAAGATTCAATTATTGGCTATGCAAAAGGTAATATACCGTTTATGTGTTGGTGTGGTCAAAGCCTTTTTGCGCTGGGATTGAGGTGTGGCGTTCGAGGCCAACCTCTGCTTCTTTCTCGGCGTCGCAGGAGCCACACTTTCACCCTTGGTCTCGACATACTAGTAGAATAGAATCTGATTAGTATCTCTTGATCTTTCAAAGAATTAGTTTCACTCACGTCGGTATCTTCAACTTTGCGTTTCTTGGCAGCTTTCAGGCCGTCCTTGATCATGCTGATGAGATGAAAAATATTATCTTCCTGGTACACCTGTTCCCACACGAACTCCTCAGTATATCGGCCTTGCACCTGATTCACACCCCCTGCGGCAAACAATGCACTTGTTGAACTCGGCCAATTCGTTTTTGTTCTTGGGAGGTGTGCCATTTGGGTACTTTGCGTAGAAGGCGTCCTTCGACATGACCATCGCCTTGCCGTCAATTGAAGTCAAGGGGTTGACGTTAAAATCCGCCGTCAGGTATTGCTCGTTGGGCAGTGCATCAGGCCTCCGCTTATTTCTCGTAGTCAGGAATTCATCCGGAGATGCGAACCACATGATGTTGGCGGACTTGATGATCTCCCCTTCGTCTTCTTCGTCCTCTTCCTCGACGAATTCCGTGATAATCCCCACCCAGTCCTTCCCGGGTTCTGGTGACTTCAATAAGATGACCTGACCCAGTCTGCATTCAAAACTCCCCATTCGTGCGCCCACAATGGTCCGTTTTTTCTGCAAAGGGCGCGAAGAGCGACGGCGGCTGGCTTTCTCGGGGATTCCATCGTCAGCTTCGTCCTTGGTCTCGGCCTCTGCATCGTATATCCAATCCCACGGGTGATCTTCGTCGCCCAGTTCGTCGTCAGAGTCGTCGCGGACCAGCGCGCCCTTGGTCACCCACTGCTGAGCGCGCTGTCGGGCATTGCCTCTGCGCTGTGACAAAGGGTCTGTTGGTTGGTCTCCGTCAATGCTCATTGCCAAATTCTTGTTGACGGCACTTCTGAGGATATTTGGGAAATGGTGGCTGTCGAACAAGATGAAAAGACCGAAGGGACGCGTTGCGGTCGCGCGTTGTCCACTTTACTCCTGTTTGAGTCTAGCGTCACCCTGTGGCCGGCAACCAATCACAACCCGTTTATCTACACTACACCCGGCTTCATCGCAAAGCAATGTCTTCCTTGATTTACATGTAAATAAACGCACTTAAGGCTAATTTTTGAGATCAATTCTTAACAAATGCTCTTCTAATTAGATTGAAAGCATCCCACCATATCAGTGTGCTGAGACATTCGGCTCTATAGAAATGACTATGGCCATCACTCTAACCCTTAAACATGTAAATAGCTCAAAATTGGGCTATTCCCATACCTAATATAATAATAGCTAAGTCAATAAGTTTTACTCAGTTATTCAGGACTATGTAACTTTTTAAAATTGATGCGGGAAATTATGATTGTGCTCAAGTAACCCATTCCATTATTTAGGCTAACTACCCTGATATTTACCACTAGATATAGTAGGGCTATAATATCTAACAGCTTGACTGTCACTCACTGTCCACTTGGCACCATAGATATATTAGAGTGGGGTTTCTAAAGAGAGAGAGAGAGAGAAAGAAAGTAACCTTGGGATCGTGTCACCTGTTGTTGGCATTGTTTGGCGTATGGTCCCTTAGTGAATTTTCCTTGTTGTGGTCACCTTCCTAAGCTTCTGCTCTCACTCGACCAACTTCACCTCCCTACGTCATCATATCATGCACACACTAACCGCCTTTCCCGCCGCCATCGTCATCGAAGACAAAAAACCCGAAGTGGCAGTCGAAGCAGTCGAAGCCATGGAGTAAGTTGACTTCGTACTCCTCATCCAGTAGGCATTTTACTAATAGAGCTGTACATTTGGGAGAATTATAGGGGAAAAGGCAAGATCAAATGGCAGAAAATCATTATTATTATCTTCTCGTCTCTTTCTTTTTGTAGAGGCTAACTCATCTCAGAGGGATATGTTCCAGGATATGGCCCGGAACCAACAGAGGAGCATCTTGTTGCATTGTCGTTGGAAGCTCCAGAAGCCAATTTGATCCAGTCTGTCACTGAAATAGCAGACTCTTCGGAGAGAGATCCCCCGCCAAACAACAAATCAGACCAGACGGCCCCTGGACGCGAATGGTCTGCGGCACAAACCTGGATAGATTCAAGTGAACATAGGAACTACCCCACTCGCCGAGGCAACCACCACGTTGGAACCTCTCGCAGCGCCAGCCAAAAGCTGCAAGACACCCCAGCACAGGCAAAGTGGCACAGTGGTGTGAATCCTGACGGTAAGGCAGCTTGTGACTCTTACTTGAATCGTCAATTGATCTTCGTTTAGCTACCATTAACCTCCCTTGCTCAATCGACACGTTCAAGCGAGAGTGAGTATTTCTTTCCTCATCTTCGTTTCATACTAAGTCTCTGCAGCGCCGCCAACCACCCTCACCTGCGAGAACTCTGCGGAGGATCTCTCCCCGATACCAACTCCAATATCTTCAAAGACCTTTCGCGCCACACGGAGGCTTACGTGACAGCGCCTTTTCACCTTGAGCAGGTAAGTCTCTTTACATGATATGCAAAACGGCGTCCCCAAGTCACCTCGCTGATCTTTAAATCAGATTGTTTTGGTCTGGGGAAATCCCAGACAAGTATGGGCTTCGATCACCATCCTGAACAGTCTGACTTCGAAGCTGGTCGGTACCAGAGTCAGGGTGGGAGGCGACTGGATAAAAATGCGGCCCATCAGAGCCATTGACGAGCGCCTTGCTCGCATTGCCGCGCAGCGCCAAGCGAAGTTGGAGGATCTCCGGAAGGAGCCAGAAAATCCTGGCACTGCCTGGGTACGTAAAATAATTTCATGACCCACAGCTGGCGCTTAACCCAAGTTCGTGAGGACTGACACCGAAGGTGATAAACAAGAGGAATCTGGTGGCCGTCGAAAGTTCCTTCGATGAAGGAATCTCTCGGCAACCAGCTTGAATTGCTGGACGGTCTGCGGGAGCAATACAAAGTTCACCTCTATCCATGCGACCCGAAGACGCAAATAATTGGCATGAGTGGCACTCGCAGCGTGGGAGAGACCTGGCAGATTGCTCGCCATATCGAGCGCATCTGGAGGGAGATCTCGGGCAAAGTTGACCGGGTCAAGTTCTACATGCTCAACCCGCCTGAATTATACCACATGCGAGAGAACGCGATCCACTTGAATAACTCGCAGTTCGCAACGGCCTTTTTCGACGGAGATGTGGTGCCACGTGAGCGCCAGGAGCAAGTGAACATGGACATAACTCGGGCCCAGCAACGCATTGACACTTGCTTGTTGGAACGCACGTGGCAAGCGCTCATCAGTACCCAGCAGCTCCGTGGCGATCTGCAGATACGGGTGAATTTCGGACATTTGGTTCTGGAGAGGTACAAGTTCCCATCGGATGGCGGACCCTCGTACCCTATCGACGAATTCCGGCGTGTTGTCGAGCACGAGGGGATTCAGGGACGCCTGCTTCCTGGGTACGTTGTTCATATCTCAAGAAGCGATACCAGAACTAATCAGAATCTTTTCGTGGATACAGGTTCAAATTCGGAAACTCGACACTCTGAAGCAAGCCGCTCTCACCGAGGCGTTGGAGTCCTTCGCCAAATCCATCAAAATTGACTCGTGGCGGATTGACACGAGCATCACCAGTCTTCCCACAAGAAAGTGAGGTTCAACCAGCAGGCCAACGTGGTCCGCTTCGTGGAAAAGGCCGCGGTGGAGTTCGGGATCAAGGAAACCCCGTACTTTATCCAGCTGATCCGCCTCGATGAATACAAGCGCGTCGGGACCAAACCTGCGAACTGGGCTCTTGAACCAGTCACCTACTGGGCCGTCTCGTTGCTGGACCCTAACTGGAAGGACTTCTTGAAGGAGGAGAGCGACCTTCGTGATGGGAAGCGTGAGGCATAGTCAGGACTCATGAGATCCTTTTTCCCGTCGGCCGTGCCGGCTGGCTCGGGGGATAAGGTAGGGTTCTGGAACTTCATCGAGGTTGTTGAGGCCGTTGCCGCGTTCCTTGGTCCTTCTCGGGAGGCCCATATTCCTGTTCCCACCGAGCCGCCTCGCCAGCCTCTGGTTGACATGGACTTGGGAACCCTCTTCTAATTGTCCGATCGCCTTGCAACCCCAGCCGTACCGACATGTCCTCGATCCTCGAAATGCAGCTTTTTGACATGTACGGCAATTTGTATCTGGCCTCTCTCTGTCTCGGGTGGAAGACTGAATTTAGCATTACAAGCCGCCAACCTTCGCTTCGCTCAGGAGGCTTTGAAAGATATTCATGGATAGTAGAGAATAAGAATCAGATTGACATGGCTTATTAACAACATTGTATCCTATTTAAGAGGTTTTATTCTTTATTAAATATATAGATAGCTATTTCACTACTATTTCACCACCACCACTACTACTACTATTATTATTTTACTGATATTTTTTTCTCTCTTAAATTAATTAATTAATTCTCTTCAATTCCTATCTTTATTTTCTATCTAGTTTCCAATCCCTTTTCTAATGTTTTGCTTAATCTATTTTTATAATTCTCTCTTTTCTCTCTTTCTTTTGTACTGCGTATTGAAGGTCGGGGGGTCACGTAGGGAGTAGCGAAGTTGAATCCTTCCACTTTTCAACGACCTGCTTCACATCTTCTTGTATTATTAAATGGAAGTGCAGGAAGTGGACATGGGAAATTGCTGGCGAAGAATGGGGATGAACAAAAAAAAATGGGGGAAGTGATGTGATCAATGCTAAATGGTGTCCACGAACCTCTTTTCCTCTTCTCACCTACAGTTGCTTAGCGGTTGCTTAGGAATATCAAATGAACGTGGACTTTGCTTTTCATTCGCTGGCCTGTGGACTGTAAAATGTGTTCTTCATATAACTGGACATCGAGTATTTTATCCTGCACCGGCAGCAGCCGCCTGGGACGGCACACCGTCACCGCTAAGCATCTTCTGTCGGAGAGCTATTCAACACGTCAGTAGCTGTCAAATGCTCCAGGGTGGTCGGATAACTCACCCTCCTCGATCACGCGCAACTGCGAACTCTTGCCCTGCACGATCTTCTCCAGCTCCTGCAGATTCGAGTCCAGACCCTTGATTTTGTCCTCATAGAAACTGATCGCTTTTGCCGGCGTCTGGTTCGGGCACACAGGCAAGTCAGTTTGACATATCCTGATGGGTTGTTTCCAACTCGAATTGGAGAGATTTCTCCTCTGCCGACAAATAGCAATGCTGAAACATACCTTTTCAACATAGAACCCTGTGCCCACATCCACCAGCACCTTCTCCCGATCCGTCAATCTCCCCTTGACATACAACGAGCTGGTCAACGGCACCAGGATCTCGTCGCGGCCCTTGGTGCCTTTCTTCTCAGACCCGGTCACACCGTCATTGATCGAGCGCACACAGTCGCGGAACTTTGACTGCGCGGCGCGCAGCTTAGCGTGCGACGACGTCAAGTGTTCGAGTTCGGAGGTCAGGCGGGTTTGGAGGGCGCGGAGTTGCGGTGCGGAGAGGAAGGCCAGGCTCACTTATTGCCCATCAAAGTCCCAATATCAGTACTTGTTTGGATGCGAAGCAATGAACACTCCTGCGGGGATACAAAAAAAGACATACCGGAGCCGGGAGGAGCTCCGCCGGAACTTGATGAGCTGTTTGCAGGGGGCATTGTGGAATATGGATGGAATGGAGGATGTGAGGAAGCCACGCGAAGTGGGTGCGATTGAATCGCTGGGTCAGGGGTGTGTTTATTCCGGAGTCGAGGGGCGCATGGAATGGATATGCCGTGAAGTGGGGGGGAAGTTGAGCTTGAGAAAACTCGCGGGTTGGTGCTGTACTCAGACGTGGCAATAGTGGCGATAATAATCACCTGCCAAATAACGGAGGAGTCTGTTATGCCCACGCACCTCATTAAAAACACCCGAGGGTGAATCCTGTTCTCGGACGTGGAAATAGTGGAATTAGGATTCCTCATATATTTCTTCTGAGCAAGAATGGGGGAATTGTTAACTACACGCACCAAATATTAAGAACACGACCCAATACATTTCTACTTACGAATAGTTCGAAGAGACGAGACAATGTACATTCGTCGTTGTGTCAACGCTAATAATACACCCTGCCAACTATCTGCAACAAAAGGTCACTGCTCGACTCACAGCTGCGCCAGTAGAGACTCAACAACTGCGGGCAGCTCATGCAAGGACACATCCTGCTTCGAATCCAGCCGACGACACTGTACCTCCAGTGTCTGCTGTTTCTTCCACCCATTGCCGACAACAACAATCACCGGGTATCCAATCAGGTCGGCATCTCCCAGCTTCCAGCCCATACCCTTGTCCCGGTCATCCAGGATGGCATCCACCGATGTGGAGGTGCGGGAGGTGAGGCGATCGTACACCTGGTCAGCCACTGACTCCAGGCCCTTGCCCGGAACAACCACGACGTCGTACGGCGCCATCGCACGAGGCCAGTTAAGACCCTTGGAATCAACCAGGCGGTTCGCCACGGCCGAAATCATACGGGAAACCCCAATGCCATGGCAACCCATCTGCATCGGCACGATCTGTTCCTTGCCAGATGAAGATCCCTCGAGAACGGCAGGGTTGACTGTCACAGAAGCATTCAGCGCCTTGCTGTAGCGCGTTCCCAGGTGAAATGTATGCCCGAGTTCGACGGCCGAGTGGCTCGTCAATGATCCATGCGCACATTGTGAGCATTGGTCCCCGTCATGGACCCGAACCAGACTGAGTTTGTTCGGGGTGCCCGGGAACCGGTCCAGCATCGAGTATTCGAGGTCTGCGGCGGTGCAGCCGACTTCTTGGAGGAGATCGCTCAGCGGTGGACGCTGGTATACTCGGACTTGCGAGTCGTACAGGTCCAAGACGCGCGGCCGGTGAGTGGAGGAGTTGCGGGATCGAACGTGCGCCGCCCACTTCTCGAGTGGGCTTTCCACGCTCAGATCAAGGTCGATCCCGGCTGCGGTGGTGATGGCCTTGACAGCATGTGAGTTGATTTGCCGCTTCACGGGCTCAGCGGAGCCATCCTGCATCGAGTATTTGGGGTGCCAGCCCCGGACAAGAGTGTTGCCATCATGGGAGATAGCCATCCACATACCATTCGAGATAGTGGGGCCCCCTTCAGTTTGCACGTCCTCTATCTGAAAACCAGATACGGCATGGGATTCGGACGAGTCTTCGAAGGTGTGCGTCTTTCCATCTGCAAGCTCCTCGTTATACACATGGCCACAGTGCGAGCAGCTGACGACTTGGTCCTCGCCCTTGGGACTGATGAAGTGGAATTCATGGCTGAGGCTACCACCCATGTTCCCTGAATCAGCCGCCGCAACCAGGTAGGGAATCTTTAATTCGTCAAACAACTGCGTATAAGCATGTTTGACAGATTGGTAAGTCTTGAGTGCTTCCCCGGTGCTGTAGTCAAAGGTGTACAGGTCCTTCATGACGAACTCTCGGCCGCGTAGAAGACCCTGCCTTGGCCGTGGCTCATCTCTGTACTTGCGGCCTTTGAGAAGGAGATGTCAGAGACTGTAATATGGGGAATGCAGGGCGAGTCTCACTTATTTGATATACTCGTAATGGGAGATTCTTGTAGGAAGTTGTGAGGCTCCCTACAAGAGTGGTGATTTCCTCTTCATGCGTTGGAGCCAGGAGTAATCGAGCATCTTTTCGATCTTTGAATCGGAATAGCTTGATTTCTGATTCAGTGGAAAACCCCAAGCGAATAAGTAGAGGCTGAACCTACCTCTGAGCCCTCTGTCAGTCGGCCAGACTGTTCCCAAAGCTCCTGCGACGATATTGATGATAGAGAGACCTTCGATGCGCCTAGTGTTGAATCAGAAAGCTACACCACAATAGAACTTCAAGGAGAGCGGCTTACCCAGTGAGCGCATATGCTTGTCAATGAGGCGCTCTAGTTTCTCCTGCACTCGCAATCCGAGTGGAAGGAGATGAAAAACTCCCGAGTAGGCCTGCCGAAGCCATTATAAATCAGAAATCATCATCATTCAGGATTAAGTGGACAAGACTCACCTGCCGCAGGAAGCCTGCTCTTATTAATAGGTCGTTCGCGTCCTCTGTCATCACGTTAGCGTCCACCGGCAATCGAGGTCAACCCACAACTCGTACCTGTTTCACCCTTGGCTGTCTTCTTGGAAATACCCCCGGTGGGAATCCAAAAATTCGACACTCTGTTACGGCCATCATACTGCCCTTAATCAGTCCTGGTTGAGCCACTCGATGCAATTGTCTGGAGGCGCGTACATGAAGACCGCGATGCTGGACGCGCACACCCAATAGCAGTCGCTTCTCTAGAAGACGGTGAACAGAGATCATCGCCCACAAGATCCCCCGACGCCGGCAGGAATCATGAATTGAATGGCGAAGAAATTCATAGACGACCGACGCTGCTCCCTTCTGATGCTGATGTTTCTTATCGCGTTGGTCCGAGCGGCCCGATAAGCGGCCCGCAAAAGATTTCTCCGTCCAATTTTCATTTCTCTCCCCCAAACCTCATTTCGATCCCCCGACATGCTTAAAGGGAAGGGAAAGCGCTCTTCGGGCGCAATCGAGACTGTTGCTGATAGAGGTGCTTCAGCTACCGACACTCAGCCCACTCCCAATCTTCCCCAGTTGGACGATGGCGCCTTTGCGGGCCTCCGACAGAAAATCGAACAACGACTGAAAGACCAGAACTCCGGCAAAGGGAAGGGAAAAAACAACAAGCCCAAAGCGCCTAATGAGGAGAAGGCTATCACGAAGAAGGAAAAGAATACCACCCCCAAGAAGTCCGGCCGCAATCAGGAATCTGCGCAGGGCAAGAAGCGCGATCGCAATGGGGATGTGATTGCCCGGGAAGAGAAGAAGGCCGGGAAGAACAAGCAGGGCAAGCCGGAAGGGCCCAAGCAGGGTGGGCAGGATGAGATACTCCGCCAGGAGATTCTGGCTTTGGGTGGCACTGAGGAAGATCTTGATCTTCTGGCCGGTGTTGACTCAGAGTCTGAAGTGGAGGGTGGCCCGTCCAAGTCCAAGACTAAGGGCGGTGATGATGATCTTCGAAAGGAGCTCTCCAAGATGCTGGAGGCGGCTGGTCAAGTTGTGCCCGACGATCTGGCAGACGAGGAAGCCGAAGCCGAAGACCAGGACGAGGCTGAAGAGAATATCGAAGATGAGGAGGACGACGAGGACGAGGAGCATGGCGAAAAGAGTGATGCGGGCAGCGAATCGTACCAGGAATCTTCCGATGATGAGCCAATTGAGCAAACTCCCAAAAACACCAAAGAGGCGGCAACCAAGCCAAAGGAGCCTCAGCTGGTGGTCCCTAAGGAATATGCGAAGCTCGTGAGTGACCAATTGATGTTACGGACAAATCATGATGCTAATTTTGAGCAAATATAGACCGTCCCTCCACGATCCGACTGGTATGCCACGCCTCTCCCGCCGGTCTCCGGCGCGAAGCAGATGAACGCCCTTCCCCGTCATTTGGTTGACCGTGTTCACGAGCTGGCCAATTCCTTGCTACAAGAGGAAAACGATATGTATGCAGAAGCCCAGAAGTCGTCGGCCTCATCGTCCCATAGGTTCTATTCGACTATCATGTCCTCCGGAACACTGAGCGACAAGATCTCTGCCATGACGCTTGCCGTCCAAGAGTCCCCCTTGCACAACACGAAAGCTTTGGATACTCTCATTGGACTCGGACGCAAGCGCAGTCGTGCGCAGGCAGTCGAGGTGTTGCGCTCTCTGAAGGACATGTTCGCTCAGGGTACCCTGCTGCCCGGCGATCGACGATTGAAAGCCTTTGCCAACCAGCCTTCCCTTGTGGCTGCATTCCAAGGCGCTGGCGGGCGGTGGACTGAGCGAGACCCGCTTCCCGGTGGCTTGCAAAAAAGTCATCTCATGATGTGGGCCTTTGAAAACATAGTCAAAGACCAATACTTCGAGGTCCTCAAGATTTTGGAAGTTTGGTGCAGCGATGAGATTGAGTTCTCGCGATCACGAGCGGTCAGCTATGTATACGAGCTTCTCAAGGACAAGCCGGAACAGGAAGCAAACCTGCTGCGGCTGTTGGTCAACAAGCTCGGAGACCCAAGCAAGAAGATTGCCTCGCGGGCGTCGTACTTGCTGTTGCAGCTCGAGCAAGCGCACCCATTGATGAAGCCAACCGTCATCAAGGCTGTTGAGGAGATCCTGTTCCGGCCCGGCCAGAGCCAGCATGCCAAGTACTATGCCATCATCACTCTGAACCAGACGGTTCTTAGTCTGAAGGAAGAGAAGGTGGCGACTCAGCTACTGGATATCTATTTCTCGATTTTTGTTTCGTTGTTGAAACCCAACAGGCCAGCCAAGTCCGCACCCAAAGGTAAATTCCAAGGGAAACACGGTCACAAGGGCCAGCATGGCAAGGACCAGGCTGCCAAGGGAGAAGCTCAGGACGACGAGATGCGCGAGAAGCTGGTCTCGGGTGTTTTGACTGGCGTCAACCGCGCATATCCATTCACCGATTCGGACTCGGAGCGGTACGTTTACCCTGCTGCGATTCCATGTGCTATGCTGATTTTTATAGATTGTCGAAACATATCGATACTTTGTTCCGCATTACGCACTCGTCCAACTTCAACACCAGCATTCAGGCTCTTATGCTGATCCAACAACTCACCGCGTCTCACCAGGTCGGTGGAGATCGCTTCTACCGAACGCTGTACGAGTCCTTGTTGGACCCTCGGGTGGCCACTTCATCCAAGCAGTCGCTCTATCTCAACCTCCTGTTCAAGGCACTCAAGAACGATCTTAACGTCCGACGTGTGAAAGCATTTGTGAAACGGATTGTCCAGGTGCTTGGACTGCACCAGCCGTCCTTCATTTGCGGCGTCTTTTATTTGATTCGCGAACTGGAGAAGACCTACCCTAGTCTCCATTCGTTGTTTGATCAGCCAGAAGATAATGAGAGTGATGATGAGGAATTGTTCCGAGATGTCCCCGACGAGGATGTTGAGCAACCAGAGCCTATTCCGGCTCCCGAGCCCCAGTCCTCCAAGACGACCAGCAGATATGATCCTCGCAAGCGAGACCCCGAGCATAGCAACGCTGACAAGACGTGTCTGTGGGAATTGGTGGGTTTCTTCTTTGGTTCAATTGTTATCTGAGTGCAGTAGTTAACCCCGTCTAGCTTCCTTACACATCACACTTCCACCCCTCCGTGTCTGTCAATGCCGCGAATCTCCTGGAGCACCAGACCATGAGCGGCAAGCCCGACTTGACTCTGCATACCCTGACGCACTTCTTGGATCGCTTCGTATACCGCACTCCGAAGACAAGTGTCGCGTCACGCGGCGCCTCGATTATGCAGCCCCTCGCCGGGGGAGATACTAGCGACCGACTCGTGGAAGCCGGCAAGTCTGCGCCGAAGTCGCTTCCGCTCAACTCGGATGCATTCTGGAAGAAGAAGGCCGACGAGGTGGCGGCCGAAGATGTCTTCTTCCACGAATACTTTAACCGCGTCAACAAGGACAAGGACAAGGCGCGCAGCAAGAAGGGCAAGGAAACCGAGGACCCGGTCGAGCGCGACGAGGAGGGCAACGAGGGTCTTAGCGACGACGAATCGGAGATCTGGAAGGCCCTGGTGGACTCGCGACCGGAGCTGGAGGCCGACGAGGACAGTGACGATGACCTGGACCTGGACGATCTGGAGTCTGCGTTTGACGATGAGGAAGATGGCGAGGGCGAGGACGGAGAAGGCGAGGATGAAGGTGTCATCTTCAACGACGAGTCCGACGAGCCCTCCGACGAAGATATGGCTGAGGCCAGCGATCTGGACGATGTCGCCTCGCCGCCTGCCCCCAAGAAGGCTGCGAAGAAGTCGGCGCCCGCCGAGAAGGACGCCGAGGACGAGGACGACTTTGACATGGACGTGTCGGACGACGAGGCCTTCCTCGACAGCGACGAAGACCTGCCGTCGGATATGGAGCTGGGTGGTGTGGATCTAGAACCCCAGGCCCCGGCTCAGGTCCCGTCGGAGCGACAGAAGCGCCGCAAGCTCAAGCACCTGCCGACGTTTGCGTCGGCAGACGACTATGCTGCGTTGCTGGAGGGAGAAGACGAAGGCATGTAGTTGTGTTGTCTGGCTTTGTTTTGGCAAAGAAAAAAATCTTCTCGTTTTCTGTACGGAGTTTACGGAGATGTCTCCATTGTTTATGCATTTTTTTTATATACTACCCTGTTCCATACTCCAAACCAATACCACGGTTTCAAGTCAAGATCAATCTACTCACCTGACAGTATCTGACATTTGTAGCTTTGCCGTTTACTAGAATCGTATATTACCGCCCGAACTGAGAAAGGGTGCACCGTCATCAATATGTTCTATGCCACTCAATTCACCTCGAAAGCAAACCCCCAAAGATTTATAAAGCAAGATAACGAACTTTTGTTCGCTATTTACACTACTTTCAAGGCACGGGATAGCCCCCCATGGGTGGTCGGCTCGGTGATAAGATCGGGTCGGGGATGGAGACATGATTCAGTGTAGTTCCAGTGCATAAGTTCGGCATCGGACAAAGAGATCAGCAGGGACGGCGAGATTTGAAGCGGAAAAGAGACATGCCCCTGAACGAAGATATAATCACCTTTCCTTGATCCCATCCCATTCCATTATGCAGCTCAAGACCATACTCGCAGTGAGCGCTCTCTCGCAGTGGCGTCGGCCGCGTCAACTACCAGTGCAGCAGCTCAACAAACTGCACCGCCGACACCGGACGTCCCCGACGCTGCATCCCTCGAGCTGAAGAACGACGACGGGACCTGCAACATCAGTTTCAACGACGTGCTGCGATGCACGGGAGATACCCGACCGGATGGATTGAGCAAGTATAACTCGGACACGGATGAGTGTGAACCGACGAACAGTATGTTTGTCCACCCAGCAGGCATTATTGCATTATTATATATATATTCATAGACCAATCTACGAGAGACGATTGCATCCTTTTTTTTTCAGTCAATGGCGGTGCGTTCCCGATTACCGAAGGAAACTTATGCGGCAATGCGCACCTCTCTCTACTATGATAACAGTCCTTTTGTCAGCAAGCGCGATGTGATGTTTACCAACAGTGATGGCACCTATCACATTAATGATGTTGGTCTCAGCCCGACCAAGGTCCAGGGTGCGGGCAGGATTCAACCGACCGTGCTCAAACCGACTTCATAAATTGATCTAGACGGCTGAGCTGGATAATAGGGGGGATTTAATTGATATGTAAGAGTCATGATTGGAGAGAACGGACATATCGACATCTTCACCAAAGGTCTCATTTACTATTTTCTTTTTATAAGGAGCAGTGGTAGTTTCACCGGGGAATAGAACACGGGTTGGGCGTCGCCCCAAGCGGCTCAAGGCTCAACCACTTTTGCACGGATCGATTACAGGTGGCGAATAGTAGAGACACCAATAATACCAAGAATGTTGTTAAAATGGCTATATCTCCACCCAAAACTGCCAGGGTAAATTACACTACCTCGGTACCTCTATGTAGTGGATTTCCTCTGACGGGTGGGGCTTTCCTATCTGAGCTGCGGCCGCTTTTATGGGGGCGCTCAGAGTCAGGCTCACTGATTACTTAGAGATTGCTTAGAGGCATCTACTGAACACTCAGTCCACGCTCAGTCCATACCTAAGGGAGCACTCGGTCCCATAATGTCACCGCTGGAGAGCATTTATCTCTAACCACCGAGCGTCCTTTGGCTTAAAGAAACAACCCGCTTCTTTGATTGGCACAGACCAAGTATTAGATGACAAATCTTTAGCTTAACAACCAAGGCTGACCAAGGCGGATGATGCGGTTGTGTTGATCTAGACCCTCCCAGCCTTTCGCATAGAGCTAAAGCTTCACCTACCCCGGGCCGAGTGAGTCCACTGACGTCATTCACCACAACCAAAACACAGATCAGGGTGTGTCAGATTATTAGAGACGGGTCGCGTGAGCAAAGATCATGTTCGGGGTTATGAGAAGGCGAGAGTGCGAGATGCGAGAAGAGCTCGCCCGTGTTCGACTTCACGCGAGTTTCGCCCACCTTGACCATCGCTTTCGCTGATCATCAATCTCACCTTTTTTTTTTCTAGCCATCCCACGTGTCATACCTCTGTCGATCATGGCCGCTGTAGCGCCGACTACCGCAGGAAGGTCATCGGGTGAAGATACTAAGCGATCACCAGATGACCACAATGAAGTGCGAATTTTCCAGGATGGGTTGAATACTGGCGCTCGTATTCTAGGTGAATGATAATCCGGCGATATTCACACCCCTTGCCCTAACATGGATCCGTCTTGTCATAGGTGATGGCCGGGTAGACATCCATATCGATCAGCAAAAACCGCACCTCGCGAAGCTCTGGAACCACATCCAACGCCCCGATATACATTCTGACCGGGAGGCCGAACGGACCGTCGCAGAGCAGCTCTTCTCAAGGGACGAGAATTTTCCACTGCACTTAAACCTCGTCATCCAAGTGATTGGCTCTCGAGGCGACATTCAACCATTTGTTGCACTAGGAAGAGAACTGAAAGCACACGGTCACCGAGTCAGATTGGCCACACATTTAGCTTTTCGGCAATTCGTTCTCGATAGCAGTCTAGAGTTTTTCAATATCGGCGGAGACCCAGCGGAGCTGATGGCTTTCATGGTGAAAAATCCGGGCCTTTTACCGGGGTTTAAGGCAATACGCAGCGGTGACATCCAGAAGCGTCGGCGTGAGATGAAGGAAATCTTCAATGGATGTTGGAGGTCTTGCTTTGAAAAGGGTGACGGGACACACCTTCACCAGATTAAGGAAGATCTATGGAGTAAGACTTTGGATTATCGACAACGTCCCTTTGTGGCAGATGCTATTATAGCCAACCCCCCCAGCCTAGCCCATATTCATTGCGCACAACGACTAGGCATCCCTCTCCATATTATATTCACGTGAGCTGCTCCCTCTTATATGCTAATCTCTAGTTGCCTTTCGCATACTGAACAGCTAATGAATAATAGGATGCCCTGGTCACCAACCCAGTCATTTCCCCACCCATTAGCGAATGTCCACTCCCAGAACTGCAAGCCGACTATCGCAAATGTTATGTCCTATAATATTGTGGATATACTGGTATGGGAAGGGTTAGGAGATATTCTAAACACGCTTCGCAAAGATACTTTGGCACTCCAACCTCTGGGTACCATGACCGCCCCAAGCATGCTACACCGACTACATGTGCCGCATACATATCTCTGGTTAGGAATATATTCCTGGTCGGCAAAACTATTCTAATATGTGAAACAGGTCTCCTTCATTACTACCTAAGCCCCCTGATTGGGCTGATGACATCGATATATGCGGCTTTTCCTTTCTCCTATCAGAGAGCAGCTACACACCACCAAAGGAAATAGCCACATTTCTCAACGCAGGACCAAAACCAATATATATCGGATTTGGATCGATCGTAGTTGACACTCCTGTAAAACTGACGAAGATTATATTTGAAGCTGTCCAAAAATCCGGACAGCGGGCGCTTGTCTCAAAAGGCTGGGGAAATCTGGGGGCAGACGAAGTACCGGAAAATATTCTCATGATTGGAAACTGCCCTCACGATTGGCTATTTCGGCAGGTTTCATGTGTGATCCACCATGGTGGTGCTGGCACCACAGCGGCAGGCCTCGCGCTAGGTCGACCGACGATAATTATCCCTTTTTTTGGAGACCAGCAATTTTGGGGAAATATCGTTGCGCGGGCTGGAGCTGGACCAGCACCGATACCACACAAACATTTGAACGTGCAGAATCTCTCCGACGCAATACACAAAGCGCTAGAGAGAAGCGCCCTAGAGAGAGCACAGACGATCGCGAGGAAAATGCAGAAAGAGTCCGGCGTGCGCTATGGGGTGAATAGCTTTTATCGGCATCTCGATCCCCAGTCACTCAGATGCTCTATAGTCCCGAATCAGCCGGCGGCTTGGCATCTCAAACATACGGAAATCAACTTGAGTGCCTTTGCAGCAACGGTTCTGGTGAAATCAGGGAAGATCAGTCCAGACAAGCTCGTGCTGTAAGTCATCTCCAACATGAGTCACAAAATTGTGAGAGTTTCTGGCTGATTTGCCTCCGGTCATCGTCCAATGGAATACGATACATTCCTGGACCCTACCGACCCACTTACTGCCGGTGCCCAGGTGCTCTTTGGAGCCATTGCGAGCTTCATGACTGGGCTTGCAGATACGCCAGGAAATATTGTGCGTGATCTTGGTTCTGCTGCTCGCGCATTACGCCAGCCCCGCGAACATTTTGATCGCCACGCAGCATGTCGGGCAGCAATTTCTTCACTGGATCGATTAAGCGAGGAAGTACAGATTGAAAATGAGGGCCAGCAATTGCAGATTGAGAATGATGAGCAAGAAAATAGAGAAATCCGAGAAGAGGAGAGTACACAGGAAGATACTGCTGATACGGACCGTGAAAACCCTGTCAACGACATCGATCGAATCCGGAGCATGGAGCGCAAAAGGAATCTCCAGCTCGAAAAGGCCAAGACAATGAGCAGCTCGATGACGCCCCCACAACCACCTAAATTCGCCATTTTACACGAAGCTGCGTCACACGGATGTAAAATGTCGAAGAAGTTATTGAAGGTAGTCATATGGTTACCAACCGATTTGTCACTGAGCATGGCCCGAGGTTTCCACAACGCTCCCAAATTATATCACGACCCGACAGTAACCGACATCCCCCAGGTGGTCAGCCTTCGAAACGGTTTCAGGGCGGCAGGAGAGGTAGTAACAGCCATACCAGCGCCAGTCTGGGACCAAATATTCTGACATATGCACAGGAGCTCAGAGACGGACTCTACTTCGGTATCACGGGCCTAGGAACACATCCGCGTGATGGTCTTAAGCGTGAAGGCGCTAAGGGGCTCCTCAAGGGGATCGGGAAAGCAATGGGTGGGGTTTTTCTCAAGCCCACAGCGGGTGCGTGGAACGTGCAGGCAATTTTTATGCGATCTTATTGTTCACAAGCTAATCTCGATCAGGGCTATGGGGTCTAGCAGGATATCCATTGAGCGGGGTACTCAGAGAGATCAACGACTCGCTAGGCAGGCATCAAAAATGCATGATTGTAATGGGTCGCATTTCGCAGGGACTTGAAGAGATGCGAGAGTCCATGGCCCAGGAAAGGGCAGAGGTATCCAGGCGGTGGATTACGATTGAACACGACTTGAAAAAGTCGAATAAAAGTCACAGCCATTTGCATACAACCTTGTGAACCATCTCAACCGTCACATGTGCGAGTGGTTTCAGTGAATGCGATATCGCTGGCGTAAACCAGCCGGGACCCTCATCATGAGATCAGACCTGATATCTCGACTATGCTGAAGTACTATCCGTTTTCCCTTGATATGCTTTGGAAATTGCAGCTAGACAGTTCATGCTTAGCGTGGTAATGATGCTCTCAAGAGATTCCATGATGTCCTAGAAAATCAAATAAACGTATCGGGAGTATCACGAACCGCGACAAATGTAGGTACATCCAGGTGAAGGTTTGATGATGCTGTTCATGTCATAGCATCTAGCTTCCTTACCTCCTTTCTATAACATAACACTAACCGCAAAACAGTGGATAAAGAGATTATTGATAGTAGAGGGAACTATTAAAAGATCGACTCTCTAAACTATAGCTTTACTAGGAAGGATATAGAGGAGAATATAGATGCCAGGGGATACGCCTAGTAGGCAGCCCGAATCAGCTGAATTCGAGATTAGAGGTTGGAATAAACCCTAAATAGAAGAGTACTATATATCGCTTCACTGGAACTACTTTATCCGAGACAAGAACAGTGTCAATTCGTCCTCCTGTGTATTATTCGGACGTACAGTCATGGCAGTGCTTTGCAGGAGTTATCAGCGGTAGGACGACGCAGATTCCTCAACAGTTATGATCTTATATACCCAGTGGCGTGTCATTCCAGAGTAGTATCTCGGCCTCTAGCTCTCCCTCGTAGTTATCCTCCTTGAATGCATCACGAATGATGTGTTGAATTTCCAGAAATCGTTCTGCACCATACATAAGCTTTGTAAACTCCCAGTACTCAGGATAGAAGCCGGCGCATTTTCAGTCCACAATTCCAGACCGGCGCCCGCGATCAATAAGAATATTGCTAGGGTGCAGGTCCGCATGGCTGAACACAACTATAGATACGTCAGCATCCATCCACCAGAAAAAGCCGCCTGGTTTTACATTAAGGACATGGTGTTTGATTTCCTCCGGGAGAGACCTAGAAGTTTTGCGCTCCCATTTCGATATGAAACTGGTAAACTTGTGAAACGCAGTCTGTTGGGATGGAAATGTTTTGTACGACGTAATGACGAATTCCGCGATGAGTTTGAGTTGCTGGGGCGTGGGATCAGGGTCATCTTTAGAGAAATTTGCGTCTGTTGCTTCGTTGCGGGAGACTCTCCATCTTGTCATTGTTAGAGAGCATGGTCGATATTTCCGCTGACTATACCCTGACGGAGCCCAGTTCAAAGCCGCTTGTTCATATTTTGAAGTGTCGCTGGTGTAAGTGCACGGTGGGAAATGGTATTGTCCCTATGTTCCTGCTCTTCCTGGTACTCCGGTCCTGTGTGAATCCATGTGACGCGGCACGTGCAATGCGCTCTTCAAGAGCTTTTGGGATCTTCAATCGGTAGAGCATTGATGAAGCGGTTAAGGCGCCCTGGTGTGTAAATTTATTTTCCTAAGTGGAGGGGGGAATCATCTCCTCTCACCCTTGGGGTTGACAATTCTCACCCCGTTCTTACCTCCATCACCCCGGTCCTCGAACTTCTCACCTATATCACCCACACTCACCCTAGAACCTACTGCATCGCTGTTTTAGGACGGCAGTAGTCTTTAGGGCGCTTTGAGAATTGGCCTTGCACAATAGGCGGCTTAAGTACGACTGAGGGAAGCCCTGTTCTCCACACCCGATGGTCGTATGTGCTAAAGCTTTCCTTTGAAAGCATCTCTATGGTTTGGTATATGCGAGTAATCTTGAGCCTGCCGCCCGGATGCGGAACGTGTGAGCACCGCGTTTCGGAGGGCAATGATCATCAAGAACTCCATGCTTTTAACGGTCTAATCATTTTTGAACGACTCAACTTTTTTTTGATGCCAGTTCTCTTACATTTGACTGATCCTCCGTTCATCAGCCTCCCCTAGTCGTCATGTCATCAGGCAGAATATCATTGGCCTCATATGGACATAATTGGTTCTTGCACATGACGTGGAGAATGGCTTGGCCAAATGCGAAATTATAATCGTTTAATTATAGTGACAAGGCTTCTTCGCTGTACCTTGGCCACTCTCAATTCATCCCTCTCCCTCAAGATACCGTTCTCCATGAGTCACTCCCTCTTACACGCGCTTGTCGCGTTCATCGGTACATACAACGTCAACAAACTGCGGGAGCCATTAGTCTCGTCTCGCCGAGAGTCCTCTTTCGACCATCAAATCAACCGAGCATGCCAAGTTATTGTAGTCACTTAGTCAAATAATGTTTGCAGTTCATTCTCTCCCCGGCGTTCTCGCCACGACGAACGGACTGGATCTGAGGATTCAGGTATTCCATAGCTATTGCACATGTTTCCAGCAAGTTATACGCCATCGGTGATGCAAATCGAGCAAATAAATATACAGGATATTGTTTATAATAAATATATACATGTTTTGAACTTACGGTCAGTGGGTTTAATTTCCGCAAACTGTGGCTTGTCGTAATATATTGTGGCTGTGCAGACAAATACCTGTACCCTGGGACAGTAATTACCTTACGTATTACCTTACGTATCAGATAACACCACAACACCACTATTCGAGAATGAGATCGTGAGACGAAGTGGTCAATCAGCTGAATCCTCACTCTATGCCGGACTAACTTCCTTCTACGATGACCTATCCTTGAATGGGCTTAGACGCATGCTCCTATTCAAGTATTACTGAAACTATAATGATAAGAAGAGTCGAGGTGGATATAGGGAGTATGAACCTTGCTGTCGGGGGAAAGTAACCTCGACAAAAGCTATTGGCTGCAACAAGTCCTGCACAAAAATAGGACACGTTCAAGCTTGAAGGTTATCCTCGAGAGTCCACTTGGCTGCTTTAGCATAATAGGATATCGTATAAAGAATGTCGCTACACTGAATAATTGCCACGCGTAATCTGTATGGAAATTATTGTATTCGGTCAGCTTTCTCTGAAGCAAGATAGGGAAGAATAATAAAGAAATCAAGGGTAGAAATCATCGCGTCCTCCGAGCATCACTTTTAGGTTTCTATTCGTAGAATAATGCCGTTATGTTGGGAAAGTCGAATTTTATCCGGACTAGTATCGATAGCTCGGATAGGAAGCTAGTGCTCGGATAGGAAGCTAGTCTTTATTCTTGGTATTCGTATTATGCCTATTCCGTAGTCGGCATATCTCAGATAATAGTCTATAAAAAGCTTTTCGTGGGTGCTATATTGCTATATCATAATCCTCTATTTTATAAACGATGTAGTTGAGTGCCCTTTGTCTGTCGTGATAGATATATTACCTTTTGTTCGCGTGGATGGCTACGGATAGTAAATTATTCTCTTTGGCCAATATCGAGTCCTACTATATATCACAGATAGTAGTAGTCGAGGTAGAGAAAACTGTAAGTCTAGTGTAGAGGCCTAGTGAGTAGGTTAACCCAAGAATAAGGGGGTTGAACTTTATATACAGAGCTAAGATCTCTATCACCGTATATATGGTTCTTTCTAACACTTGTAACCGTTCGCTTAATAGCCGCAATTCGATGTCCCCGAAAACACTAAATCTATCCGAGTCCGATTCGTGTAAGGTGTTGTTGGTGGAATAGCTGATTCGCTCATTGAATATGCTCTGGAATCTTAGGCATCTTGGTTGCACCAAATTGTCATCCGAAGATGATGCTGGACTTTAAGACTGAGCTTCCGCGAACCAGACTAATCGAAATCTGATGCGAAACTGTCTAACCCCTTTTCGACCGAAGACAGTCGATGAAGAAGCCCTTTTAAAGCATCACTTGCACACTTGGTAGATTTGATGTCTTTTAGAAGGGAGAGAACGGTGTACTACGCAGCTTTCGCGGCTTGCACAGTGGGAGCGTTGATACTTGTTAATTCGGTCATTGTAAGCGAAAGGCCGAGAGCAGAATTAGCTAGTACTCATAAAAAGTAAAAATGACTAGGGCTGGACTCATTGCAGTACATATGGACGGTCACTGTCCTTCGATATATGGCTGAGCAGAGAGACTGTTGAAGACATTTTTGCTTCTAGAGGGAGGGCTCAAATATATATCTTATTTGTAGAGCCACCACTTATCTCAGGGGCGGGATATGGCTGGAGTTCCTGGGAACATGGGAGAGTGTTGGCCACCGAGTGTGGGCCTGAGCAAGATAGCTTACATGCATCTGGAAACGTCGTGGGTCCGGTGGCATTTAGGACAGCTTGACCAGCTCCCAGGAGCATCGCTTGGGACATTACAGAATCTGGTGATCCAATATCGTTTTCATGATCTTGCACAGCACAAGAGTCCACGATTGTTCATAGAAGCCGTCTGAATGCTGCGCTCCTTGGCGAGAGAAGTGGTTCTTTGCCGTCGTATCGTGGGCAATCGGTTCACCAATTTCCTTTCCTCCTCCAAGCTGAGCCCCAGATCAAAGATTGTAGATCTCCAAGTAGCCAATCCGACTGCCATGGCACTGGTAGTATTCTAAAGCTTGTTTAGGAGATCGTGGGGCCAAACAAAGTATTCCCAGGAGCATGTAGCCTGAAATATAGTATTGATTGGTCCATCACGTAGCAGGCTCCATTGCGGCGCTATTAATTGCCGCAAGTTTACAAGGGTGCAAGATCACTTTGATGATGCCAACGCTTTTTGACGGGGCAATTTGGGGCAATTTTGGGAGAGCGGACGGCACGTGAGAGTCACTAGCGTGTTGCATTTTATTGAGGCAGCTCCAAGAGGTTGCTCACCCCAGATCAGGTTCTGGTCAGTGAGCGAATCAGGGCGCTCAGCTGAGCATCATGTGATGCTCAGTGACCACATGAGGTTGCTTATGTAAGGATCATTGATCAGATCACGATGCTCAGAGGCGTGCTCAGTTCTACTCAGTGAGCAAAGAGCGGCAAGGTCTGAGCACTATAACGGAAGGGGAAGGCCAAGAAGTGGCAGACGGAAATCCGCTACCTAGGTATAGAGTAACCAGATCTATAGCCAGTAAGGCTGCATGGAAAAAGGCTTCGAGAACATCTGCGTGTCGCACGCCATCCACGCGAAAAAGAAAACAAAAAGAAATTAAAGTGCTTCGGTCAGCTCTGCTGTGGATCAGACAGTTCCAGGTTGTGTATAAAAATAACAATGAGCGGATTGCTGATGAGGCCATTGCGGAGGATTCGCACGCAAGAGTGGACACAGGGCACTGTAGGCGAGAAGCTCGGATGGTCCTTGGAACCGCATTCACCCAAGCTTGTTTACTGGTATTTTATTGTTCTGTGTTTTTTCTATTTTTCTCTTGCAGCAATACCCAGTCAGAATATCCTAGAATATCCCAGAGTATAACAATATCATCCCTCTCTATAGTCCTCATCGATCGGCCTGGGATGAGTCAGCCACACGTGGAGTCGCGAGTGGACCCCAACCGCAATGCAAATGCAACCATTCAACGATGCAATAGTCATTGATAATATGCGGATAGTTATTCATGGTTCCCGATTGCCTCAATTGCTTGAATTTCTTGAGTCCCTGAATCATTCGCATCTCTTGTCCACTATCCATGGCATCCCCTGGTCCTGTGGTTTAATCCCCCTCCGAGGCCCCCAAGGAATCCAAGGATCCCTACCGCATTCAGCTGCACCGACATCGAATCAACGAACAGTTGCGCCCCCCTTTTCTGGTCTCGGGATTGTTCGACCATATCCGCATGCGGGGCCCACTAGGATATTCCTCGATATGCAGGCAAAAGGCATTTCCTGTTGTCTGTGCCCGCGTTTCTCCATACTGGAAAGTAAAAAAAAATACGTAGAGCCGACAGGCAATAGCAAGAAAAAGCAAAATACTCAGAATCATAGAATGCAAGCGCACGGAGCTCATCTCTCATGAAAGTGTACTCTCCATCACGTCACGCCCGACGTGTGGAGCCCTTCACGAATTCCATGAATTGCAGGAATTAATGACCGGGGTTATCCATAACCAGAATTACCGCTGCCATCGATACCATCGCTGCGTGGTAGTCCGTCTTGGTATACCAGATACCAGCTCTTTTTTTTCCCTTTTTTTTTCGCTTTTGCGCCATTTCTTGTTTCCTTTTTACCTCTACTCGATCTCTTTCTTTCTCTTCTACTCTCCTCTGTCTCTCTGTTTTTGTGATCTTGTGATCTTGAGGGATTCTTGTCTAGGTTGGTCGATCCCCCCCCCCCCCCCCCCCCCCCCAATTGCCCTAATCCACCAAGTGACAGCTTCCCTGTGTCTTGCGACCCCGGACTATCCGATTTCTTTCCTGGCACGAAATCAGCCAAATTTTTGGAAATTATCCCATTTACTAACTAGCGACCAGTATTTCTGTCTGAGAGGACGCAGTACATGCATCCGAAGGTCTTCGCCAACGCTTCTCTTTCCACCGAGTATCGTCAAGCGCGGTTCGCCCGCTCCTTACGACTAAAATGGCTCGGCCAGAAGACGCACCGCTGGACGGTCGCAGCGGGCATGACGACAACTCCCCCACCAGCGACAAGCTGGAACAGGATCCGGTCAAGCTGAAGGATTACGATGTCGAGGGCCAGGGCCGCCGCGGCTCGCAACACCGGGTTATGGCTGTTGACTCTTCCTCGTCGACCACTGAAAGTGTCGGTCGCCAGATCGAGATGGAGTCGGAGAATACAATCAAGTATCGGACTTGTAGTTGGCAAAAGGTGCGTCGTCGTTGCCCCCGAATCTCCCCCCCCCGCCCCGGGGAAACTATGGGCGCGATGGTACTAATTCGCCAATGAATAGACCGCCGCCCTGCTCTTCTCCGAGTATATTTGTTTGGCAATTATGTCTTTCCCGTGGTCGTATTCTATTTTAGGTCTCGTGCCGGGTTTGATTCTGACCGTGGTCGTGGCGGCGATCGTGCTGTACACTTCGCTGACTATCTGGTACGTCTGGACTGGAGATTCGCCCCGCACTCTCTCCCCCCAATGTTAACCCCAAGGTAGGCGATTCTGTCTGCGACACCCCGAAGTCCGCGATGTTTGCGATATCGGTCAGTATTTGTTCTGGGACTCCAAGATCGCTTGGTGGGGAACCGCGGTGATGTTCCTCTTGAACAACACCTTCATCCAGGGCTTGCACTGTGTGGTGGGCTCTCAGTATCTCAACACCATGTCGGGTGGTGCAGTGTGCACGGTGGTCTTCTCACTGATTGTTGCCATCATTTCTTGGGTCTTCTCGCTACCGCGCACTTTCAACACTCTGTCTCAGGTCGCGACTTTCTCGGCCTTCTTCACCTTTGTCTCGGTCCTTCTTGCGGTGATCTTTGCTGCAATTGAGGACCACCCTGCGAAGTGGAGCCCAAAGACCGGAGATCCGATCGTCCTGGCCGTTCCCGCCGCGGGCACCACCTTTGTGCAGGGACTCAACGCCTTCCTCAACATTAGCTACACCTTCATCGGTCAGATCACCCTGCCCAGCTTCATTGCGGAGATGAAGGAGCCTCGCGACTTCTGGAAGTCTGTCACCGCTGTGACGATCGCCGAGATCATTGTGTTCAGTTTGGTTGGCGCCATTGTCTACGCCTACACCGGCAACCAGTACATGACGACGCCTGCATTCGGCTCGATTAGCGATGACGTGTACAAGAAGGTTTCCTTCTCGTTCATGATTCCGACCATCATTTTCCTGGGCGTGCTTTACGCCTCTGTGTCGGCTCGCTTCATTTTCTTCCGCTTGTTTGAGGGTACTCGCCACAAGGGGAACAACACCGTTGTGGGTTGGGTCTCCTGGGGCGCCATCTTGGCGGCCCTGTGGGTTCTCGCCTGGGTGATTGCCGAGGTGATTCCTTTCTTCTCAGACTTGCTGTCCATCATGAGTTCTCTGTTCGATTCCTTCTTTGGATTCATTTTCTGGGGTGTGGCCTATATCCGCATGCGCAGCGCCGACCACGGGCCGGACTTTTACAAGAAGCGCGGTCTTCGTGGCTGGCTGGGATTCCTCCTGAACGTCTCCTTGATCTTTGTTGGTCTGTTCTTCTTGGGACCTGGAACCTACGTAAGTCTTGTCCTGCCGTCTCTCCATCGACTGTCTCTTTCTGTATACTAACGGTCTTGATTCCAGGCTGCTGTCATGTCCGTGGTGACAAGCTATCGAACAGGCGACGTCCGCGGGGTTTTTACCTGCAAAAGCAACGAACTGTAAACCCTTCCGCTGGGTTGCAAAGTTCAAGAGTCTTCTGGCTTTTGTCTTTTCTCTCCCAAATCGCATATTGTCTCATTTCACCCATTTCTCGCTAGGGTATCAGTCTGGGCGAAGAGATTTTTATGACGTGATGGGATGGCTTATGCCGTTTTGCGTGCCCTTGCTGGTTCCTATTTCTGGTATTTCTGGGAGTTGCTTGATTTTGCTTCCATCACTCCACAAGGCATGGCATGCTGACCTCCCCTGTGTTTTTGTAAATGTATATGATCTGGAGGTCCTGATGGTTACGTTACGACTTGCTGGGGGACACACTTGGTGATGTTTTATGTGTTCCCTCCCCCTTGACATTTCTGGCATATAATTATATTCTTCGTTCTCCAAATGACTCTGGCGGTGGCATCGGGATGTCTCTGCTTCAGAGTTATTCGCTTTCGCTATGATCATGTTGCTTATCATATAAACGGGAAATGAACATCGCTCTACGCAAGAGATCTGTTTCTCTCAAAATCCCCCATCAGATGTATGTCTATCGTATAGTGCAGCGACTGGATTAACTTGAAGTATTTAATAATATAAGATGTGAAGTAGGTCGGTGAAAAGTGGGAGGATTCAACTTCGCTAACCCCCGACCTTCAATACGCCTATAGTCGTAAATCTTTGCATGAAAAAAATAGAGTAAAAGAGAGAATTATCAAAATAGATTAAACAAAAGATTAGAAACAAGATTGGAAAATTAATTAATTTAAGAGAAAAAATATTAGTAGAATAATAATGGTAGTAGAATAGCTATCTATATATTTCATAAAGAATAAAACCTCTTAAATAAGATAGATACAATGTAGTCAATAAGAGCCATTTCAATCCAATTCTTATTCTCTACTATATCTTTCAAAGTCGCCTGAGCGAAGCGAAGGTTAGCGGCATGTCCAAGCTTGCAACCTTGAAAGTATACGCACTTTCCCAATCGGGGAGAGAGCTCCTGCTGACACAAGTCCGAGAACCCTATCAGCACGTGACTTTTCCGCGTAGCTTCCCCGAGGATGGACAAACTGTGGCCATTTTTCCTCGATCCCCGTTTCTTTTTTATTCTGTCTCCTAGTCAATTCTTCTTCTTTGGCATCCGCTCACCATGACCAGTGTCCGTACCTTCAAACGGGGCGTTGACCTCGTCGCTGCGAGAGCGGCCACTTTCCACGCCCCCCGCGCCTCTATCGGCTCCACAATTCTTCGGAGGGAGCTCTCCTCGGCGCCAGGCACCGTGCAGCGGCCGGTGTCGGTTCGCACACCCAGATTCCAAGCTACACTGCCAGCTGCAGATTTGCAAGCCGCGAGGCAACCGGTGCGATATGCGTCGAGCTCGAACGAGCCCCTGCGCAAGACGCAGCTGTACGACTTGCACGTGGCGCACGGGGCCAAGATGGTGCCTTTTGCTGGATTTTCGATGCCGTTGCAGTATGCGGACTTGAGCCATGTCGAAAGTCACCAGTGGACGCGGGAGAAGGCCAGTCTGTTTGATGTCAGCCACATGTAAGTGAGAATACTTATCCCCCCCCCCTCGGCAGAGCAATGGCTGATTCAACCTCATTAGGGTGCAGCACCACCTCAGTGGGCCCGGAGCTCTTGATCTGCTCATGAAGGTGACACCGTCGTCCCTGGATAAACTGTCCCCGAACCACTCCACCCTGTCTTGTCTCTTGGAGGACGGCACCGGCGGGATTATCGACGATACCGTCATCACGCGCCGCGGGCAGGACTCGTTCTACTTTGTCACCAACGCTGGTCGGCGCACTGAGGATTTGGCGTTCTTGCAGTCTGAGATCGATACCTACCGCTCGGTCCACGGCGCCGACAGTATCAAGTGGGAGATTCTCGAGGACCGCGCGCTGGTCGCGCTCCAGGGACCCCTCGCCGCTGCCGTGCTCCAGCCCCTTATCCACACTGCAGGCGGCGCCGCCGCTTCGGATATCGACCTGAGCACGCTGTATTTCGGACAATGCCGCGAGCTGCACCTCACGCTCCCGGACGGCTCCGCCACCGCCCACCCGCTCCTGATCTCACGCACAGGCTACACCGGCGAAGACGGGTTCGAGATCTCGATCCCGACGGCCGGTGCTCCCTCGCTCCCAGAAGACGTCACCAACCTCCTCCTGCGCGACAGCGCTCATTCCCGCCTGGCCGGCCTGGCCGCCCGTGACTCCCTGCGTCTCGAAGCCGGTATGTGTCTCTACGGCCACGACATCACCACCGCGCAAACCCCGCCCACCGCCGCGCTGGGCTGGGTGGTCAGCCGGGACCGCCGCGACGCCGCGACGGCATCCTTCAACGGCGCCGCCACCATCCTGCCTCAGATTGCGAGCCCCGCCAAAACCCTGACCGAGCGCCGTGTGGGTCTCTCTATTGAAAAGGGGCCTCCGGCCCGTGAGGGCGCCGTGGTTGTCGACATCGCCGATCCCGCGAACCCCGTCCCCGTCGGCGTTGTCACGTCCGGTCTGCCTAGCCCGTCACTTGGCGGTGCCAATATCGCCATGGCGTACGTCAAGCAGGGTCTGCATAAGAAGGGCACCGAGCTGGCTGTCATGGTGCGGAATAAGATCCGTAAGGCTAGTGTTGTTGGGATGCCTTGGGTTGAGAGCAAGTTCCACCGTCCTAAGCAGTAGACTTGCCATTGATCTTATCTTTGTCTTTTATTCTGCCTATTTATTTGATGCTATGTTTTTATGACTGTCATTTGTTTTGGTTTCTAGATTCGTGAGAAAAGAGCGAGTAGCTGGATGATGGGGTCGGCTTCTATGTATATACACTTTTGACTGGTTGAGCATGATTTCACCCATCCATGGATGATTCTACAACATTTGAAACTAGTATTAGCTTACTAGTAGTTACCAGTTGGGACTGTTTCTATTTTGTTTTCATTTCATGCAAATCACGGCTGCGATGTCGTAAGCATATACCCCTACATGCCCACATTTTTAACAGTTGCTATAATATTTTAAATCCGGCATATCGAGTATTTATTTTTTTTTGTATCATTATCCATTATTTCTCGCCAATATCTCTGTTCTGGTGAGTGGTTTGAGGAGGATAAATCCTAAGAACATAAAACAGCAAACTGAATATCACCAACCCCTTCAACCACCCCAACCCTTCCGCCAGTGCCCGCCATCGGGAGCCATATTAACATGTTGATGATGCTGCAGCGCATGCCGACCAACACGAGCACCAGCAGCCGAATCATTATCACCATCATCAAGATTCTCAACCGCCTGCTCCATCAAATGGCCATACCCAGTATTCCCCGACGAGTATGCACTCAAAGAAGGCGGCCGATCCTCAGGCTTCGTGCCCCAGTCACTCTCATGATGACCCAAAACAAGAACCAGATCCCAGCCCTGCGTAAAGAAATCATGCGGGACCCAATTGCGCGTGTAGGGCACGCCGTCTAGCGTTGCAGACTTGACATACCCCCTGTTCCCGGTGTTATTGGGGGCATTGAACTCGTCCCAGTTGTCCACGCGCAAGGTAGCCGTTTTTCCTGTCAGGGGCGACACAATACTCACGGACTCGAAGAAGGGTACCGTGATGAGGTACACGCTCTGGCCCGGGTTGGGGAACAGGCCCATCATCGACATCGCGACGAATGAGCCCATAGCACCCGAGTCGTCGTTACCTGGTAGTCCCGCTGGCGTTGGGGAGAACGAGTCTGGGATGTAGGTGCGGGCGCGGGCGGTGGATTTGGCGGGCCGGCCGGCGTAGTGGTACTGGTATACGGTGAGGAAGGCGGGCTCGTTGCCGATGTAGGTGATTTTCTTGTCGTGCAGGTAGTCTAGACGGTTGACAAAGTTCGAGGGGCCTCCCAAGAGCGTGACGAGGGCGGCCATGTCGTGCGGAACAAAGCTGGCATAAAATGTGAGCTGCGATCTCTCCATTGAAACAAGGGAAACCCTACAATTGGTACTCCCAAATACTGGATTCAAAGGTTTCAGCAGCATTGTTCTGGAGCGAGCACGCGCGTTGGCTCGTGTCGATGTTGGAACAAGCAAGAGGATCTTGGTACCCCCAGGTCCCGTTGAGATACTTGGGCTGGAAAAAGCCTTGGAAGCCAGTGTCAGAACCGTTTAGAGAGGATTTTTGATCCTTTTTAAACAGGTTACGCCAGAACCGCGAGTTCTGCTCGTAGCGCTCTGCGTCGTCTGTCTTGTTGAGACCTCGAGCCATCTGTGCGATGGCAAAGTCATTATAGGAGTATTCAAGCGTGCGTGAGATGCTGCGAGTCATGGTGCCAAAACCCAAGTAATCAAAGTCTTCGACGGGAATGTAGTTCAGCTGTTTCCAACTGCGCAGCCCACCGCGGCCCTCGCTAGACCAGTCAAATGGTTCCTCCTCGGCGTCTCTTTTGACGGATGCGTATCCGTCTGCCCAGTTAATACCGTCCCTGATTCCTTTGATATAGGCATCTGCAAGGACATTGTCTGCATTCGATCCACCTTGCGTATATCCTGTGCATCCAGGTCAGCGTAGACTCGCATATTGGCGTGAATAATGTCACACCTTTGCAGAGCGACATGCGGCAGTCTGGCAACCAGCCAAGATGGCGCTGTGTGTCAATCAGAGAGCGAATCATCTGAGCCACCGAGCTGGGATCGAAGATGGTGAGGAATGGGATTTGGGAGCGGAAAGAATCCCAGAGACTGAGACATCAGTAGGGCTTCATTTCTTCGCATTGGGGGTGCTGCTACAAACCAATAAAATGAGTCGAAGTAGGGCTCCGAGCTTTTCCACAGCGGGTTCTCGCCGGTGTAGTTCTGAGGATTCACCATCGTCCGATAAATCCCACTGTAGAAGTTGGTCAAGACAGACGAGTTAATATCGTTCCGCGACACGCGAATCGGACGCATCTTCTCTGTCCATTTATCCACGGCCGTCTTGTGTGTCGCATTAAAGTCAAAATCACGGATCTCCGTCTCGGCATGCGAGCATGCCTGCTCCGAACTGATGAAGCTGAGGCCGACACGAGCTAAAACCGTGCCGTCCGGTGGAGACTTGAAACGGAAAAATCCGCCACCCTGGATGTTTCAGCATATGTGCCGTTTTCCCTTGGTGTAAACGTAGCTTACCGGAAGTGGGTAGCCATTGATGCTTCGCGAGATCTTCAAGTCATGAACACCGGTGCCAGCACGGGAGTCAACAAAGATGCCGCTATCCCGGACTGCCCCAGTACTTTTGAAGTCCGCACAAAAGTGCAGCGTATATGAACCGCTTCCAAAACTGGGCAAGAACCGCGCACCACCGGTCATGCGGCCAGTCGATGCATTGACCGAGATAGTTGCGTTGTCCTGCCGCGAATCCGAGAGGTCCGACAGATCCAACAGAACCAGAGGGCTGCTTTCTATGGGGAAATGAAAGCGAAACAGGGATGTATGATGGGAAGCAGTCATGTCGACACGCACCCCCGAGGCCAGCGACAGGGCAAAGTATCCGGGGCTCGCCTGGACCGACCCCGGCGTATATTTGGCCTTCCGCGATTTCTTTGGAAAGACGCAACCGTTCACGTCATCGCCAGCACATTTTGCATAGGGGAAAAGAGGGAAATTGCCCAGTGAGGGACTGCCGCCAGTACCGGAGTCGTGCATGCTGGAGAAGCCAGTGACATTGCTACCATCGTAGGTGAAGCCACCCTGGTTAGAAATCGAATCCGTGTCGGCGACGGCCTTGGCCATGCCATACGGCAGCGAGGCGCCAGCGAAGACATTTCCTAAGAGATGTTAAGACGGTTGACAGGTTCCCGGTTAAGTAGCAAGTAGCAGGTTAAACGAACCTCCCTCGGCGCTGCCGATCAGCGGATCGACATACTGCAGCACATCGTAGTCCGGGACTGGAGGGGGATTGGGATCAGCCAGCGCGCAACTGCTGGCAAGAAAGAGCGACAATAACAATTGACGCGACAGCATGATCGCAGGTGAGTAGGAGGACGGAGTGCCCTGGAGACAGGGAGAGGCCGTCTGGTATTTAGATCTCTCCCACCCCTGCATGGCAGCGCGTCGTGCCTGCCCGGCATGCGTGATGGGTCCCTGTCGATCATCCCCGCGTCGTCGCTTATCTGCAATTGCATCGGGTTCATTTCCATGCTGGACAAGAAGTCAATAGCAGGGGAATTGACGGTAATGCCCAGGGTTGTTGATTCCAGTCTGGACTGTGAACAGTATACTTCGGGTTTGGCGGGAGTTTCGGGGCGGTGGATAGATATTGTTTGGAGTGATAATTGATCAGGCTCAACTATCACTTCTGAAGAGAAGAAAAGATGGACGGACGAACGACCAGTTGGCTTGATGTCTAAGTATACAAAGTGGAGATTGGCAGAGGCTAAAGTTGTGCTATGAATGACAGGCATAATGCAGATCCATGGATCGCAGCAATTGAAAATGGATAATTGTGCTATTTTTATTCCATTTTATTCTGTTTATTCATCGTCGCCTCTTTTTCCTGCTGAACTCGGAGTGGCGCACGGAACAAGGAACGATGCCGAGGTAACTCTGCCGCTCAACCACTTTTTCTCCCAACAACTCGAGCCCTTCGTTGACGCCTTTTGTGACCATGTTTCGGGTTTCTTTTTCTTCTTCTTTTCCCTCTCACATTCCTTCTCGTTTAACGTCACACTCTTTTCGATCTGTCCAGCGTCCATACCCGCTCCGCGCTCAGCCAAACCGGTGGAGCCGATTCCACTCGACCGGTAAGCCGATAGCCCTTTCCTGGTCTGACACCTGTCTGCGCGTGGCCCCCAGACTGTTCAAAGCCCCTCCTAACCCACTGGCAATCGCAGAATCCAGTGCATCTGCTCACCTGCCATCTCCACCACCGCGCTCTCGTCTCCGTCGTTTCGCCGGATTCACCTCGATCGCTGTCCTCGCTTTCACCGCCGGACTATTATACCAAACCCAGCGCACGGTCTCGCGACTCATGGCGGCCCCAATTCTTACAGACGATGAGACCCTGACCGCGTTCACGCCCGTGGACGCGGTCGCCCAGGAGATCGATGAGACGCTCCGCACGCACCCCGTGGCCGAGGCCCTGCGCGCCAACCCCGAGTTCAAAGAGTCGCGCCCACACCTTAAGATCCCAGAGGCCCTGCGCGAACGCAGCCTGACGGCTGGCACCCTGGCGGGTCCCAACAAGATTGTTGTCCCACCCTACGTGTTCAACGAGACCGACGGCAAGAGCATGGTCTCGCTTATGTACCTTGGTTCCGATATCTGCGGCCACCCTGGGATCGTCCATGGTGGTTTGCTGGCCACTCTGCTGGACGAGGGCTTGGCCCGCTGCTGTTTCCCGGCTCTGCCGAACAAGGTTGGTGTTACTGCCAACTTGAGCATTGACTACCGTGCCCCGGCAATGGCCGACTCATACACCGTCCTGCGTGCCGAGACAGTCAAGGTCGAGGGCCGCAAGGCCTGGGTCGAAGGCCGCATCGAGACGCTGCCCACCGACGGAAAGGAGCCGGTAGTGCTGGTCGAGGCCAAAGCCTTGTTCATTGAGCCCAAGCAGGCTGCGGTATGTTTTTGATTTGCTCTGTATTTCGTGATTTGTTGCTAATATGTTTACCTAGGCCATGTCGAGTCTGCACCGGGTGGCGTAAATCCCATGAAATCTCGGACAATTGGGTCCTGGCGTATAGGAGACATCTCATTTCTTAATTTCCGGTATAAAGAGCATCTGTACATAGGGATTCCACATAGAAATCCGCGGTCCACATAGATGTTACAACGTGCCAAGAGCCAAAACCCCGCGATGGCGCCTTGCCGCCTCTTACGCGGCCCGATTCTGCCCCTCGGTGGTTCCAAGGTTCATCACTTTTTTTTCTTCTTCTGATACTTTTCTCCTTTTCTTAATATCATCTCTACATTCTCTTCCCAATGGCCACGTAAGTCAATTGCAATTGGCGAGCCCACGACATGAAGAGAAACCAGGACTAACCACCTCAACTAGAAACATCACCTACCACGCCAGCGGCGTCACCCGCAGCGAGCGCAGCGCCCTGCGCAACCAACGCGGCCTCACAATCTGGCTGACCGGCCTCTCAGCCTCAGGCAAGTCCACACTCGCCGTCGAACTGGAGCACCAGCTCCTGCGCGACCGCGGCGTCGCCGCCTACCGCCTGGACGGCGACAACGTGCGGTTCGGCCTGAACAAGGACCTGGGGTTCAGCGAAGCCGACCGCAACGAAAACATCCGGCGCATCGCCGAGGTCGCCAAGCTGTTTGCCGACAGCGCTTCTGTCGCTATCACCTCGTTCATCTCGCCGTACCAGGCAGACCGCGACACCGCGCGCAAGCTGCACGAAGTTGCGACCCCCGGCGAGGACTCGGGTCTGCCCTTTGTCGAGGTCTATGTCGATGTCCCTGTTGATGTGGCTGAGAAGCGTGACCCCAAGGGTCTGTATAAGAAGGCTCGTGAGGGCGTTATCAAGGAGTTTACCGGGATTAGTGCTCCCTACGAGGCGCCCGCCAACCCCGAGGTCCATATCAAGAACCATGAGGTCCCTGTCCAGGAGGCTGTTCAGCAGATTATTGCTTATCTGGACAAGCAGGGCTATCTTCCTCCCAAGAAGGAGTAAAATTGTCCAATTGCAAGAGAGAGAATGAGAGGAGGTTATGTACGTCTGTTGGCTGTGGATAGACATGTCGATATAGCGTGCGAAGGCTGCTTGGGCGTTGCTGATTCTCCGCCTCCAAGCGAGGGTGCTGTACATACTGGGGTGCACAATTGGGCGCTTGAGATATCCATGCCTGTTCTAACCGAATGGGCTCAAAATGAATACAATACACGCTATGGCAAACCAAAGGATGAACTAGTTCAGATGTAGATAGTCTGATAGCATACTTCCAAGGTTTTCAGGTCTCAACAAGCAAGACTCTAACCAAAGTCAATCTACTGAACCGAGGAACCTGGCCTGATGCTTATCCAAGTTTAGGGCTTAAGAACTCCAGCTACAATACTTGAATACTGCGATGCTTAGATCTCGGTACTAAATTTCTCATATTGCAGAGCCAGTGCCGAAACCAAAACATAGATCCAATGCTAGTCGATGTACGTGGTATATGTACGCGATCTCCATTCCTGCAGCAACATCCCCATCTTCTTTCTGTAGCCATCCGACATGATAAAAAATTCCCACTCAGTTGAATTCGAATTCGTAGTACACGTACGGCGTATATTCCGCGCCTCCCTCGCCGGTTGCATGCATTTCGCTGGGATCGTCGCGCTTGACCCGGCCCTTCTTGTCGCGGCCAAAGGCATTTCCTGCCAGATACGAGTACTTCTCTTCGAGGTTGTGCTTTGCGCGGTCTGCTTGCTTGGAGGTAGGGATCTGGATGAAAGTGTGAGTGACCGCTTAACAAGGGAAGGGAAAAAAGAAAACACATACTCGTATCAAAGCGCACACGAAATCCAACGGAAGCCCGTAGCGAAGCACCGTCTCGACAAACACCCGCAAGACCAAGACGTGGATCCAGACCATGACGGCCTCGCTCCACGCCGTGCGGCCGAGGCGTAGCGTCTCGCCCCAAAGCTTGCGCTCATCGCCGCCAACGCGCTCGACTTCCTTGCGCTCCTCTTCCTTGCCGCCCTCAACGTACTTGAAGTCACGAGGGATCCACTTTTGCTCGCGACATCGGTGCACAAACTCCGTGGCATGCTTCTTGAATGTCGTCACGGCATACAGTGAGAATTCACTGTCCGAGGCGACCAATTGTGCCGAGCGGGGCACCACCATGGGTGCCACGGTCTCGTAGGCTGCCAGAAACTCCTTGACGAGCTGCGCTGGCACGGCGATCAGATGCGTCTCAATGTATTCCGAGTCCTGGACGATCGACCGCGGATCGACGACCGAGGCGAGCGATTTTGTCGAGAGGTTTCCTCTGTAGCAGTGGCCTGGTCAGCATTGATACCTTTCCTTGGAAGAACGAGACAAGGTCGGTAGCAAACGCACGTTTGTTTCCGCTGCAGCGTGGCGAGCGTATTCTTGACCTGGTTATACTGGGAGTACTTGAACCGGATATCATTGTCAATGCTGGCAGCTTCCTGGAACAGGAGATTCCTCAATCAGCATATGAAAAGTTTCCGGTGATTGTCCACCTTCATCTAAAAGAGCATTCACCCACCTTCTGCAAGAGATCGATCAGCTCTGACAGTGACCGATCCGCTCGGTACTTGACTTTGTTCCATGAGAAGGTCCGCAGGTACTGATCCACCGGTTCTGTACGGCGTCAGAAAGCTTGCCATTTGCACTTTGGGCCCATGAGAGGACAGGGAATCCCGGGTTCCATATAAGAGGGGGAAGAACACATACTGTCATTCACGACCTTCATGCGCTCGATCTGTGCCTCATCCCCCTCCAAGATATTCTTCAAAGCATCCCCGACCTTTGCAACAACAGCCTGACACGAGCTCTCGAGCTTGGCCAGCTCATCAGCCTGCTGCACCAGGGCATCTAGTGTGCCGATCTTGAACTCGGGGATCGGGAAGGACGCCGCTGACCCATTGTCCGGGGATACGGTGGCCGATACGGCGTCAAGGGCGTCGTCGCGGTGGTGCGAGGGGACGATGGATGAGGGGAGCGAGAGGAGAAGGTATTGGCTGGGTTTGGACATGGCGACAGCGGTCGAGGGGGGATGGGATCACCGGAAAGAAGCCGCGCTCGACGAGGCGGGCATGGGAGATGGGACGTGGGTGGAGCTCGGGAGCGACTCCCCGGTGATGTCGTAGGCGGTGGGCCGGGTTGAGCATCTTACATTGTCTTCTCCTTCACGGTGTCATATTCTCTACTTTTGACTCAATTTGATTGAAATATTTACGAAAACACTCATTTGAATGATTGATAGGTATGCATTACGCTAGAAAGAAACTATTCAATGCTTATGTAGCAGAGTGGCAGACACCCCCAAAAAGACTCGCATCGACACAAAAACCACCCAAAACAATATTTTGATCCCTACCAGCTGTCGGGGAGGCAGTGGAGCCTCAACCGCAAAGGTCGTGGGGAGAACTAACTTCGAACCTGCGGAATATGTAGAGAAAATACGCGACAAGGGCAAAACGAAGACATGATAGGGTATCTGTATCGAGCGTGCAGCGCTGATCGTGAACAGAGATAGGGGAGGGAGGGACAAAAAAATGACGGGACACAACAAAATAAAAACTGGTATCTGTACAATGAGAGCGCCAACAGACCGGACATCAAGATGGGAACATCGTCAAATCTCGTTTAAACTAACACCGCAGGGCGGTATAATCAAGACGAGCAGGTATAAAGGTTCGGTCGAATCACCTCGACTTAGCTCTGCATGCCCTGGAAGATATCCTGGCAGTTCTCCACCAGGAACTTGAGCACTTCATTCTTCTTCTGGACGTCTGTCATCTCGCGGGCCAGGCTCTCGGGTCTCATGATAGTCGGGGCAAAGACAACTGCAACGTTCTGACTGGTCATCAAGTTCTCCTCCTGGCGCTCAACCACGCGCTTGAGGTGGAAGATAAGGAATTCGAGCACGTCGCGGTGCACACGGGGCAGCTCCTGCAGGCTCTTCTGCAAAATTTCGACCCGTGAAGTCGGGGAGGTGATTTCAACCGAGTCAATCACCATTTCGTAAACATCGTAAGTGATGAGGGGCGTAGGAAGCTTTCTGAAGTATTGCTTCAGAGCAGACGTGACAGCGTGGATATCCAGGTCAGGATCCGAAATGTCATAATCAAAGGGAGATCGTTCGAAGCCGTCGCGAATGCCTTGGATGACGGAAGCCGCACCGGATTTGCGGTAGATACCTTCCATGTCCATGCCTGGTTGAGGTCAGAAAAAGATCATAACCCGAAAAATCGAGGACAGAAACTCACCTCGCAGTTCGACTTCCTGGATGCAGCGGGTAATAATGGCCGGAATAATGCTCTTTTCATGCTCCATGCGAACCTCCAGATCAGTACCAAACAGACCTGGGAGAAAGTTAGCGAGTCCCTCATCATGAACGTCGACTGTCGAAACATACCACCGCCTGCAGCCTCGGTCAACGCTGGCACGCTGTCGGCCTGCGACATTTTGCCTCCTTGCTTGTTCCTCTGGTTTCCAAAGAAGCCAAAGCCCTGGCGACTTGGGTCTTGCGTCTGGGAGCGGGGCAGACTTCCGCCGCCCTCATTTTCGCTGGACATGAATGCCCCTTTGAGACCCTTGACACCCTTGGCAACATTTTGACCTCCCTTCTTCCAGTTGAACTTGCGAGGCTGGCCCTTGCGGATGCTGACAACTTGGGGCCCAGGAACAACTGTGGCCGTAGCCGGCTCAACATCCTCCGAGATGTTGGCGGTAGACAGCGAGGACGAAAGGTCGTTGATGGCAGGCTTCAAGGCCTCGATGGAGGTCGTGGACCTTTCCTTGTTGTGAGAGATGCCAAGTCCATTGGGACCGCGTTGGCCATCTGAGCTGGACTTGTAAAGTCCCTGGATCTGGTGCACCAACTGGTTGTTCAACTCCGCCAACTGCGCATTCTTCGACGACAGTTGCTCGAATTCCTGGAAGCTCTTTTCCTTTTGGCGATTCATGTCGGCCAATTCTTCCGACAGATCACTGCGCTTCTGGAGAAGCTCCTCGATTTGAGGACCATACGACTCCTTCAGCTTCTGAATCGATTCAGCAAGCTCCCGTAAAACACCGTTCGAAAGTTTGGCAAGATCCAATGGACCGCTTGTTCCACTCTTCTCTGCCTCAAGATGATCGGTGAGCACGGTGAGCTCACGCAAAACAATCTCTCTTTGTGCATCAAGCACAACCATAGTCGATCGCTTCTCGGAGAGCTCGGTGTTGACCTGCTTGACATCCGCTGTGGCGCGAAGGGCGGATTCCATCTCGGAAACTCGCTGGCGCTCTTTACGCAACTCGTTTCGGAGGGAGGAGATTTCCTCAGCCTGAGAAGCGCTCGTGGTGGGACTGCCAACATCCACGCTTCCATTGGCAGGCGACCTCGGGTGTTTCCCATCCCTGCCAATCCGCACACTCTTGTCACTGAAGCTCCGACCGTGACGAACAGAGTTCGAAACACGTCGCAAGAACGATTCATTCGTGGGCCCTATGACAGAATCATCGGCAACCCGTGAAAATTCATCACCCGCTGAGAATTCACCAGTGTTATACCGTGGCATAAAGGGCGAGTCTGCACGGTCCAGCTCCCGCTGGGATTCCAGTGGCGGAGTGCTGATAGAGGCGTCGATAGAGTGTTTCGGCTGCTCGACTGCACTATCATTGCGCATTCTAGGAGAGTCACCGGCAGGTGAACTTCCCGGCGATGCTCCAACGTCCTTTCTGGGGATCTGGTGAAGCCTACTCTCAAGTGAATCGCCACGCTTCGGGGGGTATGCCATCGATGACGGCTGAGATTGGTTCGAGTCCATAGACCCGTGCTCATGAAGCCGACGCAGGTTGCTGGAGGGGCGTGCTGCGTTGTCCTGGGGCAGCGGCCGGGCTGCATCACCCTGAGCCTCCCGGCCATTGCTCTCAGGGCTGGTGGCCCTGGAGAAGGCACTTGTCTCTCGGAAAGCGATGGGCAAGTCGGACCTCGAACTGCGAGCAGAGCTAGATTTCGCAGTTTTGGACAGATCGGTATTTTGTGGCGCCCTGTCAGCCGAGCCATTCGGCCCATCCATGTCACGCCGGAGTGAGTCCATCTCGCCGTGCTCTCGACCCTTCTCTTGGTAAGCAATATGAGGGGAAGGGTGCTCCGACGAACCGCGAGAAGCAGAATCGTGGAGATAGTCCCGGCCGTCTCGAGAGGCCCTGAGCGATGAATCACCGGATCGAATCTGACCGAAATAATCACGAGGCAGTTCCTGTCTGGTCTGCGATTGGTTCCGAGACGATGATCGCTGACTATCACCCGTGGGGTCAAAGGCGAGAGGGATAAGCAATTCTCCCCCGTCGGTATCGCGCTGCGGCATGGATTGGCGGCTGTTTCGGTAAGTACTTGAAGGAAGAATAAGAGTGTCTGTGGCAGTCATTGCATCAGTATCATTGCCTATCTCGCTTTGGTTGCAGTTTCCTTACCTGGTTCCGCGGCCTGGCGGGAAGGCGAACTTTCTGATCTCCCCATGTCACCTACACCGTGCATATCCGCAAACCTGCTCCGCGCGGTATCCGTCGTCGTCTCCGCGTATGATTCACTGGGAGTTTGGTCGGCGGATCGCGGTTGCTCAAAGTTTGGAGGTAGGGATGGCAGAGACTTGTCCAGTTTGACTCCCGGTGGCCCTGATCTCTTGCTGGGAGCCCCGCGATGCTTTTTCCGTCGTCGTTGCATGAGGGACTCATGGCAGTCCATGCAAAAGATTCCCTGCGATGTGCGAGCATAGCGAAGATTCTCAATCTTCTTTTTGCAGTTCCGGCATCGAAAGCATTGCGCACAGAAGGCCTGGTCACCCGTCAAGATGGCCAAATCTTCGATCTTGTTGCCACACGAATTGCAGCTGTAGGTGCAATTGCTGCAAATGAGCGAGCCATCGCCCAGGAGCAAAAGGTGTGCGTCCGAGTCGAGGAGAGTGCCGCAGGTGCTGCATCGAAAGCAGTCGATGTGCCACCTATTTCCAGCTTCACGTAGTCAGCACCAGCGGCGGTTAGAAAGGAATCAGCCAGAGGGTTCTTACCAAGTTCGAAGGCTTTCCCTTCCTCGAGCACCTGCGCAAGTTGTCAGTTGCAATTTTCACCAGCTTTCCGCCACATTATTGCGTACCTCGCCGCAGCCCTTACAAGGGAAGGCAACATCCTCTTGATCCATCGAGGACTCCGTCATCACTGTTGCGGCCTCCATCTTGTATGCCTCTCTCACGACACGACGAATGGGTTATCCCAGTTGTCTACTAGGGCACTCTGTGATCGGTTGAACGGGGTATGCGGACTTGCGGAATCCAAGAGTCGCAAGAAGACGGTTTGTGGGCGCAGCGAAAAGTGACACGCGCGCGGGCACATGCGTCGAGTAATCCCCGCAGCGTTAGACGGCCACGATTCAAGTGCAACCGGCGCGGGAAGGCGAGGTTGCGAGATGGAGATTGTTGCGCAGGCGGGGAGGGGGGAATGCGACAAGGGGGAGATGAAAGAGAGACGACTAGTGGCTGAGCCTGTACACTAGGTGAGGCGTTAACCAACACAAGCGATCTGGCAATGAGTTAAGCGTAAGACATTCGGCCCCTGGGTCCGGGACCAAGGACAGCAGGGCTGACGGTGTTTGGGACAGAACCACGGGTCTGGCCAAGATGACCGTGGACAATCATCGGGCAAGGGACAGTCGCTGAGAAAATATGTCAAGGGTTTCCACATACCAGGGCGATGGCAGCCAACGTACGACCAGGGACGTTTCAGGTAGATTAGACGCGGGTGTTGTGACAAGCGCAGACCGGCAAAGCGAAATGGCGTGCCCCTCGCGGGCGCTGACCTGCGGTGTGGTAGGGGTCGGGGACGGAGCAGTCCCCGGTGATCTCAAGCGGGAGATTCGTAAAGAAAGATCAACTAAGAAAAGACACTGGAAAGACAAAAAAGCAAAGAAAAGAAAAGAAAAAGAAAAAAGAAAGCGTTGCAAGATAAGGGGGGGGAGAGGGAGGAAAGGAGGCCCGATGAAGTGGCAGAGAAGACAGGCAATCTTCCCCACGCCATCTACACTTCACCTCTTATTTGGCCGACTGGCTTGGATTCTATCGAAGTTGATTTCAGTTTTCTTCTTTCTATTTTCTCATGTCCAAGGTCTATTTATTCGATTCAGTTCAGATATTTGACGACGCCAACAATCCATTCTCGTTGGCCTCCAAACCATCCAAGTCTTTCAGGGCGTACGTGGATACCGCAGAACGTGCGGGCCACATCCTGATTATTTATTTCGCAGAAATTACGGCACCTGGGCATGATCCCCCCCTTGATCAATGCGAAATTAGATCACTCAACAGGATTCCACTGAGACAGCCTAAGTGCAGGGGCCCAAAATCCAGAAAATCCACGGCAGGTCAGCTCGTCCCAGGCCAACCCACTTCGGATCTAAAGTACCAAATAAGGATTGGGGCCACTACCGGAGTGTCTCCATGCCAGGCTGTGTCCATGGAACGGGCCTTGTTTCCAAAAAAGGGCCATTTGGGACAAATATCCATGGATCTTCCCTCCAGGAGAGGTATATGGTCTTGGTCACTATACCACCATATCACGACATCCATCATATATACGGTCGCTCGCGTACAACACGAAGCATTTTGAGGCTGAAGTCGATCTCAATCCAGAGTTTTTTTCGGGGGATTTTGCTGACTTGAAGAAAATGGAGGGGGAGTTCTCCGAGGTCGGGCCCCCCCCTGATGCCGGGCTGAATCCTTCGCTCGCAGCTCAGGCCGCTGTTTCATCTCCCTTCTGAAACGCCTGTGTCACGTGGTTGACGATCCTTTTTCATAGCAAAGGGAGACAGAGAAAGAGAGAGTCTAGAAGAATCTTCTTCTTGGCTATTGCTTGCAGCCAGAAGGATTTTCATGCATGGAGCTGGTGCTCAAGCAACAATCGGGCACCTGTCAATGGACTGGGCATTGGGCCTCTCTCGCCCTGGGCAGTAACCAACTTGTCCGCCCCCAACCCTTGCATGGCTTCTGTTGGAGACAGCCAATGGTCTAGGAGAGGGTGGGGGTTGAATGTCAATATCAGTGGCCATGAAACACCTTGGACATCCATGGTTGTGCTGTATAGGGCCTTCATCTACTGTCAGGAATTTGCCTAGTAAGGTAATAAGGAATATCCCAGTCATTTTCACTTAAAATTAACACCAGGAGCTTGATGTTATTTATAAAAGAAGTAGCTTTGGACCGACTGAATGACAGGGTACAGTGGTAGTCAAAGTATTTGATCCCTTGTATATCGCTCTTTCTAGCCATTTACTACATAAAGAATTGTTTTATCTTCTCGTTGCATCGGCCATTGTTTTCAATTGTCAACTCACAAAACTAAGCAAATAAGCAAACGAAATCGTGAAAGTCAGCGGAGATATCCAGTAGAGGGTTATCATCTAGTTTTATGGCAAATAAAGGCTTCACTCCTCCTTCTGCTTCCTTCTTTCTTCTTCATTCTATCCACTTATATAAGGGTCTCGTCACTCTGGTATCGAGCTCTGATGTCTTCTATCAGCATTACTGCCTAGCGCACTACCATATATAGGTGACCTACGACACATCAGTGGAGAAGATGATGACCCAGAGAAAGTGGAAGCAGGGAACACCTAACTACGGGCCAGCTTCACGCCCATCGTTCCTCGCTTTCCAGTACACCGGAGAATATTTCAACAAATCACAGGGCTCACACTAAAGAGATAAGCATCAACCATCAATACATTCGCCTGGTCATAATCTAGCTCACCAAATGTTGACAAGGTCCCCTTATACCACGTCCTGCACCACTTATTCTTGGCCTTGACGGATCTTGGATACATCATCCGCCAAGTAAGTACTCAGTCAGGTCTGTATCTATCTAGACTATTTTCTGATTCACCGAGCGTCTAGGAAAGCTCTGTCAGTTCAACGCGAGCCAACCGACTGACGACTCCATCACCAACACTAAAAGTGATGATGCACCTGCCAGAGGGAAGGAGATCAATATGATGAAGCGTCAACCATTCCCCGGATCTTGAACCAACAGAGAGGAATCTCGAGGAAAATGGCACGAACAAATGAACCATGTAGGGTTCAAAGACAACAGCAAGGAACTGGGTCAAGGATGACCGAAGAGAATACCTCCCAAGCCAAGATCCAGCTACTGATGCTGGCTACGAATGGGCTCTTCGTCAAACACGATCATGCCCGAGAATCACATTTCCCTCCCAGAAAATGACAATTCCACAAGCTCTGCAATGAGCTTGCGACGAGGCAGCACAGGACAAAGACATATGAGGAGTTCCAAATCACTCCCAAATTATTGTCTTCTCTAACGAGTTCTGGCATAACTTGCCATGTATATTTGCCTGGATCACCTGGAAAGAAATCGGCCGTCGAAGAAAACCTGCCTGATTTCTAGATGAAGCGAGTACGCTTTAACTTTCTGCACATCAATCTCCAGATCATCTGCTTTATCCAAGAAGGCCTTCCCAAACCCCAGAGAATCCGATCCAAAGAGCACATCATGTCTGATCGTTGATATGCCAACTGAACACGGTCTCAACCAGAAATAAGCCGGGTTCGACCCGTCACGGCTACGAGAATTGATGTCAAGAGACCTCGGCCGACACTTAGCACGATTTCTCTCGTCAAACGAACTGCCAAAGAAAAAAGACATACTTATTTCAGAAACTCCAACAACGTCCCCTCCTTGTGTGTTTTCTGCGATAATCATCTCGAGGTGAAGCACTTCTCTGCTGCAGCTTGTTGACAGCCAGCGCAAGATCGGGGCGAGTCTTTACCAAAAGCCAACTCATCTTTCCCACATCTACTGAGTAGACCTTGCTTAGATTGTTCTCGCCTGTCCATGCCGAAGGGGCTCTATCGCCGCTCAATATAGACAGCTTGCTCAGTCTCGAATTGGCAAATCCAGCCCTGTATGGGCTCCGATAGGCAGCATATCTATGGTGTGAGACCTTCACTAAGCGATTGAGAGAGTTTGGGTTTGTACCACTGGCAAGAAGATAGCTGCATCTTCAGCAAGGACGACTGCTTCATCCTGATATATGCCGACGACATTATCGAAGGCGCGCCAACTCAGGCTGATATTGACGCATTCATCAATGATTCATGCAGACTTTCAAAATCAAGCTGCTCGGCGACCCTACATGTTTCTTGGGATGCAACCTATCTCGTCAGCATGGCATCATTTGGCTGAATCAAGAGGCATATGCGAAGAAGATACTGGTAGAGGCAGAGCTTGCCGTCGATAGCAAAGCCAGTAGGTTGCTTCATGAAAAGGATCCTCACGTTAATTGATTCGAATCGTCCCCCAGAGATAGGAAAAAGGTGACGGGTCAGCGCCATTGGAGCTGCATGAGATGGAGAAGTTGGTTTGAAAGAACTTCAAATCTGGAGGCTTGTGAAGCGTCAGATTGATTATATACTGAAGCCTATGAAACAAGTTGCCGGTATCCAAAGCCTAGAGCTCCATATTTCTCCTGCGTACTAGAACCCGCATACTCGCGTTTATACGACGATCTGTTCCGAGAAGTAGAAGCGCAAGAGACAGACATTGCCTAATTCTTGCAAGCCATTTGTCGTTGTATAAGGCCCTCAATGGGTATTTGCACGACCGGCTTCTCCTTGTCTTGACGACTTCGAATGCCCAAGGCCAGCTTCGGCAAGCAGACTCGTGTCTTGCTCTTTCAGTCTGTGCTCAGGAGGACTGATGCACAAATGGCCCGCGCTGGGAATGTGGATAGAGGATGCAGATAGCAAAGGTCGTGGTTCAAACCCACATTTCATGTCGGCTGGCCGTCAAGGTTTTGCAGTCGATCCCGAATCGCATTCTGGTCATCTTGCCCCTCATCATCTTTGTACTCCTGGAGCACAATGGTCCGCATCAACCGCCGTGGTGCCCGGCGTCCCGTAAACAACTCAAATTGGGCGAAACCCTGCTCGGGCAGGACGTCGAGACCGTCCAGGGCAACCCAGCCACGATGGGACAACGCTCGCATCTGCTTCATGAGAGGCGTATTGAGGGGTTTATATGCCAACTGAAACCTTGATTAGCAAATGATAGGGGAAAAGAAGATGTTGGTAGGGAAACCTACATCAACAATCACACCACCCGTGGGACTTTCCAGCCAGTGGGAGGGCATGTGGAAGTTAGGTGCCGGCTGACCACCGATGCTATGAGCAGGGATACAAGACACAATGATCGTTGGCTGTTTAAAGGCTGAGGGCCATGGGTCCTGCAATGAAGCCAAAGTACCGACTCTGGGGCGACCGGTAGACATGCGCTCTGCTTTAGGGTGCAGATCTTGGCGGTTGTAGTGGTGAGCCACCTTCTCCGCATTTGCAATAGTGCGATTATATACGAAGATGTTCTGCACACCCAAATGGATCATCGAGTATACAGCGGCCCGAGCCATACCGCCCGATCCAATGATAAGACCTGTCGATGACGGACGCACGGCGTTTGCGGGAGAAAGGCCACGCCGGATGCAATTGCAGATACCGATCCAGTCAGTATTGTCACCATGCAGACCCTTGATAGGACCCGCGCGGCTCTTCTCAAGGTGCACCGAAGATTCCTGCGAGGCACGGGGATCGGAATCGTCGAGATTTCGAATCGGAATCAACGTGTTGACGGCGCCAATTGCCTGGGCATGTGGCGACATGGAGTGGAGCAGAGGAATGACTTCCGTTTTGTACGGGAGACTGACACTTGATCCACCAAAATGTTGGTTTTCGACCAAGTCATTTAATCCACGCAGGGTAGGTGACTGGTAAATCGAGTAGAGATGGGGCATTCCGCACAACTCGAAGGCGGTATTGTGCATCGCTGGCGACATACTGTAGGTGACATTGGCACCAAATACAAAGAATTGCATCGGATCCAGCACAAATGAGTTGTATAGTGCTTTCTGCGCATCACGGGAGGTGATGTAGGGCCGCAATTGTGCCGGACTGGTATAAACCAAAGAAGAGTGCGTGACAGGTGTCAGGATGGGGTTAAAGCAGCGCGATACACGGCCGAGAGGGCCGGTATTGTAGGCAATGAGAGGGAGCCCCGACACAGGAAGACTCTGGATGCGATGCCGGAAACGCTGCACTGCAAGATTGTCCTCCATTGATTCGGCTGGTTGGCACAGCCGGACCATATCACATCCTATCCTTTTCGCCCGCTCATAGACTTTCATAAATTCATCGCCATCCCAGCCTCCAGCCAGGGGATGAAATGCTTCGAAATGTCCAATTATCCGAATGAGCCCTTTAATACTCATAATTTGGGTGAGCAGGGTATCATCGCGAGATAGATCGATGGTCAGAAAGTCCGGGGCCAGCCGCAATCCGTGCCGTACTAGATTCAGATATTCATCGTCCGGACACCGTTGTGGGGTGTGGTTTGGCGATAGGGATCCCACAGGGGCCATATAACTCTGAACATGGTAGATCAAAGGGACGATGATATTGCGACGGATTGTGGCTACCGCTTGACTGATGTTGTCCGCCAAGTTCGAGTCAACTTCGACCAGGTTCGAAGAGCCCGTCACATCAATAGCCAATTCAAAGGCATCTGCACCGAATTCCAACTCCTCGATATCCAAGTCTTTGTCGCCAATGGCGGAGAATGGAACCGAAACTGCAGAAGTATAGCTTCGCGATTCGACCGGTAACAACGACAATGGGAAAGATGCGTGCTGACGGCTCAGCTCCGCCCCATCTCCTGTTACAAAGGCGATGAAACGGAGAAAGTCCCGCTGAACACGCTTCAGGGTCAAAAATGGAGTCGGAGTATGCGCCCTTTGGTCGACTTTGGGGTCTGACGGTGAATCGTGTCCATCCCTAAAGACTCGCTGGCCACGAATAGTTTCGGAGAGATTAAAGAATTCTAGATTGGAGCATCCACGGTATATTGGCCCCGACAAGTCCAAAAAATGCCGCACTTTTTGGGTATCCCAAGCCTTGAGATATGACTGGATGCTGGCCGGATCTCGAGTGACATGGATTACTGGATGTGTGCGCGCATATTCTCTCAGTAGTTGTTGGCCACTGCGTTCCATCGATCCGGCTCCGCACGCAATCACACAACCATCTTGGTTGTCAGCCAGCATCGACTCAAAGACCCGCGCTTCTTGTTTTCGATACTCCGCATGATCATTTTCTTTTTTGAAAGCGGCGCGAGAGTAGCCTGTTATCTGATGGAAGTACCTGTCAGCATCGATCAAGCGTCGACCCGATGACGCCGACAGGATAACGGCAAGGCTGGATTTTCCAGTGCCTCGAATCCCGATCAGCACAACCGATGCTTTCGGATGGAAGTTGCGCGGGCTCTGCAGCGGGCCATTCTCAAAGAGGACGGGTGATCCGCGATTGGAGTGAAGTTCTCGCAGCGAGACCACCAGCGCCTGCGAATCTCCGGATGTTTCGGTCTGTTCACTCGGTGGACGCGAAGCCCATTGCGAAAGTCCCAGATCACTTGAATTAGAATTTTGCTTCCGCGGGCCGTCATTTAGCGCATCGACCTCATCTAATTTGCGCTTGGGCGGCCGAACGAGAATAGACATGATGCTGCAATCATGCAGTGTCGTGATCAAGAAAGGATGAATAGGAGGCAAAAGTCCATTACCCAACAATGCGAGAGTAACTGGGTATCAGGACGAAAACAGAGGCCAGATCACCGATGAGAGGAGGTTGAGCCAAGTTCAAGAAGTTGGAGTCGAAGATCCAAGTGGATTTTGCGGGGGGTGGATTCTGCCCGGGTTTGGCCTCAGGCGGACAAGCCTTCAGCCGGCAATGCGGTTTTCCCCGCGGGGTACAACGTGCACACTGCAAACTCCGAGGCGCAGATACAGGCGCATTGTCAGGTACATTGTCGCATCTTCGCATTGTTGAATCCCAGCCATCTGAGACTTTCCTCAGCTGTAATTTGACATTTTGTGAAGCCTGAGTGGCGGCAGTCTCCCCGGCGCCCCCGATTGCAGTTTTGCCCGTCAGTGACTGGCTCACCGCTGGCCGGCTGTTCTTCCTCGGAACCAACTCGCCGTCCTCGAGAGGCCCCCGTCTCTTTACTGCTGCCAACAAGTTTAATCCATCAATATTGATAGATTTCAATATCCCTGAGACCCCTGCAAGGTCTCCATCGGCAGTGGGGCGATCATTCATGGCGTAATTGCCAGCTCGTTCGTCCGTGCCACTGTCGGCAAAATATTCAACTCCATCATACGATCGCGTCGCACGAACATGCGCCTGGAACCACCAAGTGGGCCACTGAATCAATCATTATGAGTGCCGAATCTCGCCAAGCTGGGGCGAGCAGCAAATCCAAACGACGATGGACCGACCCTGTTGACGATGGCAAGGCGAATGGGCCGGAGGATTATGCGGCTCATCCCAAGCGACAGCGGGTATCGCGCGCCTGCGATAGCTGTCGCTCGAAGAAGGATAAATGCGACGGGATCCAGCCTGTATGCTCCACATGCGCTTCCCTGTGTCGGCCCTGCACCTACAAAGCCAATCCCAAGAAACGCGGTCTCCCGACAGGTTACATTCGATCCCTCGAGCTTCTATGGGGTCTGGTCTTCCAAAGGATTCAAGGCAGCGAGGATGTGATGCGAGCTTTGATGAGGTCTGTTAATCTTCCAAATCACTTGGCGACAATGGGCAAGGAAGCAGAGGGCTCCGATACGTTACTGTCGTCCTTCAAGAACAGCACTGTTCTGAGAGATCTTGAACAAATGCTGGTCTTCCTGGAGCAGCCGGAGGAAGAAAAAGAGCGTCTCCTTCAAGCATATGGTGAAGCCGACACACCCCTCGATGTCGAAGGGATTCTCTCTTCTTCCGGGGCCCAGGAGTGGCAGATCCCGCAAGGACTGGATACTCGGGAGACATCTTTGCCTGGGGTTTCACCATCCCGAACAGCAATAACTAGCTCGACACCGAGGTATTCGCGCACCACCCGAGACTGTAGTATCCAAACTGTACCAACGGCCGACCCTCACCCACCCTCCTCTTCTGTCCAAAACTCTGATTCACAACCCCTCCCGAAGCAATACTCTCTTAAACTTCCCTACAATGCGTGGCCGCTCCTCGACATATATTTCTCCTATACACAATGCTGGTTCCCTATACTGGAGAAACATGACATCCTTCGCACGGCTTTCCGGTATACCGAAGGGGATATGTACGTGTCGCGCACCGCCCCTGGATCAGGAGACCATGCAGCTTTATGGGCTGTAATGACCCTTTCATCTCTCCAAGATGCATCCATCACTGTTACTCGGCAGGCAGATGATTTATCTAGCGATCGGGTCAATCCATCGCAACTGTACACTACCGCCAGAGATTTAATTCCCTCAGGGCACGGTCCCTATGAAATCGGGCATGTGCAAGCATTGCTTATTCTATCCCTGATCAAATTTGGCCAGCAAGAGTGGACTGCAGCCTGGATGCTGGTTGGACAGGCTGTCCGGATCGCATACACGTTGGGCCTGGATCAGTCTGCTTTTTCATCGTCGAAAACCCCTGACCAGGATAGGCAGTTAGGGCGGGCGAAACATGTCTTCTTGGGGTGCTTTGTCCTGGAGACCCTCATTGCACAACAGACCACTCAGTGCCCATCCCTGCGAAAGGAGGATCTGGCCAGAGTGGGATCCATCAACGAAGACGGGTTGGAGGAGTGGCATCCATGGGAAGACCAGACTGGGTTGCGGCCCACGCAGTCCTCGCGAGCTTCTATGCATCGTGGACCCCTGCATGCATTGAGCACTTTCAACCGTCTGGTCTCCCTGGTCTCCGTGTTGAACGAGCTTTGTTGTTGCAGACATGACCCGACCGTTTCTCGATCGCAGCTAGAGTCACTCGAGCTCCAGCTGCAGCGCTCAGTGGCAGCGCTGCCGAAAAGTTATCGGGTGGACCTTCAAAGCCATCCTGTAAGCCATCCTGTCAAGGTTGCTTCACCACATATCTTTTCCCTTGAGATGATGTATGAGAGCATTTCCACGGCTGTGAGTCTGCAAATTGCCATGCGTGAATTTGACCAAAATATCCCGAACATGCCCCATAAGGCCCATGCGGCCGAGAGCTCGAAGAGGCTGTTGCACTTGCTCCAAGCCTATATGGAAGCCTACAGCTTCTCTGCCACCACCCCGACTTTTGGCATGATTCTTCAATACGGACTTCCACCTCCATCCTCCAAAGACGTGGTATCCAACCTGGAAACGGGTTTACGCAATAAGCTCCAAACGTTCTCATTCCATCTTGCAAATCTGTGGGCCATGTCCGACGGGCCAGGAGCAAGCCAGGTTTTAGCTTCCAGACCCCGTGCGATAGGAACATCGCCATCAATCCCATCTCAGCCGGAAATTCTAACAAGCGAGGATTCGGTTCTTTCACAGAGCCTGCCGGGCACAACACCTACACGCCATCTTAGACCCTCCGAAGGACATCCTCGGATTACTACCCATACTTCTGCCCCGACGTCTGACCCATTCCTTTCTACTCCTTGGCTCAGAGCCACACAAAACTTCGAAGATAGCAATTCCCTCTTGCACACCCCTACACCATCCTTGACCACCGTTGGTGGTGCCTCTGAGATTTCGGCACAGCCAGGTTCTTTGGATGATGCGCTGGGTAGTGGACTTCGCCAACCGACGTCTGCATCATCCAAACCTCAGAGAGGCACTACCATGCTCCCTGGAATTTCACCGTCATTCCCCTCCAATGGCCAGTACCCGCCGGCATATCAGGACCCCTCTCTTGGACTAGGTCCATTCGTTGACGTCGACGGATACGGGCCACCACAGCGGCAACGGATTGCCCCAGATCTTGATGCACTATTCGATGAGCTGGCATCGTTGGATGGTGCTGAGAAGTGAGTATATTTCCTACGTCTCTGATTGATTCGCCTTCTAACCTTGTGCAATTTTCTCACTAGGGCCGACAACCAACCCGAGTTCATGCAAAATCTTGGCTTTGTCTCAGATTCGGGAATTCCGGAACTATACTCGTTCTCGGGCCAAATCGAGCCATTTCTCTTGGCGCAGACCCAGCAATTGCCGAGCGCGACTCCTCCCGATGTCCGACGGGAATCGCAGTCATTGAGCATGTCAACGTCGCCGAATCGATGATCCAGCTGAGCTGGATTTGGGATTTGATCCTTGTGCTATAGGATGATCCACTTGCTGGCTTTCACACCACGCTGGATGAGCTAGCTACATAAAAGGATGGAATCCGCGAAGTTGTCGCGATTGTACATAGGGATATGAAGTGTATATACGTGTATATTGATAGTCTCGAAGTGATGCATTCGATAAACTTTTCATGGGGAACTCATTCACGAATGAAGGAGTCGATAGGTTACAAAGCTGCCTTACTCTCCTTAACCCTCTCCTCAAAATTCACCGCGACATGCTCCACAGCGACCTGATACCCATAAACCCCCAGCCCAACAATAATGCCCGCCGCCTTATCACTGAAATACGAGTGATGTCTCCAAGGCTCGCGCGCATGCACATTGCTGACATGCAGTTCGATGAACGGGATCCCGACACCCATCAGCGCATCGCGGATGGCGACCGACGTGTGCGTGTACGCGCCGGGGTTGATGATGATGCCGTCGACGCGGCCGCGCGCCGCCTGGATGCGGTCGACCAGGGCGCCTTCGTGGTTCGATTGGAAGGCGTCGAGCGTTGCGTTGTGCTTGGCGGCGTGGGCGCGGCTGTTAGCTTCGACGTCGGCTAGGGTTGTGTGGCCGTAGATGTGGGGTTCACGGGTGCCCAGGAGGTTGAGGTTGGGGCCGTTGAGGAGGAGGATTGATTTAACCATTTTAAGGGTTGTCTTTTGCTTTTCTTTTGGGTGTGTTTTTGCTGGGTTTTGAGTGCTTGTACGTTGCAAATGGTGTGTGGTATAGTGTTGCGGTTATATGCCGGCTCTCCGCATTTTGCCGCTCTCGGCTGAGTGCTTTGCCGAGTCTTTGATAATGCTGTTGTGGTCATTGGGTTGGGATTTGTGAATCCATCGAGCTGTGTGTGTGAATCATGGACTAAACTATGCTTATACTATGCTGAGATTATAATATAACCGAGTATAGTCTATGCTATCGAGACCAATACGCAGGTAATCCCATCTATATAAGCGGGTGACATCAATCTCGATGTCCGAACCTCAACCCTAAGAAAAATCTTTTTCAATAACCCTAACTCAGACATAAAAACTTCTACTGAAAATAAAATATGCCAGATCAAATAGCGAAACAGTTCAATATATAGCAGCATGCTCATTGCCATTCACAGCATCACTAGGCTGACCCCACAAGCACAAGTGTGGGGATCAGCGATAAGCAACTCGGCTAGCGGCGGTTGCCCTCGACCTCCAGTTTCTTCAAGTCATTTCAGCAGCACAGGGATATATCCCCGAAACAACCCCCCAGAGATCTGAGGACCTTCTTCTTTGACCTTTCGCTTTCTGAAATTTGCCCCACCAACTCGCCCTCTTCCACTCCGAGAACGCCGACCCCAACCATGGCCGTCGGAAATCTGACGCAAGATGAGCTGGACGGGATCTACGCCTTTGCGGTCGATCTGGGCCGCAAGGCGGGCAATATGCTCATGGAGCGCGTGGAGCAGCGTATCTCTGGTGGCGATGCGCTCTCGCAACAGTTCGAGGAGAAGGATAACGCAGTAGATATTGTGACGCAGACCGATGAAGGTGGGAGGGCTACACCGGCTTGTTACAAAGTTATTGCAGCATCGCTGACACTATGCAGATGTGGAGGTATTCATCCGGAAGGCTATTCATGCGCAATATCCGTCGCATAAGTCAGTGGCGACACACTAGAATCACAACAGATGAGCCGCAAGCTGACAACTACATCCAGGTTCCTCGGCGAAGAAACCTACGCCAAAGGCCAGTCGCGCGAGTACCTGATCGACGAGCATCCAACGTGGTGCATAGACCCATTGGACGGTAAAGAACCCAACAGCCATTGGTTGCTTTTCTTGTCCTTTAATCAACCAAACCACTAATATAACCAACCAGGAACCGTCAACTACACCCACATCTTCCCCATGTTCTGTGTCTCCATCGGCTTCATCGTCCAGCACCGTCCCGTAATTGGGGTGATCTACGCCCCCTTTCAAGACCAGCTCTTCTCCGCCTGCAGCGGGCGCGGCGCCTGGCTAAACGAGTCGCGGCAACTCCCGCTCGTGCGCAGGCCCGCCGTGCCCCCGATGCCGGCGAATGCGCCGGCGCAGTGTATCTTTGCCTGTGAGTGGGGCAAGGATCGGCGCGATATCCCCGACGGCAATATGCATCGCAAGATCGAGAGCTTTGTCAATCTTGCGGCGGAGTTGGGGGGTCGGGATGGGAAGGGGGGTATGGTGCATGGGGTGCGCAGCTTAGGGAGTGCGACGATGGATTTGGCGTATACCGCTATGGGGGCCTTCGATATTTGGTGGGAGGGTGGGTGCTGGGAGTGGTGAGTGTTTTGTTTTGATTTCTTTGCTTGTCCGGTCTTGTTACGTTGGTTTTGTGGGCTGGCTTCGTTGCTAACTGCCGCAGGGATGTTGCTGCTGGAATTGCTATTCTGCTTGAGGCCGGTGGACTCGTTACTACTGCCAATCCACCGGATGATCCTGAAACAGCCCCGATCGAGGATGTACGGCTGGGCAGTCGATTGTACCTTGCTATCAGGTGTGTTCTCTTGTCTCTTTATACATTCCCCTTTGTTGAAGAGTATGCTGGCTAACACATATCAGACCAGCAGGACCATCCGCAACTGAAACAGGCCGCCAGTCGCAAGAGCGCGCCGTCCGGGCAGTCTGGCGGCGGGTCCGCCAGCTGTCGTATACCCGGCCGGGGGCATGAGATAGGCACAAGCATGAGATATATGCATCAGCATTTTCACTATCAAAATGTCATATACAGAATCTACCCTAGAAAGAACTGCACCAGGCCTGTTAGAATCAACATAAGATAGATTCCCGAATCGACGCCACCCATCTATGGATAATGCAAGGGAGCCGCGCTCACATAGAACATATATACAAAGGACATGTGTACATGGAGCGCTGTACAGTCGTAAACATGACAGAATGACAGAAAGAAAGAAAGAAAAAAAAAAGAAGAGAAGAGATCAAAGGCTGGACTTGGCGGCCGCTCGCTCGGCAATCGACTTGGCCACAACATCCTTGACCTGCTGCACGAGACCGGGAGTCCCGACAACATCACGACCCGTCCACAACCGGGCCTGCTCCAGACCCTGCCAGATGAGCGCCTCGGAGCCCAGGATCACCTTCCAGCCTCCGGTAGAGGCCAGCTGGGCGATATCCGTCCAGGGCACGGGGTGGTAGCACATTTCGAGAATGACGCCCTGCTGCGACGTGGCAGTAGCCGCAGATCCCAAGAACGCCTGGATGACAGCGCGAGCGCGGACTTCCTCGGGTGTCTGCGGCGGGTAGTTGGGGATGCCCGAGACGATGGCGGCGGGGGCCTCGAGGCGGGCGGCTTCGGCGGGGTCGGTGACAGGGATGAGGGGCGCTTGGGCAGTGGCATCGGGGTTGCGGCGGCGGTCTTCCTCAAGGATGGCGGCGACTTCGCTGGCATCACGGTTGACCACATAGATACGACTGGCGCCGAGCCAGCGGCGCATCACATAGATAGCAGTGCGGGCAGTGCCGCCGCCGCCGATGATCAGGGCGGGCCGGCCACGGAAGCGCGAGGGATCCGGAGCATTCTGCACGAGGGCCTCGCGGATACCGTCGCAATCGGTGTTGGTGCCGACGTAGGTGCGCTGCCCCGTCCTGGGGTCGGTGCGCAGGAAGATCGTGTTGCAGGCGCCGGCTTGACGCGCGTGCTCGGTCAGGTCGTCTAGGTGCGGCATGATGGCCACCTTCCATGGCATGGTGACGGACGATCCGACGAACTTGGGGTTGGCGCGGATCGACACCAGGAACTTGTCGATGGGCGGCGACCGCGTATAGGGTGGCGGGTAGGAGGCGGAGGTGCCGGTCACGCTGGACAGCGGGATCTGCGTCCAGTTCAGGCCCAGGGCATTGTAGACGGTTTGGTGCAGGGGCGGCGACAGCGAGTTGAGCAGCGGGTGGCCATATAGGTATGCGACGCCGTCCAGATTTGATGGGATGGTGATGGGCTCTTCGGGCGGCCCTTGGCTGCTGGTGACTGCGGGGGCGGCCATGGTGGGAGAAACAGTGGGATGTTGTGATGAATCAAAGCGTCAATGGGAGAGGGGAATGTTAAGAACGATGTGCCTCATAGGGAGGGCATGGACTTGGGAGTGTCACATCGGCTAAAGTGAAAAGATTCGAGCGGAAAGCGAAGACCCGCAGCGGAGAAACACTTTGCTCTGCTTCCCATCGGCTATTCTTCTCCATCGCTACGAGACATTGTGGGCGCCTTGATCCGCTTGGAACCAGAAGGACTCGAGTCATGATTTTTTTTGATTTAGATCATCTTACTTGTGCTGCTTCATCGTCTAGACGCCCACACCTCGCGCCTCTATCTGTCCGTGGGCAGAATGCTTTCCCACACTTTCTCAGGCTTCACCCCACGGGGAGACCTCCCATGTCTCGCAGCAAACTCTGTAATAGAGAGCTAATGAAGCGTTATGGATTAAAATAATTAAACTAACTCTTCACGAGAACAGAGTCTGTGCCATGCCAGCCAAGCCATGGGAACTTCATCGCCTCCTCAAGGCCTGGAGGCACCGGGAAAGCGCTTTTCCCCGCCACCCAGGGTCATCCACGCATTATTGGCCGTTCCCTCACTCTCTCGAACATGGACCCGTTCTGTCTCATCGAATCAAATCCGCGCTGTTTCGCCATGTCAGAGCTGGAAGGAATGGGGTTCCTGCACGGTCTCCGGGGTACCCCGTATGGAAGGGATGAGGGGATATGGAGTATCTGGAGTCGATATGGGGATGTCAGATGCATGACACGACTCGACTTCCTCTCCCCGGCCACGAGTCCCCACTCCACCGCGGCATCGGAGCCTCCCCCCTCAAAAAAACAAACCGACAGAGATCTCCAGCTGAGGAGACTTTCTCCCATATTCCGGTTCATTCCTTTCACCCGCAAACTCTGTCTTTTGGGGGGGGCGCAAGCCACACCGCGGGGGCCAAGAAAGCATCTTTGCGCAGGCAATTGATCCTTTCGGCGCACTGTCCTTCGCTGCAGAGCAGTCGAGTATCGTTTTGCCGGCGCTTGGCCTTCTCCCTTTTGTTTTCCTTTGCAAAGGGCTGTCATCTGCGCTATACCTTTCTCCGCCTCCACATCCCCACGCTTTTTCTCACCCCTGGGATTCGACCCCAGATTTTTCTCTTTCCCCTTTGCTCCAAGAGTCAATCTGGCGTCTGGGGAAATCCTGACTATTTAGATCCCCGTCCACCCTCGCTACTCAGGATCGACTGGAACGTGGCGATTTTTCCTTTTCCTTTTGTTTTTTTTTTCCTTCTTCTTCTTTTCTATCGTCTACTACCCTCTCTCCCCTTTCCTACATCTGAATATCTGGACCTCCTACCGCAGAAGTAGCGATCATCCCGTCTTGGGGGTAAGATCTTGCTACCTCTCTGCACATTCTTATGTGCAGACACACCCGTTGTGTCGTCCACCGTTCTATTGTTCGTTTTCATTATTCTATTGAGACACCATGTCGATTCTTCAGCTGGTCGAGGACCGGCCAACGCCCAAGGAGGTGTACAACTGGAGAGTGTACCTCCTGGCAGCCGTCGCGTCGTGCACTTCCTGTATGATTGGTTATGACAGCGCCTTCATTGGCACCACGCTGGCCCTGGACTCGTTCAAAGCCGAGTTCAACTTCGCCGCGATGACGGCTCCCGAGAAGGACCTGCTGAGCGCCAACATCGTTTCTTGCTACCAGGCTGGTGCCTTCTTCGGGGCCTTCTTCGCGTACCCCATTGGTCATTTCTGGGGACGCAAGGTGGGTCTGATGGCTGCTGCGTTGATTTTTACTCTCGGTGCTGGTCTCATGCTAGGCGCGAATGCGTCGCGTGGTCTGGGTATCCTCTACGCTGGCCGTGTCCTGGCTGGGTTGGGCGTGGGTGCCGGTTCAAATATCACCCCGATCTACATTTCTGAACTGTCTCCCCCGGCTATTCGAGGTAGACTTGTGGGTGTGTATGAACTGGGATGGCAGATTGGCGGATTGGTGGGATTCTGGATTAACGTGAGTTTCTTCTTGTCTTCCTTTCCTTTCTTCTCTTCATGTATGGAATTTGTTAACACGATGATTTCAGTATGGTGTCGACGTGACCATGGCCCCGAGCCACAAGCAGTGGTTGATTCCCTTTGCCATCCAGTTGATTCCCGCTGGCCTCCTGCTCATTGGCGGAGTTTTCATTCGGGAATCGCCTCGTTGGCTGTTCCTGCGGGGCCGACGCGAGGAGGCCATCAAGAATCTTTCTTGGATGCGCCAGCTGCCCGAAGATCATATTTATCTCATCGAAGAGATCGGGGCTATTGACCAAGCCCTGGAAGAACAGCGCTCGACCATTGGAATCGGGTTTTGGAAGCCTTTCAAAGCTGCCGGAACGAACAAGAGAGTCATGTGGCGTTTGTTCCTGGGTAGTATGCTGTTCTTCTGGCAGAATGGCTCTGGTATCAACGCGATCAAGTATGTTTTCACCCCAAGACACTTTCCGTTCGCACAAAAATGCTGATTTCGGCCCTCCCAGCTACTACTCGCCGACGGTATTCAAGTCGATTGGCGTTAAAGGCACTAACACCAGCCTGTTCACCACGGGTTTGTTCGGGGTGGTCAAGACGGTTGTGACTTTCATTTGGCTTCTGTGGTTGATCGACCGCGTCGGACGACGGCTCTTGCTGCTGGTCGGTGCAGCTGGCGGTTCCGTGTGCCTGTGGATTGTCGGCGCATATATCAAAATCGCTCAGCCCGAGAAGACTGATAAGGCCGAGATGAACGGCGGTGGCATTGCCGCCATGTTCTTCTTTTATCTGTGGACCGTCTTCTATACCCCGACCTGGAACGGTACTCCATGGGTTCTCAACTCGGTAAGTTGATCAGATTCATGCACCCTTTGATGGTATCCCCCACGAGGACCGTGCTGACAGGCTCGTCTAGGAAATGTTCGACCCGAACATGCGTTCTTTGGCGCAAGCCTGTGCGGCGGCTTCCAACTGGCTATGGAACTTCCTGATCTCGCGGTTCACGCCGCAGATGTTCACTGCCATGGGATACGGCGTGTACTTCTTCTTCGCCTCGCTCATGATCCTCTCCATCATCTTTGTCTTTGTCTTCATTCCCGAAACCAAGGGTGTGCCGCTTGAGAGTATGGACCAGCTGTTCGATGTTAAACCGGTCTGGCATGCCCATGACAAGATCGTCTCTCAGCTGCGCGAAGAGGAAGAACAGTTCCGTCACAACATCGAGGAATCCGGTATTGCGGCCAATAAGATCGGTGCGCAGGAGACTCAGGTGGAGAACACGGCGGACGAGCAGAACGTGAAGTATGCATGATGAACGCAGAGTCAGTGTTGGAAGAATTTGAAAGGGTTGATTTTTGGCTGCACCATGTCCTCGTCTTTGGATATTTATTTTTTTATTCCATGTCTCGGTTGTTGCAAGGTGTGGCCGCCAAGAACGGGGTTAGCTGGTACATATATAACGCGACTGGGTTGAGTGTAACGAGCAACGAAATTGGGAGCATGATATTTTGCACTTCACTACTTTTCCCTTGGATTGCATGCGACTTTACCGGAGAAGTAATCAGATTCGTAGGTTATATTCAAATTCAAGACTTCGATTGCGCCAGCAAATCGACATCAATTTCCACGGGTTGGCCAGTCTGCATGGCCTTCTGAACCGCCTCGCAAACGATCAGTGCGCGCAGACCGTCTTCGCCCGAACAACTGGGAGTGGCAGTTCCGCGGACGACATCCACGAAATGAGCCAGCTGAAGGTCAAAAGGCGCAGCATCGTCGGGGAGCGGAATCGTATCCACTGTCAGCGGATGAGACCAGCTCTTCTCCAGACGGCCATCGTAACTCCAGCGAGTTAGGTCCGGCACGCTGAAAGAGGCATCGGAACCGAAGATCCGGCAAAAGTCTGATCCATCCCCAGTAGGCGAGCGCGGAATGAGCGGGTTCTCGCCCGTTCCGGTCTCAAAATTGTGAGGCGAGGGAGTAGCGTCGCAGACGAGAAACGTGCCAACAACGCCCGAGGCAAAGCGAAGCGTGAGTGCTGCGCCTTCGTCCGCGTCGTGGGGCGGGCTTGGACGCTGCGGCAGCGTGCGCTCGGCCTGGACGCGTACGATCGGGCCGAACAGGTGGTGCATCAGGTCGATGTCGTGAACGAGGTTGATAGGAATAACACCACCACCGCGGGTGCGAGACGCACGCCAGTCACCTGGCGGAGCGAAATATGCATCCGGCTTGTACAGCGTCCACAGACCGTTCACTGCGATCGGACGGCCTAGCGATCCACGGTCTAGAACAGATTTTGTGGCCCGCACGTACGGGTTGAAGCGACGATGGTGGCCGACTAGGAGCTTGAGATGGGCTCGTTCCGGGGCTTGCGCAAACTCCAGAAGCGAGCGGCCGGTTTCAAGGGTATCGCTCACGGGCTTCTCGAGGAGGACGTGGACCCCGCCGGCGAGCAGCTCCTTCGCGACAGGCACGTGTGTATGGTTCGGTGTGCAAACGATCGCCGCGTCTGGACGGTGCGTAGAGGCCAGGAGTGCTGCCACGGTGTGGTAGTAGTTTGTTTTGAGCTGTGAAGCTGTCGCTTCGCCGGTAGGTGCTGGGTCGACAAGGGCAGTCAGCTCCGTGGAGGAATTGGAGATGACGGATTGCGCATGACGAGGTCCGATGAGCCCTGCGCCGACGATGGCAACTTTGAGAGACATGATGCGCTTGCTTGGCAACGTTGGAGGTCTCAATGGAATGTAAAGTTTCAAATTCAGTAGTTTGAAGTTGAGCCGAAAGTCAATCTGGTGGATATGAAGAGAAGAGAGTTGATATTTCGGGAGTCCCTAAATTGCTTGCCGTGTGCTTGTCAGACATGATGGCCTTAACAGGACCGGAGAAGATATTGCCGGGTACCCTCGGCCATTTTCAACCAGAAACGGGAAAGACACTCGCGGTTGTTAGAAGACTCCACGAGGCGAGAAGTGGAGAGGAAGTGGAGAGAAAAGTGGAGCGGCAAAGCGAAAGCGCGAGAAGTGCTTACCCGGTCAGGTGACTCGCCTCTATCAGGTTGTACGCAACTATGGAGACAGGCTGAACAATGTTGCAGGGTAGACGCGGGGATAATGTTTTATCGGGGCCTCTTTTTCCCCCTTGTTGGTACCATAGATAACACTAGATCTCTTTTTCTTTTCTCTTCTTGAGTTGAAAGCCCTATTTCACTTGGATGAAGTATTTTTTATACTATTTTTTGAAGCAAAGGTTTGACTCAAAGCCGTGAACTTTATTTAAAGATCCAAACGGCCCATATTTTGACAAACTCAAGTCAAAATGGTGTTCAACCGCCCCGGTATTGCTTCTATGTCCTTAGGCCGGCCATGGATTCACGATCTCCCCGGCAAGTTGATACAAGCGGCAGCACACGGATTTGAAGGAATCGAACTATTCTTCGATGACCTGGACTGCTATGCCCAGCGTGTATTTGGTGGTGACCACCACGAAGCCGCGCGGACAGTGCGGCGACTCTGCGAGCGACTGAGTCTTACTATCATCTGCCTGCAGCCATTTTCATTCTACGAGGGGCTTATCGACCGAGCCGAGTCCAACCGGCTCGTCAGCGAGAAACTCGCCAAGTGGTTTACTATCGCCCGGGCACTGGGTACAGACCTGATCCAAGTGCCATCGAACTTCCTCGGGCCAGACCCCAAGACCGGGGCCGCGCGTACAACCGGCGACCGCGGCGTTATTGTGCGTGACCTCCTACGGCTAGCGGACCTGGGCGCCGGCGCCGGGTTCCGTTTCGTCTATGAGGCCCTGTGCTGGGGTGACCACGTCGATACCTGGGAGGCTTCGTGGGAGGTGGTGCGCGACGTCAACCGGCCAAACTTCGGGCTGTGTCTGGACTCGTTCAACATCGCTGGCCGCGTCTATGCCGACCCGGCTGCTCCCTCTGGTCGAACACCCAACGCAGCGGCCGATCTGGCGGCTTCGCTGGCGCGGCTGCGTACGGCCAATATCGATCCCGCCAAGATCTTTTATGTCCAGCTCGTTGACGGCGAAAGATTGTCTGCTCCGCTCGACGAGACCCATCCGTTCCATGTTGCCGGGCAGCCTGTTCGCATGTCGTGGTCCCGAAACTCTCGTCTATTTCCCTTCGAAGAGTCTCGTGGTGGCTATCTGCCAATCCTCGACGTCGCCCGGACTTTCTTCGACGATCTTGGCTTCCGGGGATGGGTCTCTCTTGAGCTTTTCAACCGCTCTCTCGCCGATCCTGATCCCTTTACCCCTGCCGATCATGCGCGCCGAGGCATCGAGTCATATCACAAGATGGCCCGTGTTTTGCGGTGGGAGAGCCACGATGAGAAAAGCGCAGTGTCAGTCCCGGCGCCCACGTCTCCCGTTCAACATCGTCTTTAATGTGGTGGCTTGGCCATAAGTTGATTATCATAAGCGTTTCTCTGTGTATATGCATCTGTACATACCTTCATAGCTCATGATCCAATTGATGAGCTCTTTTTAATTGTTTAAGATTGGCAAGTCGGGAAAGGGCAAGATCTAATGGCCAAGATAGTCCCAGGTACTGCTGGAAGTATGCACATCTATGAGCCTTGGATCTGCGCTGGTCCAGGTGTCTTTGTTCGAGGAAGCCTCAGCCGCCAGGGCATTGTACAGTAATTCTGTTGAAAGTTGCTGTGGCAGAATTGGTTTGATGATCTGAGTTGGGAATCCCAGGAAGGCACTGTAGAAACAAGGCCCTGTGAGCATGAAGGCAGCGAGAGAATCAACACCAGGGATCTCAGCGAAAGTCTTCTGGATGAGCTCCATCGGAAGCTGCCCCAGCCCCCTCGATGGCTTTCCAGAACACATGGCCTCGGTCTGGGGTGAAAGCGTGGGGGGAAGTAGAAAAGAGGTGAGGTGATGAAGGAAAACGAGAGGCAAGAGGTACGCCGGCAGATATGCGTTAGGTCTCAGCCCACCTCCTTCTTTTCCAGATCACAATCAAATTGCTTCTTTTTTTCTCGGTGCTTTTCTCAACTCATTAGAAGACGGCCACTCTCGAAATAAGTATGGTCTGTGTTGAATCAGAAAGAATAAGGATGTGTGGTAGAAGCCAAAGTGATTTCGCGCCAGAAGAATTCACTTAAAGAATTTTCTTGTCATGAACACTGCTCACTAATACTTTTGAAATTCAATTCATACTTCTTTTTACATCTGAGGCAGGCTTCGATCACCAAGATAGGCACCGAAGCCCTCTCACAATTGAAGCCAAAACCACTTTCTGTCTCTCATCAACTCCGAGAACTCTTATCTCCCTCATCAGCTGTCGCTTTCCCGAGTCTATCTTCACATCCTCAGGTGTAAGTCAGTGGCTGCTATTTCTTCAATTTCAACATGTCCCCCTCTCAGTCCAGCCACCAGCAGCCTTATTGGCGAGATGGCGAGCTATACCTAGGCAACAGAAAAGTGCCCCGAGCTTCACGACTGCAAAGTTCAATTGCTGCCACTCCAACTTCAGCTGTACTCGCCCATGGGTCAAACAGGGCTTCGGATCAATCGACTACTCTTTCACCTGATGCTTCGTATCCTAGTCTCAGGGGGCTCTCGCGTGAAAGAGCTCGGTTCACGACCGAGTACCCTAATACCCTACATGGAGGAGCCAGCCAAGGGAGTGCACCTGCAATGGATGACAATCGCCACGATCTTTACCGGAAAGCAATGTTCGAGAGCGACGCACCCATAGATTCTCGCTTTTACAAGCCCAGCGTGGAATACAAGGCAAAGGATGCGGCGGCTGAATCTTCCAAAGGACTACAAGGGCTACGTGAAATACTCGCCCAAATTTAGCAAGGCACAAGCACGCAAGAATCCAGGCCAATATGCTGGATTGCCTCTTCAGACCAGAGATTGGCATGCTAAGGCCGCAGAGCCTGCAGGGGAGGGCCTCCCACATGTGTTTGTTTACTGTTCTTGAACCTTTTCTACCGCTCATGTAGACCAATATTTTGGCCTAAAGTGCTAATGGTCAAAGGGCTACCATCAATTGATGCCACTTTGAGTTATTTTATTCCTCTCCATTCACCCCGGCCTGGGTTCTGGCACGTGTGATATCCAGTCGAGGCCGACTCGATCGGTGGGAAAAGTTCGATAGAATGCGGAAAGACCTTGAGGTAGGAAGTTAAGCGACGGAATTCACAGCTTTCTCAGGAGACTTATGAGAACATGAGTTGACAAGCTGCTGATCCTCGCTTTGCTACAAGGGGTTGAGGGGACATAGCAAAGAATAAACATGAAATTTTCAAGCCGTCCTAACCAAAAATTCTCTTATTGAACGGATTGGCTCACTAATCCATTTTGTATCTCGATTTTTACATATGGTTTCTGATCGTTCTTTTTAAACCTGTTCGTAAGATATTTAGCGAGCGCTAAGAAACTACCATTGAGGGAGTCATTGTAGTGAAAAAAAAAAGATATCCATAAAACACTATATCATATCCAAAGAAATCAATCTATCTACAATCAGAACTATAATTTATACAGGGTATATCCAAAACACCATCAAAACTCCCTCGACCGAATCGGGCACGACGAGGCATCAGACCTCTGGTCATACGAGATCTGCACATCCGTAACCTTCGTGATATTCCCCGCCGGGGACAGATTTCCATTTCTGGTAGGCATCATCTCCAGCGCGTCTTTTGGCAGATCCTCTGAAAAACCTCTCGCCTTGCCGTGCCATGCGTCATCGTTGGTATCGTTGAGATTGCGTTCTGAACTGGTGGCGAGCGGGGTGCGGCGCGGCGTGTTTCGATTGAAGCTATAGCCATACGGGGTGCTGTTCTGCTGCGAGTGGAAGAGTTTTGGGAAGAGGAATTGAAGTGGGTATCGGAAGACTGGGAGGCAGGTGCAGATGATGCCGGTGTGGGCTTCGACGACACTCCAGATTGTTGCGGGGATGGGGCCGCCTGTTGCCGTCAAAATCATGGTCTGGAAAGGATATGGGAACGCCGGGAACACTTACTCGTAGGATCTTTATCCTTGGCGGATGAGACGAGGGTGGTGGTGCGAACGATGGTTGCTACGCAGACACTAGAATGTAGATTAGCAAGAGGCTTCAAGAAAAGCCACTTCGATGTAAAATGTAGTAACTTACAAGGCACCCATCCCAAACACCACCAAAAGACCGATCTTCTTCGCACGCGGCAGCCGCAGCTGGCTCAGCGGGTAGATGGGCAGAGCCAGGATGGCCAGATCGAAGATGATATTGATGACGGAGAACGACATCCACAGCGGTTCGTTGGGCAGGCATTGCGGGTTCTTGATACTTTTGTCCCAGAACGAGGAGATGGGTTTGCACTGGAAGATGGTGACGAAGACGAAGACAAGCCCCCAAACGCTGATAAGGACGAGTCCTCCATAGCAGGTCCAACGAAAAGCGCGTGCAGGGAAGATTCGGAGGTAGAGGCACAGGAATGACAGTTTGTTGACGGCAATCACAATTTTATACGTGATCTGGGCACCGAAGAACCAGCCGAGGGCAGCCATCTGCTGTTTATGGGTGAGGTCTGTGGAATGTTTCCCGTAGCCATTGTTGACGGCTATCAAAGGTGAGTTGGCTTGCAAAAAAAGAAAAAGGAAGAAAAAGGAAGAAAACTCACCACAGCATTCCGTTATGGTCAGTAGAATCGCACTGACCTGAGGAGTGTTAACGCTTGTATAACCTCATCTGTCGGAACACACTCACCAGTGATGCGAGTATCACCCAGTCGTCCAACCCAATTTGGCTGTGATGGAACCGAATAGCCAGTCTGGATAGCACACAGAGCCCTGCCAGAATGACACCAACCACGCTGACAATCCATAGTGGAAATCCTCGATTGGGTACTTCCGGGGTACTCAACCCGATCTCGTATGCCATAACACTGGCAGATTTTTGCAAACTTGACAAGAAGACCCTGAACAGCCCTGAACTATTATAAACCCAATCGGCAGTCGCCCCCAAATCGTGCCCGATGGGAGACAAGTCAAGTGCGGTGATCTCAACCAGGTATTTTCAAATTATTGGCTTTGCGATCCAATAAGAAATGCCCAGGCTGCAAATAAGATTTGCTGGGAGCGCCAGAGCTAGGGAAAGATCGGTTACGTCCTCCGTACAGCAGATACAGTAGTGTACTGTACGATCCTGGGAACCATTCGGATATCGGATACTTCGAACGACATACATAGCTGTGGGGGGAGGGGCACTACAGTACAAGATCCATCGGGGCGTTCTTCATCCGTCAACCCCCCATGTATTGGCTGTATGCGTACAAGAGGGGGTTCACTTCCAAGGCACACTTGAACAATCTATAAAAACCAACAAGCCACATGGATCTCGTTCCCAGACACATCAAAAGCACATCCCATGTTTCAATATTTCAACATTTCCAGTCAAGGCCGATGGTAATTCCATACCATAAGCCGAGCAACACTGCCAGCCCGATGGGTGTAACATATATATGGGGTGGGTCTAGCATGACATGCTGCGAGTCTGCGCCGTCTTGGCAGCAGAAAACAGCAAGATCGTCCCAAGCAGCAAAGATACCTGGCTGCATCTCACCAATCACGTTGTGCGGGCATGATAGAAATGAGGAGGGAGTGGAGCCCACACAGTTCGCCAAGGCAGCTTTTCACCCTTGTAACGTTGTGTGGCCCCCACGGCGAATTTTCGGTGCGACCGAAAAGATTGTTTCGATTTTTGAATTCATCGGCAAATGCAGTGGGACTTCTGTAAGTCCTTCGGAACCTTCGGACCTCCCCTTCCCTGTGCATCTGAAGCGGGATATAGGGTCGGTTGATATTGTTGGAGCTTCCCCCGAGACTATTGATTTTTGGGTTCTGGGCCTTTCTTTTGCTTTTGCTTTTCCTATTTCTATTTCTGTTTCTGTTTCTGTTTCTGACTCTTTTCTTGTGTTTGTTTCCCCCCAAAAGGCGAACCTAAATCATGGCTGCCTTGTGGAAGTCAATTGGAACCGTTGCCTTACTGGTGACGTGTTTCCCTGCAGCTTGGGGTCAGCGCGTGTCTGATCAGCCAGAGAAGCATGTCGGTGCTTCGGTGCACACCAGCAGTGGATTGGTCCAGGGTCACATTGCAGCTCGACGGTCTGGCGTCTCCGAATACCTGGGCATTCCCTACGCTGCCCCGCCAATTGGACACCTGCGGTTTGCGGCTCCTGTTGCATACAAAGAGAATGGCACGGTTCATGGAAAATCCTATGTAAGTCATTGGCGGTTTCTTTTTTTTTTTTTTTTTTTGGTTCTTCATGTGTGGGGATAAATGGCTAACAATGGCCTTTACAGCAACCGTGCGTGCATCGAGTCCCTCCCCTGTCTATATGACCCGAGCATCCCTGAAGATATCTAACCAGCCCCATAGTGATTGTCCCGCCAACCCTATCCCTACCCCTGACTACCCCGGCTTTACACCGCAGGGCCCTAGAATTGTCAAGACCTTTACGCAGCAGGTGAACAATCCCCAGAGCGAAGATTGTCTGTACCTGAATGTATGGTCGAAGCCCACGGTATCCAAGCCGAAGCCCGTCCTACTCTGGATCCACGGTGGTCGTATGTGTTGGTTCCTGTACTCGGGGCTGTATCGGCGCAACTAATATCAAATAGGATTTACTCTGGGCGGTAGCCACAGCCCCTACTATGATGGACAAGGCTTGGCCGGGGATCATGATGTGGTGGTAGTCACCATCAAGTGAGTTATCTTTTCATCCTGGGTCTGAGTACCCCGATACTAACCCATCTTAGCTACCGACTGAACATCTTCGGCTTCTCTGGCGCACCAGGTCTCCCACAGAACACAGGACTCCTGGACCAGCGCATGGCAGTGGAATGGGTGCACCGCAACATCGCAGCATTCGGCGGAGACCCTGAGCGCATCACGATCTTTGGCCAGTCCGCCGGCGGCTCGTCAGTCGACTACTACTCGTATGCGTGGGCCGACAAGCCCCTCGCCAGCGGCCTCATCTCGCACTCTGGAACAGCCTCTAGCTTCGTGCCTAACACCCAAGAGTATTCCACCTCGGCCTTCTACAATGTCTCCAAGACCCTGGGCTGCGGCGATAGCAAGAGAGATGCCCACAAGGTTGTCGCCTGTGTGCGCCAAAAGCCGTACAGGGACATTCTCATGGCTGTGGGCAAGGTGCCAGCGGCAAAGACGCCCGCGCTGCCACAGCCCGTGTTCCATCCGACGGTGGACGGGGTGACCGTATTTGGGGATTACAAGAAGCTTTCCGCAGCAGGGAAGTTCGCTCGCCTGGTAGGTTCCGCACCAGCCACAAGCACCGCAGGGGGAAGGAGAGAAAAAGAAAAAGAAGAGAAGCAAAAAGTGAAACATGCAAATTCAGTATTCTGACCATGGTCCAGCCCTACCTCGTCACCAGCAACGACTACGAAGCTGGTTACTACCACATCAGCGCCTACGCCGCCAATATCACGCTCAGCGAGAAGGCCTGGGACAGATTCAACCTCGCCGCCTTCACCTGTCCCAGCGGCGCCGCCGCCCGGGACCGCGTCGCCCACGGCGTGCCGACCTGGCAGTCGCGCTACTTCGGCGACTGGGACAACCTGCGTCTGCACCCGCACAGTGGCGCGTACCACGGTGTGGATCTGCCGATGGTGTTTGGGACTGCGAAGCAGGTCAGCGGGATTGCCAACAACGAGCGCGAAAATGATCTCTCTCACTATATGGCTTCGGCGTGGGTGGCTTTTGCGGGAGATCCGAAGGAGGGATTGAGTAAGTTTGGGTGGCCTCGGTACAATCCTGAGAGTATGTTTTTCTCCCCCCACCTTATCTATTCATGTTCCCCTTCTCCCTCTGTGTTTTGTGTTTTTCAAATGTCTAACTTTTGCTACCAGAGAAAACCCTCGTTGGTCTAGGCTACAAGAACAGCACCCACGCTGAATTCCTCAAGCCGCAGCAAGTTGAGCAGGGTTGTGCCGCTCTCCACGGAGATAGCCTTCCTGGCAAGGGTGCTTTTTAATAAGACCTGTTCATTTCTAATGCTCCCCCTTATATATTCCCGTGGCGATATGATTCCCACTTTTGATGTTATTTTTGTTCATGTAGATTAGTTTCATTCTATTGACGAGCACCGCGACACACTATGTGTTGTTCTGCTTGCCCCATTGTTTTCTACTACTTCAATTTGCTTGATATGGAATCTATAATGGCTAGGATCTCTAGTCTGGACAAGTTACAATGGACGCGGAGATAAAACACAACGAAAGTAAGACTCTTTCGAAGGTTCGATATACGCGGAATCATGCGCTATGTTACCCTCATCTTCGAGAGCCTGGATACGAAGAGCGTTGTTTAAGTGAAACCCAGCAGACCTTGGAAACACTGCTACAGCAAATACTACTGCTGAAACTCACTTAATCAAGACGCTACGCATTATATCCGGCAAACAAGGATAATGTCTATACAAAATAATTTCAATAACAATGAATTCAACACGTTGATTAAAGAAGCCAATCCATTAACCGTGAAACGCCCAGGTATGACCGTCGTTGAAGACAAATTATAGCAGAGAAATGAGACCTCAAGATATAGACAAAGTCAAAAGCTCTCAGCGCAATCTATGATCTTGTTTTTCCCCAGTCCTCTCAAATGACAGCGCGATTCCATGGTTTCCCCATCACTTGCCTTCCTTAGTGGCATGCCTCCCCTTCCCAAACATCAGCTCGGCTATCTTCTGGCGTTGGCAAAACGAATGAAATGCTGTTGAAAACCATCGTCACCACGGAGAAAACATTATAGGTGGTTTTTCCGCAGTCCTGGGAATCCAATGACCTTGTATCCGAGGTAAAGCAGAGGTGACCTTGTTGTACCTAAAGCTGGAGGCATGCCACGTAGGAGCAATCGGCAAGTGCTGGGATGCAAGCAGGGGCGGTAAAATTATTACATGGGCGCCTTAGGCCTCCTGGGCCCAGCGCTGCTCACGCAGGGGCAGTTCATCGCCGGCCTTCTCGCGGCTGCCGTCGAGCTCACGCTTCCAGGCATAGTACTCGCCGAGACGGGTCTCGGCGTAGTTGGCGTAGTCAAAGTCGATCTGAGAGATCTGAGCTTGGATGAGAGCCCACACACCCCTGTATAACAATATTAGCAACAAAAAGAGCCTCTTCGGCGGATCTAATGCGCAACCACTCACCAGTAGAATCCGGGAATGCCGCGGAAGCGGTCGACATCGTTGTACAGCTTGTCGACAATCTCGCTCTGGGAAGCCGCGTCGATGCTGCGGTGCTGGCAGTAGCTCTTGGCGTACTCAGTCAAAAACTGTCGGCGCACCGACTTGGTAGGGATCATGCTGTAATCACAGTCGTAACCGACCCACTCGGCGAGGTGGTTGGCGATATCAAAGGCAGCGGGCGCCGGGACCGCGTACTCGTAGTCAATAAAGCTAACCTGCGCAATGCCGTCCTCAGACAGGGCCGAGCCATCCTCGGAGGGAAGAACGATAACATTGGCGCAGAGGAGGTCGCAGTGCGAGAAAACAAGCTGTGTCGTCTGGTTAGCCCTGTGCACAAAGAGAATAAGTTGTTCAGGTGTCTTACCCCGTCTTCGCCGAGGCCCTTGCCATCGTCGAGCTCGCTCACAATCCACTGTAGCTCCTCCTGTAGGTTCGCACGCCGGGAGCGCTGCTCGGGCGTGGCTACGGGCAGAGCCAGGATCCATTTCTGGAGGATCGCCCACATGGAGGGTCCCGCACGGCGGGGTTGAATAACCGAAAACTCCTCATCCTGCTGGTTGATAGCGGCGTCCGGGGTCTCGGTGACGGTGAGATCCTTCACAGTGGTAGCGTTGATGCCCTGGCTAGGGAGAACAGCGTGCCACTGGCCGAGCCGTTGGGCGATACCGCGCCAGATAGGCGGTGAGATGAGGTCGAAGTGTCCGCAGGGCTTGCCGCGAAGGAATCGGTAGAGGAGACCATTATTGAAGCGGGCGAGCAGGGGTGGCGCGAGACCAAGGCTAGCAAGAAGAGCATGCGATTTTGTTTCTCCTAAAAGGCGCACGTGTCCACATTAGCATGGGGTTCCCTGCCACCGTCCAGTTGCCATCAAACGAGGGGGCGGGGGAAGGGATGGAGGGGTTTGCATATCCGTACTTTCGCGATCGATCAGGACCTCTGTGCCATTTCCATACGCTCTCATCAGCACCGCCTCATTGTCAATCTGCGCATCGGTCCAGCCGGGCTTGCGATTGATGATTTTGAGGAGCTGTAGGGTCAGGTCAGTCCGAGTACTAACCCAAACAGAATAATAGTCGGGGGAAACACACAGTGTTGGTGATGCCATCGGTGAACCGAACAAACTCAATCTTGTTGTCCGGGCCCTCCCAGTCGGGGTGGATGGTCAGAATCAAGCGCAGGGCGCTGGCTTGAGAGTCGGCATGGCTGTAAGAGAGAGGAATATACCGGAAGTCCGACGCGGGAGTTTGGATTTCTGTGGAGCCCATGGTGGAAGGAGGAATAGTTGAGGCGATAGTGCCAGGGCAAAACGTGGACTTTTTTTTCTCCTTTTTTTTGGGGTGTGCTTTTTGTGTTTCAGTTTTCTAAGGCTAAATCAATCCCCCAATGCAGACAGAAATCTGGCAACCAAAGTAATCCAGGATCTGATAGGGCTGAAATGCAGCAGAGGGGAGGGAGACTCGAAGGGAAAAGGACTGGAGACGAAAAGCCGAAGGGCGGTTTTTAGGGGAAGGAGGTCGCGTGGATGGGGCAACTCAGGGGCCAAATCTGGCCAAAGACGGGCCTTGTTGGAGCGGGTGAAATAAAACCGCCCGGAAATGGTGATTGGAAGATCTCCGAGGGGCCAAGGGTCTGCGACGGGTACGCCCACTTGGCGACTGGAGAGATTACCGAAGAGAGAGAGAAGCTTTGGTGGCCGCGACCGGCAGTATTTGTTTTTTTGTTCCTTTTTTTTAAGGCTCTGGACTGACACCCTGGCACATTTCTGTCTGGTGTAACCTGCCCGCAACTTGACACTCGGTGCACGAGACCATGTGGTGGGCAAGTACCCTCAATGTCACTCTCTGGGCCCAGAGGTGGGCCCTTCACATGCGATGCATCACGTGCCTTCTATCAGCCCTGTCAGGCAACCCTACTTCCCTTATTAGGACTAGTATCCCCAACGCCTCGGAGGAACTCCCGCTCCGGACCCAATCAGAACTAGCGCGTTGAAATTTGCTGGCTTTAAATACGCGCGGTCGCGCAATCTTCCAATCTTTTTTTTTCTTTCTTTCTTCATCATCAGTAGAGGTTTACATTGACCAAATGTAAATTCATACTGGGGCTCCATTACTATGGCATGCTGAGGGTTATCCTTTACGGTTTTTTTTTGGCCTTGTGGGTTTCCTTCCGTTCCCGGCTCCGGAGAAAAATTGCGTCTCCCTTTTTCCCTCACACATATGGCTGTGCTAGGGTTCCCTTCTGGGAGCTCCATGCGTTCTAGCTGTGGAGGGGGCGCGATATACCCTTTTTTTTTTTTTTTTTTTTGAAAGCTATGTTGGTTTGGTCGATATAATGCAATTGTCGAAGTCGTAGTCTGGGCTGTATGCCTCTGCGCCAAAACTCTCTTAGCTCCAACACGGGGTATTCAATGGCCTAGGAGACTGAGTTACTCGTAATTTGGTCTCTGAAAGTTATTATGCCATTACTGCCGTTATATTGGGTGCCATTCAACCGTATATCTTCATGCTCGTCCAGCATTGCCAATCTGGATGCGCTGCCCACTCCATTTCTCATCGCTGCGCAACACCGGCCAGCTGGTGCCATCCGCCTTGACCAGGGTCAACTCCAACTTGGTTCCTAGCACCCGGAAGCTCGACTTCTCCGCGTCAACGGGCGCAAACAAGGGATAGGTATCCTGGAACCGCTTGTTGTCCGAGGTAGGCAGGTCAAAGGTGATTGCGGTAGGGGAAAACTCGACGCGAGCACGCTCCTTGTCGATCTTTTTCAGGTAGAGAGAGACATTCACCGAAGCCGCTGTCTGATAGAAGTCGTTCCTGTAGAATTGCGCATGTGTGTCAGTGGATTATTCCACGAACTCAATGAGCGTGTTTTGTTTTGTTTTGATGGAAGCCATACCGGATCGACTCGACTTTCTCCTCACCCAGTGGTTTGGCCTGGCCCACAAACAAATGCCTTGTTTTCTCTGTGCAGCCCGGGATCTTGAGAAACTCGTCAAATTCCAGCACCCGTCGCTTGCAACAGGACCATCCCTTGCTACCCTCGTGGAAGATCGGGTGTCCCGGGTGGTGCACACATTTCTCCTCATCTCTCGCCGTAGACCCATTGTAACTCAAACCGCAACCTTTGCGGCGACATGTCGCGTTGGCAGGAATCTCCAACGATGGATCATCCGAGTCGGGCTCTTCTACCGGCGGCTTGGGAGACGTAGCCTGGGGTGCAACGGCCGGGGCAATAGCCGGTCGTTCAGGTATAGTTGTTTTAGTAGCGGTCGGAGCAGGGGGTGGAGTGGCATCTTCGGCCTTGGAAGGCGCAGGTGCCGGCGTGTCGTCGACGGTGGAATGCTTGCCGGTGGTGCATGGTGGGATTGCGAGGAATTCTTCGAAGGTCAGGACGCGGGGTTTGCAGCATTTCCAGCCTGTCCAGTTAGTACGACTGCTCCAGTGGATCTCTTGCAAGAAGGCTGATGGAGCTGGCAATGGCAATCCATAGCACAAAACAAGATACACAGATGTGGAATAGCTCGATCACCAAGGTACTTACCCTTTTGCCCCTCGTGGAACACTGGGGGACCCGGATGGTACACGCACGCCTCTTCCGGGTCGGCGAAGGTTTTCCCACAGCCCTTGTGGACACACTTGCCAGCCATAGTGTGTAACAAATGACCCAAGAAAGAATCTGTTCAGAATGGAGCGAGAAAAAGAAAAAGTGTGGAAGAAAAAGATCTCCGCGACGTTGGAGAAAGACGCAGGGTTGCCCAACGCGGTTTAGCGCTCGAAGCTCGAAGGTTCCATCGCGGAGAAGCTGACATGCCCGACTCATTGGCCCTCCAAGCCCTCCTTCTTTTTTGCTTCCACCATGTTTCCCACTCGAGTGCTCCTCAACCAGGCCCGTTTGACCCTGTTTACTCGTGCAGGCTGCGGTCTGTGCGATACCGCCAAACATACTGTGATCCAGCTGCAGAAGCGCCGACCCTTCGAATACGCCGAGAGAGACATCATGGAGCCTGGGAACAAGTCATGGAGGGATGTCTACGATTTCGATGTGCCTGTTCTCCACATTCAATCAGTGCAGGATGGTCTGCCCAAGGAAGCCGAGCTGTCCGACGCGAGAAAATTGTTCCATCGGTTCACAGAATCGCAGGTCGAGCAATTGGTGGATGAGGCCGAGAAACAAGTGGTATGACGGACACATTATCTGGGGAGATGATTCATGCGGTCAATGGACTCAGGACTAGCTGAAGATGGCTTTGGCTGGAAGGAGACCTGATATCTGGTCTGCAATCTGCCTCGGTGGACGGTAGCCACTGGATTCTCTGAGACCATAGGGGAAGCTTTCGCCTGCTCTTGGAATACTCTGGATTAACAGCCCGGTGAACGTCACCAATTTCTGGCTGGCATACCTTCTGGCTGGTATCCTTACAATCCCTGCGCATGACTTGTGGGCACTTACACGCTATCCTAGAAGAGACCTATGACCCGGATGCTAATGCCTGGCACCTAGATATAATATCTATAGCATAAGAATGTTAAAATCGATACCTCTCGCTTAATATCAAAGAGTTCTCTGGTCGTAGCCTAGCTTCTGTAGCCCTTATCTCGTTCCTCCGTTAATAAACAGCAGTGTTTCTGAGATAAACCATACTCGACACCACCAAAGACTGGACTCTACTCGGAAAAGACTAAGCTAAATCCTCGTAGTGTAAGACAAAGGTCAAGCTAATATAATGCATACCAACATATATCCAGAGGTGGGTATATCCTTGATTCATCTTATTTCATGACTTTGGAGACTCGGTGTTAGCTGCTAACTCCGAAATCTTACATTCATCGCACTCGACTTGTTCTTCATTCGATTTGTTCGTTTTTATACCTTCAATGCCACACGATGACCTTCCAGTCCACAAAAACAATAAAAGCCAAAGAAGAAACCTTGGATATGCCAATGCAGAAGCTGGACGCAGTCGAGCGAAGGAAACTACAGAACCGTCTTAACCAGCGGGCCAGCCGTACGTATTCCCTTTCCGCCTCGCCACTCAAACAAAAACTAACATCCATTGCAAAACAACAGGAAAAAGACGGGCACTGCAAAATGAAAAGGAGAACAAGGACCATCGCAAGTGGATCGTCTACATAGAAAAAGCAGAATGCCATCCAGCCGTCACCCAAGGTATCGCAAAGAAGAATGCCACCCAGTCAAGTCAGGCACCGCCTACACAACGTCACTGCACCGACGAACTCTCATTCTGCGCTGCGAGACGCACCCTGCGATATGAATTTTGGTATCAACTCGAAGCGCGGGTCCTAGACGCCGCCATCAACCTAGTGCAATCGCCGGCCCTACTTCCGGCCGTGATGCAATATAATATTATCTGGGCCATGCTCACCAATGCTACGAGCATGGGCATCACCAAGGATCTTCTCGACGAGGATATTGCGTCCCAGTTCAACATCCCCGGTCCCATGAAGACGCTACACCTCCCGCCCAGCTTGGTCCCGACTCCTTCACAAAAAACGATCATCCACCACCCCTGGATCGACCTGATCCCCATCCCTTCTTTTCGTAATGCTCTTCTATCGAAGATGGAAAGCTACGACGAAGAAGACATGTGTAGGGACTTTTATGGGACTCCGTCCGAGGAAGGCGGCCTTGTTGTCTGGGGCGAGTCGTGGGATCCGCGGGCTTATGAGATTTCAGAGCGCGTGGCGAGGAAGTTTGGGTGGATTTTCCGCGAGTGTCCTGAGATTCTGCAGTCTACAAATTACTGGAGGGAGAGACGAGAAGAGAGGCCATTGATAGTTGAGGAAGTGGAGTGAGTTGTTGCTGTATACTAGAACTACTCGATAATTTATACCGTGTGTTTTCCCGCAAGCAGAGCTAGTGGGAGTAATTCACAGAGAGAATTCCTCATGGATCAACTCCTCGGTCAACGCCCAGAGTCTTGTCCAGTTATTCTCATCGTTGATATGAGCGTGGAGCTCGTCGTTCGCAACGGCATTCTGGTTCAAGAACGCCCCATTGTACTCTGAACAAACAGATCAGATACTGCAATGCAACAGAGCTTCTCGGAACATGTACTCACCGGCAATCGTCGGGTCAATCATGCCTGTGATGACCGTGGCTGCGCCTTCGGACCGGCCAGTCCAAGGGGGGTAGTCGTAACGTCTTCCGTCGGCGTCGATTGCCGCTGGACAAAGATACGTTAGATTTCAACAAGAGGGTATTCAAGAGGATGGAGTGGACGTACGGCCAGCCTTCTTCATTTCCTCCACCTGCGCCACGAATTCGGCCGGGAAGTGCCGTTGCAGTCCGGAGAGAACGGCTACAGATGTTAGTAGAGCCACCTGACAACGAGAGAGAGGGAGAGATTGATACCACCGGGATCGATACTAAAGATACGGATCCCTTCACCTTGCATCTTCTTAGCCAGCTGCTTGACGAACATCACCCGCGCGACATTGGATTGGCCATATGCGACAACGGGGTGATAAGTTTCCCCATTCTAATCGCACAACCTGACGTTAGATACACAATGTAGATAATCAGGAGAGAGAACAAACATACACTGAATCCAATATCCTCGAAATGGACCTTGCACGTCCGAACAACAGAGCTGCTCATGACAACAACCGACGACGACGGGCCCGCAGCCCGCACCTTGGGAAGCAACAGCTTCACCAGCAGGAAGTTGGCCACATAGTTGACCCCAAACTGCAGCTCCAGACCATCCTTGGTCTGGCTGTACGGAGGCCCCATTACCCCAGCCAGACAAACCAAGTGGTCGATCTGGGGCACGTCGGCGAGATCGGACTCGGCGGCTTTCCGGACGGTGCTCAAATCGCTGAGGTCCATCTTGAGAAACCGAGTCGCCACATTGGGCTTAGTGGTTCTGACCTTCTCCATGATCGGGGCCACTCTCGATTCGGCGCGGGCGCTGAGAATCAGCAGTTTTGGGTCTGCGCTGGAGACCTGGAGGGCGAGCTCTCCGGCGATGGAGTTATCGGCGACTCCAGTGATGAGTACTATATAGTGGCCACCGAGGTGAGTCAGTCTACTTCCAATTGCTTGGTAGGTTCAGGTATCTCAATACCGGCTTTGCCGGCAAGCGCCTTGCCATACTTCTCGAGGATGGCTTCGGAGGGGAGGATCTGTTTGGGCGACATTTTGAAAGACAAGAAATAACTCAAAGTATTTGATGATAGTAAACAGTAAAGGAATTGAGAGATTGCAGACCCTATTTATGTGTTTTCCAGGGCTTCTGATGTTGGGATGCTCGCAAGTATACTGTGATTTGCACCAATCCGCGGCATCTCGTAGACCCACCACTTGCCGCGTTTAGTTAGCCTCGTGTCAGCAGCGCGATTTACCTTCTCAGGCACTTGGAGATGGTCATGGAGATAGTGGAATGAGTGGGAATAGTCACTGGGAGAAGGCCAGAGAATAGTTGAGAGTCATTGGGAATGCTCGGAGTTAAGACTAGAAATTGCGGACGAATTGACAATTCCTGTCCTTTGGTTACTATCGTCGGTGAAGAATTGAATTTCAGTGACCAAATAGATTCAGTTACTGTTTCTCGTGTCTGACGAAGTCAACTTTCTAGTGGATATAAAGAGTGTTACGATTTCTTGGTGTGTGCTTTCGTTGACTATATATGTTCAGTCTACTTATCTTCCCCCCCCCGGCAAGATGGACAATATATACTGTAACGTGCCTTGTTAAATGTGCATATTCGCGCGTATATAAATTCTACACCCCAAGCATAGACAAGCATAGACACTGCATTCAATTAGTGGAATGACGCAGGGTCAATGACCCCCCCCCCCCAAGCACAGCCCGAAGAGCCTACCGCAACGCCCCACGCGGGGCGCAGCGTAGAAAGTCAAGCCTGGCGATGCGCTCTGTGCCCATTCAAAAATGATCGAGGAAATAGCCATGCACAAAAGTAGCAATAATGGCACAACAAACAGACACCAGATCAGCAGACGAAAACAAAGTCACCAATGGACTCGATGCCCTCAATCTACGCCCCGACCAACAAGCACCGATCCTCCGTCTCCCCAATGAGCTCCTCCAGCTCATCTTCGAGTTCGCCACAGCAAAGAAAGACAAAGATGAATGGGACGCCCGGATCTGGGCCTACTCATTGCTGACGCCCCTGGCCGAGGTCAGCCGCCGCTTCAACAGTCTCGTGCTACCAATGCTGTACGGCATCATCGACCTCAACGGGCACCCATTCAACTACCAGCAGAGAGTGAAGCAGCTGCATGACACGCTCAAACAAAGGCCCGAGCTGCGGTCCTTGCCTCGATCGTTGCAGATCGAGATCGAGGACGAGGGAACCAAGCTAGACTTTCCCGTCATCCACGATCTCGTGGTGTGGGCGACGGGGCTGACGCATTTGCGGCTTTATGGCGGGTTCGGGGTGCAAGAAAACTCGGATACGTTTCTGTATGGCCTGCGCGATGAGACTTGTGCGTTGGTCCGATCGGCTGGGCAGTGTCTGCCCGCGCTGCGCAGCTTTGATATCTTCTCGTGTTTCAGTGCCGGGGCGTTGACGCAGATGATCGAGAGTTTCGCCTTTAAGTCTCTCGAGAAACTGGAGATTTGGGCAATTCTGGAAGATCACAATGAGCCTGTGTTATCCGACGAGAAGGTAAACCATTCAAACCTTTTCCAGGCGGTGGATTTGGATGTATATCTCGCACTGGGCATCATATAGGAAAAAGCTGACAACCTACTTCTCTAGATCCAGGGAGCGGCTTCTTTCACTTCCCTCAGCCTGAACGGCTACAGCGCGGATCTACGAACCCTGTTCCATCTGACACGATGGCCCAAGAAACTTGTCCACTTCACCAGCCGGTGCGTCCACGACGACGACGACGGTCCCGCCGATTTGGACTTTGCCGAGCTGCGCCCGGCACTACTGCCCCATCTCGAGACTCTACAGACAATAGAGTTGCAAGGGCCATACAAAAGCAACAGAGACGGGCTATTCAACGCGGCCGAGTTCCCGAACCTGGAGTCCTTCAAGATATCTCGGTGGGCGATTGCGCCCCGCGGAAGCCTAGCGTGGACCCCCGAACACGCCGATCTCCTGCTCGCGCCCAGGCTGAAAGTGCTTACATGGGTCGTGGACGAGAGCCCCGCAGAAGTCGAGGAATGGGATGAGTTTAGTCCCGAGGAAGAGAAGTGGATGCGCGAGTTCGCGAAAGTCGCGTCACAGCGCAGATCCACGCTGCAGAGGATTCATATACAGTACAAGCCTGAGACCTATAATGTGGAGGAGCGCTTTGGGTATCCGTGGGACCGCATGGATAAAGTGCGGGAGGAGATCCGACCCTATGGGGTGGCGCTGGGGTATGATGAGCCGCCCTTGTCGAAGAAGGAGTGGCAGGAAGAGGTCGACTCGAAAAAAGAACGGATGGAGCGGGAGGCGTTGAGGAGACATAGAGCTGTGCTGGCGAGTCGAGTCGAGAGCTAATATTGAGGCATACATAGAGGGCCTCTGGGGTTTGCAGAATACTTAGGTATGTGTGTAAATAGATGTCATTACTAGAATTCCACTGGAGGCTCCTGAGCCGTCCAACCAAGGTCCAACCTTTACATGCCCGCCCAAACAATAAGAAAGCTCATTACATGCATCAATAGAACATAAACATGACCGCAATTTCTATCCCAAACTATAGATATGTAGAATGGGAGTCGACAGCGCCAGGTATGGAGACATATATCCGCTAGAACCAGAATATCCCAACAACCAGGCCAATCACCACAGCCATGCAGCTGCCATGCAGTTCGCGCGAGTGCCGTCCAGCGGCACCATCTTTCGCCTGGTCACCTGCCATAGCGTGCGAGGGCAACGTCGGTATAAAACGGGCTGCCCCCTCTGTCTGGTTATACGACAGATCCAAGGAACAATTTCCATCGGAAGGAGAATTAAGGAGTTTCGGGGATCGGATGAAAGTCGTGGGCATCCCGGACACTGAATAATCGGGGAGAACGGTCGACTCGAGATATTCTGACCTCAGCCGTAGAAGGGTGGCTGCAAATGGTTTCATGAGGACCCAAGTCTCGGATACAACATGACCGGCCGGCTGACACATTTTGCAGAGTGAAGAAGGGGACGACGGTCCTGGATATTCACCGGAATTAGATGAAGAGGTCGAATCGTGGTCGGAAGGATACATCTGGGACGGCTGGTTTTCGGCAGCAGATGTCGGCACGGCAGAGGAATTGAGAAGAGTAGAAGGGCTCGGTATACTAGTTTCTGCCGCTAGACTTGCACTAGGGGAAGAAGCAAGAAATTGGTACCCATCCAAATGCTGGACGAAATACTCCCGCATCGCACGGGCCCGGCGACTAAACACAGACGACGTTTCGGCGGCAATGTAAGGCAATCGACCATTGTGTTCAAGGCTGCTAATCGTGGTTTTGCCAGGGTTCAATGAACGAGACGGACGGTTCACACGGGGCCGATGCGGCGCCGCAACTATCCACGCCTTGCGAGAGGCGCTTCTCGGACTTGGATGCGAAGGATCCTCCGCGAGGCCATCTTTGATGAGCGGTACGTCTGAAATGAACCAAAGGAAGTACAATTAGCTCAACACACACACACACAAAGAAGCCTCCCAGTAGCCCGTTCTCGGTCAACATCGGAAAAGAGAATGGGGTGGACATACGCTGCGCTCCGCCCGCATAGTAGCTGAAATCCGCGAGCTTGAGATTGTAGATGTTTGACAGCGACGGCACCAAAGTAAGCAGCGAAAAGACAATCAACGCCAGTAGCGGGATGGCGCCTGGTTTACCGAGCCCGGGACGCATCGTGCACGCTCTCTCTCTCTCTCCGCGGCTTGGTTATGGCGGAGGGAGAGCCGGTCGCGAGAGTTGGTCGGAATCACAGAGCAGAGGCGGCAACATGAATGCCATGGAACTGGGGACAAAACCCTGATAGTCGGCGCGTAGGTATCAGTGGAGAAAAATCTTTCTTGTCGCTGGCTCTTTCTCTTTTTTTTGCGGGTGGATGTTTAATATCTTGACTCTCCTGAGAGCCACAGATGCGCCGACGCGCAGAGGAGGCTGGCCAACCGTGATCAAGGACCCGCCAGCCTCATGCAAGCAAAAGAGAGCAAAGAAGCAAAGAAAAGGAACGATTGAAAACACAAAATGGATACAGTTAAAACGATGCGGGTTTGAGAATTGAGGAGGATTTTGAAGGGTCTTGGGGTTCCACCGACGATCACCAAGGCGCCAAACAACTGGGTTTTTCTTCCATTCGCAGCCTCGTGATGACGTCGTCGGAGGGTCACAGCAACGGTTGCGGACATGACTTATCATATTATTATTAGAACGGCTGACACTATGATCCTGGCAGATTATCGGCATAGCCTTATATATACCCCGCCATTCTAATCATATCATCAAGTATGTTCCCCCGCGGTCCCTGGGGGGTTTTTTTTTTTCTGGTGATTTCCAGGAATGCATGCCTGAGGCTATACTATATACTTCCCCGGCGTATAAATCTACAACAGCCCACACAAAGACTCCCAAATTAGAACAAGGGGAAAAAAGACGGAAATTTCGATGCATAAGTGCGACAGTTCTACCCCGCCAGACAGCCACGATGTGGGCCAAGCGAAGGAGGCAACCGCTGCAACACCCGCAATAGCAATGGATCAGCATAGCGTGTCGCCCCCAATGTCACAGCGCATTCTTGGCGTTTCTTATCGATGAAGTGGTTCTTTTTTTATTTTACCTTACCTTATTTCATTTCACTTTATTTCAATTACTTTCATTGGTAAAGACATGGATAAAGGATAGATGTAGTGAATTGTCTGTAGACTCTATCGAGACCCCCCCAGATCTATACCGAAAAACCATCGAATACCGGGCCATCGTCAAAAAACCACGATCGATCCCCAATTCCCACCAAAGGCATCCATTCAGGGAATACCACCGAAGCCGCCTGGGGAGCCAAGAAAGACTCCAAGGAGAACCCGGGCTGGGACGTTTTGTCCGGGGCCATTGGCACACCACTGAAGCCTCCGGTCGCGATAACAGTATCTCCACCTTGGGGCAACAGACTCGAGTCACGGGACGCTTGGTGCAGCATGTCATGAAGCTTCTCCAAGACTTTGAGACCTCGTTTGGCAATGACCGACCGCTGCGCCTGCTTGCGGAGGAGAGCGAAGGCATCGACGAAGATCTCATACGTGCTTCGCAGATGTGTGCCGGGGCTGATCTCCATGATATATCGCAACGGCTTCCTCTCGCCGGTTTGCACAGACAGCAGATACATGCTCAGAGTTGCAATCGACTCGACTAGGGACACGGGAAGCAAAAATAGTCGTTCTGACGCCCGGGTATCATCACTATGCGAGAGGTGGTATAGTTCGGTGATGACTTCGATCACACGGCACGTGGACTCTACGACGGTCCGTTGATGGGATGCTGCGAGGCCCGTGGGCGGAGTGGGTGGGAGCATTTTTTTGTCGCCCGAGAGAATCTTCCACGGGTCGACGAAGCCCTTGTATAGAAGTGTTTTGGTTCCAAATAACATCAGATAGAGGGTCTGTCTTTTCTGGACAATCGCGGGCTCGGACGCGTCCCACGAGGTATCTGGCCCAATTAACTGATACGCCGGTGGGAGCTGGTCCATAATCAGCTCTTGGAGCCGTTGCGCGAAGTCGGCGACAATCACTGGGTCGTATTGGTCGGTCTTCCATGACGGTGGACTCATAAAGGCGCTCATAAACCGGGCGGTCTTGATATGGAAGAGTCGATCCGTGAACGGAGTCAAGATGTAAGGGCTGACGAAGTAAGCCTGGAGGCTGTCGTGGGGAAGCTCGACGTCACAATATTCCTCTGGGATCAGTGGCCAGCGGCCGAGGTATGTACACATGAATCTGACAAAAAAAGCTTAGAGTTAGATTATAGGTGCAGTCAAGGAAAGTGTCCTATACATACCGGTCCCAAGCGTACAAGTTCCAAAATGCCCTTCTTCGAAGTTCCATCTCCAACTCGCTGAGAGGAATGCCAGGGTCTTTCAAGTGTAACCCAAGCTCATGGGCATCTTTGACCGCGTCACTAAGAGCAAACCAGCTTTCGCGGATTTTGGAGGAGTTTTTTAGATAACAGATATGATAGAAGCGATGTTGAATGGTCACCAAGGATGGCCTCCGCATGGGCGATTGCGACTTTTCAACTTGATCGGCGAGTGTGTAGAGCCATCGCTGTGTGCTCTTGGGGGTCGATTCCAGGATCCCTGTGGTCGGATATTTGGGGTGTGGCAGATACTGGGTGCTGACAAGGCATATGCGAAGAACGAGTAGCCCAAAATCTTCATCGTCAGCCGTCAAAGCGGCATTACCCTCGAGGTCGCAACGGTCCTGGGATTCCCACCACGCATTGTACCGCGTTTGGAACGACACCGGATGGATCATCTCATAGACTCGATTGACCTGATCCAGGAACAAGCCAATTAAGAAATCCACCATGACCCGCTTGAGACATATTCTTTTTCGCTTTGGGGGGTTTCCCGGCGCAGCTGAGAGCGGAGAGTGTCGGTTCTCTGACCGGGTAGGATTCCTGTGGGATTGTCAATGATTTGAACCTATCCAATCGACCCGTGCAAACAAACATTATACACATGGCCGTCTGAAGCATCACGGTTTGATTCTCGGGAGAATAGCCAAGAGCCTTAACGGGGTCGGCAGGGGCCTCGTCATCCGAATCGCCCGATGATGGCGGCGCCGACTCATTGTCTCTACGGTTGCTCCGGGACCGAGGCCGGTCTCCAAGTTGGCGCGCAGTGCGATTGCGCCGGCCCATGGACGGTGGCAGATAGTCATAATACACACATTGATTCATCACACCGCGATCGATGCAATGGTTGCATGGTTGTTCCCGATTGCACTTGGAACATTTATCTTATTAGCATACGTCGCGCGCGGGAAGAAGAAATCCACGACACAGACCGTCGCAGACCATTGAAGCGTGGATGTTGGGGCCCACAAGGAATTTACCTTTTTCTTCCTGCGATTGCACTCCAGACAGGATTTCATCTGCCGCTTGCGCACCTTTCTATCGGCCATCTTGGCAACATGCCTTTTGACATCGGGAAATGCAAAGGGAGAAAGAGTCGAGTCCGATGGGAGGTGGTTTCGGCCCTAAGCGGCATCGGCCATAAGCACATTTGCCAAGCCCTGGAAATCGCCCCCATCGTTGACTCAAGTTACGGTTGATCCTACTATCGTCTTGAGCACCGCCATGCGGCTCCACCGTCAAAGAAAACATTGATGCTCCCACAATGGGATCTGCAGCGCTGCGCCTTGGGGGCTGCGCAGAAACGGGGATATCCTAACGTCGTCAATAACCCTGACTCGCAAAGCAAGCATCTTCACACTCTGTGATTTGGTCTTCACTCACATATTCTCCGTGTTTCGACGCCATGTTACGCTAGCTGCGCTAATGAGCAACTGCCGTGGCTAGCTCTGGTGTTTTGCCCACCACGCAATCACACCGCTGGATCGGCATGTTTCCCTCGCGGTGAAGGCCAGTATCGGCGCTTCCGGGGTCAACTATGTTGATCACATCATCTTCAGTGTTCTGTGCAGCGTGTCTGGCAAGTTCACGGACCCAGAAGGATCCAAAAGTTTGGTGACACAGCCTCTGTCCCACGAATTGAACGAGTCTTGTTGATTCGGACTCGCTAGGACATTCGGTTCGGAGTCTTCCATGGACATCCGCATGCGCACCCCAGTCAACGCGAATGACAGACGGGTCGGCTGTCCCGACACTATGACTGACTTTCCCAGGACCAGAATCAGAACTAATGAGAATAGCGCAGTTGAGAGATCATTCACCTGCGCACCCAGCTCGACCCTGTTTGTGGCGCCATCATGCAGGAGAACGGGAGCATGGCTGAGCTGATGATTGAAATACCCAGTCGTTTGGGATCTTGCTGCGCTCTGCGACCGAATGCCAGCACAGATTGTAGTGGCCCAAGATCAAGATCTCACCCATCGACGGTAGTGTCGCTGGACGATCCAGATTGCTTGCTCGGAATTCCCTGGTTGGCTGCCGTGTCCTTGGGAAGATCGTGAATGGCCAGTATGGCATGACTTCCATTCAACCGGAGTCACCGGCGAGGCAATGTCCACCCCATCAGCCCATAATCAAGATGATCTGGCCCGCAAAGCTCGGATCTGCAGGCGAGGGTTGCAGTTCAATCTCCATCGATAGAGAGAACATGAAGTCCTTTTTTGTAATCGTCTCCACGAAAAGGGATTTGAAAAAAGGACTGGGTGGCGAGTCCCATGGAGGGGGGTAAGTATGAAGCTCGTCAGAAGAAAAAGAGAACGGTCGCAGTGGAAAGGGAGAGCCGAGTCATTAAGCGAAGGCTATTAATATTCTATCATATCTCTCCTAAAGCCGAAAGGTCAAAGCCACTATGCCGATATTTTCTGGGCGCATGGCGAAAGGGAAGGCTCTCAAGGCCGAAACATGGACCCTTATGGCCGAAGGCACGGGCATTGAGTCATGGTAATTGGTCTCTCGGGGATTCCTTGGGGGACCACAGTGACATAAATGGTAAGAAGCGATCGAAACCAAAATGTTCAATGTTTTGCACACATTTTGATCTGAGAATTGGTGGGATCTTGAATATACAAATTAGGCAATCGGCCATCTATGACAGAGTCCTTTGATGGTACACCCCCACGGGGTTTGGTCTCTGTCAACTGCTTGTCTGAAGTTGCTGTTTGGCCTAATATAACCCTTCAAATAAATTTGTGTTATTTTTATTCACAGTCTGATATGGCTGCTGTGGCCCCCGGGGCGAGGACGGTATAGTTCAGCTGGTGTATGACTCGCGTTCCAGCAAATCTCACGTCACGTTCATCCGACTGATATCACCATGTAAGGAGAGCATCTGCTTCTTAGATGCTCCCAGAGAACATCCCAGGGCATGTATCTTGACTGGCTATACAGATCATTAAGTGTCAGCTCTGATTGATAAACCAGAAAGAACGAAAAGAAGTGGTCTCACAATTATTATTATAGACCTCTAATACATCGTCCTCAATGCATCGCTTAGGCTCCCCATTATAGAGATAAGACGATGACCGGCAGAAGCTTGGAAGAAGCTCACTGGACGACAGAACCCAAAGATCGGACCGAGCATCGAGCGGGTAATATAGAGGTGTTCGCGAGTATTCATGCCCCGGAACCGAGATAGAGATATTCAACTGGACGTGATTCCGGATGCTGCTCGACATTTTGCCCAGGATGTTGACTTGGACGCATGCGATGATAAGAACGATACATGTCAGCACTTCGCAGCTGACCATGATCTTGTATCTTTAGAAGGACTCAAATAGAAGAAGAGATATATAACAGTAGAAAAACAAAGCATTGATAGACTTCAGCCTTGATAGCCTTGAAGGTCGACATCGACTGGTTTAAGATCGATCGAAACCCCCCACTTTCTGGCGTGATTGGGCCGTGAAGAAAAGCAGTGGTCTTATCTATGCACATTACTCAATTCTACGGTGTCGTTTACTCGAAGTCGAGATTGGTATGTTGAGATTGTATCTACAAGAAAAGACAAGACAGACTCTATATACAAACAGGAAAATGAAGCAACAAAGAAAAAGGCGAACATCCACACCATACCAAAGTCAAAGTCATGGGCGTAATCAGATCATAGTCGCAGCATGGCACACATTAAATCGGATTCATCATTGTAGCATCCGGCACAGCAGGCTCGACCACGCCTGCAGAAGCAGGCACAGTAGTAGCAGTGGGAGTGGTTTTCGTAACGGGGACCGGGGAGATAGTCGTGGGAACGCTCGTGTCGCGGTGACTAGGACTGCGACTACTGCGACTGCGCGAGCGCTCGCCCCGCGACGTACTGCTAGCAGCAGTGCTACTACCACCACCACCACCACCGGCACCGGGTTTACCGCCACGCTTGACCATCTTGCCCAGCACGCCGACAATCTCGGCGGCGTCTTCGAAGCTCTCATCATCCATGCCTTCCTGCGCGTTGTAGACGTCGGCGATGGCTTGTTTGGCGAGGCGGCGACTGGAGACGGAGTCCTGGAGGCAGTCGTAGAGGTAGGCGGCGTATTCGAGTTTCACGGAGAGCCGTAGCGGGTGCGAGCCGGGCAGAAGCTTGTCGGCTAGCATAGCGGCGTGGTTGAAGCACATTGTCGCTGTGGTAGTGTAGTCCAGGGGCGGGAGGAGGAAGGCGGAGGCTGGTTGTGGTTGCGGTGGTTGTGGTGGCTGGACGGGCGCCAGGCCGGGTGGGTGTGGTGCTGTATAGGCCTTGTGTGGTTCTGAGCCGTTCATGGTGGCGAGGGAATCCGGGGCGTAGATTGAGTCGTGTTTGGAGCGCACCGGCGGGTCGTTGTCTGGTGGGTGTATTGCGGGTCGGTTGTGGAAGAGGACGAAGATGTGGTAAAACGAGGCGCGGAGCTTGTATGATAGCACTTTCAGCTCGACAAAGACGGTGACCATGGGTAGGATATATCCCTCCAGAATCAGTAGGCCCTCGCGCGAGAGCCAGATGATGTGGTGGTAGAGCTGTAAAGACTTGGTTTCGCGCGTTGTGTCTAGCCGGCGCAGCTTTCGGGCACGCAAGAGCTTCTTCGAGAGCATCACTGACACCCCGAGTACCTTATACAGCATTGCCGATAGCCAGGGGTTCTCGAAGGCCATGACGGCCGCGAAATTGCCCAGGGCCTTCTGGTCTACCTCGGAGGAGGCCATCCATAAAGCCAATGTCTGGGAGGCTGCTTGATCAAGACTGATATGGTTAGCCATTGGGTCCATTGAATCCGAGGCGGGTGAATTGCGGTCCCAAAAAAGATCCATGGCAGGTCAATTGACGTGGGATTGTTCGAGGTGAGAATTGGATGTGAGGATGCAGAAATGGAAATCACCAATTCTGAACAATTGGCCTGAACCTCAAGATCTCTCACTTCCGAGGCGAGTAGATAAATCAAAAAGGAACTCAGAGCTCACCTGGCTGGCGCGCGCAAACGAGCTGGGGGAATTTTCAAACGCTTTTCAAACGCGGCGCCTGCACCATGCTCCCACGAAGCGCTTCGATCGGGAGGCGCCGGCCAATTGATCGTGCAGAATATTTCCAGCGCCTTTCCCCCCTGAAGCTCAAGCTGTTCTCGATGTATCGAACTCGAGAGAAAGTTGACACAGCGAGCTGCGCGACGGAAGCTAAAGTCCAGCAACCGCCAATGACTTCTTCTCCCACGACACGAGATGTATCCAGGAACACCCGCACAAACAATGGATTCGACGCGATAATACGGGGGCCGCGTCGAGACGTGTGTGATACCAATTGCCGATCTCTCTTCTTTTTTTTTGGTGATTTCTTCCTTCTTTTTCTTACTTATTCGCTCGGTACAGCTTGTTGCGGTCAATGATCCGAGCTTGATCCCTCACAAATCCGCTAGCAACGCAAGGTGCAATGAAGGTGAAGACGGGAGGTTGGATCGTAAGCAGTTTCGACATGCATTGTGTGGCAGGCCAAGTTAGGGGGGAAGAGAGAGCAAAAAAGGCGTCAGAGCCCCGATGATTTTCGAGCGCCAGCGCACCCGATCTGTGCGGGGGGAAAGAAGAAGAAAAGAGGGATCTCTCGGGCACGAAGATCGCGGGCTACAACTCGGAACTCGGATTTCTACACCTTGTGGATGTGACGTTTCTGTTGGAACAATTGTGGAATTGAGCAAGAGAACTTTTTTTTGTTCTTTTCTTTCCTTTTTCTTCTTCAAGGGCCACGCAAGGATGCGCGCACGGATTGTCTCCCCTGATAATGACGCATAGGTATGGGCCGAACACAGCAACTTTCCTCAGGGAATCACTCGCGAAACCTCTCGAGCCGCCAGCTGGCATTTTATATAGCAAAGTGAAGTTACCCGACCGGTGGCAAGTCAACCCCGACCCCATATCAACCATCCATTGGGCAATTGCTGCGACACATTCCGAGGCGGAGTATACGGGAAATCAGGGCGAAGTTCCTCGCTACGTGGCAGCGGCTCACCGCATGATAACCCATATTAAATACACCAATAGCGGACGGACCTTGCGCTACTATTCATTGGCGCTCTGCCGCTGAATTGTTAGTTCATTGATTTGATCATTTCTATTGCCCTATTGCAATATTGCAGCCTGAGTACCCGATGCCATGGGACGAGCACGGACAATGCCAGCGTGGCAGTGGCTGTCATGGATTTTAGTCGGGTTTACTTGTACTTTTGATAGGTCCAGTGAGTGATTGCTTCGAGTGTAACAGTCGAAATGGAAATCTGTAGTTGAGTAGCTGCATATTTTCTGGGTTGTGGGTTGTATTCCCAAGGCATATCATACACTGCATCGATCATCGACAAAAAGAAAACTCACCCGAAGTAGCTTTGATCTCAATAATGACCATAAACTGATCTCGCGAGGTTGAGATATACACTTCGGTCGAGCACTCTACCACGGTTCACGAAATCCCATGCATCCATCTCCGCAGCATTACATCATAGGTGTCCACTCTATTGTTCTCTCCGAGTAGACGCAAATCAATTGTATTTGTATACCAGAATCTAGAAATCCAACTCCGAATAGATGCAAGAGCTTCTGCTCATAGCCGTGATGCAATCCATATATCAACCAATGCAAATACAACCAAATATACCCCCGAGATCAATCCAGTTCATCCACATCTAAATACCCAACAAATGCCCGCGAGAGAAATGCTCGCCAGACCTTGTTGGCTTTTTTCCTCCGCCTTGTGCTCGGGTCTGAGTCAGGTACCGGGCTATCACCACCAGCAAGTTCTTTTTTCTGTATTCCGTCGTCTTCCCCGATTTGAGAAGCAAGCTGGAAGAAACTGCGTGTTGTGAGATCTTTCATCTGGTAGATGTCGTCGTTGGTGCTGTACTCGACCTCAAAATCGACACGAGGATCTTGCTGTCCCTCAGCCGCGGCGTTGATTCGTGTGAGGTTGGCAAAGTATTGGGTATAGCTCAGCAACGAGAACGCCTGGTTGGAGTACGCAGGGCCCGGAGGAGCCGTTGGTGATGGCGGATCTGGCACTTTGAAATCGGGCTTCTTCTTCTTCTTCTTCTTGCCATGTTTCTTTTTTTTGTCGGTTTCTAAACTGGAGGACTCGAATTCTGAGGCAGGCGACTCATCCATCTCGCCAGAGCCCGAATATGGATCGACTTCTGGCTCGTCAGACAAGATTTGGTTGGTCTGAGCCGGTTCACCTCCCACACCGGTGATGTTGTACTCGATGACTCGGAGGGTCGGGAAGAAGTTCGGGACCAAACTGGGTGCGACCAGCGTCACACTGTATCGCTCAGCCCATGGCCCACCAATCTTTTCCAGGAACCTGCGCTTCGTCTTTTCTTTATTCTTCTTGTCGTTTTTGCCTTTCTTAACCGAATCGGTCTCCGTGGCCTCATCTATATCTTCTTCCTGGCTGCCAAGTCCCTCAAACAGACCGGAAGGGGGAGATGGTAATGTAGACCATTGCTCCCGAAGCGAGGCAAGGTAGCCACTCTTAGACCAGACCGACATGCGGTCATCGGCTGAGTCCTCGGCCTCGGGTGCGATTTTAACTTCATTGCTGTCCTGCAGCATAAAGTGGTCGATATTCATGTGGCCATAGAAACTACCCGTGATCACGTCGCGATAGCTATGCACCCAGAACGTATACTTCTGCCAACAGGTCTCGTCCCAGCTACGCTTCTCGCTCGAGCGTGCTGGGGGGACATGGCCCATCAGGATGGCCTTTATGTTGCGGTTGCGCAACAGTTGCAGCTGTACCCGCAGCCATTCCATATGTTCATACCCGGGCTCGGACTTGTCCTTACACCCATCCACTGCCGTGTTCGACTCGAAGAAGTACATGGTGTTCAGGCTGATCACGGCCAGCTGGCCCGGGATCACCTCGGTGGTGAACCAGCCCCCCTCGACAAACGAGTGTCGCTGGTCCTCGGGGATAAATTCATTCCAGACCTTCGCAAACCGCTTCGTCCACCGGTTCGGGCCCTCCTTGAAGATATTGTGAGGCATGACATCGTTGTTGCCGATCGTCGGGACTACCGGGACGGATAATCGGGGGACCTTTTCGGAGCCTGTCGATTGGCCCTGGTTGAACATGGTAATGAATTTCTGGGCCAGGAGCTCGTTGAGTTCCATCACTTCGTCCGGCGACCGCGGCAGGCGCTCGTCATTGTCGTGGCGCGCAGAGTCGCCGGTCCAGATGACAAAATCAATTTCATTTTTGAGGTTTTCCTCGATCCAGCGGAAGGTCTCGTTGACAAGCGACAGGGGTGCATCGCAATCGGTTCCTTGTGCTCCAAAATACCCGGCTTTTCCATCGCCGCGGTGGCACGAGGTGTCGTCGATGGATGATCCGGGTCGGTAGTGTCGGTCGGGATGGAAATCTGATCCGCATCAGACCTGTCAGAACAACACACAATCTCCCTCAGAAGAAAACAATAAGGCGGTATCCCACTCACCGGTTATATGCAGGAATCGACCGTGGAGGCCTCTGGTAGACGCTTGGGCTTCCTGGGCACCGGGTCGGAACTCTGCCCCGACGCTGGTCGCATCGCCCAGGGGCTCCTGGTCCACGGGGACGGCGAAGGCGCCGGCCAGGAGGCCCAGCAGAGCGAGAATAGACTGCATGGGGGGCTCCTTCTCTCAAAGCCTCAAGTCGGGCTCACATCCGCGGAGGAAAACGCGAGAGAGAAAACGAAGAAAATCAAGATCTTATCGCTGCAGGGTCACGTCACCCCACCCGGTCCGCGCATCCGAACCAGGGACTCGCGAGGTTCAAAAATCAGGGGGGCAAAGATGAAAGAGTCCGAACTTTCTCCACGATGTTCGTTCGCTTGCACAAGTCTGGGGAAAGAGAAGATCAGAAAACCCATCCTCTAATCTGCCAGACATGTTCGTGGCTCGCCCCACGTGCACTGGGGACCCTGCGTGTTGATCGTCATTTCACTTCCTCTTTGGGCCTATCCTGAGCATCATGCTATCATGAAGACTGCTGATTTCACTCCGACGATGAACGACCACGGCAGATTGAGCCAGAGCTGAGGTCTAAGTAGTACATAATCTATCATAAACATTCAGAATATCTACTCCCATCCCATAATCGCACCATTTACACCCGCAATCGCCAGACACGAAACAGTCAAGTCTACCAGTAAATCAAAACTGCAATGGCTCGCAATCTTTCATTAACCCCTCCCAGAAATCATCCGCCAGAACTGTCGGGGGAGCAAAATTGTTGTAGAGCTGTTCGTCGGGGTTATCAGAGTCCGGTTTCGCAGATCTCTGAGACTGAAGCACCGAAAGCTTGATGAATTTCACCCTCTCAGTGACCCGCTCACAGAGTTCATCGTAGTTCTCGATCAGCCAGCGGGATTTTGCGTATCTGGTGGCCGACTCCATCTTGGCAAGGATGGCGTCGACTACCGTGGGAAAGTCCAGAGCTTCACGGGCCACTTGGGGATCCCACCCGGGACACTCCAGCGTGAACAGTCGGGAGAAGATCAGTATAATATATGTTGACGGTCCCCAGCCACTGTAGGGAAGGGTGAAGACCATGTGGTCGGGAATGCTCAAGAAGGTATCCCAAAATGCCTTGACACTTCGCAGGCACCGCCACAGCACATTAATACGCTCGGTGGTGGACGAAGGGGTCTGCCAGAAGGAATGATAGAGTCCAGATTCGTGAAGAAGAACTTCGGCATTGTGTTTATTCAGGATGAACACAACTGCGAGTACGTGGTTAGCACTTCTTTTGCATATGCTCCGCTCGCAATTGCATCGAAACGAACCATTGTGTTTCAATACAGGTGGTATCGACTGTGCCTGAGATTCAAGCTCGCGTTGTAATGTTTTCAAATGCAGGATAATAGGGGCATGCAGGACGTGAGGGTTATCTGGCTCATCGTAGGGCACTGCTTGCACAATCCTCTCGGCGATTTGCTGCACTTGGACCAGCCCTGCGAGCAAGAGATCACTCTCATATTCATGGGAATCCAAAAGAGTATGAAGCTCTTTCTCGAGGTATGATGTATATTCAAGGGCATTTACTCGTCGAAAGATTGCGGATACCCTAAATAGCGTGAGCATGGGATCAATCATGGGCCAGAAGAGCACGACGCACACTGAGGAGACATAGAAACATCCAAGCAACGCGCGTCTTTCCTCGTTTTTCAAGGTCCGAGCCTCGACCAAAAATCCATAATTGATCCTTGAACTATCAAACATGAATTTCCTTCGGTCGTTAGCATGGGTTGGCCTGTTCAGCCCCAGATCAGCCAACATTGCAATAGCCAGCTGTAACAGGTTAGTCATCTGGGAAATTTGGTTGAAATGAACATGGTACCTGTCGAGGAATTCTGGCATGAGCTAAGATCTAGAGAGCCTTGAGGAGACAAAAGCAATGCGACTCACCAGGCAATATGTACCAGGAGCCCCTGAAGTACATCGAAGGACTTCTCCCCTTCCACCAGCAGACGCCGGCCCAATTCCTCTGTCAATTGCGACCCGAGATGATGCTGGAACGATCGCTGTTTATAGGACGCTGCCATCACCACAGTTTTACATAGAAATGGACTCTTGGCATACAGATCGGACGCCGGGATATCAGGAATGATCACAAAAGGGAAGTGGGGAGCCAACTCCTCTCGGTATATTTGCAGACAGGCGGCGACATCGTCCTCATTGGCCGGCAATGGACGCATGGCAAGCTGCGGCTCCTCTTCGGTGGTAAGCAGTGCCGACAGGGGGAGTGGAATACTCGGCCCGTGGCGGGTTTCTCCGGAAGGACTAGTGGGAGACATGACATGGCTAGTGCTTGGATGTGAGGCAAAGCTGTCAGACGAGTGGGGCTGGGCTGTGGTTTCTACAGATCGCATCAAAACATCCACTTTCTGCTCCAGCTCGGCAAATCGTCTGGGATATGACGTTAGCGTGGGTGCATGAATCGAAACAACGGCTCAATACATACGTCCTCGGCAGTGGAGCCCGGCGCTCGCCAAAGTACTGGGTCGTACATTCTTTATGCAATCGCAAGCATCTTGCAACGAGTCAGTGTCAAGTTGGTTTGTCATCGAGGTTTTTTTTGGGGGGGGGGTCGGATCAGGGGCAATGGCATACCGCTCGCATGGGCCGGTATGACTGAAGACACATTTTACTTTAGCCTTGGCACATGGGCGACAAGCATTTGTCGGGGGCCGTGGTGATCTTGAATTAGTGGTCGGTCTACCCAACATTGTGAAAGCACCTTGCCAAGACGCTCAGGCGCAGGGATGGGGAAGAAGAGGTCGGGTCACGTCGGAGACCGGGCGCGGAGCCGGAAGAACTGTACGGGGTCCATCGTTTCACAACGTGATTCTATATGTTTAGCGAGCCTACAGGACGGCAAATTGCGAGATTCTCCTCTTCTAAATCATGACAAGCATTGACCTGGGTCAACAGTCGGGCAGTTTTTTCCTCCTAATCCGTCTATAGCAAAACTAAAGGATCGAACCATTTCGTATACTTGGAGTAGTCGGGAAGAGGAGAGGATAGTTCATGATATGCGCAAAGAAAATGTATAACCAGAAAGAAAGGCAAATCAGTATTCTTTGTGACCATTGCGGTAGTAGGTACTACAGTCGAGGCCAATTTATAATGTCTCACTTCGCCCCTCATATTGAACTTGATGATCGAGGTTTAAAAAGAGGGTATGGCAGTTGTCCTCTGGACGTCCAAAACCCACAAATTACAGGAATTGCGAAGTATAATGGAGGCAACAGTTACGGCCAACGTGCCCTAACCTTCATACTTCCGTTGTGGGGGAGGGTCCGTGAAAAATCCAACACGGAGTAAGCTCCGTGTTAACAATATCCCCAGTCGCTCCAATGGCACCTGCATGTTCTTTTAATCCCATATTGCCATGAAATAAAGCTCCGAGGCGACAATGCTGATTTTGGCCGACCGGGATAAGTCAATTGACTCAGAAATAAGCACAGTCATTCCTGCAGCCCACGAGGCAACTTGTCTAAGATTCACGAGGCTCACAGCGCTGGAAACCTTGGAATCGTCGATTTTAGATGTATCTCCATTGCTGTGCAAACACTTGAGCACGGCTCAGATTTTGATCCTTTTAGATACTTCTCTAACCCAGTCTAAAACCCCTTGAGATCTACCTAGTCCCATCTATTGCTTCCTTCCAATCAAACAATGGCTTAATCACAAGCTGGTAAGCTCTCCCCGTTTTCCTCGAATTAATGTTCACTTACATTTTACGGCAAATAAGCCCGACTATTCCGGGGTGAGACCCTGAACCAATCCAGACTTCAAATTCAACTCATAGATCAATCAATGCCCACAATGTGTCGACACATGGTATGACTGGGGAATCCCCCGATTCCAATCAGGATACGGAGCTATTCGTCCACGCCACCTGCTGGAGGCGTCTGCTGTCGGTGCAATCAGGGGCCGGGGGAACCGAGCGAATGACCAATTGTGCCGAATACAAGAAGCTGGAGAATAGGAAAATAGAAATATAAGAACCCCATGCCATGCCACTGTATTGTAGATCCACACTTTTGTCGCACACTGATCCCGGCCCACGGAGAAGCCTTCTATCGAACATCCACGGCAATAAGAGCCATGTCGGACACCAGAGTCAAGGATGAGGAGATGCATGCATGTTTATTCTAGTGGATCGATTGTTGCCACTCCCTTCAGCGCGATTATTTCCGACAAGCTTGGACGTCGCAAGTGCATGTTTGTCGGTGGTTGGATTATCATCATCGGCTCAGTTATTATCTCGACAGCGATGACTCTCGCTCAATTCGTGGTTGGTCGGTTCGTCCTTGGAGTAGATATACAAGTTTTTACAGGATCTTGTACTAGCCTCAAAATCAGGTTTCTACAACTGCGGCTGGTTCGGCGGGTCGATCCCTGCGGCCGCAGTCACGTATGGCACCAACTTTATCAACAACAACTACCAGTGGCGCATCCCCTTTATTTGCCAGTGCTTTGCTTGTGTCATTGTAGCTTCCTCTGTGTGGTTCATCCCCGAATCACCCCGCTGGCTTATTGCCCAGGGGCGTGACGACGAAGCCATTGCGTTCCTAGTCAAGTACCATGGCAACGGTGACGCGAATGCCCGGCTGGTCCGGCCGGAGGTTGAAGAGATGAAGGAAGGTATTCGAGTTGACGGGATTGACAAGAGATGGTGGGACTGTGAGTGGCCCAGCATTCTCCAGCTCCAGGTTTCATCTCCTGGCATTTCTCATGGGCACGGTGCCGACTAACGATTCCAAATTCAAACAGACCGACCTTTTATCACAACCCACAGCGGCCGGTGGCGCTTCTTGCAGGTCATGATGATTTCCGTTTTTGGCCAGTGGTCGGGCAACGGTCTGGGGTACTTCAACGCCGCGATCTACAAGACCATCGGCTACGAATCTAGCTCGACGCTGCTGCTTCTCAACCTTATTAACTCCATTGTGTCGGCTATTGGAGCATTGACTGCTGTGCACTTTACCGACCGGGTGCCACGCCGACCGGTTCTTGTTTGGGGGACCCTTGGTAAGCCTTAAAGCATGAATATCTCAAGGTCTGGCGAAGTAGCTGACTTGAAAAGCCTGTGCTATCACCATGGCCATCAACGCAGCCATCTGCTTGCCAATCGCCCAAACGGGCACAATTGGCAAAACCAAAGGCCAAGCCGCACTGGCCTTTTACTATCTCTTCAATGTTGTTTTCTCTTTCACCTACACGCCACTGCAGGGCGTGATCCCGGCCGAGGCATTGGAGACAACCACTCGCGCAAAGGGCCTGGCACTCTCGGGGTTCATGGTCAGCGGCATTAGTTCTATCAGCCAATATGCGTCTCCAATTGGGTTGGGGAACATCTCCACAGATTCCTTCTGGATCTTTGTTAGATGGGATGTGGTCGAGTCGGTTTGTTGGTGGTTCTTCTGGTAAGATTGCCACGAGTGGCATCCGCTCTGCCCTTGTTATGTGAGTAGGTACTAATGCTTTTTTTGTTCTATAGTGTTGAATCTCAGGGTCGTACGCTTGAGGAGTTGGAATGGGTGTATCAGCAGCCTAACCCTGTCAAGGCATCCAAGAACGTGGATAAGGTTGTTGTGCAGCAGGATGGCACAGTCACCGAGAAGATCGACCCGGATGCTTGATGCCTCCCCGTGAATTCGAAGGATTCTCAAGTGCTGAAGTGGCGTGTAATCGAGGCTATTGTGGTAAGAGCTTGTCATTGATGCGGGAGCTTTGCATCTATGGATATGTACGTTGTTCGTTCAGCTGGCGCTAAGTGAAGTTGGGGGATTTTGCTCAAATATACCTGTCACGCAAAAAAGCGTAAAAAAAGGCTCCCTTTGCTTAATGCTAAATTCAAATAAAAGCGGCCAGGGGGGTTCTCCTCAAGAATCGAATGATATGGTCTCCGTCCCTTCATTGATGTTTACAAATCGCGTTGTGGTCCATAGCCCCAGAGGTACAAGACAAGTTGGTCTCACCGCAATTTGAACCAGGTCTGCTTTAACTCTCCTTCCCATTCCCCTCCTTCAATAGAAGAAGTCTTTCCCTCAAAACACAAAACTACAGGAGCGTCCCTTCTAACAGCCTTGTTCGAGCTGATATGCCTGGTCAGTTATATTCCCCCTGATGCCATACCGGATGCTAATATAATTCTAGATAGCAACTCATTTACTGGCTACCGATAGTCATATCTCTCATCCGTTGGAGAAGGCCTACTGCGTTCAAGGGCTCAAGATTTCCTTCGATTTACTGATTGGAGTGCACTCATTGAGTATCCTGCCACCGCGCAAAATGGAATAGAGTGTACATTGTTGCCAGATATTGGGCTGGACTACAATCACATAATCCGTATCATTGAGTTCAAAGACAATGTGCAATGGGCTGCAAGGCTACGAATGCCACCCTTGTCACAGAGTGAAAGTCAATATGACTTAACAGAAAGTATCATGGAATCTAAATACAATATGATCCAGCTTGTCTATAAGGAGAGCAAAATCCCTGTTCCCAAAGTCTATGCTCTTGAGAGCAGCTCTGGCTGTAAAGTGAAGGCACCATTTATGCTAATAGATTCCCTAAAGGGGAATGTGGGAATGGATCTTAATAGGAAAGTACCCTCGGAACACAAAAGGTCTATCTTCGCTATGCTTGCGGAGATTCAGGTATATCATGGTATTAGAGCGAGGTTTTTGCAGTATAGAATTATTTTTATATCATCTTTAATATTCTAGATTGAGATATCAAGAATTCAGCTACTAAAGATTGGAACTATCCTCGGGAGAAACACAGACGGATCATGGCAGCAAGGCACCATACCAGAACTAGGGGACCCTTTCAAAACGGCGGCTGAATTCTTCAAAGCATAGGCCGCTAAATCTGACTTTTGTATATCAGAAGATAGGCTAAAGGAAGTAGCCGGCCCATTCGCTGATGAACTGTCGTCCAATGCTGCCTCGTTTAAACCCTTACTTGGTAGTCTAGCCGACAGGCTATTTATCCAAGACAAGGGTCCATTTCCATTATGCCACGGTGACTTCGGCCAAAACAACATGGTTTTCGATGACCAATATCGCCTTCTTGTTGTTATCAACTAGGAGTCGGCATTTGCGGCGCCAGGGGAACTATCGGGGGAGTTTCCATTGACTCTTTCCGTCGCTCCACCTGATATGGATGCACCATAGAAGTATGATGAAGGCGGCTGCCCAGAGGATGCCGAGGATCAACAGGCCTTCGCAGACCGGGAAGAGTACATCGCTAAGGTAATAGAGAAAGAAGGAGCACAGGGGTTGACTGAAGGGTGCCGTCTATCGGCAGCATTGGATTCTAAAAGGCAATCATTCCCGACTGCGATGACACTATATCAGAGAGGTAAACCTGGATGGTACGCAAAAGTTGCCGAAAGGTTTTTGGATGAGCCATATCCATGTTCTGTCGATTAGCGAAAAGTTTTGCTCTACTACCTGCCCATTGAGGCAATGGAAAATGGGTACAGAAACCAATGGCCTTGTGGGAAACAAAGAGAAATGGTGACTGAGTGGTAAATATAAAGGTCATGGGGCCAAATTAAATAACAGCATAACTGGACATGACTTCATTCAAACATATTCGCGGAGTTCTATACACAGGTGCAACGTCGTCCTTTTGATGGCTGTGTATATGAGCTCCTATCATGACTGTCCTGGAGAATGTCAGCAGCGCTAGCATTCCCGTCAGAGAAGTATCTGGCTCCCTTGCCGGCAATAGTCGATCCTTGCCTCTTGTTCCTGGAAATGGAAAGGGGGCTTTGAATGTACGGCGAACTTAGCGCGTGTGTGTATCTGTTTGTGCCTGATGTTCGGCCTCTGACAGAACGCACAAGTGAGCGAAGACAGGGGATGGAAGCTGTAATGATCACCAAATATGTCTCAATATACAACCAGCGATCGTAGTTGACTGTGGCGGTAGTAGGGTCGCTGTCTGCACTAGCGAGAACCTGGGTTTGAACTGTTTTGATAATCGAAGCAGTCATCGCACTGAAGGGGATCCGCAATGGTTAGCACAAAATATTCTTCAACCCAATCTAGGTGAATTACAGGACTGGTCACTTACAAAATGCCCAGCCCAAGCAGGCCCGCCAGGCCCAGTTTAACCCGCAGCTTGAGATTCAGGCTCCAAAAGATATATGTCGGGAAGATCGCAAGATAGAGGTCCGTTGCAGAATTGAATGCTTTCCAAGATCTGTCAGCGTCGATCTATGATCAAAAAGCCAGCATGGTCTCCTTACATCCTTGGAAATACCCATAGAATGCCTGGACTCGCAGGTCCCAGCATTTCTCTTTCCCAGTATGAGCCCAGATGGCAGAGACATGTCCTGGGCATTGGACGAAAATGATGACGATAAACATCAAGTTTGCAACGGGCTGTAGACCAACAAGAGTCCATAGGACTATGCTATGTGACCGTCGTGCTCCCAGAAGTCCAACGATGAAGACGATAAATGCGATTCGACCTACAGTTCCTCCCGCAATACCGAAGGCCTGCGCCGAGTAGTCGTACATGATGGCCTTTGGGATATTGGTTGTGCTTATATGCCCGATGTGTTGGCCAAATCCATGTTTAATTGCCAGCGTGAGCATAGCTGATCCGATGATAGCCAAACACTATTGCGCCAAAAATGGTTAATTTGATTCAGAGAAAGTCTTATAAAAAGAGAAAGGGGAAAAAAGGCTATTGTGGGTAGGTGACAAAAGAAAAATGAATATTGCTAACCAATGCAAAAGACATCAAAGCATCGTCCCATCCCAACTTCCCGACTCTCAGTTTCGCAGGAATTCGCAACGCGGTAATTAAGATAGCGACTGCTGTCAGAGCCCAAACCTCTTTGAGTAATTGTGGGCCAGCATCGTACGAAGAGGGCCTTGTGGAGGCAGACATGTCGACTGGCTACACAGTAGGTAATCTTCAGTTATGGAAGTATGAGAAGAGACAAAGTTATTACATGCCGATGTCGCGAAATAAGCCATGATAAAACCAAGTTATACTTCCTACTTCTATTTTCTGTTTATCAACACAAGGAAAGAACAAAAGAAAAGTTCGTCGGCAATCTCCATGGCCAGGGATACAAACCAGATCTATTCCGTTAGGGAGCCCTAAACCCTATGACGCTGGTCGGAGATCTCCGCGACTTGTCCCGGGGCCATTCTACCGATAAGAGACGAACATTGATAGCCGCAGAACTTTGATGATTTCTGATAATACACCGCAGAATAATTGGTCGCTGCCCCAGGTAAGGCGTGCCGAATATCTGCGGCTGTAGCGGTAATCGGGATGTGCATCACACTTCAGCTGTGGCATCTACTGGCATGAATTAGTACGTCCTGGAATAATAAGTGGTTTGTATCTTTTTATCTCAATATTCCACGGAAACTCGTCAATTGAGATTGAAGTATTCGATCCGACGAGCATTGCCCACGAATGGATCTCATCCAGGCGATGGCTTCCACAGAGGAGGGAGGGTTGGGATATGCTGCAAAGTTCTGGGAGTGGTGTAAGGAGCAGTGGAACCTATGTTTATATTGATAATAACTAGCAAATATGCCTACGGTATACGAATTGAGATAGCATTGTCATCTGGCCAATATTCCAATGGTTCACCTCTGTTATGCATGCCGTAGTTTAGTTCCACCACCAATCAATATCGCTTGAAATACGAAATGTTTCTTGCACAGATACAATAGCCGGATTGAGCACTGCCTGTGGAAGTGACCACGACATCCAGGCAAAGCCAATGCCGACAGAAGTACAGCGAATCGCTATAGCTAGAAAGGGCTGGCTTTGAGCAGCGAGTTGCGAGAGAACTCGCTGAATAATTATTGAGAACGGCTGCAAACAAAAACACAAGAAGATCATGCCCGCCGCACGAACCCCCTGAGCAATGCAATAGCATGCTGTTGCATGGAAACATGCCGACAGAACAAAGCTTCCTGAGATCAGCATTGCCTTATAGAGCTGTGCAGATTCAGCGTCAGGAACAACCTTGCGAGGGATAGACAGCAGGCTTCGTCGAAGGACATTATGCCACCACTGGCCCCAGAAAGCTGGATAGATACATTAGAATGATACTTCTCATACAATTCCGAGAATGACTGTTTTGGACTTTGTCCAAACCTGGATCATTCCGAACAGGACGTTAGTGACTGCCTTTGTTGCTGTGAGTAATGGTCTTTTCCAAATCTTCTGGTAACACTCTTGGTCGATGCCATAATTGACATTCGATGATTTAGATTCTCGTCTTTGGAGTATATCAAATATACCTTCATCCACTTTCGCGATTTCCAGGGCCGATTGTCTCCAAACTTTGCAATGCTCGTTCTTTATACTACTCTTTGAAAGGCGATTCGCATCTGGACATACTACGATGTCACGAGAAATACGGTACGTGCGTCATGCATATCCTATGACAAGCAACGCAGGTCTAAAGCCATGGCTGAACTGTATACTACTAGGCCCTGTCATAAGATACACTCCGAACACCGTCATGTGGAACAATACGACAGGGCTGAGAGGTATTTTTTTTTTTGATTCCCACAGCTGGGAATCTACTACTGGGATAAGATATCTACGGCGTCCGAAGGAAAGTGCACAAGACATCGAACTATCGATTCCTCGACCAGGGAGTTGCAAATATCCTCACCTTATCGAATAAAGACGTACATGCAAGTCGCCGTCGGTTACTGAATAGCCGTTTCACGGACAAGACGCTGAAGGAATTTAAACCCAGATTATTGTATCATGTGCAGAAGCTTTGCAATGCGCTGAACCCTTCACAAACCTCTTATTCAGGGTTGTGAATCGTCGCCATGGTATCTTTACCAGATATGTCCAGGCGAATCTCAGAGCTCGATGGCGTCAGACCTGAAGATCTCGGCGGTGACATTTTCTCTCATTTGCTGTCGACTCATGACAGTCATTCTGGAGAGAGGTTGAATGCCGAGGAGATCCAATCCGAGTGTCAACTTCTTTCGGTTGCAGGTAAGTCCAGAGCGCAACCCCCAAGAGTCGACAGAAATAGCTCATTCCTTCCCTGCGAAGGCTTCGACACAGTATCATCTGCATCATGCGCGACAATTTTCTACCTCGCCCACTACCCACATGCCCATACTCGTCTGGTAAATGAAATCCGGATCAAGTTCCCATCAAGTGCAGACATCGAGCCAGGCGAGAAGCTGAAGGGATGCGAGTACCTCAATGCGTGCATCGACGAGTCTTTGCGAATATCACCCCCATTTTGCACATTTGCCCCGAGAGAGGTGGAGGAGGGAGGCGAAAACATTGATGGAAACTTGATCCCCGAGGGATATGCTGTGGGGGCATCTGTTTATGCGATTCAACGCAGCCCAGAATACTTCCCTCAACCTAATGTGTATCTTGCAGAGCCGTGGTTAACGACCAAGGATAGTTCACCCCATTCGGCCTTTGTGCCATTTTCCATGGGGCCCAGAGCCTGCATTGGAAGGTTGATGGCCATTTCGGAGCTCCAGACTACAATTGCCCTCTTTGTGTGGACGTTCGATTTCAAGCTTGCTGATGGAGATCATGGTATGACTGGAAGAGGAAGTCCACGACAGCGAGCTGGCAGAAAAGATCCCAGTGAGTTCCAGTTATATGATAGAATCACTAGTAGGGTGGAGAGGCCAAAGATTCAGCTGCGGCCAAGTGATAACGCGAGGAGCCAGAGCTGTCGTTGACCATGTCAACTGGTATTATTGGTGGCAAAGGTGTATTTGATTATGATTTTAATTTGACTTGATGTTTTATCTATATCAATGATATTATATTCTACTAATTTAATATTTCTATAAACACTAAGATACATCTTTTATATCTAAATAGGTTTAAATATATTACTATTAGATTACCAGGCTAAACCTATTAGGTTTTGAATTAGATCAAGTTATGGAGAGACGCTACTCTAACTCTTTACAGAAGTTTAGGAACATGATGTTACAACAGGGCTCTCTGGTTAGCAAGCTCGTTTAAATCCATGTTACTCTGTACTCTATATCCGCATGTATAATTGTGTTGTGCCTATAGATGATCGCTCATGCTTTATTACTTGGTCCCATCACCGTCACTGGTTGCTGACCTTGATACTTCATCGTCTCCCCCGCGATAGAGAGTGTGATGTTCCATTCGATCGCATGGGTGGCCTGGATATTACATGTCGTAAATGTCGGGTATGCATTCGTCTCTGCAGAGCTCTTGGGTGACCGAATACCCAGAGCAATGCCTAGATCGAGAGGTGTTGGATCATCTTGCGGCACCATCAGCGGTATATTGGATTGAGCTTTGGGCGACGTTCCATTGGCGTAGGACACGGGCTTCGGACCCAGAGTCGAAGTGTAATCTGCCAAGATTGAGGTAGATTTCACCGAAAACCCTTCCAAACCACTAACGCGCATATTTTTAAACCGCTTAGAGGTACAGAGAGCGTTCGATAATAGAGTTAGGTTGAACTGCTTGACGAGAATGGTAGGTAGAATTGGTTGTAAAATGTCACTGGTATCAGCCCAGATTGTGTTTGCTCGTAATTGCAACGGGATGGGATTGGGATTTCCGATCTGTAGTAGTGTGGCAAAGTCCAGCTGAAGGGAAAACGAGTATTCCGGCACTTGGGAGGATTTGATCATCTTCCGTAGATGTTGACCGATGCCTAGTCGCGAGTCCACGCCTAGCACTAGGCGTTGTGAAACGAGCCTCTGCTTGGGCTCGGAACGATGCTGGGTGCTACAGTTGGTGCTTGAGATAGATGGCAAGTTTGGGCTAATTTGGAGTGGCAGAATCGCTTGCAATTCTCGATGGTTTCTTCTGCTCCCCAAGGTATGTTTTTGGCTGCCGGTGCACCGCATCGTTGCCTCTAGATAATACTCCACAAACGCTTCGGTATAAGGACTCGTTCTTCCCGTCTTCACACTCAGACTAGGAGGCAGATCCTGAGATGCGATTTCCTCAAAAGGAAGAAAAGTCTTCTCATCTTCATTGTCCTTTTTGAGAGACGCCAAGTCAGGATGCTTAGGCAGGGTGATGGCGAACGGCCACCTCCCGTGATTATTGTCGGTGCTATTTGGCGGGATATGGATCGGCCCCTGGTGGATCTCGAGGACTTCGCGCAAGCTGTCGAGAAGCTTGAACGTGCTAGCAAACTCTTGGCGGCCCATGCCACCGACCGCGGTGTAGGACCGGGTTCGTGCACAGAGCCGAAGAGAGACCGAGGCATTTGGGTCGACGATAGGGGACTGTCGCAGTACATGACCCCTAATGATGTCGCCGGGGGTGAAATGATTGCTTGTCTCCAGAACGATCTTGAGTTTGGGGCTGCTTTCCAAGGATGTCGGGGGCATCGTGGAATATGATTCTATGGAGGAGGTCAGAGTCTGAGAACAATGCACGCTACGTGGGAGTCACGGGGATCAAAAGGGTGCACAAAGCTCCTGATGACATCAAGCTCAAGGATTCCCCAGGCAGCACTGCGATGTCCTTTTGGCTATAACGCCCAGTTTCGGGCCAAGAACCGGGCATTATATGTACGAGATCCTGTCCCAAGAGATAAAAATACAAAGTTGTCATATTCGAACTTGGGGCAATCATCGCGCGATTCTTACCCGAGGGAGCTTATAGTGCCATTGCTTTGGTGTTGTTTACTATTTTAAGCTGAAAAGAGACGAGTATAAAACAGTCTCGGTTGAACCGCTGATGTCATGCCGCCGATCGTTACTGGAAGCACAAAGAAGCCCCCTCACTGGCAGGTCAAGGCGACTAGAAGTTCCGCAGCACACACTTCTGAATTCCAAGCATCCAAAATATTGAAAAGCATTACGGAAATATGGCATTCGCTCGCAGGTTAGCGATCCTCCCTGGGGGTTTAGGTAGGGATCAGGGGAAATCGCAATCGCAGCCAAAGCCGAGGGTTAACATGGACGATGATCAGGTGGCCTTGGATCGAGCATTGGCCAAAAGCTAAGACAGCAAGGCGCCCGTCTAGCGATTCTCTATGCGCCTTTCGATGCAGCGCGCCGAGACCAGCTACTAGAGGCTGGGTACGGCGGCAACCACAACCCGGATGATATCCGCGCCTATGAATGCGATATCACATCGCCAGACTCGGTGCAGTCTGCCTTCAGCTCGCTGCAAAAGGAGATGGTCGCGCCCGAATCATCATCCCTACCGTCCAGGGCATTCCCAGGAATTCTTATCAACACGGCCGGGTACGTGTCGCTGAGTGACATGGAAATCACTCCGCCCGAGGAGACCATGAAGCACCTCACCACCAACGTCCTCGGCCCGATGCTCTGCTCGCAGGCGTTTGCGCGGCTCTATTTTGCTGCGTCGAAGGCTGCCGAGGCTTCGCCGAGTCCGCCGCCTCCGGGTAGGATCGTGAATATCTCGTCGCAGGCGGCGCATGCTGCGCTGCACCGACATGGTGCGTACTGTGCTTCCAAGGCTGGACTATTAGGTTTGACACGAAGCATGGCTTCGGAGTGGGGAGGTCGGGGCATTACCTCTAACACTGTCTCGCCTACTGTTGCGTGGACGGCTCTCGGGCAGAAGGCTTGGGGAGAGGACTCTGTGAGAGAGGCCTTTCTCAAGAATATACCGACTGGCAAGTTTGCATTGCCTGAAGAGGTTGCCGATGCCGTTCTGTTTCTTTGTCAAGTAAGCATGTCGAGTTTGCTTTTGATATATCCCGTTTTAACAGATAAACTAGGACTCGAGCGGTATGGTCAATGGTGCGGATATCAGAGTTGACGGTGGATTCACCATCAGGTAGTTTTTGAATAGATAGTAGTGAATTATCTCAAGATTGACCATAACTGGGAGCTTGATCGGTCTTGAAATAAGCCCCAATGTACTGGTTCGTTTCTTAGCATAGTTAAAAGGTGATGGCCATATAAAGATAATATGCTTCCCGAGCCAATCAATCCTTACATGTTATGTTTTGCGTATGGTGAAAATATAAACTTCCAAGATGGAGGGCTCTAGGGCGACTTGAATATTTCCCATAAATACTAACAAACATGGCTGGTATGAGCACAAAAACACACTATTATACATTTCGATGCTTCCACGAGAACTTGTACATCCCCATAATTTAAAACACCTTGAAAAGGGGTGAACCCATGACTACTCACGCCATGTGTTCCAATCCACTCGTGGAGACAAGCATGCGATCCTAAGCTCTTCATTAACACACACGCCCTCACCCAAATACCAAGGAATATCAAACTCACCATAACCCACGTTGGCATAAAACCTTGGATGAACCATCCAATCGAGGCCAATTTCCCTCGCCATGTCAAGCCATTAACCCCTGCCAGTACATCGCCGACGACCCGTCTCGCAAACTCCGAAGGAAGCATGGCCCCCTCAGTCAATGAACCCGATGCTGTAGTGGTAATCTCCTTCGAGGCAGCCTTCCACAAAGAGTTTTCAGGCAGCTGAGGATCAGGGTGATTGGCAAAAACATTCGTTGCCAGCGTCCCAGCCATGACAGTCATGACCTTGACACCCAGTGGAGCCATTTCTAGGCGGAGAGACTCGCTGTAGGATCGGACGGCCGCTTTTGAGGAATTATAAAAGGCTATATGAGTCGAGAATTTGTCAGTTTCACCTTCTCTTGAATAAACCCGCGATTTTTACGGCATAGAAGAAACTCACCACCCCATGCCGTATGGAGCACCGCAGCTATAGAGCAGATATTGACAATCATCCCCTTGGAAGCGATGATCAGCGGCGCAAAGGCATGGATGACATTGACGGTGCCCCAGAAATTGACATCAAACAGCTTTCTGGCTCGCTCCAGGTCCGTGTCTAAAGCAGGCCGCACGCACGCCTGGCCCGAGTTGTTGACCAGATAGTCTAGCTTCCCGCCAGTCTTTGCGGTGACGGTCTCTATGGCGGCACTGATGCTGGAGGGAGACACGACGTCGAGTTCTAAAAGAGTCACGTTCGGCAGCTTCTCCAAATGCGCCATCTTCGACAAGGAGCGCGCCGTTGCGAAGACATGCAGCCCACGCTCGTGGAACGCCTCTACCAGGGCCGAACCGGCGCCGCCAGCACTGCACCCGGTAATTAGGACGGTTTTGAGTGGGGTTGCGGCGGGTTGGGGCATTGCGACTGCGTATTCAACGAGGGGATAATCGGTTGACAGAGCTTGGTGTAGTGAAATTGGCCAGGGGGAAGAGGGACTGGAGAACGAAGAGAGCACGGAGTTCTGTGCAGCATAAATTTAAATTCAACGGCACGAGGCGCTTCACAAGGTGCGTCATAATTTGGGACCCCAATGCCGCAAGGCCGATCGGTCCTTGGCAGGTGATGAGATTACTGATTTACCCTTCTAGGAAACGCCCCGGGCTGGCATACAAGCGGGGGCTTGCGGGCGGCACTAGCGCCTCGTCTCCACTGGCGTCCCCACTGGCGTTCTGTGCGTGGTGGGTCGACCGTTTCATGAAGGACAGGGACCCCTGTAGCTCGCTTATTTTCATGGAGTGGCCTAAACGGGCCCCCATACCCTCGTGGTGAACGGTATCGTGGGAGTAGACAGGTGCTTGAGAACATTATCAACGTTTCCAAAGGTCATATAGGGTACATGGATTCTTGTAACTATAAAAAGACAGCTATAGCTATACCTCAGGAACGAATGATCCTTTCCTGGCTCTCGCTATCGACACTTCTGAGCGTCTCGATTTCGGCAGTTCTTTTCCCCAAAACCCTTTGTGTCCAGCGGTTCTGGTTACTCAAGTGATAGTTCTGGTCATAGCCACTATGCCACTCGGTACTTCGGGTCCGACTTCTGGTTTTGTTAGAAGACCCGAAGCCCGGAATGGACCTCAGCAAGACACGCATGGAAGGAAGAGATCCAGTGATTAGGGCGAGACCGAATTCAACATTCATCCAAATAAGCGGCGTCGCTCCGGAATCTGATATCGAAAATGTTAGTCGTTGGTCCCTGCCACGAAGTAATGTCCGAGGCACACACAGGTATAATCATTGACGTCCTTCTGATAGACGAGGGTTGGCAATCGAGCCAAACCAGCAGCACATGCCACAAGACCTAAGGCTTGGTTAGTCCCTCGCTCCAGCTTCCAGGAGTCTTCCGATATGCTTACCCAGCGAAAACAGACCGATAATCGACAACCGGCGCTGAATGGGCATCTGAAGCTTCCAGATGGTGGGAATGGGCATCAAGAATATCACAATGTCAACAGCAAACATGACTACGCCCTGGTACATCTCGATCCCAAACATTGCATCTGGAGAGAAGCATTTGAAGTTGGCAACCGTCTTGTCGTAGGCCGCGCGCACCGGCATGCACTGAAGGATTAGAGGTAGCTCCCCGGATATGGTTACCAAGACCAAAAATACGATAATGCCAATGCCAAAGTAGCGGATGGATTTCGTGGGGAAGATGCGCATGAGGAAGACAATCAGGCTGATCTTGACGGAGGAGGCGACAAAAAGGTAGGTGCACAAGGAGATATAAACGCCCTGAATAACCATGGCCATTAGTATGAAGTTTCAAGTTCACCAGACAGAAGTGATCCTGGCACATACATATTGCATACTTGGTAGTTGTTCCAAGGGAACTGTATCTTGGTGCCGTCCAATGCCATAGAATGTGACCGCAATCGACAAAGCAGCAAAGAATAACACGAGGATCTAAGTCGTTCGCCTTGTTAGTTTGGTTTTCAGAGGAGTGTGGCAGGGCGTCATACCAGAGAGACGATCACAAAGTAGTCGTCGAGGCCGAAGGCGCGAATGACGAATTTGCGCAAGTAGAGCTGTCATTGTGTCAATATCTCGGTATTCATCATCTCCATGGAATCGATCTCCAAACGCACCCGCGTCGTGCAAACCATCAGAGCCAGCAGAGCCACTGTCCCAACGACAGCCCTCACAGTCGTCACCATAGTAGGCACGTCTGCTGCCATCTTTGACTGATTGGGGCGAATTTCATTCACTGGTAATCTCTAACAATCGCCAGGCCTCCCGAATAATAGATGTCTATCCAGGACGATTGAGAATGAGTTGCAGAAAAAAAAACAAAACATGAAGCATGAGAGCCCCCGGGGAGGTGGAGTTCTTCAATCCTCGCACTCGCTTCCATGGATCTGCTGTTCTTGACACTTCCTGCTCCTTTCTCCACTCGACAGGCAGTACTAAGGCAAGCTAGCATGCACCAGTCCACTTGGCCCGCTGTTGGTGTGACAGCAAGTGACAGAAGACTGGTACAAAACCTGGCAAGTCTTGACTCTGCTAGTAAAATTAGCCAATAATGCAGATTAAGCAAACGTGCTTTTTGCCCTAAGAGGCTAGCGGGGGAAGATCCATTTGCTTTCCGTTCTGACAGGGCCCCTTTTCTTTAGGCCTCAAGAAATGTGATTTGAAAGTGACAGCTGAGGTTCTCACAATGCCATTGTTTTTAATATCGAATGCACTAGGCAGCCCAGGTGTCAAGGCAACCCGCGCGGATTTGGTCCTTGCAATGTGCCCTTATATCTCGGGCTAAAGCAATTCTTTCATGTTTCAACCGGTAAATAACTGGTCCTCGGGGCATTCCTTCCTGCTTGCGATATGTCAAAGGGTCCGTCATGGGGCCTTGCGTATATGGCCAAAATGACGAGAGGTCACATGGCTGGGTGTCTCGTGAATCAGGCCTCAATCCTCTCCTTCTCTTCAAGATAGCACATTCGGGAAAACACCCAAAATTGGGCCCAGACGGTCGCTTCTCGCCTCAATGCATCCCCCAATGGAAATCTTGTCCATTTGTGGAAAATGAGCTTGATCGTCACGGGTCATTCCTATCCCGAGCGAGGTGGGTCCGGGATGTGCCTCGGTGGAGATGCCGATACCTGAAGACAAGGCGTCTTCGAGCTACTTATATGCAGCTCTTAGGACTCGCTCAAAGCCTTTCGGTTTGTCGAATATGCGCAGCTCTCGACCAAGGCCACGGCCTGCTTGATCTGAGTCAACCCGACTCTGTCCTACAAGACCCGGGTAACTCCGCAGGGGTGGCCACAGGCACCACTATACCTGATTTGGTAAAAAGACCCTGGGTTCAAGCTGATATACTCACCCAAGATATCTCGTGCGGGGACCACCTGCTTATCGCCAGCATGGCCATCCCCTATATAACCCTCCTCCTCACCCCGCAGGCTGAGGGGGAGGGGGAGGGGAGCTGGAGCGTTCCACATGTCCAGTGTTATCGGCCTACAAATAGAAGGCTCGCCGGCACCCACGGCTCCGTGAGTTAATCTTTCGCGTCAAAATGGCATCATCACAACGCGTTGTTATCATCGGCGCCGGCATCGTGGGCACCAATCTCGCCGACGAGCTGGTCTCGCGCGGATGGAAGGACATCACCGTCGTCGAGCAGGGCCCGTTGCACATGCCGGGTGGCTCGACGTCACACGCTCCGGGCCTCGTGTTCCAAACAACCGGCTCCAAGACTATGACGCATCTCGCCCGTTATACAATCCAAAAACTGCAGTCATTAGAGAAGGATGGCCACGATTGCTTCAATCAGGTGGGCGGTCTCGAGATCGCCACAACGCCGGCCCGGCTCGAGGAGCTCAAGAGGAAACATGGCTACGCTACTTCGTGGGGCATTGACGCGCGCCTTGTCAGTGCTGAGCAATGCCTCGATATGTATCCTCTTCTAAACAAAGATCTCGTGCTCGGCGGTCTACATATTCCCAGCGATGGCCTGGCACTGGCTGCTCGTGCGACGCAGTTGCTGATTGAACGAACCAGCAAGGCTGGCGTGCGCTATCTCGGATCGACTCCCGTCACCGGCATCCAACAGGTAAATCGTCGAGTCACCGGTGTGATCACCCCCGGCGGGATCGTTCCCGCTGATATTATCATTTCCTGCGCCGGGTTCTGGGGCGTCGAGCTGGGTGCCATGGTTGGGGTATCCATTCCCTTGCTACCACTGGCGCATCAGTACGCGAAAACAACCGCTGTGCCGGCTCTCGCTGGCTGTGATATCAATGACCTGCCAAATGGGAAGAATGCTATCAGGCCAATTTTAAGGTACCAGGACCAGGATCTGTATTACCGTGAACATGGTGGACAGTACGGCATTGGGTACTATGGCCACAAGCCGATGCCAGTTGTTGCTGCCTCGTTAGGCTTAACTACCGACCACGTCGATGAGCAGAATATGCCCTCTCGTCTCGAGTTTACTCCCCAGGACTTTGACCCAGCCTGGAAGCTCTCTCAGGAGGTTTTACCTGCTCTACAACAAACCCAAATAGCAGACGGGTTCAATGGCATCTTCTCATTTACTCCGGACGGTGGACCCCTCATTGGACAAGCGCCCAACCTGGATGGCTTCTATGTGGCTGAAGCAGTCTGGGTCACTCACTCGGCTGGTGTTGCGCGAGCCGTGGCCGAGATCCTCACAACTGGCGGGTCTCAGATTGATGTCTCCGAATGCGAGCTGTCCCGCTTCGAGGATGTCCAGCTGAGTCGCGCCTATGTCAACGAGACCTCACAACAAAACTTTGTAGAGGTCTATGATATTATCCACCCGCTACAGCCGAAAGAGTCACCCCGCAATCTTCGCACTAGTCCCTTCTACGCTCGCCAACGGGAGCTTGGCGCCTTCTTTTTGGAGCTTGGAGCCTGGGAGCGCCCGTATTGGTATGAAGCAAACGCCGACCTGCTGAAGTGTCTTCCGGCGCAGTGGCAGCCCGTTGGCCGAGATGCCTGGTCAGCGCGGTACTACTCGCCCATCACCGCCGCAGAGGCCTGGAAGACACGCAACGCGGTCGCCATGTACGACATGACTTCTTTCCACCGGTTCGAGGTCTCAGGCCCCGGGGCGCTACACCTGCTCCAGCGGTTGACTACAAGCGATGTTACCGCAAAGGCAGGCGCCATGACATATACGCTACTCCTTAATGATCACGGCGGTATTCGCAGCGATATTTTCGTCTCGAGACTCGACGACAACCTATTCCAGATCGGCGCGAACGCAGCTACCGACTTAGCTTACCTCGCTCGAGAGGCCCGCTACCAGAGCCAGCACAGTCCTAGTCAATGGGCCCAGGTGCGAGACATTACCGGCAGCACCTGCTGCATCGGGCTGTGGGGGCCTCGTGCTCGAGATGTAATCAATGCTGTCAGTACGGACGACTTTTCCAGCAAAGGACTGCCATACTTCAGCGTCAAGCGAGCAACCATCTCCGGTATCCCCGTCACGGTATTCCGGAAGTCCTATGTCGGGGAGCTGGGCTGGGAGATTCAAGCCACTGCAGAATACGGCCAGCAGCTGTGGGACAAAATCTATAAAGCAGGCAAACCACACGGACTCATCCCCGCCGGTCGCGCCGCCTTCAATGCCCTGCGACTAGAGAAAGGCTATCGAACCTGGGGCACAGACATGACAACCGAGCACAGCCCATACGAAGCCGGCGTCGGCTTTGCCGTCCAGGCGAGCAAAAAAGAAGATTATGTCGGGAAAGCTGCACTCCAGCACCGTGCCAAACAAACTCCCTCTCGGCGGCTGCGTTGTTTAACCGTCAACGATGGCCGTTCCATGGTGCTTGGGAAAGAACCTGTGTTCTACAACAACGAACCTGTCGGCTATGTCACGAGCGCTGCTTTTGGATATACTGTTCGCAAGCCTGTCGCTTATGCCTGGCTCCCTGGCAAGATAAGCGAGGGCGAGGCGGTCGAGATTGAGTACTTTGGGCGACGGATTCAAGCTACTGTCACAGCTGAGCCGCTCTATGATCCGAACATGAGCCGACTATTCAATGCCGGTCCATCGGCTGTCCCTGAGTTACAGCAACCCTTGAGACATCGGTTGTGAGGTAGGACTAGCCCAGAAGACTTTGATGACATCAGCGATATTTTTTAGTTCAATTCAGCACTTCAAAGATTCTTGTCAAATGAAAACCCTCTCATAAGGATATTGAGTCGAATATTCTTGGCAGCTACAATTCAGGTTGATCTTAGACTACATCAGGGATTTATGTTGTGCGTGATATTGGTTCAGTTTCTCTTGTTTTGTGGGGTATGCAGCCGACGACTCGTTTTTACTGCGAGTCCACTTCTTTAACAAACTTGACTTCTTCCATGCACCTTGTGGTTTTTTCTTTTCTTTGAGTATCGTGAGGCCAGGTCTGAAATGACGCAGTGGCCACTATTCAGTTGGTTCCTCACGACTCATCGGATGGACCTACCCCTCAATCTGAGAATCTAAGGTTCTTGTGGAGAGAGATATGCAAAGAGCAAGTCCACGCACTGGTTCCTTGCAGAAGTCTCTACTCGCGAATCATCGCTCGAACCAACCACCGATCGATCTGGTTGACAGGCGCAAATCTCATTCGGGATGCATTTAGCGCGCGTACCATGTCCCTTTTGAGGGTATGGGGACGGGGACACCGCGTTACATCATCATTAATGCCTCACTCGAAACCCACTTGGGGTAAAAGCGACGATGCGGGGCTCCAGAAAATCCAAAAGTTATAAAGTCGATCGAAATCCCCCAGGAATTCCCTTCTTTCTGCAATCAATTGCAACTATTACCATTTCTACCTGAAGACCACCGGCACCATGAGACCCTCATTCCTTTCTCCCAAGCTCCGCATCGCACCTCTTCTGGTAGCAACGCTGAGTATCCTAGCCACAGGATGCACAGCAGCCACGGTAACCAACAGTCTGCTCCTCGCCTCAATCGCCGAGCAGCTAGCCCTACCCGCCATGACCTGGTCTGCCAACGGCACGCACACGGCCAAGGGTTTCACCACGCAGCAAGCTGACACCGCCAGCGCCGAGGGGCTCAAGGCCGACTGCGACAACATCAACCTCAACAAGAAGCTGGCTACCGACTTCCGCAGCGACGTGCTGGGTGCGGGCGTCACGGGCTTTTTCTTCAAGTGCGAGAGTGTCAGCGCCGATACCAACAAGTACTGGTTTACGATCAGTAGTGGGAGCTCGGCGCAGATCGATAAGCTGTGTGATTCCAATACCAAGTATCCGATTGTCTTTGATAAGCAACACAATACTTGGTTCATTGATGAGCCTTTTGATTGTGCTAGGCGGACTAGTCCGACGGATGTTGTTGGATCTTGAGTTGGCATTGGGGGCAGATACGAACTTGTTGATGTGGACCCTTTTTAAACGGCATTTTGTCCCGGTGATTTTGTGACCCTTCCCTTTCTCTTGGATACCCCTGTTCGTTTCTTCACAGGTGTCAAATGTCTTGGCTGCACTAATTAACCCTCGATTGCATTGCAATGTGAATCCCATCTACATTAGGGTACAACAAAGACAACGAACCCTCAAATCTATGAAGATCCGAAAATTCAATCTTTGTGCGAGCGAATCAAAAATAAACACAATGGTAAAAATACAAATCCATGTCCCAACAGTATGGATTACAACACCTCCCCTTCCCACTTCATCAACAACCTCAGCCACATAAACAGCCCTCCGCCTTCTATATAGTTCACTCCTGACCTGTTCGCGCTTCCGCCAAATCCAAACCCCACTCGGTCTTTACTTCCGGAGTCAGCATACCCGACTTCCGGAGGATAGTCTCCGCGAGAGCGGGAACAGAGTCACTGGTGAGGATCTCAAGGATCTGGAGGTTGGCCTCCAGCTCGCGAGTAATCCAGTTACGGATCTCAATTGCCACCAGCGAGTCAAGCCCATACACCGAGATAGGCGCACCGGGATCCAGTTCCTCGACGGGGCGCATGAGGATACTGGAGACCTTTTGGATCAGTGCAGTCACAACGATAGTCTCGGCGCTGTCACGCCCACGAGACTGGCGGACCGCAGTCGCAGGCGAGATCTCCGTGCTCGTCTGCGCGGGATCTGCCAGGGCACCGGCTCCCGCCAATGTGGACAACCGCAGCAGATGCGAGAGCTTGGTGTCGTTCACCCAGAACGGCTGCTCGGTGACCGGTGTGGTCTTGACGCCGTCGAAACCGACCACACAGTGGCCTTCACAGGTTTTCTGCATTTCCTTGCGCATGGCTGCAGTGACCAGCCCGCGGATGTCGGTGGCATCGATGGACTCGGTCCCGAGTTGCTGGGCGATTTGCTCGCGCTTCTGGTCGTCGGAGAGGTAGCCCACCCCACGCACAATGGGCAGGTCAATTGTTGTGCATGGTATCTTGGCTGTCTCTGGGTACTGGGCCAGTGCTGCCATGAAGCTGCCACTGGCGGCGTAGGCGGATTGGCCTAGATTACCGACGAAACTGGCGGCTGATGACAGACTCACAAAGAAGTCGAGGGTGTCGCTGCTGTTGAGTGACTGGATTGTACGTTGGAGGTGCCAGATTCCGTGGACTCGGGGTCTTATGACAGTTTCGTAGTCCTCGAAACTGACCTTCTCAAAAAGCATGTCCTGGGTGAAGTGTTAGCGGCATGTCACACACTGTTATTCAAGAAACAAAAACTTACGCGGAGAACCATCGCACCGTATACTACACCGCGCACTGGAGGCATTCGACTGAGAAGTGGAGCAAGGTTCTGCTCCACGCTCTGCTGGTTGGAAACATCACAGCGACAAACCTCCACAGTGACCCCCTCGCTCTTGAGGTCTTGGACAGTCTGTTGGGCTTTTTCAGTTGATGCGCCGCTCCTGGAAACCAACACAAGATGCTTTGCTCCCTTCTGAGGCATCCAGCTGGCGATATCGAGACCAATCCCGCCAGTTCCTCCAACAACAATATAAGAAGCATCAGGCCGGAGGAGCTTCTCTTCTTTCCGTGCCGGGTGAACCTGTCAAATGCGTCAATAAACTGTTCATCAAAATTTTCCATTTGGAATTTTCTCCCACCTTTACCAAAGCATCATCCGTGACTTCAACAACCATCTTGCCAATTACTTGCCCGCCCTGCAATGCACGGAACCCAGTCTCCACCTCGGAAATCGGCAGTGTAGTAACCGGCCAACGCAAGTGGGATTTTGTCTCAACAAACACCTTGAACGAATCCCGCAACAGGCGCTTCAACAGTTTAGGACGCTTTTCCCTCACTATGCCCAAGTCGACCGAGGCAAATGACAGGTTCTGGTTGAAGTGAGCCATTTCGAGCCGCGAGTTCTGCGTGATGTCCCGCTTGCCCAGCTCGATAAATCGGCCGAACGGGGCCACACACTCGAACGTTGCTTGCAGGGCATCGCCGCTCAGCGAGTTCAGAGCAACGTCCACGCCCTGCCCACCGGTGGCTTCCTTGATGCCTTCTGCAAATGAGGTGTCACGACTGAAGAATATCTGCTCTTCCGGAAGCTGGTACGTCTCCATCAGGAACTTCTTCTTCTCCAGACTGCCAACAGTTGCAAAGATCCTGGCTCCGAGGCGTTGGGCAATCACGATCGCTGCTTGCCCGACGCCCCCAGCAGCGGCGTGAATGAGAACGCTCTCGTCCTGAGACAGTCTTCCCAGGTCAACTAGAGAGTAGTAGGCAGTGCAGAACACGGCGGGGATGGATGCGGCGACTTCCCATGACATGTCATCTGGGATAACCCATGCACCAGAGGCCGGGCATCGCGTGTATGTTGACAAAGACCCCGGCGACATCGCGCAGACTCGATCGCCTGTCTTAATATACCTGACGGCAGCGCCCACTTGGGTGACAACACCGCTGCACTCTTGGCCAAGTTTGTTGCCTTGCAGCTGGCCCATCGCCATCAAAACATCGCGGAAATTGAGGCCTGTACAGCAGACCTGGATCTCAATGTGGTCGTCGGGCAGAGGGGATGCACGGGAAATGTCATCGGTAAAGTACAATTCGTCCAGCACTCTGCTATCCCCCGCCGTGAGTCGCAGGGGCCGATCCTGTTGCTTGAAGAGCTGCATCTGAGGCGGGGCATCGGTTGTTTCTTGCTGGACGCTCAGGTTCAGAGCTTGGTTGTCAAGCAGACGAGGAACACAGATCCGCCCATCGCGAACAACAAACTCCATGTCGCCCTGCATGAGCTGCGACTTCTGACAGAAGACCCCATTAAATACCTTGAGTATATGGTCCACTGCCTCTGCATTGGGCATACTCTGCCGCTCACCCAGATCTAATGTTGCAAACTGGAGCCCTGTCTCTGATCTGACCGTCCGGGCCAAGCCGATTGCCATGTTTGCGCCGAGGGACTGGGGGTTGTATTTGTCGTGACGGATAGGCCAGAGGAGTCCTCTTGCGCGACCCACCAAGCGTTGGAAGGCTTGGAAGTTCTCCCGGCTCAGATGTGACAGCACAGATCGGTCCATGCCACCCAGGAAAATGCACCATTTCCCGGTCACATCGATCGAATCCAGGCTCGTTGCTGTGGTTGGTACAACGCCGGTCATTTTCCGCATGCCAGCTTCCAAGCTCAGTAGTGACAAACTGCCGAGTGATTCGGTGCCAATAATTGCCACGTCGCCAGGGTTTGTTGGCCCAGTTCTCGGGGCATTGGCCGTGGACATCATGAGACAACCAGATTGGTGCGAAGCACCCGGATATTCTTCAATGCAGAGCTCAACACCGGCGAAGTCGTTGGCTTTCATAACATTGCTCCACCCATCAACGGTGAGAAGAGGTCCATCCTTGCGAAGGTCATCACTAGCGAGCCACCAGCCAGGCAGGAGCGCGAATGGGAAATGCCGAGCCTTGGGGACAGTTTCTTCAATTAGCATGATCTTCCCGCCAGGTCTCAGAAGAGAGCGAATGTGGGCCATGGTTTGGTTGATCTCCGGGGTGGCATGCAAGACGTTGCAGGCAACAACCAAATCGTACGATCCGGTCTTGAAGCCCTGCCCGACTGGATCAGCAGAGATGTCGAGTGTTTGATATGTCATAAGATGGCCCCAGCTCTCGAATTTCGTTCTCGCTTTCTCAAAGAAACCAGGCGAGATATCCGTGTAAGTGTAGTGTCCGAACCGGGGCGTGGTGCCAGCATCACCGCCGAGGCTCTGCAGAATGGGAAGAGTGGCACCACCGGTTCCAGCGCCGATTTCGAGAATGTTGAGCTCTGGGTTCTGGTGGGCCATCTTGTCGACGCAAACCGAGGCGTTGGCATACGCCTCGCGCAGACTATCTAGGTCTTGGTAGTGCTTGCTGAGCATATCGTTCTCAAGAAGGACGGTCAGGGCGTCGACTTGGCCACGGAGAATTTGGGGCAGCAGGTTGCCAACTGTGCATGTGGTGTCGAAGGCACCATTGATCATCCGAGCTGTCTCAATGGCCTTAGTTGACATCTCCTCCGCTGGGCCAACCGTCTGGCACGTCTTCTGGGCCCAGCGATAGAACTTCTGATGGTAGGTCTCAAAAAGATCAAACTCGTCTTCTGGGACAGAACGCAGAACCTTTCGTAGGAAGTGCTCTGCCACGCAGTCCAGTTGATGCATTCTTTGCCCACCCTTGCCATCGCCAACGTCCGGTCGAGAGAGTTGCTGGTAGTCGTCGCCAGACAGAAACTCGAAGCAGGGCTCCCATTGCAGCTTGTAGCATATAGAACTGGGCGCCCTGTCCTTGGAGCCCTTGATTTCGTTGGACACAGGCACAAGCGTGATTCCATCGATGTCAATAATGACATTAGACGCGTTGTTGGGGTCGGTGGCAGTGATCCAGTTATTCTCGGGGCTGCTTGCGGACTTCGTTTTCGCCTGGTGACCAGAAAGTTGAAGTTGAGTGCCAGCTCCCAACTCGTGCGTCAAAGAAACTGAGATGTGTCGTACATGCGACGGAACGTGAGTGGTTTTCGGTCCTGGCTGGCCAAAGCCTCGCATCACCCACATGAGTTGACAGCACTGGTCAAGTGTAACTGGGTGGACAATGCACTTTGTCTCATACTCGTGGGGCATGCAGGTCTTGGTGTCCGGAACCCGGATTGTGGCCAACGCTCGCTGATCGGTGCTCACTGAGATATCGGATAGTCCCTGGAACAGGGGCCCGTAGTGAACGCCGCCGTCGGTAATGTTGTCGTAAAGGACTTCACGGTCAATAGGCACTGTGCAGGAGGCACGCATGTCCAAGGATCGCTTGGCGAGCTGTGCGGCAGTTGCCGCCTGCCGTTGAGAACCATTCACCGGGTTGATCTCCTTGGCCTCTTCCACTATAACAAACCCATTACAGTGCTGGTCCCATCCTCGGCCTTCAGCCCAAGAGAAGACCTTGAACTCATGCCAGCCAAGCACTGATTTCCCTGGTGCCTCACTCCGACATGGGCGTAGACTCAGCATGGTTTCGACGGATGAGTTGTCCGGGATGGTGAGTATACGGCTGATGGAAATATCGCGGAGATTGATCTTTCCCGGGGTAAGATGATGCAGCTGCGCCTGTTGAGAGATTGCCTCCATGGCCATGGCGAGAAAGCCGGTCATGGGATAGACGTTGCTGTCGTGTACTCTATGTTGACGGATCCATGGATGGTCGTCCACGCGGATGATGTTCCTCCATCGAGGCTCAAGGTCCACATTCTCCATGGTGAGAGAACCCAGAATATCATTGCGCGGGAATTTTCGACGATAGAGATTGTCTGTTATCCGTGAGTTAACCCAGTATTTCTCGGTGTGATTCCACGGGTATTTGGGAAGGTTCGTCAGGACAGCGGGCTTGCGCTTTGTCTGGCCGAGATTGGGGAAGTTGACGGCTTGGAAGTTAATCGTCATTCCCTGGGTAAACAAGGAGCCTGCCATGTGTTGAACAGCTTCAATGGCATCCATTTTGCGCTTCAAGGTGTGGATGTAGTGTACATTGCGGGTCGGGGCATGGGTGTGGATAATGTCCTTGACGGGGGTCTGGAGCGCAGGGTGTGGCCCAACTTCGACCAGAGAACTAATTTGTGTGTCTTGTTCCGTCAGAAGACTCTTGACACCCTTGACAAATTCCACCCGCGAAACCAGGTTATCAACCCAGTATGAAGCGTCAAGGGCAGCCCCCGGCACCACCTGGCCACGAACGGTGGAATGGAAGGGGATCTCAGAAGCACGGGGTGCGATTTTTCCAAGCAATGACCTGTATTGTTGGGATACTCTTTGCATGTGGTGGGAATGGTAGGCGACCTCGACCTGCAGTCTGCGGGTGAAGATTCCTTCTTTGTCCAGGGCGGTTTGGAGTTCGGTGATAACATCTCGGTCTCCAGATAATGTGACGCTCGATTCACTGTTCACACAAGCGACGACTGCTCTTTGGCCTCGCATCGCATCGAGAATCTGCTGAACCTCTCCGGCGTTGGCTCCGACGGCCAACATGGCTCCCTGGACGGACTTGTCGTTCGTCAGAAGGTTTGCCGCAACACCACGAAAGTACGCGACTCGGACACATTCTTCCACTGTCAGGATACCTGCCGCATACGCTGCAGCAATCTCGCCGCTGGAGTGGCCGACTACTCCCTTGGGATGGACTCCCCAAGATGAGAGCAAGTCCACCAGCGCCAGTTGGACTGCCGTGCAAGCTGGCTGGCTCATGTATGCTGCAGAGATTGAGCTTGCAGCGGGGTCGCTCAATAGAAGTTCATCTAGTTCACGGTAAGAATATAATCCAGGGAATGTAATGAATGAAGCCATTCCAAAGAAACTTACCAATAATGGAGAACTTAGCACCAAGGGACTTCAAGCAGCCATCCACAGTCTTGAGCGTTTGGTTAAAGACTGGGTATGTACTCAATAGCTCCTTGCCCATCCCGTGCCACTGGGCACCTTGGCCAGTAAACACAAACCCGACGGTGGGTTCACGAGAAGAGCGGACAGGCTCAGGGTTGTTTGAGAGGGTGCCAATCAAGTCAGTGTGTAGGGAAGCAGACACGGCTATCCTCCACGGGTGGAAGGTTCGTCGCTGGCCTAGGGTGTAGGCTATATTATCCATCAAGCTGTCATCAAACACAGGTGGGTGGAGGTCGATATAAGTCACCAGCTCGTTGCCAAGCTGGATAACAGCGCGTTTATCATGTCCGGACACGACGTATAGCCTGCGGCCGAGTGGGTCTGTGTTCTCTGCGCCCTCACCCTCGTTTCGGGGACCGCGCTCCAAGACAACGTGGGCGTTGGTCCCGCCAAAGCCAAAGTTGTTCACGCTTGCATATGGCTTGCCCCGCGGCCATGGTTGGAGTTTCTTGGGAACCTGGTGATTGGATATTAGCTACCTGCTGTGGATACGCTGCGAGTATCAGAGTAGACCTACCTTCATATTCCATTTGTCCAAGGGAATCTCGTTATTTGCTTTCTCAAAGTTGCAATTGGGCAGCACGAATCCTCGCTCCAGCATCAGCGAGGTCTTGATGACGGAGATGATTCCACTGGACCCCTCCGTGTGGCCGATGTTGGATTTCACAGAGCCCACGAACAGCGGTTGTCGTGGTGTTCGTCCCTCGCCAAACACCGCATTCAGTGCGGCAGCCTCGAGGGGATCTCCAACTTTGGTGCCCGTTCCGTGGGCCTCGACGTATCCCGTCAAGGCGGGATTGAGGTGCGCTTCCTTATAGACGTGGCGGATCAACGCCTCCTGCGCCTCGCCGTTGGGCATTGCGATGCCCCGGGTTCGTCCATCTTGGTTGAGTCCGCTGTTGACAATAACAGATCTGATCGCATCGCCAGCAGCCTCGGCATCCTCGAGCGACTTCAATATGATACATCCGGCCCCCTCGCCGCGACCAAAGCCGGTGCCTCGGTGGTCAAACGTATATGATTTTCCAGTGTCGGCGAGAAGTCTATCATGTCATGAGTTAGCTTCCCTGCGCAGAATCAAACAAAACGCCGTCTTCAGATATTCTATGCGTACCTGGAACGTGTCATAGACACAAAGGGCTCGGGGACGAGGTTCAAGTGGCAACCGCCGACAATCGCAATAGAACACTCGCCATTCCGAATACTCTGGGAGGCGAGATGTAGAGCCGATAAACTGGACGAGCATGCCGTGTCGACCGTAAGACTGGGGCCGCTCAAATCAAAGTAGTATGAGATGCGATTTGACTGCAGTGCCGTGGCAGTGCCTGTCGAGGCATACATGGGAACCGCCTCAACATCCTTGGTGTTGTTCAGCTCGTAGTCGGGATACGAGGCGCCGGCAAACACGCCAACACGGCGCCCGGAGATCGAGTGATTAGGGATACCGGCATTTTCGAGGGCTTCGTACACGCATTCGAGCATGATGCGCTGTTGCGGATCAAGAGAGCGTGCTTCTTGGAGAGTGATATTGAAGAACGGCGCATCGAACAACCCAACATCTTCGTCTAGGAAATGTGCGCCTCCCGGGTTAAACGAGCCGGGCCGGTCAGGGTTCGGGTGGTAGAAGGCATCGGCGTTGAATCGGCTCTGCGGCATGGGCGACCAGGCGCTTCGGGCTCGCGAGCACAGATCCCAGAAATCCTCGGCTGTCGACACCTGCCCTGGTAGACGGCAGGCCATGCCGATAATGGCCATGCGCTTGGGGACATTGCCGGGCATCTCCTCTTTCATCATGTTCTTGGTGTCGGAGACAGGCGTCCCAGCCCCGGAGGGCGGTTGAAGGCGCATTCTCGAGCAGATTAGGTCACACTTCTGGTTTCTTCTTTTTTTCTTGTTTTTTTTTTATTCTCCGATGTTCCGATGTTCAAGTCATGTACCCGACACTGGATTCACCAGTACCTGGACAAGTGTCCTCGAGAACGAGAAAAAGGACACAAATTCTCCGGGAAAAAACTAATATATAGTAAGCTGTATCACGAAGGAGCCATCTGGTGATCATCGAGTCTCCCAAAAAAAAACAAAAAGCACCCCAGTAGGAGGCAAGACAAGGACGTTCTGATCTCACGCCTCACTTGTTATGGAGGTGATCCCGCCCTTGCATAACTGCCAGGCGTGTAACTGCCGATCCTTTGTCTAATGCTGACCAGGAACACGGGGGATTCTCGATCGATAGGGCAAGGATAGCCTGGAGTAGGGGTCCATGCCTTTGTTGAGGTGACGCATGGCTACTCCAGTGCCATACAAGGACCATGCAGGAAGGAGTATCAAATAATCCAATCGTTAGTTTTGCCCCGTCGGCTCTATGACTGTAGATCCCGATTAAGGAGATCGGTGCCCTGGCCTGTTGTAGCTCAACCCTTCGGGCTATTGTTTGGACAGCGGCCCTTGCTAAAGTGAGGGTGCATTCCAGCACAGGGGCAAATCTCCCTGTGCTGGCCCTGGCAGTAGATTCCAAGTGGCATTGCTTTCTGGCCAACTCCTCACGCCACGATCCTTCATATACTGATACCGCAAGTGGTGATTTTGTGACTTCTAGTTCTATCTGTTGCGTTTAGCACGTCTCGCTCACCTCGTGCCCTTGTCCACCATGAAATTTCTGTGCTTACCTGGAGGCTATTGCAGTGCCAAGGTATGCTGAGTGGCTTTAGACTCTCGTGCTCGTCCTAGATTTGCAGAGAGAGGTGCTAATTCCTTGGGATCCCAGGCACTCCAAACACAGCTGGGTAAGTCGAGTGCAACGAAGCTTTTGCTGGCTTCGATCTAACGGGAGCTCCCGCGGTGGGTCCAGGACCGTTCTGCGATTCTCTCACTTCGAATGGAGAGGCCCGGTTCTTCTTCACGCAGGGCACCACGCCCGTCTATCCCCCGCCAGAATACGAAGGGTTTTTCGGGCCGCCACCCAATTTCACCTTTGCCGAGCCCGACGGGCCCAGCAAATTCAACATGCGCGACTTTCCGAAACGCGACACGCCCGAGGCCACTATGAAGGACGCCCTAGAGCTGGCGGGCCAGCCGACCTTTTCCAATATCCGATTAGTCGTGGACCGACTCATTGGCATTCTGGACAGTGACGAGGATATCGCCGGGGTCATCGGGTACTCTGAGGGTGCGGAGATGGCGGCCTCGCTCATTCTGGAGGAACAGAGGAGACACAAAGAGTCGGGGCGCGAGCCTCGGCTCAAGTGCGCGGTTCTGATGTGCGGATGGCCCCCGATGGACCCTGTCACTGGTCAGGTCGTCCTGGCCGATGAGCATTTCGGGGAGGAGATCATCAATATTCCCACCTGCCATGTCATCGGCGCGGCTGACCCGTTTCTCGATGCGTCCATGGCTTTGTACAATTTGTGCGATCCGGACAGTGCAGAGCTGTTCGACCACGGTGGTGGACATGTTATCCCGCGAACCAAGAAGACGGTCGACGATCTCACTGGGGTTGTCCGGGACATGATCCTCTCCGTTGGCTAAGATGTAGGAGAGTACGTCAATCGGGATTCTTCTTTTCCAACGACTTCGTTTCCAAGTCAAAACAACTCTACATTCGGTTATTTTTCTCTTCTTGGATTTCAATGATCATGAAAGCGTTTTATAAAATCCCGAAATAGCAACATCATCACACCCATGAATAAACATCACCAACCACTACCCCAACAACGGACTTCTCTCTGCTCCATCGTCCTCTTCTTGATTCTGGCCTTGACCACTGACAAGACTGAACAAAGTCATTAGGATGCCACAATCGAGAAACCCACAGCAAACTGGCTGTTCCTCTTGGCTATCGACCTCCGCGGACTCTGTCTCCTTCTCCTGCCGCGCCCGCTGCACAAACCACACAATCGCAAACCCGAGCGCACCCAGAGCCAGGGTGCTCAACACAGCCACGCCAACCGCCAAAACAGTCATGGTACTAGCATGACACCCGAAAGGCAGGGCCCGCAGCTCCCATCGTTCTTTGGGGCCGAGCGGGCAGATCTTGGTGGACTGGAGGGGGGCAAGGATGGGGAGACGTGCTTGATTTGGAACACACGTTGAGGACTATTTCCCATAGAAAGAAGAAAAGAACACACAAGCGAGTTAGCAGCCAATGGCAATAATAATCGGGGGGCAAATCGATTGCGTCGATTTGGTATGCATCTGACACGTAGAACAAGGGCATCGAGGGGGGGAGTTGAAACATAGTCGGGCGATGGGAATGTAAGGGATTTGAGTGAAACTCGAGTGGATATTATAGCAATAGAATGCATAGGGGAAAGCACAAGGAAAATAAAACCAAAATATAGAGGGTAGGTAATAGGAAAGAAGTAAACAAAAGCAGCGGCACCTACAATCGCACACCAGCTGCAGGGCACATCCCCCGCCAAACACTCCGAACACGACTGTCGCCGCCAACAGGCATAGAAGAGCGGATCGTCCAGGTTGTTCAAGGGGCTGAAGCTGTGGTTCCTCTCGATGCCCACGTCCTCGGACATGGTTGTAGGTCTCAACCTCTTCAAGTCGGGAGGGAGTTCATGTAAGGCACTGCGGTCGTTGAACCTGGGAGGATATTCTCCTTGCCGCAGTCACGCCACAAGCATTCCAGTTTGGAGTGGCACACGGTGGCTTGGACAGTAAATCGTGTCAATCCTCTCAATTGTGCGGGGAATGGGCCCCAGCAAAATGGTTGATAGCGATAAGAGAGAGGGGGAGGGAGATATAAGAAAAAGAAAGGGAAAACAAGGGATGCAGGCGAAGTAACACTGCAGAACACATCACTCGAACTGGTCCGTGTTGATGGCACGGGGGCGATCTGTCGGATAATAAAACCGATTCTCTCCTTGAAATGATTAGGTAACAGTGATATACTTGAATATTGAGTCAAACAGTTTATACTCAATATTAGCCCCGATCTATGGAATATCCTTATCCTAGATGTTATATTTCCCACATAGCGGAATTGGCATATACTAGGAATCAGGTCGTGGTGAGTAGACGGAAGCAGGCATAAAGGTATATAATTAGGAGCTACAAGAGAAAAGAAAACGAGCAAACCAAAACAAAACAAAGCAGACACTGTCGATTCCCAACAATCGTAACACCGTCAGACATCCCAGTGCAGCAATCAGGCCGACCCACACTAGTCCCAGGCCACGGCCGATCTACACTCGGATGAAGTCATCTGGATAGGCTATGGTGATACAGGTACATTATGCTAAAATCAAAATTTTGCATGACACAGCGTGAAGCAACATGGGTTTCATGAGAATAGCCAGATGGGGGGAGGTAACACTGGCAATCCAAGGCGCCCTTCCTCCCTCTCAAGTCAAGAAGATGGCCATCACCAATTCGCCACATGATATATCCGAACGTGCAAAAAGATTTCCAAAGTAGGAGGATGAAACAGGGAGACAAAGGATGGATCAGACTACGCGCTTGACCTAAGCCGTCGAATTGAAGAATAAGTATCATGTCATGGTTGCCCGAAGGATGGATGCATTTGCATTTCAAAAGAACCAACTCACCTCGAAGAATCGCTTCAACCACCACACCTGGAAAATACCCTCGCCAATCACCACAGCCAGCTGGAACAGACTCCACCACTTGACTCGATTGTTGGTGCTCTCGGCGGTATTCCGGTGCACGCGCTCGCGGACCACAATGTACGATTGCTCGTCCTTAACCTGCGCCAGAGCCTCGGACAATCGGCGGACTAAAACCGCATCTCAAATCAGCATTGTGTTCTTTTTTTTATTCCCACCTCTTTTCTATCCTTTCCCAGAATCTGTCACCTACCTTCGGTTTCCAGGGGGTCCTGCGACATCTCCGCCTCCGGTACGTAGACAATCCCGTGGACGTTGAAAGAGACCTCCTTCGAGTTGGACGTCCAGCCCTCGTTGCTGAAGCAGTAGTCGTACTGGCCGTCACTGTGTGCAGTGAAAGAGTAGTCCTCGTTGGAGACGGCTTGCTTGAAGTATTGGCGGTTGTGCAGGGGATCCTCGACCTAGACATGGTCATCAGTCATATGTGTTTCCAAACCAATTCCTCCAGCCATTGAACTGAGATCATCTCCGAAACTGAGATAGCCCAGCTCGGACAGAAAATCAGGAGAACCCGACAGTAGAAAAGAGAGGGGAAGGTGCATACCCAAAAATCAATGTCGAGGTTTCCACTCCCCCCAAACTCCCGATCACCGACCTGGAAGGTCACGGTCATGACATCGTCCTTGTGCAAGGCCTCGTGGAAGCATTCTCGCGAGTGAGCCTTGAGCTGGATGGTGTGTGCGGTCGCGGCGGAGAACCAGCCCAGCGCGGTGACCAGGAGGGTGGCGGCGGAGAATCGCATGGCAGGCAATTATGATCCCAAACTCCTCGTTGCGGGTAGAGATCGGTTCAATTTGTCGGGGAGAGGGGGCGTGGGGGATATTGGTGGGTTAATTAGTGGACGTGGACGAGGTTGCTAACGCGCAAGGTGTCAATTGGGGACGCTCGGGCCACCTCGAGTAAACACGCCGCTCTTGATGGGATGGCCTATACTCCAGGCATTGATACGATCTTGGTGCACTATATGGATGACAAGGATCAGAAATTTACTTGGGAATAAAATAGATATTGATGGCTTTGTTGAAAGAAAATGTGAAAATCGTCAGCTTCAAGCGAAACTGGGCATGTCAACCTACGGGTGACCACAAGGGTACCCAAGACAATATTCAACATTCAATCTGCCCACACAAGAGCAGATGTCGATGTAATAAGCTCCATAATATACAGAACGAATCATAGTAGTATGAACACTGGCAAAATACTTTCGGGGAGATCATCTGAAATAGGTGGAAATAAGCTACAAGAAGTGAAAAGGGGGAAATATGCCCATGAAGATAAAAGACAAGGTGAGAAAAAAAGAAAGAAAAAAGTGAGTATAAATATAGAACAGTCAGAAAAGAAAAAGAGTGGCAGGTTGGCTATTAGGAAGTATGTAGTGTCAGAGGTAAACGAGGGGAGGGAGGTAGGATTCAATGTACAAGAGAGGTGGTCAAAGCAGGAACGAATGCCAGAAGAAAAAAAACGGGGTGGTATCAAATCCGAAAGCACAAACCGGGAATCACAGGCACAGGCCAGGGACTTAAAAAAGGAAACGACAGGAAAGAAAGTGAAAAAAAAAAAAAAAAGAGGGAGAGCGCTGCAAGCTTCAAAAAACCCAGAATGGAGGAAGACAGGAGAGATTTGGCAGTATAGCCCGAGAAAAAGCAAGAAATAAAATCGAGAACAAAGAGCTTTCAAAACAGTCTAGAAAAGATTCAAATCAAATGCGCGATCATTCTTGGGCGGAGATCTGTGGCCCAAACGGGCTTTCATCGGTCGTGTCCTTGGGCGACGCCGAAACCATCCCGTCACCCGTGCTCTCACCATCATCTGCGAAGTTGTCTTCTTCGTAATTCGCCGGCTCGGCATCGTGGTCATAGCTCGAGCGACGCAGAAGCGGTGGAGTCTTGGGCGGTTCCGCAGCAGGAGCTTCCTGGCGAAGGGAACCTCTTCTGGGGGTGCTGACCCCCCGCAATGGCCGGCTTTCCGAATAGGCTCGTCCCGAGGCACTGGTGTGCTGGACATTCTGGCGCATGTGGGAACTGGGAGGTGTCAAGAGCCCCGACAGGAAGGCGCCGGCATTGCTGGGCTTCGACGGGGTTTGATCTGAGCTCCCATTGGCATTCTCCCGACCCTTGCGCCAGTTACCCCAAGCAGCCGCGGCAGCCAGAGGAAGAGCGCGTGGCGAAGCGGTGATGTCGGAGATGGAGGGCAGTGATGGGAGGCCATTCCCGGAAATGGCGCGCTCCCGTTCCTGCTGCTGCATTTGCAGGTTGGCCTTCAGGCGAATAGCTGCATCGCGAACGGCATGTTTGTTGAACGTCGGTTGGGATAGAGTCTTGATGATATCCTGCAGATCGTCGATGCGGACGCCGAGAAGCTCTCGCAACCAGGTAATCTCAGTGTCCCTCTCCTTGACCTTATTGGGAGCATCCTTGTCCACGGAGGCAGCCTCTTGCTCGAGCTCCTCGATCCGCGTCTCACGCTGCTGGAGCTGATCTTGAAGAACAAAGATCGATTCACGCAGGGCCTGAGGAGAGATCCTGTCAGGCTCTGAGGGTCCCTTGCTGAAGGACATGGATGGCGAAGTCGAGTGAGAGGGTGCCGCAGGGGTCGGGGATGAGCCAGGGCCTGCCTTAGCACTGTGAGCCACTTCGGCAGCAGCACGAGCAGCAGACTGGGCGATCTCAAGCTTTTCTTCGAGGTGCTGCACCCGCTCCTGTAGATGTTGCGTCTTGTCATCCGCCAGAGCCAGGCGGTCCATCAGGTGGCTCTCCCCGCGTGAGCGGTCTTCAGACGAGTTGTGAAGGGCACGAGCATGGCGTTCACGGAGGTCATTGAGACCCCGCTCATGCATCTTGCGCTGGTCTTCAAGAGCAAGTTCCTTAGACTCGGTAACAGCAGCCACGGCAGCAGCCTTGGATTCATTGGCCTCTTCCAGAAGCAGTTCATAACGTTCCCGGGAGGTGTCAGCGTCCATGCGCACATTATCCATCTGGTTCTGGAGGCGAGTGATTTGGGCTTCCAGCTCGGCGCGCACAATGTTAACCTGGCTGTTAGAGGCATCCAGGTCCGCTTCCATAGAGGATCGCGTACGTTGAATCTCCACACGGCTGCTCTCACGAGCTTCGTTGAATTCGCGCTCGAAGCGAGAAGCCTTGAGTTGCAGGTCATGGTTCTCGGACCGCAGGCTGGTGATCAGCTCCTCAAGTCGGCCATTCTCTTGTTGTGATTGCTCATGGATGAATCTCAGCTTGACGGCCTCCCTCTCCTGTTTCTCGAATTCGCTGATATCGTGCTCCAGCTTTTCGCGCAGCTTGACTTCACGGGCATGAGAGGCACGCAGCTCATTGTACGCGGCGGTCTTCTCTTCCTCCTTCCTGCGCCATTGAGCTTGCTCGCGTGCGATTTCGGCCGTTGCGTTCACCATGTCAGCCTGGAGGTGGTCGAACTTCTCGGCCATGTTCTGTCGAGCGGTCATACTATCCTCAATGCGAGTCCTCAGGTGATCAACGGTCTCGTGGAGAGATTTATTGTCACGCTTGGAGGTTTCAAATTGGCGCCGGAAGTGATCGCTTGAGACACGGTACTCGTCCAGCGTGCCTTCAAGGGCGATATTCTTCGTGGAAAGCTCGGCAATGGTGACCTTGAGTGTCTCGCTCTCCTCGGAAAGGGACTCGGTACGGAACTGCATCTTCTCGAAGTAGGGAATCTTCTCTTCCTTGAACTGAAGAAGACGAGATTCAGCGTCCTCAGCGGCAGCACTGTGACGGGCAGCGTCCTCTTCGGCCACCTTCAAAAGATGCTGGAGCTGGGCCAAGGAATCTTGGGCATCCCGGCGCGTCTTGTACTCGTTCTCGGCACGCTCGTCAGCCAACCGCAACATGCTCTTGAGCCCGTCAATTTGAAGCATCAAGCTGTCCGCGCCGATCTCGTCGGCATCCGACATCCGCGGGGTTTGCTGGGCCAACTGCTTAGCCATGGTTTCCTCGACAATCTCGCGCATTTCCCCGATAGGGTCTTGGGCCAGTTTCTTGATTGTGAGGGCCTGGAGCTCAGCAATGCTCTCCTTGAGTTGCGACATATCGCCATGGCTGGAAGGCGGCGGTACACGATGGGGCAGATCATGGGTAACCAAAGCCTCCATGACAACATTCTTCAGCATATCCAGCTTGCGATCCCTCATATGGTGAGGTGACCGAGCCCTGGCCGAAGATGTTTCATGCTCGCCATCGTCCTCATCGTCAGCATCGCTGTCTTCAATCTCCGCAGATGTGCTGCGCAGCACTCTCCTGCTTACGGTGCCGGAGGCGATTGATGCCACGGACGTTTGGATAACAGCCAAAGCACGCTCCATGGGTGTGAGGCGGTCGTCCAGAGCGGAGCCAACGAGATCATTGATTCGGCGGTCGAAGAATCGATTCCGGTTCATGAACTTCTCATCCTCGCCCGAAGAGATCATGTCGTCCCAATCGCTGACATGGTCGTTCTCGGTAATAAGCTGGCGAACAGGCGACTGCAGACGAGATACAACACTCTTTTGCGGAGAAAAAGTGGCCACACTTTGGGCATCAGCGTCCGAGCCCAGTTTGGGAATGTCGAGCTTGTAGTTCTTCGGACCCCCACCGGGGCTAGGGCTGGGCGCGTCACCTCTTGCCTTCGCAGACCCGAAACGTTGTTCTTTAGTAGGACCACTCACAGAGTCCACGAGCTGTTGCGGCGGAAGAGGAGTACCCTGTCTTTCGATGCCGACGTCCGAGTCGTTGAGCTGTTCCATAATAGCGTTCAACTCCTCGTCATCCGGCGATTCGCCCGCGGAGTCCTCGTTGAAGTGCTTGCCATACTTAGGGGCGGCGGCCTGCGGTGTTTGCACTTGCAGCTGAGCCTTGTCGTCTTTGGTTTCTTTGGGCGACGACTTCTTTGGCTGGGGCGGCGGGCTATCAGTAGCGAAGCGAGAAGCCATAAGGCCACCTTGTTTCTTCTCGGCGGGCTTCTTCTCTGCAGGCCTCTGCTCCGTTGGCTTCTGTTCTGCCGGTTGGTGCTTAGCTGGCTCCTTCTCAGCAAATTTCGATGGCTGGACCGAGGTCGGGACAAAGCTGGGAACGACGGGCTTGAACTCAAACGGCTTGGCTGTGGGTGACAGCATTGCGCTCTTGGTGGAGTCCTTGGATTCCGTAGCTGCATGCTCAGGGGTCTTTTGGGTCGCGGTTTGCTCAGGCTCCGGTTTTGTGGCCGCAGCCGCAGAATCCTTATGCTCCGTTTGAGATACCTCGTGAGAGTTTTCAGCTTGGACGGGAGATGCAGTACGGGATCTGTTTGCACCGCCTTCGTTCTTCACGTCGAACAAAGTCCACGTGGTAGCCTCACTGGCGGGCGTACCCCTGCGGTCCACAGACTTGCTTTCCTCAGGTTGGGCATTCTCTTTGCCTTCTGCCAGAGTAGGGAGCGTACTCGAGGGCTGGATGTTGTTGGTCTCGCCCAGGGGGTGTGTTGAAATACTATACCGAGCCTCGCCTTGAGCATGGCCAATACCCCGGCGGGCACGCTTGTGGCGGTCTGTCGGAACAGGTCGCCCGTTCTCGTTGTCAACAGTCTCAGTTTCCTCTTGCTTGGTCTCAGGCTCAACTTCGTCGGGCCGCACAATGGGGATCGCTTTAGATTTCTTCGCCGGTTTCGAAACCTCGGAAAGATCAATGTCGCCAAAGATCTTGGTCCGAGGGGCCGACGGTTGCTCGGAGCTGGCGTTTGAATTAAGACTAGCAGATGGGTTGAATACAGGCGCATCCACATTAAATGAGGCCGCAGAGAACTTGAAGCCTCCGGGGTTTGGTTTGGGGTCTGGATTGACATCTGCATTCATTGAGCCATCCATCATTCCAGTGGGAGCAAAGCCCAGTCCCGGGGCGAAACCAAATCCTTGTTGGTTCATGCCACCGAACTGGAACGTATTATTTCCAAATGGTGCAGGCTGAGGTGCCAAAGAAGCCGTAGGGTCGAACTCCCTCGCCCCGACGTTAAGTGATGATCCTGAGAGCTTCGAATGATGACCCTGGAATGAGCCAGCGCTTTGATGCGGCTCATGCCAGGACCCCTGGTTCGGCATGATACCACGTGTGTGCGGTGACCCCGTCACGCTGGGGTTTGTATCGAGATCAGAACCCTCGTGCCCATGTTCGCGTGGATATTGCCCTCCATAGAACTGATCCTGTTGTTGGGAGAACATGTGGGGTGTTTGATGGGAGATATTTTGGGCTTTATGATGATCATTATCCGGCAATGCCCACCGAGACTGGACCAGATCGGGGTTAAGACCCTGGTGGCCGGTATCATGATCGTCCTCATCCAGCTGCCGTTCAATTGACTCCTCCAAGTGGTAGTCCGGATGTGTCATTTGGTCCAGCCCTCTTTGCAGAGTTTCACTCAAATTATGACCATGCCCACGGGGAGTCGGGTGAGCAATCTCCACATTCGACGCGTGGAAATGATCCGGGTGTCCATTGACAGGGGTCTGGGGGTAATGGAACGGCAACCCCTCTTCATGGACATTGCCGAAAAAGTCTTTATCATTGAAGCCAGGGTGGAAGGGCCCTTGCTCATGCAGCGGCGAAACAGGAGAGAGCATGGATGAAAAGTTGTGCAGTCCGCCAGGCCCAGTCGACGCGTTCGCTTGGCGAGCATTGATGAGGCTCTGCGGCGTCATAGAGCCTTGAGCAGGAGGCGTGGGCTGGAATTGGAACGGGAAGCCAGACATCATGTTCTGCTCGACGCCCATGAATGGTGTCTGCACGCCGAATTGCGAGGCAGGCGAAGCCAAAGACCCAATGTTCGCACTAGTGGCTGCCGTCGTCTGGCCAAAATGAGGTGAGAAGGGGTGGACCGCAGCCAGCGGGTTGCTTCCTACGGAGGCAGTGGGAATCGGCGGCGACGCGATGAGGCCGGGGAATGGCGTGGTAGACTGGGTTGCCGGACCTGGGGAAATGGAGGGCCCTGGCTCGTCGTCACCAAATGAGACGCCGAGCGCGCGCAGCTTCTCCTCTTGCAGATTGGCAACGTAGGCATCCCAGACGGCCTTGTCGGGAAAGTTGACGACATATTTTTGGCCGTTGGTGTTCTCCGGTACATCAAATCCATCGAGGAACAGAGGACGACTAAGGCCCCCGAGGCTGGTCGGCTCAGAGGGGTTGTCTGTGTCTCCAATACTGAATCCACGAACATCATATCCTTCCTCTTCCCATTTCTTCAATCGATTTTCGACATCTCTGCGGCTCAAAAGGTGATGCCCTGTTTCTTCCGAGCCTCGCTTATCATGCAGGGGCAGTTCGATGATGCATGCTTTCCCACGCCAATTCAGCTTCTTCCTTCGTCTCGGGGTCTGAGTGGATGTTCTGTTAATGTCAGAAGCCTGCCTCTTCACAGGATCCGGCCTGGAAGGGCCTTCTGTATTCGTAGGTGCCGGCGATTCTTCTGTTGACTTTGCCGGTGGGGGAGGCAGCGGCTTCTCGACGGGCGAGGTCACCTCAGTAGGAGATTGGGAGTCCTGAAGGTCTGACATGGTGTTCTGTGGGGGGTCCTTATCGTAGGCGAATCCCCAAAAGTCCTCCTGGCGCAAGGTATCTGTGCGTTTGTGCGAAGTCTTCTTGACTTTGGCGCGTGCAGCAGCTCTCCGACCAACGAAATCCGCAAGTTTGGGTGTTTTCAACAGGTCGTCGCGAAAGTCGTCCTCCAAACCAAGCCAGTCGTCTGATTGGTCGTCTGCTAGTTGATTCTGCGCAGTGAAGAACGATGGTGCCTCACTTCCTGAATCGTCGCTCAACCAGTTGCTGCGCTCGGTTCTGGGCTGGCCCGAGAGGTACTGATTGATCCAATCCTGGGTAAAATCCCTGATCGACTTGCCTGCCTTTTGGCCTTGGTCTCGCTCAGGCGACTGCTGAAGGGTACCGTTCGTGGCAGACGATCTCCGGAGCTGGGTATAATTGATGACCGACGCGACTGGCGAGCTATCACCAGATCCGTGATCAACACCGGCGTATTGACTGAGAGTCAGCGACAATCTCCGGGTGCTGGGTGCCGCATACGGAGATCCCCAGGCCGTAGTATAGTAGACGCTACTTTCAGCCCTCCGATTATCCGGTGACGACGTCAGAGATTCCCCAGATCGTTGGAATGTGAGGAATGGCAGCGGCGGGGGGTCGAGGGTGATACTCGGAGAATGTCGCTGGGCAGGGGAACCAGCAACCGACGGACTCGAGTCTGGCGGAGAAGACAAGAGCAGAGACGGTGTCGGACGCGATTCGTCGCGAACGGGGCGCGTGTCTGTCGGGTGAAACGGTGGAGAAGACGCCGAGAAAGCGGAAGAGACAGAGGGATCTAGATCTGGACAGCGATCCAACACGGGGTATCAGCATTGCTGGAGGGGTAGAACCGAAGGGAGAGACTCGAATCGCGTGGCAACGCGGAGAAGGGGGGGGGGGGATTCCAATTCCAGAGCAGCACACCAAAAAAAGAAAAAAGCGAAAGCGAAAGTCCAAGTCAAAAGAAAGAATCAAAGATTGAATTGTATCAATCACATATACACACCTTCCGTGTCGACTCCTGCAGCAAGCACTTGCTTGCCGCTCCACTTATCTTCCAGAATGTTGACGCATGGAAATCCAACCGGAATTCAAAAGATTGGCAACAGACAGCCCCGAGGGAAAGACAGGCTGTCTTTTCGCGGAAATCCTCCCAATTGGAACGCAAGAGAGAATCACACGTTCTCTCTCTTTGTCTCTGTAGACACGCAAGGACAAGGTGGGAAAGTGTCGGGGCCACTAAGGGGAAACGGTAAGAAAAAAAAAGAGAGAGAGGCCAGTCTTGTCTCGTCACGCCCTCGATCGTCGGTGGGCTCGCCCCCATACAATAATTTGCAGGTCACTGGTACTTAGCCAACTATAAGGAGTCTGTGCACAGCTGCGGGTACACAGTACAACCCATAAGAAATACACGTCCGACAATGATTTGCTACGAGTTCACCTTGGAGAAGGCTGTTTGGGGTGCGCTCAGGCGATACATAATATACATCACAATAATATCAAGGAAAGAAATCATGGCTTGAATTATGGGTCCATTCTGACCCTTGCCTGCGCAGGTACCCAAGAACCCAACGCAGAAGGGATTGACCGCCACAATTTGAGGACTCGGCACCTCGAGTGATGGTGTCATACGCTCACTCCCTTGCCGGAGTCTCAGTGTGAGAGAACATAAGAAACAAAAGAAAACAGAATACTCAATGGCAAAGGAAAAAACGCGAAAAACAAGCAAGACGCGGTTCGTGTCGGATTTCAGGGGTAGAAGAACCACGGTTCCGCGGGCAATTACCGGGCCTCGGGAATACTGTAGATTACACTGTACAGTGCCTGTACCTCCAACATGTAGAGTGAACACATACAACTCAATTATTTCCAATTGCACCCGGGAATCGTCTCTATATGATTCATCTCATTCGAAAAACAGTACAATCCGAAGAAATAGGATATCTCCCACACACAATTCAGTGGATCGCCATCTATTTCGGGCAGGCGGTGTCGAACTTGAAATCGCGGTTACCTTTGAACAGACCCCAGTGCTTCTCGTCGGCCATCTTGCCGTTGTCGCCCTTGCTGTCGGGCTTCCACGACTCGTCAAAGCCCTCGAAGTAGAATAGGTCAACACCCCATGCGAGCATACCGCAGACACCCTGTCGCCAGAAGGTCTTGGCGTTCTGCGTACCAGCCTTGGCCGCCTCGTAGTCGGAGCCACCGTCTCGGAGAGGGTTAGTACTCCAGCACAGAATGATGGACAGGTGGGAGAAGAAGTTTGGGAAACGTACCGGTAGGCCAGCCAGTTTCGCCATTGACAACCGTGATTTGGTCGGCTTTGTCGCCAGCAACCTTCTGGATGTGCTGCATCGCCTTTGACATGTCATCGAAGTACGTCCAGTGAGATTCCTCAGCCTTATGGCCCTGCCAGTAGGCAAAGGCATTGGACAGACTGTTGGGAAAATTAGCGCGAGAGATATAATGAAGAAATGGACCGGATTCCACATACACATATTTCACAATGGGTTCCTCGGTGAAGAGACTGTCCGCGGTTCCGTCGGCGAACTTGTTCCAGCTGTCGGCGGTACCGACAAGGAGCTTGTCGTTCTTCAATTCCTTGGTCACGTAGTCGTGCACCACTTTGATGTACCGGTGGAGCTGCGGTCCGGTCAAGTCGCCCCGGTAGAGAGCCTCCGAGCCGACAGTGATGGCATGAACGGCGTCATCCTGTCCAGAAGTCGAGATCGCATTCTTGACAGCAGCCCAGTCACCTTTGAACGAAGCATCATTGGTGCCTTCGTCATCCTTGCTCGGGGCGCGGCCGACCCTAGAGAGTTCAAAAGAAGTTAAAAATCAGCTCCAATTGGGCACTCGCGGGGAGAGTAGAATGGGAAAACCTACCAGATCCCCAGGACCACCTTGAAATTCTTTGCCTTGGCGGCAGGCAGGATTCTTTCGGGGGTGTGACACTCGGTGCCGGAGTAAGTGCGGACGAGGTTGGTCAAATCCTTCAAAGCATCAAAGTCGTTCTCATAGTCCTCCCGTGACTTGCAGGATCCGTCGGCATTTCTGTTGCCCAGCGAGAAGCCCAGCTTCCCACGGGCGGCATCCACCGCCGGGGCGGCAGCCAGGAGTAGGGGAAGAAGACCAGTCAAACGCATGATGTGCGAAAAGAGCGAATGAATGAGTGGCCAATAAAAGACAAGAGAGTGACAGTAACAAAAAGAACGGAGAATTTTTATCAAAAGAATGAAAAAAGTGGAGGTCAAAAGTGGTGGAAAGAATGGAGAATGGAGAATGGAGAGAAGGGGGCGAACCCCGACTTTAGCACGGGCAGGGCTGCCGAGCTTTTCAGGCGCCAAATGACAGTGAAACCGGTGGGTTTTCAGGGTTTCAGGGTCCTTTGATTATGATTGGATCGACTGTTGATTCAGACAGTATCTTTTGTTTATGTTATTTTGTTTATTCTATTTTATTTTATATTTTATATTTTATGTATCTTATTTGATTCTATGTACAGTCCTCACCAAATCCCCAAGTCCAAATACTGTGGAGCCGGAGAAATGCAGGAATCGATCGGCCAAGCTCGATCTCTGCCCTACGAGCCTGAAAGAGCAGGTCTTGGGGATGTGACCCGGCTCGTACGAGGTACATCCTCTTGACCATGAAATATCTACAAATTCTGTATCGGTTTTCAATCTTCAGAAAAAAAAAAAAAAAAAAAAAAAAGCATCAAGTACTTTCTATGATTTTATAATTAGCAGCCCTTCGACTGATTTCGTATCGTCAGAGTGGAGAATATATAAACAGAACAACCGAAGAGTATACAACCCCAACCTTATTGTTCTACTCCACTATCCTCACCACTGTTCTTCAACCATGTCCAAATAGCCTTGCACCAGAACCAGATCTCCAGAGACCTGGAAACACCCAAAATTCCAATCAAAGACACCTTCATGTTCTTGCTGAGGCCGAGTCCCTGAAAACTCATGGTCGGCGGCTCCAATTCAACAGGACTGGACTTTCGACTCAGACTTGGTTCTGTTAGAAGTCCTTTCCAAACACACAGCGTGTGTCGCGGCTAAGAGTGGTCAAGTTAGGTTGATCAGCCTGGGAGTTATCACGATATACTTTAATGGTGAATTGTCTTAAGCTTTAAACAGAGGCCTTGTGGTTTATGTCGTACTATGACGCTTTGGCAAGAGTATCAAAAGTATTAGATCGAGTTATTCATTGTTTTCTGCTTCCAGAGACCTAAATGCTGTGCTCGCTGTAGACATGACCCAGCCATGGCTTGGAATAAGGGCACAAGATGATCCGAAACTCCAAAAACCCCCAACCACATCACTCGGAAGAAAGAACACACCAGCTTTACAGGTCGATATTCTTCTCGCGTAAGTACAGCTCCTTGAGGAGTTTCAGCTGATTGACACTCATAGTTTGTCGGGGCAAAGACGGCGGCAGATCCAGAACGGCCTTGCGCATGACAACTAGGCCAACCTGCCCAAAGAAACCCAAGATTCTGTCGCCAGAGTACCGCAGCATGGACCCCAACAGAGTGATCTGGGTTTCGGGCATTTCCGAGGCAGGAATAGCCAAGATCTTGTGGATCGACGACCAAAAAATCGTGTTGGGGAAGGGGTTCTGGCGTTGGGTCCGGCCAAAGTTGCGAAGAGTCAGCGACGCAAATCCAGCGCCCAGGGCCGTCATTCGGTCCAAGTGGGCTTGTTCACTGATGAAGGGGCCGCCGGATTCTTCGCGCCACCAGCCCAGCGCCTGTCGGCCGGCCTCGGTCTTCTCGTTACCAGTGAACCCCCAGAGAGCCGGACAGACCACCCGGTACTTCGCCCAGAGAATGTCGGACATGTGGATCCCCTGATACATGAATCCATCCATGGAGAAGATTTGTGCGGCCACAATGCCGATCGGTTCGGCGTGGGTGAGGTTGATGGATGCCTCGTTGATAAGCGCAGAGATCAACGACTTGGCGAAGACGTTGAGTCCATAAATCAGTAGAGCCGGCACCTTGTTTTCGGTGTTTGCGATACGCTCAGGAGGAAATGCGAAAAATTGGCGGACATCTACGCTGGGCTCGGGAATAGAGGATGCTTTCTCAAGTTCCGCACGAATCTGCTGAATCTAGAAGCCAAGCAGGCCTGTCAGTATTCGAATCAATGAGGGTGATTGTACAAGATAGCCGGCACATACTTGCTGCTTGTTGGCGCCCTTGCCATCTCGAAGCTGACCAACGCATTTTTTGATGGACCGGCGCATGTCCCCCATAGCCTGCTTGACCGCGGGTTGCTGCTTGGCCGTATTGCGCAACCACGTCCGCATTTCTTTGAGAACCTTGTGAAGCTTGACATAACGCTCCTGGGTCTGAATCTCTTGATCGGTGAGGCGCCCGCCACCGATCTTCTGTTGTTGTTGGCTTCGAGCTTGCTGCTCGGCCTCTTGTTTGGCCTGCTCGGCCTTCTTGGCTGCTTCTTCCTGCTTTCGCTTTTCAGCTTCAAGCCGTTCTTTTTCCTTGCATTCCTTCTCCTCCTGCGCGGCCCGCCGCGCTCGCTCGGCCTCCTCCGCAGCCTTCTTCTCAGCTTCCTCTTGGGCTTTACGCGCCGCCTCGGCACGTGCCGCCTCCTCCTGTTCACGGCGCCGTTTCTCGACCTGCTCGCGTTCAATGCGTTCTTGCTCCCGGCGAGCTGCCTCCTCCTTTCGAAGGCGCTCTTCTTCCTCTGCCCGGAGGTATTCCCTTAGCGTGCTTTCGGCCTCTTCACGGAGTCGGTCGTGGAAAGCCGCTGCTTCATCGAGGGCAGCCGTATGCACTGCTTCTCGTTCGCGGTCGACGCGGTCAAGATTCTCGTAGAAGGTCTTTCGCTCATAGGCCTTGACCTTTTTCAGTTCGGTGTTGAAGAGCTTGACCTGCTCGAGGTCTCGTGCAAGGTCGAGGATCAGCTGCTTGGATGGACTATCCAGAGGCGGCACGTGGATCTTTCCTCGAGTCATGTTGAGGATGTTGAGGAGTGTGAAGGTATGGCCGAATTCGGGGTAGGTAGGGATTTTCGTAGTCGGGTTAGGTGAAGGAGAAAAGGGAACGCGTAGAGTTGCTAGTTGTTGTGAACCCAGCTTAGCCACGCGCAGTGAAGATTGCGATCAGAGGATTCATGGTATCATTTGAGTAGTGGAAAGTGAAGGAGTGTATTCTCGCATTCGTTTGAGTCGCGGAGTACCAGTCGCGAGTAGTTCGAAGAAGGCGGGTTTAGAGGGCTTGGTTGGGGAGTCGAGCTTTGAATTTGAAAGTAAGACAATCGGGGTCAATAGCGAGCGAATCGATTGTCAATTGTCCCATGAATAAGGGACCGTCAACAATCGCGTAGTTCTCTGAATAGCGACTCCATGCGATCCCAAGCTACAATCGCGACAATGGTTAGCAGAATGCAACGGATTTTATTTGCTCGAGGGCATTCACACTGCGGGGGAAAAAGAATATGAATGAAATCCACATACCGCTCTCAAACAAACACCCCGAAGTCAGCTTGGAATCAAGCAATTGCGATGAGGCGTTGAGAGGCCTTCGGGGAAATAAATTACGAGGGCTCCAGCCTCCACGCTGAGTCAGCCGGACCCGCGCGCAACTGTGGTTCCTTTGCATCATCGTGAGCATCATCCATTTAAAGCCGGAGCTTGTGGATGGGAGCTCCTTGATTAGACACATGCGATAGACAAAACACCCGGGATTTTTGGACAACCCTCAAGTTTCTTTGGGGTATTTTGCGGGACCGTCCTCGCCCTAAGCTGGCCTCATCATCAGACCCCAACGGACACGCCTTGATCGCCCTAAGACCAAAGCCAACTCACTAGTAGTGCCTAAGGTATAGTTGGTAATAATCAAGGAGGGGTCCCTGATTCACGTCGGTGAAACCACAATCGACCACCATGGGGAATCCTGTCCATTCCTAGTATTCTCTGAAATAAGGCTATGTCGTGTATGGGGGAAGTCTACGGATGCATCAGGATGATGAAGAAGTGGTAGCAATGGAGATCATCCATGGACTGACGATGTGGCGTTCGGCCTGTGACAGTCACGGTATTTACCATATTTACCACTGACTGCTCCATCTCGTCCCACTCCACCGCCCGATGATTAGCCCCGTACTGTCATTACAGGACCGACCCTCCCGTTTCCATACCCAGTGCTCGCTCAGTCTCCCCACACGTCTCTCTTTGTACATCACCTCTTCTTCTCCTTTCCCCCCCCCCTCTGTTTCCATCTCTCTCTTCCCCCTAACCCATCGTTCCTTCAGAATTAGTCGATGTCTTCATCGTCTATTCCATCCCTCTAATTCCAACGATTGTTGTCACTCTCTTTGGAAACGTTCATCTTGGATTGCTTCCTTTTCTTGGGAATCCTTAGAAAGCTCGTTTCCATCGGCTTCTTTACGGTGCCTCGTCGAGTCCAACTTTTGCCAGTTACCCCCTCGAGGATCCCGTCCAATTTTTCCTCTTTTTCGGTGGTTGCCGTGCTTGCCAGCAGAGAGCTTCATCCGCTTCGGTCCTTCCCCATCGTGTGCTTTGAATCGAGCTTCGTCCCACCCCTCCAGTCGGTCTTTGAGTCAATCGACCCAAGTCGCATTCGTACAATTGATTCGACTGTTTCTGCTATCTGTCTCGCACAGGTTGCCATTGCTTCGTGAGCCTGAACCACCGAAGCAAATAAAATAGCGATCATCCCACGTTAGACAGCGCAGACGTCATTTTGGAATGCTAGGGCTCGGAGGTCATCATTAGTCCCTTCTTGCAGGTAAGAAAATCATAGCTGATCGGATTGCGGGGTGACGGTTTTACCTGCCTCGTAATGTCCGTAGCTTTCCCCCTTTCTGTCTTGCGTGCTTGTCGTCAGAAGGTCCTCTACTTCTTTCCGCCCGGGGTGAAAACGGTCGAGGCGAAGGCGAGCGTCTTGCAGCTTCCTCCCAACCCTCCTTCCCAACACTTGTTCTTTCGGTCTTGGGCCACGGCTTCACGTCTTTTGCCTCTTCGCCTGCTCGCTTTTCCACGTTACTTCACACCGACCCTCACCTTTGCTGACACACTCTCTTCCTTATAGTACAATTCACGTCTTCCGTGTTGAAACTATCGTCCGCACATACCCTCCAAGAAATCACTCACGATTGGCTTGCGATCCGACTTTTTCGACTGCCTTTCACGGCATTTCCAGTCTCTCCTGTCGCCGGATCCATTTTGCCCACTTGCGTCTTACACTCTACAGTGATATTCTTCGTCAGGGATCATGGATCAGCAGGGCCAATCCGGGGTGCCAGGCCCCGCTGGCCGCAAGCTCCATATTGCTCATCGGAGAAGTCCATCTGAGCTAACCCCGTTGATGAGTATGATCCCCCGTGACTTCCCTCGGCTGCAATCGTTGTGACTGACTCCCCCGGTTTAGTGGAACAACTGGCCATTCAACAACAGATTGAGCTGCTCCAGCAGCAACAGCAACAGATCGCTGCTACACACCAACAATACGTCAATATGGGCTTGCTGCAGCCCCAACAATTGGGCCAAGTCCCGGGCTTCTCTCCTGGTGCCTCCATGGGCGGTGTTTCTCCACAGGTCAACGCATTCCAGTTCCCGCAGCAGCAGCCGCAGCAGCAACAGCAGCTCGGCGTTCCCATGAACACGCCCGGCCAACACTCGCACCGTCGGAACCAGTCTGCCCTTCCGGGTCTTGCCATGGGCCCACCCCCGGCGCCATCCTCGGGCGCGTCTGGATATTCTGAGTTCAACCAGCAAGGCCAGAACAACCAGAAGAACGAAAACTCCAATCATGGTCGCGGTCGTGGTGGTCCCCCGGGCGGTGGCCATCAACGCCGCCACTCCCTTGCTCTCCCGGAGGCCAAGAAGGCTGCGGAGCTTGCGCAGCAGAAGCGAACCGCCTCTGGCTTCCAGTTCCCAGCCCCCGCTCCTGGAGCCAGCAGCTCGGACAATCAATCCGCTTCTGATGACAAGCCGGCGTCTAATTCTTCCCCAGCTCCTCAAGGACTCGGCCTGCAGCGGGCGGGCAACATCCGGGCTGGTGGTCATGGTCGAAGCCAGTCGATGGCCATTGGTGGAAACCGGGGCTCCCTGTCGGGACGTGGTGCGGGCGGCTTCCAGTTCCCTGCGCCCAGTGATGCGTCCAGCGGTGATAACCAGCGCCGTGGGAGTCAACCGGGACACGCGCGCTCTTCGTCTCGGAACTTTGACGGTAATTGGCGTCAGCCAAACAACCAAAACCAGGGCCAGGACCAGCAGAAACCCTTCGGCCAACAGGGTGGTGGATTTCAGCCCGGTCACCGCTCGCGGCCTTCTATGAACCAGTCGATGGGCTCCATCGGCCAATTCCAGTACCCCGGCCAGCCGCAGCTTATCCAGCTGCCCCAAGGACAGGTCATGATGGCACCACCCCAAATGTTTGGGAACCAGCAGCTGAATCCCCTGCAGCTTGCACAGCTCCAGGCTCTGCAGCAGCAGAACGGACAGGGCATGGGTCTTCAGGCGAGCCAACACGCCCCGCCGCAGCTGTCTGTTCAGCAGCAACAACAGCAACAACAGCAACAGCGGAAGACGCTTTTCACACCTTACTTGCCCCAGGCAAATCTGCCTGCCCTTCTCAGCAACGGTCAGCTGGTCGCAGGCACCCTGCGTGTCAATAAGAAGAACCGATCTGATGCCTATGTCACCACGACGGATCTGGATGCCGACATCTTTATTTGCGGTAGTAAAGATCGGAACCGCGCCCTTGAAGGGGACTTTGTTGCGATCGAGCTCCTGGACGTTGACGAAGTGTGGTCCCAGAAGAAAGAAAAGGAGGAGAAAAAGAAACGCAAGGATATTACCGATGCGCGCTCCGGAAGCAACGCCGGGAACGACAAGCTCGGTCGGTCCGACTCCAACGGTGACAGGCAGGAAGTCGGTCCGGATGGAAGCATCCGTCGTCGTGGTAGTCTCCGCCAGCGCCCCACACAGAAGAAGAACGATGACGTCGAAGTTGAAGGTCAGAGTCTTCTGCTGGTCGAGGAGGATGAAATCAGCGATGAACAAAAACCCCTGTATGCTGGCCACGTGGTTGCGGTCATTGAGCGCATTGCCGGCCAGATGTTCTCGGGGACCTTGGGTCTCCTCCGTCCCAGCAGCCAGGCGACGAAGGAGAAGCAGGAGGCTGAGCGGCAGGCCAGGGATGGTGCCCACGGTCGCTCTCACCATGATCGTCACCAGGACAAGCCCAAGATCGTTTGGTTCAAGCCTACCGACAAGCGGGTGCCCCTGATCGCCATCCCCACTGAGCAGGCTCCCCGAGACTTCGTCGAAAAGCACCAGGACTACGCCAATCGGATCTTTGTTGCTTCTATCAAGAGATGGCCAATCACCTCTTTGCACCCCTTCGGCACTCTTGTCGAACAACTGGGAGAGATGGGTGACTTGCGTGTTGAGACGGATGCTCTTCTCCGTGATAACAACTTCGCATCGGACGATTTCTCTGATGCTGTCCTCAAGAGTATCGGATGGGAGGATTGGACTGTCTCCAGCGAGGGCGACGCCCTGGCCACTCGACGTGACTTCCGCGAAGAGACCATCTTCTCCATCGACCCCGTTGACACTAAGTCGCTCGAGGATGCTTTCCACGTCAAGAAACTTGCCGATGGAAAGATTGAAATTGGTGTTCACGTGGTTGACATTGCTCATTTCGTCAAGGGTAACTCTCTGGTCGATCGCGAAGCCAAGAAGCGAGGCACTGCGGTCTACTTGGTTGACCGCATTATGAACATGCTGCCGCCCCGAGTGAGCACCGAGCTCTGCTCCTTGCTCCCCGGAGAAGACCGCCTCACTGTCAGTGTGGTTTTCCAGGCTAACCCGGAAACTGGTGCAGTCGACGATGATGTCTGGATCGGAAAGGGTGTCATCAAGAGCGCCGGCCGGCTTAGCTATGACGAAGTGAACTCGGTAATTGAGGGCAAGGCAGCTGCTACGAGCTCCGGCATTACTGCGGACAACATCCAACTGTTGAACGTAAGTACCTGACATCAAGTTACCTCCCATCATCCCATTGTTTTCCAAGCTAATTTGGATTACTTTTAGGCCATTGCCGGCAAGTTCCGCGAAGCTCGGTTTGGCAACCGGGTATCCAATGTCCCCGCACTGCGGCTGCTTCAGCAGCTGGACGACGAGAACGTGCCCGTCGAATTCAATATCTTCGACTCCACCCCGGCTCATGAACTTGTTGAGGAGCTTAGCCACCAGGCCAATTACTTCGTTGCTCGCAAGCTGGCCAGCGCCATGCCCGAGAAGGCATTCCTGCGTCGTCAGCCATCGCCTAACTCTCGTCGCCTTACATTGTTTGCGGAGAGAATGAACCGCCTTGGCTTTGGAATAGACCCCTCAAGCAGTGGAAGTCTGCAGAGCTCTCTCAGCAAGGTGCAGGACGTCGACCTGCGCAAGGTTAGTGACTTTTGGCTCTTCATACCTTAACAACAACTGCTTCATTGAATATCCGCTAATCCTTTACCCCAGGGCATGGAAACTTTGTTCGCCAAGGCCATGCAACGCGCCAAGTATTATGTTGGTAGTGGTGTTCCAGACGATCAGCGCCAGCACTTCACGCTCAATGTGCCGGTGTATACCCACTTTACCAATCCCTCTCGACGCTACCCCGACCTTCTTGTGCACCGTCAGCTCGAGGCCATCCTCTCGAACGGTTCCGTGGAGTTCACCGAGGATGTGGAGTCTTTGACTAAGACGGCAGACCTCTGCAACAACAAGAAAGACTCAGCCCACAATGCACAGGAGCAGAGTGTCCATATCGAAGCCTGTCGTAACATGGACCGAAAGAGCCACGAGATTGGCGGAGATCTAATCAGCGAGGGAATTGTTCTCTGCGTTTACGAGTCCGCCTTCGATGTTCTCATTCCTGAATATGGCTTCGAGAAGCGTGTCCACTGCGACCAACTTCCACTGAAGAAAGCCGAATACCGCAAGGACACTCGTGTGCTTGAACTGTACTGGGAGAAGGGTGTCCCGTCGTCGGCCTATGTTCCCGAGGACGAGCGCCCGAAGCCATCTAGCTCTCGCGCTGCGCAGGCGGCCGCTGCCGCTCGCGAGGCTGAGGCTGCCAAGGAGCGTGCTAGAGAACAGGATGAGGCCATGCGCAAGCAGACAGACACTGGTACCATGTCTGCCGATGATGTCGATGCCCTCTTCGATGACGATGAAGATGTGGATGAGGTCACCGAACAGGCGGCTGGTGTGTCTCTCAACTCGGGTGATCGTTCGACCCAGAGCATGCCGCCTTCCCCCACCCGCAACGGCCATCTCCAGCAGGGACCTCACCGCACCCGCTCCGACCCAAAGATTGCCTCGGGCACCAATGATGCACCTGAAAACAAGTTGACGAACAAGGAGAAGTACCTGGACCTGTTCAAGCTGAGGGAAGAAAATGGAGATTTCATCCAGGACGTTACGGAGATGACGCGCGTTCCCATCATTCTGAAGACTGACCTGAGCAAGAGCCCTCCGTAAGTGGATTGATGTTTCCCCCATCCAAACTCTTGTGCTAACCACATTATTCTCTAGGTGCCTCACTGTTCGGTCTGTGAACCCCTATGCCCTGTAGAGGGACGACACTCGGTTTTGTTTTCTTGGGATATATTCTTGCATGCCTACCCTTCACCTCTTTTTGCGGACGAGCGGAACATGGACAGGTTTACGTGCACCTCCGGACATAATCCTATCCCCACATGTGGATCGAACATATCATTATCGGGAATTTTTTTTCTTGGTATCAGTTTTCTCTTTTCGGTGGCTTTCAATCAACCCGCGTTTTATCCACCATTTCCCCTCTGAGTCCTGAGACTCGTATACTTACCGTGTTATATGTCTGAAGCGGTTGTCTGTTTGTTTTGAGCCTCTTAGTTGTTTTCCGGAGAAGGGTTTCTTGTACCAGAGCTTGCCTCGACTCCCCTTTCTGGCTTATTTCCTGCGCTCTCCTGTTATTGGGAATTGCGATTTTGCGCAGTTGTTGGAAGATTCGTGGAGAGATTGTTTGCAGCTCGCGAGTACCCTGAAAGCTTTTCCCTTAATCCACATTATTTGCATATTCCCACTGCTCTCGTAGTCTTCCCATTGTGTCTGCTGCAATTGGTTCCAAAATAGATATTCAACGCAGAGGTTCATAGTAGATCTATCAAGCTACAGATCTATTGCGGACCACGAGGGGATTGCAAGAACCAAAGCCATCTATCAGTGCATTGCGTAAAAATAACCATTGACCAAACTCCCAAGTAGCCAACTTCCCCCAAGTTTGCCCCCGTTCTAATAATGCAACCAATATCATAACCTCTTTTCTCTGTGCATGCACCAAGACGCCCGAGGCTAACAACCGTAACTCAAAAATAACCAAAGGGTATAATAAGAATGAACACTTGCTGATGAGCCAAAATCTAGACGATCACCCAAAAAGACAAGAGAAGAGAAGAGAAGAAGAGGATCCAGTCGCCAATAAGCATATCCTCTTTTGGACAGCTTATAGCCGACGCACCCCAATTCGAGGCTTCACCTTGGCGACAGCCGAAGAGGAAACCTTGCGGGCTCCGGCGACAGACTTCTTCGAGGCTTTCAATGATGACGAGGACGTGGACGAACCAGCAGCAGTGGAAGAGGAGGAAGAATATAGTGATGCAGAAGATGATGATGAAGAAGCAGACAATGGCTGCGCATAGCCCGCAGAGAGCGAGGTATTGCCATGACCGGCAGCCTTCGTAGCCGAGTGCCCGCGCTTATCTTTCAAGCCGAGTGCCAACCCTACTGCGTCACAGTTCTCTTTGCCGTTTCCGCTAGAGCGGCGCGAGACGGCTAAGATGGATGTTTCGGGGAGATCCTCGTAGATGAGGAGGTCGTCGCGCATGCGACTTGAGGACAAGGGGTGGGCGCCGCGGGTGAAGGAGGAAAGCTTGGGCGATTTGCGCCGCGGGGATGCAGAGGGGTGTGCGGGGGCGGTGTTGGCAGAGATATTCTTTTCGGAATTCATGACCTGGGACTCGGACTCGGAGTCAGAGTCGACGAGCATCATGTCCGCGTCGGCGTCCTCGGGCCCGGGCATGGATAGGACGGAGAGGGGACGTTTGCCGAGAGCGTTTTTGCGGGGGCTTGGTGGTGCTAGTTTCACGGGGGATGGGGAGAGGGACGGGTCATTTTCTTTGCTTGGGTCATCGTTCCCGCTGTCGCTCATGTCGTCTGTGGCGGGGGGATCTTGCGGTGGCTGCGCCGCATGGTCGGCACTCCTATTTGTCCCGTTTTGAATGCGTCGCTGTTTGCGCGGGTGTGCGACACGAGTGTCGTCCTTCTCCTGGTCCGCCGATCCGGCATCTTCGCCTCTCATTGTTGCCTCCGTCACTGAGGCTTGGAGGTCAGACGGAATGCGGGCGTGGATGGAGGTCATCAGCTTGGCCTGGTGAGAGAAGGCCTCGTAGTCCTCTTGCAAGAGAGAGCCTGCGGCCGAGTTGAGAGCCGAGTCAGGGTTTGGGTAAATGAGAAGGCACGAGATAGTCTAGAGGCACAGCGGGTATAATTAGCTCCGGGTCATGTCTAAATGGCAAAGGATCTGCTAGTCCACGCGCAACATACCACCAGCACATCGCGCAGCGTCAACTTGGGCTTCCAATCCCTCTTCAACGTATCCACACACACCGCGCCCGTGAGCTCCTCCACGTTGGGGTGCCAGATCCGCGTCGTGAAGGTAGCCTTGGGGGGACTATTTGGGTAGTCGTCAGGCATCTTGAGACGGAGGCGCCAGAGGCCTTGCGAATATGGAGTGCCCGGCGGGCCGGTGAGAAGGACGGTCAAATGCGACAGGTCGTCGCTCGAGGACCGCCCATCGTCGGGAGGGAGAAGGTAATATGGCGGGAGATTGGCGCTGTGTAAAGCGGCATGGTCGGCCGCAAGTCGGCGCAGATTGGAGACCTTGACATGATGTTAGTTGAGTCTTTTGCCACCAGGAATGTTTCCTTTCCGGGATAGGACGGCGCATTATTATCGATAGCAGATCCGGGGCAGCCACGCACCATTTTTGGGATTTTTGAGTTCTCGGTTGGCGGGGAAAAGAAGAATGCAGTGTTTCAGATAGTGAATATGGGTTTCCGTACGAAATATTGAGCATGTAATCCGGCGAGTTCTGTGTCCAGTCCAGCACTCACAGAGCGACAGTAGCGACAGTAGCGACGGTTACTTCGTCGACGGTTTGTTTTGGTGGGCTCCCACGCTAATCCCAAAGCGAGCGCGTCGGTCAGGTGACTGCGACGCGTCATGGTCGCGTCAGCCAATATTACCTCTTTGGGACAGACCGGGTTACCTAGGTCTTCCTCTAAGTAAGCCCTGGCTCGACTTCCTGCTGTCAAGTGAGAGGAAGACCGATCTATTCTCCCAAGTCCATCTTCAAGGTCAATGGAGATCATATTCAACACTCATATGATTCAAAGGAATGACAGTGTATTTACTCGGTATTAAGCTAATCATGCCCACCAGGAAAGAAAAAGAAAACTGGGCAAAAGGTGCGCCGCCAAGCGTCTCAATTCACAAAACGAGCCCCATCCCAGAGATGATTGGTTATTACAAGTCCCATTATGCAACGAAGTGGGTGGAAACAAAATCAAAACAATGCTCGCGTTTTCGTATCCCTCGTCCTGCCAACCCAGATGAAGCTGGATCGGCATATTGCATGACCAACATCATCCACCTGCAGTGGTCTCCAAATGAGAGGTGTCGCATGACTGGAGATTTACAAGCGGGCAGTGAGCTCAAGTCACCAAGAGGTTGTTCCTACTTCCTCTACAGGAAGGCAGCCAGAGCAGCACCAGCCACGAGACCCAGGCCGGCGGGGGCAGCAGTGGCCATGGCAGCACCACCAATGGAAGGGCTGCTGCTGGCGCCAGAGCTGAAGCTGCCATCCGAAGTCGTCGAGTCAGAGCCGGACTTGGTGGTGGTGCCGGTGGTCGTAGTCGCGCCCGAGCTGTTGGGGGCGCCGCTGCGAGAGGCAGTGGCCCAGGTGCGGGTGGAAGAGGGAACCACGACGGGAGAGGACAGGCCAGCCGGGGTCGAGGCGGCAGGGTCCTGCGAAGTCACGACGCCGGGCTGGCTGGTGACGGCAGGCTGTTGCGAGGTCTCGACAGTCGGCTGCGAGGTGACAGCGGCCTGCTGCGAGGTGGCCGGCTGCGGCTGGCTAGTGACAACAGCGTTGGAGTCGGTCTGGGCCAAGTTAGCTGGGTCTGCACTAGTGACTCTTGTATTGTTTGGTATTCCTGGTACTTACGTCGGCAGCACCAGAGCTCTGGGCCATAGCAAGGGCCGAGAGGCCAGCGAAGAGAAGGTAGGTACGCATGTTGAAGGTTGGAGAGGTGATGAGATTAGGTCTGAAAAGAGAAAAGAGCAAGAGGATTAAACGCGAGAGTAGGTATAAGCGAGAGTGATGAGAGAAGGAAAGAAAGAAGGAGGGAGTGGTAAGCCTTTATGTCCAGCGGAAGACAGGGCTTATATTGCAAGCCCCAACAAGTTTCTCGCAGTTTGGGCCAGTCAAATTGGAGAAATATCTTTTTTTCGATCTGCAAGGTCTGGCAGGATTCTATTTTGGTTTGCTCGGTCACACCGGCTGGCTGCCGTGCAGCCCCGATGCGTAAGCTCTTGTAGAAGCCCTAGAAACCTTACTATTGACATCCATGGCCTCCCACCCCTTCCTCATCGTTCATGTGTTCGCTGTGGCAAGGTCATAGTGACCTATAGGCTGATGCGAGACCAGACTAAAATTCAAGAAACGAAACAAAGAATCCAAAAAGAATCTTGTTGACTAGAAAACCCCGGCAAAGCTTACCTTGCCCTTGGACTTTTGCCTCTCCCTTGGCAGACCGCGTGGAGGCCTACGAATCCCTTTCAAAGTGGTCCAGTCAGCGGTGTCTGTGCCGGGCCTTGACAGAATTTCATCCGTATGTGTTGATGAGCGACGCTGCCAAGAATCGCGACAGGCGTCCTGGTTGCAGATCGACGCGAGGTGTGAGACATCGACTTGGGTGGGGGGGTAAGGATCGACTGTGTGTTCACCTAGACCCTTTTTTTTTCGTTTCTTTTTCTTTGTTTTTTTTTTTTTTTTTTTTTTTTTTTTCCTGCTGCGTCAACTGATCCCATGCAAGGGTCGAGGGTCCCGCGGGTTGCAGTGTGTACCTACATCCCTCCCTCTCCATACATGCGTAGTCAATATTCCAGCCAACACACCACTCAGGATTGAATGGTGGGTGATCGAGGAGGGAGGGTCCTGTCAGGGACTCTATTCAACATCCAGTTGATCGACAGTCCCTTGATGCAGGTCTGCTGATAATGGCGAGATTTTATGACTGGTTTATGGTACCTAGTGACTACCTAGGAACTGCCTATATGAGGGACCAAACTCATAAACAAATAATAATAACGTAACAAGTCAATAATTATACGTGATTCGAGTGCCACTAGTGTCGTTGTATGGGCTCCACCCTATTTACTCTTCCCTAACTACGGTACTTCAATACTATACCTAGGAGTATACAAGTTTACATAGAATGGACTCCCCCCGCGACACAAGTGAGATCTCCCGTGTTGCCCAAGCTGTGCCTGCAGGGCAACCCACCGAGGGCTTCGCCACGGTTTAAGCTTGTAGCCGCGGGAAACGGTCCCCATTTCGACCACCGGATCTCGTGCGACGATCCACGCGTCCACTGGCACCCAGGTGAAACAAGTGCGTTGCGAGGCACAAGTGTATTTATTTATATTCTTTTTTTTAAAACTAAATAAATAAATAGATAATTGAATGATGTGGTTGTTCCGTCATGCTGCTTAAATAACCAATATTATTTATTCTTCGGTCGTTGGAAGATCCTGTCGCATAGAACAAGCCATGTTGGACTGCCTGGGTGGAGATTATCCACTCGCTGGTTCTCCCCATGGACCGATAGTCGGAATCAATCTGCTCTGGGCTAGCTAGCCATGAAACTAGTAGAGAATGTGTATCGCAGAGTGGTGCAGAATCTGGGGATTGGCTGGAGCTCCGTGCTCGGGAAGTGGTGTACTTCTCGTGGGTACAGACATCGTCATTTTTGGTCCGTGAAGATATATCCACCAGATACGAACAATTTCAAGACTCGCTGAGCATATCGATTGAAGCTCCCTCGCAGCAACACATCCATGGATATAGTACAAATCCCCGCCTGGTATCAACAGCGTTGTCTCCCCACTTACTCCTTGGTCAACTCATCCTGCCCTCGGACCCAATCCGCAAATTCCTTCCGCTTCGCCTGGAGAGACAAGCGTTAGCATCCGTGTATGATGATTTGAAGTTTGTCCTTCAGTGCCAGAAAGAGCAGAGATTGAAAACCTCCAAGAAACCCTCTTGACATTCGGAACAAGAAGAGTCCAAACAAATGAAGGGGAAAAAAAAAGCAAAGCAAGCTCTTCACTCACCCTGATATCCCAGAATCCATACCTCTCCTCCAGAGCCAGATAGGGATTGCGTGTCCCGCCCTCCCGCTCGATCTGGCCCGCCCAGTCACGCCAGCTGATCGGCTTCAACTTCTCCGCACCCAGCACCAGCCCGATCGACACGGTCAGTACAGCCACGAGGGTTTCGACGACGATGTCTTGCGGAATGACCGTGGAAGCGGAGATGCGCGCGTTGCTGTGCAGGACGGTGTGCTCGTGAGCGGAGTAGCCTCTGTCGAGGATGAGAAGAGTTAGCGGGTGATCGGCAAAGAGATTGCTCTATACCTGAGGATTGTGGTCTCATGGCACTTACGCGTGGGCCAGGAGGACCAGGCCGAATAGCGTGACCAGCCGCGAGAGGAAGCTCATCTTGGACTCTTGGGCTGAGGTGGTCAATTGGGATGGGAGTTGCGGGTTCGGTGATTCGGGGATGAAAGAGATCCTTCTCGCTGCTGGAGGTGATCCAATGGGATCTCACAAGAATAGCCCAGACGGTAAATGTACCAAGTTCGCGAATCCCCGATGGTCGGTGTTGCTGTGCCAGACGGACTTGCGATGGCCGTGTCTTTGCGGCGCTCATCCCGCCCAGCTTACTCATCATTGTTGAGTGAGTGGCCCGCGGGGGCTTCACCAGTTCAATATTCAATGACTTTGATGAGTTCCCAATTTACTTGTTTTATGCTTCCCTCGGTTGGTTTCAATTGGCCATCTTGAGTATTTCTATTTTGTATTATTTTCCCGCTTAGAACCATAATTTCCTCCACAGGTATAGATCTTGAGTGGCGACATCCGATTTATATACATCCGAGCACTAGGTAGACAGTCACTTGGGCAGCGTCAGGTCACAAATTTTTCATATTGAGCAATTTCAAACATGATCGCAGACTTTTCTAAATCCCAAACTACCTTCCATCATCACTCGTTGACTCATAGGTGCCCGATATCACAAGGGTGCCGGGGCAGTTGATGAGAGGGCCCAAGGTCATTAGCTCCATTCATTCGGTAACCGATCGGTCTGCATGGCATCCAGTGGTTGCATTCGAGTTTGAGATGCAGCAGTGGGTCATCAGGACTTGTCCAATCGAGTCTAAAGATGCACAGTAGCTGTATGTACATACACTCCCGTATACTCCAGATCTACACATGCAGTGGGGACCGCCTGCACAGCAGAACTATGTGGCCTCTTCCCTATGCTATTATCCTTGGCGTTTTAGGCTCAATGCGCATGTAAGACCAAGAGGTAGTTGGTTGCTTGTTTCAATACTGCTGGCTCAATGTTTCCACGTAGTCCAAACCCCAAACATTGATCTCCAGTCGGTGTCCTACCTCTGGCCATATTTACATCTACAGACTGTCCTGAATATATGTCATCATGAAATTTTTGGATTTTTTCATCAAATGACCGGCCACATTGGACCAGGCTCTAGTTGGATCGTTAACTATGGGATTCCTTAGACGTCACACATTCCATCCATCACGCCATCTCTGCTTCATAAATGGGGCATAGCAAATCACAGCTTCATCATGGCCGCGACATCGGTGGACTGGACGTGGTCCTCATCCTCCTCGATTCGGGCCTGGAGCTCATCCGTCGAGACCTTGTCGTCCTCGACGACCAGGTTGATCTGGAGCTTCTTGATACCGAAGCCAACGGCGACGAACTTGGAGGCACCCCACACGAGGCCTTCCTGCTCGATGGCACGGACGTTGGCCTCCAGCTCCTCCAGGTTGGTCTCGTCATCTGTGCATTTGTTAGCGCCTGACAGTGAAAAAAAAAAGCAATAGAAGGAAATACATACCCCAGGGCTTCACCTCCAGGGTGACCATGGACTTGGCCACGGGCTTGGGTTTGGCCTCCTTTTTCTTCTTGTACTCCTCAAGACGCTTGTTGCGCTCAGCAACGACCGAGGCGTCCTCCTCCTCAGAGTCGCTACCGAAGAGGTCCTCATCCTCATCCTCCTCAGCCGGCTTGTCCTTGGGGTTCGTGGGTAACTCCGTGGACTCAGGGCCGTAGGCAGTGAAAGCCTTGGAGGGATCACCGGGCAGGGTGGAGAATTCGCTCTCGAAAGAGGCGATGTGCTTGTACCAGCGGGCGACGTGGGGGTACTTCTCCGCGTCAGGGGCACCGCTGAAGGCCTTGAAGGTCACGACATCGGCCTGGCTGGGGGCGTGGCTATTAAGCAGTCAGCACTGATGTCCCTCACACGAGTATAATACATCAACAAGTGCAAAAATGATGAAGCAAGATCAGAGACGCGATTTCTCGCAATTGGATGTAGTCATGCAGCGGGGTCTTAATCCGCCTCCTAAACACGGACCAATTTTTTCTCATCATCAAAGCGTGACGGTGAAAGCCAAAGGAAAGAAAAGTGTGGACAAAACCTCAGGAGAAGAGGGGTGTCTTACCCAACGACGTAGCTGCGCGAGGACAGGTAGTTGTTGGCCACTGAGAACGCGTTAGACATAAACATAAGATAAAAGAAGAATAATAAGGAGGGACACTTACGAGTAAGGCCGGTCTCCGAAATAAAGTCAGTGAAACCCATTGTGAACGGTGGTTGTGTTGGGGAGAGAAAAGGAGAGGAAAACAGAGTGGGCGATCGAGGGGTACAATTTTTTTCGCTTGAAATAAACCAGCGCACGTGATCCGAATGGTGACGGAGCTTGGTCCAGCGGGACAAAAGCTGTCCGCCACTCAGCATTGCCCGAGTGGAGCTTTCGAGAAGCATCGCGATGTCTCCGTGTGCGAAGTATTAAAGCTATCACGGAGTTCCCACCCTGTGATCCTTGACCGTTCTCCAGGAATCTCGGCGCACTCTTTCATCAAGGATGGCAGCCAGATTGTCTCTCACTGCACGTAACCGACTCCTTCGGACGCCCCATCTACCTACTTCGACGTCCCTCCTCTCTGTGACTCCACGCTCATCGTTGCTCCCACGAACCTCATCACTGCCCTCTCCATCGGCTAGACTCACCCCGATTCCCTTGGTGCGCCACTATGCAAATGGCCGCCCACATCCTCCCGGTGGCACACATCGCATGAACTTGGGCGGAGAGCCCGAGAAGGCAGCACTGGAGCAGTATGGTATTGACCTGACTGAGAAAGCCAAATCGGGGAAACTCGATCCTGTCATTGGAAGAGATGCCGAAATCCATCGAACAATTCAAGTCTTGTCGCGACGCACTAAAAACAACCCGGTGCTGATCGGCGCTGCTGGAACTGGTAAAACGGCTGTTCTGGAGGGTCTGGCCCAACGGATTGTGCAGGGGGATGTTCCCGAGAGCATAAAGAACAAACGAGTGGTTGCGCTGGATCTGGGCTCACTGATTGCAGGCGCCAAGTTCCGCGGCGATTTTGAGGAGCGACTGAAATCCGTCCTCAAGGAAGTGGAGGATGCACAAGGTGGCGTTATTCTCTTCATTGATGAGCTCCACACTTTGCTGGGACTGGGCAAGGCGGAAGGCAGTATCGATGCGAGCAACCTGCTCAAGCCCGCCCTGTCCCGAGGAGAGCTTCAATGCTGCGGTGCCACCACCTTGAACGAATATCGCTTGATCGAAAAGGACGTTGCCCTTGCTCGCCGTTTCCAGCCCATCCAGGTGGGTGAGCCATCGGTGGCCTCGACCATCTCAATTCTTCGTGGCATCAAGAACAAATACGAAGTGCACCACGGTGTCCGGATCACAGACGGAGCGCTCGTCGCCGCAGCTACCTACAGTAATCGTTACATTACCGACCGATTCTTACCCGACAAGGCCATCGATTTGGTAGACGAAGCTGCCTCTGCACTCCGCTTGCAGCAAGAGTCAAAGCCTGATTCGATCCGGGAGTTGGAGCGGGATATTACCACCATCCAAATCGAACTGGAGTCCCTCCGCAAAGAAACAGATGTCAGCAGCCGCGAACGTCGGGACAAGCTGCAGGAAGACCTCAAGGTCAAGCAGGAGGAAGCTGGCAAATTGACAGAAGTTTGGGAAAAAGAAAAGTCCGAAATCGACAGCATCAAACACACCAAAGAGGACCTGGAGCGCGCTCGGTTCGAGCTTGAACAAGCCCAGCGTGAAGGGAATTTTGCCAAAGCTGGAGAGCTCAGATACTCGACCATCCCCGGCCTCGAGGCCAAGCTTCCTAAAGAAGGCGCCGAGCAAAACTCGGAACAGCAGACCTTGATCCATGACTCGGTTACCGCAGATGACATTGGCAATGTGGTTTCTCGAACCACGGGCATCCCTGTCACCAAGCTCATGGCGGGCGAGGTTGAGAAGTTGATTCGGATGGAGGACACCCTCCGGAAGTCGGTCCGCGGACAAGATGAAGCTCTGTCTGCCGTGGCAGATGCAGTCCGGATGCAGCGAGCAGGCCTCAGTGGCGAGAACCGTCCGCTGGCATCGTTTATGTTCCTGGGCCCCACGGGTGTGGGTAAAACAGAACTTTGCAAGAAGATGGCCGAGTTCCTCTTTTCGGCTGAAACGGCAGTTGTGCGATTCGACATGAGCGAATTCCAAGAGAAGCATACCATTAGCCGTTTGATCGGCTCTCCGGCCGGATATGTTGGGTATGATGACGCTGGCCAGCTCACTGAGGCTGTGAGACGGAAGCCCTATGCGGTGCTGCTGTTTGATGAGTTTGAAAAGGCGCACCGCGATATTTCGGCCTTGTTGCTGCAGGTCCTCGATGAGGGCTTTCTTACGGATGCGCAGGGCCACAAAGTGGACTTCCGCAACACCTTAATTGTTTTGACCTCCAACCTGGGAGCCGACATTTTGGTCGGTGCCGACCCCTTGCACTCTTTCAAAGATTTCGGAGATGCCGAACTCTCATCTGAACTCAAGAAGGCAGTCATGGACGTTGTGCAAGGTGCCTACCCACCCGAATTCCTCAACCGAATCGACGAGTTCATCATTTTCAAGCGGTTGTCACGGGAAGCTTTGCGAGACATTGTCGACATCAGAATCAAGGAACTCCAGTCGCGACTTGACAGTCGCCGGATGACTTTGCAGGTTGACGACGAGATCAAAGACTGGCTGTGCGAGAGAGGTTATGACCCCAAGTTTGGCGCTCGCCCTCTGAACCGTCTGATATCCAAGGAGATTGGCAACCGACTGGCCGACAAAATCATCCGGGGCGAGATTGTTTCCGGCCAAACTGCTCAGGTATCTCTCAATGCCGATAAGTCTGGACTGGTAGTGTCGATGGAGGAATAAGCGTGAGACATGACCTGGCGTTCTCTTTTTCTGGGCATCTGGGACGGGGTTGATTGAATTTGGGATCTGGGAATATGGCATACAAGCTGGATCTTCACTCATATTCGCATGACTTTGTATATTAGTGCCCTTTCATCTGCTGTACATTAATGAAAATCTCCTCATTCTTAAGGTGTCTGTAGTCCTCCAGCCGTGAACGGGGAATCTCCTTGCTCCGGTCAAACCCATCAACCATTTCAACCCATTCCCATCCACATCCCTGGAGCTTGATGGCACCGCGATCATGCGTTCCTCACAAAAAAGAAAAAGACCAGAAGCATCCCATCCACCCCCTATCACACCTCGTACCTCTGGACCAAGAGTTGGCCACAGGGCTCCGTCATCGACCCGAGCATCCAACACTCCTGGCAATCCCATCCAAGCTCCCACTTCATCAGCTGCGAGACAATTGCGAACTCCTTTTGCTACAGAAACAAGGCCTGAAGCGGATGACTCCGAGAGAGTCACGGAGGATGATGTCGACTATGTCATTGGAGCCATCGACCTGAAGGACCATAGCACTGTGGGATGCTCGTATTATTCCACCGCTGAAGAGAAAATGTATCTGCTCAGCGACAGCCGTATGGGGGGAGCGGAGGTCATCGATGCGTGTACGCACACTCCAAGTGTTGCTGGCTGCTATCGATGATAGTAAAAAGTGGCTGACCTCGTTCTAGTGATTCTTCAGATCAACCCGACGGTGATATTGACCCCTCCTCGAGTCGATCTCCTTGATATGCAGGACCAAAGACAAAATCTCGCACAGGAAAACGGTGTGTTCACTGTGGTTACTGCGTCAAGCCCCGGATATAACTAAACATTAGAAACCCTAGGATCGTCGTCTTACCTGCCGTACCAGATGGATGTGCGCCCAACGCAGGAGTTTAGCTACTCCAATGCGCAGAGTAGATTGGTGGCACTTGATGTGGCCTCTTCTCACGAGGAACGCTTCCGCTTTTTCGTCCCCCAGAACAGTCTTGCTGGGCCCGAAGAAGTGAACATCGATGAGATTGGCTTCACGCTCCAGGAGGGAAAGCTCTTGCACATCTCCAGTGCAGTGGATATAGAGAACCCGGTCTCGATGGGCTGCGCCGGAGCGATTCTCACATACCTACAGAGGCGAAGAGCTACAGGACCGATTGTAGGGGACATAACTGGCTGTTCATTCAGGGTTCGTTCACTGGAGATGTTCAACCTGAGGAATACCATGTGAGTGGCCCCTCGAATTGCTTGAATTGGCTATGGTCAAATCCTAACGATGAGATACCCAGGTGGATGAACAGCAACACCTTCTTGTCTCTCCAGATTATCCAATCTGAGTCACATCCCAACATGTTCAACCAAGGCCCCGGCAAGAAATCATCGTCCTGCAAAGAGGGTCTTTCGGTATACGGTCTCTTCCAGCGCTTTGCATACACTCCTCAGGGTAGGGCTAGACTCAGACAGATGTTCTTCCGTCCAAGCGTGGACCCAGCTACAATCGAAGAACGGCATGATTTTATCGGAGTGTTTTCGCGGCCAAATAACTTGGCCCCGCTGAAGAAGATGTCTAAAGGCCTGAAACAGATCAAGAATCTTCGACCTGCAATGATCAACCTCCGCAAGGGAGTCAGCACGGGAAGCGCCAAGATCACAGGTTTCAAGACGACTGTATGGGCGAGTCTACTTGCAGTACATCTTGTCTACTTCCAATGTTGTGACACAAAAAAACTTACTAATGTGGTTGCACAGTTTGCCTTTTACGCGATTGACGTGCGAGATGCGTTGCGTGAAATCTCGGGTGCAGATATGTTGAGGATCAGGCACAAGGTCGAGATATTTTAGTTACATACATGTTTTGATCCAAAAGCTGATTGAACCAAGGCTCTCCGAATATTTGAAGCAGCACAGCTCCACAGAGTGGGACGGATGATCCAAGAGATTGTCAGCATACCACAGCCTCATCCTCAATGATAAAAGCTGACTTGTATAGGTCGACATCGACAACTCGGAAGAACAAGGCAGGGCGGTAGTTAAACAGGGCCTTGACAGAGATCTTGACCGGATGAAAGACAGATATGACGGCTTGAGCAGTCTTCTCAAAACCGTCGCGATTGAAATTGCCACAACAATCCCCGGGGACCTTGATATTGATGTAAACGTGATCTACTTCCCCCAGCTCGGATTCAACATCGCCACTCCACTCAATGATCGAGGAGAAGCGGCATATACCAGCTCCCATGAAGACTGGGAATTGATGTTCATTACGGAAAATCGGGCATATTTCAAGGATTTCCGAATGAGGGAGATGGATGGTAAACTGGGCGATATATACGGACTGATCTGCGGTAGTGTTGATCTCCCTCTTTCAGACCAGTCTCGCTGATCATTTTCCGTCTGTTGGTTTAGAGAAGGAAATCGAGATCGTGTACGATTTAGCCCAGCGCGTCCTCCAATATGAAAGTGCTCTGGTGGATGCATCTGATATCTGTGGAGAGATTGACAGGTATATCATTCCAAACGAGATTGCAATATTCGGCTAACGCATGTCATGCAGTCTCCTAGCCCTCACTCAGGCGGCTAGCTTTTACAAGCTGACTCGGCCTCGGATGGTCCAGGACAATATCATTCGAATCAAGGGTGGCCGGTAAATGAATACAAATACCATGATATTCTCAATTCTCACTAACAGAAGATAGCCACTTACTCCAAGAGTTGAAAGTGTCCTCATATGTACCAAACGATACTCTGCTCGTGGGTGGGCGTGTACAACCCGAAGAGACCGAAGGCGCTTCGTCTCAAATCCACAATCCCAGCATGTTGTTGCTGACTGGGCCAAACTATTCGGGCAAAAGTGTCTATATCAAACAGGTTCTGGTTCTGTATTCCTCAAGCTTCTTGATATCTAATAATGGCACAGGTGGCTCTGATAGTCTATCTCGCACAACTTGGCAGGTATGTCAAGCCAATTTTCAGTCATTCGAGCACCAGCAATCATGCTAAGAAGCCCTAGTTTCGTTCCTGCAGATAGTGCAGAGCTAGGAATCACCGACAAGATTTTGACAAAAATCAACACGCAAGAAAGTGTCTCCAAGGTATGGCTATCCATCATTGTCAAGGTTTTATTGCTTTGGAAATTCTGACCATTGGCAGATCGAAAGCACATTCATGAATGATTTGAAGCAGATTTCACTCAGTTTGAAACAAGTCACTAGTCGGAGTCTAGTTCTCATCGATGAATTCGGCAAGGGAACGAACGAGTGTGGTTCGTTTACTTTTTGTGATCCCCTTTGAAAATCAACAGTTGGGAACATACTAACTCATTTAGATGGCATTGGGCTAGCCTGTGGGATCCTCGAGCATCTACTGAGCTATGACGATGCCCCCAAAGTCATCGCAGCGACCCATTTCCATGAGATCTTCGAACATGGTTTTCTCATGCCACGGCCACGGTTGCATCTTGGGCATATGGAAGTTCAAGTCTGCGAACAAAGCCAGGAGGTAGAAGACCAGATCACGTATCTTTACAAGTGTGTCTCAGCATGTTCCCGTCTCGAGTCAAATGTGGACCGTGGTGGCTGAAACCATGGAAACAGTTTTCGCTCAGGTCGCAGCAACAAGAGTTTCGGGACTATGTGAGTTGGGTTTCCTATAGGCTTTCGGCCCCTTCCTGTGATTTGCTGACCTATTCTCAATGGGAACATCTAGTTGCGCGGCCATGAACGGTATTGATCCAGCGATAATTTCCCGTGCAAACGAGATCGCATCTCTGTCAGCTCGTGGAGAGAACCTCATCGCCGCGTGTGCTATTTTATCCACGGAGGAAACACACTCTCTAAAAGAAGCGGTATGAATGTAACCTTGCTGGGATATCCTGTTGACTAACTCAATCTGATCCTGCCCGTCTCAGGATTTGCTCGCACGCCGCTTCCTTCAAATTGACTTAGGCAAAAATGGAAATGCCAGGACAGCCCTAGAAGGAATGTTCGAGCCACTGGAGTGACGGAGGGGGCCGTTCCGGGTGTGATTTCCCGGGGGCGATATGATTACTTCCCCCTAAGCTGATGCACTGATTCGTTTCTGTTGATCCTTTGTTGGCGCATTCGTTATTGGCGCATCTTATGCCGCCGATCTATACTATTCACAGACCCCCCTGTCGCTCTCCCCTTCCACTCAAGGCCTGTCGGTGTCCCGGGGGCCAAATCAAACGAATTTACCCCGGAATACCCCGGTCATGTGTGTGTGTGGGTGACAGTGCCACCGAGGGTGATGCGGCTGGCGGCTTTGTTCTCGCTGCGACTCTCATGCATCTTCCCCCACGGCGATGATAGTTTCCTTCTTGGATGAGCTTCGCCTCGACGTCTCTTGTATTATCCCATTTACTTGCTGTTCTGGATGTTCCTGCCTGTTCTAGGGTATATATACCAGCAAAGCTCCAATCTGGGGTTTTTCTATGCCCCACATGTCGCAAGTGTCGGACCTCGTCAAAGACTCGAAGCTGCCCACCAAGGTCGACTCTGAGTATACCACGCACACCTTTCTCGAGTCCACGTCGGTGGCAGGCCGGCGCGCCCGGCGCAGAGAGCGCGAAGAAATCTGGAAGAAGAAAAGGCCCCTGGGAATCGGCATCTTGAGCACGGTATGGCTGGAGGAGTGCGTGTCTGAGGACGGGAGCAAGTTACGCGCTGTCAAAGAAGTGTGCAAAACCGCGCCAGGGGCCAAGCTCGTGGATTATAACCGCGAGCTAGAAGCCATTGCCAGGTTCTCGCAGCAGAGGGTAAAGATCTAGACAACTGAATTCACATGGTCTTTGCAGAAGTGCTGATCACATTTTTCCAGTACGATGGGTGCTTCGTGAAATCCTCGGGTTGGTTCGACACCCCTGAGTCGGTGTTGATTTCCATGGAGTATCTCTCCCTGGGCGATCTCCAGCAGTACATGACCCAGCCGTTTCCCGAGAAAGAAGCCCAACATATTGCATTGCAGCTCCTCGAGGGCCTTGATTTTATGCATGGCAATGGATTTGCTCACCGCGATTTGAAACCTCAGGTAAGCTTTCCGCGCCTGGTGCCCAATTTATTTCTATTGGTTTCTGACTCTCGTGCAGAATATTTTCGTCCTTTCCATGGGCCCAGACTGGTGGGTCAAGATCGGCGACTTCGGGATCAGCAAGCGGGTCATGGAGAGCTTCATGGGCCTGTCAACTTTCAACGGCACCCCGGCGTTCATTGCGCCCGAGGTCTATGAGCAACAGTGGAAGATTGAAAAGACAACCCCGGCGCCGGACTTGGTTTATGGTCCAGCAGTCGATATCTGGGCTCTTGGTGTGATTACTTACTACATGCTCACGGCCAACCTGCCATTTTCTTGGAAAAGTGACCTTCTCGCCTACTCCAAGGGCGAAGCAGATCTACCACTGAGCTCTTTGGCCGAGGTCCAAGTCAGTCCAGAAGCGACTTCATTCCTTGAACGCCTGTTGGCAGCAAAGTCTGCCGATCGCCCTGTCGCAAGAGATGCTTTGGACCATGCCTGGCTTGTCCCGCTGCTGCAAGACTCCGATGCAAGCGATGGTCAAGATCAGCCCGAGCCAATCTCAAATCTTGAGACCATCCAAGAACCAGAAGAGCCGCAGGAATTCCAGGAATCCCCTGCCCCGAAGCAAAAGCCACCAGCCTCACAGGATGTAATGGTCCCCGGCACGATCGATTTGACGGATGATGTACCGGAAAAGCCCAAAAAGCCCATTCCCGCGGAACAACATCCGTCAATACGACAATCGCAGCAGTCCACCACACCGATATCACCACTGAGTCTGGGGATCGACGGTGATACGTACAAGCAGCTGATCAACAACCTCAATCTGAACCGCTCAAGGACCCCGTCAACGAGCGTCTCGACCCGGGACTACCCAGCGACAGAAACAGCGTCCATTGCAACATCGCAACAGAGCGATTCCCAGCACAGCGAGCCCATCACCCGAGCCCACCACAACCGTCAAACCTCCTCGGCGTCGTCTATGACCCCAATCGACATCCTCCCTCCCTACACCCGCCGAAGATCCGACGCCGCGCCCATCCCCATCTCTGACCTCGACTACAAAACCCCTTCGTCAGGGAGTCCCACTCCCAGCATCAGAAACAGCAGACACAGCGCGGATCGGTTCTCTGAGAAGATTAGACGAGCCTCTCGCGATATCATGCCGAGACGGAGCCGCCGCTCCAACGATTACCATGGCAAAGATATAAAAGAAGCGGAGATCCCGCGTTGTCGGTCTTCTCAGGATACCACTCCAACGTCTCCCTCAACGTGAGTTTTTCCACTTGTTTTCTTTTCTTTGGAAAAAAAAAATTACTGATAGTTGGGGCTAGTTCAAGTACGAAGAGCAAGTCTCAGGTTATTGAGATTCCTGGTCGTCCTCAGTTCGCTGAAGGATTACCCATGTTTCCTATGCGGCACGACAAGAAATTGAAAGGTATGTTGATTTATGTGAACCCCGGTGTTGGTTTTGCCAGATGCTGAGATGGTCTCGCAGATCGTGTGTAGAAGTTCTGCGCAGTGAGATGATTTTTGTGTCATGTAGATAAATACAGTCCACGTTTCAGTAATCGATACGAATATACAGAGTATGTATACCAGGCGTTGGGAGAATACTCTAGGCGAGAGAGAAGCCTGTGAAATTCGGATTTTTTTTTAAAAAACCATTATATACATATCTAAATGCCAGAGGTTTTTTCCAGAAACGCAACGGACGCCTTGAGGAAGAAAGTAGACAAATTTCCAAGAAAATGAAAGAAGAAAGAAGAAAAGGAAAGTAGGCCTTCACAGCTTGACACTCTTGACCAGGTTTTTCTTGATACCGGTCATCTCGCCGCCATAACCGCCGCGGCCCTCGCCGCCCTTGTATACCTGGCGAATACTGCCCAGCTTCTTCTTCTTCTCGTCGAACTTCTTGCGCTTCTTGACACGCGGGTTGCGCGAGTCCTTGTTCCGCTTCGGCGTCAGACCCTTATTCTTCTCGATCTGGTACGTGATGGCGCGTTTGCCGTCCGGTCCAATCTCTTCCTGCATTTCGACGTGGCCGCCTTCGCGGGCAGCAGCCGCGTAGGCATCCGCACGGGCCTTCTTCTCGCCCTTGCGTTGCTTGGAGCGGGCCGCAACCATGTCATAGTATTCGTCTTCGTCGGTGCCGGATTGGTCGCCGTTGCGAATCTCGTGGGCGACGCGGCGATCATCGTCGTCGCTGTCACCGCCCAGCTCCTGTCCGACGTCAGGGCGTTGTCGGCCACGCTTCTCGGCCTCAGCGTTGAGTCGAGCTTGGCGGTCCTTCAAACGCTCGCGGTACGGGATGTCAGCATCACCACCGGCGTCCCGGCCTGCCGCGTGGCGCTTGTTGGCCTTCTGTGCCATCTGTGACGTGTAGAAGCGGAGCGAGCGCTTCTGCTTGGCCTTCTCCTCTGCCTCGCGCGTTGTGAGGGCGTCTTCGTCGCCGAAGTCCGAGTCGTCGTCGCCGCCCTTGGCGGACGCCTTGGTCTTCTGGCTCTTGCGCTTGCGCGCCGGCTCAGTGACCAGGTTCGAGAGATCAGCTAGGCCAGCTTCGGTTTCACGGAGACGCTCCGCCCGGCGGGCTTCGGCTTCGGCCTGTGCTGCCTCTGCTGCTTGTTGTGCCTTGCTCAGGTTCTTCTTCTGTTTTGTCTTCTTGGTCTCCTTTGTCTTCGCAGGTTGTTTCTGGGCCTTGCTTGGCTCGGGCTCGGCTGTCGGTTTGGTCTCCTTGACAGTAGCTGTCGTCTTGGGGGCCTCGGAAACGGTGAGATCCTTCACCGTGTGCCAGAGCTTTCGGAATTTCACGAGAGAGCCCATGACTGGGTGTTGTCGGAGCTCGGCGGGGGACAGCGGAGCGTGTTCATTGGTGGTGTCGGAAGACGGGGACGCAAGAAGCATGAAGTACATGCTAATCGCGCCCATATAAGCAGACAGAGCGCGAAGTTTGATGACGGCAACGGGAGATGGCTGTGGCTCATCTGAGGACTCTTCCTTTGTTGCTTCCGCCGATTCTGACGCGGACTTCTGGAGCTCCTGGAAGATACGTTGAAGATCGACAAAATCCTTGGCCAAAGGCTCAAATTCGGGATACCTCGACTTGAGAATTTTCAATTTCTCGTCGGTTCCCATTTGATCGGTGACTTCCAGCTGGGGAAGCACTTCCGTCACCACGCCCGCATCCTCTGCTTCGCCCTCGGGTGCCTTTCCGGAGTCCATCCATTCGGATTCGTCGAACCCAAAGTCCGCCTCGTTCATCGTCTGCAACTGTTTCTGCTGCAATCTCTTGGCTTCCTGTTCTTCTTCCAGGGCATCAACCTCGGTCTCGATCTGGTCTGTATTGTAGAGATCCTTTTTAGACGAGCCCCAAGCTGCAATACCCTCATCTTCTTCGTCAGATTGGGCGCCCTGTCGATCTTTTGTCAACGGCTGGCCCATGTCGTCGTAGTCATCCTCGGGTTCGGCATCGTCCCCATAATCCTCCTCCTCGTCATCTTCGTTGTCCTCGTCGTCCACCGACTCGTAGCCGAGGATTTCTTCGTCAGACGGTTGGAGCATCTCCTCTGTAAGAGCCGGTCAGAACCCAGTCCAATTAAGAAAAGCATCATCAGCCAAATTGCATACCTTGCTCGGCAACTCTCCGCCGCCTTTTGGCATCGGGGCCCTCCTCCAGCAGAATCTGATCCCGGCCGGCTTGGAAGTCATCCTCGGAATCGTCGAATCGCTCTTCGATATCGAACTTGGTGCGCTCGGGCTCTTTGCCCTGTGCGGGACGACCCGCCTTTCTCTTCTTGCCCATGGTGGCCGGCACTGAATTGATTGCGGTCGAGCAACCAAAAACTGCGACAAAATAATTTTTTGGTCGCTCACCGCCTGCGCTAGTCCACAGTGGGGCTTTTTGTCTGGTTTGCACAGGCGGAAATATCAATACAGGTAAGGTACCGTCAAATGCATGCTTCTGTGTGCCAAGATACGGTTAAACGCGTAACAACTCCGTATCGAGCTCTCCTGCATCGCGCCTGCTGGCATGGAAAACACATCGGCGGCAGCTGCCAATTCGTAAAGCCTCGAGAGCTGCGTTTCTCTTTTCCTCCCTGATGCATCAACTACGCTCTTTTATATCCTCGTATCACATTTCCACTCCCGTCTTGGGGGCCTCGGTACTCTTTTGCACCGTTATTGCCTATTCGATTGCAAAGATGTTCGGCTTCGGTTCGCGAAAGAACGAGTTCATTGTCGAGGGCCGGGTATGTGCAGCAATCCCCTCCCAACAGATCTGTGGCTGATTATTTCTCTCAGACAGTTGTTGTGACCGGTGGCTCTGATGGCATGGGCAGGGCTGTGGCAGCTCAATTGGCCAAGAAAGGCGCAAACGTCGTGGTGGTTGCACGGACAGTCTCCAAGCTCCAAGACACCGTTGAAGACCTCAAGGTCAGACCATGATTCCATTTGTACGAAAGCATCACTAATACGTTGTTTAGGCCAACAACCAGAATGTGCCCAAGCAGCGGTTCCATTATATAAGTGCCGACCTCACCCAATCCGCAGAGTGCGGGCGAGTAATTGATGAGGTCACGGCCTGGAACGAAGGAGCTCCTCCGGATGTCGTCTGGTGCTGCGCTGGTTTCTCCCACCCTGGCTTCTTCGTCGACGTTCCCATTCCGGTCCAGAGACAGCAGATGGACACCATCTACTGGACGGCGGCAAACACCGCTCACGCGACTCTTCGAAGCTGGCTGACTCCTGTTCCGCCCAGTGGACAAATGAAGACCCCGCGGCGACACCTCATTTTTACCTGTTCTACTCTGGCATTCATCCCGATCGCCGGTTATGCACCCTACTCGCCCGCCAAGGCAGCCATTCGCTCCCTTTCTGATACTCTCAGCCAAGAGATTGAGATGTACAATGGGGTCCACTCCCAGCGGCATCGCCGCGACGCCCCGGCAGCGGATATCAAGGTCCACACGGTTTTCCCAATGGGCATTCTCTCTCCCGGCTTTGACAACGAGCAGAAGATCAAGCCCGACCTGACCAAGAAGCTCGAAGAGGCCGACAAGCCCCAGACTCCCACAGAAGTGGCCCAAGTTGCCATCAGTGCTCTGGAGCGCGGCGAGTATCTGATCACCACTATGTTCGTTGGCCATGTCATGAAGGGCGCCGCGCTCGGACCTAGTCCGAGAAACAGTATTATGGGCGACACTTTCCTCAGTTGGCTCAGCAGTCTGGTGTTTTTGCAAGTGATTCCGGATCTTCGCAACACGGCATTTAACTGGGGAAAGAAGAACGGGCTCCCCAGACGCACGTCGACATGATTACCCTTCTGCTATGGCTGTTGACAAGACTGTATATTTATTTGGCACTGTCTCGGCAGTCTTTGATTTCCTGTCCGAATGAGGTCCTACGCATCCTCCTGTGGTCCCATGCAGTGGCCGCATATTGTTAATGTATAAACCACGGGATTTTTTTCTACACTTCGATATTTGCGTAATTGAAGATTTAGCTGTGCGTGGATCATCGGGGAATGCGGGCGGTGACGTAGTGCTGACCGTGTATCTTGACCTGCCCGTTTTCGATTCCTGGGCACTCCAACACCCTCGACAATTCTACAGAAATTTAAATCTCTCGCGAGGTATTATTTGGCGCTTCATCTTTGAATATGAGCGTTTGCTAGCAACTCATATCCCCAAGTCGCGTCTAGCCACCAGGCCAGAACGATCGCAAGCAAAAATAAGACCTCGACTCCCCACCAACAGACTCGGTGATTGCAATTGCAATTGCCTGCGAAACACCCTTTTGAACACCCTTTTGAACATCCAAGAGCAATTGAAGCAATATATTTGCCAGCATGGACGCGCTCTTCTCTGTCCCCGTCCTATCGCTCTTCCTCGTCCCGGCCCTGTCATCCTACAGCACCAGCCTCAACCTCCTCTTTTTCTACATGACATGGACCACCCTCGTGCTATCGCACCCCCCGCTCCGCGTGGAGCTGTTCAGCACAGCCGCCGTGCGAATATTTTTCTATGCACTCCCGTCCCTGGTCTTCTTCCTCTTCGATATTCTGACTCCATCTGCGGCGGTGGTCGTCAAGGCGCAGGGCGAGACCGGTTTGCCGGGTGGAAAGAAACGCGGCAAAATCCGAGCCAATGAGCTTAAAGTGGCTGGGTGGGCGCTGCTGAACGTGGGTTTGGGTATTGCGGCGCAGGCGGCGATTGAAATGCTCCTGGTGCAGGTCCTGCATGTGCGCAGTGCGATCAAGGTCTCGATGAAGTTGCCGATGCCGTGGGAGATGGTTAAGGATATGGTTCGTGGATTGCTTGGACGAGAGGTGAGATTTCCTTTCTTATTCTTTTCTCGTATATCTACTTTTCATAACCACAATACTAACCCAATCTGCTCCTTGGGCCCACCAGATCCTGACATATATCCTGCACCGCTACTCCCTCCACTCACGCTCCTCATTCCTCGCCGATTGCCACGAGACCTGGTACCACTCGCTTTCAGCCCCATTCCCACTCACCGCGCACTACGACCACCCGCTCGCCTACCTAGTCTCCAAGTTCATCCCAACCTACGCGCCCGCCATGCTCTTCCGCTTCCACATGCTCACCTACCTACTGTACCTTACCACCATCTCCATCGAGGAGACCTTCGTCTACTCCGGGTACACGATCATGCCGACCAGCTTCTTCTTGGGCGGCATTGCCCGCCGCACCGATATGCATCTGCTTACCGGCGCGGAGGGCAATTTCGGTCCCTGGGGCGTGTTGGACTGGCTGTGCGGCACTACCGTTGGAGACTCGAGTGTCGAGGAAGATTTGATTGACGAGATTGAGGAGCGCGAGATTGAGGAGAAAGTGCGCAAGGCGATTGAGGCGTCTAAGCGGAAGGTTAAAGAGGGGGCGGCGCAGGCTAGAGGGCAGACGTCGCGGAGGCGCCGGCGTGAATAGTTGGTAATTTTGAAAGATATATGTTGGGTGTAGGGGTTGGATTTGTATATTTTTTGTGGACTCGGATGTATCGTGGAATAAATCCACATACTCGATCAACATATCCACTTGAGATCACAATTCACACTTCATAATCTCCAGCATCCTCAAGATCTACGATACAGCTGAATTCAAATGCCCCAATTTTGGATTGCCGCCTGAACTTGGAAATTGGTGTATGTCGTACTAAACATGAAAAGAAACCAGCCCGCCTGCTGGAAAAAGGTATTTTTAAATCTTTTTTTTTTTGCTTGGAGTCTTTCACTTCACGGCTTTCTGTCTCCCCCTCCAAGGAAAGGGGTCCTGCAAACCGGCCACGCGCAAAGGGAAGCTTTGAAACAAGAAAACAACAACCGGTCATCCGAATTAACCGCAAATCCTAAGAAACGAAGCACGTGTAGACGGATCCCGTATGGAGTTACATGAATCATGAGCCGCTCCTCCGTCCTTCCGGGGAGGTGCGAAAGGATGCCGATCTGCAATCAAGCCGCCCCTCGTTGGAAGATTGGTCCTCCCCCAACTATCTACCGAACCCGAGGCTGCCGAGTCGCACGCTTACCACTTCATCTCGTGGGGCTTGTCGCCGTTGCGGAGGCTAAAGGTAGTGGCGAGGTAGCTGCTCAGGAACTCCTCCTTCTTGATGCTGCCCAGGATGGACTGGTCGATGACCTTCTGGTCGCTGGCGCGGGCGCTGGCAACCTTCTTCTTCTGTAAAACGACAAAACACAACATATTAGCGATTGGACGACCAGGGCAAACGAGTCCAATATTCAAAACGTACCTCGGGCTTCTCTCCCTGCTTGAAGAAAGCCTCCTCGGACTTCTTCTCCTTGCTCTTTTCCTTGGTGAAGTACTCAGGAGCAGCGGTCTTCTCCAGAGCCTTCTGGTCAACACCGCTGACGTCGACACGCTTGGAGGTGGCGATCACGTAGCGGGCGTTCACCCGTCGGAGGGGGACGCCGTTGATCTTGAAGGGACCGGTAACCAGGAGGACACCCTGGTCGAGGTGCTTGAGGAGGATGACACGCTTGCCACGGAAGCGGCCAGCGAGGAGGATCAGGATGGTACCGGGCTGGAGGCTCTCGCGGAGCTTGGCGGGGCGCAGCGTCTTGCGGACCTGCAAAACACACAACCAATGTTAGAAATCCAGTCTGAGGTAGGTGAGATAAAATGTTGCGATGGATTGGTAAGGCCTTTCCCCGGATGAAGCGCTGCGTCCAGGGCTCCTAAAAAAGAACCCTTGGCGTAATCGCCAATTGACATCGGTCGTCTTTGAACGTCGCCATTATCACAGAGATCAATTCAAAAAGACTGGCGCAATGGTCGCAATCATCCCGGCGAAACAGACGCAGACCAGTATCCTCCACGCTCCAAACCATCACAGGGTGTACTGACTTTCTTGGGCTGCGACTCATCGTCCACGGGGTACCACTTCTGGGCCTTCTGGGCCGGGTGCGGCACGGTCCTCTGGCCCTTGCCAAACTGCTTCGTCTGGGCGTCCGACATGTTGGCGGCTGGGACGAAGAAGGATATAGGTGGTTGTCGGGTGTGGTTGTTGGAGGTTGTGACTGCCAGCGGAGGTCGGCCTAATTGCGGGAAAGAGCATTTGTGGGAAAAGCCCTATTACCTCAGCCAGATTACCCGAGTACTAACCGTTTGGGGACATATCACGTGGTGCTCGGGAGTGCCCTAACTCTATGGGTCAGCTGACTTCCCTAGAGCCTGAGGCCATCAACTCCGACCGCCCACAAGGACCTCTGGTGCAAGTCAGCTGCTCCCAAGCAAAACAACATTGGAACTGACGTATCTTCCGTGAGATCTTTCTCTTCATTCCCATTCCACTTCATCCACCAGGCGTGGACCAATTCTCGGATTTCTTCCCTCGAATTACCTGATAAATACGCCGCCAAACATGTCGATAGCTCCCATCATCACATTCAAAGCAGGTATCTGCGACCTCGATGTAAGTGAGCTCTTGAGCTACGCTTGATCAGCACATATCCCCCCCCCCCCCGGCCAAAACCACTCAATGCTTCGACACACAAAACTCACCCCATCTTGATAGACTTCTACCTCGCCAGGTGCTGTCAAGCCCAAGCCGACTCCCGGCTACATCTACCTCTACGCCGAAGATGAGCTTGTTCATTTCTGCTGGCGCCCGCGCAGCGCCCCCCTCGACGAGCCCGAGCTGGATCTCGTGATGATTCCCACCGATGGAACATTCATCCCGTACAAGCCAGCTGGCCAGGATGCCACGAATGGCCGCGTTTTTGTTCTGAAGTTCTCGTCCAGCTCCCAGCGACATTTGTTCTGGATGCAATCCAGATCTCAGCATGAGCGTGGCGATCCCAGCTGGTTCAGCCCTCGGGATCTAAAGTTGGGGGAGATCGTTGATGTGCTGCTGCAAGGCGAGGAAGTTGACGTAGAGCATGAAATTGCCACCCTTCCTCGTCGACCCTCAGGCGGCGATGACGATGAGACTATGGAGGACGTGGAGGGCGTGGATCATGACCCGAGCCACAACCACGGAGGCAGCAGCGGTGGAGCTGGACCGGATGCAACAGGGGGCGATATTCGTGAGGAAGGTCAGGGCTCTCGGGAGGGCGGTGCAGACGGTGGACGAGCGTAGGTACATATCTCTGATAACCTCGATCGGGGTCATGCAAGGCTGATTATTTGGTTCTTTTTAAATTGGGTTCTCCAGCGCAAGTACGGGTTCTGATCCATCGTCGGTGGTCCAAGATTTTTTGCGGTCTCTGGGCGGCCAAGGCCAATCCCAGGGCCCCGAACGGCCTTCTACAACACTTCAGGATTTGCTGACCCCCTCGACCACGCTGCCCTTTATTGAAGGTGCCGACGCCCACGCCGCCAATCATCTTCTAAGCTTTTTACCGCCTGCGCTGCTGCTGCTCGCCCAGGGCAATGCCGAGGCTGGAGAAGCTGAAACAGACCCCGAGCTGGCTCAAGCCGCCCTGCTCTCTCTTGACCTGTCGCAGAAGAAAGACATTCTCCGCAAGGTGCTTCGATCCCCCCAGTTCATGCAGAGCTTGGCAAGCCTCACTGTGGCTCTGCGCGACGGTGGGCTTCCGAGTATTAGCGAGGCCTTGCAGATCCCGGTGGCCAATGGCGGGTTTATGCGTCGTGGGGGAGTACCCCTGGGCGGTGGTGACGCGGTGGATGCGTTCCTGGATGGCGTTCGGCAACATGTTCAAGACAAGGACACATCGATGGAGACGGATTGATATTGTTTTTCTTTTTTTGTATAGCCTAGTCCAATCGATTATTTGTCAGCCTATTTTTGGAACGGGAACCCCACCAGGCAGCACTGTTTTGCTGTTGGCAAGGCTGAGCTATGAAGATCTCCGTAGAACAACACATTGGATTGACAGTGGGCAGCCCAGAGAGATAGAAGAGCCAAGTAGAATATAACAACATCGTATACCATATATACATATATATATATTATATAATATAACATAACCATATATTTAAAAAATAAACAATATAATAGACTGAAGATTCCCTCCAGCCACGTTTAGACATGGGCCAATCAGCGAATGCGTGGGGTTTAGTGTGATTGCGACCGGGGCTTGTCAACGGAATCTTCCAAGCGGCCCCATTTTCTCTCTCGCGCAGGGGGGAAAACCACATCATCTGAAGAGAATGGCTTGTGAATGACTGTTGGATTGTTGATTCCCGGAACCACCCCATTCTGTCCTTGAGCGACTTTGTACGACCTGCGATGCCTGCCATTCCATAATCCCTGACACTTGGCCCTGACGATGGCGTCGAATAGCCAGAACTCTGGCAATAATGGGCATCCATCCAGCCAAATTCCCCTTCAAGATCTCTCGAGACCGCCGGATATTGTCGCGGCCGATGAACGGGGCAGAGGTCGCGCGGGAGGCAGTTTGTTCTCGCGTCGGCCCTCGATCCTCGCGGGATCGCGGAGGGATTATGAATCGGTCGCCGAGGACTCGCCGACCGCGACCAGGAATCCTTTTCGACCGACCCCCTACGCCGGGGAGATCGACGTGAATTCCCCCATCGACGACTTGGATGGCTTCGCGCAAGCCATGTCCGGCCTCAGCTTCGACGGGCCGGCCACAGCCTCGCTCTCGGGCCCCTCCGCATCTCGCAGTTTCGACGATGGTGCCTCCGACCTCGAACACATCCCTTTAGATACCTACGAATCCCACGACCCCGATCGCTACATTGCCCCCACTGACACCAACGAGGATCATGTTCGATTGACCGATCCCCGATATCTCCAACCGATCAGTGGCGCAGCCGGCTCACAGGGACGACAAAGTAACGATACAAGTGTTCCTTCCATCAACTTTCCAGATGGTGCCCGACTGGGTGATGATCTTCCTCATGTCGAGAATGGGATGGGCCAGGGCCGCAGTAGCAAGAATCGGGACCGATCTCGGTCCTTGTCTCCTTCGGGTTCTGCTGGGGCTCTCCAACGAGCGAGTTCGATGGTCAAATCCATGTCGCAACGAGTGGTCAACTTGAGTAACGAGCCCGAGGTTGTACAACAGTCCATCGAGAGGGAGGAGTCCTACAAAAATTCTCGGTTGGAAGGGCCACCAACCCTGCCCGCGCCTGAATTTGAGTATGAGGACGGCCCAGACGACGAACTGCCAGGCAGGAGGAAGCGGGCGTCCAACAAACTATGGCGGAATCGAAACAATCCGCTCCGAGGCCGGTCACTCGGCATCCTGGGACCGCACCACCCGCTTCGACTGTGGCTTTGTGATATCCTGGTCCATTCGTTCACAGAGCCCTTCATTCTGGCGGTCATCATCGTTCAGGCTATCCTTCTGACCCTCGAATCAGCGTTACCGGGCAGTACGGAGTCAATGAAATGGGGAGCCTCGGTCCTCGACTATATATTTCTCGCCATTTTCCTCATTTATACACTGGAAATCGGCGCCAAGATCTTGGTGTCTGGGTTTGTTTTCAATCCGAAAGAGTATAGCACTCTCAATCGAGACCTCGGTATCAGGAAGGCGGTTGCGGAGAAGGGCAAGAATCTGATCACGCCGCATCGGCACATGACTACCAAGAAAACATCGATAGTTCATGCAGAACCACAAACCTCGATTATACGGACCTTCACTGGGATGAATACGCTGGATGCGGAAGCCTATGATGACCCTTTGCAGAAACGCCGTGTCCGGCTTGCTCATCGAGCCTTTCTCCGACACTCGTTCAATCGATTGGATTTTGTGGCCCTGGTCGCCTATTGGGTTTCCTTTTTCCTCTCACTGGAAGGCGTGGAGAAGGTCCACCAGCTCTACATCTTTCGCATGCTGAGCTGTCTCCGTATTTTGCGTCTTCTTGCTCTGACTAACGGCACATCCGTAAGATCTTTCGTCTGTCACAATGGGATCTCCGGAGATTGCTAACTGGTTACATTTAGGTCATCCTTCGGAGTCTCAAACGTGCAGCCCCTCTGCTGGTTCACGTGGCATTTCTCATTGGTTTCTTTTGGCTTCTTTTCGCTATTATCGGAATCCAGACATTCAAGTCTAGTTTCCAAAGAACTTGTCTTTGGGTCGACCCCGAAGGCCAGAGCAACTTTACTTTGAATGACCCGTACGGCACTCTCCAATTTTGTGGTGGCTATCTGGACAACAAAACTGGAGATGTAAAGCCCTGGCTCGAAGAAAGCGGATATGCATCACCATTCGCCAAGCCTAAGGGATATCTCTGTCCACAGGGCTCTGTGTGTATGCAAGGCCCCAATCCCTATAGTGGGACCATGAGCTTCGACAATATCCTGCAATCTCTGGAAATGGTGTTTATAATCATGAGCTCCAACACATTTACCAACTTGCTGTACTACACCACCGATAGCGACTACCTCGCAGCGGCGCTCTTCTTCGCCTGCGGATTTGTCATTCTGAGCTTGTGGCTGGTGAATTTGCTAGTTGCGATCATCACCCACTCTTTCCAGGTGATTCGAGAGGAAAGCAAGCGCAGTGCCTTCGCCGTTCAAAAGATAGACACCGTGGAAGAAGACGACACCTCGACACGAAAGGTCAGTGCACTCAAGCGGCTCTATGATAACACCGAGTGGGTTTGGGTTTTTGTTATCTTCTTTGGCCTTGTTGTGCAGGCGTTGAGAAGCTCTTCAATGTCCGATGACCGAGCTCGCTTCATTGATACCACTGAGACCGTCGTCACCATCATTTTCTCTCTTTGAGATCATTGTGCGGTTTGTGTCGGATTGGCGCGCGTTTCACCAGAAACGTCGTAATTGGACGGACCTTTTTCTCGTCGTCATTACATGCATCATTCAAATACCCGCCATCAAAAAGTCGGGCCGTCCATACACCGTCCTCACCCTCTTCCAAATCCTACGGGTCTACCGATTTGTCATGGCATTTTCTGTGACCAGGAACCTCATCATGGTTGTATTTCGCAATGTCGTTGGTCTGCTCAATCTCATCTTCTTCCTTTTCTTGATGACATTCCTTGCGTCTATATTTGCAACCCAACTTTTCCGAAGTCAGATCCCTGCTAAGAACCCGAGTGGTGCCTCGACAAGCATCACCTTTGAAAATGTTTACAATTCCTTCCTCGGGATGTACCAGATCCTGACAAGCGAAAATTGGACGGCAATCCTTTACGATGTAACTGGTTATACGGCCTCCTACCAAACCGCGTGGATCTCTGCGGCGTTCATCATCCTTTGGTTCATCGTGGCCAATTTCATCATCCTGAACATGTTCATTGCCGTCATTCAAGAAAGCTTTGATGTATCAGAGGATGAAAAGCGGCTGCACCAAGTCAGGGCGTTTCTGGAGCAGAAACAGCTCGGTGGAGCGCCGCGGGGAAATCTCGCGTTGTCAAGGATTCTTCGGCTGGGCCGAGATCCAGATCGGTACAGAGATCCGCTTGACCATGGCCCTGCCGCGCTGGAGATGCTCTTGAAGGATGCAGTTGTTCGAGAATTCCTTCACGAAGAAGAGCCAGAGGAGAATCGACAGAGAGAAACTACGATGCCTGAGGGAGCCGCCCAGGAGACAGTTCAACCCAGTTGGATCTCGCGCCTGTGGAACAAGACTACGACGCTCGTCATGCGCAGGGAACCGAACCCATTTTACTCCAAGCTGAAATTCTCCCGCGCCTACGAAGAACTAGATCCCCGAACCATGGCCCAAGAAGTGGTTTCGGCGGCGGAGCAAAGGAAAATAGCCCAACGGGAATTTCTTGTGAAGCATCCCAACTATAACAAATCGTTGTTCCTCTTCCACCCAGATCACCCGGTCCGGAAATCCTGTCAGCGCATCGTCGGGCCCGGGCGCGGTCACCAGCGAGTTGAAGGCGTGGATCCGTATAAGCCACTGTGGTACTCATTTTCGGCTTTCATCTACGCAGCCATCGTTGCCATGGTGCTTCTCGCATGTATCACAACGCCTTTGTACCAGAAGAAGTACTTTCAGACCAACCGCAATTGGTTTGTCTATACTGACTTGAGCTTTGCCGTCGTTTTCACTGCCGAGGCGACTATAAAAGTCATTGCGGATGGCTTCTTTTGGACCCCGAATGCGTTCTTCCGAAGTTCATGGGGCTTTATCGATGGCGTCGTGTTGATCACTCTCTGGATCAATGTCGGCAGCTCACTCAGTGAAGACTGGGGGGTTTCCAGAGCCATTGGTGCCTTTAAAGCACTGAGAGCACTGCGACTGTTGAACGTAAGCGACAGCGCCAAAGACACATTCCACTCTGTCATCATTGTCGGAGGGTGGAAGGTTATTGCTGCCGCGGCCGTCTCTATGAGCTTTCTGGTCCCATTTGCCATTTATGGACTCAACTTGTTCAACGGGCAGATGGTTAGCTGCAACGATGAGGACTTCGTGGGTAACCTGACGGCGTGTGTCAACGAATACACCAGCTCGCCTTTCAATTGGGACGTGCTTGCTCCGCGCGTTGCTGATAACCCGTACTATGACTTTGATAATTTTGGCGACTCCCTCTTCATTCTTTTCCAGATTGTATCTCAGGAAGGCTGGACCGATGTCCAAGAGAGTGCCATGAAAATCACCGGAAAGGGTTGGCAGCCGCAGGACTCGGCAGCACCGGAAAATGGGCTGTTTTTCGTCGTGTTCAATTTACTCGGAGCCGTGTTTGTCTTAACGCTGTTTGTGTCTGTGTTCATGCGCAACTACACGGAACAGACCGGCGTTGCCTTCTTGACCGCTGAGCAGCGGTCCTGGCTGGAACTGCGCAAGCTCCTCCGGCAAATTTCGCCGTCCAAGCGGTCCTTCCATGACAAGAGCAAGAAGTGGAAAATGTGGTGTTATCGAGTCGCAGTCAAAAAACACGGCCGATGGGCGCGATTTGTGACTGGAATTCTCATAGTGCATCTCCTCTTACTGATGCTGGAGTTTTCGCCTGAACCCCCGGCGTGGGAGTTGACCCGAAGTAAGCTCCCTGAAGAAATCTTGCCTTTTCGTTAACCTACAGCTGATTCATTCGCCAGGCCTTCTACTCTTTTTATTCATGTTTGTCTATGCGGCCCATGTCATCATTCGAATCATCGGTCTGGGGTGGCATCGATTCAGTCGAAGTTCGTGGGACATCTATGCCCTTCTGGTTGTTCCTGGCGCTTTCGTCACAACCATCCTGGACCTTGGGTATCGAAGCCACATTGCAATCATTCTGAACAAGCTCTTTCTTGTGGCGATTACGCTGTTACTCATCCCCCGAAACAACCAGCTGGATCAGCTCTTCAAGACGGCCGCAGCCAGTCTGTCGGTAATTGGGAATTTGCTCGCCACCTGGTTCGTGCTGTTCTTGGTGTATGGCATCGCAATGAACCAAGCGTTTGGCCTCACCAAATTCGGCCAGGGCGAGAATCACAATACCAATTTCCGTGACGTGTCCAAGTCCCTTATCCTGCTCTTTCGCGCTAGTTGCGGAGAGGGATGGAACCAGATCATGGAAGACTTTGCCACCATGGCACCGCCCATGTGCAACTACGATAATAATTTCTTCAACGATGACTGCGGTAGCGCGGCGTGGGCTCGGACTTTGTTCATATCATGGAACATCATCAGCATGTACATCTTCGTCTCGCTGTTCGTCTCGCTCATTTTCGAGAGTTTCTCGTACGTTTATCAACGGAGCAGCGGGCTGTATGCCGTCAGCCGTGAGGAGATCCGCCGGTTCAAGCAAGCGTGGGCCACATACGATCCAGACGGAACGGGGTTCATCACCAAAGAGCAGTTCCCTCGACTTCTCGGGGTAAGTTTCGTTGTCCTTTCACGATTTTGACCAGCTGGCTCATTCATATCTACAGGAACTTTCCGGCGTATTCACTATGCGAATCTATGAAGGGGAATTTTCGATCGGAAGCATTTTGGAACAATGTCGCCTGGACCCGCGCGACTCTACACCTGTGCACCCCATGGTGTCCACTGGGGTTGATATCAAGGAGCTGTCTCGCATCATCCAGCGCATTCCCGTTGATAACATTCGGGAGCGACGCCGAAGGCTCAACGCCTTCTACGAAGAAGTGCTTGTCTCGGCGGACCCAGAACGCGGCATCTCGTTCCATATGTGTCTGATGATTCTCGCTCACTACAATGTCATCAGTGACAGTAAAAGTTTGCGATTGGAGGAATTCCTGCGGCGCCGTGCACGACTACAGCGTGTGGAGGAGGCCGTCCGCCGCAGCACTGTGATCGGATTCTTTGACACGTTATACTGGTCACGAGAGTTCCGGCGCCGGATCGACCGGCGGAAGTCTGGCCGGATGAGCATCGTGCCACAATTCACGGTGCCCGAGATCTTTGTCGACGACCCCGGGGATTCCGACGGTGCTGAGAAGCCTGCACCCGGCACGATGACCCCGCAAACCCAGCCCGATCTCAATGGGACGGTGCCGCCCATGCTCTCACCGGCATCGCATCGGCGGGTCGAGTCGAGCCCGACCGGCCGGCGGAGCGATCTGCCTCCTATCGACACCAACTTGGTCGGGCGATCCTCCGGCGGCAGCACCCCAACGGAGTGGTCCAGTATTAGCCCGTCGCGCACCCCACGACGCATGTACGGCGAGCGCGGGTCGTTCGATGCGAGCGAACCGCGGTCGTCGCACTCGGGGCCCGACCACTCGCGCCACAATAGCGCCATGAGCGTACAGGGAGTTATGGATTCGCTGGACAACTCCGCCTGGGGCGAGAGTCTCCGGCGCAGCTTCACGCAACGGCGACCCGACCGGTCATCTGACCACAGCCAATGAAGTGAAGATGACGATCAATGTATGTACTGGGGCGGATGAAATTTCTGGACTTTTTTTGGTTGCATGTCTGGTGGGATTCGGATTTTGTTTTCTTTGTCTTTCTCTTCTTGTTATACTGTCTTTCGCTTTTCCTGGCTTCATCGGCTGTACACTACTCTCCTTGGGAGCATTTTGCATAGCGGCGTGGTGTTATGATAGACGTTTTCGCGGTGAATCAAGTGGGTCCGACTATTCCAATAATCCCATTCTTCGGGGGGTCCAATGACTTGAGTATTCGAAAGAATGGCCTTGTACACGGAAATAGGTAATTCTATTGAAGGAATTAGGAGTTTCAAGATATTCGACAGGTAATTCACGAGGGATTTGCGCAGGTCGTGGCCGTTTGCGCGCAACAATCGCATTCATCCGCATGCGGCGCCACCGCAATCGTGTCTCAAATGCTCCCTGCAGCGGTCCTTGCACCATTGAAAAAACGTAAAAACGTATTTCGAATTCAATAAAAAGTCCCTGACGGACTCTCTTCGATTTCTTCTTTTACAGTTTTGCTCAATTTCCTTCAACACTTTACCTGGCTATGGAGCGAGCACCAGCATAAGACTCCATCTAGTCTGTTGTATACCTCCCGCCTCTCTCTACTCTATTGGATCTACATTCCACCCGCATTATTTCCCACCACACACAAACAATGCAATTCTCGCCCTTCCTGGCCCTGAGCACCTCATCTCGAGCTCGCTCCGATTCATCCCACCAGGGCCCAAGAAGTGATATATCCTCCAGTCCACCCAGCTCCACCACCACCTGCTCCCCGCCGCCATCTCCAACCGCGGCATCTCGACGCTACAGCCAGCACCGGCATATCTTCTCGCATGCCAGTCCCCACCACCACCGCCACAACCAACCTCAAAATCAGCATACACACCAACCCTATAATGGCACAACTCCCACCGACAATAATAATGATAGCAACACCACTCTCCGAAACCCAGAGTCTGGCCTCCCCAATTCCCCAGCCCACTGCGGCATCAGCATCCTCCCCTGTGCTATCCTCCGCGGCCGCTCCTCGCTCATGATGCTGCGCCGGCGTCCTTCTGCCGTTGATATGGTGCTCAACGAGGAGCGGCTGCGCTGTGATGGCGATGCGATTGAGCGGCAGGGGTTGGGGCTGATGGAGCCGCGGCCTGTGGAGATGGATTTGAGGGCGAGTGCCAATGCCAATCCCAGTGCCAATGCTGCTGTTTCTTCCGGTGCGTCCAATCAATCGGATCACAATCCTCGGGCTGTGTTGGGTGCTCCGCCTGTGCAGCAGCCGCGGTTTGTGATGGGTGGGATTTTTGAGGTGATGGAGGAACAGGCTTGATGGAGAGAAAGAAGAAGAGAAGCAGAGAGAAGCATTATCAGGCGTTTTGGGTTTGATTCTTTTGGTTCTTCTGTGTGGCTCGATATTCTTTATTACTTTTATTTATTCTTTTAATCTGGGCGGCATCTTGCATAGGATATCGGGTGTATAGTGGCGTCGATCCTGGAAATAGAGTGATATATCTGAATACAGTTGATCTCGGGGTATATTGTATATTGTGTACAGTAGGAGCCCCAGACAACATCTATATTTCTATATTTGCTGACTCTACAATGGAAAGGATGTTGGTAAGTGTTGATTCGGTCTACTTCATACAAGATATGGTGTGTGATGGTGTAGTCTCAAGTCTTAACAAAAGTAAAGCGCAAAGAAGACAAGAGTCAGATAGCCTTCCCAGACGCCTCTTCACAATATGATCTTTGAAGAAAAAGAAATATCCGTGCCCATGCCGAATGAATGCAACGCCCGTGAAATCGTGAGTCATGAAATGCAAGAGGATGCCACCGGAAAATGCAACAATGCAACAGGCACCTAGACAGAAGGAAAGAAGAAGTGAAAAGAAAAGAACACCCAGATAGGAGTCTAACTCAGACGAATCAAGGACCCAAGGAAACACGATGATCAAATAGATGCGTACGCCTTACTGGCCTTTGCGCGCATTAGGCCACAGCTGACCGCGACAGTTCTTCTCGCCGCAAAGACACTTCACAGCGTTGGGGTCGATCTTCTTCGGAGGACTACTTTCACCCTCAGTAGGGTTGTAGTCAAATGTTAGCTCGGTATTGGGCGGGATTTCACGGAGAGCGAAAAAGGCGAGATAGTAGAGCCGGTCGTCGGCGTGGTTGGTAGTAGAAACGGGGATGATCTTGCAGTTTGGATTGCATGAGTGGTTCATGAATCGAGTTGCCGAGCCAAATTTATGGCCATCGATCACAAAGATATCTTCATCCTTGACCAGAAAGTCCAGTCCGAACAGGTACGACTGTGCACCTTCGGCAGAAGCGAGGCTCTCGCGCACATCGGCTACATTTTCTGTAATGACCTCGCCCAGATAACGGTCGATGAATTGGCCGGTGACAATATGGTCCTCGGAACGGAGGCCTAGTATGTTGACAAGAAAAAACAGCATAAATAACAACTCAAAACCTGTCAACCGATATCAGTGGAGATAAACTTACCAAACCCTCGTTTTCCAGTGTTGAATATCTCCAATCGGACCTGGCGGCCTCGTTGGACGACATGGTTCCAGCACTTAAGACCTTTGCATTTGCAACGGTAGCTGCACTCATAGATCATCGATTTTCGATTCAAAAAGCCCGGCCGAAGGATTAGGGTGCCCGGAGGACCCCTGGGAGAAGGGTCGTAGGGCACGATCTTTCTGTTGGAGTCCGGCTCGTTGGTCAGACACTCGCATTTATTAGTCGGGCAGTCAATGGGACAGTTGCAGCCGGCATTAAAGCCATCTTCGACGCCTTCGACGCCGTCCTGGATCTTGTAGTCGTTAATGAAATCGAAGTTGGCCGCCAGCTTAGCCAGCAGCCTATCACAGTCTGCAGAGATAGTGATGGGAGGACCCTTGACACGAGCCAGCTTCTGCTCGAGCGTGGCACGTATGGACGTCTGAGTAGGGAGTGGAGAAGAAAGAGTTTTGTCAGATGGACGGAGAGAGAGAGAGACCACGGATCTGTTGGTTGATCTAGCGCGCGGATATGCAAATGCCGCAGCTTTGATCTTCTCGTCTTCAATGGGATACCACGTTTTAGAAAAACCCGTGATATTAGAAGGCGGTTTGATAGCCTCCATCCGTCGCCTCTGGTGGATAGACGGTGACGGAATCACGACACTCACGTTCTGCGACGCCAGACTGGGCGTGGGGCTTGGCGTGGAGGTCGCCTTTAACCGCGACAGGTGAAGGTCCTTGGGTAAACCATTGCTTTTGGTAGAGGTTGTCGAGGACACCTCGGAGGCATCTACACTTTTCCGCTTTTGGGGAATGGTCGATTCCGGGGACCGATGAGCCAGGGTGATGAAGGTCACTTGCCGTGGCTCATCGCCTGTTTTTTCATCTTTCGCGGGGACCTGGCATATGTGGTTAGCTATCATGGAATATACAAGTCATAGTGAGCGTATAAATAGGATGTAGGTGACCAGAACTTGTGTCTAGCCAGCATAACCCAAGAGAGATGCCATAGCAGAAGAGTGACAAGAAGGGAGACAGGGCGAGGTTTGGATTAAAATAATCAAGGGCTCGAGGTACTTACTTGGTATTCATCCATTTGGGCTTCCTGGGTCAAGTCAATCACCGTTGGGACCGGACCAGCTGGCAGCGTCTGAGCCATGTCCGGATCCTAACGGGGATTAGGGGGCGTGGTGGGGGTGCCAGTTCCTAGGGAAGGGACGCGTCTAGGGCGCGTTGAGAGGCGTCAATAGGGTGGGACCCCCTCGAACGAAAAGAAAAACAGAATCAACTAATGAAAGAGCGAGGGAGAAAACCAAAAAGGACGCGACATGAGACGTTAGATGGGCTGCATCTGTCTGCAGGAACAGAGAAAAGAAAAAAGTAAAAAAAAGGTTGGAGGCAAAAACTTGAAATGGATAGGTCAATAAACGAGTTGAGAGTTCGAGAATATCTTGGTTGGAAGGTCTGTCGATAGCCCAGCGCGGGAGGGAGGAAGTCGAAAGAAGCTCGGGAGGATTGGCGTCAGGCCCGAATAGTGGAAAAGAGAAAGGGAGTCAAGCGGAAATAAACGTGTGGGTAATCGCGGCGCTAACGCTGGATCGGGAAATACTATGCTTAGTCATCATCTAGAATCTAGTACGAGAAATATCAATAACCATGATAATATGAATAGCCTTGATTTACGTGAATCAGACTTGTCTAGAGCTTTAAAAAGAGTCTTCTATAGAAATTGGATACTAATAAAAGCCCAAAACTAATTCTATCATGGGTCGGATCGAGCTGGCCTAATAGGGGGGCATATAGTTATTCTGGTTTAAGTATCTAATTAGAGGCTCCTAGTATATAAAAAATGAGCGGCAAATGGGCGGCTCTAGGGGCGGTCTTAGGAACTTAATAGGGGGGTCCGCCAAAAAACGAAGCCTAGGTGACCCATAGACATCAACTTGACCCCTCAAGCCTTAAGAATAGTATAGAACAATTTAAAAAACTATTCTACATAGATTTATTCAATAAAGGGCAATTACACAGTCCCTGATTCTTGTGGACGTTGGGGGGGGAACAAGGCAGGTAGGTATTCTTTATTTGCAAGTTCTTGGCATCAGACTTCAGCCATCCAATCAATCAGATATCCCCAAAGCTGAATCATCATAATAAATTGAAAACGCACCTTTCTACTCCAGAATCAACTCAAAGTTTTATGTCAGGCTACCAACTGGCGTATACTACTGAAGGCATGAGATACCGAGATCAGATAATAACTCAATACATTGAGGCTGGTTATAATGATGTCATTGATATTGCTTTCCTCACCGCTTGCCTAATGCATAGACCGCCTTTTGATAAACCTCCCCTTAGTTAGTGATAGAGACAAAATGCCGGCAAGATAAGAATAGCGATGGGTGAAGTACCACTTTAACTTAATATGGTAGAGGCTAGATTTATATTTTGAGGGCTATTCTGAATACTAAGGGTATCAAGCATATCTAAGCCTAAAAACAATGACCTATATGTTACAAACCCTGCAATGACCAACTAATTCTGCTCGCAGAACGAATCATCAAAGAGTAACCACCGAAGGGAACCCATGTAACTATATATATAGTGGAATGGTATACACTCGATAAAATTGAAGTGTAAGGGATATACTTGCCATAAATGTGGGGTATTATACCCCCAGATACTATATATAGTATTCATCAAAGCCAATTCGCGATCGGTTACCAAAATCGGACGAAAATCATATTTAGATGAGAGGCCTAGCCAATCAAAAAAGGGTTTGAGCACCCAAATATAGCTTGTTTCAATCTTATTAGGCATGAAACATAGAGCTACAGTGAAAATATAGTTTGATAGTGTCATATCTACTATATAAAATAGAGGCATACTATACCGATTGGTCCTATATATCTAATATATAATAAAAACTTTAAGATATTAGCTAATAAAATCATCAAAAAGAGATCAGATAAATAGCTTAAAATTTGATATATCCCGTATTATCTTGCTTGAATAAATATTTATATTCCTCCAAATCGAGTATTACCTACAGATATTCTAGAATACTGCGTTCTCCTACTTCTTTTCGTCAAATTTCTGCTCGTTTATCATAGATATCGCGCGATATAATTAGTTGGCGAGGGGACTCGCTATGTAGCGCACCAATGATATACTTTGGTCTGATAGTAGCAAGCTGTTTAATTAAGGTTATCTGGGTTAGGGTAAATCGACGTGCTATTGGGTGCGTAATTATATCTAGATTAGCACAATGATTATACGTATGATTTTTTACCTGAAGCAGCCAATTAGAACCCTTCTGGCGACTCCTATATACCAAAAAAGGGCAATTTTGCCGCCTCTTACTTGTTTTGCGCCTTTTTGCGCTAATACGCGCCTATTGTTAGGGGTTGGACCAAATTGTATCAATTAATGGTGCATCCTAGGTACAAGAAGGATTCGTTAAGAGATATAAAGAAAAGGGGTTATACGAGGATTAGGGTTTCGCTAGAAGGGCGGTCAGTTTCTGCCAGCAAGGCCTTTATGTCGAGCTTCTTTGTTATATAGGACTTCGTACGAAGGTCCCATAATAGGCGGGTAGATAGAGAAGGTAAATCAGTTTTAGTATATGCTACCTGTCCAAAAGTCTGCTGACACTCACCATATTCCCCGTAAAACTTGATAATTTTAATCATAAATATCTTAATAAATTTATATGGTATACTATTTTAAATTATTTTTAAATATTAAATAATAAGTAGGTAATTCACTTTTATATATAATATTTTTTATCTAGGTTTTTTTAGAAAGCTATACGCTATCAAAGATAGTTAAAATTGAGAAAATCTATTTTTTATATAGGAATACTAATGTGATACCGCTGCTATATATATCCACCATAACATTCTGCTGACTAGTCAGCAGAATTGTTGGACTTTTAGTCTATGTGGTTATGCACGGATGGTGGCCCATGATTCCACACTAACAAAAATTTCGAAAATTTTTATCTAATTTTAGTCTTTCTATTTTAAAGAACTACCGTTTTATAAATTTAGATATAATCTATAAAGTAATATATAGACTCTACTATTTAAATAATTTTCTTTTTAGAAATATAATTTTATATATAAATATTTGTTTATAATTTTAGAGAGATATTATAGCTTAAAGTTAGTCGGATTTTAGCGATTTTGACTAAAAACAAGATATTTTAGATATATATATTCTAGAAATATATTATCTATTTCCGTTGAGATATTCGAGTTTAAAATTCTATAATTTATTGGAAATTTGTAGTGTCGGCAGACTCTTGCCACCCGTTGTAGTAATACTAAGAAGTAATTTTTAATCAATTATAGCTAGCCAATCATAATACGCTTATATGAGCTTATTCCACATTCCAAATATTAACTCCATATTTAGAAAATTATAATTCCGCTCCGAATATAGACCAAACATTTGGTAAATATTCATCTGATCTGGGTTCTGAAAACGGGTGTGCCCCTATCAACACCCGGAAGTTAGACTCTATTACCTAACCTACCCTACGATAGAATAATCACGATACTTAGTAGAGACTCTCAGTCGTTTATATTATCGATAATACGAGGAGTTATAAAGATATTATATAATAAATTGATACTCTCGTATTAGGCTGGCAAAACAAGATTCATTCTTGACAGCAATAAGGATATACCTTTTGATCCATCACTATTCTATTTGTTCTCTTTACCTGATGGTTTTATACCCTGCCAAGTATATTTTTTACACCGCCCTCCTCGTCACTGCCAGCCCTGCAACTCCTAGTTATGACCAAAGGAATTAATTTCGACACATACGAATCATGGTTCAATCTTTCCACACAATATACAACGCCATTCCCATTCTCGCAATAACCAACTGGCAGGGCGGATAAAAAGAAAACAACAAACTGGCATCATGGTCTTCGCTCAGTTCTAATGTACACCATGACAACCGAAGGAACTGTCTAGGCCAAAAATGCGTGTAGAAGAGATGAGCCCGAGACATAGGTGAATCGAAGAAAAGAAGAGGGAAAAGGAGAGGGGGTAAATGAAAAAAAACCCCCATGAAAGGGGAGGTGTGGAAATAGTAAAAGACATGGACATGCAATCAAACAAAACAACAAAAATGATAAAATGCTCATGCGGATGCGTCATTGATGAATAAAGCTGGAGACGAATCAGTAAGGACATGGAGTAATAGAAAAAAAAATCAGATAATGGATGCGCTCATCGATCAAAAGAAAATTCTATGTTCTTCTCCCACATGTCGTATCTCAATCAAACCGGGAAACAAGGTCTGGTTAGAGTCTCAAAGCGTCGAGAATCTTCTTGGCCATCTCCCGGTACTGCCACATGCCACCCGAGACCTTCTTGAACTGAATGCCATGTAGCGAAAATAGAGGAACCTTGACTATGAGGATTTCAAACCGGAGGACGAGATTCTCTCCAGTGTCGCTCTGCACGCGGGTTGTCGTCTCACCGACGACTCGCTCACCGACCGCGCCGCCCTGAGATTGGTCTCGAGAAACAAACTCATCAGACCCCTCTGAGTTGGTGGTGAAACTGCGGTCCGGCGCTTGTGACCGGCGCTGCAACTTGGAGTGCTCCCGACTGTCGTCGTGGCTGAGTAGTCCACCAAAGCTGATTCGACGGCGATGCGATACTTGTCCCTGTCGGTCGGGGCTGGGAGGACCAATGTCGACTACCTTCTCAAGATCGATACTGGGAGCGTGCCGACAACTGAATCCACCCTTAATCTCGACATATTCCACTGCCAGCTGCTTTAAGACACGGATAATGTCGGCCCGAATGACAGGCAAGGGCTTGCTGCTGGTGGTCGAAACACTGAACAAGCCTTTGAGATAAACAGGCTTGGACAGATCCTCTCCTTCGTTGGCGCTCTCCAGTGCGGTTCCCGCACCAGAGATATCTGCATCGGTCTCCTCGGGGACATTGGCTTCCCGAGTGGCTTCCCGTCGAGCCCGCCGGGCCTGAATGCTTTCCTGGCGTGCATGGCCGAGAGACATCGTCCGTGCCGTGTGTGTCCGTCCACCGGTCTTAGCAGCGGCCTGATGTCTCTGGTTGTTAGGGCCAATCTGATCGGAACCACTTGTCGAAGGAGGTTGGCGGTCGGCGACATCCAATGTATCAGAATCAGTTCTGCGAGCGGCCCGTCGGGCGCGATAGTCTGCCGAGTTGACGCTGGTTGATCGCCCCAGGAATTTGTTGGACCGCGAGCCTTGCCCCGATCCTGGAGTTGTGAGGTAGTCTTGCCGCTGGGGCTGGCTGTCTCCTGGTTGGAGAGTGCCCGAAGAAGGTTCAGCCCGCCGGGTCCTCCGCACACTAAATCCACGGTGCAACGGGGAAGCAGAGTCGGCAGGGGGTTGAACATTGAGCGTAGGAGTGTTCGGGGTACTGATGCGCTCTCGCTCGACATCGCGGCTGCGGTCTTTGGTTCTGCGAGTGCTGAATCGTCGCAGTAGGCCGACAGCAGCACTTCCTTTCTTTGCCGGAGTGTCGGACTGCGATGCCACAGGCACAGCATGCGCGGATGGTGATGGAGTATGCAGAGTCTTCATTCCTTCCGGGGCCTCGTCCTCTCCATGTGTTCGAGCCCGCGGGCGAGACCGGCGGCCCACATCATGCTCGCCTGGAACCTGGTACTGGTTGGTGTGGGCAGCTTCCGGGGCAGCCAGATCGGGTACTTGGACTTCACCCGGGGATTGGCGGAGACCAAGAGCACCTGGCCGGGCTTCAGATCGCTCCCGGTCGAGTTTCTCTTTGACAAGGTGGTAGATGGATACCAAGGGGCTGTAGGCATTCAATGGGTCATTACCCAGCTGGATTGCCTCGGCCGAGGGAGCGGAAAGGGTGTCGCGACTGGCGGCGGAGTTTCGCCGCTTGTAAAAGTCGAACACGCCGCGCTTTCGCTCGGTATTGTTGGGAGCAGGCTGTTCACGGAAGTTGAGTCGTACAGCGTGTTGATATTCTTCCGATTCCAGCACTTTGGTTAACTGAGTGGTGATGTATTCCGGTGGACCGAAATCAAACCCTGTCATCTTCTTAATAACGTCGGGGTCCAGAGGGAGCTGCAAAGGCTCGCGGTGAGGGAGGTAGTTTTCGGGAGGTGTATTGAAGCCCTTATTCATCCATGGGTGGTTCATAATTTCGGCCAGACTAGCACGCTGCTTGGGATCCGTGACCAGCATGCGAGAGATGATGTGCCGACACTCTGTGTCATGTGTTAGTGACTGCCACGTATATTTAGGTTTAGAGCTTCACGAACCAGTGGTAAGACCCGGAGGATACTCCACAACGCCCTTCTTGATCTTGGCGTGAAGCTGAGGCATGCTCTGGTCATCGAATGGCACCTTGCCACAGACCAAAACATAGAGCACGATTCCAAAACTCCACACATCCACTTCCGGTCCCGTGTATTGCCTTGCTTGGAGTAGCTCCGGGGCAGCGAAATAGAGACTGCCGCAGAAGGTCTTCAAGAGACTTCTGGGGGAGAAAAGGTTGCTGAGACCAAAGTCAATGATTTTAATGTCACCGGTTTTGCTGATAAGAATGTTCTCGATCTTCAAGTCTCGATGTACGATGCTGTTGCGGTGGGAGTAATCCAGTGCGCTGGCAATTTGTCGCGCAAACTTGCGCGCCTGTTTTTCTTTTAACTTGCCATGGGAGATGATGTAGTCCAGCATCTGGCCACCGTTGACGTATTCAAAAAGCATGTACCAGTGGTACGTAGTCCGCACCACGTCTCTCATGCCACAGATATACGGATGGTTCACTAGGCTGACAATGGCGGCTTCTCGAGCGGTCCGAATTTCTTTCGAGCGATCGGCCCTTTCCGTCTCTCGGCTGCTGCGATGCTCTTCTGTGGAGAGGCGCGGGACGATCTTGACGGCGACCTGTAAGCGGGGTTAGTATGGACTGGCTGCTCAAGGATGCGAAAGCAGCCGCAACTGGGGGAAACGAACCTGTTCTCCAGTCTCCATATTCTTAGCCAACTTCACTTTGCCCATGCTCCCGGCACCTATAGTTTTCCCCAGTGCCCATTGGCCCGTCGGCGTTGTGATCGTCGTACGACGCCTAGGTTGAGCGGAGGCGGTCGGGGGAGCATTTGTTGCGGTCCGATGCTGCGAAGCATCGGTCGCAGCCGTGCCAGCCATATCAGAACTGTCCCGATGGTGAGTTTGCGCGGAAGGGTTCCTCTGGTGCCTTCGGGTGGACTCGGTCCGTGCAGTCGTCGGGCGCTCCTGAGAGCGTTCGGTAGAGGTTTCCCGGCGAGAAGGCATCCTCGCAACATTGGAAGTTTCGAAGTCCCGGCCAGCTACGCTGTCCAGCGCAGCGTAATTTGAGGGGGGCGACGATCATGAGAGGGGGTTTTCGAATAATGGGTCTGAGGGGGCTGGGAGGAGGTCGACGATCGGACCGCCACACTGCGCGTCCGATGGGGGAGATCCGACGGCGCAGGTCGATGGGAGGGACGAGAGGAAGTCGAATGACTGCGGACCACCGTTGGCGACGTCGATGCGGGCGTTGGAGCCGACATCACGACGAGGACGTTTCCGTGGGGATGGAGCGGTCAAAGGATGAGCGGGGAGCTGACGAGGAAGGAAGGCCACAGCCAGGGATCCCATGCACGATGGATCTTCCTGGTGTATTTTTTTTCTTGCGTAATTTCCCTCTGCTTCCTTCTTTTGTTGACGGCAGTTCTCAATGGAATTCAGATGCGATGGAAATGAAATGCGAAAGGGGGATGGGGAAGAGGGAGGAGGGAAGATGGGATGGATGCGGAGATCGGCCCAGGGGCTGCAACCAGGCACGAGTCGATACCCAAACAATTGCGTTTGGGGCTGGTTATATTCGAGGCACCGCCCCGAGGACTCGGGCAACAGGGGAATCCACCTAAGTAGGTTTCACGGGAATCAGTCTACCTCGCCAATTCCCAGGTGCATCGTGGTCCTTGCCCACGGTATACAAGAGCATGACATAATCCAGTCGAGGGACGTCATCTCCAGGGCTCAAAGACCCTTTCTTTTTGCATCCCATGTCCGTTGGCAATATTTCCTAATAAGCAATCTCTGGGTATTTGAACCATTTGCATTTCAAATACTATTTCACGCTTGCCTGACTGCCTCTCAGCGGGGGAGTTGAGTTATCGAGGATGGACATAGATGGCAGGTCACGTGGTGTACTAAAAATATCACCGAGTATGTATACCAGGTCTACAGTATCCAGAAGGTGTAAATTGATCATAAGTCCTATTGCCATCAAAACTCCGGATGATGTGTGATCCTTTGTCTTGTCACAGTTCTAATGGCCTTAGCAACATGGTGAGATCTCAATCAGTAATACAACAACTCAATCGCGAAGCTCAACAACCCGATCTATGAAGATTTTATCTCTCCACTGGAACTCGCCATGTAAGCCCCAGTTGCGCTCCCCATTGTGGGAACCTTTCATTGGATTAGGGGTGCCTCCAGAGATTCATGACTTGATGTACTATCCTGTGTTGTCCAACTTGCGCAGTCTCACTCCCTCTCGTTCGACTCCTTGCTGCAGAGACGGCATATCAAACGCGGTACCATCCCCTTCAAAGGGCACCTCGAGACATATTTCACGCAGTCGAGGGAAATACGCTGAATTATGCTGAATTATCTGGCGAATGGCAACCATAAGCAATCGAAACCGATCCTGATTGCCGGGTCTCATAACATGCAGCATCTCAAGCGATTGTGGTAGCCGCCTGTAGAGGGGTATTTTGGCGTTGGTAAAACCCTCCGGGTCTGCTCCCTGGGCTAGGCAGTCTTCTGGGGGTTTGATCAAGTACTCAACCACAGTATGTAGCTCAGTAAGTGCGTGAAGCTCGGCAAAATTGGCATGGTTGATGGGTCTTTTCACGGCATCTGCTATGCTCATTCTCGTGTAGATCTCCGAGGTCTCCTGGCTTGAATATAATAGCCAGATGCATTTGAGTGTGTCTCGTGCGGGGCGAAGCGCATGCGTAATAGCAATCGGGAAAGCATGATATCTTCTCGCAGGAAGACATCGCCATAGGGATTAACCCATTCACGATCGTGTATGAAAGTCTGAATAGAGTGGCATTGTCCGATAAAACGCCGCAGTATCGAATTATCAACATCGCATTCACGGAGCTCTAAATGGATCAGAGAAGGTGGTCCGTGATGGTCATCCACGACATGATCTTCAAAAAATGCCCACATGTTGCCAAAGAACTGGGTCAGCAATGGGTTCTGGGGAATTATAAAGACCATGCTTGCTCTGCTTCTATGGGTCGCGAAAAAGTCTATCCTCAGCTGGGTCAGGCTTTGAAGCACGAGTCTCCCGTCGGACAGCTTCTCTCAGCCAGCAAGTTGAGCCAAGACGTATGCAACAAATTTATCCTCCATTCTTGGTGAAATTTCCAGGCGTTGGAGCGATGGCAGGTACGCGAGAAGAACTGCAAGCACCGCCTCTGAATTCTGGGTGCTGGTGTATAACGAACCCTTCCAGCGTCCCCTATGCTCGTTGGAGAGTGGGATAGCCTGGACGGCACTCAGAAGCATCTCTTCTTCCGCTTTAACATGGTCAGTTTCCCAGAAAGGGTTATCTTTGGCCGCTGGGTTTAATATATTCGCGTCCCGCCCAAAAGAAACTCTGCTGGCATCAAGCCAGCGAACATATGAGGCAAGTTCAGGATTTTTGATCACCCAATGAGTGAAACACCATAGCTTGAATTGTAGTTAGTGGTTATTAGGGAGATCACGATAGGGGTTGCAGTCAGCATAGCGTACCTGGTGGCAATAGTATGCACCCCCATGTTTTTTGTAGTCGATCCCAGCATCCTGCTGCAAGTAGCCAGGTTCTCTCGAGACACTCGGCTGCCTGTAAATATGGACGATTCTGCGTGGAACACCGGTCCCTTCATGAAGCCCAACGAGATACCGCACCGAATTCTCGGCCTCGCCAGCATCCTACCCTCCGTCGTTAAGTGATATGTACTTTCAATCCTTTGCCCGCTCCAACAGACTCTCAAGCCGAGGCCATCTTCACAACAAATACAACATATAGATCCGGCCGCCTTTGATAATGACCAAGAAGGAAAAGATACTCCACCTTGTTTGGCTTATGCTTTGTCATATTTGGTTAACCTCATCCCTGGGTTGATTCAGCTATGAAGCAGTCAATGATGAATTATGAGATAGCTCGAGTATGTCATCTTTTCCCCTTTCCCCCTTTTTCTCTTTTGTTTGTTTATTTCTCTCTCTTTCGCTCCTGACCTCTCTTTTACTATTTTCTTTAGTGTCAACAACAGGCAGCATGGGCTGGCGAACAAGAGTAACAGAAAACCTCCAGCCACTTTTTATCCGACTTGAATACAAACTACAGAAAAAAGGACATTGGAATATAACACAGTTCCTACGTCTATTGCAGTCCTTCCAATATTACTTTGTTTCGCCCAAAGACCATACGCTGTGGGAACAAAGTGTGATTGAACTCGAAATCCATCTCTGCGAAATTGTTCAGCATGAGGCGTTTCTGAACGATCAATACCAGAACCTTCAGAAGATACTATCAACTTCCGGACAACCGAAAAAAGACGATCTTGATCAACAAGAAGAGAAATTGCAGCAATGGAGAGAAGAATTAAATCTTCTTAACCAAGAGTACTGGAGTACTGAGCGGAAGATTTATACGAACAACCAACGTTGCCCTGATCCAGTTACCCAACGGGCATACCGCGCTTACCGGGAAGACCCTCAATGGTATCTATTTCCTTGGCTCTGTCAGGATTGTGCAGGAAGGGGTGGCTGTTGCGCTCGTGCCTGTGGATGTTGTCGGAAGCCACGGAGCCTTAATCTTGATCGACCTCAAGGTCAAGGCCACTGTACTAAATGGTGTGGTTGCTGCATTGAGGCTCGTGGGTTCACCTTGAATGAGGAACAGGAAAAGCTATATCGACCTCCCTTCGACCTCACAAAAGAGTGGATAGATGACTATAGCTTTGGTCTTCTGAACGGCTACATTTGGGGTATCAGGATGCCTACCTTATACAGCGAATAAGATGCTCTTGCTTGAACTTTTTGTTTACTCGAGCTTCTGCTTTCCTCTTTCCCTCTCTCTTTCCTTCTCTTTCTTTTCCCTCTCTTCCCCCTCTCTCCTCTCTTTTCTCCCCCCGAACCGTGAAGACCAAGTGCCCTGCCTCCCTGCGTTTCGTTTCGCTTTTTTTTCTTCTTCAAAAGTTTCTTTTTTTTTAATAAAAAGAAATGCCCTTAGTGGGCTTGAAAATGCCTTTGGAAAAGGGGCAAAGCTCCGGGATGTCTTCCTTTGGAGCATGGTGATGTTTGCGCTGCCCTTCGTCGCCTACGTGTTTGTGCTGTGGTTCCGCGCGTGGCTCAGCGCCAGATAAGTCAATCTTGATGCTGCAAAAGAAACAGAATGTACTAATCGATGAGTGTGCTGAGATACCCACCCCGGGAGCCTCTACGCTCGGCCCCTAGTCCGGGAGCGCTAGAGCTCAACACCCGGGCCCAGTCTCCGACTCCGACAACGCCCCCGACGCCCCCACAAGCGGCCACACAAGGCCAGGGTAGCCCCACGGGGGTGAATCCGCAGCCGGCATGGAGAAGGTGGATTGTCCTTGCGCGTCGTCGTTTGCGGCTGTGAGGAGGGTTGTTTGTGTTTTTATTATCATGATTTGTGTTGGCTCGAGTTGTGTCTGGGTTGTCTGTTGTCTGTTGTTTATTATTATTGTTGTATATAATTATCATCATTGAACCTCATCATCTGCCTCGGTCAGATGTGGAAGCTTGATCAAGAACATGGAAGTCCACTCCCTGAATAGGAATTCTTGTAACCCATAAGATAGTTATAGCGAGGCTGTGATGCTGTGTCCTTTTGGCATGCCATCTGTATACCACCGTAATGGCAGAAAGACATCAAGTTGCGGTATATCTCCCTAAGCCAAATTGGCATATGAATACCACAAAGGAAATCTGAGCCTTCTTAACTTGACTGATGCGCCTTTTCTGTTGTTGGGCCGCCCGAATGCCTAGTGCGCCCTCGACAGAGCTCGATAACCTCCTCGCCTCGTCCGTCCCCGCCCTAAATGGGCTTGAAGTTGCCTTTGGTAAAGAGGTGAAATCCCGGGATGTTGTCCTGTGGAGCTGCCTAGTGATTCTTTTGATCGCCGTCGCCATCGCGTCGTAGCTATCGTCCGCACTCATCGAGCTCTTATAGAACATGGCGCTAGCGAATCCAGTCGACGAGTAGATGCCGTGGTCGCCCAATATAGGAGACTGCCACCGTTCCAGGTGTGGGTCAGCCTCTCCGTTGGCTCCCAGCGTGCACCCTTTCAGCGCGGCCCAGTCCCGGGGGTACATGACCCTGGACTGCGGTCTCGTGGTGGTCTTGCAGGTTTGATCCTACGCCCGGTAAGTCCGGTGCCACGTTGATTTCAAACTTGCGCAGCTCATCCTTGGGGCCAACACCATTCAGCTTCAGTAGCTGCGGGGAGTTGTATACTGCTCCGGCGACAATGACCTCGTGCGAGGTCGAGGCCGTGCCTGGGGTGCCTTTTTCAGCTTCCTTGGACCGCGGACTAGCGCGGAAGAGATATTGGCCGTCGAAAAACTCCACGCCCGAAGCTCGAGCTGGATTCACAGAGTGGTCGAAGGTGAATTTGGTGGCGAACCAACTAGTGCGGATATCCAGTGGGTACTTCTTGGATCCATCATGCCTTCTGGCATCTCGCACAGCCGTAAGGAACTAAGGAACTCACGCGGGCCGTTATGGTGGCTATCGTCCGTGACGATGGGAATTTGGTAGTAGCCTGGAGATGTGTCGCGCGACTTGGTATCTTGATTGGCATCCCTAGCCAAGAGCGTGCCCAGGTTGAAGACCGAATTGGTTTGATTGCCCAGAGCAAAAGCTCCGCCTAGTAACATGCTGAGAAGCTGCGGGTCTTTGAGGACAAGGTCCATGGGTGCTGTCTGGGTACTCAGCCAGCCCTTATCCCCATGACCCGGAGTTCCAGGTAGCAAATAGTGGTTGTTGTCCATACGCTCAAAATACCGGCGCATCTTCTCTGGGGACCATGAGCCATCTCCCGTAAGCGTGGCGATGTATTCGAAGTCGGACTGGTGTGGGTAGACCGTGATGAGGGCATTGTGTGCGGTGCAGCCGCCGACGGTGCTGGTCCGCGGGTATAGCGTGCCCTTCATGGTTGAGCCCTGTGGCGGGTGCAGTCATGTATATTCGGTCCCGGCAGGTGTCTCGTAGGTGGTCTTGTAGTCTCGGGCTTGTCGGCATCGTCTGCGTAGTGGCGTATGAAAAAGTTCCAAGAAATCGACTCGTCCTCGGACGCTTTAACTGAGAAGGCTGGCACGGTACAGTTGGTGTTCTTTCCCTGGTCGTCGCCTGCCTCAATCAGCAGGGTTTTGTGACCAGCGAGGGCAAGTCGAGCAGCCAACGGGCTGCCGCCTGCTCCAGAGCCCACAACGACATATTCATAACCCGTAAGCTCGACGGCTGTAACCGAACTCGCGAGGAGAGCGGCCAGGCCAAGAAATCGACGAAGAAACATGGCAGTTATGACTCTTCGAGAGGAAACTCAAAGAGGCCGGGTTAGAGCTTGTCATATTTTTCAGGCCTATGCGAGGGCTACCGGGATAGGGCTGCCGCCCCAAACCGGTCTTGTTGTGCTTTTACAAGTGTGAAACCTGGAAATCAGAGATTCTTCACAAGCGAGATTGAGTTTGGCGATCTGATCGGTGATCGGACTTGTTATTCGCAGAGATCAAGCATATCCCCACGCGTGGGTCCTGCCAAGCACGTGGATGAAGTAAATAGTTCGCCGGCAATCCCGGTGCCGATGTTTCGTGGAGGACAGTGGATGCTGAAGAATTGTTGGAATTATCCACAAAACGTGTTCGCTGCCGAAGCATCTTGAGTCAACAGGATTGAGGTTTATGTTGCAAAAGGATTGAATAGATGGATACTCATCCTCGAACATTGAAAAGGAAACACAGTTTAATCCATGCAGTCTTGATATGAGGACATGAATACATGCATATCATACAAAAATTAAGCTGGAGGACAACATAACAAAAGAGGGTCAACATACTAACATTTATGGATACCAGTTCAGCCACCAACTAGCAGCTGTACTGCCGGAGGAAAAGGGTGTTGAGCATCGAAATCATCCAGCTCGCTCCCGTCGCCGCTATATCCCATATGCTCTCGATTGTCATCAAGAATGCGTCCATACTCGAGTAGGAGAAGGTACAAGTAAATGTCAAGGTCCTCGTCCCGCAACACCCGCTGTGCCCATTCCCTGCTCTGGGTGGCAATCATCTCGGCCTCAAAGTCATGCGTAGAGACTTTGGGAGCAGGGACATGTCCATCACTTCCAGAAGAAACCGTTGAATCCAGGCCTAGAAAGTAGGTCATGAGTGCGTAGAGGTCGTCGTAGCGGTTATCCATTGGAACGAAATGGGTCCAAGCGAAGAGACGGGAATCGTGCCATTCGCGGAAGATAGTTGCCTTGATGCCCAGGGATCTGCTTTGCTGGAAGGCACGCCATCGGCCAGAGAAGCTGTGTCCATCGATATCCGCCAGATACTTTGCTTCGAATTGCTCCGCAAATTCCTTGGGTTCCTTATACGTCCACACTCCCTCGTAGAACGAGCAGTCCGGAATGCAGCCCCATGCCTCGGTGAAGCCAACATCGAAATGCTCCATGGAGAAATTCCCTGCCAAGAAATCTGGAAATTCGTGGAAGTTCTTCTGATTGTCTTCGGTGAGAATTGAGACTGTCTGTGAGTTCATCTCAGTGCCGTTGGCCATTTGCACGAAGCGCTGACGATGTAGATGCTGCCAGTTATCTGCAAGCTGGACCCCGCCTGATGTGACGCCGCGCCATATCATAGAATCGTTCTTCTTGTGCCATTCAACATCCCGGCTCGGGTCGTACTGATATCGAGGGTCCTTCAAGAAATACATGTTGGCAGGGAAGAGGATATCATTGTTGACACTGGTCTTGCATTCGCTGAACACGGGGAGCAACTTTCTTGAGACTGTGTTGCTGGAAGCAGAGAACAGAAAACCGTGTTTGTCTCCAAGAATGGATCCCACAGTGCAGAGATCCGATGAGCCGGTAAAATTAGCAACAAAACCCCCGAGTGATGACTTGTAGAGCTTATCGGCATCCTCAGAGGTCATTGTGAGATCCTGAGCTGGAGAATCGTGAGGACAAGCGTCCCTGGCATATTCCATGTAATGTTTCCCAGCGACAGAAAACCACTCCGGGTTGCCGCTTTTGTCTACCCCGGCCTGATCCTCATAGAGGTAGCTCATGTTAGAAGTAAACTGGTTCTGCGTTTCACTGGGCATATTCCTTGTAGCTGCTTCGGCATGGAGGTATTCTTGGATAACCTCATAAGGAACCAATACTCGAGGCTGGTCCATAACATTCATCGCAATATCCATGTCTGGCAGGTATCCGGCAAGTCGTTTGATGGATTTTACCAATGTCTCAGCCCGCCAGCCATCCGTCTTCAAGAAGACCTGCTTGTTTCGAATCCGGATGCCCGCGATTCCATTACTTTCTTGTAACCGAGCTGCCATCCGACGAATCTCATGGGGACGAATCGCCCAGTAGGGTCGCAAGTCTCCGCTGATCTGCTGGAAGTCGTCGACATGATACACCCCGTGCTCTCGCGCAAATGTATACCATTCTTTGAACCCCGGCGGAGGGTGTCGTCCGTAGGTTTGTCGGTATTTGACTACGGCGCCACGGAAGCTTGTTGAGCGACCTTCATCGTATTGCTGCCACCGGCGACTCGACTCTCTCATCAAATCAGTGATGGGATGCGTATCATTTGCATATTGGCCTGGCGGGGATTGGGTGAATGGGCGCCATAGCGTGAGCTTCGGGGGACGAATCACGGAAGAATCTGTTAGAATTTCCAAATTGATGAGGCAGATCCCCACTGTTATCCCAGCTAGGAGCAGGTAGAATGACTTGCGGCTTCCTGGCAGACCGCAACGCATTCTGGACAAAGTCGCCGGGTCTCGCCGGAGACAAGTTCCGGGTGTCGGATCAACTAGAATTAAGACCTGCAGCGAATTGAATGGATGGGGATGAGATTTCAATTTGAAGCACTATAATGAGGGAAAGAGAATCATCATGGGGGAGAGAAAGACAAAAACGAAAGGACCGTGGCAAGCAAACGGACAAACACCCCAAGATTTGGTCCTTCCACGCCCAAGTAGACGAGGCATAATTCGATGCCTCAAATTATCTGGGTATTTGTATAAATGATTCATTAAGTATATCTGAAGAGAACATAGCTCGTCACACCTTCACTCTATAAGAATTGGCCGTATTCTACATAAGTAGTATGTGAGCTAAATCATCATTGTGCGTCACTTGGCCTTGTATGCGTACTTTTATACTTGATTCGACCTAGAAAAGGCATGTATATTATGGAATTTATCATCTACAATCTCTATATTAGAGCCACAAATGCTCCATGTTGAGTCTCCCCTCCCCGCCGTCTCCCCTTCCACATCTATCCACCTAGGGCTATGTGAAGACTAAGTCACCGTGGTATCCACCAGTGGGGAAAAAAATCTGGAATCTCACCGACTCGTCTAGCTGGATCTTTTCTCCAAGGTATTCTCGGGTTTCTCAGCCTGATTATATGCACAATAGGATGTGTCTGTATTTTATTCTCGGTATTTATATTGAGGAAAGTGTAAAACGCGCCGATTTCAAGGAAGATTTATGTTGGTGGGAGAGGAAACCAACGGTACAGTTGGACAATCCCATTGATAAAAAATGAATGGCCTTCTCTGTTTCAGTATTTTCAAGTAACCTGGATACCAAGTTTGGCGCAAGAAGTCAAGTATCAAGCTGACTTTTTATAAGAAGGCCTCCTCGGGCCCCCTCTGGCTCATTTTCCGAGAATCTGGTGGGGTCCTGACTATTCCAAGCTCAACCTTTCTTCACTCAAAGAACTTCTGAGAGGGAATAAAGAGGAAAATGGAAGAGAAATCAATTCCGATGCTGCAACTATACATTGTATCTAGAAGGTCAGGTGACTCTGGTCGATGAGTCAGTGTTTACTAATCCCACCTTGGCATCGAGCTTCTTCCGCAGGTGAGGAATGATTCAAGCTTCTTTTCTGTTGTTTCACGCGTGAAGTTGCAGGTCATGCTACTGACATGACCTTTGACTTGTCCCTTATGGGTGACTCGTCCCTAGCCTAGTCATAATGACCACAAAACGCTCACGCGCAACTTTCGAAGCTGATCTTCAGGCTCAGCAGTCACCATACGCCGTGTACGGAACCCCACTACCGCCACTCGACGAGTCAGTCCGTGATGATGGCTCCTACATGCCGGTGTGGAAGCAGGAGGTGACTGATGAGCGGGGGAGGAAGCGTCTCCATGGAGCCTTCACAGGTGGGTTCAGTGCTGGGTGAGCATCTACTCTCTCACAGCGGAGCTCTTGCGCACAGCTGCTAAATCATTTCTAGGTATTTCAACACGGCCGGATCTAAAGAAGGATGGGCTCCCGCGACGTTTATCTCGTCTCGCCAGAACCGCGCGCGCAATATGAAACAAGTGCAAAAACGGCCCGAGGATTTTATGGACGAGGAAGATCTACGCGAGCAGGAGGAATCAAGACAACTACAAACAGCCGATGGCTATGCCGGGTTTGGCTCGACTGAGACGGACGCTACCCGGCGAGCTGGGCTTATGGATATTTTGAAGACTGGCGGCGAAACCATGGGTGTGAAGCTGTTGAAGAAGATGGGCTGGCGGGAAGGTCAAGGCATCGGGCCCAAAGTGCGCCGCAAGGCCAACCTCGATGACATCGTTGACGGGGAGACTGCCGATCAAACATATCTCTTTGCGCCTGATAATCCGCCAATGGTTGCCTTGGTCCGCAAAACGGATCACAAGGGGCTTGGTTTCGAAGGAGAGGCGCGGCTCGGCGATTCTCACACATCTACACACGAGAAACCCGACGACAAGAGCACCGACTCATTCTTTGGTGGACGACTAGCCATCCAGGAGAAATCTAAACCGTCGAAACCGAAAGAGTCCCGGCGGGGCGCATTCGGCGTTGGCATCCTGAACGATACCGGGTCGGACGACGAGGACCCCTACTCGCTAGGCCCACAGATTTCATATAGCAGGACCATTGGGGGAGACAAGAAGAAAAAGAAGAAAGACAAACTAGACGACACAAGGCCTACAATCGCCTCGTCCAATCCTCTACTCGGGGCTAAGCCTGTCTTCATATCAAAGAAGGTAGCAGCCGCACGGGGTACAGGAGGATTTCGGAAGTGTCGCGATGGTCGACTGCCGCTGGATGGTTTCATCTTGGCCGAGGCTCTTTCGGACCTGTCTGTGTCGCAGGAGAAGAAATACGACCCGCCTCAAATCCCCGAGGGCTGGAAATCGGCCAAGAAACCAACGACTGAACGGGACACATCGAATTATCTCTCTACTGCTGATGCTGCTAAAGCATCGTCACTCAATCCAAGCTCTAGAGCAGCAGTTCTGGGCGAAACCCAATTACCTGGCAAATCCATCTTTGACTGGATGACCCCAGAGGCGCGAGAACGGATTGTCAAATTAACCGGAAACGCCAATTTACCTCAAGCTCTGGGAGAGAAAGGCCCCAAAGGGCATGGGCTGTCTGAGTCGGAGAAACGAAAGGATTTATGGGGCCTTGTCCCAAAGCTGGACAAGCAATTTGCCGTCCAAGCCTTGACTCGGGCCGTCAGCGGGTGGATGCCTTACGCAGAAGACGAAGGAAAACGTGCGCGTTACCGGACATTCCTTGAAGTCCGGGCAGGGCTTCGCCAGACGCTGCCAGACCGACTGCCCGAATCCAGCACCGACGATTGGGTGGCGGAAATGCAGGAGTTTGCTCGGGCTGCCGAGGTCTTCAAACCCATGTCTGGGGTCATGGCATCCCGCTTCACGTCAGCATCTTCTGCACCCAAGGTCGCTTCCGATGCACCGGATTCAGCCGACTCGCCTCTCGGCCGACCCGCAGAGAAGCCCGATGATCCCGCGGTGGCAGCCGCAAAAGTCGGCATGTTCGGTCAAATGACTCGTAGCACTGTCTCGTTTTATCCGGCTCGCCTGCTGTGCAAGCGTTTTAATGTTAAGCCACCGGCGCATGTTCAAGTCGACCCTGGAGAACCGCCCGGAACTTCCGACCAGGGACCGAGCTCGCGATTCCAAGCCGGTGCACCTCCAAGTGATGGGCCCAAGGAACTGGTCTCTCGTGATATTATGAATCGGCTCATGATGGAGTCGACGGGCCATTCTATCGCTGAATCTGATTCTGCGACTGCGGCACCTCGGCCACCAGTGGAACCTGAGCGCAACGATGCACTCGAAGCCCAACGGCCTGATGATGCACTGTTCAAGGCTATTTTTGGCGATGACGATGACGATGATGAATAGTCTGTAATTCAGCATATACTTCTCTGTAAATACCAAGCAATCCAGTGTAACACGGTCAAAACGGACTGCAGCAGTGTGGTTTGACAATCTTTTGCATCGAGGCAAATGGAACGCTGGAATGCCCGATTGCTGAATGTCAGGAGGGCCCGCAAAGCTTAGATCACCGTTGACCCACAGTTCCTCTTCGCCCCCTCTCACATCATCTCCCCTCCTCCGCCTATGGAGCCTCCTAATCGCATGCAAGATGGTGAGTCGATGAAATCCCCCAAAATCCCCGATCAGCTGGCTGGTTGAGGATCGCATTGTCTCCCACACAGTGAGACACTGTTTGCTGTCACACGAGCGGCGAGTTCCCTCTTCGCAAGACCGGTCGATCCCCCAGATAAGCACAATTCCCTCACTGATACTTTCTCTCTTTTCTTTGCTGGATAGGGCTGCTGCGCGTCTGTCCCGTCGCATAACGGCGACCATCCCCACTATCAAAGCGAAGTCACCGAGGACGGCAGTCCCCCAACCTCTCGCGCCGACAGCGACCCGCCAGTCCCGACACATGCCGGCCGACGACGGACGCGGCGCGCGCCCAACCTCCCACTGGGCGAGCACTACAACCAACCGCTGCGACCGCATGTCTGGTACAGCAAGCGACAGACCTGGACACGCGCACAGCTGGACCGCGAACGCTGCGAGTTCTTCGAGACTCGCGTGACCGGCCGCCCTGAGGTGTGGGCGGCGCTGTCGACGGCCATCTCGCTGCTGCACGCAGGCGACACGCCCACCGCACAGAGCATCATCGATGCCGCCGGCATTACCGTCCCCACTGGCGATCTCTGCGAGGGCTGCTACGACGAGCAGGGCGTTCTCTACCGGCTGCCGCAGTGTATTGTCAGCGATCCCGAAAATATACTCCCCGGTCCTAAGCTATCCGGAGATGGGCATGACGAGCTCGATCCCGGAAGCCTCTCCGATGGCAATCTGGCCACCGATGACGCCTCGGCCGATGAGTTGATCGCCCGGGATATTGAGCGCCGCCGCGACGAGAAGGGTAAAACCAGTGAACGGGACTTGATCCGCGTGCAGGCTCGTCTCAGTGATCGTGGCGGTCCCGATTTAATGCTGTCTATCGGCAAAAACCAGAGCGTGGGCTTTCTAGCTCGCAAGGTCCATCAGGAAGCAGAGGTAGGGTTTTTTCTCACTCACTTTATCCCTTCTGTCCATTTACTCACATCTTTCTCTTGGTCGTCTTACAGCTTTCGCGGCATGAGCGTGTCCGAATCGCCTATCTCGGGCGCATGCTGAAAGAGTCCGAGTCTCTACCCGAGCAAGGATGGCAGAGCGGCCATGTCATTAATGCCTTGATCACCATGCGCAACCCAGTCTCCTAGGCTTTGGCAAGTCTATGACTCGGAGGGAATTGTTCGAGTATCCATACCGAGGCTCGACTATGGCCATCTCGCCCTTTTTGCTTCTTTCTTTTTCGTCTATTTGCTCTCATCTCCAGCGTTCTGGCGTTTCTATCTCCGATTTGATGTCTTATGCATAATACCCCAATGTTTTCCTTACACTCCCTGCTTTTTTTGGGGTTATCCTGTCGAGGCCTGTGGCCTTTTTGACCTGCTAGCTGTGCCGACATTTACTACTGTCAGGGTCGGGCATCTTCTATCTCTGGGATCTTCATGATCTCTTCTAGTGGAGTTGGTTAAGTAGTGCGGTATGGCTGATTTTTACGGTAGCACGACTGAATGAACCATCATTTTATTTTATTGCTCTTCATTTGATCACGTAGATTATCGAGAGAAAAATTCAACTAATGAAGAAGAAGAAAAAATTAAGGCATGCCGAGGTATCATCCCCAGGATAAAGGCGGAAAACGTCGGTCCAAAAAGATTGCATCATCCGTGAATCGAACACGGGCCTCGTCGATGGCAACGACGAATTCTACCACTAGACCAATGATGCTATTGTTGCGGAAGAGTCAAACCTTTTATGTTTAACACACAGAACCATTCCTACGTAGTGTGTAAACATTAGGCCTGGCCTCCTGTGTTTTTCATATCGAGATAAATTTTTAAGTCGAAATTTATTTCAGATCTTATATGAATAGTCTAACGACTGTAAATACCAACAAATCAAATTATTATAACCGATTTCGCAATGCTTCATTTGATATAGAAATTGGTCAGGCCTACGAAATATATATATTGAAACTGCCTCATCGAACTATGTCTTTGCTTTTTTTTCTTAAGAAAAAAACCAAAATTAAAAAAGATTTAAATCAATGAATCCATGGCTATTTAAAAAAAACCCCTTCAAATTCCCTAGCCCTTTTATGCAGGTTGCCCAGTTCATGTGTAGGTCATTCGACTTAGCGTTGACCTTATTGTCTCTCCAGGGCTATTTTGTAGGTCGGCGACGTCGCTACCCATCTCGATCAAACCGAATCTCGGCTAGTAGGTGAGAAGATATTCGGCCAGCGTCTTCCGCGAAAATTCTGGGCAACCAGCTTGGTTGAGCTGGAGGAATTTTGGGTTGACATTTCCATGCCATCGTTGACATGGCTTGTTTCGAAGGTCGATTCATCACCGGGGTGTTTCGGCCAGAAATTCTTGAAAAAGAGCTCTCGAACAAGGGCATGAATGAGCGTAGTAGATAAAGAAAGAAATGCTCGCCTCAAACCACCGCGGGCGGACTGGCATTTCCACAATTGCTTAGGATGAAGCATTCTCCAGGTTGACAAGAAGGGCAGATTTCCTCTTCAAAAGAATGTGACCTGACCTGTAGGACGAAGCAAGTCAAATTCAAGTCGACCTGAAACCACTGGAACTCGTTTCGATCTTTGAGCCCATTAAAAGGCAGATACCCTTGCTGCAGTCGAGTATCACCGGAAGAGAACCCAAGCAAAAGCAGTTGCAGCGATTGGAATGCAAGACAACCAAGAGCCGACTTCAACATGTGGTTGGGTTTCTGTCATTTCGTGTTTGTAGCGTATTCCGAATCCAGCAGATTGTCATATGCCCATGGGTAAGGAAAAGCGAATGATCAACCCTGGAAGCTCCAGTATGCCTCTGAATCGAGGATAGGGGGAGTCATAAGACAACACCCAGTCACCCAGTCGTTTTCATGAATTTGGCCTTGCGTTTGCCTTTCTCGGCTCTCTTTCCAAGACCCAACAGACCAGAGGATCCACGAGGTAACACCCCCAGACAAATGACACACTCTCAATTGTGTTGTTCAATATATGACCAATTTGAGCCACACTTTCCCATGCAATTTCCGGCTCCATCGACACAATAGACCAGAGAATCCACGAGGTGAACACACTCCAGCCATTATAGACAGAAGCACAATCATCGGACCCAGCAGATAGCAAGAAATGCTGCTGGAAGAAGGGGTTGGAGCAGACGCAATATTGCCCAGATTGATTGCAGGGTGTCCAATTCCCATGGGTCAGGTTGTGAGGACAATGGTAATCAGGGAATGGCATCCAAGCCGCGGTTGTGAGGGACAGGATCAGTCGAGAAAGTCTGGCGAGTCTCATGTGAGAGGATTGTATAATTCCTGACCTGAAAGAAGCAGAGGATGTGCAGGTATATTGGATTGACAACGCAGGATTTTTTGCCTTTAGTTCCGATCGGTGCTGAATTGTTAGTTAGTTAAAAGCGAATCTGGGTTTTTCATTCTTGAGGACGTTTGTACCTTTGATGAGACCAGGAGTCTATTCCACAACCCTGTAAAGACCTTGAAATGGGGAGGCCAATGTCGAGACGTGGATCCCAACGTCATCTTCCCGTAATTTCACAAATGTCATCGAGGAACACGAAAAAAAGGGGAGACTGGGGCCATTTTCTTGTCGATTCAATGAAATTTGAGACATCAACCTATCGGTGCAGTAGAAAGACCGTTGAATCACCAGTGGAAGTTGGAAGAAGTCGCCTGCAAGGACGATATTTAGTCCACCGAAAGGTTCATGCCGCGTCTAGGGAAGATCTCTCGGCAACGTTGTTCGATCCAGAACATCTGGCGCAACCCAACAATGGATTTCTCGCCGATAATGAGGTAGTGTGCGTCACAGAAAGTGGTTTTGTAGGGACTGAAGGTTGTCTGGGTTCAGCTTAGTGTTACATTGTGTTGAACTTGGATTATTGAAGGGACAGAGGGAGAAGCGTTGGCGTAGTGCTGGTCTTCATAGGTCCAGAGATTGTCAACAAATAATATATATGAAGCATCAGCCGAAGTCACATTCTGCGTTGAATGACACAGTTATGTGTATATCCATGGACATGTTGGAGTATTTGAACGTCTGTATGTTTCATTGAGGACAGAGGCGTGTTGGGAGGTAGCTGACAGTGTGTTGTTGTATCCATGGCAATCTCAGCCACGTAGTCGAAAGTGACTCCAGTGAGGAAGAGGTGAGGCGGGGTCAGATAGCAGTCTGTATATTTATCAAGTCTCGCAGGATAACAGTTCTTGGTGATGCTTTGCTTCCCAATATTAGTGTTGAGCCTCGCTCGGAGGGAGGTGCACGAATTTTACCTCTCAGATTCCATATCAAGAAACTAATGAAAATGGGATTTTTTCTTTGAGGCCATAATCACCAAAGTCACCCTTTTTATGTATTCACCATCTCATGCCACCATCCCATAGCTTGGATGGGAATAGGGAGTGTGTCTGGAAGGAGAGTGCGGTGGGAAGAAGAAGAGGAAGGAGAGAAAGAGGAAGACAAATAAATAGAGAGAGAAGCCAAGCTCCCGCACAAAGAAATGCAAGAGATTGCTGCCTGGAGAATCCCACAAAGCATCATGAATGGATTGCTAAGGACAAACATACAATGATATCTAGCAGCTACACTTCTTTGATACACCTACACCAACCGGCCATTATCCGCCTCCTTCCCCTTGGGCGTTTGCCCGGACCGCCGCTTGAACACGCGACACACAAATGAGGCGCCCCGGCAAATTCCTCGCACCAGAGACGTCGGGTTATAGTGCTTGACCCGGAACATGTAGTACAGCAGAACAGTGCCGCAGACATTGAACCCGATATAGACCCAGCCGAGGCCAAAGTTGCGCCAGCGCTCGTTGTAGACTATAACCAGGTTAGTGTTTACATCTTCGAATGTAATTTGCATGGGTGAAGCAGCGAGGGATTAACTTACAGATATTGCTAGCGGCTAGGTACTGATCCGCATTCCGCAGCTGACAATACTCGCAGCCGCTCGTGGCGTTTGGATTGTACAGCTGTCCACCAGCAGCCTGGACGTACCGGTTCAGGTATGCGCCGCAACTTAGTCCAGTCGGCGGATCGAACACGCTCAGCTCGGCGCCAGCGCAGTGGATTTGACGACCATGCAGTCCAGTCGCGGTAATCCCGGAAATCAGATATGTTAGTGGAGAGGCACGGTACATGAAGATCCAGAACCCAGGGAGGGCACTGGGCGGTTGCATAACACCGTTGAAGGTCAGAGTCATGATAAACATGAGGGTGGCGATGGTGCCACCGGTTTCTGCGTCGGGTAGGGCCGAGATCACCAGCGATGCGAATGTGGATGTGAAGATGTAGAACTGCACCACAAAGAGCAGCATCAGGCCCTGTCGTTGCGATGCTTGCGCTGCTCCGTATACTGGGTAGTAGTAGCTGGCCCAAGCGATGACTCCGACAAGCACTTGGTATGGGATTTCAATGATGACATTGGCAATCAGGAACGCTGCCCATGAATAGGCCTTCGAAGGTCGTTCCCGCACTTCATACAAAGAGCGTTGGACCACGAACTTGGGCATGATCCTGGCAGATACAGTCAACTTGAGTAGAATCCAATAGATTCAAGGCTAGACTTACTGCTGCACCAATGTTGAAAAGATCGAAGTCAGCATGAAAGCGCTGAACAAGACATCCTGGAATCCCTGCAAAGAGCTGTCGGGTTTGAAGAAGGTGAACCCAATGAAGATCGATGACAGCGTCCCCAGCAGCAATTTCGCCCAGACATAAGATGGCTCGCGCCAGAATCCCTGGAACGAGCGATGCGTGACGTGCCACAGCTGAGATCTGAATGGCATGGCGTATTCACTATGCTGAGCCTCACCCTCTTCGGTGTTGGCTGTCGAGGCTCGCTCTTGATGAATCCGGTCGATTTCGGCTTGAATGCCCTTTGTCTGTTGGCTGTTATTCCACACCTGAGACCAGTCTTTTGTGGCCTTGCCGGAAGCACCAGCACCGATGATTTCCAGCATGTATTCTGCGGGCTAGGGGGCTTGTTAGCATTGCCATTTCCCGAACTGGGGAGATACAAGCCAATACTTACATTCTCAGATGAGCCGCAGACCCTCGCTCCATTTTCTTCAAAGTAGTCCAGGAGAATGCGGGACTGCTCTCCAATTTCGCCGAAGTAAACGGTCTTTCCTCCCTTTGCGAGGAACAGCAGACGGTCAAACTGTTGGAAGAGTAGCGCGCTCGGCTGGTGAATGGTCGAGAGAACAGCTTGGCCGTGGCCAGCCAACTTCCGCAAGAAAGAGCAAATCGCCCATGAACTTTGCGAGTCCAAGCCACTTGTGGGTTCATCAAGGAATATGAGAAGTGCAGGCTTGGCAGCCAGCTCAACCCCAATTGTCAGAAGTTTTCTCTGCTCGACATTCAGGCCTTCACCAGGTGTGCCGATAATTGCATCTGCGAAATCTTGCATACCAAGCATGTCAATCACCTCCTCGACATATTGGTGCTTTTCTTTCTTTGAAACGGTGCTCGGTTGACGCAGTATAGCACTGAAGCGAAGAGCTTCTCGCACAGTATTTGTAGGGAGATGGAGGTCCTGCTGCTGGACGTAGCCTGTTTTTCGCTGGAAACTGGCATCCAGCGGCTTTCCGTTAACAAGCATATCGCCGGTGACCACCCCAATGGAAACACGTTTTGCGAGCACATCAAGCAATGTCGTTTTCCCGGCACCAGACACGCCCATCAAAGCCGTGAGAGTCCCAGGCTTGACCCAGCCAGAGACATTGTCCAAGAGTCGGCGCTGGCCACCCTTGACCGGAATGTCGTAGCAGACATTCCTCCAGGTGAAGATGTCATGCTGAGACGGAATGACAGAGGTATTTCTCTCGCCCTCTGATTCTTTCGGTGCTTGGCTCACCTCGGCCGAGCCTGTGCTACCTTGGGCCTTTTCAAGATGGCGCAGATGCGCAGGCACATGGCCTCGGCGGAAGACCAGGTATTCGGCCTTCGAGGAGGTGGCAGAATTGAGCTCGGAGGCGATGAGATATAGCGCCATGAAGAAAATCCAGAAACCGATCAAGATGCCCAGGTTTCTCCACTCGTGCGCGTACGTATACGTGTACTGGGTTTCGATGTAGGCGTCTCCAGACACGGTTTGTTCGCCTGCCACCGCGCCGCGTACAGCACAGATGAAGGAGTTTCCGCTCAGGTCTGCATATGCCGGGATATACTGTGAGCATGCGAAGCGTCGGCCGTGGAACTCGTTGGCGATGAGCGCTTCGAAGGTGTAGAAGACGGGGTTGATCCACCGGATCCAACTAAACCATGGAATGGAGCTCATCTCGGGTACGGTAATCACAAACCCGGTGTAGATGATGATGGCGAGGACCAGTACTCCAGCCATTGACATCGCTTGGGCAAGGGTTTTCGTAGATGCCGCCAATGTCCGGAATACACCAGACATGGCGAGAGTACTCAGGAACGTGAAGAGAAAGAAAATGAAGAATTGAGATGGTTCGTATCGCTATAGTTTGATATTAGTTTCTTACCAAAAGCGTTTGGGCCTCATACTTACCAAGCTGGCCAGAAAGTAAAAGATGATGTTGAACACGACGGCCGACACAAACTTGACGGGTATGTCTGCGACGATACCCCCTAGTGCCTCGGTAAATGGATGGACAAAAGCGTAGGAAGCCTGCTTTTCGATGATCGGTCGCTGGTCGTAGAGCGAGTTGATCTCGGTAATACTGATGAGGGCATTCATCCTAGAAGGTGTCAGAACATGATATCCCCTTCAAATTCTAGGCCATGAAGACTCACAGAACGGAAAAGAAGAGCGCTGCGCCTTTGCTCTGAAACCCCGCAGATGCATTCGGAGTTCTGCAAATATGAGCAAATGGATATTGAATTTTCTTAAAAAGCAACATACCCAAAATAGATTGACCCAATGATAAGGGACATGACTATGCGCCCGATCACTGTTGTCAATGTCGCAGGTTTGTCATTCCAGATGCTAAAAAATACCAGGTTTATATCAGTTAGCCATACAGAGCAGCACAGACATGGGTAGATGACAAACCGTTGGTAAGCTCTCTTCACACACAGCCGAACCTGCATCGGAATCGAAATGACATAGGGACTCTTTGGTCGAACATGTTTCGCCTGACGTTGCCTCTTGGTTTCTCCAAAGTCTTTGCCGGCAGCTCCTCCCAGCGGATACTCTTCGCGGTACTGTGCAACTTCTTTCCGAAGAGCAGCGTACTGGGGGCTTTTCTTCCAGTATTCCTCAAACTCGTCGGGTGTGCGAGGGACCTTGTTTTCCATCCCATCCCGGGATGTCCGCTCCTGTGGGTTCGTGACCGACGTCAAGAAATCGCCAGTGGTTTGGCGCGGGGGACATTCCCAGCCCATATCGACGAAATAGTCTCTTGCTTGGCTGCATGGACCGAAGAAGATCTCTCGACCCTCGTAGAGGACGATGGCCTTGTTGAAGACATCGTATATCGCCTGCGAGGCCTGATAGATCGCAACTGCATGGCAACTGCCTGTCAAATTCGCAGAAACACGCAGTGACTTAGCAAACTCGAGTGCGCTGGCGGAGTCCAGGCCTCGAGTGCTGTTATCCCATGCTCCTACAGGTGCTCCAGATACTGTGCTTAGGTGTTAGGTCAAGTCCTTGCGGGTTTTATGTGTCCATGGGCAACTTACGTGCCATCTCAGCAATGCTAAACACAGATATTAGTGACAGGATTGGAGGAAATATCTTGTGTATGTCGCATACCTCACTCGCTTCCGCTCACCTCCCGAAACACCTCTGATGTAGTCATCGCCAACTGCAAAATTATAAGCTTCAATATTTGCCCACGGTGAGCTCCTAACACACCTTTCGTATTGTATGTATGGCTCAAGCCGAGAACTGCCATTGCCACCTGGGTAATGTGCTTAGCATAGCGGGCCCGGCTGATCCCATTCAATCGATTCTCCGGAGTCCTAGCCGCAGCGGCGAACCCCAGCGTCTGGCCGACGGTGAGATGAGGGAAGTGCTTATCGACTTCCTGGTTGTACAGCACCTCCCCCTTAAACTCCTTATGCATCTTCTCCATGGGTATGCCATTGTACTGGATGTCGGACCCCTTCCCAACTTTCAACCCGTGCAATTCACCCGAGAGAGACTTGAGGAACGTTGAGCAGCCACTCCCAGGCCGTCCAAGGACAATCAACAGCTCGCCGCTTTTCAGGACCCCGTCAAAATTGCGAAGAATCTGTTTCTGGGGCACACATCGTCCGCACGCAAGGTATTCTTGCGGCCGAAATGGCGCCAGAAGGACCGATCCAACGTTATTCTGGTACTGTAGCGCAGAACCCGAGCCCGAGATGTTGAGGTTTTCGAACACCACGCCGGTCGACTTGCGCAGAGGCACGCCTTCCTCATCCATCAGCTTGAGCATCATGCGAGCCCACTTGTAGTGGTCAAATTGGTCGCTTGTGGGATTCAGAACCGGATCGCCTAGCTCGACATCTTCCAGCGTATCGATGCGCTCCATTCCTCCCATTCCAACGCCAGAGTCAGTGGCGCGGTGTCGGGGGAAGTTCGATGCGATGCGAGACAGCTCGGCTCGATCCTCGGGACGCATCTGCTCGAACAATTCTCTGCCATCTTCCTCTGTCTCGGGTGTTGCCTCGTGATTGGACTGTGAGCCGCGTTCCATATCATGTTGGGAAGAGCTGGGCGGGTTCGTCTCGCGGTCCTCGTCTTGTTGGGCCATTGCTTGTTATGCTGGATGTCATCCAGGCCTAGAAGACATGGGGTGTAACGGGGCTGGTGTGGAAGCAAGAACTACAAGAGAGCGAAGGTCAAGAGAGGTTGGAAGAGAAGAGCTACAAAGGCAAGTTTCCCGCATTTATCCATGTGCACATGCTGTGAAACCTACTAGCCTAAGCCAGTACCTCGCAACTTGATGTCTAAGGATTATGTGGGTACCTATTTGGTAGCTCCTCGAGTCGTGATGTCAAGAGCCAGCGGGATCTCCATACTAAATTCATCGGTGGAACCTGGAGACACGCTGGATGCGACCATCAGGCACAGCCAGCTTACTGATCAGATTCGGATACCTAAAAGAGCATCGGGATTCCATGACGAATCAGGGCTTCGATCCATGAAGTTAAGGTGTCCTGCAGCGATGCACGTTGGATGGAGGCCTTGTAAATGCCTTGTTGCCTTATTGATGACTTCATGCCTCAGGCAATAATATCATTCACCGCCTTTAATTGGACAACCAAACAGTGCAAACATGCTATCGCAAAGAAAAAAAAATAATAATTCGAGTGATGCAACTTGGAGCGACAGTGACTTTCCGGGCCAATTCCCGGATTCTGCGGTAATTGATTTCTATACCTTGTGGTGGAATCCCCTACCTGAAGTCTCAATTGCCCCATCAATGGCGGATATACAGAAAACTCCCTTTGTGAGGGAGCTCGCCTCGAGCGGTACGACTAAATTGTCCCCGTCGCAAGCGCCCGCAATTGCTAATGAAGAGGATAATCTGCAGACCGAAAAATCCGGGACAAGGCTCTCGAGTCATTAACACTATTTTTGCGCTCGCGCACCGATTTGACCCTCCTGGATCTGCTGAAGCTGTGGAAGGGCCTGTTCTTCTGTATGCGCGATTCCTATATAATCTCCCCGCTTCCAAGCGGAGTTTCTCAGTTCATGCGGCTAATATGAGCTCTCTCTTTCAGGTTTCTACCACTCCGATAGACCTCTTACCCAACAAGCTCTCGCCCGCGCTCTCTCCTCTCTCGTCCCGTCTCTCCCGCCCTCCTCGGTACATCGCTTCCTCCGCGCGTTTTGGATTACCATCGGGCGGGATTTCCACTCGCTGGACCGGCTGCGGCTGGACAAGTATCTGTTTCTGATTCGGTGCTATGTCGGGGTTGCATTCGAGATCTTCGTGAAGAACGGAGGCAAAGGATCAGGATCGAAAGAGGCGAACGGCGACGGGAAAAAGCGCAAGAGAGAAGACGCAGGGAAGCAGGGCAGTCGTGGGAAGAAGCACAAGAAACAGGCCGAGGGTAGTACACCTGCCACGGAACAAGAGAACGATGACGACCAAAAACAATCAGAAGACGACGCTAAGTGGGCGGATCTCTCGGCGTATATCGCCATCATCGAGGAGGGCCCGCTGTGCCCGGTCAACTTCGACCCGGATCAGCCTTCTAAGCCCGTCGCCGACGAGGAGGACCCGAACTCCGTTCCTATGCCGCATGGCCCGGACGGGCTGCGCTACCATCTCATTGATCTCTGGGTCGACGAGCTGGAGAAGGTCCTAGAGTTTGAGGAGCTCGGGGATGAGGGCGCCGAGGCTGAGAACAGCGATGGCGAGCCAGTCCAAAACCGGAAGATCAAGGGCGATGTGCCTATCGAGCTTCTGCTACGGCCGCTGGAGAAGCTGCGCACCGAGAGTCCTTACAAGCCTTTGCGGACGCGGGCTGCAGAGGCGTTAGATGACGACCGGTTGGTGGAGTGGGGAGTCCGGACTCGCAAGGTCGAGGAAGACGAGGAGGAGAGTGAGCAGGAATGGGGTGGTTTCGGGGACGATTGAGCAACTAGCATGGCATCAATATGATCCAGGGCCCATTTTGGGTCTGAAACATCATAAGCAATGACTCGGAAAAGAAAAGCCAGCTATGGAGTATACGGTGTATCAATATCATCTCTTTACTGTGTATTGTACAGCCGGACCACCGAAGCATCAACTACGCTCCTGACAGCAAGGACAGGCAGCGGAAAGCATACCAGAACAATATACGTACATTGACGAAGTGCCGAGTCTTTAGCGTGAGGGTATCATGAAGGGGGGATTGCAAAGACCCGGGGAACACGAGGGAGCGCAGAATATAAAACCAGAATCCAAAAGCCATGTGCAGTCCTGCACCGGTTGTTTGCCATGGAAGGCCGACAGAATGATCAGTTCGGAATCACAGCGGGCCATCCGCTTCGTAAATTCGCCCCGACTTGGACAGCACCGTACCCAAGCCTTGGTGGATTTCAGCTTGGAAGGGCTCAAAGGGAACTTGTTCCCCGTCGATGCTGATATACCCTTCTTTTTCATGGGGCACCAAACGAAATGCGGTTGCTTTGCGGAGCTTGACGTCGGGCATATCGAAGAAGCGGCCGGTAGGGATCTCGTTCATCATGCTGAGCGCCGTACTTAGGCTTATGGTCCCATCGATGGTGATGACATCCATGAGTCCATCATTTGGAAGCGATGCCGGGAAGAAATTGGTGTCCTTGGACATGATCGCCATGTTGCCGACGTAGAAATTGCCCATTGTGGTGCCCGGAACGATTTCCCAGTCAGTAGGGAGCTCTCCCAGGACCGTGCCATGCTGGAGCTCTGGAAGCCCCGGCGACTGTTCTGCAGCTTCGATACGGCCGCGGTCCGCAGAGGTGTCCACTGGGCGGTTGGCAAATGCGGTATAGTGTTCCTTAATCGCCTTTTTGTCATTAATCTCCACTTTTATTGCCAGGTCGCAGGGCCAGATTGTCTGCCGCAGCAGGCGGATCAGGAACCCGTACGTAAACCGGTGGGCGCCCATCCACCGGATGTGATCGGTGCCCAGATCCGACTCTGCGACAATACCAAAGGACTGCGACAGGAAGGAGAGAGTGCGAGTATCATTCTGAGTGATCGAGACTAGATCAAGAGGCATCCGCACCGCCTTGACGATTGCCAGCGCCGCAATGGAGACGCTACCCGTCCCCAGGCAATTCCACGCCATCCCGTTCCCGGAGCCACAAGGAAGCAACGCCACCGCGAGCTTGGCCAGAGCCTCTCGGGCATTGGGCCGTTTGCCTAGCCCATTGAACACCTCGTATGGCAGACCGTCCCCCGAACAACATACAATCGCGTCGTACGCGTCAAGGTCGAGCTGCGCCGCGATTTCGGTGGCATGTCCGCGGTATTCGGTGTTTTGCACATCGAGCTCACAATTGGCCGCGGCGAAGACCGGCGCCGCGTATGTCTGGTATAGACTTGCCGCTGTTCCTTTCCCGCCGAAGGGGTTTACCAGGACTTTGAGTCGCTTCCTGCGCTGCGCGGTGCCATAGGCAAGGTCGAGCAGCTTCTGTACCCACTTCTCCACGGTTGACTTCTCCTTCTCGCTGATCGAATATCGCACTGTTGTCACGGTGACATCGTTCTTGGTTGCGGGCTGCGCGAAGGTGATCTCGACATCGGAGGGGTTAACTTCGGCACCGAGGACATTGTGCAGTGCAATGGTGTGCGTGGTCTTGGTTTCTAGAGAGCGAAACGCTTGGTCAATTCTCCGAAGCACAAGGGGTGGGATTGATCAACTTGTCGCGATCACCGGAGGGGTAAAACAAGCTACTCACTGGACCTGCATAACCCGCAGCAGCCACGGCCTGATTTGTGAACGTCGTCTGCCCCAGTTTAGCAATCAGTATGTGTTGTTTCTTCAGGCGGAGGCGGAAGAGAGCAGCGCATACCAACTATCAGTAGCGAGTCACTACCCAGGGTCAAAGAGACCGGACCATCGAGGAGCAGGGTCGAGTCGTGCAGCGGGGTGTCCTGCTGTTCTGAGGAATTGGGGATGGACATTCTTAAAATTAGGGGTAATTGGGAAAGAATCAGCACATATTCGATATGCGCCAGAGGAAAAAAGGGGTATAAACAATATTAAGGGTAAGAATACAGAAGTTGAAGATACAAAAGAACCCGAGGCCGTGGAGTTCCGGTTGTGGATCGGTGGCCCCTGCAGACCCCCAACTCTCCGAGGTTGCACATCCGAGGTTGAGTCTTCAATGCAGTTCGTACACCAAGACATATAATTGTTCTCCTTGTTGCGGGCTATAAATAGGCTTGTACTACCCAGTGTAGGGTCCAAATCCCTGATTGTTCTCTATCCTCTACTCCCGATGAGGCAACCTCACCTCGTACACAATAAGGAGACATGTAAGTAAACAAATTCGTCTCAAATGAACAGGGTTCACACAAAAACAGGCGAAAATAAAAAAAAAAAAGAAAAGGGAACAGATCCCCGCAACCCGCTGGAAAACAAATCGACTCATGTAGCTGCCGCCTTGAGTCCCTTCAGGGATCCCAGGCTCAGCGCCAGGCCCTGGGAGCGACTTCTTATCCGCACAAAGCCGGTGATCGGCCCATCATCTCCTTCTTTTTCGATGCTCAGGTTCGCCAGCGCATCCTCGCCTAAAAAGAAATATAGTTAGCAATCGCGCCGGATCAGGAGTTTGACGGGACAAGGACATACCGAACACACTGCGGGCGTACAGGTTGGCGCTCAGGAACCGGCAATCACCCTTGAGCGAGGCCTCGGGCGTCAGGCATGCCATGTTGGTGCTCTCCATCAATTGCTTGAGGAAATCACGTAGAGTCTTGGCCTTGGAGTTGATGTTGACCTTGTTCTCCCACTCGAACTCAGTCCACATGGTCCGGAACTGGGTCTCGGTGCATTGCGCAGGCTGGATGTAGTCCATGATGTCGGCATGAATGTCGTTGAGGATGACAACGTGGGTTTCGGTGGAGCTGGCCCCATCGTAGATGATGTTGCCGAAGATGACACCGGTGTCGGTCGATGACACTTTCACGGTCGCCTGGACATTGAGGAAGTCTCGTGGGCCCAAGTTGTGAGTGGACGGCCGCTCGACAACCTTGAGGTCCCCGAGGGTGGCGAACTCCACGGACAGGTTCTGCAGGGTCTCGGTGGTCTGGTTGACCAGGAGCACATCCAGCACAATGTCAAACTGGTGGACGGTGACGTAGGCCTCTGCGTAGACAGGGTCAGAGAATCCGGTCAGTTGGACCACCCGGCTCAGTTTCGAGGAGACGTTCTCCACGACCGTGTCACCGCCAGTGGCTTTGGCAAGGTCCAGTTCAATTTCTTCGGCGCCCTCCACGGTGTTCTTCTTAGACAATTGCCGGATGGGAATGGCATCGTCGATTTGCACGGCGCTCTTCGCTTTCTCCACGGCTTCCTTTGCGGCCCGCTTCTTGTCCTCAACCTGGACCATGGCGCGGAATGCCTTGCGAGTATCCTCCAGGAAAGTTGTCTCAAGCTCCTTCTTTTCGGAGAACTCAGCCAGGGAGCGCACGCAGCACATGATACGGTCAACAGAATCCTCGTCAATCGGGGCCTTGACAAAGTGCGATTGGCCAACCCGCATGATTGAGATCATGATGAGCATGGCCTCGGCACGGAGAGCATTAGTGCGGGCGGTATCTTGCGAGACCTCGGAATGACGCATCACGAGCTTGGTCAGAGTTGACGAGAGCACAGTGCCCAGGTAGTAGTCACCGTCCAAGATCAGTTGACGCAGGGGCGGCTTCTGTGCGGCCTTGACTGCTTCGAGGCGAGCAGCCGCGGCAGATTGGCTGGTGAGGGCGCTCTCCGACGCATACGTGCCGTCAGCCAGCACCTTTCGGGACCCGGTAGGGGCCGCCTTAGCTTGACCGTTGGCTTGCTCCTGAAGGAGTGTACTGTCGTCTGGAACCTCGTCGAGCAGTCGTTGTTCCGATGCCAGGATGGGAATCTCGCCCAGGCTGGCGCGGATCTTCTTCCAGGCTTCCCGGATATCCTTCTCTTCCAAGGAATATTCGCCAACAACCCAGAGGACACCGCGATAGACCTTACCAGCCCGAACCTCGCTCAGAGTCGAGACCAATCGATCAACAATTGACGCACGCAGGTCAGGGAACTTCTCCACAACCTCCTTGACAAACGAGATCACATCCACGGCGGAGTTGTTGTTAAAGTCGGCAATGAAATCCATCAGCAGATCAACCACACTGGCAGCAATCTCGGAGAACTTGATGGCACAGTTGTGTATTGACTGGACCAACAGCTGACGGTATTCGCTGTTCTGTAGATAACGTTAGTCTAGGAGTTTTACAAGGAAGACTGAAACACTGACCTGTTCATATTGCTCGTCCACGGTCTTGGCAAGCTCCTTCTTAAGCAGCATGACAATTTCCTCAACGTTCTTGCTCGAGACCATTTCCAATGCAATACCGAGGGCCTTGCGCCGCACATCAATGTCGGGGCTGGTAAGGACACGTAGAATTTCCATGGTCAGATCATCCAGTACTCCCTCATTACGAATACGCAGCTGGTCCACACGGTCCAACACGATCAGCTTAACGTTGTTGTCGGCTTCCCGGATGGCGAGCTCGATCAACTTGCTCGCGGCGGCCTTGACGATGGCCGGGTTGCTCGTGAGGGCAGTGAGGGAGGTGGCAGCTTCGTAGACCACAGTGCTGGTTGGGGCGTCGAGGAGTTCAAGCATGAGTTTAAGATACCGCGACTGTTGTCTCGTTAGTGATCCAACTCCGTCATTTGCGATTGGCCGACCAACCTTGTTCGAAGTGTTCTGCACGGCATCTTTGCGCAGGAACTCCAGCTCCGCAAGCTGGAGGAGTTCATCCGTGTTGGGAATTGTGTCAAAAGTAGCGCGCAGGTACTCCAGCGCCTTCTGGTGGCTGATGGACATAAGCGCGGCGAAGGCATTGCGCTTGCAGGTGCCATCGGTCTCCGACTCAAGGAAAGTCTGCAGGAGTTCGGGTGCGTCGGGAATGAGGGACTCGGAGTGCTGAAAGATAGATGCCACGGCCCAAACCGCATTCTTGCGCACGTAGGCGTGGCGGTGGTCCAGACATCCCCGCGCCGAGGACAGGAGCGGCTCAATGAGTTCAGGTTCGCGGAGCTTGCTCAGGAAACGAAGGGTGTTGCCTCGAACGTATTCATTGGGATGTTGAAGGTCATTTCGGATGCCGTTACTACATATCCAGATACGTTAATCAAAAAGACCACGGGGCCAAGCCTGCGGGGGGAGTGGATGTTCGTACCAGACCAGAATCATTTCTTGCTTCAGCTTGCCACTCGAGTCATGCTTCGGGCAGATTTCGTAGTAGAAATACAGCAGCTTCTTCAGTGACTTGCTCTTGGACGGCATCACAAAGCGAATGATGTGCATCAGGAGTTGGGGCATGGGGTCGCCGTTAAGCATGATCGTAACAATCGACCGCATGGTCTCCATCTTGGTCTCATCATTGCCCTTCTCCAACTGCAGTTTCAGCTCCTGCAGAGTGGGCTGGTCGGCAACATTGTCTTGATGGACCAGACTGTATGCATTTTCGAGGAAGGACGCCATGGTGGTGGATTGGGGGGACGGCCGGGGACGAAGGAGAGCTGCAACTTGTCAATTGGGGATTGTTTGGGGCACCACAAAACGCCGGGGCAACACAGGACATACCAATTTAGTTCTCCCAGAGATAGGAGTCCAGGCCAATGTTAAGAACAGGCAATTAGAATAAACCAACACCCGTCGCCGACCTGGAAATCATCGGGTGGTGAAGCGCAATGGGGGGCGGACCATCAACTTGTCTACGCTGGCCCGTCTGTGTGGATGACTAAGCCAGCCACTTTCCAAGGTTTCAGTTGAACGGCAACTTCGCTGGACTCGCACCAAGTCTCCATTTCCATTCGCCATGTCGAACGAGCCTTTTTACCTCCGCTACTAGTAAGGATGATTTCTTGAGCCCAGATGGCCCGCTGCTGACAGCCCTTGCAGCTCAGGTCACTCTGGGCGGTTCGGACATGAGTTTCTAGGTAAGGTCTTCTGCCCACCATTTCCCCGCGACTCGCGCTGACTGCCCACCAGAATTCGATGTCCGCACCATCGCCGAAGGAAACAGTGCCGCAGTACGATATGCGAACAACTCGAACTACCGCAATGACTCGCTCATCCGCAAAGAAAGTATGTAATGGACAGCGGAGCTCTCAGGCGGAGGCGCAGACAAGCTGACGAGTGTCCAGTGTGTGTGAGCGAAGCCATGATCAAAGAGGTCAAGCGCATCATTAAGGAGAGCGAGATTCTTAAGTACGGCCCGAAAACAAGGAAGATCTATGCCATCAAAGACCAGTGTTCTAACCCCACCCCAGGGAAGATGACTCGAAATGGCCCCAGAAGAACAAGGATGGGCGTCAGGAATTGGAGATCCGTCTTGGAAATGAGCACATTTCCTTCGAGGTAGGTTCATTTCACCATGACTGCTGCCGACCAGATCTCTGATCATATGTCCAGACTGCGAAAATCGGCTCGTTGGTGGATGTGACCGAATCAGCCGACCCCGAGGGACTGCGAGTTTTCTACTACTTGGTGCAGGACCTCAAGGCGCTCGTTTTCTCCCTGATTTCTCTTCACTTCAAGGTATTGTCCGCTCTGTTTCCATGTGGTTGGAATGGCTCTGACTTGTTTTGGTTTGCCGCAATTGACAGATCAAACCCATCTAAAAAAAACTCCGGTGTACTAGAGGACTGCAAATCTTGGGTTGTTTTTCTTTTTTCTTATTTTAACGATACTTGCCGGGCGTTTATGGAGGATTCCATACCAAAATTCGGGCTCCACACTTGGCACCGCAACAATGGAACTGATACCAAATTGGCCAATTGATATTGGCGATCAAAATGGATATTTTTCAATCCTATTCATTCTAGCATCCCCATCCGAGCTTTCTGGGGGATTGTTAGCGCTTGCCTTCTGCAGGCAGATTCCTACAGTGACGCAATCAATATTTCCCCCTGTATAAACGCGGTAGACGCGGTAGAACTGCTTCGAGAGGAATATTTGCCCACGGGACCATGCAAAGGTAAAATATGATAAGAATCGGATCCTGGGAAATACTCGCGAGAAATGGTACCTGGCAATACCTCTACTATAGCACCGAATGCCGCACCGGTGGGCGTATACCCTAAGTACATACCGAGTTGTGCCTGAGGCAACAGCGCCTCCCCCGCGCTCGCCTGACCCCGGTTCGCTTCAAAAAGACTCTTCTTCGCTCTGGGTCGTCCAGGATCCATTTTCCCCTTCCTCAGAATTCCTGGCTTGGGTATTTGCTCTTGTTTCATCTCGCTTCGAACTGATGTTTGCTCTTCTCTCTCCTTGATCCGCCCTCAATGCCAACTCCGAGTGATAACGCCTCGATCGCCGAGGCGATCTCCACCCGCACCTGCCCCCCAGACACCGACAGGATCCCGGCCTGGCGAGACTCCCTCGAGTCTACAGACTCGCCTGGCGATCCTCTCGATAATCCCCTCTCACCAAACAGCGCAACTGCACCGTCTGTGCTGAGTCGCTCCGACGATGGTACTGCTCTCTTGGCGACCGATCCGCTGAAGGTGGAGCAGAAGATGCCCAGCACAGATGAAGATACAGCGCCCGCGAGATCTAATTCTCCGACTGAGACCTCATGCCCTCGCAGCCAGTCGCCCGTCACGCCACCGAATTCCTCGCTGTTGAACTATGAATTTTCAAATGTTCGGGTAGGTAACGGCCCAACTCGATGAAGCGCCGCGCCACCCAATTGACTGATTTTCTTTTCTTGTCACAGCTCCTGCCCAATCATACTTCGTCGTTTCTTCGTTCAGGCAGTAAATTCGTCGGCACGCAGCAATCGGATCGCCAAGTTTACAATGTGGACGTCGAGATTAAACACGTTGATATGGCCGAGTCCTACATGTGCGGCTATCTGCGCATACAAGGTTGGTGATACTAACGCGCAACGGTCTGCTTTGGAGTTCTGTATCGATGCTAATTTTCTATCATCCCAGGACTCACCGAAGACCATCCCACCCTGACCACATTTTTTGAAGGCGAAATTATCGGCACTAAGCATACGTTTCAGACTCGCAATGAGGAATGGGGCGCTTCGGAGAAAACAGACATGCACCACTGGTCTCGGTTTCCCGCATGGCGACCATTGGCCAAGCAGGCCAAACGAGCCGACTTCACCTACCGCAACTTTGCTCAGCGCGAGCATATATTCATGAGGTGGAAGGAATATTTCCTGGTCCCCGACCATCGAGTCCGCACAATCTCGGGGGCCAGCTTTGAAGGGTTCTACTATATCTGTTTCAACCAGATCGAAGGAACCGTGAGCGGCGTATACTTTCATGCAAAGAGCGAGCGGTTCGTGAAACCCGTTGACAAGCATGGAGTGGCCTGTATACTGATTGTCTTATAGATTCCAGCAGCTTGAGCTCAAGCATGTCGAGGATCATGGATGTGCGCCAGCAGTCGAGTTCCGCTAAGTTCGGTGAACTCGACTGCTGGCGCTTCCACAATCTCTCGACCTTATGCATCAATCTCCCCTCAACTCAACGCCCGTTCCTCTCATCCTCTTCCATCTCCATTCTCCTTCTCTTGGTATACCACGGCCGAGCGGCGCTTTCTATTTACCCTGACGAGAACACTGGATTTTCTCGGATTGATACCTGGCTGTATTCTCTCTGGATGCTTTTTCATTTATTTCTTCCGGCGTTCTCCTCTCCACGACTGTTCTACTATTATCTTCCAATAAGTCGGTGAATCTTCTGATGTGACGTGGCACGACGATCCCGACACGACTATACCCCTCTCCCTCTACCTCTCTGTCCTTCTCATCTAAACCCCCCCCTCAAGGGGGAGAGAGACAGGACTCCATACGACAACACTCCCACCCTCTGGCCTTCCAAATTGTTCGGTCATGTTTCACGATATCGCAATTTACGACGTGGCGTTTTTTCATTTCTGGCGAATTGGGGTTTTCTGGACCCTTTGTTCTCTAGCTTGAATCTTCTATTTTCCAACTACTTTTCTTTGCCGATGACAACCATCCTTTTTATTATTGATTGTCATCTCTGTGAATGTCTACTATTTTGGGCTACCGGCTCATTAGTCTGTGTCTTGTTTGGAGAAATCAAGAATCTTGATCATTGGTGGCCCATAGTCTTCGCTGAGCATGCATACTGCTAGATGTGTATTGGAGTAAACGTATGTGTAGTATGTAGATGTCGCCCTCGACTGAGAACCGAGAAACAATCGATTGAGATCCAATTGCGATACATTTATGCTATGGCGGACAATGCAACATCAAACATAAAAGACATAACTAACCCTAGCGCAAGCCCATATCGTATACACCTGAGCATCATGATACACCAATAACGCCGTGACAAACCGCACATGAAAAAAATAAAAACACAAGAAAAAGGAAAATACACCCGACAGATATGCGAAATGAAAAAAAAAAGAAGAAAACAACAAAACAGATGTTTCAGCAGTTGCAACATCAAGAGAATGGCAGAAACACGGGTTAAGAAGAACAAGAAAAAAAAGAGGGGTATCACATGCGATATGACGAGGGCAAGTGAGAATCAAGCCCGAATCGAGCGTGGGTGAAGAGATGAAGCATTGTAGGGGTTGTTTTTTTGTGTTTGTTTTCGTCATCACCAGCAGAACATGAGAGAGAAAAGAGCAGTGGGAAGTAGATAACCGAGAAACACAGAGATTAAATCAAATCTGAGTCGAGTTCTGACGGGTGGTAGAGCCAGACGAGCTGGTGTAGCTACCGCCGCCACTTTCACTGGTTGGAGTTGGGGGCTCCAGGACCACCTGTTGGCGAATGGAGACGATCCACTCGTGTTGGAGGAGCTCGGCAGCAGTAGGGCGGCGCGAGGGGTCACATTCGAAGCATCGGGCCAGGAAGTCGATACCCAGATCGCTTAGCTGATCATTGGCCGGGAGAGTTGGCTGGTTGCCCTGGGCGATGTTGTACATGATGGCCCACTCGTTGTCCAGCGTGGACCAGGGGCGTCGGCCGGTGGCCATTTCCAGAACCACGCAGCCCAGAGACCAGATGTCGACGGCGCCCTGGCGGTTGACCAGATTGGAGGTATCACCGCGGATCACCTCAGGCGACATGTACATGGGAGTTCCCGTGGTAGTCTTCTGGTTCTTGCGCTGGTTTGCGTCCTTTGCGAGAAGCGGGTCCTTGTGGCCAGGGCCGACGGGGCCATCCACGGGGGCAACTGTGCGGCCAGTGCGAGCAATGATCTTGGCCGCGCCGAAATCAACGTACTTGATGATTCCATTGTGGTCCAGCAGAATGTTCTCGGGCTTGATGTCCCGGTGCACAATCCCTGCTTGATGCAGATAGGCCAGTCCCTCAAGAAGCTGGAGCGCATAAACCATAATAACCGTTTCATCTTCAATCCGCCCGTGCTCCAGCAAGCTGGCGAGCGAACCACCCGAACAATACTCCATGAAGATGTACACCTTGTCTCGATGCACCTCAATTCCGTGGTAGGACACGATGTTCGGATGGTCCAGCACTTCCAACACCCCCATTTCATCCCGAATCTGCTGGGCGATCTTGGGGATGAGCTGAGGATCTTGCAGGCGGATCTCCTTGACAGCCATCAGGTAGTTGCTGTCCAAGTTGATAGCCACGTAGACGGATCCAAAGGTACCACCTCCGATGAACTGGCCTTGCTGCCATCGCAGAGTAACGTTGGTAGCTGAGGATGAGAGTACGGTAAGAGATCGATCGGCTTCGTTGGATCCTTCCAGGACTCTTCCTAGGGCTTGGCGTTTTGCGTCCTCTTCGACTCGTCTGTCCTCGATTTCTACCACCCGCGCAAACCACTGCTCGCGAACAAGTTTAGAAGCTTCTTCGTCGCTCAGAATTCGACCAGTACCCATCTTTCGGGCGCCAGCCCGCTCTTCCATTCGTTGTTTTTCGGCCTGGGCGGCAAGAGACGACCGAGCTCCCATGATATCGAAATGAGAGATGAGGAGAGACATGCACCCCGCCACCTTCAACCTGAGACGGGCGAATTGATCTTCGTTCAGAGACAGCAGATGACGGCTGGACGTGATGGCCATTGCAAACTCCAATGCAGCCACGGCCCATTTGAAGGTCTTTCGGTCGGCAGCATCACACTCATCACAGATAAATGAAACCCAGTCCAATGACAAGTCCACTAATCGGGCACTGTTCATGGCGCGTCTGTTGGCGTCGACATAGTTCGAGGAGCGCTTGCCGAACTCAGTCGCGAAGGCGTAGCAAGCCTGGATCAGATCATTGTTCTCCCAAGTCTTATCGCGCAATTGGTTTTTCATCACGGCCACGCTGTCCATAATGGCCATGGAGAGTTTGAAAGAGATCTTCTTGATCTTATTCAATTCCACGTTCACGCGGGCTAGGTTTGCACGCTGTTCGATTGCCATGTCCAAATGAATTCCCGTGAGCCGTGCCAGCTCCATCCGGGCGTTCTGCAGCCGCTCTTGCATGCCTTCGACCACCAGACGGAGTTTACCGATACGCACATCCGACGGTTGCTCCAAAAAGTCCACTTGCATTTCCTTGCCCGCCCAAGCCAGCGGTTTCTCTGGACGAATAACCAAGACGTAGGGAGTATGGGATGCATCCTTGATTGGATCTTCTTCTCGGAAAGAAGTAGCCAGGATAGCTTGAATATCGGCAGGTCTGTTCCACAGCGCATGATGGGCAATTAAATACACCCCTTTCTGGCCGGTCGAATTATTGGAGGTGACAAGAAAGTGATCGGAGACCAAGAGAGCCTCAAAGAATTCGTATGCGATACCAGACGCGATGTTATACTCAGTGGCATTTTCGAACAACTGGCATAAGAACCGGGAAAATCGATATAGTTTTCGTTGACGAATGCGAGTGGAATCCAAGATGGACTTGTACCGCTTGTCCATATCTGATACGGTTTCATTAGGTCTGGGGACGAGCTCGCGCTCAAAATGAATCATGAGGCGCTGGAGTGACTTTGCAGTTAATGCACTAGAGGTTGATTAGCATTGGTTTTGTGGTCGAGCATAGTCATCAAAGCGTAACCATACCTGAACTGCTCGGCTACCTCGATATCACCGCTCTCGAGCTGCCGGCCGATATCATATGAGAAGCCCCACATCTGTTCCAAGATCTCTGCCTCTTTGAAGGTGTTCTTGTTGGCGTTCAGTTTCCAGTTCAGAAGCCGGAAATAGTACTTCATGGCATCCAGGACCACCGAATCAAAGTTCTCATCCACACAGGGTGGCAATTCCCAACCAGGCTCCGGTCTCGAGATGGTAAGATAGCGGTGCTTAATTTCGACCGCCACTTTCATCAAAATCTGAAACTGTGAGATCATTTGGTCGACCAGTATTGGAGATTGTTGGGCCGGATCCTTCATGTTCTTGGCATAGGACAGTCGCATGCGGATGATCTCCTGAATCAACCGCGAGGGAAAGTTGATCAGAGTGAGCAATTCCTCGATGTACGGCGGCAAGTGACGGGCCGCAAAAGCCTGAGCATTTTCAATCAAAGTACTCTTTGCTTTCTGAATGACTGCGCCAATGCCTTTCAGCATGCTGTGTTCACCTTGTAGCGTCTTCAAACCATCCTCCTTCATAATGCGATCCAGGAAGGACGAATCATCAGAAAGGTCGCTTTTGGCGGATTTGGTTCTGGACTTGCTGAAATCGAGAGCATCGTTTCCCACCCAGCTTTGCAGCACAGCCAACTCAGTGTTAATGAGAGCCGTAATGTTGTGCCATGCAAATATAGCCTCACGGCTTGAGTAGAACTCTTCCGAGGCGACACGAGGATTCGCCGCTTCCATTTCCTTGTGTGTCGAGTAGAGACTTTCGCACCGCTCGACCTTCTCCACGACATCCTCGACTTGCTGTCTCGGCGGCTTGCCGATTTCTGTCTCTCCCTTGATCTGGAAGTTGATGACATCCTCAATCAGGGGAGCGAGCCTCCCTCGTGCGTCCTCAATGAGCTTTCGTTGCAGGGCGATACTTCGGCCGCACGTCCTCGCTCGGACCCCCAGCCAAATCGCGTAATTCTGCGCAGCCGATCGCTTTGATTCCGTGGATCCAATCAACCGTTGCTTCTCCTGTTTCACCACATCACCTTTCAAAACAGAAGCCAACATGGAATGCCACTCGAGCCGCTCCTGGTTCTTGGGGTTCTTCAGCTCTTCCACAGTCGGCTGGTTATCTTCCGGAAGAAAGAGTTGGATATCAGGATCGTAGGTGTCATCATCAAAGGGTGCTTCTGACGAAGGCGAGGGGTCCTCCAAGTCTGCATCAGCTACCGTCAGGTTTGTAGCCTGCGCGTCGTTGAAGTGGTGGTACCACGCCTGGGGGTTGGCACGAATGCGTTGGACGTAGGCTTTTTCTTGGGCTCGATACTGGGCGTTCGGATCGCGTCGAGTACCTCGTTTCGACGAAGATGATCGCTGTCGGTCGCTCTGGAGGCTGATATATTGCGGAGGCCGCCGCTGAGGGGCATAGGTATTGGAGGGGGTTCTGACGGGCGCAGACGGACGCTGCGGTCTCAGATCGCCCATCGCATAGGCATCTGATTTCTCAAGAGCGGCCGCAGCGCCCACACTAGATCCACGTGGCCGGGTTCCCGGGGTGCCGGACCATGAAGACATGCTAGAGGAATGGGATGGCGGGGACGACGTGATGGTGGTGGCCGGTGTTTGGACCTGACCGTCGAAGGTCTCGCCGTAGGAGTTGGTCCGCAGAGGATACTGGGGAGGGTACTCGTCCGACGAGCCCGAGCCATCTGAATCATGGCTGGTGATGTCGGGGTGCTCCATGATGGGTGTGGTGGCTCCAAAGTGACGAAAGCTCTGGGGTCAGAAGAACGATAGGGGCGTGTGGCGGTGCGTGGCGGAGACCAACGGGCTTGCCGGAGATCACCCGCATGTCTTGCCCGATTGAGAAGACGCCTAACAAAGTATGTGGATGGCCTTGGTTGGTATTTATTTCTTGTCGAGGAGTACAGCAGGGCTGATGGAGTTCAGTATTTACAAGGGATTCATGAGGAATAAAATGCTATCTGGTAGTAGGATGTACACCACACTATCCATCTCCACAAGTGTGTTCCCGGTTTTTATATTTCGACCGAAGAGCATGGTGGTGCAAATGAATCAAGTACACAGCACATTTTACAAACCATTGTAGACCACCGAAGCCCTATCACCTAGTCATAATAAAATTAACTTAAAAAAAAACAACTCATTGTCGGTGGCAAGTTCACACTGGCCAATCTCAAAACCAAGCCCGAGATATCGTCTATCACTGAGATACTTGGTATGGTTTGAGGGCTATTTGTGCCAAGGCTCTTAATATACTCGATTCTTAATGATGAGAATTGTTCTTCATCAAATAGAAACACAAATGCACTGAGTGTCATGATTATCGCCAGCCTGCAAGCCCTCCACAGTTACCCAGCAATGACGATAGATAAGTGGGTACAAGCCATGGATACAATCCCTGCATCTCAAAATCTGCTAGCCTGGAATTTGGCACAGGAAGGACACTTCCGGATCACCTCAACCGGGGGCACGTCGATCAGTGGATCTGATGTGAAATACTGTAGATGCTGACTGCGTCCATGCGTAGTGGAGTTCTGGGGAAGATCTACCAGGGCCCAAAAATTGAGGAGCAAAAGGATTTTATAGATCACTGAATACATCATTCCTCAATAAATTGAAAGCTGGATCGGGCTTTTCATGGGGTATATGGGGCCAGGTCTGGTGTTGAACTATAGACCTGTTCTGCTCGACGATCAGGGTATTTGTATGTATAGCAACATGGGTAAGATGCCATGCCAGGAGATTCAATAGTAGCATCCAAGTTGCGTATATGCACAATTTCGAAGTTGACGTTGGTATATAGAGGAAGAGAGAGAGAGAGAGAGAGAGAGAGAGAGAGAGAGAGAGAGAGAGAGAGAGAGGAGTGATCTCCAAAGCATGCCAAGACTCGGGATGTCGAGTCACTCCTCCAGAGACTCCGGCCAATGGAAGCCCAACTGCTTATCTCGACTTGGCACTTCCAATACCGCGTGGCAATGAGCTGTGTAGTTTCATCCCATGCGTTCTTCTTGGGTCCATTGATGCAGTGTGCTGTGGCATCCAGGGACTTACTGGGAGAGTGGCATTGGCAGACAATCCTATACTTACCAAAGACCTGCTAAGGGTCTACAAAAGCAATAATATCTTCCAGCTGGTCTTCAGGGCCCCAGAGATGTAGAAAGCACCATGTATAGGTCAACCTAAGTCCCTATGATTTGCGGGACTATGTAAATCATCATTCAACGAGTCCAGCATGTCGTCAGAGACCATTCACCGGCCAAGCGTTAAAAAAGAATAAAAGAAATGACCCCTGGCATGCCCTGGGCTCTCCAGAAGTACGCAGGCACCGAGTGATAAGAGCATTTAACCTTCTGCAGCTGTGATTGGCCGAGATATACCTGGATGATAAGGCCAACGTCCTGTCATGGGCGCCACATACACTAAGAGCCTCTCCGGTGAGCAAACCATTGGTTTTTTTTGGTTTTGTTTTTAAAAGCAAAAGAACATGAAACATTTCAAGGTTTCATGGCTTCGCAGCATTAAATTTAGCGGAACAAAAAGGTGACGGGGAAACCAGGAATCTCCAAAAAGACCCGATGATAAGGGATTGGCTGTGATTGGTCCTTTGGCAGACCATATCTACAGCCAGTCAATGAAACGATGAATTCGCATTATTCGTCTCCATCGCTAAATTGCTATAATGAGTCTATCAATCAGATCCCCTGCTTATCGTTCACTAGCCAATGCACATCTTCCAGCTTCCAGCTTCCAGATGCATGGATACAGACCTAACCTTGGAAGTAGGTGCATGGGTGTAAGCAAGTTCCCAGTAGGGCATTTGGTTCCTGACTATGTAAATATGGAAATCTCCGAAACAGCTGAAAGTATTACCAGCTTCTTTGAAATAAGAGCTTTGTATGAGCGAGCTGATTGTCGAGCTTGACCTGGGGCCCGTAATCCCCCGGGTATCCGGGTCGGTGGAGTATAATCCCCATGCGTCCTCATCCCGGGACAAGTTGGGTTGGGCTGACTTGGCTTGCTGATATCAGTCCGATCAGATTAATCATATTAAAATCGTAATGACCATCTCCACTATCACTAGGATCGATAGCCTTGTCTTCTAGCGTTAGTGGAGCACGGCTTTGAATATCTAGTCACGCTTTCTGAGTATTTATTAGTTCGGTTGATTCCCCCCCCCCCCCTGCACGGTTGATAGATCGCTTTTCTTTTCACTTACTTTCTTTCACTCTCCAGGTTGAAGAGTCAAACGTTTGAACTTAAACCTCCTTTTTCTTTCCTTACAGGGGAACCACTGAGATTCAATCCTGAACTGATAAGCCGGACACCCTATCCCATTCCTATATCGCTGTTGTATCTTCCCGTCACGTTACTTGTTGAAGCCCTCGATTCATCTGGGTTGCACCATGTCGGCATACCCGGTTACCTTCAACGGCACCGGCGGCACCGGAGGTGACTCGCTCCATGATGACCTCAACATTTACTACAATGTATGCTACTCCAGCCCACATTGACAATAATCCTTAAAGATAATGTTGCTAACTAACTTTAGGCTGGTGACATTGCGTGGGTGGTCACCTCGTCGGCCCTTGTCTTGCTGATGATTCCCGGTGTTGGGTATGCATTCACACTTCAGCACACTTTATGTCAGGTCATCAGCTAACCTGAACTCCTAGTTTCTTCTACTCGGGTCTGGCACGCCGAAAGTCGGCACTCTCCCTGATCTGGCTGTCGATCATGTCGGTCGGTGTGGTCTCGTTCCAGTGGTTCTTCTGGGGCTACTCACTGGCCTTCTCCCACTCGGCTGGGAAATATATTGGTGATCTGGAGAACTTTGGTATGAAGGGTGTTCTGGCTGCCCCATCGGTGGGAAGCGACAAGGTCCCCGATATCCTGTTCGCGGTCTTCCAGGGCATGTTCGCATGCATTACGTGTGTACTTCCCACAATAGTCGGGACATCCACTGGCGAAAGGAAACTGACATTGGTCTCTCTAGTGTTGCTCTCGCTGTTGGTGCTATTGCTGAGCGTGGCCGCATGCTCCCCTGCATTGTCTTCATGTTCATCTGGACGACTATCATCTACGATCCCCTTGCCTGTTGGACGTGGAATGCCTCGGGCTGGGTCTTCAACATGGGAGGTCTTGACTTTGCGGGCGGTACTCCTGTCCACATTGCTTCTGGCTCGGCTGCTCTGGCCTATTCACTGATGTTGGGCAAGCGTCGTGGCCACGGCACCCACGAGTTGAACTACCGCCCTCACAACGTCACCCACGTGGTGATTGGTACTGTCTTCCTCTGGGTGGGATGGTTTGGATTCAACGCCGGCTCTGCTCTGTCTGCCAACCTGCGCGCGGTCATGGCCGCCGTCGTGACCAACCTGGCTGCGTCCGTGGGTGGTGTGACCTGGTGTCTGCTTGACTACCGTTTGGAGCGCAAGTGGTCGACGGTCGGATTCTGCTCGGGCGTTATCGCCGGCCTGGTTGCCATCACCCCGGGATCGGGCTTTGTGACGCCGTGGGCAGCCTTTATCTTTGGTGTGGTCGGTGCCATTTCGTGCAACTATGCCACCAAGCTCAAGTTCCTCCTGCGGGTGGATGACGCCTTGGATATCTTTGCCGTCCACGGGATTGGTGGATTGGTTGGCAACCTGTTGACTGGTCTTTTCGCTGCGTGAGTGTTTCTGGTTTCCTCATTTTTGATCTGAACGTTCGCTGACCACTCACAGGAACTATATCGCGCACCTGGATGGATCCACCGAGATCGATGGCGGCTGGATCAACCACAATTACATCCAGCTGGGCTACCAGCTGGCTGACTCGGTTTCTGGATTTGCCTACTCGTTCTTTGGCACGTGTATCATCCTGTTTATCCTCAACCTCATCCCGGGCCTAAGCCTGCGTGCTCCCGAGGAGGACGAGGTGATGGGTATCGATGACGCCGAGATTGGCGAGTTCGCCGTAAGTTGTTTCTTATTCTTAACCATGGAAGTCCTTGATCTAATATCATCCCCAGTATGATTATGTCGAAGTTCGACGCGACATTGTCAACGGCATCGAGTCCAGTGAGACGACCTCCAAGCGCACGATCACCCCGACCGGCGAGACCCCCGAGGAGATCAACACGAAGGTCTGATGTCTCTCAGAATTTGCATCATAGACGGAGGATTTTAATACTTAATTGCAACTGGCGAATGGTTTCCCTCATGGGTGTTGGCCCGGACGATTTCTTTGGCTCTTAAACTGAGAGCCTGTCTTTCTTTCTCCATTTCTTGCTTTTTTTCTTTTCCTTTCATGTCCATAGTTCGATACCCTACCTTTCTCAATGTGAATGCCAATCATATCAAATCTCTGTGAAGATGTAGAGTCAACGGTCAAGTAAAGAAGTAGACGTGCTGGTGGAGTGTCCATGTGACGGATGTCGCAGCCGCAGGAGCTCCGAAGCTCCCCAACTCCAAAAGCTTCCCATCCAACCCCGCGAGACTCCAACATCCTCTCTAATCCTCCCTCTCCATTGGCTATTTATCTAATTCTGTCTACTTGTATCCTCCAATCTACACCGAGACATCATCGCAAGCCTAAATGGCCTCGCCGAGCCCAGAGAACGGCGCTGGCCCGTCGCGCAACTTCCCGCTGGACCCTACCGAGTTTGACAGCGACCCGCGCATCTCGTTCTCGAAACTAGACGAGAAATACATTCTGGAGACAGAAGATGGCCAGGAATTTGTGTTTGACTCGGTGATCAAGCGATGGGTCCAAACGGTATGAGCTTCATGCGCCTCGTTCTACACCTCGTTCCTTGTGCGATCGCAGCCCACGAAAGGGCAAGCCTTCTTGTATATGGCTTCAAATTCTTATCAGGACTTAATCGCAGGTCGACGAGGATCTACTTCGGCAGCAGCAAGAAGCCTACAAGGTGGCAGGAGTGGATGAAACCGAAGTCACAGATCCCCGGGAAAGGAAGAAGCGGAAACAGCAAGCGAGCAGCGAGGATGTACGTGGTGCAATCTTCAAGATACAGCCCCTTCCCGGCAAAATTCTACAGTGCTGATTCCGAATTTCGTCCTCTCCAGACCAATGCGCAAAAACCAAAGAAGCAACGCGTCAACACCGCCGTCTTTGTCACGTCGATTCCCCTGGATGTCGAGTTCGATGAGATCCGGGACGTCTTCTCGAAATGTGGCGTGATCGCCGAAGAAATCGACAGTGGCCGCCCCCGCATCAAGATGTATACCGATGACGATGGCAAATTCAAGGGCGAACTGCTGGTGGTCTACTTCCGGCCTGAGTCGGTCAATCTGGCTATCCAGATGCTTGACGAGACGGATTTCCGACTAGGGGTCCCCGGGCCCCTTGGGCCGATGCGCGTGCAGCCGGCCGATTTCTCATTCAAGAGTCAACAGGATGCCCCGGTCAAGACCAACCTCCGGGATAAAAAGAAGATTATTCAGCGGACGCAGAGATTGAACAGGTATGCTCTGCCGGTGTCTGGTGGCATAGTTGATGGTATTCATACTAATCACAATGATCCAGCAAATTGGCTGACTGGGATGATGATGACCCGTCGATACTCCCGGATACGAGGTTGCGACAAGAGAAAACTGTGATATTGAAGCACATGTTTACTCTGAAAGAATTGGAGGTATGGCCCAGAGATGGCATTCGATTTTCCTATGGGGTACAGACTGATCTGGTTGTACAGGAGGACGCAGCAGCTATTCTCGACATCAAGGAAGACATCCGAGACGAGTGTTCCAAGATTGGCGAAGTGACCAATGTAGTACTCTACGACAAGGAGCCAGAGGGTGTGGTGAGCGTCCGGTTTCTTGAGCCAGAGGCTGCCAAGCAATGTGTTCAGGTATGTCTCTTTTCCTTTTCCTTTCCTTTCCTTTTTCTTGTTTTGTATCACGTAAACAAAACAAAACAAAACAAAAAAATAAAAATTGGAAGACTAACTATCTTAGGCTATGGACGGCCGTTTCTTTGGCGGGACCCGGGTTGAGGCATACATATCTGAAGGCCGTGAGAAGTTCAAAAAGACTAATGAACGGCGGGCAGCCCTTGAGGATATGGCTGAACGTGGTATTGATGCCGAGGATGAGGAGGAGAACCAGCGCCTAGACGAGTTTGGGACATGGCTGGAGAGTTCACATGTGGTGGAGAATTCCGCCAAATGATGCCCTCTACTGGGGCAATTTGTAGACGTGTATCATAGTTGTTTGTGTTCCAGGACTACAGTGTATAAGTGTATACAAGTGTATGACTGTTGGGCCGCCTCTCGACCCAAAAGAGTGCAAATGTGGTTCGCTCCTGCCGGCGCGGCCGCTGAGTGGTCCCGTGATGGCGCTATTCTCCTTCAGGCCATCTCCCCCCTGAACCCAACGCAGCGTTGTTGATCCCCACGCACACACACCGCTCACCTTCTCTCTTTCCCATCTCCCTGACTCTCTGCAGTCTGTCTCTTTCTCAACCTCATCTACCCTCAATACTACAACTACTCCATCCACAATGCGTGAGATTGTAAGTCTCTCTCCCCTACCAGACGCGTCCCTCTGGTTTCCTGCCCCTGAACCAAGACCCCACCAGTTCAAATAACAAACCAGCTTGCTAACCCTGCTCTGTCCAGGTTCACCTCCAAACCGGCCAGTGTGTAAGTTCAAATCACCAGACGAGGAGCAATGATGTCGAGGGAGTGATTTGTGTTCTGGGAAACTAAATTGAACTTGGGCAGGGTAACCAAATTGGTGCCGCTTTCTGGTATGTGCCATTGATATCCAACACACGGGAGAAACCCGTGTTTTCCACCAATTGACAACTTACTGACTGCAATATAGGCAGCAAATCTCTGGTGAGCACGGTCTCGACGGCGATGGCCAGTAAGTGTAACGCGTGGAAATTTTGAGAGAGGTGGAACAGGCCTCTGATTTTTTTTTTTCCAACTAGCTACAATGGCACCTCCGACCTCCAGCTGGAGCGTATGAACGTCTACTTCAACCACGTGAGTACATTGAATTCGAGTTGGCAAATGAATGGACCCGATCTAATCTTCCATGGTTTAGGCTTCCGGTGACCGCTATGTTCCCCGTGCCGTTCTGGTTGACCTGGAGCCCGGTACCATGGACGCTGTCCGTGCCGGTCCCTTCGGCAAGCTCTTCCGCCCCGACAACTTCGTCTTCGGCCAGTCCGGTGCTGGTAACAACTGGGCCAAGGGTCACTACACTGAGGGTGCCGAGCTAGTGGACCAGGTTGTCGATGTCGTCCGCCGTGAGGCTGAGGCTTGCGACTGCCTCCAGGGTTTCCAGATCACCCACTCCCTGGGTGGTGGTACCGGTGCCGGTATGGGTACCCTCCTGATCTCCAAGATCCGTGAGGAGTTCCCCGACCGTATGATGGCCACCTTCTCGGTTGTTCCCTCCCCCAAGGTCTCCGACACCGTTGTTGAGCCTTACAACGCCACCCTGTCCGTCCACCAGCTGGTTGAGCACTCCGACGAGACCTTCTGTATTGACAACGAGGTACGGCCCCAATTTTTATTCTCATGAACCCCAGAAACTGACCCGTTTAATTTCTAGGCTCTGTACGACATCTGCATGCGTACTCTGAAGCTCTCCCAGCCCTCGTACGGTGATCTGAACCACCTGGTCTCGGCTGTTATGTCGGGTGTGACCACCTCGCTGCGTTTCCCTGGCCAGCTCAACTCTGACCTGCGCAAGCTGGCTGTTAACATGGTTCCCTTCCCACGTCTGCACTTCTTCATGGTCGGCTTCGCGCCCCTGACCAGCCGTGGCGGCTCTCAGTACCGCCAGGTCAGCGTGCCCGAGCTGACCCAGCAGATGTTCGACCCCAAGAACATGATGGCTGCCTCTGACTTCCGCAACGGCCGCTACCTGACTTGCTCTGCCCTCTTGTACGTTGATTTATCTTTTCTCTGCTGTTTTACGCCATGCTGATTCTTCTGCAGCCGCGGTAAGGTCTCCATGAAGGAGGTTGAGGACCAGATGCGCAACATCCAGAACAAGAACCAGAGCTACTTCGTTGAGTGGATCCCCAACAACGTTCAGACCGCTCTTTGCTCTGTCCCGCCCCGTGGTCTCCGCATGTCGTCGACCTTTGTCGGCAACTCGACCTCGATCCAGGAGCTGTTCAAGCGTGTCGGTGACCAGTTCACTGCCATGTTCCGTCGCAAGGCTTTCTTGCACTGGTACACTGGTGAGGGTATGGACGAGATGGAGTTCACTGAGGCTGAGAGCAACATGAACGACCTGGTCTCTGAGTACCAGCAGTACCAGGATGCCTCCATCTCCGAGGGCGAAGATGACTAGTAAGATTCTTGTACCACTGGAATATTTTGATTGCAAGCTAACGATTTTGTGCAGCCTTGCTGAGGAGGGTGGCCTCGAGGAGGAGGTCTAAATGGGCCAATCTCCAGGCAATGAGATTTGCTCTCCGTAATACCCCGAAACAGTCTACATTCTCTACCCTTCGGGCCTGTGCTCCGCGCCCAGGTATCTTCTTTGAGCGCTCTTAATTTACCTTTTTTCTGTCTCTATTTTCCTGTCTGTTGGCTGGGCTGTGATCGCCAAGTCAGAATAGCACATAGTGGAAAAGCAATTGACGAAATGACTTATCGTCTGTCTACACTTCATATTTACACTTGATAATAATTTTCTTAGCATACTCCAAGGATACCTCAGTTAAGAGGCCTCCATGAAATTTCATTGCTAGAGTGATTCGTTGAGCTGATCTGGATGACTGGCGCTATTCGGCTTTTGAGATGTTACCGTTGTTCTCCCTCTCTCTCCCCCCTTCCCATTTTTTATCCTTTTTCCCTTTTTGTGGTGGCATACTGATCCCCCAGTGTCATTCCATTAATTCGGTGCGTCGTCAGGCACCAAGGGACCAATTTCCCCGTTGTCCCCTATGACCCGCTTCCAGCCGGGCGGAGTCCATTCATGCAGCGGCGCAACATCCACCAGCTGGTCCCGCTCAACAGCCCAGATCAGTCGGTGGCCCGTCATCCTCTCAAGATCCCAGAGAGCACAGCTTCCGTGAGGGTGGGCCTTGTAGCCCCCGTCAAAACTGGCGATCTCATCCTCAATGATGGCGTGTCTCTGATCCGCGGCCGAGCCAGGCGCCAACACAGCGGAGGGGAGTCGGGTACCAGAAAGAGTTTCCTGCCAGGCGTAGCCCTCGGTGAACTTGACGAGAGCGTCGAATACATTTGAGATCAGCTGGCGTCCATCCAGGGTCCGCATCATGTAGCAGTGCTCGTCGAGATTGGCGCCGGGCAGGTCCACATGGGGCATGAGCAAAGTCTTGCCCGTCACGATGTTGCGCCGCATCAGGGAGTCGTACAGGGAAAGGTCGTCGGAACGGGGGCACTGGTCATGGTTGGTTTGGACGAGCCACAGATGCCGGATAACGGGGAAGCTGCCGAGAAGGCAGAGCTGGCGAAGGGCAATCGGCAGAGCCATTGAGACGCAAGTGCCCTCGGAATCGTTGGGCGGCTCGAGGCGGTCCTCGGTGCAGGGGCTCGTGTTGCCGAAATCACTCAAGTTGATGACCAGCGAGCGGAGGTGCGGAAACACCGGAGGCACAAAGGGCTTTCCTCCGCCAGGGATGCCACCCTCGCGATCGAACTTCGGGCAGAGCAGCGCCGGGCAGATCGGGCCCATGCTCAGGCGGAGGTCGTGGAGGCGCGGGAGGATCTTGGCGAGCACCTCGCAGACGTGAGCGAGCCCGGTGCCTGCTGCATTGAACCCGACGTGGTCGATGTCGAGTTCCAGGTTGACGCAGGAGGACGGCAGGGCACTCAAGATCCGGCCAATGAGTTCCGCGGGGGCATCATAGTCGCAGCAGCCAAGCATCACAATCATCGAGAAGGTGGTGAGATTTGGCATCTGGAGCAGGATCGGCGGCACAATGTGGAGCGGAAGAACCGTCTGGTTGGTGTAGGCAATGACCTCTTCTGGCGAGGGGTGCAGCCGCTCTCCTTCCGGAGTGATTGAGCAACCAAGTGCATCAACGTAGATTGTCAGAGACTTGGTCCACTCCAAAGGCCGATTGGGGCTCAGGATGAACGGCGGCGAGAAGGTTTGAATGAAGGGCTTGAACGTTTTGTCATAGAGCACGACTTCGTGGTACAGCACTTGCTGGGCCACATCATGCCACCGTCTGCAGCACAGCAGGCAGGACAAAATCGCATTGTGGCTGTTGGAACCATCGGGAAGGGGCTTGCTGACCTCCTCAAAGATTTGGATCAGCAGCTCCCGAGGAAGCTTGTCGATGATGGGACCAGAAGCCATTTCCGGGGTGACGTAAGGAAGTGGAGAAATGGTCGGCTCGGAGGAACCTTTACCCGATCCAAATTCGGTGCGCCGTTGTGGGCACTAGTCTGCCCCACCTTTTAGGCAACCAATTACAGGGCCGAGCCCCTTCCCCCATATTCATGAGGTAGACTTAGCGTTGTCGCTCATTCTCATGGTGCTGCCTATTTTCTGAAATCTTGCTCGATTTCTCCCATTTTGTTACCTGAGGCTCTTGAATGCTACCTTCTATATCAATTCTTCTGCTTTTCCAGACTGCTTAGACAAGTCAAGAAGATATGAGTCTCAAAACGACTCGCAAACCACGAGACCCAATGTTCTCTACAGTTCACTTTCTCAGTATGCTGATCTCTTGACATTCTATCTACCTGATCTCAAGCCATTTTGCTTTATTTGTGTGGATTTCTAGCTGCTGCGTTGTTATATTAATGTCTGGTCTTGGGCAGTTTCTCCATATCTCCATATACACCCTCTCATCCCAAACTGTTTTCCCGGCATCGACCACAGAAATCGTCAGAACCATCGAGGTCGCTGTACAAAACACCCAGTCCTCAATATGTGCTATGTACTCTGGTCTATCATCCCCGGACTGGGAGAGGAATCCTCGATCAGGTTGTGGTCTGAGTCCTGAGGTTCGATGCCACAGCTTCCGACGTCGAATGGCCTCCCCTGACCCGCAAATAACCAAGGCATCACGTTAACGACCAATGAGCCACAGCTCCAAAGCTCTCAATGGTGGAAACGCCACGGTCGTGAACCCGGCAGCCAGCCAGAGACCCAGGTCTGACCCACCGGTGAACACCGCAATAGGGCCAGCGTAATAAGCTTGGTCCTGTTGAACAAAGGAAATCAGATTGTGGCATTATCACACAAAGAACATGGTTACAACTCACCATCCCGACGATCGCACCAGCCCATCCAACCAGAAAAGCAACGCTCGCGGCAATCCCCATGGGCAGACTCGAACGGTCGTCCCACGCGGACCAGTCATACCCCTTGCGCCGGCGGAACAGCAGGTCTTCTTCCACAACGATCACGAACCAAATGATGACCCAGTATCCGATCAGCGGCAGGAATCCTTTGAAGATCTCGTACAGCGAGTTCCGCCCGCCCATGGCGCAGGCGGTATAAATGGCCGTGGTGAGGGTCGTGAAGAAGGGCCGAGGTACCTTCTGGAACCACGTCCCGAGCATCTGGAAGTTCATGCCCATCGAGTAAGCGCCGGGCGTGTTGTTGGCCACCAGCGCGAGCACGTTGATCACCGCACAGAACTTGCCGAACGTGCCCAGCGAGTCGTACGCCGTCATCAGCAAATCGCCTGGCGTGTTGCCATACCGCGCTGCATACTGCGGCGAGCTGGCTACCACCGTACCCAGTCCGATCCCAATCAGCAGGGTGATTACCATGGCCTGGCCGGCGCCCAGCACCGTCACGAGGAATGTCCGCCAGCGCTTGACGTGCGGCGGGTAATAGACGTAGTAGTCGGCGGCGAGCGGGGCCCAGGCCAGCGCGATGGACAGGCACAGGGAGAAGAAGGTTATGCGCTTGGCGTTGAGCCGTTCCGGTGAGGCGGGCGACTGGATGTTGAGGTCAAAGCGAGAGGCTGCGGAGCCTACCATGATGCAGAGCACCATCAATTGCGGCAGCCAGGCGAATCTGAGAGCATGTTAGTTTCACAATTCGTCTTGGCCCTACTTCAAGGCTTCTTCTCACCTTTCATAAACTTGGAAGATCTTCATGCCGAACATGGCCATGACCCAACTCGAGACCGCTACAATCACAATGCCCACCAGCACGGAGAGATGTCCCCCAGACACCTTGGAGAGGATCTGGCCCCCAACAACGCTATTGACCATACTGTATCCCAAATTGGTGAAGACGTTGAGCGCGCAGCAGACCCGGCTGGGGTAATACCCCATGAAATAGCGGGCCACGATCTAAGAGCATCCATCAGCGCATTGTTTCTCTCTTCAGAGAAAAGATACCAACTTACCAGCGTGCGATTCCCGCTCCGAGGCCCCCAGGTACTCATATAGCCCACCGCTAACGCACCCAACAGATTCCCAAAGATGGCACAGATAACCGCGTCCTTGAAACGCAGACCCAAAACAAGGGTCCCCATCGACCCAACAATGATATTGTTCGTCGCCAGCGTCATGCTAAACCACATGAGCAGCATATGTAGCGATGTCGACGGGGTAACGGCCTGTCGCTCTTCCACTGGCACAGGCTCAATGCCGCGGGTTTCCATGCCTTTCATGGTCGCCGCCCATCGCTGATACCGACTTTGGGGCTCGGATGCGGGTGCGGGCTTGGGTTCGGGCTCTGACTCGCTGGTGGCGTGTGAGGAGCTGTTATCCAGCTCGAATTGGCTCACGCTCTTCCAGGACGGCGAGTCGTGGCCCTTTTCGACATCGTCGGTTCTCATGCTGTGTCTGCGTCGGTGTCGGTGAATTCCAGGGTTGCGGTGTTGTTTCTGCTAACGAGACAGAGAATTGGTCCGAATATTATTTCGCACAAATCGTCGATGCTGACTGAATATAGGTGTATATCACAGAAAAAATCCTGGTTATAGAGGAAAGTCCTTCGGTCAAAGCGTCCGTGGTCACGTCACAAGCAGCTCAAAAAGCCGACAATTAAAAAAAAAATGACAAAAACAAAGGGATCATCTGCTCGAGATGAGGGGCAGGGATGAGAGAGAGAGCTTCTGGAATGATAGATATAGGTGAAATTCCCGTCCACAGGGCTTCCCAGGGCTCAGTTTCCTGCTCCTCCTCCCCGTGACGCCCGTGGAACTGAGCCTGACATCACCCTGCCTTGCGCCAGTTCCCTGGTGTAACACCTGCACTACTTGATACAGGGCATTCCTCAGCAATCAAGGACATGAGGGACAAGCCAATGATGAGGACGGCGAAACACAACTCCCAGGCCCCGGGAGAGAGCTCTCTCCTTTGGTCAAGCTTTCTAAGTATCGTGGATAAGAAAATAAACATGCATGGTTCAGTCGGCTCTTACTCTTTTGTCTCTATTTCTTCCCATGATGCCATACTCTCGGGGATCAGGACGGCCACATTGTCAGACTGGCAAGACTTCAGGATAAACACGACACAAATACCCTCAGCGAGAGAAGGAAAGAGAAAGCTAGGGTGATCACCGCTCGCCTTCCATCTGGGGAAAAGCCACACATACTTCCAAAGCTCCGAAAATGCATGCTCCGGAATGTGGCCCACGCAAGGAGAGTCGATCTTTACAGAATTTTATGAGAAAAAAAAAGGACCGAGGTGGATGGCGGACCTCCCTTCCCCTGTCGAGGATCTCTTGAGAAATGTATTGGTCATTTGCTACCATTCTGACATTTTCTACTTCCCAAGATCCTGTATTGCTCACGCCATTGCAGTGCACAATGAGACAAGAAGGGTTATTACAAAAAGGTCATTCAGGTCATTCCCTTGTTGCTCAGACCGCGGTCCATAATTTGGCTTGGGCGTTGATTCGGTGGGTAACTGGAGAGATGTGATATCGAGGATTGGTGAATGCTATGCCCTGTTGTTAGTTTAGGATATAGTGGAGAACATGCAACTGGGAGAAATCCCGAATTATGTCGACTTACGTACCTCCCCGAAAGAACTCCAAAGCTGCAGGCCAAGCTTTTTTTTTTTTTTTTTTTTTTTTTTTTTTTTTCTCCTGGGGAGCAAGTCCAAGACCCACAAGCCGAAGTGAAGAAAACATCCGGCGTGCACATCGACCAGGTATCAGCCGGATATCACATTGAAGGAGTTTGGAAATGCCTCACAATGGAACTCATTCTCTAAATATTCTATTCAATCTTATGGTTACCCAGGTCTGTCGCAATTGCTGACTTTATCCCACTCAAAGCCACGTCATATCTTCTTCCTATTTATCCTTTAGTTGAGGTTTACATTGAGAGTAGACTATGTTAAGTTTTTTTAAGCTTTCTACTTTTAGACTATTTAACTTAGAGCTAGGCGAATAGATAGTCCACGCCTGCAACTCTCTCTCTCTCTCTCTCTTGTAACTATTGTAGCCTCCATCCATCTCAGTGATATTGGCCCGTCTTGAAGATGTCCAGAACAAGACCATTTAACGAAATCTATGCTCATCACATTGGTTTTATAGCGGAAGGAAAGATAGTAACGCTTAAATAGAGCCACGCATTGTTAAATGAGAGAAATCACTATAGCAGAGTCCGATTTATGCGGGTATGAAAGAAACTTGTTAAATAGACTTGGTGGGCAACCTGAATGAAAGCATGGTACGTAACCAGTCGGATCATAATGCATGAAAGGAAGACAATTGTAGTCGAAGTCCAGGTGGCGTGCTAGTTTAGTTATTTTCTTGCCATCTAGAAATAGAGGGTCAGAAGATGGCACCTTTTGAAAGGTGGGTTGTGGCATGAATAGGTACCTGTTGCCGCACTGCATACAGCAGTAAAAAATGGTGCTTCCTTCATCGGCACTTCGAAGCTGTGCCTCAGACCAAGTTGCTTTGTTATTCGAGCATTTGGGGCACTCCACTTCGGTAACAGGGCCATCACCGAGGTCTTTTTGGGAGACGGTTTGGATTTGAGATCGAAGTTTGTTTCGAAGTCTTGATGGGAAGTTGGTCGAGGAAGACACGTGTACTTGGTCAAGCATGGCGTCTAGTATTACATAAGTCAGCCTGGGACAAACAGAGAAAAAAAAAACAATAGAAGCACTTGAGAGAGCTATTGCAAGATATACTTTTGGCGATTTTCCCACACGATTCACAGGGGATATTTTCTGTGGACAATAATGGAAGAATGGAACCACAGTCCTCACAGAATTGGGCCACCATTCTGAAAGTGTAGGGATACTTGAAAGTGGTTTGCTTAAACGACGAAGTATGTAGAAAGCAAGAGGTTGTCAAGATTAAGAAGAGAAAATGTCAGCTTGTGAGGTAGCATACTTTTTTTTGAAGCACAAAGTCACATGATCTTGTGGTTTAGTCATTTACTTCGGAGCCCCGAACCTTCGAACATCAAAAGGATGTCTTCAGCCCTCTCCCCCCCCCCAACTGCCTGCTTATATGATTGATGGCCTTAGAAAAATTCTGTGCTCTTATTTGCATAGTTTAGTTTATTTCTCAACGATCTTAAATCTCAGGGTATAACCTCAGGGGTCACCAAGGCTCATCCCATCACTAGTGATTTAACCTCGATAGGTTATGTACCTTAAAAGGTTCTCTCTACCTAGGCTACCTATGTTATATTATCTTGTCATGCTCTATCTAGTACTCCCTTATCAAAAATCAATAGTGCTAATTCATTAGCTGAGGTATATATTATGAACATAGTTATAATTTATTACCATGGCTGTTTCCTCTACAAGCTCAAGACAAGCATCGACTAGGCATAGGGTGTAGGGAATATAATATTCAAGCCAAAAAAAGAGGGACTTAGATCAATTCTGACCTAGAAAAATATCTGACAGTCTGGTTCAATAGCAAATAGAATCCCGGGATTGACAATAAACGAATGAATAGCTAGATCACAAGGATCTAAGCAACTGGCTCAGAAGGAGGGAGAACATGATAATCCCAATAGTCATGACTGTTTCTAATTACTTTTTCCGTCCATGTTCACAATCAGGGCATTGCTTCCCGCAATAACGGTCCACATCTCCTTGAGTATGATTCTTCGTGGTTCCGTAAGCACCACAAAGCACCATTTCCGTAGTCCGTTGGTTGTGACCACAACCAAAAGTGAGGATGACGACGCCGCACATGTTGTCTAAGAATGTTAGCCGAGATTCGAGGGCAAGAAAAATGGATAGCGTACAGAGGGAGCTCGAAGTTCCTGTGCGCAAGGGGAAATTAGTATCCTTTCATTATTATCAATGATCACTTCTTAACTCACTTCAAGGGCTTCAAGGAGGAGCAATTGTCTTTGAGTAGTGAGTCTCTGCTTCAAGATTGCTGAGATGTTGCAAGGGAATTCAGGCCATCTTTATAGATATCCTAAGGGGCTCAAGCGCCCTCAAGCCCTCATTCTCCAAATCCTATGACCATCATCGACGAGTGAACTGCCCCACGGTATTTGAATTAGCAGGCTGTTGCCTATACTCTGATAAGCCTCTGATCCAATAGCGACGTACTTGGGAGAACATACGTGAGGTATGATGCTTTCGTAGCGCTTGCGCTCTAGTCTAAGCCGGCGGTTAATGTTGGGCTAGATGCCTAGAACATGGTTTACTGTTTACTCGCCAATAACAATGAGTAGTATCTGCATTGAGCCCGTTCTAGTAACTACATCCTTGCAAGTATATTATCCGTGCATACGTGCACGGTCTTACAAGGATAATTGATAGGCCCATAGAGCACCACGCGCATAGATAGTCCACAAGAATCATGGGGACAGATAACTAGTCTTGCGGCTCTGCGCGCTATTTAGTCTCCCTGACGTGGCCTGCAGCCCGTAGCTTTTTATGCGCGTCTAGATGTAACATCTGCCTAGTTAGGTCATTCTGCCATAATAGAGTTGTTAGAGCCGCATGATCAAAGAAGTGTGAAGTTCGCTGGAGTATTAGAAATAAAGGTAGGAGAGCAGCCAGTTGCTATCACCACCAATCTTAGTAGAATTAGAGCGAGAGAGGGAAAAGAAAAGGATGGAAATATGTTTAATAGGGTGTATCATTTTGGCTCCCCTCCCCTCCCCATTAGGTGGGGTAAAGTGAGGCTGAACGAAGACCTCCGTGGGGCCTGCGGCGGCTATAGATCGGGGCTATGGGCACTAACTGTGATGCTAAGGACCTGTGCCAGTTGAGAGAGACACTGAAAACGATTCCCAAAGTATCCGGGGCTTCAACCTTCACGTCATCAATAGCTGGTAAATAATCCTGGTATTCTTTTCTACACTCAGAGATTATAGGTTTTCAATTCTACATGTAATTGCCAGCTAGCTAGGGCAAGGAAAATACCACCCGACAGGAAATCCAATTCTCTAGACATAGAGTATAGAGTTGCTCAAGCAGCAAAGTAGAGGGAGAGGGAACCAGGTGAATGCATATGCAGTGGCAAGACTTACCAACTTGGGAAGATTTTATAAATACCTACACACTTATTAAACACTTATTAAACACAAGGTTACAATAACACTCCAAGAACCAGAAAGTTCCAATTCAAACAATGAATAAAGACAAGCCCTAAGAAGTAAGCTGGATCCACAAGAAGATAGACAAAGAAGAGACAAAAAAAATGTGTGGGACAAGCCGCCCAAGCCCATGTATGCGCCGAGACAGCAAGAGAAACAAAAAGAAGACCAACCGACCACCCTTCCCCCCGGATATGCAAATGATGGCAAAAAAGAAAGAGAAACAAAGAACAAAACAAAACAGGGGAAAAAAAGAACGAGATCGGTCTATGCTTGGTTTGCCAAGTGCTGTTGCGCCGCAACCCCCCTTTCCATACACCGAGTAACCAAAGCAAAGGGGGATCGAAGGGGAGTAGGGCGAGGGTTCAGAGCGAGAGAGATATGAGGGGAATCAAGAGAAATAAGGAATTAGGTCAAAGGCTGGAAAAGGGAAGAAACCAAACACGGATTAAAAAAAGAGCAAGAGAATGAATGCACGTGCGCCAGAATAAAAGAAAACTCCGCTTTTTGTGTTTTTGAGAAGAAAAAACCAAACCGAATCCAGGGAAAAAAAAAGACAAAATACAATGATCGAGTTCTGGTCTTGGTGAAATTCAATCAAACTTGCGACTGGCTCTGGCTCGAACGAGATCGCTGGGACATGGACCGACGGCCACGACTAGACGGCGCGCGTTCTGAAGAGTTGGGCGGAGGTGCATGTTCAAAGAAGGGGATGAGGTCGGGGTTCTGGCTGGGAGGAGTCTTGGACGTGGCCGAGTACTCGCCCAGCACGCGGTCATCTGCTGCGGTGTCGGGGTGAAGCTCGTATCCCTGCTGTTGGTCCTTCCCATTTTGGTTCCCGTTGGCCGGGAAAGTAATGGAATCGGCCTCGCCGTGGGGTCGCTCAATCGGCGACCATCCTGCGATACTGCCAGCAACGACACCGGCCATGGCGGCCGCAGGCCCGAACACAGAGTTGGAGCGGGACCGCGTGTTGCGGCGTGACCGAGACTCGGGAGTCGGAGGACCAGGGGGTGGGCTGCCGTTGTCGCCGTTCGGGGTGGGTGGTACGGACGAATCTCGGGAGCGAGACCCGCTGCGAGACCGGGGCAGAAGTTCCTGGGGATGCTGCAGCTTGTGGCGGATGTGGCGGAGCCGTCCACCGCGGACCTTCTTGATGAAGGTCAGCTGGTCGCGGATCTCCTCCAGGGCCGGGTTCCACTCGTAGCGGCGATCCTCGTCGGAAATGACAACCTCGGGGCCCTTCTTGCGGCCCCAGATTCGCGGGACGAGTTTGCTGATGATTTCGTCGGGGATAAGGCGGATGACAACTGCAACAGGGATAGAGAGAGCTCCGAGCACCAGGCTGACGGCCCATTGTGAGCCCTGGTCAAGGCGCTTGACCGAAAACGCCGCTCCGCCGACGAAGACGATGAGGACTTGGCCTCCAATGATAATTAGCTGGATGCCAATAAACCATTTATTGCGGGTGATGCCCTCCATGATGTTGAGCTTGTTGTCAATGCGGCGAGAATTGTACTGGTTGAAGATCTGCATGAAGACGAATGTGTTGAATACCACCGTCTGCATGTGGTCATTGTCCCAGGAAGAGAAGATGGACTGCCCAGCAAAGTTCAGGACGAACGTCACGACCAGTTGATAAATGGTCTGTCCGATGATCATCTTCCACATGGTCAGGGTGATAAGAGGCGTGGCTTTGGAGTCAGGTCTGCGCTCAAGAACATATGGCGAGGGAGGATCCGTCGCCAAGGCGAGAGCAGCGAAAGTATCCATGATCAGGTTCACCCACAACAGTTGCACTGCGCTCAGTACCGAATCTTCTTCCTCGCTGGCAACTGCAGACACGAACGTGAGAACGACGGCAGTGATGTTAACAGTGATTTGAAACTGAAGGAATTTCTTCACTGCATCACTGACGGTGCGACCCCACGCCATGGCCTTGACAATCGATGCAAAGTTGTCGTCCATCAAGATGATATCCGAGGCTTCCTTGGCAACTTCGGTTCCAGTAACACCCATTGCAAAACCAACATCGGCATTCTTAAGCGCCTGGGCGTCATTGGTACCATCTCCTGTCACAGCGACAGTCTCTCCCATTTTCTTGAGCTGGTTGACCAGAATCTTTTTGTCGTCGGGGCTCGACCGTGCAATGACCTGTAAGCGGGGAAGAAGCTGATTCATCTGGCGCGAGCTGAGCTTGCGAAACTGAGGCCCTTCAATGGCGATGCCTCCAGGAGTGTAGATGCCGCACTGCTCGGCGATAGCCTTGGCGGTGTTAATGTTGTCACCAGTCACCATCCGAACAAAGACACCAGCACGCTGACACTGGTGAACCGCCTCAGCGACTCCCTGTCGAACAGGATCCTGAATACCGAAAATGCCCAGGATGGCCATGTCTTTGAAGATGGGCTCGAATTCTGCCATTCCGCGATCGGCCTCGTGCGTCGGCGCCCCGCGAGGCGGCCACTGCTCAAAATCACGATACACGAGGGCGATGCATCGCAAGGACCGCGAGGCGTAGTTGGTCATGATGGTGTCGAGCGTAGACCGGTTCTCGTCCGATACCGAGGTCTCGGACAGGGTATCGGTGGGATCCCGCACGATTCGCGTTGACTTGGCCACCAGGATTTCAGCAGCTCCCTTGACCAGCATCCGATACTTGCCGTTCTCCATCTGCACGACCACCGCCATGCATTTGCGGCCAGAGTCAAACGGGAAGATCTGTGCGAGCTTGGCGTTAGCTCTCTCCTCGCTCGGTGGTCCCATCCCAAGATGTTCCCGAGCAAAGGACAGCAAAGACGTTTCAGTTTTCGAGCCAATGAATGACTTGACTCCATCTTGTTCTCCCTCGAAAGCCGTCGAGTTAAGCACAATCGACTTGAGTAGAAGGTCCTTCACGGAAGAGGACAGTGTAGACACAAACTCCGAGGCGGATACATTTCCCGACTGGCTCGAAGATGCACTGGAAGATTTGTCTCCAAACCGGGACGTGGTGCCCAGTGTTGCAGCGACAGCACTCATCTTGTTTTCCGTAAGGGTTCCGGTCTTGTCCGAACAGATCGTCGTAGCATTGCCCATGGTCTCGCATGATTTGAGGAAGCGAACCAAATTGTTGTCCTTGATCATTCTTGTCGTTGCAAAAGCGAGAGCCAGCGTAACCGCCAGGGGCAAGCCCTCGGGTACGGCCACCACGACGATGGTAACAGCAACAATGAAAATCTTCAAGAAAGCCTGACCCTTGCCATCTGCGCCTTCATCGATTGACTGGAGGCGGACCAGGAATTTGATGAAAAGCACCACGAACAGCAGCAGGCCCGAGGCGAGACCAAGCTTGGCGATATATTCGGCCAGTATATTCAGCTTGGTTTGCAGCGGAGTGGTCTCGCCTTCTTCCTGGAGAGACATCATTGTTCGGCCGTAGGTCGCGTGCACACCCGTGGCAGTGACCAAAAACGTGCCCATTCCCTCCGACACCTTGGCGCCAGACAAAATGAAGGGGTCCATTTTCTTGAGGTCCTCGTGATGCTCAATTGCCTGGTAAACATCGTCGGCTGGCGTTTTTCGAAGGAGATCCGACTCTCCTGTGGCGGAGGATTCGTCACACTTCACGTCGTGGCCTTCAATCATGATCCCATCGACGGGGACCATATCACCGGGTTCCAGGTACATTACATCGCCAACAAGAATGTCAAAGATGGAGATTTCTTCCGTTCGGCCGGACCGCATCACCTTGACATGTCGATTCTCCTTTTTCTTGTTGAGCTTGGCAAACTGTCGTTCCTTGTGCCAGTCGTTCGCCGCACCGACCGTGACCACAATGATAATGGCAATGAGAATCGCCAAACCTTCCACCCACTCCACACCGGGCTCATCGGGGTCTGCTGGGTGCAAAGACTGCGGAATGCCCACGGCGAGAGAGATGACGGCGGCAATCGTCAGGAGAATTAACACCTTGTCATTGTATGCCATCCAAGCCAGCTCCCAAATAGTCTTGAGCTTCCTTTCGGGTAGCCTGTTGTTACCAAATATGCGTCTTCGGTCCGTAAACGATTCATCCGAAGGAGACGATGTCGACCCGGTGGCAGTATCCGCGCGAGGCAGGGGAGGAGAGGCTGATTTGGGCAACGACTCGGACCCAACAGCCTCGTCAAAGCTGACCGTCCCATCCAACGCGGTTTCGTCGAAGCTCAAGCCACTCCGGACATCGGTCCGCAAGCCCTTCTCGAGCCCTCGCAACCCGCCCAGGGCGCGGAACGCACCGAAATTCTTGGGATTCAGCAGCTTGTTCAATTGGCCTGGCGAGAAGGCGAATTTGTTGTCTTCCACCTCGAACTCGGATTCGCGGCCCGGGTCCGGGGTCAGGGCATCCTCGTCGTCCACTTTCGTTGTTTTGGTCAGGTCGGAGCGAGATCCGTGCGACGCAGAGTTCACAAAGGTGTCACCACCGTAGGTACTGGACGTTTGGCTCGTATCCTCCGACTCGAGCGAATTGCCGCGGGATCGGGCGCCGGGCACGGACAGGAAATTGGAATGTGACTCCGGCACCTTGGTCTTGGGGGACGAGACGTTGTGTGGGGAGGTAGGGCGACCTTCGCCTTCGCGGGCTTCGGACGAGGCATTGGAGCGGATGGACGCCGGAGACCGGGCATCTGTCGGGGAGACGTTGCCGTTGTCCAGGAGGGCACTCGTGTCGACTGCTTGGGCATTGTCCGTGGCGAGTTGGAGCGACGGTTGCGGGGGCTTCGAGAGGACCTGGACGGGGGGATGGGTGGTATCGGGAGACGAATGGACGGCGGACGTGTCGATGGTGATGGTCGGAGCTCGTTCTCGGCGCAGGGGCGTTGAAGGCTGCTGGGCCGACTCCTCGCCCTCTGGTCGCGACTCGGACATTATAATATGGGGGGTTAGATCAAACCCAGCGCGATTCACGCGAGCGACACATCCAGGGTGATGAAATGGTTCATGGGTGGCGTTCCACGGGAGGAGAGGATTCGACTCGACCGGAAATACGCAAGACTGGCGAGATGGCAATTACTCGCATGAACCATAGCATTCAGGTGTGTGTATTCAAGGGCGACACGAGAGAGGGAAGAGAGAAGATAGAGAGGAGAGAGAGAGAGAGAGCGTTCCGCATGCGGGAAGATCCAAAGGCCAAAAGTCGAGACGTCAACCCCCTTTTGCAGAGACTCCACCTCGGTCGAGACTTGATTATTGTATGGCTTTCTTAGGCTTAGGGGAGATTTCCTCCCATTAGTGTTATTTCTATATCATGGCTCCACCGACTCCGCCTAGCGCAGCACAGCCCCAATGTGTGTGTTGTTCTTACAAGTTGGCCATCAGGACTGTGGACCATCCATGGATATATAGCCCGGTGGAATGTCAAGATTTCCAGCGTGACAAACAGTATTTTTGAAGCTAATCAAGCCGAGCAAAAAAAGTGCAGGGAGGCGAAACCCCAAGCTGCACTGCCTCATTGCCAAGACCTGACACGCCCGAGACCCGCAGAAATGAATTCTTTCATTCTTTCATGATTTCATGATTTCATGATTTCATAAATATGGGATATGGGATATGGGATCCTCAATAAGAAGGGCTTATTCAATTGAATGAATTGATTTAACTGCCACTAGTCGCTATGCCAAATTCCTTGGGTAGCATCTGGGCATAAGTGAGGCGGATAGGTACCAACATCGTGGATATCTATACCTGGTTAGTAAATGATAATTTCTCTTTCGCCAAGTTCTCCAATCTCCAAGGTTCCTGTCGACACTCGGCGAATGCTTCGACCCCCGCCAAGGGAGGCCGGGGAATATCATACCGTGTGCAATGAGCTGACAGTATAGTTATTGAGGTGAGGTCTATTACGAGAGAGCTTGCTATTAGGAATGACACACAAATGAGAATGAAATACAAAAGCCTCAAGTATACGATGGAATGAAAACAACCGGAAAAAAAAAAGAGAGGAAAAAACAGCAACTTTAAACATCGATCCGCTCCCCTCGCATCCGCCGATCATCTCCACATCCTCGCGTGACCCACTTGGGAATATCATCGTCATTTACTGACCATTGGAGAGGATAAACAACAATGTCCAACATCTACGGCCTAACTGCCGTGCCCGCCTTCGCGACCACGCTCCTGACCGCGACACCCGCCTACCCAGCACCCACAACGCCCCCAACCGCCATCCCCATCACCGAAACCGCCGTGCCCCACACAGCGTTGGCCCACCGTATCGGCGTCTACGCGCGCTCCCACCTGCCCAAACCCACCTACAACCACTCGCGTCGAGTCTACCACTACGGGCTCGCCATCAAGCGATACCGGTTCCCGTTTGCCGACTGGGCCTTTGACGATGAGACATTCTTCGTGGCATGTCTGCTCCATGATATCGGGACGACCGATGAGAATCTGCACAAGACCGGGTTGAGTTTTGAGTTCTTTGGCGGGTTTCTGGCGTTGAAGATCTTGGGTGAGGGGGAGCCTGAGCCTGAGTCTGGGGTCTTGGGGGGTGCTGGCGGTGCTGCGCTGGCGCCGCTGCAGCAGGCGGAGAGTGTTGCCGAGGCGATTCTTCGGCATCAGGATCTGTGCTCGGTTGGCAGGATCACTGCGTTGGGACAGTTGTTGCAATTGGCGACGATCTTTGGTAGGAAACTCTTTTTTTTTTTTTTAAACTGTTATCATACTATATGCTCTGTTTATGCTTTATGCTAATCTAATTGCCCTAGACAACACCGGTGCCTTCGCTGACCTCGTCCACGCGGACACCATCAAGGATGTCTCGACGCATTTCCCCCGCATGCAATGGAGCTCTTGCTTTTCCTCCACCATCCAGCAGGAAATTGATCTGAAGCCATGGGCGCATTCGACGGCGCTGGGCGATGAGTTTAAGGTCAAGGTGTTGGGGAACGAGCTGATGAAGCCATATGAGTAACGGGCCGAGGCAGCCTTGATTTGATGATGACACGAGACGAGAAATGAGCAGATCAAACTACCACCTGGCAGAGCCGGTGATTACTGGACCATTCGTGAATCCCAATGTTGTAGTCCCACTCTAATCAGACCACCCATGTCCTGTATTCGTACTCTAGTCCTCACGAACCCCGATCATCCCATGTTATTGTACACATACACATTATGTCCACTCACTGCCCCTGAAGAAACGCGTGCTCACCCTCGTCCGGGGGATCCACGCGCCAGATGCCCGGCGTACGATGTTTCTTGTCAACGTAGTGGTCGTTCTTGGCGTTGCTAATTACCAAGGCCTTGGATGACAGAGCCAGCGCATCCACAAGCTCGGCCATGCGCCGCGAGTCCGTGAAGCTGCGGGTCAACTGCGGGCTGTTGGCGATATGGACTGACAATTCCATGCACTGCACCAGGAGATTCGGCTGATTGAGACAGGCACTGGCGAAGTAAACCGCGTTGTGGTAATCCAGGAATAAATCGGGAAGATAGGTCCGGCGGATATACTCGTAATCCTTTTCCTCTTCGGCTGCACGAGAATAATCAGTACCTAAACCCAGATCGACATCCATTGATCTCATCAAAGGATAGGACAGGAAACCACGAACCGTTCTCAGACGAAGGCAGCCACTCTTCAACCACTCTCGACACCTGACTTTCAACCACCCCTATGAGTTCTTTCACTTCCAGGGTGAGATCTTTCACGGTGCCCGAGTCTCGTCGACGTTTTATCCTGAGAAAGTTAGACTGTTTCTATTTTTCATCTCAAGGGAAGCGCAACTTACTTGGAAATCTGCTCATGGACCATGGCAAACTTCTCCAGACCATCGAATGCCAGAGTGATTCGTTCAAAGTCGAGCATTCTCTGGCATTCATACCACGCGATAGTGTCCTTGCTCAATCCAGTTGTGCTGGAGCCGGAAAGGCTTCGTCGATGAGTACCATTTCGCTTCAGCTTGATCTGGCTTATTAGTACATCCTCCTCTTCAAACATATCCTCCGCGGGAGGGTTCTCAACCATGTTATACCCAAAGATCTCTTGGGACATCTCTTCCAGCGACATGCGATGAGACAATTCACGAGCAGCTGCAAGATTGTTTGCAACTACAGAAGGTTAACACATGTTAGACACGGAGTGGAAAGACGGCTCAAACATACCATAGAATTTGCGGTACAGCCAAGCTCCAAGATCGACCATCTCGGACCACTGGTCACCCACAGAGCGACGCCATTCCAAACTGCGGATCATTTTCTCGTCTTCATCGGCAATGGCTGTCCCAATCAGGTCCTTCTGGGGGGATTCAGCGACAAAGTGCCGTCTGGTCGCCGCAATACCCTGGGATATCCGGTAACGCCTCTTGAATGATCGATTGCAGATACACCGGCGGCCAACCACGACCATTGGGTGTCCAGGACAGCCTCGACGTCAATGCCATGCTTCTTCATGAGCCGGACCAGCTGCATGCGTGTCCGGGGATCGACAACGTCGATCAGAATCTTCGAGAAGACGCTATGGGCCATTTCTGTAGGGAGAAGGGACGCGTATAGCGGAATGGTGTTGTAGAGTCCCTTCTCTTCCAACGTGGCAATGTATCCAGCCACGACCACAGACGCAGTCTCAAAGAACTGAGAATCTGCGCGAGCGTAGCCAATTGCGTTAATAACCACAAGAACGTGGGCCGCAACTTTCAGGGCTTCATCGTCATCGGCAGTGATAAGGGACGGTTCGTCTGTCTGTGTGCGCACCACATCCGGAATGAGGGTGGAGGCTCCGAATCTGTTGGCGCTGACCTGAGAGACAGCCTGGGCGAGAGCGGGGAAATACGAGTCGTATCCTTTACTCAGGATCGTGGCCTGGAGATTGCGGAAGGGATCGTGTGCATCGCCAGCGACCTTTTCGTTGCCTCTCAAATATTGAATGAACTTTTGCAGGTCTGCATGTCCGGCGGGCTCTGGCTTGAAGACCACAGGCGTGTTGGGGGAGTGGCTCAGCTTTCGCTGGAACTGCCTGCAAAACCCTTGATACCGCGAGAGCACAGCTCGGTTGAAGTACACATAGAGATAGTCGTCCCAGTTGCGACAGACCTTCGCCGCAGGCTCCGTCTCTCCACAGAGCAGCCCGTAGACTGCACGCTGAAAATCTTCTGTGTTGGGGTTCTGCGTCAGAGCAAAGCAGGCGTCACGCCACGAGTCATGAGCCTTGCTGCTCATGAAACGAGTCATTCCATCGTCCACTGGCGTCCGGGTGTTGCTCGTGTGCGGGTCCACACTGGAGCCACACAGGCTGACAGCCCGCCAGCTCTCCAGACGACCCTGGGCCCAGTCGCGGATCTTCGTCCAGCTCTCACCCTGCCGCAACATCTTCCAGCACATCATCCAGGTGGCACGTTCATAGAATCCGTCCTGTTTCTCGAGGGAGCGCCTTTGCCGAGCGAGGGCATCCGGATCCAGCTGCGTGATCAAGGGCTTCTGCTCTTCCGTACTCAACAGCGAACGAGAGATCCCCGGGTCATTCGGCTCGAGAGGTTGCGGCCATGCACGTAGTCGTTTGTGTCCCTTGATGGCCTCCTTAGTAAAGAGCCAGCCATGCGCCCACAAGCCCTGGCCTCTTTCCGCCTGAGCCTCCATGTCCGTGATCAGAATTTCCATTTCCTGGTCCCCGGTCTTGGACGTCTCCTCCAACCATCGCATGGCAACCACGCATTCGAGAGCATAGTGGTCCGCATTCAAAAACTGCTCCCAGATCTCGCGATCAGACGAGTACCGGTGCAGGTTTTGAAAAGCCGTCTGCCGTCCTTCCTTGAAGCTAGCCCGGCTGGCAGGGTCATCGATGCTGATCAGGTTGAGAAGAAGACGCCAGGTGTTTGCTTCCAGCTGCAGGTCATTCAACTCCGCATCAGCCTCAGTATCTTGCGATTCACTCGCGCGAAAGCCCATCTTGGCTCGCTTGAGGGTCTGCTGTCTGGCAACCTCCTGGATGGCATTTTGCGCCAGGTCGCGGTAGCTCTCCACGAGCTTATAAGCTGCCTGGACTCTCTGGAACTCATCATCGGTATTCTTCCGTTTGAATTGATCTAATTTCTCGGCAAAGGCTTCGATCTGGCGAGTAACGCGGTCGGCGGTTCGGCGAAGGGGATGTAGTGCCTCCTGGGCACCGGCAGCGGTAAACAGCTCAGGCGTGTCTGGAAGGGGATCAGCTCTGAAGAATGTTTATATGAGCATGAGTGCCAACTGACCCTGGGGCTTGCCTGTTGCGCCCATGACTGATTTGAGACTGGGCTCTGACACGGGCACAACGGATCCCGTGTCCGAGGCTGCATCTCCGTTGAGGTCATCCATCTCCTCATCTTCATCAATTTCTTCTCCTTCCTCTTCTAGCATTTCTTCATCATCCACAGATTGTTCGTCAATGTCGATGATTTCAGGTTCTTTGGGTGGTTGCGCGACCTAGACCGATTAGTTCTCACATCAACAAGAGGACCAGACCAACCCACCTGTGACCGGAGATTGCCTCTAAAGGAAGCAGCAGACCGAGTGAGGGGCGCCATGATGAGACCAAGAATGGCGCGCACCAGAGTCAACAAGAAAGAAAGAGGGAATCCCCGTTGTTTGTCTCTTTTGGCGTGTTGGCCGGCTAGTCCCAAAGTGGATTAGTGGCCTGGCCTTTTCAGCGAATTTTCTGCCGCGACGTTTCTTCTTTTCTTTTCTTTCTTTTCTTCATCAAATGTCTTTAGGCTTTCATTAGAGTCTCGGAACGAAGGTTTTCAATGTTCGTTCAGGTCCTACGAGACCTCTCTGCGTGCTCAAGATTGTCTTAGAACAATGCAGTTCTTACAACTAGCCTAGTTCTCTTGCAAATGGGAGCTCAGACTGCAAAAGGATTGTGACATGCTTTTCTCTTCTAATGGGAGATATCCTGGATACTAGCCATCAATGGCTCTGCTCGGCTGCCTGCGCCCGCTGCCGCATCTTCAACCGGAGCAGATTGGCTTTGGGACAGCTCACGGTGGATGCTTGGTCCCCTCGCTCCTGGTAGAAGGCATTGCAGCACTCATACAGGGCGTCAATCTGGCTCTGACACTTGTCCTCGTGGAAGGAATTTTTGGTCAAGCAATCTGCTTAGTTAGCCTGATACAAAGATCGATATATAGGGCACCCAGCATACTTTGAATGGCGCACTGGTCAAGTTAGCATACAGCACTTGATGAATTGTAGCTTGGTAGAGAACAGCAGAGACATACTGCGCGCGGATGGCAGGGAGGATCATGCGATAAATCTTGCTTGATATTTCCCTAGGATCTCTGAAATTAGCCTCTGCTACTCCCTATTCTTCTTTTCTTTCTTCTCATTCATGAGGGAGGTCTGATCAATACCATGATGCAATAACGCGCTGGATTACAGCAACAAAGACGGTCGCTTGGGACTCCAAAAAAAGGCCTGACGCAAAATAGATTCTCCGCCTTCGGCTGTGGGTCGCTATTCTGCCGTTGATCTCTCTCTACTCTTCTCTCTCTTCACTATTTTATCTCTCCTCTTCTCTTGCACGGGGACTTGACTGCTTCCATTGTTTCCAACTGCTAAGTGAGTATTCTCTGTCCCGCCACACGGGGATCCATGCGATCCCCATTCAAGAAGAAAACACGAGCTAATTTCCCCGATTTGCAGCCGCCACTTTCAAACCCCGCGAGTTTCTCATTTTCACCTTTTCACCTCGTAAGCAACCACCGGTGCCATCAGCTCTTCCAGCGCTTTGTGGAATTAACTCTCTGGCCCTCTAATATAGCAACACCGCCATCAGAATCTCTCAAGATGTCTGAGCAAGAAGGAGCCCCGCCCCCAGAGCACCTCAACATCAAGGTGACCGACAACAACAACGAGGTCTTCTTCAAGATCAAGAGATCCACTCAACTGAAGAAGCTCATGGATGCGTTCTGTGAGCGCCAGGGGAAGCAGATGGCGACTGTCCGCTTCCTCTTCGACGGCACACGAGTGCGCCCGGAAGACACTCCGGACACTGTATGTCCTCCATAACTCAAAGCCCCCCTCGCCCTTAAACCATGTTCCATCGCGACTAACATGTATACCAGCTCGACATGGCCGATGGTGATACCTTGGAGGTTCACCAGGAGCAGATTGGCGGGTAAGCGCGACGTCTTCATGCCAGCACATGATGACCCGCGGCACCCACATATGATGGAGTTTGTGCCGATGGCGGATGCGCAGATAGATGTTATCATCGGTTCATCGCGGAGGAGTTTCATGCTTTTCTTTTTCTTTTTTTCTTTTTTTAATGAGTCAACGAATCTAACGGGAGTCTATCCTGGTTTCTGACAGTCGTGGGACTCTGTTCAGTTCATACCCATTGCAAGTGCCTGACATTGTAATTTGTGAAATGTGCTCGGGGGTATAATGTGGGCCGTCTAGGTCCTCCATTGAAAGCACCCGCAGGGTTAATTATATACAGTAGTAGCCATGTGGGCCCAAGTCAAGGATCGAATGATACAAGAACACCGGTGATCCCGAAAGAAAAGACAAGAAAAGAGGGGGAAAAATAGTGTCATCCGTCAAAACCTATCCGAAACACTAGAAAAAAATCTTCAAACCGAATTCATCATGCAGCCGTAAAAAATATAGAGAGGGGTAGTATATATAGACCGGACAGGGAGGAAGCAAAATTGAAAAAAAAAAGAAAGAAAGAAAACGAAAAACAGCCGCTAATCCGTCCACACTGCAGCCTTCAACTTCTCATCCTCCTCCTTGGCCTTAGCCAGCTCCTCGCGCTCACGATTGCGACGACGAATCTCCTGCTCCTTGACCGAGCGATCATAAGCCCGCTGCTCCTCCGTCCTCTTAGGCGCTCGGATCCCCAACGCCCCGGCAATGAGTCGACCCGCAACAGCAGTTTGTTTCTCAGGGCGACGAGCAGGACCACCTCCCTGCGCCGCGGCGGGGGTCACGCCCCCCGACACCCATGGTTGCGAGGTCTGCGGGGAGATCGGGGTAGGCGGGGGATCGAGCGGGCCCTCGGCACTGATACTGGGCGAGAGGACAGACGGGGAGTCGTCGTCGCGGGGCTTGGGCTTGTCGTCGTCGTCGTCCGAGCCAGAGAGGTCGGCTTCGTCCTCCCACGAGTCGGCGATGGGTTCGCGTGCGGTCTTTTGGGGCTTCGAGGTCGATGTGGAGGAATTGGATGTTGAGATTTTCTGGATGGTTGGTCGCGGGATATCATGCACGGGTCCCTTTTCGCCGATGGACAAGCCGCGGAGACTTGATTGCAGCTCGGAGTGTGGATCAGACATGGCACGTGGGGTTGGTTGAGTTGGGGAGAGCGAGCACGGATGAGGAAGGTTGAGGTTGCAGGCGCCGTATTTAAGGCGGAGTATAATCAGAAACAAAGAATGAAGAATGAAGAATGAGAAGAGCAGGCAGGAATTGAAACGGGAAATGAGAAAACTGGAGCCAGGAGCGTCACAGAAAGTCTAGAAATGGACGATCGCAGGTGGCGTGTTGCTAGCGCCTGGTCGATCGTGGGGAACCTGACGGCGCTAGCCTGCATTTGGATATGGCTGCCTGGGGCAACATCCGAGGTCGGCTCGGTTTCTGGAGTTTTATGTCTTCTCCCTTATATTCTACTAACTCTCTCCAATTGCCCTTGGACTGGTGTATAGTTTCTAAATTGGGAGTATATCTTGAGATACATTCCAAGGTGCTTGGTCCTTGGTCGGGCTAGCCATTTTCTACTCATTCTTTTATATTCCAAAGAGGTCTGTCTATCATAGTCATTTATTTCATCAAATCCTCTACATGCATATATATACTCCTCCAGCCTGCAGCTTTAACTCTCATTTCTCTCCCGCCAAAGCAATGACTTTCTTTGCCGCGTCCTCAAACCCATCAAATGCATGCAATGGAAGGCCACTCTCCGCAATCTACCAACAAGAGATCAGCCATCTATCAGCACCACAACCAAACTAAAGATCAGCAAGCAAAAGAAAATAAACCAATCTTACCATCTTCTGTCCCAACTCCTCATTGGTGCCGCGCAGTCGCACCACAACAGGCACTTTCATATCCAGGTCCCGGAAGGCGAGGATGACACCCTCAGCAATCATATCGCAGCGGGTGAGCCCGCCAAAGATGTTGACGAAGATGGCCTTGACACGTGGGTCAGAGCAAATCACCCGGAAAGAAGACTTGACTGTCTCCGAGGTGGCCTTGCCGCCGGTGTCGAGGAAGTTGGCGCAGTGGCCGCCATGGAAGGTGAGGGCGTCGACAGTGTTCATGGCCAGACCGGCTCCGTTGACTAGTTGATTTAATTATTAGGAATGGTTCTGTGGTGTTTGACTTCAAAAGAAGAAGGGGGGGGGGGGGGGGGGGGGGGGGGAAGAAATAGGATGCAAAAACATACCGAGTGTTCCGACGCTGCCTTCGCCTTGCAATCTGTTTTTGTCAGCATCCAATAGAATATCGAAAGACCTCGGTAGGAGGGGGAAAAGAATGTCGTTTCTTACTTAACATAGACAATCCCGTCCTTCTCTGCCTCGACTTCTTCCGGCACCTCTTCGGCGGGATTGCGCAGCCGATGAATCTCTTCCTGACGACCGGAGCTGCGGAACGCAGCATCGTCAAACCCAAACCGCGCACCGTGCACTTCCAGAGTGCCATCGGCTGCCATGCCAACCCGGGTCTCTAACACAAAGGCCTCCTTCTCCTTGAAGATCTCCCACAATGCTTGTACTAGACCGGTTAGCTGATCATGTCCCGAGGCAGGGAGACCCATGTATGAGGCTACTGCGGCAATGACCGAGCTGTTATCGAAATTGACTTGGGTGTAGCTGAAAGGAAACTTGCGGGACTGCGATGGATCGAACCCGGCAGCTGGGGACGCGATGATGCATGGTGAGCTGGCCGTTCGGTCCACCGTGATGGACAAGGACATGTCAGATTCGGAAGTCGCTTCGTTCACCGGAACGGAATTTTGTCTGAGGATGTTAAATGCTTGAAACTGCTTTACGTAGAGACTTCGGTTCTGCTTGATAGCTGGTCGTGAAGTGGGAGTGACTCGTCTCATGACGTGAAGGCCCCGTTTTGGGGACCCTGCCCCCGAGAAAGACTGGAAATGTCAATATACCAACTTGATAACATAGACAGAACAGACTCACGTTCGTGCCCGGCCTGCTGGCTCCATTGCTTAGTAGCGTCTTCATCCGCTCGCCGAATTTCTCGGGGTGGTTGACCATAACCGCACCTGCACGCTCAAGAGCGAGGTATTTGGCTTGAGCATCCGGCTCCCCGGGTGCCGCCCACGCCCCAGCATGACCCATAATACGGCCCGGGGGCGCTTCCAAGCCGCCAACAAGAGCCACAATAGGCCTATGCCCAGTGAGTACTAGTCAACAAACAGACATACAAGGAAAGACCTACTTAGGGCTCGCAGTCCTTCTCCGATAATCTTGAATCCAGTCCGCCGCATCCATTTCAGCCGTACCCCCAATCTCGCCAACCAGAATAATCCCATGGGTATCGGGATCGTCCTCAAAGACCGTCAGGGCATCGACAAAATTGGTGCCCGCCAAGACATCACCGCCCATACTAATACACAGACTCTGGCCTAGTCCGGCTCGCGTCGTCGACGCCACGGTTTCGTAGCTCAGCGTTCCTGACTTGGCCACGATGCCGACGTTGCCGGGTGCAAAGCACGGCAGTGGCTGGAAGCCGATGCGGCATTTGCCGATTGCAGATATAATGCCTGGGCAGTTGGCGCCTACCAGCCGGGTTTTGGATTGTGTCTGGAGCATTGAGTGGATCTGCAAAGATAGAAGGAGAATAGGTTAGGAAAAATGGACGAGAGCACATATATTATTCTTTCTTTTTGAAGCCATCACACAACATACTCTAAGGATGTCATGGATGGGAACGTGCTCGGCCACGGCCACCACCAGTGGAATCTCAGCCTCAATGGCTTCTTCCACGGCTTTTGCGGTTTGATTGCCCGGCACGTAGATGGCAGATGCGTCGGGCTTTGCTTGGTTATGGGCCTATATTCTCGGGGGGAAACAACCGTCAGTCGAGCTGAACGAATACACTTCATCAATGAAGTCAATTGATCTCGCCTACCGCTTTGACAGAAGGGAATACGGGCAGCCCCAGGTGCTCGCCCTCTACGCCGGGCTTGACGCCGCCCACGATCTTGGTGCCCCATTCTAGCGACTCCTTAACATTGGCGGTCGCCTGTTTCCCTGTGGCCGATGTCAGTACCTCCAGATGAAATCATGGTGGGAAAGATATCTTACCTGTGAATCCCTGGAACAGAACCCTCGTATGGACGCCAATCTTGAGGTTTGGAAGCGTCTCTGCATAGCTGGCGGTGCGTGCAGAGGTGGAAAATTGCTTAGCTGCGAAGGGCACCCGCGCCTGAGGGACGCGCCTGGGCAGACAGTGCAGAGACATAGTTGTCACTCTAAACAGTTCTATCCATGCGAATAAGAGAGCTTGTATTTCCAAAGCTGAGCCCCAGGCTAGCGGTCATATAAATGGGGGGGGGGAACTTGTCAAGAAGGCGAGTCAAGTCGGCTATCCTATCTCGGGGGCTTCCCCACAACACGCTTCCTCGGCAAAGCCGGGTGGGGCGGACATAGTAGACAAAAGATAGATATACATCAACAACAAATTGCAAATATCACTTACCAAACATCACTTCCCAATGTACTAATCCATCATGCCAAGCTAATATAGCGGTATTTCTCATGGCCCCATCCCCTATCACAAGGACGCAGGAGATCACGCGTATGAAAAGCATGTTTCACTGCCACGGTAGCCCGTCGCACACTGCCCAAGTTCCGTGTTTTCTGGAGATTTGCGAGTCGATCCAAGACAAAGCGCCGGTGGTCCTCGTTTTCGAGGCCCACATGGCCCAAAACAAATAGTGGCCACAACAGAGTCGCCATGTCTGGTAGTGTCGACATCAAGCGGATGATCGAGTCGATAAGACGATGTTTGTATCGTCCGTCTGCCCAGAGGCAGGTTTTGTGGTTGATATCGGATTCGATTTTGGTAGGTAGATGATGGTCTGCTGGTGTTTCTTTACCATGACCTGGCCCATATGCACGGTGCTTCTTCACCCTTGTGCTCCTTTCCTGCGGCTTGTGCCTCCACAACGCTCCTGTTCCTCCACGCCCACAGTTTTCAACAGAATTGAATGGCGTCCACGAGGGCTCGGTGGGTATGTCCTGTGTTTGGTGAACTGGGCCGAGACGCTCGTTGAGATAGAGCAGAGCCACGAGATGTTTGATTTTGGCAATGCGGTCAAGGTCTTGCCGGCCCGCTGAGTGCATCGGTAGATTTTGCTTTAGTGAGAGGAGGGCGGTGCCAATCTCAGTAGAGGCAGATGCATATTGTTGGAGCTCAGTGGGGGTAAGATTGCGAGATTTCATGACCTTTAAGGGCAAAAAAAAACAAAGAAAAGTTAGAACATCCTGAAATCTTTATACTTTCATTTTCCTTGTTTGAGTATCACCTTTGCCCTCGTAGACGCCAGGGCTGATATTCGATTGATCAGAACCATGAGACCGCGTGAGCAGCCCATTAGCATATCAATCTTTGGCAATTTTAGTAAACAGTTCAAATGACTTGTGAAGAATCAGCACATACCTCCTCAAGGTCCTCCGTTTCAGGCCATGTTATGACTGTTTCCTCGAGACAGTTTTCAGAGACCGTGCGGCTCATGATATCATGAGCAACAAAATACATCCGGAAGAACCTCATCAGAGCAGTGTTTTGACTGGAGGCACGCGTGACGCGGTCGACGAGTTGCAGTCCACCCCGCAGGTGGGTCATCCAGGAAGGAGAGCAACCGTCAGATATCTGTATGAAATGTCAGCAATGAACTGGATGTAAAGTCTTTTGTAGGGCAGGCATACATCTTGAAAACAGAGCATCAACACTGTGGCCACGGTGCCATCATCCAGAGTGTTGGCAGAGATAGCATGTCTCAGACCCTGAAGTGCCCTGTCTTTGAATTGACAGGTTTGGTCTGCAAGGCGAGTATCCCCAAGAAGACACAGCTGGTTTGCAGCAACTGCCAGAAGAGTGTGTCGGAGAGGGGAAGAAGAAAAGCAGAGAGGGGTGATATGAGAGAGATAGGGATTGTCAGACTCGCTGAGAGAGCAGTTGGGGCCGATGACACGAATGAAGTAGTTAAGAAGATGGCTCTCTGTTTGGGAGAAAGAAGAAAGAGGATGGTAGAAAGACGCGTGGATTGGAACAGTGATGTTTGGGAGAGTGTCTTGATCTGATTTTGCCTCACTTTCCACGTGGACGCGTCTGCCCTTATCTGGACCGAATCCAGAATGGAGGTCACCCCATGTCGCGTTTAGAAAGACCCATTTCCCAACGTAGCGGTGCAAAGGGACAGCCTGAAAAGCAGTAATTGAGTCTTGACTAGAGTGCCGTATATTCGCCTTTGGTCTTTTCGTCCATACTCCTATTTGACTTGTGAGCCATGTAACTCTACTCGAGGACAATGACTTGATAACTCTACCTTCTCGACCAAACCGAATCCCCCGTTGAATAGCATCCTCCCGGAAGATAAGCTTGACACCCCTTGTACACTTGAGGCCAAATCTTTCACAGCGTCTGCATTGGGGCTGTTCCTCAGTACACCGGATGTGTTTCTCTGCTATTGTCAGCGTGGTCGATCATTTTTACATGCAACATTTACCTTTGCACTGGAAACAACCGGTTCTTCTTCGAATATCCTGCTTCTTGTGTTGCGGCATTTCATTGAACCTTTGAAGAATTCGGGAGGGGGCGTGGTAAGGAGAGAAACGGAAGAGCGCGCGGGGATACTCTGTGGCGCTAGTCTGGCTCCTTATCAATGCCGTCTCTATCTACACAATAAAGGCATTCAGATATGCCAATATTTGAACTTTTGAGATCCTTTTTCCAGGTTTCTGTAGTTTTCTACTTGGAACGTGCTTTTTGGGCCAAATCAAAATGATCGAAGCATAGGAAACTACTATAGAAGTCGTAGATACTACTGAAATAATAATAAACCCAACTGCAAGATACATTTCCCTGACTCCCTCACGTAGTATACTTAAAGTCCTTCTGCTGAAAGTCCGACTTGTCCGCGAAAGCATCTACCAAATCCCCATGGGAATTAGGATTCCCTTCGTGAGGAGCAATGCCTTCCACCCGTCGACGATTCAAAGTCATCGCCAGAAACCAGTATACCCCCATCAATAAAACACAGATACAATAGCAAGCGAGCATAGCAATAAACCCACCCGTATACTCCGGTGCCTGGTCATCTCGAAATGTCTGAGGACCGATCAGGTTTCCTACCGCATACCCAATATAGAGGATTGAGTACTGGACAGTTTTCTTGGTGTTTCCAGCAGTGTTGGCCTGAGCCATGGAGATGCCGACGACATAGGGACCGAAATACGTGTACAGCTGTGATAGAAGCAGTGAGATTTTGTTTCAAACCTCTCCCTGTGAATTAAAAAAAAGCTTACCAGGTAGATTCCCACCATTTGTCCTCCAATATTGGTCCGAGGTAGAGTATATACCAGAATAGCCCCAATAATGGGAACACACGATGCCAGCATTGTCACTAGACAGCGGCGATTGGCCCATTTTGCGGCAATCCAGGAAAAGCAAAACGCAGAGAGCGTGGACATTACCCCAGTAGGCATATTGAGCAGGGAGGTGTTCACAGGCGTGAAGCCGAGATTGTTGATGATGATGCCGCTGAACGTTGTAAGCCCTCCGTTTGGGATATTGATGGCGATATTGAAGAAAAACAGGATCCATGTCTTGGGATCGATGATCGCCTCAAGAGCTTGGTCCCATTTCCACTGCCTATTGGTGATGCCGGTCTTGTTCTCGGCGAGGCGTTGTACTGCATGGTATTTCTCCCGGTCGTTGAGGAAAAATGCATTCATTGGTGAATCTGGAAGGAAGATGAATGCAATAATGGACCAGAGAGTGGATATTGAGCCTGCCAAGCAGCATCAGAGACAGCAATAACTTATCTGAACAGCGAAACACCTACCTGTAATGATAAAAAGGTATTGCCAGATCGCCAGAGGCGCGGTGGATGGGATGTGGCCTACAGCCCAGGAGAGAAACCCATTGACAATCGAGCTTGCGGCCGCAAACACCAGGGCATTCCGAGGTGGCTGCTCGGTCTTTTTATAGAAGCCAGCGACAAGAAGAGAAATCGACGGTACGATAATTGCTTCCAGACAGCCTGGCATTCTGGGTCAGTATTGCAGAATCGCAGCGGATACTCTTCGACTTACCCATAAAGAACCTCAGAGCCATCAGGCCACTCCAATTGCCGGCAGTGGGCATGAGCAGTGCCAGTACCGACCAGCCAATAGAGCACGCCGTGAGATACTTGGCCGAGGGCAGGCGATGTACAAAATATGTCGATGGCCACATGCCAACAATCGACTGTTACCGGTTAGAAACCACCAACGCAATGATATGCAGAGATACGAACACCCAGCGACAAGATGGATCCAGCCCATGAGTATTGCTGGCCCACCAGGTGAAGGTCTGTTTTGAGTCCGTAAATCGCAGCCGTGCTGATAGCGACCTTGTCGACAGCCCCGAGAGTGGCCGTCATGAAGAGCTATGAAGGACAGGGTGAGATAACTGTCTGTTTCCTTGGGGGGCAACGAAGCATACCATTGGCAGAAGAATCCAGTCCATTTTGCGAATCATTCGCTTCTCTTCTTCAGGGGACAGAGGCGCAAAGCCCTCGTGGTGAGCGAGATACTCGGCCGCCTCGTCCATGGCTTTGGGAACATCCTGCTTCTCAGCGGATGTTTCACACGCGGGCTCTTTCTGTTCGGCCATTGGAAAGTAGTTGAATGCTGTTGCTGTTGTAACTTCAAACAGTGATACACGGAAAAGACAAAGTCCCGCCCCCAATCCACCCCGACATCGTAGAGCATCTTATAGTTCCCCCGAGTGAGCATCGTGAGATAAGCCCACGTACCACGGGTAATGGACCTTCCTTCTTTCGGGGGTTCCCCGCAAGCCGCTATCGTCGCGTGGTTGATAAAAGCCATGGAACGACCCACTCGTGATTGGCGGATACACGAAGGATCCGAGTCCCCGCCGTGTCGACCTTCCCAGCTGCTGCGACGTGCGGAGGTGGAGATGCTCCATGTTGAGCTTATCCTCGGCCGTATCGACCTTCACTTTGGGAGGGCTCTGTGAGTGCCAGAGGACTATATAAAAACTCATTGATATCCTACTGTTGCCATGATGTGCAAAGTCCAATTTACTTCGCATTTCTCCGGGCGCAATGGCCATCAAGTCAACTACTGAGAAGGTGAAAGTTGCCATTGGTGAGGATTACTTGGGCTATTCTGTCATCTACATGCAATGCTGATCTTCGATCTTAGATCGTGGTGGCACCTTCACCGATGTGTGGGCTAGTCTTCCAGGGCAGTCCGACGTTGTTCTCAAGCTGTTGTCGGTTGATCCCGCCAACTACAACGATGCTCCAACAGAGGGTGCGTACAGCCTTTGATTTTCGTTCGCCCAGGTCTAATGTGGACATAAACAGGAATCCGCCGCGTCCTGTCGCTCTACCGGGGCGAGGAAATCCCCCGAGGTGTCCCTCTTCCTAAAGGCGATCTCGAGTCAATTCGCATGGGCACCACCGTGGCAACAAACGCCCTACTCGAAAGAAAAGGAACAAAACATGCATTCCTTGTGACCAAAGGGTTTTGCGATCTGCTAAAGATCGGTTATCAGTCTCGGCCGCGGCTCTTCGATTTGAACATCGTGAAGCCGGAGGTGCTGTACTCGGATGTGCGAGAAATCAACGAAAGAGTCACAATAGAAGGCTTCGATGAAGATCTAGACGGCCTCTTCCAAACCGACCAGGAAATCCCCGGCGTACTCGTGAAGGGATCCAGTGGCGACATGATCCGCATCTTGCAGCCGCTGGAGGAATCGGCTGTGCGCCAAACCCTGAAAGAGTTGCGGTCGAATGGCGTCGATACACTCGCCGTGTGCCTCACACACTCTTACGTCTTTCCAGAGCACGAGGAACGAATCAGGAACCTGGCGGTGGAAGAGGGCTTCACCCATGTTTCTCTGTCGTCGTCTGTCGCTGCGAAGATGATCAAGATGGTTCCACGAGGAAGCTCGGCATCTGCAGATGCGTATCTCACGCCTGAAATTAAGAAATATCTCCGTGGCTTCGCCAAGGGTTTCCAGGAGGGGAACCTCGACGGCGTCCGCTGCGATTTCATGCAGTCGGATGGCGGGTTGGTGAGCCACGACAGTTTCAGTGGTCTTCGGGGCATTCTCAGCGGGCCTGCCGGTAAGTTCTATTTTAAAGTTGTGCTTTTAATATTCCTCTCCTTTCTATTATCGACCTCTTCCCACTTTTGCAAAGCACTAACACCCACCAGGAGGGGTCGTGGGTTATGCCCGTACATCCTACGACATAGGATCCCAAACACCCGTCGTGGGCTTCGACATGGGCGGCACATCCACAGATGTCTCACGCTACGGGGGTACCTTCGAGCACGTCTTCGAGAGCAATACCGCCGGCGTCACCATCCAGAGTCCCCAGCTGGATATCAACACCGTCGCAGCAGGTGGCGGATCGATCCTCTTCTGGCGAAACGGACTCTTCGTTGTAGGCCCCGAGAGTGCCTCTTCACACCCAGGCCCGGCTTGCTATCGCAAAGGCGGTCCTTTGACGGTGACAGATGCCAATCTGTTCCTGGGGAGACTTATTCCAGATTTCTTCCCCAAGATCTTTGGCGAAGATGAATGTCAGCCACTCGATTCGGAGATTGTAAAAACAAAATTTATTGCGTTAACTGACCAGATCAACCGCGAGACTGGCAAGTCTCTCAGTCCCGAGGAGGTTGCGTGTGGATTCTTGGATGTGGCGAATGAAGCCATGTGTCGACCGATTCGCGCTTTGACTGAGGGCAAGGGATATGATATTGGTATGTTTGCAGCCGGATGCTATTTTCTCTGCTCTTCTAACATGATATAGCGCACCACAACTTGGCCGTGTTTGGAGGCGCAGGTGGGCAGCACGCCTGCGATGTGGCCAGGACCCTCAAAATCTCCACGATTGTCATCCATAAGTTTTCAAGTATATTGTCTGCATATGGTAAGCATATGAAATGTGGCATGAGGACAAGAGGAAAGAAGAAAATGCTGATATCGACCAGGAATGGCGCTGGCAGACGTGGTCCAGGAGGCCCAGGAGCCCGTGAACGAGACATATAGCGATTCCTCTCGTGGTCGGCTCGAAACTCGACTTTCAATACTGCAAAAACGAGTACGAGAACAGCTTCTCCGCCAAGGTATCTCAGATGGTGACATCTCGTACGAGATGTACTTCAACATGAGATACCAGGGCACGGAAACCTCGATCATGGTCCTGCAGCCTTCCAACGGCGATTTCAAAGCCGAGTTCCAGAAAACCCATTTGCGCGAATTTTCCTTTATCTTCCCAGATGGCAGGCCCATTTACGTTGATGACGTGCGAGTGCGAGGCATTGGAGCTAGTGGCCGCAAAGATTGGGATGGTCAGCAGCTAGGAGAGCAACTGCGCAATGTAAACTTCCAGCCGGCTTCAAATAAACTTGCCGAGCGAATGGTAGGACTTGGATTATGCTGAGGGTTGATTGTTTAGTGCTAACACTGAAGATTAGGTTTCGATGTACTTCCAAAATGTCGGATATCAATCGACCCCAGTGCTGCTGCTCCAGAACTTGTCACCTAACCTCTTGGTCGAAGGGCCTGCGGTGATTATTGACCAGACACAAACTCTGGTCGTGACCCCTGGCGCTGTAGCAAAGGTCCTGGCCTCGCACATCGTTATTGACATCACCTCTACAACAGCGACAACGGTGAAAGAACCATCTGTAGTAGATCATATTCAGCTCTCAGTCTTCGGGCATCGGTTCATGAGCATCGCCGAGCAGATGGGCCGCGCTCTTCAGAAAACAGCCGTGTCTCTCAACATCAAAGAGCGCCTTGACTTTTCATGTGCGCTTTTTGGACCCGAGGGTATGTGATTGACTACTCGACTAGAAGCCTCAACAGCAAAAAAAAAAAATAACAAGACAATAATATACAGGAAACCTCGTTGCAAATGCACCCCATGTCCCTGTTCATCTTGGCTCAATGAGCTATGCAGTCAAGTACCAGCACCAACTGCACAAAGGGAAATTGTCGCCGGGAGACGTTCTCGTCGCCAACCACCCCGAAACTGGAGGAACCCATCTCCCTGACATCACGGTCATCACACCAGTATTCGAGAAGACCGGCTCAACGGTAGCCTTCTACGTCGCCTCGCGCGGACACCACACCGACATTGGCGGGCTCGGCGGCACATCCATGCCCCCGAACTCGACCGAGCTGTGGCAAGAAGGCGCGGCAATCCGGTCGTTCAAGCTCATTCGTGGCGAGACGTTTGACGAGGAAGGCATCACAGCCATTCTCCAGAGCCCCGGCGAGTACCCCGGGTGCACAGGCAGCCGACATATCGCAGACAACATCTCAGACCTGAAAGCACAGGTCGCAGCCAACCACAAGGGGATGGTATTGGTCCAGGCGCTGATCGAGGAATACCGGTTGCCAGTAGTCCAGCTGTACATGAGCGCCATCCAAGCGAACGCCGAGCTAGCCGTGCGCTCCTACCTACAATCCACGCTCTCGCGGCTCGGACCGCACCTCTCAGCCGTAGATCAGATGGACAACGGGTCATTAATCAGGCTTTCGGTCAGCATCTCCGCAGACGGGTCAGCAGTTTTCGACTTCACAGGCACAGGCGTCGAGATGCTAAGCAACATCAACGCACCACCTGCAATAACCCACTCAGCCATCATCTACACAATGCGCCTCCTAATCGGCACAGATATCCCCCTTAACCAAGGCTGTCTCGCCCCGATCGACGTCATCCTCCCCAAGGGATCATTCCTCAACCCGTCCGCCGGCCCAGCCGTCTGCGCCGGTAACACGCAGACCTCGCAGCGGCTCGTCGACGTCATCCTGCGCGCCTTCCACGCCGCTGCCGCCTCGCACGGCTGCATGAACTGTCTGGGTTTCTTCGGCGAGGGTGGCACCGACGCCGCGGGCAACAAGCTGCAGGGCTATGCGTACGCCTTTGGCGAGACGATCTGCGGCGGCTCAGGGGCTACGGTGGCGCAGGCGGGTGCGTCTGCTGTGCACACCCACATGACCAACACGCGTATCACGGACCCGGAGAGTCTGGAGAAGCGGTACCCCGTCATCCTGCGGGAATTTGCTATCCGGTGTGGTACCGGTGGTAGGGGGTATCATGATGGTGGGGACGGCGTGGTGCGCGACATCGAGTGTCGGGCGCCGCTGAGCTTTAGTGTCATTACTGAGCGCAGGAGTGTTGCGCCGTATGGGATGCAGGGCGGTGCTGATGGGGAGAGAGGCGCTAACTACTGGGTGCGGCGCGTCGAGGATGCTTCCGGTGGCATCGATTGGCGCTGGGTCAATATGGGGTCGAAGAATATGGTCCGCATGCAGACTGGGGATCGTTGTGTTATCCATACACCTGGTGGCGGAGGCTGGGGCTCACCTTCTACAAATGGATCTGTGAAAACTGTGCCCAAGAAGATGATACTGGCGCAGTATCCGAGAGCAGGCGGCAGCGTGGCTGCCTATGCTGCGGCTCAAGAAGCGTCCAACTGATTCATGTGTTGGCTGGGCACACAGGAGGTCGAAAATGCCTATAAATATGAAGTGTTCTTGGTGATATTCGGTCTACAGTTTCTACTATTTCCAATAAGTGCTCAAGGCTGCGTCAAGAACGTCGTCTTTCACAAACCACTGCTCTTGTTTCTATACCGCTATAATCCTTGCTCTCTTATTTATTAAATTTCATTTCGAATATCTTTCCTACCGAAATGAAGTGTCTCGATATTCCCGTGGACCACCGCCTCCTCCCAATAATCCAGCAAATGAAAATCCCGCCGAGCGAACAACCCAGCTCGCATCTCACGATCCTCAACAACTTCGCCGAAAACCATCCAACCGGAACCCCAATCCCGAGCAGCGAAATCCATCACGGCTTAGAGCTCGCGGGACCCGACCGAAAGGGAGGCGTCCTAGTCACGCTACTCCAGCCGCCGCGAACGCAGACATATGAGAATGGCTATCCCGCAGATCTAGCAAGCTGCCCCACGACCAAGGCCGTCAATGAGCTGATAGCCACGGCAACCAACCATCAGCTAAGCATCGACGAAGTTTGTGCGTTTGATCGCCTGCCCTATGTGCACGGGGGTTTCAACAACGACGACGACGAAGTTATCCAAGAGGCCGAGCGCACTTTTGAGGATATGGTGCGGACCAAAGAGCCCCAGGTCGTCCTTTGCTGCTATGGTCAGAAATCATCCCTGATGAGAGGCGAAATAACCTGGGGTCTGTATGGTCAGGGTGTGGGGGAAGTGTTCAAGGTACCTGAATTCGCGATCAGTTCGGATTGCACGACGAAGCGAGTGAACGCGTTTCATCCCAGCTATGCGGTCAACTACTACACATCTTACAGCTGTTTTCGGCGGCTGCTTCTCTTGGAATTTGTCCAGGCTTTTTGCTTGCTGGTCGGACCATGGAAAGAAGAACAGTGGATGAGAGACTTGCGCTCTGAATGTTCCAGTCTTGGGAAACGACTCTACAGTAATGGATTTTGGATGAACCCCCTTTTTCTTTTTCTATCTGTGTACTGACCTGTCATTCTTCATTGCAGAAGAGAAAAAACCGGGTCAGCAACCATCTCCCCAGCACCGCTGGGAACATATCATGGACTCCCTCACGCAGGCCCTTTCCAACATGAACTATTTCCGGATAGACTTCAACAGCAACGATCTCCACGACCGTCTACAGAGAAGCAATCTCTCCTGGCACTGCGCGGATGCGTATTTGTATCTGAGCAAATACAGGACCCCCCGTGACAAGAAAAAGAGACCATTTGCTTCGGTGTCTCTTCCCCAGTTCCGCACCTGGTGCACGCAGGCATGCAAGCCCGACAAGCTCAATCAAACGAGCAGACATGGAGACAAAGATGCCCGAGGATATTTCGACGGCCAGTGTCTATCGAGTACTCGGATCAAGCTTCTTCATTCGGATGCAAGTCGTCTGCAAGAGATTTTTTTCAGTTTTCTGAGGGATATCAATCTTTCCTTTTGGGGGACAGCCGATAGGTGCGAAGTGTCTATTCAGCGGGATGCGTTTTTGCGGTTTTCTGACAGGCTGGAGAGAGCTGCGAGTCATCTTGGCGGGCTATCGTATGCAATGGGAAGATTGCACATAGAAGAGACGGAATGCTAGGGGCTGGGTTTGCTATACTTATAACTGATGAATGCGCTGATTCGAGATATGTTGGTCAAACCTATCGCTATTCATCTGACAAAACACCTACAAGAGACTGAATATGCTATATGCTCCAGATGCCATCGGGTTCATATAGAGAAATACTATTAGTAGCGAGATCCAATGTACATTCTTGTAAATAACCACAGATTCCCTGCACGGCTCTTCCTCGTCAATATTCATTTAAATGCAGCTTCTTCCCAACAAAGCGGCGTTTCATAGGTTTCTCTCCACGCTGTTCGCGCTCGGCATTAAGACCCTTAAGAGCGTGGAGGAGCATACCAGCATCGAAGAAGCCATCTAGTGCCATGTCAGCTGCAACCAGAACCATAGAATCTAAAAAGAAAAAGAAAAGAAATAAAGAAAGGGGAGGAAAGAAAGAAGTAGTCAACTTACATCCACCCATGCCATCATCCTCGATATCACCACTATCCGTAGTCGTAGTAGGCGTATCAGCGCCCCGAGCATCCCCACGAACAATACGGCCCCGGCGCTGCGGATCATTCTGCAGACGCTCGGCAAGAGCCTCAGTCTCGCGCGCGCGACTGGTGCGCGGACTCGTAGTCTTGCGGTTCGTAGCGCGCAGCAACTTGCGGATCTCAAAAAGGTACGACTCGAGGGTATGCATCAGACGAGCCGTCTGGCGGTGCTTGGACGAGGCGCAGAAGGAGATCGACTCGTCCTTGATGATATACCCGATGCCGAAGCCGTCGGCAGAGGTGGGACCGAACCCGAAATGGCGCAGGCAGGGGTTGCCGCAGTTCGAGGTTGATAGCACGGTGTTGTTGATCTTGTCCCAGCCCGGGTCGCTAAAGATGGCGGGTGTGGGTGTGGTGGCGTTGCGGATAGCACGAAGGCCGCTGCTACTGCCCGCTGATGATGAGAAGCCGTCGTCGGATGCTTCGGAGAGTTTCGGCGATTCGGGGCTATCGCCGGCGCTGGAGTACCCGCCTGCAGAACTGGTTTCGTGGAAAAGTGCATCGTCAAAGGATCGCTGCCATAGGCAGTAAAGTGCATACAGGTGCCGGTCCTGGCCCTGACCCTTGGAGCAGTCCTTGGTGATGGCGGTGTGCTTCTGAGTCGCGGTGCGCAGCGCGTCCACCTTGCGCTCTGCCGGGTTGTCGCCCCAGAATGTGCTGACGAAATCTACACTCTCGGGGGTTACTGTGCGCACGGCTTCGGTGCGGCCGTGCAGAAACATTTTGGTCATGGCGGGCTCGTACGTGTTTTCCACGCGGCCATACAGGCCGTAGTAGGCAGCTTGGAATGCCATTTGCACAAATGCGTCTGGCGAGAACCCCATCGATGTGATGAAGTTCTTACCGAAGCCTTCAAAGTCCAGCACCTGGAACTCATGCTGGTGCAGCAGGTCTGAGAGGTGCGACTCGGCGAACCGCAATGCGATGTTGAGTTCAGGTGCCATGTCCCATTCGAGCTTGCGGGGAGTCGTGCTGACATTCCCAAAGCTGCGCGGGTCCCGCTTGGCCGGGTCGGGGCTGGTTGTCGCCCATAGACTTGGTGCTTGACCGTTGATCGTCTTCGCAAACCGCAGGATTGTATCCGTGTAGACATCACTGGCAAAGCGCAGGACTGTATGCCCGTCCACACCGGTGTGCTCGAAGTTGATACCCGCACTGCCGTTCTTGCAGACAATAATCTGGAGCTTGTCGTACCATCGGTTGGTGCAGGTGCCGACCTGGACTCCCTTGATCACCTCGCTTGTGCCACAGAGCATGTTTGCACAGAGCTCGGCCGTGCTAGACGGCTCCGTATCATCGAGGCAAAGAACAAAAAGGGCAGTGTCGACAATATTAAGACACTCTGCGTTGTTTGAAGCGGGATCCTTGGTCATGATATCCCGTAACCCCGACCACACCTTTCTGTTTTCCGTGCTGAGCACACCCAAGGCACCCTTGGCGGCATCCTGAATCGGCGTTTGCGCGGAGTCGTCTATGATGACATGCAAGTTGAGCGAGATGTCTTTCTCGGTCATGATCAAGTCGCTACTGTCGTCCAGGACATCGAACCAATAGAACTGCCCTCGGCACATCACCACCACATGCTTGGCCGAGGGGTCCTGGCTGATGACGCACCCGTTTTCGGTGGGCAGACGAGCGGTTCCGAAGATCCGTGAATATTGGTACATGCAGAGTGGTGTCCCTCGAACGGTGTCAGGAGGCAACTCTTCCCGTCGAACGGCTCGAACGAAAGATAGTGCCGAAACTACCAAGGAGGCTGCTCGGGTCACTTGGTGGTTTCGCGCGGGAGTTGGATCATCCTCCAATAAAAAAAACGGATTGAGATTCATAACGACCGCTGGAAGGAGTTAGATGCTTATAACAAAAGAAAATCACATTTGGGTAAGATCGGTCTTACGGTTGTCGAAATTCAAGTAGGAATCATACCCTGGGGTCATTAGCTTCAAATTTTTGATTATTTCCTTCTTGCTTCTTAACATCAACTTACAAAACTGCTCAATATAGCTCGTTTTCGACGAAGCATAGTTCTTAAGCTTCTCCTGCATAACAGGCCCATCGGTCTTCAAAAAGTCCCGCACAGCAGCCTTGGTGTCCTCATGTTCCCTCGGGCCTTGCAAAGCAGCCAGAGCATCAAGATGTCTCCGACAGGTATCCTCGAGGTCCGGAATCGGGAGTTTCGGCAGCGAATCTTGGTTCGCAAAGGTCAGACCCTGGGCTATGGGCTTGTGCAGCTCGACGCCGCGAGAAGAGGGGTGTTCGGTCGAGACATTGGGTCTCACAACCGTATGGCCTTGCGGCTCGCCGCCGGCGTTTTTCTGGGTGTTGGGGTGATTATGATGGTCCATGGCATTCCCAAGAGGCTTTGGAGCTGTGAAGAAACGGACTGCCATGGAGGAATAAGACATGGGGTTAGTTCGAGAGACGATTCACAGACAAGAGACAAGACAAGATCACGCGTAGCGACTGGCGAGGCAGGTGGGAATGGACAGGAGACGCAGGGCAGTGCGGTAGAAATAGTGACAGTCTTGTAAGCAGTATGGTGGCATTGAGACTACCTCGAGAGGATGGATGTATGGAGAGAAGTTCGATGCAAAGAAAGAGAGGAGAACGAGAATGGGAAGACCAGAAGGAAACTAAGAACTACCCACGGGACAGCACAGAGATATAAATGCTAGGAAATGAGATCACCGGTCTTCAGAAAGCAAAAAAAAAAAAAAAAGCCCCGCGATGGCTTGGTGGAACCGGCTCGGGTCGAAGGGAAGAACTGAACGGAGCAAAGGACTTACAGAGAAGAAATCGAAGCACCCCTCCAAGGGAGAAAGCGGGTTAGCGTCCGGGAGAGAGCTATCGTAGGACACAATGAATGGCACCGGAGCAACGGATGAGCTTGCTGAGACCTTTCGTCAGATGATTTCAGCCAAGAGAAGAGCAGCAGCTGTCGCTCGTGTCGGCAGAACAAGAGACCGAGTCACCAGGCGATAAGAGTGGTCAGAGTAACAGAAATAGATTTGACAATAGCTAACACCTGCGGGATCAGAGTCGGAGGACATTTAACATGCTAACCCGACGTACATCACGCCCCCACCGTCTCGGGGACGGTTTCGGTCGGGATGTGACGTTTCGGGCGAAGGGAAATGCGGAGAGCTATCTAGGTCACGTGACACGCGCGAGATCGCTATTGCATCTAGTTACAAGGAGAAAACGGAGATTCTAGACAGGAAGTGCAATTCATGATCACGCTGGAATCATACGTTGTACATCACGCTTGTAAAAAGGACGCCGGAGACTGTATCCACAAGAGTTAAGCCGCCAACAGTGCATCGACCACAATGCGACGGGTCAAGAAAATATTCACAATTGAAAGAGGGATCCCGCATGTCCCCGGGTCTGCCGAGAGAGGCCGGGTTGGGCACTGACAATTACATACAGGGTGGTTTCCCGAGGACAGAACACCTGAACCAGGCCAGAGTATGTAATCAGTGCCAAACCCTGCCCTCTGGAAGGACCCTAGGGAACCAGAGTGATGTACCCGGAGCAGGACATGCAGGCCAAGAAGAAGAAAACATGTCAAAATAAAACAAAAAAGGGTTCAAGATAGCGAAGGTGGAACGTTGCTGGAAGAGCGACGCGTCGTGGTAGTCCCATCCAGAATGTGTTTAGGGGGCCGTGTAGACAGGCTTTTTCAAAGGTCTGTTGACATTGTTGGCGTATTCCTTTTGCATGTTACCGGCTGGAGAGTAATTGCAGACGGTGAAGGGAAGAGCCTCGGAGGAATCGACGTTGCCGAGCGATTGGCATGTCACCGTTGAACAGCCGACATGCGTGGTGCCCTTCCAGACGATTTGACTAAAGTGGCCCCACTTGTCAAAGAGAGCCATGTCAGGGTCATCTTGTCCGTAGAGGTCCTCGAAGTAGCCCATCTCATCATTGTACATCAGGTTGGAAATCATCTGGCCAACATCTTTCTCCGACTTTCCGTATCCAATGTTCTGGCCATAACCGCCACCGTCGAGTTTGCTGTGCAAACAATCTAGTCAGTACTGTGGATGTTCAAAGAAGGAATGAGAAGGGGGGAAAGGGAATGACTAACGTGTTGTGCTGATAGACACAGTCCTTAGCCAGGTCATGGGCACTGTGGGCGAGGGAGTCGGACCATTCAAGCGAGTTGGCCGAGTGGTTGCTGCGGTGGACATTGTGGCTGTAGAGGACATTGTGCTGGTAGGAATTCGTCGCGGTCGGGGCAGCAGACGAGGTGGTGGTGGTCATGCTAGACGTGGGCTCAGGGGCAGGCGTGGCAGCCTCGGTCCAGGAGGTCGAGTAGTACGAAGTCCAGGCCGTGGTGGCTCCATCTTGATTCTCCTTGACGTCCGTTGGCTTGGGCGCCGGGGCGACCGTGGATTTCTTGGCCAGCTCCGAGACACTGGAGTCAGTGTTCTCCGGGGCGGGCTGGGACTGGGTGTCGGCCTGGGCAACCTGATTGGTGTCGTTGACCGGGGCCTCTGTGTGGGTGGGAGTGGGAGTGGCAGTGGTGGTGACAGCAGGGAGCGTCTTGGTGACGGTCTCAGTGACGGTGACCACCGTCCACTCGGTCGTGTAGGCGCGCGGGTCGAGGACGTTTCCACACACTCCCGCAGCGAGGGCGGCAAACAACAGAGCAGAGCGCATGATGAAAGATCAAAATCAAAAATCAAACCAAAAAAACACAGAACTTCACCAGGAAGTTCAAGAAGTCCAAGAGAGAGAGTAGGGAGGTTCAACGAGCAGATCGACTGCCGTTGGACTAAGGAGTGTCTGTATGTACTTGGGAAGCACTTGGGATTGATAAAAAAGAATGACAGGCCTCAACACTTTTCTTTCTTCGAACGAGTGAAAGAAAGAAAAAGTGTAGGCTGAAAGCAATAGAACCAAGCGACGATGGAAGAGAGAAAGAGAGAAGCGGGAGAGAGGTGTAAATGTAGAAAGGGGATGAGTGGGGCCGTGCGAAGATCCCAGCAAATTAGTTTAATTAGAAGCGCAGGAGATTAATGCTTGAGATTGATTGAGTTCCATATGAAAATGCACCTTCAACAATTTTCTCTTTCATTTCAATCTGCAATGCAATCGCTACTTATTGCTCTCTTGTTGAGGGACAACCGCCAACCTCTCAATATTTGAAGCCATACATACCACAACCCGGCCACTCGTTGGCCTGGCACGTTCCACATTCCAACGCGTCTCCGAAGCGCCTAATCGATTGGACCAGCACTTACTTGCTGAGGCTGGGTAATGCAACACTATCCATGGTTTTCTCCGGGCTAGAAAACAGCACTCTCAAACCATGGACTTGTGTGATATGCGACCCCCTGGGTGGATCCCAAATCCCACTAGCGGGCCTCTAAGTCTCCGCTTAGGGGGGGGCGCTAGATGCCGCGCGTTCAGGATTTGTGATGAAGATCATTGTGCAGGAACAGAGACCCTAACATAAATCAGAGACACAGAAATCAACTCATACTCTAACTATCAATATCATCAATAATACCGACATAAACATAAATATTGACACCGCCAGAGAGAGACATATTATGCGGCAGGATGTCTAGCGCAAGATACAAAACATGAATCCCCCTTGCCAAGTTTCAGACTCCCCTTGCACATCCAATCACCAGGCTCTTGCTGGGCCAACCGGGAGATTACTCCGTCACACTGATGCCGCTAACAAACTTGGCTTTCGATGTGGCTGATTCGACAATTGGCCTGGATCGGGCTGATCTGAGATTGATTAAACCTCTTTGTAGGCACTATGACTCGTGATTGTTTCACTGATATTATAGAAATGGGGATTTGATTACTTACCGCGCATGGCTCCCGGGCTGAGTTGTTTTGAATCGGATAAAACAGCCCAGAATCAGCGCGGAGTTGGGGCTTACTGTCAACTTCCATGGGAATTGGGGCCAAGGTGCAACCATGGTAATGTCCCTTGGGACAACATGCACAGTATGGAAAATACTGAGATTATGGAACAGGTGGACCACCGTAAATGATGTACTCGGCAATCTCGGAGTCCATAATGCACCATTCATGGAGTTCGAACCTTCTCCGCTCCCTGCAAATCAGAGTTTCATAGTCTCAAGTCTCACGGTCTAACCCTGGTAATGAAGCCAAGTCCCAGTCCCAGCCCTAGCCCCAAGAAACAAGAGTACAGAATGCACAAGTTAGCTACAACGCCCCAACACACAAGAACACGCCTTTTTCACAACCCCCCCCTCCAAGTACTTCGATCTAAAGATCCACTGTCTTACACCGTCCAGTTTCGCATACCAGCAAGTAGTTCTTCGGTGGATCGGCTTTCAGCTCCGCAAACAATGGGTTACGCGACTTCACCCAAAACGACTGGTTGCCCACAAAATCCTTCAGGTGGGACGGCCGGATGTCGACCAGCGAGGTCACTAAGATGCACGTAGACAGAGCGACACCGGCTTCCGCTCGCACCCGCCGTAGAACAAGATCACGGGCCGACATGGGTTCATCCGTCCGGCTGAGGAGGCCATCGCCCTGTGGGACTGGCATGGACGAAATGTCTGTTGTACCAAACACCCCCGTCACAGTACGAGTTCCGATCTGAAGCCCCACGATAACATCCAGCAACCCAACAAAGAGGAATGGGTGTTGCATGATCTCCACGGCAAACGAGTTGCAGGTCTGGCGCGCCAGCGTCCGATATCGATCATCCGCGAGCAGAGCCCCGAGTCGCAATAGATTACGTGCGATCACACCGTTGACCGAAGGTGTCGCTGACTCAGTGCCGGTCTTCAGTCGGAGAAGCGGTCCTGGCATACCAGGAGTCATGTGGGATGGGGTGCTATAATAACCGGCGGGCGTGGAGTTCGTTTCGGCAAGGAAATTCTCATTGAGATACTCTGGGGAGAGAAAACACCGTCAGTCATTGCAGCAATCTCAGGCAATGGACATCGGATATAACTTACTTTGCAACCGCTCCGCGAACTGCAGATAGCTGTCGTCGAATGTAGCCTCGTACATGTCAAGCAGCCCACTCGTCAAGTAGGCATAGTCGTCGGCGAAGCCTAGGGTATCTCCGCGGCTACCATCCCGATAAATACGCCACAGCTGCCCAGTGGCCTTCTCAAAAAGGTGTTCCTTAATGAAGCCGATCGCACGGGCTGCGGCTTCGCGACACTGCACTGCCTTGGAGCTCTCGATTTCCTCGAACAAAACGCTGCATCTGGCCAGAGCCCCGATCGCCAGTCCGTTCCAGGCCACAATAATCTTATCGTCAAGATCCGGTCGCCCTCGTGTTCGTTCGCGATAATCCCGCATTTTTTGTCTTCCGGCTTTGATCACCTTGACCACCTCGTCTTCTCCAAGTCCAAATTCACGAGCAAGTTTGCTGGGAGTGGCACGTACCGACAAAACGTTCTGATTCATAAACTCGTCATGCGGGTCATATTCAGGCGCGACATTTCCATCTGGAAGAACGCCCCAATGGCGAGCACAAACACCCGCATCCCGGGGACCCAGCACCTGAGTGAGCTCTTTCAGCGACCAAACGTAAAACGCACCCTCTCGCTTTTCTGTGTCATTGGGGGTGGGAAAGCTGTCAGCATCTTCTGACGAGAAGAACCCTCCAGTGGGCGATTGTATGGGAGCGGTCGTCAAGTACGCGGCGAGGTCGTAAACCGCACCCAGGAGTTCAGGGTCGTGAGTCTGGCGGAACGCATCCACATACACATCCAGTAGTTGTGCCTGATCATAGAGCATCTTCTCGAAATGAGGCAAAAGCCAGTCGGTCGTGACACTATACCGGGCAAATCCATGGCCGATATGATCTCTAATACCGCCGCGTGCCATGTTCACTAACGTCGTAACTGCCATAGCGGTTGCCTTCTCGCACTCGTCCTGGCCCACGATATCGGTGACCTGGCTCGGGTAGGCCCCCAGGCGGAGTAGGAAACTGAGATTTGTCGGAGTGGGAAATTTGGGTGCCCGTGAAAACCCGCCGTTGATAGAGTCATACCGAGACGCAAAATGCTGATACGCTTCTTCCAGAAGCTCGATGTCCAGGTCTTCGTCGGACTCGCGTTCGCCATGGTGCGAGTGCGTCCCTTCCTCGGCAAATTCTCGCAATTGCTTGGTAATATCTTTGGCGCTGTCAAGACATCGTTGTTGTTGAGTCTGCCAGACATCCCTCAGCTTCTCCAGAATCTCAACAAACCCAATCGAGTCTGGGCCCAAGTGTGTTGTGGAATTAGGGCCGGGCCAGTAGGTGCCACCAAACACTGGGTCTAGGTCTGGAGTCAAGAAAACATTCAACGGCCAGCCACCGGATCCCGTGGTGGCCTGGACATAGTTCATGTACACGTCGTCGATATCCGGTCGTTCTTCCCGGTCAACCTTGATGGGAACGAAGGACTCATTCAGAATTGCAGCTACCTCAGGCGACATAAATGACTCCTTCTCCATAACGTGACACCCTAGATGACATTAGAGAATGATCAACCAAGAAAGAGTGGGTTATCACACACAGTGGCATGCAGAATAGCCAATACTGAGGAAAACCAATCGGTTGGTCTTCTTGGCAAGCTCAATGGATTCGGCATCCCAGACCTGCCATGCTACCGGGTTGTTCATATGTCCTCTGACCTATTCGCCGTTAGCACCGTGCAGGACAACCGCGAAGCGACACGCTCACATAGGGTGATTTGCTCTGCCGGAGACGGTTGGCCAGTTTCGGCCCTGCCTCAGCCAGGTCGCTGGCCTGCGGCTGTATAGTGGATGCCGCCATGTGGATGGTTGATGAGTGCCCCGAAACTCCTTGGTGGTGGGGGTGGGCGGGCTAGTGAGAATCTATCTGTCGAGTCGATGAGGGGGTGCTAACGGAATCCGGCAAAGGACGACCTCAGCTGATACCAACCCCACGAAGACTGAAACGTGGTGAGTTAAGATTGGCGTTGGGCGCAAGTCAGGCAGAGTGAGCGGGGCGATGAAGAGAAGGCTGAAGCGTGACGAGCAGATAAGCGCACGAGAGCCACCACACCACCCCTCGGGAGATCGGCCCTGTGCGTCATCGACGCATCAAAGCACGTGACCCGCTGCAAAATGGCTATTTTCGGGATATACTGTACTCTATGGTCTATAATGCCTGTAAAATATTGCTATACATCTCATGAGGCGGGTATGTAGTGGCTGGGAGCCCGGAAGACTCGGGGCATGACGCGAATTCTCGAAACTGGGTATCACACCGTCTATTCATCCATCAGTTCGGCCAACTCGCGTTCCTCCTCTTCGGTCAGCATGCTCTCGGTATTCGGCTTGTCCTCTTCTGTGGGCGTGCCTTTCTGGGCCAGTTCCACTGCATTTTGAAGTTCGTCGGGTCGAAGAGACCATTGACGGATGGTGGCATCGATTCCCACGCTGACCACGGTCGAGCCAACCAGCACCAGGCCCGTAACCTCCTCAAAATGTCCGGAGAATGTGTGGTGAAGCTCTCCAGTCTGAGATGGTTAGTATCCTCCGTGCGAATCTGCGAGGGCGAGGGGGAAATACAGATCGATTCCACACTCGGACCTCTTCATCTCGACAAGCCGTCACAACCCAGCCTCCAGGTTCGTAGATGACGATATCTCGCACAAAATCCGGATGCACCAATGTCAGATTAGCTTTCCATCCGTCCTCCCGCATCAGACACTTCGCTGTCTTGTCAGCCGAGGCTGTCCAAAGGTCGGCATCGTTGTCGAAAAAGAGTTTGTAGACACTAGTATCATGGGGAAGTAGAGGCTCCGAGAGATCACCTCCAAGTAAATTGAAGGATCGAATTTCCCGATCACTTCCCGCAGTAAAAATTATTGCCTGTGAGCTTTCTGACTCGGGATCGACGACTAAATCTTGGATCCCACGGGCATGTCCCTTGAGAGTCTCGGTCCGCTGGCCGCTGTTTATATTGAAAACGAGGACTTGCGCATCGGCGCCTCCTGAAATCAGCCAATCTTCTCCGCGGAATCTGACACTTGTGACCGAGCGGACAAAATCGGTATGTCCTTCGTATTGCCTGTGCGGTTGACCCGAGCTCACATCCCAGCTCCAGATGGTCTTATCCCAACACCCAGCAAACAATAGCTTGCCATTAGGGCTCAAACAGACACTCGTTACAGGAGCTGTAGGGCCCTTGAAGAGGGCAGCGGTCTCTCCAGTCTGTGAAGATTGTGAGAACCTGGTGTCGCGCCAGGTAGAGAGGACTACTTACTTCGAGGACAATTCTTCTCACCGTGCCACTACTTTGCGCGATGTAGATAGATCCTGGATTCCACGGGTCTGCGCGAGCCGCTAGGATCTTGCTCGGTAGCTTAATGGGATTTCCATTGCTGTTCTGAGCCTTGGCGTCCTTTCGATGCTGCTCATCCAGCGCAGTGCTGTTTCCGATCAGTAACAAGCCTTCGAAGGTGACCATGGCTCTTCTTACGACGTCTGGAAGAAATGATCCCGGTTTGAGGAAGTCGCCATGATGCAAAATTATGTTGCTTGAAATTGGCAGGGAATAACGATTTTCATAATATCTGCCCGTCGACCCACACACAACCCAATCTGCTCTCGGAGCTCCTGCAGTCCGCCGTAGCCCGAGTGCACCACAAAACCAACAGATTTTGCCGTTCTTCCTTCTTCTCTTCTCAACTCCCCTTCCTTTTTCCCTATTCACACATCCCTCATCTTTCCTCACCTCTTCTGTCTTTTCTCCTTTCTTTACCTCGCGCGACTTCGCGCAGCCCGCCAAGATGGAAATGAACCATTTGATAGGGTCAGTCATCTGCACCTGCTGGTCGAAGCCTGGGTTTGTGCGGCTGGGCTGGAGTTAACACCTGGCAGTCAGCGTTTTAACCTAATCTCGAAAAGCGACATTCGGTAAGGTCCGAGAAAACTGGATTCCATGTTTTCCTCGCTCATTGTCTTTTAGTTATGTCGGCACTCTCCACGAAATCAACCCCGAGGCCTCCACAATAGCTCTTGAGAATGTCATGTCTTTTGGCACAGAGGGACGGCGAGGGAATCCTACAGAGGAGATCGCCCCGTCTACCAGTGTCTACGAATACATTGTCTTCCGGGGCAGCGATGTGAAAGACATTAGCATCGCCCAAGAAGAGAAAAAGGAGACCGCACAACCTGAACCACCCCGGGTACCTGATGACCCTGCCATCCTAGGAGTAAGTTGACACTGCCTTTTCTTGTGTTTCATTTGCCTCGGCCTCCGTGGACATGAGCCTCGGCTCTTTTCACGGTCGGCCAAATGATCAAATGATGAAATATTTTCGGATGTAAACTCACAGACCTGTTCTGAATGCGCAAAATCGTGTGGAGATTTCCGTTGCCTTCCTTCTGAATGATCAATTCCCTCATGCACAATTTCTCAAGTCATCTTGTGACTGTCACAGCTTGCTGACGGAAACAATAGAGCATGTCGCGACCTGGTCCTGGGCCAGGACCCGAGCCTGGCTCTGCGCCCCAGGGCCTCCCTCAGACTCAAGCACCTCCCCAGCCGCCTCAGGGCGCTCGCCAGACCCCTCCTGGCTATCCCCAACAGCCCCCATTCCAGCAAGGCTTCTACCCGCCGTATGGACAACGCTTCGGGCCTCCTCCCCCGTTTCCACCGGGCCCCGGGTTCCCAAACATGCCCTATGGTGCTCCGCCAGGATGGTACCCTCCCCCTGGCCAAGGGTTCCCGCAGGGCCCTGGTCAGTTTCCGCCTCAGATGCCTCTTGGTCTGCCAGGACAGCACCCTCAGCAGCGCCCGGGGCCTCCCGGAGTCGTGCCTGCCCCTAAGCCAACCTCAGAGCTTCCCGTAGGAGATAAAATCCCCAGCAAGCCCGCCAGCCGAAATGCTACCCCTGGTGCGCAGAATGCTCCGGTCCCGCCGGTTGAGTCAAAGCCATCTGTAGCGGAGGTGGTTCATGGCTCAGCAGGTCCTGCGGCTGCGGCCTCTCAGAAGAGTGGTCGGGTTATGCCGGCTATTCCGATCGCCGCGCCGAAGCCCGCAGCTCCCATCCCCACTGCGCCCGCAGCTGGTGGACAGGGAAACGCCCAAAACATTACGGATGCCACTGCCGCAGCCACGGCGGCTGTCGCTGCGGCCATGGCTAAATTGCCACAGCCCGGTGTGCAGAAGAAGCCTGGACAGGCCGATGGCCCTGTTGACTCCCTAACCCGGAAGATGAATGAGATGCGGCCTTATGATGGCGCGCGTGTTCCTCGTGGCGGACACCAGCACCCCCGCGGCGGGCGAGGCGCTGCTCGTGCTCCGCACAAGAAGTTTGAAGTCCCCGAGTCGGACTACGACTTCGAGACGGCCAACGCCAAGTTCAACAAGCATGATTTGGTGAAGGAAGCCATCGCCACTGGGTCTCCTGCTGCCGAAGCTGAGATCCACGCCGCCAACGGTGAGCCGGAAATCACCGAACCCGCTGCCAATGGCACTGCGTCCACGCACGGGTTGTACAACCGTACCACGTCCTTCTTCGATAACATCTCGAGCGAAGCTCGCGACCGGGAAGAGAACGCGGCCACTCGGGTTGGCGGTCGCGAGTGGCGCGGCGAAGAGGAGAAGCGTAACATTGAGACTTTCGGCCAAGGCAGTATCGACGGCTACCGCGGCAACTACCGCGGCCGGGGCCGTGGACGTGGCTATGGTCGGGGACGTGGCTACAATCGGGGCTACGGTGGCCGTGGCCGAGGTGGTCGCGGGGGCCGGGCTCCGTCGCAGTCCACCGGCGTGCCCTCGCAGGGCTAATTTTGATTGAATATCTGCACACATCTTGACTCTTCTAGCGACGGTTGCTATTTCTCGAATCTTTTGGGGGGTGGTAAAACCTATGACTGCAACGAATGATCATGGTTGAATCTTTTCTCTCGGCGCAATGGGAATCGGGGACGGGGCATACTGGGCCGGCAATGCGATCAGTGCTTTACGACAAGCACTGATGGGTTTTCGTGTTTTTTTTTCTCTGCTTTTACTTCCTTTCCTGTCATGCATACCCCCTTTGCGTCTTTCCGGCGGATATCTCCCTTTCGTGTTGTCACTGTCCAAGAACCAGAAGACGCAGAAATGCGAACATTGCAGTGCCTCCGGGCCTTAGCGCATGGATTCCCATCTCATGCGGATGTACCATATCACCCTTGGTGGCAACCTACAGAAAAACCAACAAAAAAAAAAGACGGCCGTCAGGTCTGAGAAGCAATTGTGTCCTCTACGTATAGTGCAATATCCAAGCCCCTAGTGGTACTCAGCCTGATGATGCCCATAGCGTATGTGGCTTGATCCGTAGATGCGGAGATGCGCTTTCTCCTTGTTCCCCGGCATCACTGATCACTCTGCTCGCCTCGGTAGTTGCGCTTCACTAAATCGCAGACCAGTGCTATCATAGACAAAACAGCTCATTTGGCCTTTCACGACAGTCACAATAGCATAGAAGGTTATCATTTTCCAGTCTAATTCTTTCGGCACAATACCAGGACCAACCTCGGGATCTGCCCTCGACCAAGTAGCAAGACTCGATGCCCTCGGTAGAAAGTAGCTTTCTCCTCTTCCTCTCTCCACTTGTCCCACTCGCTCTTATAGAAGATCATCGCTCATTTGTGGGGAGAGAATCAAGCTCCGCTTCTCCAGACGATCCAATTCCAAGTCACACACACACACACACACACTGTACCACGGCTCGCATTTTGGGGTTCTTATTCTGTTCATTCAAAGTTGGCTTCTCACTCGCCCTCTGCCAGACTCGTCGATATCTGGTCACATAGAAAAGAGAGCACGCGAGGAATCGCCCAACTTGCACAACAAAAGCGTCAAAATGTCGCCTGCTGTTGCTCAGGATCCGCAACAATTGCCCTGGGATCCTCACTGTATCACCTTCCCTGCTCGCAAGGATCTTCCTCGGCTATCTGGTGCCCCTGACGGTGCTGCTTGGGTGTGGGGGAAAGATGATCAGGTCTGAGAACCCTCGTTTGTTGAACTTGTTGCATCTACTTCTTTTTTGGTCTCTCCTGCTGATGAACCGGGTTAGCTGGGCCGATTAAACCTCTTGACGCCACAGCGAGTCAAGGGTGCTGCGGCGGAGATCCAAACGGGCGAGATGGTTCGACTGGAGTGAGTAGACAGACCATTATCATGAGCAGACCCGACAAGACTAGACCATCAGCTCATAAACGCAAATCTCAGTCTCCCGCTTGATGTTCCCGAGAAGCCTGCATTCGACCGCGAGACCTTCCAGCATACCATCAAGACGCTCGTGCCGGATATGGCTTACGATGACACTTACTCGCTGAACACGCAGAGTGGAACGCAGTGGGATGGGTTCCGCCATGTAAGGACTGCAGGACACCAACCGAGAACCAATGAGCTGGTGAATTGGAAAAAGCTAAGTGGATTATAACAGTTCTCTAATATCCCAAGCAAGACTTTCTACAACGGAGTATGTCTCGCTAAGCACAGTATTTCTACAGACCAAGGATACGGCTAACCTAACGAAATACCAGGCCAAAAGCACCGACTTTGTTGGCGACACCGCCAACACCCACAGCTGCAGCATCCACCACTGGGCAAACCACGGGATCGCCGGCCGAGGTATTCTGCTAGACTACCGGTACTACGCAATAACCCACAACAAGCCCTACGACCCATACAGCCCGCACGCAATCACATTCGCAGGATTGCAATCCTGCGCAACATGGCAGGGCATCAATCTCCGCCCGGAGTCCGAGGGCGGCGACATTCGCGTCGGCGACATCCTGCTCATTCGGTCTGGGTTCGTGGAGCGGTACGCCGCTGCAACCCGGTCCCATGACGATCTCGCCTTTGCGGGGCTGGCGCGTGATTCTGCGATTCGGGACTGGCTGCATGATTCTTACTTTGCGGCTGTGGCGGGCGACTCGCCTACTTTTGAGATGTGGCCCGTTCCTGACCATGACTATCTCCATCAGGATCTGTTGGCTTTGTGGGGGTGTCCCATTGGGGAGATGTGGGATCTTGAGACTCTTGCGGAGAAGTGTCGTCGGCGTGGGAAGTGGACTTTCTTCATGATAAGTGCGCCTGCGAATATGCCGGGTATGTTGAGCTTTTGTTTCTGCTGTACTATTGTTTGTTGATGTGCTGATGGCTGGGATAGGAGGGGTGGGCTCGCATGCAAATGCCACGGTCATTCTCTAGACCGTCTGGATCTCGTGGTTAGGGCTATATCTAGAAATTTTTGCCTCGACTATTACAAGTTTTCAAGGCGTCAGCTGCGATGTATATTCCGTGATTCACTGGATGCGATGAAAAATTATGCTATTAGGTGGAAACATATCTAGTCTAAATCATTCCCACAACATATTACAGCTGGATCGTGACATCCCCATCGTAGAAGTAAATAATAGCCGCCTCGGTATCAGGGATCAGCACCTCCGCCTTACCGTGATTCACATGGACGATCTCCTGCACCCGGCCCCCGAGAACATAATGGCCCTTACCCTTATCAACCTTGTGTGACCACTGCTCCCCAGCCCAAGTAACATTGTGCGTCGGACCCCCATAGTCCAATCCCAGACCAGCAGAGCCCTGCCCAGACTCCATGCGCTCCATGCGGACATTCTCAGCATTGCGGTCCCCAACATCGAGCGTCACGCTCGCGGCGCCCCGCTTCTCAGGCGAGGTCGGGTCCCAGCGCTTGAGGTTGATCAGCGCAATGCGCGCAAGCTTCCCGGTATGCACGTCGTACTTGGCGTACGCGGTGAACAGCTCGTGGCCCGTGGGCAGCTCGATCACCTTGCCCTGGTCGTCCTTGCCGACGAAGTCGGCGATGAACGGCGCGGATGGGAACACGCCTTGCACCATTGGTCGGCGCGTCTTGGGCGCCGACGAGTCGGACACCCAGAACGCGTGGGCGGCTTCGGGACGCATCGTGTTGGACACGCGCTTGACGCCGGCGGCCATGGCAGTTAGGTGGAAGTCGACGGCCCACATTGCGGACCCGAAGCCGCCAGCGTACTTAATCGGTCGGCCGCCCATGACGCCGGCGGTCTCGGACAGGACGAAGTCGATTTTCGGGTCTGTTTTCTTGATGTCTGCGATGCTCTTGTTGAGCGGCGGGAAACGTTCCGTGATGGCCGTGTGGTTCATCAGTGTTTCTGTACAAGAATTGAAGTCAGTACAATCCTTTGCGTCTGTTTGAATATCCGGATACACACGTTGCATCAGTTCCCCGGAATAATCATTTCCAGCCCCGACCTGGTAGAAGTGCTGAGCAGCGAACTTGGCGTAGCCATTTTTGGCAAGTCCACCCTCGACAACGTCGGTTCTGGAAGGGAAGAAGAGTTAGAACGAAGACTCAACACTATACGCCAAGAGACAGCTTCGATGAGAGGAGAGAAGACATACAAGGTAAAGTGCTGGTCGCGGTTCCGCTTGACAATCACCGAGTTGGGGATATCGCCGATCTCAAAGATGCGGCGGTCATCGCCCTCCAGGTGGAGCTCGTCGATGATACGCTTCTGCAGCGCCAGTGCGCGACGGGTGTATTCCTCAGGACCGTAGTTATAGTAGTCGGGCTCGTTGCCCAGCGCAATACCCGCAACCCGCTTGGGACCGAGCGCCTCGTACGCAAGCTTGACATATTCCAGAGACTGGTCCATCCAGTCCTCGGGCGCATACTCAGGCTTCTTGTGCTTGTCGTTGGTCATGTCGGCTCCGTGGGGAGCGTCCATCTTGGCTTCGCGTTTGGAGCCATCCTTGTTCTTCTCTTGGTACGGCGAGATCGGGGCCTGGATGGTCATAGTGGCATTCGGGAAGAGTTTGAATGTCTCAAAGTACGACGGGCCCAGCTCGAAGGTAGCCCTGCTGTCGATGGGGCAGCCCGGTCCTTTCACACATTTCGTGGCGTTGCTTAGATGGGGGTCGATGGAGACCAGGTCGCCGCTGGTGCCGCCAATGCGAATGATCAAGGGCTTGCCCATGCGAGCGCCGACAGAGGCGACGATGTTATCGGAGAAGTTGTTGTTGAAATGGTGGAGGAAGGCCGTCTCGAAGCCGAAGCTGAAGAAGTCCGCGGGAACTTTGACGGACCCGGCTGGTGCGATGGGCTGAGCACTGACGGAGCGGAATGAGGTGACATTCAGCTCTCGTGCATTGGTCAATGCAGAGAGCAGAAGTGATGCGGCCACTGAGGTCCGCATCTTGAAAACCAAAAAAAGAGGGGGAAGTATGGAAATAAAAATAAAGGAGTGACGTTAAGATTCAAGCTTAGAAACAAAATAAAATCATCTGCAGGGTGCGGGGGGCTTGATGGCGTTTATATTCCGGGGGTTCACGCCATCCCATATGAAGATCCTATTCTTGATTGCGCTAGTTTAGTGAGTTTAGTAAATTTAAGAAGGATTGCTGGAAATTATTGCTACTCTGCCGCGCTTGGGCCTAATGGGTCTGTACCGGGGGGGGGGGGGGGGGACACTAAGCGAAGGTTATGGATACTTTTTAAGGCGAGCTAACGGAGCGGCTATAGATAGTAAAGTAAAATAAGTGAAAAGTAGAAGTAAAGTAGCCCGGGCCACAGCTCTTTTCATCGTTGAGTTGGATCCAAGAATTGTACTAAACAAAATCTGCAGGAGCTGTGATCCAACAGTTCAAGTCACTGGAGGGACCAGGTGGATAGGGGCAAAAGATCCATCTACTGAAGCGAACAAGTCGGGCGAAGCTTCGCCTGGGTGTGGAGATGTTTATTATTGGAGCGCCCAACCACTAACCTTGCGAGGCCTCCCATAATAATAATGCAGCAGATCTATACTTAGTTTTAAGGGTCCAACGAATGGCCCCATGCCAAGTGGGGGGGGGAGCGTGGCTGTGAGCATTGCCTGATCCATGAGTCCCCATGGAAAGAAAAGAAAAGTTGTCAAAGAAACCACGAGTTCTCAAGACGGCACTTCAGACGAAAGGATCAAAGTTGTCTGTGCCCAACCAAGAACCATGATTACGTCGATCTGAAAAATGGGTTCCACGAACGCGGCTCAGTGGGGGCAGAATAAGCCGTTTGTAAAAAGGGCAAAAAAAAAACTGGAGTCGATGGAGTCTGTCAATCTTTTGCCAAGATTGTTTAGCCTCGATGAAGAGAGGCGTCATCATCACTATATCCAGTACTTGATTACATACCACACGATGTTACACGATTCAGTCGCGTAAATATAGACTGACTATTCCGGTTGGTATAATATAAACTCTGTTTTAATTAGAAATTTAGACCAAGAGACGACAATCAAAATATACAATTCCTATTAGGGTTATACTCCAAAAGGGGCGGCCCCCGGGGTCCAATATAATTAGTGGGCATGTTATTATTAGGGCGTGGCTCACGTTTTTGCTTTGACTATAAAGGTACCATGACATATGAGTTTGTTTTTATGTACATTGATTTGCCTTTGAATGGAAAAAATGCGATTGATAACTCACCATACTTCTTTTATGCTCTATGCATACTGCGATGGTTCCCTCCCCAGGCCATCTGCATCACGAATCCTAATATTCTTGGATGAGCAGGGTTCCCCGCTGCTTTAATTACTTGGCAGGGGTCCAACATTGAGGGGCTATGTAATTGGACTGATGAAATTAGCTCGGGCGTTGATATTTTTACTACAAAATGCCCCCGATTCCAGCACAGGCCCTGGATGTCCAATCTTAGATACATGCTCAATCTTGGCACCTTCGACCAAGATGTACGTAAATAGAACTATGGGATAGCTAGTCAGAGACTGCCGAGGGGAGTTTTCAGGCATTGGTGTCTAGTACTGCAGGAGCTGGATCAAATCGTGATGCATCAAAAGATCCCTGGGGTATAGTAGAGCCGGTCAGGTTGCAGCTTTAAGACAGTTCAAGTGAACAGATGAGGTGGGGGTGGAGCAAAGCTGACATGTAATCCCCGGGCATCTGTCAAGACACCCAGTTTTGCATGCTGCCCCAGAGAGGAGATCTAAGGCGTGCAATATTCGTCAAATCATAGATGATGGAAATTGATATTCTTCAATTAGAATATTCCCAACGGTAAAGGGGGGGGCAAGTTCTATCATTCTCTATCGAGTGTTGGTCAGACCGAATTGAACTGGAAGTATGCAAAACACAGCTCAATCTGAAATCTAGATATGCAATATCTCCTCGAATTTCATTGCTCTGGATCCATCGATGTCTCGATGCGACGGATAATGCGCGCAGGATTGCCAGCAACAAAATGGAATGGCGGAACATCCTAGCCAAAGCGTTAGCGAAATTGCTCAGTAGAGAAAAAAAAAAAAAAGTAGAAAACTTGAGGATAAAAAGAGAGAACCATACGCGAGTCACCACCGATCCAGCACCAACCGTACTCCCCTTGCCAACCCGCACACCAGCCAGCACCAGCACATTGCCACCAATCCACACGTCATCTTCGATATGCACCTCCTTGCCAGCCTCAGGACCCTTGAGTCCCTGTCGCACTGTCGGATCCAGTGGATGAATAGCACTGTAGATGGACACATTGGGCCCAAAGAGGACCCGTTCGCCAATAGTGACCAGACAGGTGTCCAGCACGACCATCCCAAAGTTCAAAAAAGAGCCCGGGCCGACTTTGAAATTGAGGCCGTGGTCAACCGTAATCGGGCCATCCACGAAGGGATCGGACTCGTCAAAGAGAGCCTCGTCTTCTTTGGGGTCGGGGTGCACTGGCGGCAGGGGTCGTGAGTCGCCAACAATACTGAAGCAATGAAGCAACTGCAATCAGCGAAAACCCCCTCGATCAATTTTGTTTCAGAGTCTTACTTTCTCCAGAGCTCTACTTTACGCCGCCGCGAAGCTGCCCCGGCGGCATTGAACTCGTCGCATGCTTGCTTGCATCGAGTGCGGTTGGCCTGCAGGTCTTCGTCCCAGGGCATGTACAGCTCGCCGCGGAGCATGCGCGCCCATTCCTTCGAGTTCGCCATGACACAGGATCGTGGTTTTTTTTCTCGTTAATTCGGGCGCGGGCTGCCATTTAAATCATCTCCAGAGCTTTGTATTTCGATGCTTTGGTGACGTCAAGTGAGCCCGGTGCGTTGGTTTACCCCATCGGGTAACTCGGCCAACTATGTGCATTTCATAGTATAATCTGCGACTTTTCTATCTCTTTGCCCTCGAGATCAGCATGGGATGGAATTAGATTCACTGTTAGATGGCTGAATATGTGCTCTCTCTCTCTCTCTCTCTCTCTCTCTCTCTCTCTATTCTTCGGTCTCTGATATGAGTTTCTATTTAATATTCCTTGCCCGGTAGGTCATTTTCCTGTCCCAAGTCATCATTGCAGGAATTGTTGAGATAATTGAATGAAGAGAAAGTTGGAAACTTCCAAGGGACATCAAGGAATCACTTGCATAAACAATTCTAAGCTCGACAATGATATCTTTTTCCAAGTGCCCCTATTTACCACTTTGGGGAAGATGCAAGTGGGTCAAGATGGACATGGGGCGCTCCACGTTCTCTCCACGCTGGGGCTCGGCCCGAGCTGCCGTTCGATGCTCTTTTATTTCAATTCGCAATTCCCCTTCGATGATTTTTTTTTTTTTTTCATCTTGCACTATGAGCACACAAACTCAGACAGAGACCTTTGTCCTACATAATCGTGCATCCCCCGAGCCTGTCGTCCACGAGCCGGCGCAAGAGCCAGAACCCGAACTCTCTCCCAAATGGCGGTATCCCAAGGTCCTCAGCGCGGGCATGTCATTCTTCGTGGCCGGCGTCAATGACGGCAGTCTGGGCTCACTAATCCCCTACGTGATCCGGTCCTACGGGATCGGCACGGACATGGTAGCTGTCATGTAAGTGTACAAAAGCCTAACATAGCATTCAAGTACCGGACTCTCGCTCAGTGCCAAAAGGTACGGCACCACCTTTGCCGGCTGGTTGGTCGCCGCACTTTCCAACAGCACCATCTGCCAATACCTCGACCTAGGCCCGATCCTCGCTGTGGGCGCAGCCCTCCAGATCCTAGCTCATGTGCTGCGCACCTGGATGCCTCCATTCGGGCTGTACGTGGTCACTTTCTTCCTGGCGAGTCTGGGCCAGGCATACAACGACACACATGCCAATACCTTTGTCTCGTCGCTGCGCGGTGCCCACCGCTGGCTCGGTTTCATCCATGCCATGTACATGGCCGGTTGTCTGGTGAGTCCGTTCGTGGCTACAGCCGTGGCGTCGGCGAACCAGGATTCACAGTGGGCGCTGTTCTACCTGTTTCCTTTGGGGCTGGGCGTGGCTAATTTAGCGCTGCTGGGTGTGTCGTTTTGGGATCGGATGGCGCTGGCGCCGAAGCGGAGGAGACACGTTGCTGGAATGTCTGGTGGTGTGGCTGCAGAATCAAGTGGCAAGTCGGCTTTGATGGAGATTACGGTGACGCTGCGTACGCCTGGGGTGTGGCTTTTGAGTCTTTTCTTCTTTTTCTTCTTGGGTGCTACTATCACTGCTGGGGGTATGTACATATCCCTCTTCCCTTCTTTTCTTTTCTTTTCTTTTCTGGCTATTATCCTGAGTAGTCAATACTGACTGCTACAGGCTGGATGGTCGAGTACCTCGTGAACATCCGCAACGGCAACGTCAAAGACATGGGCTACGTACCAGCAGGCTTCTACGGCGGCGGTTTTCTCGGGCGGTTGATCCTAGCCGAGCCCACACATCGGCTGGGCGAGCGGCGGATGATTTTCATCTATGCGATGCTCTGTGTGGGACTGCAATTGGTCTTCTGGCTGTACGTATGCTCTTTGACTTCTCTCCTTCTATACCCCTGTACCCCTACACCCTGTATCCCTAATCCCTATCCCTAAACCTCAAACCTCAACCCCCAAACCTTCAACCCCAAACCCCACTACTATTGCCTTCTCTTCAGTCGATTCAACACTGGGCTATAAAGAGAGTATTGTCTCATAACCTCGCAACAGAGTCCCAAACATCATCACCGAAGCCGTGGCCGTCAGTCTCCTCGGATTCTTCTCAGGGCCATTCTTCGCGACGGTAAGTACAAATGATGCTATCCTAACCAAGCACTCCATTATAATCCCTATGAATTATCAATAGAACTATATTAACAGTATTCTTTAGGGTATATCAGTAGGCTCCAAGATCTTCGCACCCGAGCTCCGATCCTCAGCCATTGGTAAGTTTCCTTTCCTTTCTTTTCCTTTCCTACCCTACCCTCCCTATTACCTACCATACTCCAGCATACCCCCCCCCTTCAAACCACATGAACAAGAATATGTTCATAGCTAACACAATCAGCATTCGTTTTCGTCCTCGGCCAAATTGGCGGCTCCATCTTCCCCGCGCTAACAGGGATCATCGCGTCGCGAGTCGGCGTGCAGGTGCTGCAGCCGATGCTGGTTGGGTTGCTTGGGGCGGCGGGGGTGAGCTGGTTGGTTTTGCCTAAGGATGCGGGGCTGCATCGGGATTAATTTGGTGTTGATTGTTAAGAAGAGTATGGGATGTAGTTGAAAGATGGGGGCACGGGGTATAGTTCCGGCTGTGTCTTGGACAGGATATGCTTTTTTTTTTCTACGGCAAAAGGTGACAGAGAGAGAGAGAGAGAGAGAGAGAAATCAAGATTAAAACAAATCAAATAGAAACTCAATAACACTGATTCACTAACTGCCCGTGCAACCATCAAGTCAACAACTCAAACTCCAGGGTATAAAAAGTCATGACATCGTCACATCACCTATCAGGCGAGAAAGAAAAACGAGGAACCAACCCATTGGTACAGAAATACTAACAAAAAAAACTCCTCGCTCGAATGCGCATCAACAGCACAAACCCTAATCCACTTCAATCCAGACGCTGAGATGCAAACCCAACCCCCACCAACAAATCATCAAAAGAAATCCTCCGGCCACTGAAACCCTGCCTTATCAGCCTGCTGACTATTTCGAGTAGAAGAAGTCTGCGGCTGCAGCGGTGTCACCGCAGCAATAGGATTCGGAGCAGACCGCGGTCTCTTCTTCGTCGGAGACTTGTGAACCTTGGCAGCATTGACCAAAAGCTCCTTGGGCAGGGGCGGTACAGGAGGGATATCGTCGTCGTGGACATAACCTCGAGCACGACTGGGACTCAACGTCGAGAGGGAGACTGGTCGACGAGAAGGACTGCGGTCCGGGTCTAGAGTGCAATGCTGCTGCAGATAAAACGGGCGCGAGACATTGGGTCGGACCGGCGAGGGCGAGAACCCGATCTCATCGGAGACGGCTCCCTCGGAGTCTGGGATGGAGCGGATACCGGGGGACACCAAGCGGAGATTTGAGCGGCCCTGTCTCATGCGCAGGGCGGGCGGAGAGTGCGTTGTAGTCTTCGAAGACGGTGAGCGGGAGGGGCCGGGGGAGAAGGTTCGGGGTTGACGAGCGTAAGGAGACCTTTTTCGCATCGCACCTGCAGGAGAGGCAGGCTGGTGGTAAGCCAGGCGAGCAGCCGGGGACGAAGGGTCCGCGACGCGTTTCTTGCGTTCCACCGAGCCCGGGCTGTCGCCAGCCTCAAACTTCTGCCACTTGGCTTGCCGGGGTGGGCTCAACAGCCCAGACTCGGTCAGCTGCTGGCGCTCGGCGGAGTAGTCTTCGTCGTTGTCTTGGTCGATTGAGTTCTTCGAACGGGGTTGTGGAGGAGGGTTCCGACTAGCGAGAGGTTCAGGAATGGGAGACTTCCTTTTGCGGGAAGAACGGTCCTTACCCATGGCCGACGACGGCCGCAGTTCTTTCGACCGCCGTTTCGGCGACTTGGCCGCCACCGTGCTAGGGGCTGGCCGCGATTCCTCCAAGTTACTCGCTTGGCCCTCTAGGGAGGGCAACGCCGTCAATTCCTCCGCGACGGGCTCAGTCGATTCGGATGCCGTCGCCTGTTGATCTAATAACCGCTCCGACGGCAGCGTGGGGAGCGCGCCAGGAACAAACTTGCGAGGATACTCTGCTGGGTCCATATCCATCGAGAGGGACTTGGGCTGCGGGGTGGGCGCTGGCATTCGTTCCTCATTACCGGTCAGCTCACGAAGCTCTCGCCGGGCACGAGTGAGTTTCTCTTCGAGATTGCTGACTCGCTTAAGTAGCTTTGTCTGACGCGAGAGTTCCTTGCGCGACTTCTGCCTGTGGAGCCCGGGATTCTCAGAATCTTCCGACGTGCGATCATAGGAGAAAGCTGCGGGAGCAGGCGAGGATTCTTGGGATCTGATAAAAGGAATTCCCTTGCGAAGATCCTGGAAAGACGACCGTTTTGAGGCCCCAGACTCGGGGCGTGCCGGTGCCGTACGGTCGCCGTGGTCTACAGAGAAGCGGTGTGGATCACCAATGGCAGTTCCATACTCGACCTTGTCCTGAATATCTTGCCAGGTCTGGTCGGCCAGAGCCGGGTTGACATGCAGGTCGCGGGCATAAGCACCCTTATTGGTGCCCTTGTAGCCGGCCTGCTTCAATTCGGCATACGCCTGCTCAGCCTGGTTGAGGACATCCTGCTGCGACTGGGAGTTGGTCGAACTCTCCGGAGATGTCTTGCCCCATCCTCCGAACGGGTTGAACGCCGAGGCAATGGCCTTGCCGAAACGAAAGATCCCCGACTGGCGATGCTGGGGTCCCGCCGGCTTACTGTCGCGGAAGTAGATGCTGGGCGGTTTCTCGCTGACGCTATCACTCATACTAGCCTCGACAAAGCGCGACTGACGACCCTTGCGATGATGACGGGGACTGTTGGACGCCGCCGCATGTCGGGCACGCAGTGACGCCAGCGAAGCGCGCGGAGAAGCGCGCGGCGAGGCCTTGAAAGCTGCACTCAGGCCCGCACCGGCCCGCATGTGGCGGCGCTCGTGGCCGTAGTCGGCACCTTCTTCGGGCAGAGGCCAATCGTTCGACCGGCGGCGTTTGACCGACTTGGCGGACGGCGAGCGGTAGTCGTCTTCTTCTTCGGCGTCATCGAAGCGCCCGGACATGTCCGAGCTCCAGTCCAAGTCGCCGTCTTCGTCATCGCTGGAGCGCAGGTGTTTGCGCGAGGGGCGCTGCTGCTGCGTGGGGTCGGGATCCACGTCCATGTCGACGGGAGCGCTAGAGATCTGGTGTGCGGGAAGCAGCACGTAGGCAAGGTCAGGGTCCATCCATGTCTTTTATGCGGTTTCTTTTCCCTTCCCTTCCGCAAATTGCATAGGGATGCGTCTTTTCAAGGGGAGAGAGCTTACCTTTGCGTCGGTCATCCCTGTCTACTTTTCCCCCGCGCCCTTGTTGGGGGATAGTTGCAAGTGTATAGAGCTCGGAGAGCAACAAACACAACGGGGGAAACAGATTGAGAGAAGAAGCAAAAGTAAGAAGCAAAAAATAACAAGGCAAAATCCAGGAAATCCAGGCCAAATTAATGTCACGCTCGAGTTTGTGTTGGACGCAGGATTCGGTGGGCGTGGGCTTTTGTTTACATACTCCGCACTTGCCCAGGGAGGAAGTTTGTTGTGGTACCGGGTACACCGACACATCGCAATACTCCCACTGTCGCGGATGTACCCGCTACCTCGGAGAGAATGTCTCGATTTACAACCCCTCCAGTTTACACTATTGACCATACTATTGACCCCTCTCTTGTACACAGTGGCCCCAGAAATGTAGGCGTTTCAAGGGGACGCAGGCCACACCTTGCGGGGGATCGATCGGTGCGATCCCGGATTCCGCGTGTCTCAGGCGGACATGTGCCCGTTCCCGCGACAGGAATGTCGGCCCTTCATTGCAAGGGAAATCTATACAAGTCATGCGATGGGCAATGGCATATAGACTAGATTAATGACACTACAGACTACACACAGTACAGGCGAGTGAAAATCCAAGTTATCGATTTGCGAGTTCAACAATGCTAGGTATCCAAGATGCCAAAACGCCAGGAGAAAAGGAAAAGAAAAAGAAAAGATTAACAGGGCCCTCGGAAAACCGACAATATCACGGGGGATCAAGCAAGGGAATCCAACATCGCAACATCTCTCCAATGCACATCATAATATACCGGTTCTCTCTGCCCAAAAACTGGCAGGCACCATCGCTGGAAATGAGATGAAGAAACCGACTCTGCCTTCCTTTTGAAACGTCCATTAGAAAACCCAACCAAATCGCAAGTAAGGAGAGGGAGGGACCGGTGCGGTTCACCCTGCTTCCCCAGGCCCTTTGGTCTTGAACCCAGGGATGATATCTCCCTGGATCACATGGGAGGTAGGGAGTGGGAAAATAGCACCCTTCGTCTCGGCGAAGGAACGTAAATAAGCTGAAAGAATGATGCAGGTCCCGGGAATGAATGCACGAAGATAGATCATAAGATCAGGGGGAATAAGGAGACAAGTTCAAAGAAAAAAAAATAAGTGAAAGCCATGACACCCCGCCGTTGACCAAACAGTTTCCACGAGAAATAGTTGAACATGGAAACAAGCAAGGGAATGTTCCCTGAAACGGATGTGATTGCACGATGCATCGAGGTAGAAAGGCACGAGTGGTGCCGGCAATCAAGGACGAGAAGGAAGTAGTCATGTACAAAAAAAAATGCGAGGTTCAAGATGCCATGTCTGCGAGGACGATCGAGGTATCTCTCCCAGAACCAGCAAGGGAGTGAAATGAATCATGACCCTCACCCAACGTGTTGGGAAGGGCGGTACGGATGACAGAGGGTCATTCTCATTGAAGCGTTGGCGGGACCTTCATGACCATTCGCCCATTGGCACGTTTGTAAGCCATCTCCACACCCAACTCGGCCATCAATGCGGCCCCGGCTTTCGGCAGAAAAATCGCGATAGGTGGTAGGGTAGGATTCTGTGTCGGGCCGCATCCCATTCTGCATTGATCGTTCATCGAGGCCGAATGAGTCCTCGTGGGTGCGCTTCATGGCCGTGGGGCCGGTTTGGTAAAGCATCCGCTTTCCTGACATGGCATCATATCCGGGGTTCGGTGAAGAGGTCTCCACAGACGGGACAATATGGTTGACATATTCGCTCGAAAGAGCCTTGAGGGATGGGAGGTGTGCCATGCTAGGAGTCTGAGCACGAGGCATCACCGGCTGAGCCATGGGCTGGTATAGACTCTGTTCAGCCATGCGGGGATCCACATAAGGTTGGGCTTTCGAGGGTTCCATGCGATAATTCAGAGAAGCCGTGGGGTAACCAGTTCGCTCCGGAGCCTGCGGTGCACACGGATATCCAGCAGGCGATGCTTCATAATCCACAGAGCTGGGTGCGCGTAAATTGGCGTATGTGGGGTGCGGCGAGTACATGCTAGGCGGTGCAGCTGGTGGCGGCGTAGGAGGAAGATGGGGAGCCGGATACTGGGTTGGCGTCGAGCCAAATGAGAGGTGTGATTGATAAGAGGGCATTTGTGCAGGTGCCATGGGAGGTGGGGGCACGGGGCGCTGGTATGGTTGCGGGCATTGGAACCCGTAGTCCGGAGCGGATGGCCGTCGTTGAACATCTGGTGGGAAACCGTACGAAGACTCGATAACGCTATTGTTGCTGTTTGAGCGTGGGCGCTCAACCGTTGTGGCGTAGCGGTCGGGCGTGGAGTATCGATCCGTCGATCGCCCGTACATAGCAGTCCTGTCCTCATCGAACTCATAATCTTCATCCCGCTTGTCGCCCCGACGTCTCATACGAACATCACGGCGAATACGAACACGACAACCCTGCTCCGCGATAATACGGCTGAGAGATGTGCTGGTTGCCAGCCCCGGGAACTTCTTCGCGCTGTACACAGTGAAGGGCACCGACTTGACCTCGAGGCGGAAGTGCAGAAAGGCCTGCGGCGAGCCCGGTTTTGATGTGTTCGGGCGAGCGACCTGGTTAGGGATGGGCAGATGCGAGTCCTGATCGGCGTCCTTGGCATCCTTGACCTCCTCGTAGAGGTGAAAGTTCAATCGGTAGCGACCCTCATGGCGCACCGAGAGATCGGGGAAGATAAAGTAGCCAGCCTGCGATGGACGGTCGAGGTATGCAACACCAGCGACCGGCACACCAGTTAGTACGGGGCACGAGGGCGGACCAGCCACCCGACCGTGGGCAATGGGGCGTGCGGTGTCCAGGGTCGCGTAAAGAAAGAAATTGGCATTATAGGCGAAGGTGATGTCGGTCTTCTGTGCCTCGTTACCGGGCTCGGACTCGAAGATTCGCAGTTCAACCACGGGCGGAGGGTCGACGGGGCGACGGTCAGCAGATGCTATGGTGAATGGTCAGCGAATGGTTCAAAATTCGACGTAATGCGATGCTTACACTTCGCTCCGGCGCCACAGGCTCGAGCTCGTTCGGGCTGTTGCATCACACTCAATTTATAGGTGATTCGTTTGCCCTCGCGCGTAGTGCGGTGGACACTGTGCTCCGTCTCATTATGAGGCGGCATCATGGGTGGTCTGGTCGCCATTTTCGATGGCGTTACAGTTTAAGTCCACCCAATGAATCTAAAAATCACAGGAGCATCAGCAATCATCCATGGTGGGTGGGTGTTCGCAGTCGATGGTCCCATTCACGTACATCCAATCCAATCCTTTTTCACGGGTAAAAGTCTCCAGTCGCAATCGAGTCGTGTTCCCTTCCTTTATTCTTTTCCGGTTCGGTATCGAGGGGGTTTTTTACTTCGTGGTTTTCGTTCCACTTTCTTCCCTCACGCAGGCCGCCCTGGCTAAGAACTATCGCAGGTGGATCGGAGGTCGAACTGGCACATGCGACCGATATAATTTGAGAGAAAATAAAATATAAGAGCTGGTAGCACTATCCAGAGCAGCAGCTATGACCCCGTCCGAAGAATAGGTCAAAAAAATAAGAATGTGTGGACGAAAACCCCCGAAGGAAGACAAAGGGAGATGGTGAGAAGGGGAAGAGAAACAGAGCGAGGGAGAGGGAGAACACGGGGAGGGGGCAGAGAGTGGGAACGGTGACACTAAGTGCAGATTCAGCCGTGACCATCGGGGTACGGGGGCTTGCTATGGGCCGGCACGGCATGAACAATGTACATGTACCTGCTCAGTACTTGGTATCGATGGTATCGAGTTACAACTTAGCATAGTATTCTCTACTCGGTTTCCGAGTTCACCCCAAAAGCTTTTGATTTTAAATTGGTTTTGATATTGATTTTCTTGTTATTATTATACTTGTTGTTGTTGTTGTTGTTCTCCATCTCAATATTCCCATTTGGCATGTGGGCAATGCCCGACATACTTGAGCAGAGAGTAGTGCCCAAGCAATATAATACTTGGAGGACCGAGGTATAGTAAGATACACGTATTCAGGATTTCGGGGCTGTCGAATCCATCTGGCGATCTGCGGTCTCAGGCAAGCTTCCTCGATCTTGCCCGGTTTGAGTCTAGTGGCTCTTAGGGCTCCTTCGCGTAGTTCAATAGCTGGTATTTTCATATCTTCAATCAATTGCACACCGATCTCCGTGATTATTATTTTACTTCTGCGGTATACTCCGAATCTGTGCGGCCCGATAACTGGCATTTGCTGGTCTATTTGGGCAGACCAGTGGACCGGAGTCTGATTGCATTAATAGTCATAAGAATTGTTTGTGAATCCATTCAGTGTGTCATTGAATATCTCTGGGAGAACTATGTCGGTAATGAGGAAAATGAGAATTACGTACATCTATGTACATCTATGTATATCCACTTTTCAAGGCAACTATTCCAATTCCAAGGCTATATACAGTTAGTGCTGTACACATCTCTCGCAATTGCAAATGTAATCCATGGATTAATTCATTAATTACATTAAGAGTTTCTCCAGGGTACCTTTTCCACCTGGATCCATGGCTCATCGAGAGTCAAATAATCCGGAGATGGACCCATGCGAAGGAGGCGATAGGATGTCCCGCCAAAAAAGAAGCTTGCCCCGGATCCATGGGAAGCTGACTTCTTTCCACCTCCCTGGTTTCTTACTTTTTTTTCTTTTCTTTTTTTCCCGTGTGTCCACTTAGTGTGTAAAGATATTTACCCTTTTTCCCTTCCCCCTTGTCATCGGCATCTCCTCTCCATGGCGCAACTTGGCATTGTCCACCCACCCAATCACTCGCAAAAAGATGAAGGCCCAAGACCCAGCTAGCCGGTTTCTGGTAAGAGCCAGCTTGGTGCGGCCAACCCGGTCCTGGTGTGCGGGTCTTTATGCGGCAAATTTTGATCTGCGAATCCTTCGCACTCGCCCTACTGTATTATTCCCTGTATTCTTTGTATTCTCTGTACTCCCCCCGCTGGCCCTTTCTCAGGCATCGTTCCTATTGGCGAGACCGACATGACTCGCTTCTGATTTGCGTTTCTTTTCTTTACCTTTTTAGGACTATCAAATTAGAGATTTTTTCATACACCCATCTCTTGATCTCTTTGATTAGTATGGATGATTTATACGAGAATGATCCCTCTTGATTAATTAATCTATATCTACTGTTTGATAACCCTGTATCATTAAATTTCATTACAGACTCCCTTCCCTCCCCCACTCTCACGGTCCGCACCGAGGAGAAACCCCCATTTCGGGGCCCAGTGAGGGTATCGTGGAACCGCAAACCAGAAAAATGAGTGTCCAGTAATCTTGGGTAGGGCCTGCAGATTAGCCAGTGATACAGCATCCATGGATCGAGTCTAGAGTCTAACGGTCAAGTGGGGGGCATGTACAGTAGATGAGCATTTACACAGTATTTTTTTTTTACTGCCTTGACAGACCTCCCATCATCAGCGCTTGAGTGAATTCGCAAATTATAGAATTTCAAATATTCTATATAACCCCACTTAGTAGGCAGCTACTTTTTCTATGAGCAACTCTGAGAAAATCTCCATGTACACACTGTAGTGCCAAAAATCGGAGATAAAAACGGGGACAAAAACTCCATCCAGTCACTGCTCCGGCCGACCTGAAATAATGGAGTCCCCCAAATCCCGAGGAAGATCATTGTCCCTATGGTGCTAAAGCCCTGTCCACGACTCATTGGACAATGGGAGAAAAAGATCCTGGGTTATCATGAATGTTGAATATACTTACTTTGCTGGATGGGAATCAAATGTTCAAATAAAGCGTCGATGGATGTTGTACATATAGTATGTGCAGTAAACATAAACACAAAAAGAAACAGGTAATCTGCCTGGCAAGCGGATCAGGATCTTCATGGATCTAGTGAATGCGAATCCTCACGCACAACACAAGCCAGGTGCCCTTCCTCAAGGGTAATGATCCTGTGGGCAGTGGCCAAATGAAACAAAGGGGGAAGAAAAAAAAAGCAAGGAAATTCTGGGGCGGGTTGCAATACCGGCTTCATACCGAAGCCGACCAACACTTACTTCATGGGTGCATTGGTATATACAAATCTCCTACCTCTACTAACCACCGATGGCAAGACGTCCACTTCTCAACACTTTCACCCATTTTCTGCATTAATCTCATGAATATGGAATATTGGATGGCCATTCCAGAAGGATTTTCTCAGGAATGCGTTAGTGCTGGAGTGGATCTTGGCAGGGAGTTTTATTGAAATTGAGGAATTCCAATAACTCGACAGAAAAAGGAAACCAAAAAAGGGAATCGCGTTGTTGATATCAGTCAAAACCCGTTTTTTTTTTTTTAGCTTTTCTTCTTATGACATATTATGACATACACCTTCATCATCTTCGCTTTCCATGTGTATATTCTCATTACAGAGTAATAAGATGTAAGATCCGCCTCGGCTCGGAACCCCTTGTCGAGTCCCATTACTAGTTGTTTCTTGCATGTCTTTGGTGCCTCTGAATGGCCAACGTTGACGATCGGCGACGGCCGTTTAATCATGTGAGCGAGATATCGCAAAGTATTTCTTTTATTATTATTATTTTGGATGATTGACTTGGGATTATCGGAGGTCTTCCAGCCAGCCACCGTCCAAACCCTCCCCCCTCCTCGCTCACTGATGCACATGTCCACGAAGTAGGGTTCAACGGTCGTGTCAGGTCCCAAAGCCCCCTCATCAGCCCCAACCGGCCTAGTTTGGGGCAGGATTGTGCAAGGTTACAGATTATGAGTATTAGTATTTTATTATTGTCGTTATTATTATATATTCTTAAAATTGATTTGTTTAAATTGACTTTTTTTTCCCTCTCTGAAACTATATGCATATACGCCGGCATCATTCCCGCAACATTCCTCGATGGACGGACCACAATCGACTCCGCTCCGGCATATAATTTAAAAAAAAAAAAAAAAAAAAAAAAAAAGAACGTGCAACCCTGGTATGTACAGGGTAGCCTCAACAGGTGAACGCTTCTTTGTTAATCCACATACTATATACTATACAGACTATACAGACCGCCAGTTCTTAGTGACTCTAGCGCCACGTGGGAGAGCGACTTACCTTCCTCTTTAGTCCCACATCCAAGCCCTCTAATTTACTCGGCAGACACACTAAAGCAAGGAGAGGTATAAAGCGGGTTGCATTTTCAGCACTAGCCCACCTAGTAACAATAGTACATTAAGAGAGTGAGAAAGAAAAGAAAAGAAAACATGGTCGCGGTGACATCAGATCGAGATAGGATCGACAACGCTACACAAAGAAAGCCGTGCAACGCATACGTGTTCCACGGTCAGCCCGAGATATGGCGAGTCGACTGTATTAATATTAACCTAATGTACAAGTGAAAAGAAAGTAGGGGAAAAAGTATCCCTTCGACCTCCCTATAATCGACAATAGATTTGAACACTGACCCCTCCCTCCCCTCTTATTCTCCCCCCATTTGTGGATCGTATCTCGGCTATTTGCTTGGATCGAAGCCACCTTTTGAACCAGTATCCACCTGGTTGCCCTTGAGATGCCAGGAGTGAACTACGGAGGATTCACCCGGCCGTGTCGTGCATTCTTGCAAGTGTTGTTCCTTTTAATTATACCAATAGAAAATAATTGTCATATATAGTAATGAATACATAGTTCTGGGCTTCGACAAAATATAACCGTGGTGTCATCGCCCTTAATAGATAGGAGAGGCCTGATTACCGGTCGAGCTGTCATTTGGAGAGGGCATCGCAGAGATCCCCTAGATTCGGTGATTTAACCGCCCCTTCACCCTTGGGGGCCGACAGACTGATGTTTTGTTGACATTTCATTCGAATCATTCTTTTGAAAATACATGACAATCATAATAATAAGATATTAGCATTGACATTATAACTGTTCTTCACGGCTCAGAGACCCACCCGCAGGATTTGACATTCTTCCAACACACTAAGAACCGTGCGACTCGATTCCAAATCATTTGTCATGTCTGACTACTGCTGGAATATACTTTCAAGGCTCGGGTCGGTATAGTTGTATAGTTGTATAGTTGTTCACTTGGTGTATACTTGTCAAATAACCCCAGACTTAATAGCATCCATACACGTGGAAGGACCAGCATCCCAGACAAGAATAGAACAAACAGCCCAACACAAAACAGTAGAAGCAGATAACATGGGCTCAGCTGGTCTGATCTAAAACAGTGCCACTGCCCCCAAACTGAAACGGATGGCGTCTGGGAGAAATAGAGTCATGGACCCCATCTCAATAACTTGGAACTCGGAGGCGACTTACTCCCCATAAGTAAAGGGGAAATCTCATTCTGGCCCCAGTGGAAGGATCTGCTGTGCATGATTCACATGTTTCATGCTGTGATCGCTGGAGGGGTGCGTAAGGCTGTTCTGTTCGAGTGTGGGGGTTAAGTGGACTGTGAAGATACTGGGTGAGTCTCTGAGTCTCTGTTGTGTGTAGATTGCCAATCCGCTTGACAAACGGGTTACCTGAGACTATTATAGAGGAATTAGAAAAGATTGAACCTATCAAATAGTTCAAGGAGATATAATGGTCACTGCCTTTCGAGGGCGAAGTATATCAACTGGTTAGATATTCCGGCTACGTGCAAGCACATCCGCATGTCCAGCGTATGTTCAACTGGAAATAAATTATAAACTTCGTTGTTGAATTCCCTTAGACAAGAGTTAAATGGCATGTTGTTATCGAATTGAGAGAAGGTTGGGGTGTGTTGGTCATATTTACAACTCAACCTAGGAATATATAGATCGCGACATGAGTATTTTGCTAACCAGCCTTGAAGGACATCCACAAATTTACCACAGACCAAAACGGCTTCAAAATATTCAAGCATCCAAGCATCCAAGCATCCAAGCACTAATTTTAATACATCCATTTTTTTCTCTCTCATTCCGTGACCGACAATTCGCGGGCTCGTGATTGGCGCATCTCCATCCCCAGCACCACGACCTCCGCAGCCTCCACCCCCTACGCTCCTCACTTCTTATGGATCTTCTATCAGTTCTGCCGGGCTTCGCAACAAAACCATACGCACATATCCTGCCTCCCCTTGAACGAAGCAAAATCACCACCGTCGACCTCATCACCCTTGACACCCTCGAGATCGCCAAACGCGCCCATGTGCCCCCCGCAGACGTCCGGCGGCTCTCCGCGCGCATCATCGCGGCCCTGCACGCCGACCTCGGCATTGAAAGTGCCCAGCCAAACATAGACACCTCGAGCGCGGCCGAGTCGAGCTCCAGTATCAATCCCGATGCCGTTGCCCTGCACCCCAGCCCCGCGACGAAACTCGCGTCGCGCTGGAACTCGATCAGCACTTTGGACCCCGCGTTGGATGCGCTGCTCGGGGGTGGGATACCGGCGGGCTATGTGACTGAAGTGACGGGCGAGAGGTATGTGGACAAGCATACTGATGCAATCTACGGACATCTCTTTTTGTTAGCCATCTACCTGGACTGCGACCTGACTCGATTCAATGGTTGCAGCGGGAGCGGCAAGACGCAATTCCTCCTCAGCCTCCTCCTGGCCGTGCAGCTGGCCGAACCACATGGCCTCCAACGACGTGCTATCTACATCTCAACCGAGCACCCGCTGGCGACCACCCGCCTGACACAGATGCTCGAGTGCCACCCGTACCTCTCGCGACTAACGGGCGAGCAGGCGCCGTCGCTCCAGAACATCCTGTCAATAAACGCCATGGACCTAGAAACACAGGACCATATCCTCAATTACCAGCTGCCCGTAGCCATCGCGCGCTACAAAATCGGCCTGGTGGTCATCGACTCCATCACCTCCAACTACCGTGCTGAGCACACCTCCACCAACATGCTGGCGCTCTCCGCGCGGTCCACCGAGCTCGCCAAACTCGGCCAGCTGCTGCGCAATTTGGCCGCCACAGAAAACCTGGCCATCGTGCTGGCCAACCAGGTCTCGGACCGCTTCGATTCCTCCGACAACAGCAGCAGCAGCACCATCGCTGACTCGCGCCCGCCGTTCCCGGCCGCACTGAGCCAATCCACGGGCCGCGACTCCGGTGTAGCATCTCCTATGCCGCGGCCGCGAGCGGACGCCGAATCGCACCAGTTGGCTGCTGCGGGCCTCGCCCCGTCCTCGTCGCCGGGTATCCCATCCTCGCCATACCCTTTACCGGAAGACGACCAGTTCGACGGCTCGTACCTAGTCGGGAACCCCGCACGCACGGGCATCCTGAGCCTGTTCTACCAGGAACGCTTCTTCACGGGCTGGGGCGATGGCCCGTGCCCCGACTCGACATCGCTGAAGACCCCGGCGCTGGGCTTCTTCTGGTCGACGCAGATTGCCTGCCGCATCGCCTTGAAAAAGGAGGATATTCGGCCTATCCTGCCAGATCTGGGCGATGGCGCGTATCCTGCGCCGACTCCGAAGACTGCCGAAGACTATATAAGCCGGAGTGTCGAAGACAAGAAGAAGCATTTGCCGCCTGGGTCCTCGAAACCTTCCAATCACCCAGAGTCCAGCACAACAGATGCAGAAACATACCCCACACCCGCTGCCCCAGAATCCATACAACTCCCCGTTCTTGCAGAGACAATTGCTTCCTCACAGAAGCATACCCCGTCTTCCACTACCCCCGAGCGCACTGTCAGACGAACCGCAAGACTCGTCTTTGCGCCCTGGGCTGCCGGCCGCAGCGATGACCGACTGGAATTTGAGATCTGGAAGGGCGGCCTGCGCACTCTTCAGCCCGAGTAAGCCAGCTAGCTAGTAGGGCCTTTTTGTTGCTTTGCGGCTATCTGGGCGTATTGGGAGCCTTGCAGCTCAATCTTGCTAGATCTATACCAGAGGATCTGATTTTGCTGAAGGGAGCCGAGTTTCACATAAACAATCACGATGCAATGTCCTACATACTCCATAGAAAGAAAAAAACAAAAAAAAAAAAAAAAAAAAATCAAGATAGATAAAAAGTCCAATTTATTTCAAATCATTATTCGTTCCATCCAGCACCTTTTCTTGTTTTTTTTTTTTTTTTTTTTTTTCCAGTGGAACCTTTGCGGCTTGTGGCGGATGACAGTGACAGCTTTCACCCCGCAAATCTCCAACGGTCCCGGCAAGAACCTTTTGTTCTTTTCTTTGCGTTGTCCTCGTTGCCCTTGAAATCCCTTGTTCCTCTTACCAGTGCATCATCTTCGAGGATTGTTGCTTACAAACTAAGTCTATGGCACATACAGCAAGCAGACAAACGTCCATACAGAGAATGATAGAAGTCTAGTATTCAGCTCATGGTCTCGTCACAAAGTACAACTCCCAGATCCATGTCTTCCCTACAAGAAGCTAGGGAGGACGAGGTCCGGGTTCGCTTGAAAAAAAAAAAACAAAGGCAAAACTTAACAGTCAACACAAAAGGCATGCACAAAGAACCGAGAACAGCCCCCCAAGAGACTTGAATGAGAATGATCAAGATCAAAGAATACGCTCCATATTAACCATGATGAGATATAGATGAGGGGGATTAGGGAACCAGAACAAACACTCGAGACAAAAACAAAAGATAAAGAGACAGACAGACAGAAAGATGAATCTCCTATATCCACAGACGATCACCGGAAACCCGCCATCTTCGCCCACCTCGTATCTCTGCTCTGGTGAGAGTTGTGGGCATCCCTTTTCTTTTCTTTTTTCTTCATGTACACCTCCACACACGCCTTCACTCTTTTTAGCATCGGCTTCGCTTGACCCAGAGACAACAGAAACCGAGAGATGAAAGATATTAAAAAGTCAACACGATCTAAACCGAAGAAGTGCTTGACGGGGGAGGTTCGTTGTGGTCCAGTTCGATCCAGCGAGAGACACCACGGGAGGGCAGAGGGGGGTTTCAAAAAAAGAAACTCGACACCGTCTTCTTTTTTTTTTTCTTCTTCCTTTTCGGGATTTTCGATCTATATCTTCGAACCGAATCACACAGCATGCTTGTGTGGCTTGTGTGCGCGCAACATGTATCCACAAAGGACGATCTCAATGGGGGGGGGAATGCAAAGGCAGACGGCAGGACCATCTAGTTGGCCATTTTGGCCGGCGGGACACCGATGCCGTTGGTGTTGCGATAGAAAAGCACACCCTGGCTCTCACCAGTGGCACCCTCAGTGGGCTCGACCCAGTGGCAGACGCGGGCGCTGGTCCAAAGGGCCTTGAAGAAGCCCGTCCAGCCAGTCTGGGCATCGGTGCGGTAGTGTTGTCCCATGACGCCCTTGATGGCCTCGCTGGCCTCGTCGGCGTTGTAGAAGGGGATGTTGCTGACATAGTGGTGCAGCACGTGGGTCTCGATGATGCCGTGGAAGATGTGGCGGCCGACGAAGCCAAAGTCGCGGTCGATGGTGGCCGCGGCTCCACGGGCAAAGTTCCACACCTCGGGCTGGTAGTGAGGCAGGGTCGGGTCGGTGTGCTGGAGGAAGGTGATGGCCACTGGAAAGAGGTCAGTGGTATACAAACCAAAGAAAGGGGAACGAAACTAACCGAGCCAGTGGTTGACCCACAGGTAGGGAATGCCGTACCACACCAGCAGGTTGAGCCAGCCATAGGTGGTTCCGATATAGTACAGCGCACTTCCAGTGAGGAAAAGACCCAGGTCACTCAGGGCAATGTACTTGGCATCGCGGGCCTCGTACAGGGGGCTGGACGGATCAAAGTGGTTGACACGGCCGCCGAGGCCATTGGCCTTGCCCTTGCCGCGGCCCTCGGGCTGGCGCTCGTGGTTGTTGTGGCCGGTGACATTGGTAATGAGGTACATGGGCCAGCCGAACAGCTGCTGCAGGAAGAGGTTGAGGGCTGTCAAGATGGGGGTCTCCTCCATCAGCTCGCCCAACTCGTGCAGAGCCTTGCCGACGCGAGTGGCGTACTGGTCACGGGTCTTGGGCACAAACACCATGTCACGGGCGATGTTGCCGGTGGCCTTGTGGTGCTTGCCGTGGGAGATTTTCCAGGAGAAGTAGGGGACCAGCAGCAGCGAGTGGCAGATCCAGCCGACGGTGTCGTTCAGCACCTTGGAGGGCGAGAAGGCCTGGTGGCCGCACTCGTGAGCCAGCACCCACACGCCGGTGCCGACCAGACCCTGAATGACGGTGTACAGCGTCCACAGGGCCACGCGGGCGGGCAGCAACGGGACAGTCTCGGGGGTGACATAGTTGTGGAAGAGGTAGAAGACCGAGGCCAGGATGGTCATGTCGCGGAAGACATAGTACAAGCTGGTGGCCGCGGACCGGTGGAAGCAGTGCGCGGGGATGGCATCGCGGATCTGCTTGATGGTGAAGTCGGGGATCTTGAACTCATTGCCCCACGTGTCGAGCATCTTGCCGCGGGCCTCCTGGTCCGACGCCAGCGAGGACAGCGAGGTCGACGATGGCGACTGACGAGGGCTGTCAAAGGGCGAGGGCGATACCGAGCTGGGCACCGAGTTGTCCGTGGTGTTGCGGTGCAGCGCAACGCGCTTGGGAAGGGCGGTGGACGACATGATGGATGAGGAATTATATACGGAGAGAGGTCTCCGTACGGCGAGCAGCGAAGTGTTTCCCTTTTTTTTTTTTCTTTCTCCCAATGACCGAGTACCCGTCTAGTTTCACTGGTTGGGGTCAACTATGAGAGCAAGTCAGCTTTTCCATCCTCGGTTATATTGATAGTCACGTACCCGGCACCTCTTTTTCTTGTGAGTGAGTTGGGGTTACACAAGTCAGGGATTGGGAAGAAAGGAGCGGTGGGTTGATAAAAGCGCGAACAGACCCCAATGCCAATTGGAAAGGGAATTGGCCAAAGAAAAAAGGGAAGATCCTCGGATGGCAAAAAAGAAAGAAAGAAAAAAAAAAAAGGGACCCGACGGGGCTTTCCATGGTCCGTGAGCTGGTAAATTTGCAGTACCCCAACACTGGTCAAGTACTGTCAAAGTACTTTCACTGCAAAATCTCCGTGTGGAGGTACTTTGGCAGTACTCCAGCCCAGTGGTATGATCAACTGCAAAATACCCGGGCCCACCCCCTCCCCAGCGATCGCCCACGCCATCGCCTTCTGGGGGGATGTGGAAATTCTCTGCTTCTGCATGAACCGCTCTCTGCCAGTGAATGAATGGTCTGCAAGTCCACGTATCGATCAGCCCTGAACTTCAGCGCCACCTGGTTTTCGCTGCTCCCTATCGCAATTCATGATCACGATCATTCTTCACCTTAATTGGAATTAACCCCTTGTGACCACTCAACATTTTCAAGATCCACCAGGTACTTCCCGAGTGTATGCCGGCCTCTAGTGGAGACAGGTATCGCGACACATGCCTTCACATGCTCTCTCGATTTAACCGGGTCATTTTCGGGAGCTAAAATATACTAAGATATTCCTCAAACCTACTAAGATACTAACTATGGTGGGTATACATAAAAGAAAACACTCAAATTCTATGTACTTACTCAATTGTTCGGTATGTATACAAGCATGTGATAGATCATGCTCTCTCTATCAACCTCCAGTATTTTATATCCTAGTGTATATTGATTACACGAATTATGCTTATATGATATTTATCTTGATATTTATATTTATTCATAATTATTATATACTTATCGATCACTGTTATACTGGCTAGATATTAAGGAAGATAAGGAGTCTTGAAAGTGGGATCTTGTTGGGCGAGGGGTGGTCCCACCCAAAGTTTTGTTGAGGGGCCCCACACGGTATGCAAATTTGCATTTCTTGGTTTTGAAAATTCACTAGATTCTTATACATCTGTATTCTATATAGATTTACCGATGAGCAGGCCAGAAACGGCTGCTATTGATACTGTTTTAAACGTCTCACTCAGCGACGACCTTAGCATCATATACGTCTATACCCATGGCCGATGTAGCCTACTTCCATCTTCACCTCCCGGTCTGGTGCATAATATAGTTATGTAGACCCGATCAGCTGGACCTAGCATTTACATCATGTGATCTAGCATAGTTGCCGAGCTGAGCCTGCCAACACCAACCTTGGAAATATCTTCCCCTCACCTTTGCCCTTGTTGATATGTCTTATTCGACTCTTGTTTCTCCACTTACTCAATGAAACAAGATTTTATTTCATTTCAGTTCTTAATATGATTGAAAGTCCACAAAATCCCACAACCAAAGTATTATGGCGGCGATTCGAAAGATAACTGAATCGACATATGTTTTCCTCAACATCAACGACAACGCATTGGACGATATTGACAATTCTTATCGTTCGGCCAATCAATTCAAGTTCAGTAGCCCGCGATACGGGCTTGGGATTCTGGACAGGCTTCCACTTGAAATCATCCACCTGGCACTCATCCGGCTTGACATTCAGTCGCTGACTGATTTTCGACGTGTCAACAAAGGGGCAAGACTGATAACAGATTCGATCCCGCAGTACAAACATATACTTGTTCATGCACCAGCATCAATCCGCGGGAGCCTCAACCTTGAAACTGCACGGTTCTTTTCATGCCTAGATCTGTATCAGAAACTATCTACAGCTGAGTGTGACAGCTGTGGCGACTTCGGTGGCTACTTGTACTTGGCCACCTGTCGTCGCGTTTGTTTTTTATGTTTCACCGAGAAACCGGACTATCTTCCTATCCTACGGAAAGATGCAATTCGCAAATTTGGCCTTCGCTCTGAACACCTAGCAAGTCTACCTTGCATGAAAAGCTTCCCTGGCCGCTATTCGCCCCGGGAGATCAAATGTCGGAAACGAGAGACCTTATTTGATTATTCCTCTGCACGGCAAACTGGGATCGCCGTACACGGGACCATCAGCTCTATGGAAAAATACGCTTCGGAAATGGCTTCCAAGAGATTGGCGGCCTATAATACGAAACTGTCTCTTCGCAGAACAAATAGAACAAATCTGCGGCCACCTAGATCTGAAGATCCCTTTGATGGTCGCTGCTCTAATCCCAAGCGCTTCATGGGTATTATTCGCGCTCCATTCTTTAATTCTCGAACGGGATTTCCGGACTGGGGTTTCCATTGTATGGCTTGCAAAGCCCATCATTATGGTCGACCACTACATTGGCGTCGAAAGTATACGGTTCATAGTTTCCAGGATCATGTTAGAGAATGCGGAGAAATAATAGAGGGAAAACACGCCCCCCCAGCGAGTTAAGAGAAAGCCACCGAGGTACGAAGGGTGCTTGACAGCCGCTGCCACGTTTGTCACAAGAGAGAGTATATAATAGCTACTACTATATAAGAGCAGCGACTAGATAAGACCCTCACTCCCCCTAGTTCTTCACCTTCCTTATCCAACAATCTTCTACCGGCGCATTTCGTCCTTGCCGGGCTTCACCAGGTGTCGTGTACACATGTGGACGGAGGGGTCCAATGCTGCCCATCTCATTGGAGCACATTTGACATTCGTGCCTTGGCGGTCCTCACATTGTCTGAACTCTTCAGTCTTCTTACAACCACATGTGTACAGCCGGTAAAATTGGGTACACATCTTGATTGACTTAGTCTCGGTTAGTAAAGCACGAAAACCTATCTCGATGGTGTTAACTTACTTTTTTCGATGTCTGGGCCTCTATATTTAGGTTGAGGTTCTCATAGCTCTTGGCTTATGTCTAGAATAATCAGCAAAATGTCTTCATATAAGTAATAACATAATCGAGTCGTATAACTCACACTCTTGTGTATATTCTTGTAGTAAAGCTCTGAACGATTACAGTTCGAGGATCAAAGGTGAAATCGCTGCATTATATATCTCTCCCTCTACGAAATGTACGCGCTATGACTTGGGGCCGGAAACAAGAGGGCACTTCCAGCTCCCAATAGGCGCCTATGAATGTGGGTGCTGATCCATTCACGCGGATCTGGCGTGTCGCTCATGATGGTCTAGCTGCGCTTCAGCCAATCCGAGTTTCCTACACGCGCTGAAATCGTGATGAATGCAACAATGCAACCATACTGCTTTACCGCCGTCTCCTTGTTTCAGACCTAAGCTTCGCAGACTAATTATACATCGACGTTGCGAGATCGGCAGAAAGTCTTTGCTTACTCAGTTTCTCGGTTAACATCAAAAACATAAATAGCCCAAAGGATGCTGAATTTGAATATGGTCCTGAGCTGAGGCTACCGCGCTCGGGAATTTTCCGCTTGATCCAGATTTCGGTCATCAAAATGGACAATCGGCCAAAAATCGAATTACTTCAAGCCGAGGTGGACGAAAACGACCAAAGCTTTTTCCGTCTCTTGGTCGACGATTTGTCTATCAGATACATCACTGTGGAACCTCACATCTATAGCGCCGAAGATATGTGTTTTGGTCCTTCCCTAGTCTCTCTCTTGCCGGATTTCCCCCCAGGAGACTGGAACGATGGACTAGTGGCCAGAGATGCCAAGGACGGTCGACCATATTTTGCGTGCTTCAACTTGACCCAATTCCCTGGCGTGCAGAACACCTGGCATGGAACCTATGTCGACTACCTGGAGCTTTCGATCGGACGAAAGTTACGAACGGGTATTTATGAAGCCAGACATCCACTCTTCGATGATGTTGTCGTCGCCAAATTCGCTCGTTTTCCCTGGGAGATTCAATATATCGAGAATGAAACCACGGCATATCAATGGATATCCGGCCATACTATCGGACCCCGATTTCTTGGTCATTTGACTGAAAACGGTCGTGTGATTGGGCTCCTCATGGAACGCATAATTGATGCACAGCACGCGGGCACTCGGGATCTTGAGGCCTGTAGAGAGGTATTGTCTCGACTACATGATCTAGGAGTCCGACATGGGGATACGAATCGATATAATTTCCTCGTCCGTGGTTCAAATGCTACGTTGATCGATTTTGACACGGCTCAGAAATGTGACGATCGAAACTTGCTTCTACAGGAATCTGTCAATTTAACTATGCGCCTTCAAGATCCGTCGACCAGAGGAGGTGGAGGTCTTGTTTAGAAAGAAAAATTGTATGCTAGCACAACGGTAGTCACTGGGAGAGAGAAAATCAATTGATATTGAGAGCAGATGATTAAAGCTGCTATCTTAAATATAAGCCTACACTTGCGCTCTTAGCGGATTTTCTCGCATATTTCAACAGTAATCGATTTCTTCTAGCCTCTATACAATCCACAAAACCAACCAAGACGATCATAACTCGTAGCCCTATATGCAACAGTGACAAGGAGACATAGCAATCAATACACCTCGGCCCGCCGCTCCGAATCCACCAGCCACGACCCGCCACCGCCACCGGCAGCCGCCAGACTGACCGTGGTCTTGCGCAGGTCCGGGAGTACGAGTATGGTCTCGCCGTGGTTGCGGTAGTCAACCTCGCAGGGGATCGAGTGACGGTGGATGGGTGCACCAGTCGCCGGGGGCTCTGGGGCAGCCGAAGAGGGTGATAGCGGGGATGTCGACGGGACAAAGGTGCGGATTTCCAGGCCTGGCAGTAGCAGATGGCCTGACTTTTGGGGAAGCAGCAGCACGGTGAAGCGAGTGGTGTCGCCGTCGCGGGCGATGAAATTGCCGCGGCGTCGGCCGCCCAGGAGCCATAGGTCTGGGTTGACGTGTAGCTCGAAGGAGCATTCTAGCGGCTGGCCTGCGTGTTCTTGCGCTGCTGGGGAACACCAGCGCCGCGTGTGCCGCAGACACAACTCGGCGGCGATCATTTGACCTACAGCAGCGTGATCTGAGCCTGGGACGCTGGGCTGTAGCTGCAACTCGGCCGTGTGCACGACCTGAATCTCGGGGATGTCGACCGGAATGATGATGCGGCGGGTGGGGATCGAGGGTCGTGAAGGCAGGGTAATGATGGCGTTGTTCTTACATCGCAGACGAATGTTAGTCAATCATACAGCAGAAGATGGTGGAAACACAGGGGACTAGAATATCAGACACAAACTCACCGTGTGCCATGCCATGAGCCACTGTCGTACATCCTCGACCGGCTCTTTCAGCGCCCCCAACAAGTCGTCCCACCGCACGTTACGGTACGGGAGCATCTCGACCTCCCGGACGATCCCGATGACCTCCAACTCGGCCGTAGACAGCTGCGCGCGGAAGTTGCCGACGAGGTGCGATGTGAGCAGCGCCGCGTATTGGTAGAACGGACTCGAGGCAATGGCAGCAGCGAAGCGTTTCTCAACCGCATCGAGACACTCATCGTCCACACACGTAAAATCAACACTCAACCGCAGACCTCGATTGGCCCCAGTTGCCGTGTTTTCACGAGGACGGATCTTGTAGAGCAGAGAGGCAGGCTGCTTGGGGAACACGTCAAGGGCGACGGGGCCGGTAATACTGGACTGCACCTCATATGCTTCCGAACCGGGCAGGCTGCAGCTGGTAATGCGCAGCGGGATCAGCATGGCGGGGCTCATTGTGAAACGCGAGAACAGCAGCTGATCCTTGAAAATGTCCTGCACATTCACCGATATGGGCAGTGTAGCAACCACACTGTACACTGCTGACGAAGCGAACCGCCCCTGATCTGTGTCGTACCCAATCTCTGCCCGGGCCGACAGGGTCGAAAAGGCCTCTTCCACTGTGTAGGGGACACGCAGTCGCACAAAAGATTGTGGCGGCAGCCGCGCGAACTCTATGACTCCGGAGTCGTGATTGGCTACTACTTCGAGGTCGCCGTCCACCACTTCTGCTTCGGCGATTCGAAGGCGAAGGCCTGCGGTTGCTGGACGCACCCGGATTGTGCCCGTTTTGATATCATTCCAACCACTATTGATTTCCAATTCCAGAGTTCGCATTGCCTCCAGATTGATCAGATGCGGGGACACAATCTTCACCTGTAGCCCGTCGGCTGGAGGGTAGCAGTATATGTATGGCCGGTGGTCTGTGTCCTCAGAATCGTCCGCTTCACGGAAGCCAAGCGGCAAGGCCGCATGATGGCTGCTGTTAAACGTGAAGACAAAGTTTCCGGATCGCATTTCCAGCCGGTCCACAAAGTACTTGCCCTGAAGCGTCGTCTGTGCATAAATTAGCAAATGACCAGAGGGAATTGTCCATAAACAGGACTCTCTTACCGAGGAATCGATCAGAATCTTCGACAACGACGACTGAATCACAAACTTGTTCGAGCCCTCAATCCAGTGCTCTGCACTCTGAGAGCTGTTGGCGCTGACCAATCGAATCTTGAGGGAGTCGATTTCAATTTGTTGGCCGAGGAGAAAACGCAACGAGAGCTGAATTTGGAACCCATCTTTGCCGTCATAAAGTCGAATTGCTGGGTCGACGTAGAGGTCGGCGAAGAAGTCCGTCAAAGATGCCGGAATGTCCTTTTGGAGAGTTGCCGACGTCTCGAAGAGGCTGCTGACATACCCTGACAACATCTCTTGCTCACTCGATGATGTCGAGGCAGCCAGGGCTTTCTGCCTATCTGTTAATTGCGCCTGTGTGTATGCAGCAAACTTGGAAAGTAGCCGTAGCATGATCCGGACATAATCTTCGTTCCGCTGGAGTTCTTTCAAGCACCGGGCATGAAGCTCCAACATGATCCCCTCCAAGACCACCCAGTGCTTAGTACCGTAGAACGGCGCCATCTGCTGGAGGTAGGAGGCGGCGGCTTCATAATCAGCCTGCCGGAAGCGCAAGATGGCGATTTCCGCGAGAGCTGCCTCGACTGAGTAGGCACGGTTTGCTGCCATGTGGTGACGAATCATGCGGTCAGTAAGATCTTCGTAGAGGGTCAGAAATGCGGGCTTGGACTTCAAGACAGCTTTCAGAACAGGCAATGCAACCCCAACAAGCGGAGAATGCTTCTTGAGATCTGACGGCGGCTTGGGTACATCGTGATCGTCCAGCGAAACCTCCTCCAGATCACCTTTCCCAGAACGATGACGGTCATCAAAAAGAAGACCAAGACCGGTCCACTTTTCTGTCCATCCGCGTCGCTGAGCGATTTCCTCGAGGGATCGTCTTGCCATCAGAAGTAGTTCTCCCCTTGCAGATGCCAATTGCTCGGAGCCAGTCTTTTGTGTTGGGATGGGCGCCGGTTTTGGGTGATCCATGGTCGAGCGTCGTTGGAGCAAACCGATATTATCAGACATATCCTGGGTCACCGGACGGCCAGAACGAGCCGCAGGCGAAGAAATCAACGAGCTGGTGCGACGGGGGACATCGGCCCGCATCTCTGCCATTGTCGTCGCAGCGCTTGGGCCATCGCCAGTTTGGGGCACGGCATGAAGTGAGGATTCGGGAAGCGCGAGAGTCGGGGTAAATGTCTGGCTCAGTATTTGAATGGCCGCTGAATATACAAAGGAAGAGACGAGGTTGTTAATGATATCTGTTTTAACACCCCGATCCACGTCCAGTCCACACTCGAGATCGTAGCGGAGCGTGCGTGCAGCGAGACTGATAAACTCGCTAGACCTCCCGCAGATTTCAGAGAGTAGGAACAGGTCTTCGAGCTTCTTGTCCCGTTTTGTTGACTTGGTATCAGAACTGGGTTCAGTCGCAACTGACGGAGCTCTGGCTGCCCGGAGAAGTAGAGTGAGTTGTCGAGAGAAGATGTAAGTGCGGAAGTCGAAGATGGAAATATCGCTTGCCAAAATCATTTCCCGGTAGGGCAGCCTGGTAGCACTGAGTGGGAAGTCCTCTGGCTGAATTTCCGGGAACGAAGCAGCGTCTCCATCGCCATCGTCATCTGATGAACCGGTCTCCAATGCCTTTTTAGCCGATTCCACCCAGGCCTTGCTGGTAGTTAAGAGGGCGCCGCCATGTTGATCACCACTTCCCTGGAGTTGATCGCGAACGGCCGCATCCAAGCCAACAGCCAACTCATCGTACCCGACTAGTGCATCGTCGAAAAGGCCCACGTTTTCAAAGCCCCTGGCGAGACCCTCTTTGAGGATGAAGAACGTACAAAAGTTCCACCCAGGTAGACTCCGTTGAGAGTCCTTCTCTTTGATATCCTCTTCATACTGAGCCACACGAAGATCAAAAGACGCCAGAATCCCATTCTTCATCTTGTCGATCAAGTCTTCCAACTGCTCGGTCAATTCCGGGGACTTGGTGGTTTCCTCCTTGGGGAGCCGTAGCTGAGCCACACGGTCCACAGCCGATTTGGAGGTTCCATTGAAATCGGCTTTCACCTTCTCCAGGACCGTGGTCGTGCTGCGGCCCCATTTGGTGGTAGGGGTGGGCGCCTTCTCCGCGCCGTCCCCGTCCTGCACCACGTGTAGGATGAGCCAATCGAAGGCATCATGCTTTTCCTGGTTGCTGGTAGCTGAGGGCGGATGGGGCTGCGACGTGCTGGTCGACGCATGAGTCTTGATCCACTCGCGCAGGGCCCGTCGCGCCGTCGCCTTGTAGGCATCGTTGTCGTCGCAGCGGAGGAGGTAGACTTTCAGGTACGGGGTTTGCCGCAGACCGGGGATCTGGTGGCGGCGATGAGGGACAGTGGCAGGGGCAGCATCGCTCGAAGATTTCCGCTCGCCTGCGTCGGTCTGCGCCGGCACGAACCCAATTCGGAGCGACTCAATCGACCGCACGGGGCGGGTGGGCGACTTCCAATGGAGGTTCTTCAGGGGTAGCTTCGACTCGATAATGGGCTGGACCTGGGGAAACAAGCCGGACGGGTCCGTGTACTCGACTGCAAAGAGAAAGGCATTGCTCTGGTCAGTATGGGTCTTGGTCGGACCTGAACAGTTCCTGGGTCATTACCGGTCACATTGTTTGAAGCTTCCTGCGAAGGATCCATGGTTCTCCCGGGCGCAATTCAGACCAATCTTTCCTAGGACATGCCGTTCAAAGCACCAGAAGCTGCTATGCACCTCGGGAGCTGAAGAATCCCGGAATGCCGTTGGTTGCGGGGAGGTTGATGTGTCGGAAACTCATGCGAAGGTCGCCCTACGCACAGGCCGCTTGGCACTTTCGACTCTACAAGCACCTCGGACCAGTCTGAGATTCTGTACAGATGGATCTTTCTAAGATGTTGCATACATAGTCATATCCTGTCGTTATACGCAAGGAAACAAAATATGGAAAAAAAAGGGGGACAAATCACAAAACCAATGGTCGCTCCATTGGATCAAGCCAACTCGCTCAGACAACACGCCGTGGCCGAAGACCAAAGAAAAGAAAACACAAAAAAAAAAAAAAAAAAAAACCCCCCTAGACACCCATTTCCACAGCCCGCTGGGTAGAGCGGGCTTTCACAAATTCAAAACTGTCCATAACACCTTGCCAGATCCCGGGGACGTAGTTCCGAACCCACGCGCAAATCACCAGAAGTAGAAGGGGAATCTAGAAGAGCATTAGTGAAAGAACTTGAGTCGCTGAAGATATGGAAAACTTACCCAAATGAAATAGAGATTCCGGTCACTGCCGAGTCCCTTCATTCGTCGAGCCTGTTGCTCCCGGAGATGCTTCTGCTGTTCGCGCGAGATAACCTTTCGCCCGATGGTGATGTTCTTCAAGTCATCCTTCTCCGGCCGGGTATGCGTAGAGGTGGAGGAGGATGCGGAAGCTGTGGGCGCCGAGGCACTGCTCTGGGCTTCAAAGTGTTGATCCAAAGCTGCCTCGGTCGCCGCACGCAAGAGAGCAGATTTCTTCATCTCGACTGTCCCTTCGTCGTCTTCCTGGTGTGGGTACAGTTCGTCGTAGGACGGCGGCTGGTTCTGGGTGGGTGCGGTGGTGCCCTTCAAAAGATCCCACCATCCGTCCCGAGCGGTGGGCCTGTGAGGCACAAGATTGGTGATGCGGCGCATCATCGGATGTGCTTGATAGTCCGGCAGAGCGGGCATCGGGGGAAGCACAGGCATGTTCGGGAATGCGTTGGCCACACTTTGTTGGAATTGGTTGATCTGGGCGGCTAGCTGGTTGCGCCAAGCGACAAGAGCCGCCGGCGGAGAGAAGCCACGAGCATCACCAGGGGCCGCAGGTTGTTCACTGGAGTCGACGACCGGCGGAATGGCATCTTGATGCATGCTGGATCGTCGCGATGGATTGGAATGAAGAGGGTTCGAATCGGATTCGTCGCTAACCTCATCTTCATCATCCAGTTCCTCCGAGTCATCAACGGCATGTCCGAGAGACCCAGAAGCCGATGACGCCTCCCAAAGGGAACTCAGAGAGGCGGAGCTGCTCTGGCGGCGACGCGAGGCAAGAGACCCGACACTGCGAGATCGGTAGTGTCGCGAGGGAAGCAAGGCGGCCTGATGCGCTGGGAGCGTTGTTGCGAGATCGGCAGCGGTGAAGCCTCGCACACTGCGTGTACTGGCATTGGCGCCAGCCAGACGCAGTCGGTGAACGATGTGAGCATGTCCCTGAAGGGCTGCCAGGTGCATCGGCGCATTGCCAGTGTTGTCCTGCACGTCGGGGTTCGCACCTCGGGCGAGGAGCCCCGCAACGAACCGCGTCAGTCCCAACGATGCCGCAAAGTGAAGTAGAGTCTGGCCGGTGGAGCCACGAGAATTGTACCGCGGCGGCCGTGGGCTGTCATCCAAGTCGATATATTCCAGGTAAGTTAGCATCTTGGAGTCAAGATCGCTCAGTTTACCCTGAGCCTCCAGCCCTGGCACCTGGCGTTGGTTACCGCCAGACGAACCGCCTTGCATGTCCTTTTGCATGTTGAAGATGGCGTTCGGATCGCTCCCCATGATCTGCTGAGCTGTGTGGAAGGCATCCGCTTGACTTCCGAGCTTCTGGCCCAGGATGTTGAGTGCCAGACGGTACATCTGAAGCTCACGATCATCAACATAGCGGAAGAAAAGTTGTTGTTTGGGCATCAAAGGCTGAGGTTGCTGGACTTGGCCAAATGTCGGATGCTCATGTTTGAAGACGACTGACACCAACCCCGGCTGAAGCGCAGGAGGGGTCAAGCAATTGAGGCACTTATCACCCCAGAACGTGGTGGTCGTTGCGAGAGTGTCACCGAATACAACCTCCATGCCGGGGTAGAATCCACTACCCAGCAAAGTAACCTCGGTACCTCCCGTAATCGAGCCCTCGGCGGGCACCAGCTTGTGGATCACCGAAGGCAACCGGCTCGGGGTACTGGCGAGAGGAGGCCAAATTTGACCCGCGGAATTTGCACCAAGTGCAAGAGCAAGGTTTTGATCTTGCAAGCTGTTGCGAGCTGAGCCGCCCGGTGTTCCAGGACGACTGGGGTGAGCAGAATTGGGTGCTGATACTAAGGATTGCTGGGCAAGGCTATCCAAGCTTTGCCGCTGAGCAGGCGTGGGATTGAAGAAAGGATTGTTGTCATTGCTTTGGTTAGGGGTCGGAGGCCCATTCCCATATTGCCCGGACATCGAGGACGGTGTCACGAAAGGTCGCTCCGTTGGCGAAGCAAATCCACGAGCCGCAGCCAGTTGTGCAGCATTGCTCATTGCTGACGAAGATGACTGCGGAGTTTCCATTCGCGTCATAATAAGCTCCGAAGGCAATCGCCCCGAACTGCTGTGCTTCCGCCGTTTGCTCTGCGGGCCTTGGAATTCGGTTGGAGATGTCTGTCGAGACAAGTTCCGCGGTGTCTGGGAGCTTGAAGTGCCTCCATTTGCCGAGTTTTGAGCCGCAGCAAATGAGCTAGGCGTGAGCTGGTATTGCGAATTGAATCGTTGTTGGAGGCCCTGTAGATCAGTCGGAGACTGCGGCGTGCCAAATGGGCCTGTTCCCTTTCCGTTGTCGAGATTCGACCCCGATGGGAAAACCCCAACGCCTGGTAGCTGAGCCCTGTCAGGTAAAGAAGGCGAAGGGCCAGAAATAGGAGGCGCCGAGGGAGCCTGTGTCTTGTGGTCGTCGGTAATCATGATAGAGTTGGTGATTGCCTGCGCCACAACGTTGCCCAGGTGATCCTTGACGGTGAAAATGACCTGGAACCCAAGTTTCTCGTTTTGGTGTCGACAGTAGCACGCTATGCGCATTGGTAGCTCCACTTGCATTGATCCAGGTGGTACCGTTGCCATGTCCCCATAGCCGGAGGACGCATTCTTTGGCGGCTCAGTCCACTCCTTGATCTCGCTGGTGTTGAAGACAATGACCCTTTTCTCTTCATCTTTCTGAAACAACTCATCTTCCTCCGGTTTCCGCTGTTTCTTCCGAGAGGCGCGTTTTCGTTCTCGCTGAATACAGCCCGTGCAGATCTTGACATCGCCACCATCCAACGGCCGCTCTTCCTCTGGAGCATTCGGACCGGATTGGTCACCTCTTGTCCGCACAAAGGCCTTCTTGAGCTTTTCCCGGTCTTGCATCGCACTCGTACATACTAAGCTGGTATGCAACTGGAGAGTATCGGGCGTAGATTCGGTGGAAGGGGGAGCGAGGAATTTTAGTTTCGAAATAGTGTGGGCGGGAAGGCGCAGCTTCTTCACGCCTGCGGGTAATGGAGAGAGAGTCAGGCGAATTGGAATCTGAGTTTCGACACGCGATTTGAGTGAGGTCGGATGCACCGTCAGAACAGGCTGCAAGGAATTCGCGGATTGTATCGAGGGCTGGGCCGAAGAAGATGCGAAAGTGACAGGGAACGGGAACGAGGAGGGCGATCCGAAGTTCAAGTTGGGAGAGAGCGAGGGATTGAGGGGTGTTTGGGCATTCATGTTGATGCCTCCGAAGCTTTCCTCCAGTAACGAAGAAGGCGACTGCCCGTCCCATTGAGGCGGTTTTTCTGCATCGTGGCCGATCGTACCAGTAAGAGAAGGCTGCTCTCCAAGTCCAAAGTTGAAGAACGGAGAACCGGGCGTAGGAATCTGAGACATGCATTAGGGCTGGCATTAGGACAAACCATTTGGGTGACTCACCGAGGGCGGTGCCGTGGCCGAGGTTGAGGCTGGGACCGCGGGGGTATTCGACGGACTCCAGATCTGCGAGCTGGGACGTTTTTGGGCTTTTGGTTGTGACCCGTTCTCGATTTTCAATGGACTGGGACTGCTTGCTGCACTCTCAAAATCAAAAGCCGCGTCCATCGCTTTGTTGCTGGTCTCCAGGTCGGGATCCATAGAGAAGCCACCATGCATGGGGTATGACGGCTCGATGGTGAATGGCGATTCCTCTTTCACTGACGATAACTCCGGGCGCATCCAGTCCTCCGAGGGGAAGCCGGCAGAGGCCAACGGGTGGTCGCTGTGAGAGGCAGAATTCGTTGACGCGACTGATGCCTGCCGAAGATGATTCCGAGGAGATTCGGACGACGAGCTACGGCTCGAATTGTCTGGAGATTCTGCGGGAGAATCAGCCGTCATGAGGGGCGGTTGCCTCAGGGGGTTTTGATTCTGGTATGGTTTCGATGACTCGGCATTTGAGCGGGAGTTCGAGGCTCGGGCAAACAAATCGTCGAAGGCACCGCCGGCATTCTCAGGGGACATGTCTAATTTTGTCGGGTCGAGGAAATCCACGTTGGCATTTCGGAAGGTGGACTCCATCTCGTCGTCCATGATAATGGGGTCCAGAGCAGGGAAAACGGGTGAAGAGGGAGCCTCGGCCGGTCCCATGCTTCGTCGGCACTGATCTGGATTTGTCGGAGGGGCCACAGGAGTTGAATGCGACCAACCACTTCGGAGCGGCAGTTGGTTGTGGAAGTCGCGTGTGAATTGAGGTGGATGTGGAGGGTCTCGACGAGGCGTCGGTTCGGTAGCCAGAGAGTTTGACCGCAAGTGTCTCACGCAATGTAACCGGGCCGGCCTCCCGAGACCATGGCTCGGAGGAAATTAAGATGGGATGTGGTTGAGGTGCTGGGATAAGGGGGGGGAAGAGTCGAGGATGTGTGGAGTGAGAAAGGAGAGCGGGAAAACTGCGAGCGCCGATCCGAGAACGTGGAGAGAGAGAGAGAGATAGTGCGATTTGCGTCAACCAACCACTCTCGATGCTGGGTGGGTTGATTTTGGAATTGCGTTGGAGGTTCTCAGTGACAGTCTTCGTCTAGATAAAGATGAATGAAAGAATCAAGTGTTTTTGTCTACTTGGTTTCGGTGAGGGTCGACGGGCACATCGACACCTCAGGCAGCACAGGGGCGGTGACCAGCGAGAATTGGGTGGGTTGTGATTCGCACCTGGCGAACATCTCTTGACTCTTCATTTGCACCTTCTGTTGCTCGCACTCCATCTACTTGGGGCTGGGATCAGCTCTCTGGTGCTCTACGATTACGCGAGATTTATGGTTTCTGCGATGGTATCACATCATGGCTCTCGGCTGTCCCACCGTTACTCAAGGGTTGAGTAACAGCCCTATACGATAGCTGGCGGTCTATGCTGCAGGCCCTTTTTGATCCCACAACTATCATCTATTACCTATGCTAGGTGATCGTCATGGCGGGGAGGATCCCTGGCCAATGCGTGTGTGAGGTCATCACGCGAAAATCTGCCGGGACATCTCGATGCGACGGTTTTTTTCTTCTTTTGTTTTCGATTGTGCCAAATCCGGGTCTGATCGTCAACATAGTTTTCTAAGACTGGACACGACAGGATACACGTACGGATACACGTACGTTACACCCTGGACGCCTCTGTCAGAATCCGGAGACTGAGGCTATTGGCCCTGGAGTACTAAGGGTTCACTCTCCATGATATACCCGAGGCCATGCATGCGCTCTTCGAATCTATCACCGACCTGGGTGAGAGGCGTTGGCCCTGGCGTGCCGAGCCTATTTAATGTTTCAGCCTAATATCTCGTAGTAATCACTTGGCCGTATAGCGTGTCTAGTTTGGAACAACCGTCAGTTAGCACACCACCGACTTGGGATATTCCAACCGGATTAGTGTGGCTTACTGTCCTCATCGACAGTTCTAGGCGACGCGCAGGTATACTATTTCATCTTGATAGTCTTGACTTTTGGATCTTGTGGATCTCTGAACTGCCATATCTCCAGCTAGCTCGATACATCGGAGACTTTTATTTTGCGAACACCCCAGTCTTTCGACGTCCTGGAAGACTTTTTTACTGAAACGAAGGGATTATATCTGATAGCTAGTTTACGACCTGAAAGACATTCCCCACTTGACCAGACCACTCATCTGCTTGAATCAACAGATATCTCTCATCTCCATGTGGCCAGCCCCGGCCCACAGATCAAGCACTCAACTTAATTCACGAAATTACTCCGACAAGCAGGAGCTTGGACAGCATCTTGGCGCAACAATGATAGATTGCTGTATGCAGGGGCCACCGCCATGAGTGGGGGTTGAGCCGGAGACATGAAACTTGGGTTGTCGCAGACAACCACCCAAGATCGACAGGTACGAACGAGAGGCATGTCTTCTCATAGATGAAGCAGAGCTTAATCAATTTTCTTCCCGGTAGGGCAACCTGAGAATCACCCGGCGTTTGGGAGCCACAGGGCAAGCTCATCTACTTCTCACCTTGGGACGCTGCTATCTCGGTCGCTAAGGATTATCCACCTATGGGCGGCTCAAAGAATGCATTGGGAACCTGCGAGGTGTCAGAAACATCCGTCAAACATGCAATATACTAGTCATGGTGGATTTTTCATGGCTGAAGGGTGCCATGTTGCCGGCGATGCTGTCCGGGCGAGCTCCATATAAGATCTCTAAGATATCGCCAGGCCTTCCTCGATTTTTTTTTCTTTTCCTTCTCATCAGTCCTTTTCTTCCATACTTTTCAAGGTCTAGTACCTTCCGTTCTCTTTATCGGGTTGAATTCATTGACTGAAGTCCCTTTTTTGTCATTCTTTTCTTCTACCGTTGTTTTCGAGCATTCTACCAACGCTGTGCGTTGAAACAATGTCTGTCTCCAAAATTGCCGGGATTATCCTCGGCTCGACTACTTTGGTAGCTGGCCATGGCTACGTGTCGGGCGCTGTGGTTGACGGCCAATATTATGGTGGTTACATTGTCGACAAGTACAGCTATACGGACAGCCCTCCCAAGGTGATCGGATGGTCGGAAGATGCCACAGACCTGGGCTTCGTCGACGGCAGTGGATACTCCGACGCAGACATCATCTGCCACAAGAATGCCGAGCCTGGTGCTCTGTCGGCCTCGGTCAAGGCCGGAGGCAAGGTCGAGCTGCAGTGGACCGAGTGGCCGGAAAGCCACCACGGCCCGGTCATTACCTACCTGGCCGACTGCAACGGCGACTGCTCGTCCGTGGACAAGACGGCTCTCAAGTTCTTCAAGATCGACCAGGCCGGCCTGATCGATGACAGCAATGTTCCTGGCACATGGGCTACAGACAAGCTCATCAGTAACAACAACAGCTACACTGTCACCATCCCCAGCAGTATCGCGGCTGGAAACTACGTCCTCCGCCACGAGATTATTGCTCTGCATTCTGCTGGAGATCAGAACGGTGCCCAGAACTACCCCCAGTGTCTGAACCTCAAGGTCACCGGCGGCGGCAGCGATGCGCCCACCGGCACCCTGGGCACTGCGCTCTACAAAAACACCAACCCGGGCATCAAGGTCAACATCTACCAGACCCTGGATTCCTACAAGATCCCCGGCCCAGCTCTGTACTCTGGTGCTTCCTCAGGCAGTGCCACCGCAGCCCCGAGCGGCTCTGCCTCTGCCTCTGCCTCGGGCAGTGGTGACTCGTCTCCATCCGCCTCAACATCCGGTTCTTCCTCCGCCGTGGGATCCGTCACGCCCCTGCCAACTGCCAGCGCTTCTCCCGTTAGTGTCTCACCTCTTAGCACCTCCCCGGTCATCCCGCCAGTCTCCAAACCCACCGGGCCCCCTCACCACTCTTCCAGCCGTAGGCAAAGGGTTCCTCGTGCCTCGTCCGGTCCTTCATTCTCTGTTCCCTGGGGCCCTGGATTCCCGCCAAATGGGGGGGCTACTGCTACTGCCACTGAAACCGCTGTTCCTCAGGTTACTAACCAGCCTGCTCCTCAGACTCCTAGTTCCTCGCTGGACGACGTGACCGTCACTGCTAGTTCGCCGGGAGGCAGGGCGGCACAGAGCTCTTCGCCGGCTGATGGAAACGCCCCTGTTCCCGTTCCCAGCTCCAGTGCTACGCCGAGCGCCGTGCCTAGCTCTGGCTCTAATACCAGCTCGGACTCTGGCTCTGGTTCGGACTCAGGTTCCAACACCAGCTCTACCAAGGACTGGGCCTCCTACCTCGACTCCCTGACCGCCGAGCAGTTCCTCAACTTGCTGCGCCAGACCGTGAGATGGCTCGCCACTGACAAGAAGCACGCACGCGACTTGTCGTCGTAAAGTGCCCCTGCGTACAGCCAGACGACCAGACAACGGAGTCTGGTTTGATGCTGGATTTAGAACTTTCATCCTTGAAACCTGGATCGGGTACCTGTCATTCCTTCTTTTCATCTGGGGCGATGTATAACAGGCCTTTGTGTGGTGTGATGCATGTTTACTTTACTTTCTTTCTTTCTTTCTCCTTTACGAGGGGAGACGTGAGACCCAGATCAATCTGGGTCTCATTTTATATGAATGGAATTGCTGGACTGCTCAATATTTCCTACACGTAGCCTATTCATATAGGCAACAAAAGCCATCTTGGAAAGCGGCTCAATCGATTTATCATGCATGATTGCTAAGTGCTCAGGCACCCTAGCAGGAATTTCAGATGACTTTGGGACATGTCCAACCAGATACCTATATCTCGTTTGAAAACATATCGGCCCCCGAGATCTATTTCTTCTTCTTGGTCTTATCAACCACATCGATCCACTGTGTGCGCAGCCCGCGGCGAACCAGAGCCGTCTCCACAGCCTTCCGCTGGTCACCCTGCACCAGGACCTCCATGACACCTCTGGGGGCAGCAGGCGCCTGCGTGACACTGGTGCTGCTAGCACATTTCTTCTGCAACTCCTCGGCCAACAAACTAGGCACGATTCCAAAGACCTCCAGGCTAGTGACCTTCGTGACAGTCTTCGAGCCAGTGCGCTTCTCGATGGTGACGAGGGCTTTGGGCGCGGTGCCGGCTCGGGGCTTGACGTCTGCGAGAGTTTGACCGGGCTTCAGAATGGCCCAGTGCGGTTGGAGCAGGTATGAATCTTCCACAATGCGTTTCAACAAGCCATCGCGGGTAACCTTGCCCCGTCCGAGCGTGCCTTTGTCTTCAGTGGAGGATGAAGTGAAAATAGTATTGGCGAGGAACGGATTCAGGTTAATGATGCGGCGGTTTTCTTGAGAGATGAGAGGCGGGTCCTGGGACTGCACGTACTCGTCCAAGTGGCTGGATATGTCGGAGTATTTGTAAAAGTTCCTGGGATCACTAGCGGACAGAGCAGGGAAAATAGTCGGAGCCAGCTTCGCCGTTGGTCGATACAGATTCTGAACAGTGAGCGTCTGTCCCACAGACGAATCGGCGCCATCTGTTGCAGCCGGCTTCTTGCTCTCTGCCGGGGCCGGCTTGCCGGCATTTTCGACGACATTCCGGGACGGCAGCTTGTAGGGAACAAAGCGTTCCACACGGTAGTCGTCGAAATCGACATCTAAAATAACGGTTTCTTGGCCGCTGCGGTCTTTGGACTTGACCAGTTGCAGTTTATCCAGATGCTTGATGAACTTTTTCACGTTCTTCCAGCTAGTTTTCTTGATGTTGTAGAATTGTGCCTGTTGACTTGAGTATATCGGGAGGTAAGGGGTTGTGAGGTTGGATATCAACGCTGATGGGGAAATTGGCAATTGCAGGGTATGATTGGTAGCTGACGGATTGTCATGCTTGAGCTTATAGAGGGCGTAAACAAAGGCATTGATGAATGCATCGTCAATCTCTGAATCACATTAGCATTTGATCCGGATGCTCAAGGAGAGTTGAAAGTTGAGCATACCCTTCGTTGTAGGCTCCTTTTCTTCAAGCACATGCTCCTCCGCAACGCTCGGGACTTCTTCAGCTGGTGCCTGCTCAACATCCTCTGCACTGGCACCCGCCTTTTTGTCCTCTAGCGTCAGCTCTCCAACACCGTCTCCAACCTCATCAACTTCTTCCTCATCCCATCCCTCTAGGTACTCGGGGGCAGGACGACCGGGTCGTGGTGATGAGCTCCATGCCCAAAGCTCATCTCCTTCCCACTGCAGACCACGAACCGCATGGCCCTTCGTACCCTGCACCTCGCCAAGCGCCGAGACATCAATCTCGCAGACACCCACAAACAGCGGTACGGTGTGTCTGTCCACGCTAGCCACCGCAACGATAGCCCCCTTCACAGCCTTCTGGGGGAAGGGAGGCTCATTTGCCAGGCCAGGAGTCATCAGGTCCGCACCGCCATGAAGTTTTCGCATAACAGGCTCCGGGGTATAAAGCAAAGGCACCAGGTTCGGGTTATGCCAAAGTGTGTAGACAGTTGGATAGAGACGCCTGTCCGCTCCAGGCCCGTGGTCCAACTTAAACCACAAGACGCGCTCATCGGCCTCGGGATGGGCACCTACGTAGACGATGCCCGAAATCTCGCGCAGGTCTGGCCCTGTTGTCGTTGTAAAGCGCGCAGTCAGTGCATTTTCAGGGAGAAGGGCGTTGCGGATCGACGTGAGGTTGGGCGTGGTTGGAGTCGAGTCGGAGCCTGCATCGGTGGGGTTTGTGGGGATGGTGATCTGGTATTCCTTGATAATCTGGTCGGCAATCTTCCTCCGATCCGATGATCGCAACGGCGCGAGGTTTTTGATCTATTGCGTCGACAGTCAGCGTTGGTTTATCGCGATGCTGAGCGGACGGTCCAGCTCCGATGGAGGGGCACTGCGGGGAGAGGGGCATCACCCACCGTGGGCTTCTTTTTGAACATGGTTGAAGTTGGACGAGCTAGAAGAATTCCCAAGTGTATTTCGAGCTCATCCAGCACGATGAGCGTTGAGATGGAAGAAGGAGAGAAAGAAGGAAAACGGAAAGCTGCTCAAGTGGGGGAATTCGACGCTATGCCTGATGTTCCGCCAGAGCCTCGCGCCTTCTCCACCTAAGCCCTGTTAAGATGTCTGAATTTATGCGGCCGAATTGCAAAGTCGACCGAGCAAACTCAATGACTCATATCTAACTAACTTACTTTCTGCAGGGAAAGTTTTAAAAGCAGTCTAATTGCTCTGTCATGGAGACCATTATAGCCCTAAGCGCATGGTCAAGTTACCCGCCGAAGACCTCAAGAGTATAGATTCAAGTGGACAAGGTAGTATAGAAACGAAAATGTACCTGCTATTTATACCTATATCTAGATATCTAGTTCCATTAATTAACGAGAGAGAGAATTCTCAAGTGTGGAAAAAAAAGCCATCGATAGGTAAGGAATATAAAATTGAATCATGCTTTGCAACAAGATGCTCCCCATAAAAAGATGTGAAAGTGCACATAAAAAACTCGCAATCAGATGATCCTGCATCTGATAGTGCATGGAACTCCATCTCAGTCGTCACCAGCTGGTCGCCATCCTCCCGTGTCTAGTCATATCCATCATAGTCGACGTCCCCGTAGTCGGAATCATCCATCCCAGTGTAGTCATCGTAGTAGGAGACACCCCCCTCAGAGTCATAGACGTCAGATTCAGGGTCATCCGAGCCATAATATTCAGAATCGTAGTCGCTACGGCTGGATTCATAGTCGTCGTCTTCCTCGCTGGTCTCATCGTCTTCAGATTCAGTGTCGTGGGAGCGATGATCGTCGAGATCCCGTCCAGCTTGTGCTCCTTCATTTGTCTGCTGAGCCCCATTATTCATACGGCTCCGCTGTTCATTGCCCGTTGGATGGTCTTCCTCCCAGGTGTTCTTGTACATCTCGCGAAAGCCCTGCATAATTTCCCTCGCCTCGACGACATCTTTGGTGTTGGCAGGGTTCAGCCCATAGGATATCATGAATTCCCTGATGTTGTTGAACCCGGCATCTTTGGCAATTTGAGAGTCGGTTAGATCTTTTGGAGGGACGTTGTCAGCGCTGGTTTGGTGGGATGCCATTGTGTCGGTGTTGATTGAACGGGGATTTCAGCTCTTGAGATGACTAGAACTAGAGCTGGCTAGCAATGAAGATGAGAAAAGAGATGCATAAAAAGTAGAGTCATGGGGAGGAAGATGGGCAAAGCCATCAGCGTTCTCAGTGTTTGTTTACAGCAAGAACCCAGGCCTGATTCTCAAGGCTTCATTTTGTCCACAAGATATCCCTATTGGGCTGCGACTTGACCACCGAGTCTCTCCCTACAACCAGAAGACACACATCAGTCGTGAAGTGGAATCGGCGATAGCACGAACTACTCCAGGTATATACATCGGACTATCGGACATTCCCCGATGACCCCACTCTCGGTCATCGCGACGATCGACTATACTTCAACCACACTCCCGTCACTCAATCTTCACTTCATCCTCACTCTAAAGACTAAGACTACACACATTTAGCTTTCAAGATGCCGGTCTATCACATTGGTGTGTTCCATGACTTATTGACATATCTCTTCTCATTCATCATGCATCCTCGCGTTGCTGACCGAGTTCCCAGTCCTCTTCCGCCTCAAGCCCGGGGTGACACCCGCTCAGTTGTCGACCTGGTCACAAACCTGCCAGGCCATGGTAGGCAAGATTCCAGGTAAGAGACTCTTCTTTCAAATCCTTACTCGAGTCATGGGATGTGAGTTAACAACACACCTGGCACAGGGCTTTTGTCTATGCAAACAAACGCCCCGCTGCCGATTTCGGTTCCCCGCGCGAAGGGGTTCGATATGGGACTGGTGGCAGTCTTGGAGACCGCGGAGCATGTCGCGACGTATGGGTTGCATCCGGCGCATTTAGAGTACAATCCCCTGCACTAGTGTCCCTGACAGCTAATGTTTATGCTGATGTTGATGTTGCCACTTTGTAGGGTCCACAAGATGCGCGAGGAGTTATGTGAAGATACCCTGGCCTATGATCTGGAATTTTGAGCATGGATTGGTTAGGTCTATGCATTACCGTTCCATGGAAAAATCCCATTAGGGCCGAGGGAGACCTTTTTGTTCTATGACAAGCGGACCTGAATTGAACTGGAAAAATTTGATGTGACAAAACAAATGATATAACGCCGATATGGGTTCTTCCCTATGTAACACTGCCCAACAAGAACGAAAGTAGGTTGTCCGTTCCATAACACTTTTGTATCCCGCCCGATGACCAGAAAACAAGGAAAATGGGGTGATTAAACAAGAAATATTCCACATACTTACTCTTTAGCGTCGACCTTCTTTGCCGGGTGGTCACCATTAGTCTCCTCTTCCCGAGCCCGCTTCTGGCCGGCCGACTTGTCGTCAGCAGTGCTCTGCACCACGGGGACACCACTAAGATTCCACACATATTAGCAAGAGAAAACTCCTCCAAAGCTCGCTGCAGAAATTGTACTCACCGAGCATCCTTCTGGGCCTCACGGCCGCTCTGGAACCCGTTCTTCTGGTCCTCCGATCGACGTTCCCGCCAGTCGCGCTCCTTGCGGTCTCCACGGCCTCCACCACGGCCTCGGCCTCGGCCTCGTTGGCCGCCACGGCCGCGGTAGTTGGTGGGCTTGAGGTTGCCGGCCTTGATCTCCTCTACCTTCTCATCGCAGTATTCCTTCTTGCTCTTGATGAGTAGGTCCTGGTCGTTCCACTTCGGCTTCTGCTCGAGACCGAGGAACTCCTTTTGCTTGTCCTCAGAGGCGAACTCAACGAAAACACTGCCCTTAAAGCCCTTGTCGACGCCCCGGCGAAGACGAATGGCGTTTACAGGGCCGAAGGGGGCAAAGAAAGCCTCAATATCGAACTGCGTGCTGGGCTCCTCACGACCGAACCCCTTGGCGTAGATACTGCGAGCCATGGCCTGGTCCTCGAACACCTTAACCACGCTGGGATCATGTGCCTTGGTCACCGACTCGGGCAGCGGCACCTTGCGCTTCACAGCGGTGTCGTTGTCGGTCAACTCCAGAGGCTCCGACGACTTAAGGGCCTCGACGACGGCGCTGAACGGCTGGAACCGGCGCATGCGCTTGAAGGAGTGCAGGGTGGCCAGAGGAACGGCATTGTTGGTGCTGCCTCCCACCAGGGACAGAAGGAACTTGTCCATCGGCAGGTTGGAGTCGGAAAAGTAGAACTCGACCTGAAGCGCGCGCATGAGTTAGCAATCCTATTTATTCTATCTTCGGGTGGCTGCGCAAATACCTGCTTGCGGATCTCCACAGGATCATCCGTCTCCTTCTGGGTGGAGGGGTCGAACTTGGCATTGTTGCGATAAGAACGACCACCGCGACCGCCGCGGAAAGAACCGCGCGATTCGCGCTGCTGAGTACCATTTGATTCTGTCTTCTCCTCGGCCATTTCTGACTTCTCACCGAGCTTGGCGGCTTCTGCGACAATGCGGGCTTCATCGGCGTCTTCCTTGCTCTGTTCAGCCGGAGCACCTCCTTCCTTCAGCTCAGCCAGCACATTCTGGACATCCTGCTCTGCCTCTGCATTGATGGGGTTCTTCTGCTCTTCAGGCATGGTTGCAAGTGTCGCGCGAGAATGCCTCGATGGGTCGCTTAGAGTGGTCTTGAAGCGTAATGACTCGACAGCTCGAGTGACTCAAGGAAGTGAGTCACTGATTGTGATTGAGACCTAAGAAGGTCCTTTGAAGCGCACAGGTCAGAGGGAAACCCCAAGGTCTAACAGATACACGATCAATGAGTTTGGGTTCCAAAGAGAAGGAGAGCTCGGCGGGGAGAAATTGCGATTTTTTTTCCGGAAGAGCTGCGATTGATACCTGAGGCATTCATAAGTGCTAATCGGGGCTAGCGCATCATGTCAATAGTGACTCCCTACCCAATTAGGAAACGAAGTATGAATAGAGCATGCCATTTGCATGTCCAGGCAGTGATGTGTGGTCTCTAGATCTGAAAGGAAATAGCATTAAATCCCGTATTTACTGAAGCTTTGCAGGAAAAAAATAAGCATCATTTTGTAGTAGGTAGTGAGTGATTTAGGATACGTTAAAAGATCTCTGCCTTGCTTTTAAGTCAGATATATCATGACATGGACAATAAAAAAAACATCAGAAATTTCTATAAGGAATAAACTGATTGCGGTTAATTTCTACTAGGCCAGATGAAGGCAGTGGCCGGGGGTCAAGACAGCGTGATCGAACCTTCCACTCGACCCTCGGCCAACTGCCCACATCGACTTAACTCCAAACGTCATTACCTTTCTCCCATCTACTCGTCCCCTCTGGCTTGATAAAATTACCAGAGTATTACTCATTGCTGTTTTCATTGCATATCACTTTCATTTGATGGTTGCAGAGCTGTTGCTAGTCGAGCAGCCGATTTCATCGCATCATCTCTCGGTCCATTCAACTGTGAGTGATGATCTAATCCTTTGGCTGGATGTGGCTTCTGACTAGCTGTGCTCTCTAGGGCACCTAGCTGGGAGTGAATTTCTGGTACAACACCAAAACTCTCGATTTTGTTTACCTATTTTGTCAACACATACATCATGGCAGCCGAAGACACCTGGCCGACAAAAGATGTACGCCAATGCCTTCCTACTCTTATGGACCCATCCTGACAATGTTGATCGTGTGCTACAGATCATCTATCTCGGTATTGTCGGGCCTTTGATGGTGGCTGCTTGTTTCGAGTGGTTCCTGTGGCTTGCAGCCTTCCTGTACTGCCTGGGCAAGGTATGTGTCAAGGCAGATCATTGGAGTATCAGGATTCTTGCAGTGGTGATGATACTCTTGTTTACAGTGCTCCGGTAAGTCTGCATGGTGAAATCGGTGGAAAGAAAATCTACAGGACTAACTGTTTCATCCGAGGGATAGACTGGCTTTCCTTCCGGTTATGCTTGTGACGCTGCCTCTACCCCCGGATGCTGCCCGGCACCTCCCTGAAAAGATGGTGTATTACTTCCAATGGTTTGCCTTCTGGTCCTTTTCAGCTCTTCTTGTTGGACCATGGCTCTTTTGCGTGTACGGACTTACGACAAACTCTCTGGGAAGGACAAAAAGAATCAAGCAGGTTCTCGATGATCGAACGGCCCCAAAAACGGTCATCGTGATGCCTGTGTACAAGGAAAAGGCGGAAGTTTTGATCAAAGCAGTTGATTCGGTGGTGGACTCCGACTACCCAGCATACTGTATCCATGTCTTTCTCTCCTATGACGGTGGGATAGTGGATGAGTCCTATCTTGATGTGGTCCACCATCTGGGAGTTCCATATTCAGCCGAAACATATCCTTCAAGTATCGATCTCACCTACAAAGGGGCAAGGATCACAGTATCTCGGTTCAAACACGGTGGAAAGCGACAATGCCAAAAGCAAACTTTCAAGCTGATCGACAAGGTCTACGCCGAGTACTTGAGACAGAATGACAACCTGTTTCTTCTGTTCATCGATTCGGACTGCATTCTCGATCGCGTGTGCCTGCAGAATTTCATGTACGATATGGAACTCAAGCCTGGGAGCAAGCATAACATGCTCGCCATGACGGGCATCATAACCTCCACCACGGAAAGGAACACCCTTCTCACGATTCTCCAGGACATGGAATATATCCATGGGCAGCTCTTTGAGCGCTCGGTCGAGTCCGGCTGTGGCGCTGTCACTTGTCTCCCAGGTGCGCTGACGATTTTGCGGTTCTCGGCATTTCGCAAGATGGCCAAGTATTACTTTGCCGACAAAGCTGAACAATGTGATGACATTTTTGATTTTGCAAAATGTCATCTGGGCGAGGATCGGTGGCTCACTCATCTCTTCATGATCGGGGCCAAAGAACGGTACCAAATCCAGATGTGTACGAGTGCCTTTTGCAAGACCGAAGCCGTCAAGACTTTCAGAAGTCTTCTGAAGCAGCGACGACGGTGGTTTCTGGGGTTTATCACGAATGAAGTGTGCATGATCACCGATGTACGGCTATGGAAACGTTACCCTCTGCTGTGTCTGGTTCGTTTCCTACAGAATACCATCCGAACCACTGCCCTACTCTTTTTCATCATGGCCATCTCCCTGATTACCACATCGAAGAAGGTGGATGATCTTCCCGTCGGATTTATCGGGGTCTCGCTCGGACTCAATTATCTACTGATGTTCTATTTCGGAGCCAGACTCAAGCGATTCAAGGCTTGGTTATATCCCCTCATGTTCATCCTCAACCCTTTCTTCAACTGGGTGTACATGATGTATGGAATCTTCACTGCGGGGCATCGTACCTGGGGTGGACCTCGAGCGGATGCTGCCACAGCAGATGAGCATACCACACCGGGGGAAGCCGTGGAGATGGCTAGGGCACAGGGCGATGAGTTCAACGTCAATGTCGAAACCTTTCGCACGAGTCTCGTGCGTCGCAGATCTGTTCCTGTTCGGCCCTCGGGCAATGTGGAAGGACGGTTTGCACCCGCGGAGCAGCTTCTGGACGGTTGTTATGTCAATTTCAATGACACGGGGGCTGGTCTTAGCCCAATGCCGACTCCGCTGCCAGATGTTCCTCGATTCCATCTTCCTACGTGCTTCCGCTACTCGACAGACTCGGTGTTCAGCGCGTCGTCGGAATTTGGCTCCAATTCGGTCTCGATGCCACAGAATGTGGAGACTCTGATGTGCGAGGAAGACCAGAAGAAGCTGTACTATGCGCGTCACGCCCGGGCATCAGCCGGCTCGCCGATGATTGAAGACAGTCCAGAAAAGCTCGTCGACCCTGACTTCCACAACGCGGTGCCGATTACATTCGAGCCTGCCATGGCTACCCCAGAAACACTCAGCTTCCCAACTGCAGCAATTCCAATGGACCGCTACCCTGTTCATACCCCATCCCAGCGCGTTCTACCCGAAAATGTTGCCGGCTCGCAAGGGCGGCGAGGGAGGCTACACAAGAAGTTGCGAAGAGCATCCGGCAAGCATGCCCCACCAGATGAGGTCTAACCAGGATAGTGGAGTGTGTGTCCCCTGACGTCAATTTTTTTTTCCCAGTTCCACTTTGTTTGGTGTCTTGTTCGACACGTTGTTCGGCCCCTCTTATTTTTATGATTCGTGGTCGTAACCATCGTTTCCAGTCGCTCTCTCTATGTCTTTGAATGTTGTATTTCATAGGGCACCAGGATATACTAGGTTATAATGAAGCGGTGCCCGAGTGCCTGATCGTCCACCAGGCATTTATTGATAATTCAGGCAACCTGGGGATGGAGCCAATGACGTTCGTAGATTTTGTAGGGTCCTTGCTGGGCGGTGAGAAAAATATTTTCAGGTTCTGCCCGCACAAAGCAGGCGGTGAGAGTGGCAGTCTCGTCCAGTAGCCGCCAGAAGGTTCGATGGGATCATTGTGCTCCTGGCCAGCCACCAGTATATTAGCCCAAGTAGACGCGTAGAGCAACTCGAGATAGATCTTCTCCTCTTTTTGGCATTTCATCCATCTGGTTCATTCCCCTTTTGCTACAGTGATTTCCCCAAGTTAGACCGCTGGACAGCCTGTTATCGCCCCTCCAATAATAGTGGAGTGGCGTGCAAATTCTCCCCACCATCTTCCCTCACTTTTTTCTTCCTCTTCGAACCATCTTTTTTCCAACCTCCACCCAACCCATTCTCCCTCAATTTTCCTCCATTTCCTCCGCCTACAATGAGCGTTGTCGGCATAGATTTCGGTGCGCAGAGCACCAAGGTCGGCGTGGCCAGGAACAAGGGAATAGACATTGTGCGTGTTTGCCCCGCGGGCCCCGTGTCGCGGATGTCCTGATTTCTCCCTCGTCCAGTCGCAATGCCCCCGATCTAATGAAGAACACGAGCGCTGACTGGAACTTGTTTTTTTCTTCAATTATAGATCACCAACGAAGTTTCCAACCGGTCGACCCCGTAAGTGATTCCGGCAAGCACTCGACGTCATCGCAATCAGATTTTTTTGGAGACTGACTGAGAAATTGTGATAACCAGGTCCCTGGTCGGATTCAGCGCCCGCAGCAGACAAATTGGTGAGGGTGCCAAGACACAAGAGACGTCGAACCTGAAGAACACCGTCGGCTCTCTCAAGCGCCTCATTGGCCGCTCCTTCAGTGACCCCGATGTCCAGCTCGAACAGGAGTATAACTCGGCAGCCATCTGTGATGTTAACGGCCAGGCCGGTGTCGAGGTCAGCTACCTCGGCAAGAAGGAGAAGTTCACGGCGACCCAGCTGGTTGCCATGTACCTGACCAAGATCAAAGATATCACCTCCAAGGAGCTGAGGCTCCCCGTCTCCGATGTCACCGTCAGCGTGCCCGCATGGTTCTCGGATGTGCAGCGCCGGGCTATGATCGACGCGGGTGACATTGCTGGCCTCAATGTCCTCCGCCTCGTCAATGACACTACCGCCACCGCTCTGGGTTACGGTATCACCAAGCTGGACCTCCCCGGCCCTGAGGAGAAGCCCCGCCGTGTGATTTTCGTAGACATCGGTTACAGCGACTACACCGCGACTATTGTGGAATTCCGCAAGGGCGAGCTGAATGTCAAGGCCACCGCTTGCGATCGCCACTTCGGTGGCCGCAACTTCGACAAGGCTTTGACCGAGCACTTCGCCGATGAGTTCAAGGAGAAGTTCAAGATCGACATTCGCACCCACCCCAAGGCCTGGTCTCGCTCCGTCGCTGCTGCAGAGAAGCTCAAGAAGGTGCTGTCGGCCAACCCGCAGGCGCCTATGAGCATCGAGTCCTTGATGGAGGACACCGATGTCCGCCTTATGGTTAAGCGTGAGGAGCTGGAGACCATGGTTAAGCCGCTCCTGGAACGAGTCACCCTCCCCATAGAGCAGGCTCTCGCCGAGGCCAAGCTCAAGGTCGACGATATCGACCACATCGAGATGGTCGGTGGCTGCACGCGTGTGCCCGCCATCAAGGACGCCATCACCAAGTTCTTTGGCAAGAACCTCTCGTTCACCCTCAACCAGGATGAGGCTATCGCTCGTGGCTGTGCCTTTGCCTGCGCTACCCTGTCTCCCGTCTTCCGTGTGCGTGACTTCGCTGTGCACGACATTGTCAACTACCCCATCGAGTTCACTTGGGAGCAATCGCCCGAGATTCCCGATGAGGACACCAGCCTCACGGTCTTCAGCCGTGGCAACGTGATGCCCTCGACAAAGATTCTAACCTTCTACCGCAAGCAGCCTTTCGATCTCGAGGCTCGCTACGCCAACCCCGACATGCTCCCCGGCAAGGTCAACCCTTGGATTGGTCGTTTCTCGGTCAAGGGCGTCAAGGCCGATGCCAATGACGACTTTATGATTTGCAAGCTCAAGGCCCGCCTCAACCTCCACGGCATTCTGAACGTCGAGTCTGGCTACTACGTTGAGGATATGGAAGTGGAAGAGCCCGTCCCAGAGGAGGGTGAGAAGAAGGATGGTGATGTAAGTTTAATTGCGAGCTTACTCAAGTCGGTTGCGGCATTAGAATTGTGTTCTAATCATGTCACAGGCTATGGACACTGACGCCAACGGTGAGGGCCAGCCCAAGAAGACCCGCAAGGTCAAGAAGCAGGTTCGTAAGGGTGACCTGCCCATTGCCACGGGCACCGGTGGCACCGACCAGGCTGTCAAGGATACCTGGCACGAGCGCGAGACCGCCATGTACATGGAGGACAAGCTTGTGGCTGAGACCGATGAGAAGAAGAACGAGCTCGAGGGTTCGATCTACGAGCTGCGTGACAAGATTGATGGTGTCTACTCCGAGTTCGCCAGCGACGATGAGAAAGAGAAGCTGCGCGCCAAGCTTTCCGCCACCGAGGTATGTCATTCGTTACTCTGTGTACTCCCCTGAAATTTCTCCCTTGCTAACAATGTATTCCAGGACTGGCTCTACGAGGAAGGTGAGGACACCACCAAGTCGGTGTACGTCGCCAAGATGGACGACATCCGTTTCATCGCCGGTCCCATCATCCAGCGCTACAAGGAGAAGGTCGATGCTGAGCGCCAGGCCGTCCTCAAGGCCGAAGAAGAGGCCGCTGCTAAGAAGCGCGCTGAGATCGAGGCTAAGAAGAAGGCCGAGGAAGAGGCCAAGAAGGCTGAAGAAGCCGCCAACAAGCCCGCTGAGGGTGACGCCGAGATGAAGGATGCTCCCGCCGAGGGCGAGACTGCCCAGGGCGAGACTGAGGAGAAGCAGTAGACTGCTTGGGACACCCGCGCGCTCAAGAGACCCTGCGAATTTGGAGTGCTCTTGGCGCTATGTGATGACGAAAAAGGCTTCAAGAGATGAAATGTTTCACGGACCTAGACCGATCAATCAAAAGGTTGATCCTTTTTTTTTCTTGTTCTAATGGCAAACGGTTATGATGTAGATCGCTTCTTTCTGATGAATAGATGAGTTCGATGAACATTCTGAGGTAGATGACAACAAAAAGTAGAGTAGTGAAGTGACCTTTTGATATGGAGGTTCTTGACTATGCTATATCCCTTTATCCACACTATAGCACGTAAGAGCAGTCAGTCATTGAAGATGCTCTGGAGATAAAGATGTCGCTAACGAGACAGAGACACAGCCCCAGGCAAACCTCACTAAAGACACGTCATTATACACCGTATTCCTCCGCAAGGATCCTTCTTTGGAATGTTCAATCTACATCACTTGGAATATATTTCATTATCCACCATGGCGAGCTCGACAAGTGGACCAGGGAGATGGACTAGCTAGCCGCGCAAGGCTTCCTGACCCCCGACGGCGTATTCGGCGCCATTGCCAAAACCGTGCCCATATGGTACGTGCTGGACAAAGATACAGAGATTCCGTATCTTCGCAAGATCTTTGATTCTCTCGCCATGGAGGAGAACGGCACGAAATGACTCACCCAGTCTGCATTGCTATCCTTCCTGGAATCCTCGGGTTTTCTTCCCCCATCCTTGAGAGACGCAAGGGCTCTTGTGAAGCTGCTGGTGGTTACGTGGTTTGGAAAGCGTCATATTGCTGTTGAGGATCTGACGGATTTGGATCATGTTGTTGATTGCATTGTCCGGCCTGTTGCTCAAAGGACCGATATTGGGATTACCTGGGATAAGTTTGAGCAGGCTGCTTCAAGCGGGATGGTAAGCCAAATCGTTTCTTTTCTTCTTTCTTTATTTTCCTCTGTCTGATAGGGAATGGAATACTGATGACTGGTTCAGCCGGTACTGATTAGAGGGCTTGGACGTCTCTTGGGCCCATTCTACAAAGACCCCGAGAAGGGAGACTTCACCACCGATCACGAACAACGAGGAAAAGTCGCCAGCTGGCCGGTTCTGGCGCAGCTGGGCTCTCTCAGAATCTTCTCACGAATGTTCATCGCAGTCCAACTATACAAGTACTATGACGTCCGAACTACACCTGTCACGGCATCCGCCCTGGCCGACGACCCAAACGCATTTGCCAAAGCCGCGATTGTTGTCCTCGTTTCTGGAAAAGATTCACAGACTAAAGAGAAAAAAGTCTTTGGATATTACGTGCCCGATATTGATTTTGAACGCGAAAGGCCTTACCTATTCCAGCTCTGTGACATCCAGAATGCTTTCCGTGGCAATGGTCCCCGGCCGGGCCGTGAGCTGGATGGAGATGAGCTGGTTTTTGGACAGAAAGGTAATGGTGCTGCGCTGGTGCTGCAGCAGGACTTGAAGAGGGCTGTGGTGTCTCACAGTGTTTCTGGGCAACATGAACCGCTGTATGCTGCTACGACTTGGGGAGGGGACTGGCGGGTTGAGATTGAGGTCGAGGAGATTGAGCTGTGGCTTGAGGAGTCTCCTGACTTCTCTAACTATGGCTATGAAGATGAAGAGGAAGATAAAGACGAAGAGGATGGGGAATAGGGGTGGTTCCATAAATTATCTCCTACTTGCTGTGCTCAAGATGTTTTAACATTGTTCTCAATATCGTATGCCAAGGACACCCAAGTTAGCCAGATGGTTGATTCTGATACCTGTCCACGGGTATCTATTAGTTAGCATGTCTGGATTGGCATACATCCGTGGCGATCCGGCCCAATCTGGCCTGATTGAAGGGGAAACTCAAGAAGTAGTCTACTCCGGGTAAGTCGGATGAAGATATTGGTCTTATCTTTCAGCATGTTTACATTTGTATCTGTTTCATCATACCTATTTCATCGTAGACACTGTCTCCGGCTATATTTGTTTTCCATTGACCCCCTGTTCATTCTGGTTCTATATATCTGCTCGTCCGAGTCTCCTCAGCTTGAATATTCTTACCTATCCTGTATTTCTTTATTTACTACGTTACTCTCCTCAATCCTTTCACTATGCGAGCTGAAACAGACTCGCGGGCAGAGTACCCTATCTTCTAGGACCCGAACATTGTCCGAAGCTATCCATCCATTCCAAGATGCAGTGGCAGCTAATCCCAGCATTCATACTTGTCTTTGGGTTTGTAGTAACCACTGCGCTTCCCAAGCTCTCGGAAGGTATCCCATATGAAAGTGGCAGCCAGCATGATCTCATGCCAGTGGACGCGGACTCTCTGTGGCGGAAGTATAGACTCAACACATCGGCAGAATACAAGTATTTCCATGAGCCCGGGGGAGATGACATCCTTGGTCACTATGACGTACGGTTCTTCACGGCATCTGGGAGCCATGCCGAGCGGACCCAGGCGCTCACCCATATGATCCGGGCATACCTCAATTTCTTTGATAAGAACAAGCTGGAGACGTGGATTGCGCACGGGACACTGCTGGGGTGGTGGTGGAATGGAAAGGTGAGATTCCATTGGTGGTTGTCCTTTTGAATAAAAGAACAATAATCAGAGTGCTAACAGCCTGCATGCATTAGATTCTCCCTTGGGATTGGGATATCGACACCCAAGTCCTGGATACCACACTCGCCTACCTCGCCGACAACTTCAACCATACGATCGTCGAGTACAAATCCCCCGACAGCCTCGTCCGGCGCCGGTATCTTCTGGACATCAACCCATGGTCCCGGCAGCGAGAGAGTGGACAGGGGCTGAACATCATTGACGCACGCTGGATCGACATCCATACGGGTCTCTACATCGACATCACGGGTGTCAGTAGACTGGAACCCAAGGCGCATCCTACAATCTGGGAATGCAAAAACTTCCATCAGTACCGACTGCACCAGTTGTATCCACTGCGGCGCACCGTTTTTGAGGGCGTCCCGGCCAAAGTGCCTTTTCTCTATGAATCGATCTTGGTGGAGGAGTATTCCAAGAAGGCCCTAACGAGCACTCGGTTTCATAAGTGAGTTTTCTTTGGTCAATGGCTTGTTCCACTGCGATGTTGACTGGATTCTTCTGTGGCCAGTCATACTTGGTCCCCTGAGTTGGGGCAATGGATCTCGGAGGCCATCGGTCGAAGTGAGGATCCCTTGAAGATGAGTTCCACGGGTGTAGAATTGCAGCTCATACGCCATTTTTGAATATTCGATTTTCTGTTCTTTTGGTGTTTTTGTATGCACCCTCCATGTTGGCATCTCTCCTGAACTGCTAAACATAGTTCCGATGGGGCCAAATGGATGATCAGCGAGCTGGGCAAAGAGTCATGTTTCAAGGTTGGATGCCTAGTTCGATGACTGATGTCACTGGCGGGGGGCCGTTACTCTTTCTCACGTCGATATGCACTCCATCTTCTTTCACTAAAATTCCGCCATGAGTGACTCCAGTATTAGTGAGTCCAGTATCAGCGACTCTGAGGACCAAGACTTTGTTGTTGTGGAGCAGCCCGACGAGCTCCCTGAAATTGCTGAACTCGTTGTATGGCTTCACCCAACTGATTATCTGGGCGAGTTCTCGGATTTCCAAAAGCATCTCCACTCGCATGTGCAAGGCACAGGAGAATGGATTGAACAGACCACGCAATATCAGCAGTGGCATGATTCGCCCATCCATGGCTTGCTGTGGTTAAAGGCTGTCGCAGGAGCCGGGAAGAGCGTCCTCGCCGCCCGACTGATTGCCCATCTCCAACACACCGAGTCAAATACGCCTGTTCTGTTCTTCTTTTTTCGCCAAATTATCGCATCCAACCATGATCCTCACTCGATGGTTCGAGACTGGATGGCTCAGTTGCTGGGCCATTCCCCGCATCTGCGAACGAAGCTGGATCGCTTCAAGCAAGACGGGCGCGCGGCGAAGGATATTGCCCTGAGTGAACTGTGGCAGCTTCTACTCGATGCATTGCGGTCTCTGGACAAGGTTTATCTTGTCGTCGATGCACTGGATGAGGTGGACAGCGAGCATACCCAGGGACTCCTTCAACGCCTCGTCGCTTTAGGGGAATTCCGACCGGGGGCCATCAATTTAATCGTGACCAGTCGACCACTGCCCCAAGTCCAGAAGTTCTTGAATGTGCCTTCCGTTCTCCAGGTGAGACTCGAAGACCGTCAGGTTAACAAGGATATTTCTATCTTTGTTCAGCATCGTCTGACCCAAGCACATCACCTCGATGAGTCAACCAGAGAATCGATCAAGAGGTCCATTGAGGACCGTGTACATCCTTCATTTCTATACACACGCCTTGTATTGACCAAACTGTTGGAGGAAGACAAAGAAGACTCGTTGGAGTTGGCGACGGTTCAAAATGCACTCACCTTTCTGCCCTCCAGCATGGAGGACATGTACTCTGAAATGCTCTACGATCATTCCCAACTCGCATCTGTCCCACAAGAGAGACAACTCCTGATCCTGCAATTGGTCACACACTCTTCGCGCCCGTTGCGCCTGCTGGAAATTGCAAGCGTCCTGGATTTCCTGGACATGAACAACGGGACCGGCAAACATGGCGACACGAAGAACATGACACGCATGTCCTGTGGCCCGCTCCTGGAGATTCTGGAGGATGAAATGGTTTCTATCATCCACCACTCATGCACCGAGTTTTTGATGGATACCGCACGTAAAGACCGCCCGGTAGCTGAGCAGCCTGTCCATCCGTTCCCGGTGATCGACTCAACCCAAACACATGAATTGATGGCTACTCTTTGTGTTCAATATCTGCTCTCTAGTGGCCTCTCGTCATGGGAAATCAATGATGAGTGCCGATACCACGACGAAGGTATAATCTCCCAACAAAAGCGTCTTCAGTTGCAACATCCTTTTCTCGGCTATGCCCTCGAAAATTGGCATTACCATGTCCAGCGATCGAGCGTGTTAAATTCCAGACTATTAGAAAAGTTGAACACCTTTATGGATGCAGACAACCGCTCTTTCCAAGCCTGGGTTGATGCGGTGATCAAACCAGAATATGCCGTCAAGTCAGTCTCACCACTCCACGTTGCAGCATGGACAGGAATTACAAATTACGTGGAGTTTCTGTTAACCGCGGGCCATGAAATCAATGTCTTGACTGATCATGAAGAGACACCTCTCACCCTGGCTGCCCAGAAAGGTCACGCTGATACAGTGGTCGTCTTTCTAAAGCACGGTGCGGCCCCAGACCAGTCAGACAAATTCGGCCATAAGCCAATCCATTATGCTGCGCGGTCCAATCGTCATGCAATTGTGCAGGCACTACTTGATGCTGGAGTCAGCCCCCTCACGGGAGTAACGTGTGACTATCCGCCACGAAGATGTGGGAATGCTCGGAGCAGTGTGGGCGACTCCCCGTTGAGATATGCCTCCAAGGCCGGTTCTCTCGAGGCCGTGCGTGCCATGCTACCCCATTTGAGCGAGAAAGATATTCATTCTTCGCTTTGCTGGGCGGTTGGTTCCAGGCACCTGGCCCTTGCCAAATTCCTTTTAGAAGCAGGTCATATCGATGCTAGCGCGGATATTGGTGGATCGTGTCTTCTCAAGGCCGCTCACCATACGGACTGGGACATGATTCAGCTACTCATTAGCAAAGGTGCAGATCCCAATTACCGGCCTAGGCCTGTGGAGCCGAGGACAATCGATGGTATACCGGTCAGATCTTTCCGAGAAAAGATAGAAGAACCGTCTCTGCTTCATGCCGTCTGTGCATCTGAAACTGCCAGGTATTATCGATACGAGGGCGGAGATACATTTCAGATCTTTGAAAAATGCTTAGACCTGGCTCTTGACGCGGGGTGTGATGTTAATCTTCCGGGCATCATGGGCCGTACGGCTTTGCATTACTGTGTTAAGAGTAGCATGCCTGTCGTGGAAAAGCTTTTGCAACGCGGGGCGGATGTGCATGCAACAGACTTTGACGGCAATACACCTTTGCATTTATTGGAGTCATCCACCGAAACGGCCCCGATTTTGAAGGCGTTGATCCGCCATGGCGCCAGATGGGATGTTATTCGTGAGAGGGACGGCAAGACGCCCCTGCACACATGCTGCGAAATGTCTAGTTTTGACGATCAAATCGATGTCCTGCGACCCTATATTAAGGACTGGAATATCCCAGACGCCGATGGCAATACACCACTGCATCTTCTTGCGGGTGATGCTCGCAAACAGCTGCTTAGCATGGGGGCGGATGTGAATCGGAAGAACAACAGGGGAGAGACTCCCCTGCACACTTTGGATAGCTTGGACGCTGGGGACGCCGCGGTCCTTCTCGCGGCTGGGGCCGATATTGACGCCAGAGATAACAAGGGCAGGACGTGGTTCTTGCGCACTGTGCATAAGGAGAGCTACCGACCCGAGAAAACCCTCCAGAAGATCCTTGATCTGGGCGCAAATCTTCACGCAGTGGACTATGAAGGGAACGGTGCATTGCACCTGGTTTGTAAAAGGCAGACCTCCAATCAGAGCCTGAAATTTCTACTCAAAGCCGGGGCGGACCCTCGACATGTCAACTACAATGGGGATTCTATCTACCATCTCTTGATGCGGGGTTGCTTTGGAGCCAGCCGGCTATACTTCAAAGAGTTTTTGGAGCTCGCGCTTGCTACTGACGCCCCTGCTACGGCAAGGAACTATCGAGGACAGACCCTGCTGCATTCGGTGTGTGCCGGGGGCGTGGCAAGATACAACACAACCCTGCAAAAGGCTACTCAGAACCCACTCAACTCTTTCCCGCCATCGGACATCGATGCAATGATCAAGACAACAGACAACGAAGGCAGAATGCCCATTCATCTGGCGGCAACCACATCGGAAGACTTAGTCTCGTGGCTTATTGAAAAGGGCTCTGATCTCACGGCTTGCACTTACAACAGACAGAATCTACTACACCTGGCTGCCTCTGCTGATCAAAGCAATACACTGGGTCTTCTCTTGGAAAGCTATGCCAGCAATGCCCAGACTCAAGGAGTCATCAATCAACGAGATGAAACTGGACAGACCCCTCTTCATTATGCTTGTCGCTCTGGTCGAACAGAGAGCGTCAAGCTGTTGTTGCAAGCGGGTGCAGATGCGAAGATAGCCGACAATAGTAGCTGGACGCCTCTACACACCTGTGCAGAGTTTACCAGGGAGCGGGGTCCATCCAGATGCAAAGCTCCGGGGCTGGGCGACGAAGGAATCGAATCCGAGAAAGAGACACTTAGGGTCACAGACATTATTCGTCTTCTGCATCAGCACGGCGCAGATATTATGGAAGGATGCATACCACGAGGAACTCCGATGGAGCTTGCACTAGATCGTGGCCTCGAGGAAATGGTTATTACTCTAGCACAGATTGCTCGAGAGCAGTCACTTCCTGCTGTTCCAAAATACTGCGAACCTGCCGGGCCCTTGTACCTGGCAAGTCGTCATACCTATGCCAACTCCATTGCAGAGGAGCTCTTGCGATGCAATCACGAGCCGAAAGCCTTTCTGAATGGCTGCGCGCGACTTTTGAGACTCGGTGCCTACGAAGTTCTGGAAGGGCTTGCAAGACAAGGACATCAGCTTACAGCAGAAGGGTCGCACAAAAAGGACGACTTTCTCGTGCTGCTTGCCCGCTGGGGATTCACTGAGATGTTTGAGAAGCTTGGAAGAAGGCGTGAGAACACCGATTGGATCAATGGGACTTTTTCCACGTCCTTTGAATTTATCACCCACATGCATCCGCTCATTCTCCATGTGGCGCACAGGGAACCGCCGAGCATTGATCTCCTACGGGTCGTCGTCGAGACCTTCAAGGCTGACGTGAATGTGAAGTCACGCCAGGAAAACTGGCAAGAGGATGCTGGGGTTAATGTCCTCCATGTCCTAGCGTGTGGCAAACACTGGTGGCACACTGAGGCTATTCAATATGTTCTCGATCATGGAGCTGATACCACACTGCGGGACGAAAATGGCCGCACACCTCTCCACGTGGCAGTCTCTGGAGGTTATCGACGATTTGACATTGTACAGGCCTTGTTGAAGCACGGAGCGAACCCCAATGCAGTGGATAATGACGGCTCTACACCGTTGAACCTTGTGAAGGACGACCCTGAGATGTTTCGACTGCTCACCCAGAACGGGGCCGACGTGACCCTGGGTGACTGGCCAGTCCTCTATCATGCTATTGATAAGCAGGAGGTGGATACTGTGCGAGCCGTCCTTAATCTCGGGATTGACTGCAACAAGCCATTCAAAGAGAGCCTGCCCTCTGTTGATCCAGACGACGATGAGATGTACTTCGTCTGGATGTCTGGTAGGGGCGAGCAACGCAAAGATCTTCTCTACCGGCCACTTCGTTTTGCCGCTGGTCGGGAGCCTACCCAGCAAGAGATGGTGACCATTGTGCAAATGCTCCTGGACTATGGGGCCGATCCTTTCCAGCCTTGTGGTGATGAGACGACCATCATCCACGACTTGCTGCAACAAGGTGGCATCCTCGATCCTCTTCTTGCCCTGTCGGGGCTGGAGCTGGAAAAGCGGGATGTGCCCGGAAGAACCTTGCTTTTGGCTGCCTGCGATGTCCATGAAACCAGCAATCAGCGGTTCTTCCAATACAATGAATTTCCTGCGAGGTGGCGGGCCAGTCTGATTAAGCGGCTATGTGACATGGGAGCCGATGTGTCGGCTGTGACCAACAATGGAAACAACGTGCTCCATCTGCTCGCCACTGCTACTCAGTGGATTGATGAACCACAAGAGATTGTCGATACTTTTCCAGGGTTCATTGAAAAGTTTCCTGCCCTGCTGCACCAGCAAAATGAAAAAGGATACAAGCCATTCCACCTAGCTGCCGAGAATGGTTCTTGGTATACATGCCAAGTTCTCATCAAAGCCGGCGCCAAGTTCCTCGAGCCAGATCCCAAGGGTAACACTGGTCTGCACCATCTAGACCAATTCCTGTACAACAGAAAGCGTGAAACCCAGCTACGGATAATGGATGAGGCTCTTGCGCTGGGGTGGGATATCAACGCACGTAACAACGATGGAGAGACGCCGTTGTCGAAATATCTTCTCTCTCTGGGCAGAACCAGAGGTTGGTGGTCGCTCCGCAGGGAGGACGAGCAGAAGTTCGTGCAACGATTCCGGGATGCAGGGGCGGACTTCTTCACGCGGAGCAATTCGGGGGAAGGTCTTTTGCATTTGATTGCCAGGTTGCCGGTTACGCACTCGGATGAGACGGATATTCATGAGTCGTTTACGTGGTTGATGGAGATGGGACTCGATCCGTTCTTGGAGGACTATCAGCAGAGAACTCCCGTGGTAAGTCGAACTTAGCCCGCTTCCCATTTATAGTCTGTTTTACTGGACTGGGGAATATTTAAACTGACGACTATAGGATGTTGCTGCTGCATATGGCAAAGAGTCTATACTCTCGTTATTTCAGAAGAAATAGTTGATCTCATCAGGAGATTTGGTAGCGATTCATGAGTGTTTGGATTTGTTCTGTCATTTAAATTGAACTTTTCTGTCAACCAAACACCTAAAAGTAGCCTGGTGATGTCTAAACAGAGTTGGAGGCTTCAAGGTGTAGCCCTAGTTATTCTATTTGGAAAGTGGCGTCATTATAGTTGAGGCTCTGCTCCTGATGACTCAGCTCTTATCTCCGTGCTGACAAACTATCCCCGTGGAAGCCCGTCGAATTCGCCTCGGCGCCTGCCTATTTGGGCTGTGCTGCTGCATATATCACGCCGCTCTCGATTATCTTGCGCTGTTTTGCTTCTGTCATTCCCACACCCCCTCTCTATCTCCGCGATCATGGACTCCTACATAGAGCTGACAGTTCACCACCATGGCACCCCGTATTCGCTTCACATGTCCGCCTCGGCCACGCTACAAGACCTGTCCTCCACGATCGAGACTACATTGAACATCCCTGTCGAGAATCAGAAGCTTCTGGTTTCCCCGAATCCAGGCATGCAGAAGGCGCCATTTCAACCAACACGCCTCGATGCCATTCTTCCTCTCGACTCTCCCAAGTTCAAGATCACCCTCCTCGGCACTCCAGCCCAAGCCATCGCAAACCTCCACGAACAAGCCGCCAGCAACCGGCGCCGAGAAGAGGCACGGGCATCAGCGCTTGCCACAGCCCGGCGAACAAACAAGCCCTCGGTCACGCGCAGCAGCGGCATCCACACCCTCTCCGACTCCAGCACCAGCTACACCTTCCACCGTCTCCTCCCGCTCTCCTACCTGCCTAACCCCAACCGCTCCCTACAGTTCCTCGAACGGCTCCGCGATGACCCAGGTATCCGCGCCGCCATGTCGAAGCACCAATTCTCGGTCCCACTCCTGACAGAAATGAACCCGGCCGAGCACACGACCAGCGAATCCCGCACGCTGGGCCTGAACCGGAACCGCGGCGAGGTGATCGAGCTGCGACTGCGCACAGACGCCTACGATGGCTACCGCGACTACCGTACCATCCGAAAGACGCTGTGCCATGAGCTGGCGCACTGCGTCCTCGGTGAGCATGACCGCGCGTTTTGGGACTTGACTGCACAGATCGAGCGCGAGGTCGATCGCGCGGATTGGAAGTCTGGTGGGAACCGCCTCACTCAGCAGGAGTTTTATAATCCTGCAGATTGGGAGAATGTGCAGAGTGGCGAGGAGTTTGTGGATGAGCGTGGTTGGACGGGCGGCGAGTTTGTGCTCGGTGGACTGCGCGAGGATGAGACTGGGCGTCGGGCTGGGACGCCGGCTATGGGGACTGAGTCTCGCAGGGAGATCTTGGCGCGCGCGGCCGAGGAGAGGTTGCAGAAGGAGCAGAAGAAAGGGACGCAGGATGATGGCCGGTGATACGGTGATTTACATTTTCATGATTGATGAACTGCTACTTTTTTATTGTTATACCCTATTTTGAGTGTCTGGATACCATTGAACAGATCGAAGCATATATCTTGCATGTATTTAGTTGGTCTTACTGCATGCGATACCTAACACTAAATCGAGTATCCGCATCGAGCCATATTTACACCTGCTCATTGACAAATAACCCAGCCATCCCCTGACCCGTACCAATACACATACTAGTAACCAAAATCTTCTTCTTTGTCCGGCGCGCCTCGCTCAAGATCGTAGCGATCTGGCGCGCACCTGTCGCACCCAGCGGGTGGCCGAGCGCGATGGCGCCGCCGCGCGGGTTGACCTTGGCGTGGTCGAGACCCAGCGTGTTGACGCAGTACACCGCCATGGACGCGAACGCCTCGTTAATCTCGTAGATGTCGATGTCGTTCTTGTCCAGCTGGAACTTGCTCAGCAGCTTGGGGATGGCGGCGGTTGGGCCGATGCCCATCACGCGCGGCGGAACACCGGCGACGGTGGCGCCACAGAATTTGGCTAGGATGGGCTGGTTGAGCTCGATGGCTTTGGAGCGGCGCATCAGGAGGACGGCGGCGGCTATGTTATTTGTTAGTATGGAGTATTTCTCTTCAATTTGAGGAAGAGACATGAAGGATAGAGAAAGAGATGGGAGGGGGAGAAAGATATAGACATACCGCCATCAGTCACCTGGCTTGAGTTGCCGCCAGTCGAACGGTCACCGAACTGCGGGAACGCAGGGCGAATTTTCGAAAGCGACTCAAATGTAGTCCCGTAGCGGATACCATCGTCGAGAGACAGAGTCACCTGTTTAACCTCACCAGACTTGGGGTCTTTGACCTTAACCGAGATGGGGGCAATCTCATCATCGAACCAGCCAGCCTTCTGAGCAGCCTCAGCGCGGCGGAATGACTCGGCGGCATAGCGGTCCTGCTGCTCGCGCGGGATGCCAAAATCCTTTCCGACATTCTCGGACGTCTGGCCCATGGGCTGCATGCAGTCGGCGGATTCCTGGTTGCGCAGCACCTCCTCGTTGAACGGGCGTTCCAGCCGGTCGCCGGCGGCCGACATCAGCTCTGCACCCAGCGCCACACCGACGTCAATCGCACCCAGCGAGATCTGGTTCGCAATGTCCTGCACCGCCTTCAGCCCGGACGAGCAGAACCGGTTCACTGACGAGGCGCCCGATGTGTGTGGGATGCCTGCTGCCAGTGCGGCTGCGCGCACCATGTATGCGGCTTTGCCTTCGCCGACCTAGATTTTGGGTTAGATCAAGGTTTTTAGAAGAACCCAAGGAATAGAATGAATGGGTGATGGAGGAAATAATAATGCAACCCATACATTTCCCAAACAGACGTCCTCGATCAGCGCAGGGTCAATGTTCGACTTAGCCAGCGTCTCCTTCAGTAGTGCATAGACCATATAATCCAGCTCCGTGTCCTTGAACCCGCCCTTGCGCGCCTTGGTCAACGGCGTCCGCAGTGATAGTGTTATCACCACATCGTCTGGATTCTTTTGTGTGCTGTGGATGTCGGTTAGATTTTGCAATGTTTCGACGTGTTCATTTACGAGGGAGGACTCACATGGCGTTAACGCCGCCACCGGAGCCCGGCTTGAGGTGGCTCAGAATTGAGCTTAGACGATCTGCGGCCATGGCGAATGCTAGGTGAGATGTTCTGCAGTGTGTCGTCAGTATAGGCGGCTTCAAAATATTTGACTCCCGTCGATTGTTTGGTTTGCAAGTCTTCGACAGGGTAGCTGTGAATGGAAGTTTTTGGCCGTTGTTGCGGGGAAGCTCCAATGCAGAACGTGCAGAGGCCCGATGATCAATGCAAGGACTGAGTGAAAAAGGGAAAAGAAATAGAAACACACTCGACTCACCGATAAAACGAAGACACAAGGATTTTTGGGGGAAATGAAGGAAGAGAAGCCTCGAGAGAGGAGCCTGGAAAGAAGTATGCGCGTCTCCGCTTTGCCCGAGACTGCCGAGGCTCATTTCGCCTCTCGAGCCCGGAGTACCGGGTACCCCACAAAGGGTGTAGACTTCATAGTGTAAATAAGTACCGTGTACTTCATAGTCTCATCAAGTATAGATCTCGGTTTGAATTGCCTAGGTAAATGGCAATCACCGGTGCTTGGGGATTACTCGTAGTGCGACCCCTTACCAGAAGAATATAGATTGCATTTATATAATCTAAAATGTTGCACAACAACAAACAGTCCAGTGTTACCGCTGCTATCTACCACGGCACGACACCATTCTCATCCGAATACAACCCCGACTCTCCATCGGCGCCCAAAGTCGCCAATCGCACAATATTCACCGCAGACTCTGATGCAGGCCGGCCGATGCCGTGGGAGAAATTTGTGGCGGTTAGATTTGGACACGACGCATTCACCTTCCACCCCTGGTCCTTGAACTGGGCCGCATAGTGCAAGGTGAGCATATTCAAAGCTGCCTTGCTACTGCGGTAGATGGGGAAGCTGGGTCGGCTCATTTTGGAGAACATCTCGTGCGAGGGATCGGTGCGGATCGCCAGCGACCCAGTGTGCGACGACACAAACACAATCCGCGGCGGAGATGCCGCCGCCTTCTCGAGAAGCGGGATGAACACTTCAGTGGTGGCCGCCGCGCCGAAGAGATTAACCTCGTATGCCTCGCGGTAGAGCTGGCGCAATTGGGATAGGTTGGGCTTCTCGTCTTGGGCTTCGCCGTTTTTCTGCTTCTCTTGCGCTCCCCAGAACAGTTCGAACTCATTGTTGATGCCTGCGTTGTTGACGAGCACGTCTAGCCGGCCGTGATTGGAGGCAACCTGCTCTGCGGCTTTCTCGATCGAGGCATCGTCCGTCACGTCGATGGTGATCGGCTCCACCGATGTCCCTGTGGGGTCGATCTCGGCAGCGGCTTTGACGCCGCGCTCGGCATCGCGAGATCCAAGCAGAATGTGGTAGTCCTTGTGGACAGAGTGGATTGCCTTGGCGACTTCAAACCCAATTCCTTGGTTTGCGCCGGTGATGAGGACAATGGTGCGAGGTGCGGTGGTCATGGTGGAGGCTTTGGGATCCAGTCACTGATGTCGAATCTGGCCGCTCCGTGAAATATGCTGGACACCATATTATTTATAGCTCATCCCGAACTCCGTCTTCTCGGCGAGCAGCTTAAGTCCGCAAGCATCAAAAAAGAAGGGAATGGGAGGTCTTCGGACATTGCGTGCTATCTCCGAGAGGCGCGTGAAACTACGCAAGTAGCCGCCCCCTTGAGTCGGACCAACAGCTTTCAGCTGTTGGTCCTCCACACCGAAACGTAAATTCTCACCGAAACGTAAATGTTTCTCTTTATTTATCTTCTTTATTGTATACTTAGTATACCAAAATTCGACGAAAATATCGAAAATCGCCTTAATCAGGCCTGCGAAGTAGCAAAACGCGATCAAAAACCAAAAATCGCGTCGCTAACGCGCGAATTCGACGTTCCCTATTATCGACTTCGCGCTAGAATTTATGGTCGTCTACTAAAAATAGTTACTACTCCTACTAATAAAGTATTTAATAATTTGTAAGAAAAAATAGTTATTCGCTAGATTCGATATCTTAATTCTTTATAAGTTTCGTCTGTAATTAGTATAATTAAGGACTATATAAATTATATTTTAAAATAGAACGCTACAGATAACGCGTCGCTACGCGTATCGAAAAGCTAGATATATTATTTTATCGGACGTCTTCTGTTAGATCTATTGCTAATAAAACAAAAAACTAATCGGGAGAAGCTATCTATAAATAGAGGATAGAGAGTATTTTGTAGCTTAGTTTGATCGTCTAGAGCCATATATAGCTAAAATTAAGGCAAAAAATATCTATAACTTCGATAAAACTAGCTTCTAACTTAGTTAAAATGAAGTATAAAAGGTTATTATAGCTAATCTACAACGAGTATAAATTTATCGAATTTTATTAATAATTTAATATTATTCCGATCTATTTTATCCCTTATACTACTTATTTTGTTTAGCCGTTTTATAGAATACGTTTCTAAGTATTAAAACACTATTTTTAAAGTCGAAATAGTGATCTTTCGAGATAGGGTAGCAACATGGATAATAAAGCAGATTTTCTTCGAGAACTACCCCGAATCCGATAGTAAGCCTTTACCCCTCGGACGATTCGAGATACTTTTAAAGATTAAGGTATTTACCTATTTAATCCTTAAAAAGTCTTCGCTAGACTCCTAAAAGTTAGATTTACTAGTTATCGAAGGTCTATAACCCTTTAATAATAAGAATATAACTCCTTTATCTCTTTTTAGTTTAATAAACTACACTTAATGATGACACAGTGAGTAGACATGGACAGACCCGTCCCATGGGTCAAAGATCTTGACCCATGACCCAAACCCACGACCCATGGGTCGGGTCAATAAAATCCTGACCCGCCCATGGGTTGACCTGTGGGTTAACGGGTCAACCTATTTTTGACCTATTTTAGCATAAATTTCTTAATTAGGATAGATAATTTACTTACCTTTTTTAATAATATACTATTGTTAAATACTGTTTTTGTTCTAATATAACTTATAATTATAACTCTTTATAAAAAGAATATTATATAGTAATAATATATTTAGAATATATAATATATTAATTTATTAATTTAATATTTTAAGGTAAGAATTATATTTTATAATAAGTAGATATAGGCGAAAAAAGATATTAATTAACTATTTTTTATACTAAACCTAAAAATATATATTTAAAGTCTATAGTAGTACTTCTACTTTTTATATAAATAAACTATATATATTAGAAATAATAAAATAGATATAAATCTAATATCTAATATTTCTTTATTAATATATAAGTATATTATAGTCTTATTTATATAAAAGAATTATTTTAAATATTTTTTCTGAATTTATATAAAATAACAATATTAGCTGGTTAGGTTGAAATTTTTTGGGGATAAAAAGAAAAATCTTAGGGTATTACTCTTACCTAATTATTTAGGTTAACGGGTTAGCCTATAGATTAACCTATTAACCTATTTCTTACTATCTAATAAACTTTATATATATTAGTAGAGCCTATTCTGATTAGTTATAAAATTCAGCACTAGGATAGTACTGAATTCTATCTACTAATAAGAAATAAGTATTAGATCTATATTCTTCTAAATCTACGATGATTTACCTTAGATTATTTTTCTATATCTCGAGTCTCTTGCTGTAAAAGGGTTGTGTGGTCCCTTTTTTACTAGATATAATAAAATATATATCTTTTTATAGTAGTCTTTCTACTTTTATTAGAACTAGGGTTTTAATCTATCTACGTAATTGCTTAAAACCCCGGTTTTAATCTATCTACGCGTTTACTTATAGCCCTAGTTCTAATATACCTACGTAAAAAGGTTAGCTAGTTAGATTAAAATTTTTAGAGGATAAAAATAAAAGTCTTAGAGTATTACTCTTACCTAATTATTTAGATTAACGGGTTAATTTATAGATTAATCTATTAATCTATTTCTTACTATCTAATAAGCTTTATATATATTATAGTAGAGTATCTTCTGATTAGTTATAAAATTTAGTACTAGGATAATACTAAATCCTACCTATTAATAAGAAATAAGTATTAGACCTATATATTCCCCTAAATCTATAATGATTTATCTTAGATTATTTTTTTATATCTCGAGTCCTTTATTTTAATATATTATTACTATATCTCTTCTATATCTTAGTTATCTACCTCGTACTTTCCCTCTCTTATTAAGAGTAAGGGGTTTAAGTTATCTATTTTCTATTCTAATTAACTTCTTGATACCCTCTTAGAACCACTAGAAAGCTAGTAAACTAAGTAAAGCCTCCCTCTTATTATATTACTAATACTAAAACGATCTAATAATCGGAAAAAGATCTAGGTAATTTTTGATAGTATAAATAAAGCAGAGTTTTTAAACTAATAGCTTAATACCTAAATTAGTAGTTCTTATAATATTATAAAGAAGATAAACTAAAAAGGTCTACGACGGACTAATATATAGTCGTATTTTAATTAAATTGTATATTTAGTAATAGGAGAGCTAAAGCTCCTATATAAGCGATATAGTAAGGTTATAGACTATCTAGTCTATACTAAGAATAGGATAATAGGTCTCTAATATTACTAGAATTAGAGTATATACTAGAAAGGCTAAAATATTACTAAATATTTAATAATCTAATATCTTATAAAATATATAGTATATTATATAGCTATTATTTAATTTATAGGCTAATCTTTCTTAGGCTAAGAACTCCCCTCGAATAGCTTAACTAATTATTTAAGAGCTATAGAAATAATAGTTAATTACTATAATAATTATTTTATAGCTTCTTTTTTAAACTATCGAGTATCCTAAATTCTAAGTCCTTCTTCAAATAACCTAATTATTATTATTTATCCCTAGTTTCCCTTTCTATTAAATTATATAGTATTAAATCTAAGGAATAACTTAAGATTAATAGAAAGATTTATTTTAGAAGCTTCTATCTAAGGCTAAACTCTCTATTAGTCTTAACTATTAGATATTATTATTTTAATAAGTATTTATAGCTATCTTTAGCTATTTTATTAATATAGACTAGAATTATTAAAAGGTTTTACTTAGCTTCGAACCTATTTCTAGTATATACTCTAGATAGAATCTTAATATAACCCTTTTTGATATCCTCTAGAAATATTAGATTAAAGACTAAATACTTATAGTAACGACTAATAATATATTAAATAACTCTATCTTTATTTTAAGTATCTAAGATTCTATTTAATTATTAGATATTAATTCTAAGATAATAATTATTTAGGTTCTATATATTATATATATAATTTAGTTAAGTTTAAAATAATTACTTAGCTAGATAAAAGCGAACCCTTAGAATAAGGTAACTAAGACTATTTAGTCTGAGAAATATATCTAATACGTCTATCGAAAAATATAAAAACAAGATATTATAATAACTTTTATAAAGATATATATCTATACTCCTTATTTATTAGTTAAAATACTAATCTATTTTATATTTTAGATTAGAAACCTTACGATCTTTATTAATATAAGCCCTTAACGTCGGGAGTCTTTCTTTAGTCTCTAGCCTAACTACCCTTAATTAGTTCTAATTTAAGATATCCGAACTAGATAAAATTTAATCTTTTTAATACTCCGGCGTGCGAAGCGGTTATAACTAGTCTTTAATCGATTTTGCTCTAAATATAATTATCTTTATCTTAAAATTAATATAGATAAATAGTATTAGATCGATTACCTTCTTAATATTATCTAACTATTTTTCTAATTTACTATAGTCCTCTTAAAAATAAAGGATATTACTATTTATACTATCTTTACTATTTATAATAAGCTATTTAATTATCTTAAAAGGTTAATTAGATAGCTTAGTAGAAAGAAGGTTAGATAGAAATAATAGATATATTAAGTCCTTAAATTAGCTAAAAATAAACTCCGTGAGTATTACTTTATAATAGATAATAAAGAGCTTAGTAATATCTATATAATTAGTATTATTTTAGCCTTTTAGTATAAGGTTAAATTTTTTTAAATTAAAGACTAGGATTATCTTTAGATAGATTATAGTATCTAATACTAGCGAAGTCTTAAAGATTAGCTTCTAAGTTACTAAGCTAGTAATATTCTAAGCTTTTAATTACTATCTAAAATAAAATAGTCCTATTAAACTAACGAGTTTAATATATTTTTAATAGCCGATTCTTCTGCCTTAAGCTCTTAGTCTAAAATAATATAGTATATTAAAGAAGGTAAGTTTTTATATATATCTCTATTAAAACTAGGGTTCTAAATAATCGCTTAAAACCCTAGTTCTAATCTATTAAGTTTCTATCTTTCTATCTTTATTAGAACCGGGGTTTTAAGGCCTATCTTAGAACCCTAGTTTTAATAGGGGTATTGGTTCTAATCTATCTAAATATTATACTAATTATTATAATCTGCCCTTTATCTAGATACTATCTTAATCTTATTTTATTAGTTCTAAAAGGATTATTAGTATAAATTTCTTACGTTTATAAACCTTATCTATAATCTTCTCTTAATCCTAGTTATTAACGTTAACGTTAAGCGATTATTTAATTCTGTGTATAATATTTATTATTATTAATAAGGGGTATTAAATATATCTATTATATAGGATTTAATAATATTTATATATATTACTAAATTTAAAGTTAAAGAGAAGTAGCTTATATTTATTTAAGAGCTTTAGGAGTAGAATAAGTTAGAAATTATATAAAAGGAAAAAGAGACTTAAAAGACTTATAAAGAGATTATATTAATTAGTAATAATAAGAAGAAGGATATTATAGATCTAATAATTATAGTTAATATATCTTACTAATTATAGTAAAAAAATTAAAGAGTAATTATAAAGATAATTATAGCCTCCTATAGATTTCTAGTAAGGTTCGTAAATACCTATAAATATTTAATAATTATAAATTTTAAAATTAAAATTAATTAATATTTAAAATAATATTCTTTAGAATTATTTTTTAAGAATTATTCTTCTAATTATTATAAAAAATTATTTAATTAAAATAAATATAATACCTAAAAATATAGCTAAGAATAATATAATTTATAAAAGTTATATAGTTAACAAAGTATCTACCTAAATAGGTTAAATAGATTAACCTATTAACCCGCGGGACGGGTTAAAAAAATCTTGACCCGCCCACGGGTCAAGAGGTCTGACCCACGACCCGCCCATAGGCTGACCCACGGGTCGACCTATATGGGTTGTCCGCGGGTCTGTCTAGGTCTAACGGTGAGTTAGAGGCTAAAATCAGCCGCTTTTAGCGCCGTTTTAAGCGTCTCGCTCACCGGCACGGGCCTCGGCGTCACGTGTGCCAATGCCCACAGCCGACTGGGCCTACTTCCACCCTTCGTCTCATATTAGCCATGCGTGGTGCCTGGTCTGTGGTGTCCACTCGTGATATACCCGCCGCAGGCCCCGTCCTCGCTTAGCCTCACTCACCCTCCTAGAGGAGGGGAGCCAAAAATAACACCCCTACTAAACAGTTTTTTCGTGCGATTCCATAAAGATCCGCTGCCATAGCGTCTGGCTGCTCGCCCTTCTATACTCCCCAACGACTCTCCTATCTTTATTCCTATCCCCCCAGCGAACCGCTCACTCCTAAAGAATATAAGTTTCGATCATTTCTATACCCTATTCCTGTTCCTCGTTCACCTCTTATTACATCCCTCCCTATGCCTCGCCCTTCACGAATAGATTTATCGGACGATAAGAGCGATACCAGCACGGATCTCCCCGATATCTTCTTAAACGATACTTCCGAGGACGATTCCTCCTCCAGCGACCCCGATCTAGGCAGCGGTGTCGAATCGGATGATGAATCTGATAATAACTCAATCCTTGATAATAAAGACGAACAACCTACACCGGAGTACTACCTCTAAGAGGCCGAGAATCTCGATGTATCGCAGCTCCGACAACAAAGATATAGTCCTAGGACTTAGAATAAGTTAGATAAATGTAAAGAATATACTTGTCAGGGTATAAGGCCTGTCGATCAGGTAAAGAAACAAGGGAAGGAGTAAGGGAAAATAGTATATCCTTATTACTGTTAAGACTGAATCTTGTCTTGCTAGCTAGATACGGGAGTATTAATTTATTATATAGTATCTTCGTAACTCCACGTATTATCGATAATATAAACGACTGGGTCTCTGTTATGTATCGTGATTATTCCACTGTAGGGTGGATCAAGTAATAAGTTCCGATTTCCTTTAGGATTATATGATATTACCTAATTCACCTCTTCCGTTAGTTAGGAATAACTTTATACCTTACTATCTTAGTAGACCTTTTATAATTATCCCCCTTTTTAAGGTTAGATGGCCTTAACTAACGCGTTTATTTTATTGCTATAATATAGGCGTATCGGCGCGGTATCTTTTTATAGGGTTTTCGTTTATCTTACCGTTAAGGTGATAAAGAGATTATATAGTTAACTAGTAAATAAAGACGCGTTAAATTATATATTCGAGTCTTTATTTATGTTTTTAAGTAGTAACTCTTTTTTTCTTTTTCTTTTCTCTCTTATACTATATTCGTTACATTTTATCCTCTATTTCTTGTTACTTCTATTATTTCCTATTCCTTTTCTATGACTATTACTATTATTATATCTTGTTATCGTTATTCGGGTCGGTTATTATACTAATTAGTGCGTTTTACTACCTTTTTATCTACCTTCCTATAATATACTAAGTATTTTCGGACCAAGATTAAGGCGTATAACTCTAAGTCGCCTTTCGTTATCGAATATAAACTAGATATAGCGGCTTTAGTTATTTATCGGTAGTATTCCGCCTATAATATATTATATAATATAGTATATTCCGCGGTATCTTTATTTTAGCTTATACTAATATTCTTTAGATTGTAAAGGGTATAGTTAGGGATATCTACGATCTATAGGTGATCCTTAGCTAGCTAAATAAGGAATTTCTAGAGCCTTTAGCTAAGGGTACTTCTAAGGAGGGGGATAAAAAAGAGGAGAATAAATAGAAGGAAGATATACTAGTCGCGGCCGGAAAAGCCACGATAGAGCTTATAAAAGCCTTTAATATAATAGAGTTAATATATCGCTACTAGTTCTCTTTTATTACTATTTATAAGTCGACTATAGTAAGTAGGATTGTTAGTATCAGTATAATTTTATTAACGTTTTAGTAGGCCTAATATAAGATTTATATAGCGTATATCGCTATTTATCGCTAGAATATAACTATTTATATCTTTCTATCTAAGGATCTCTCGGGGAAGTATCTCTAAAAGTTCTAGTCCTAGCGTCTTCTCTGTTTAGTTCCGGGAGATAATAGTTTTATATACTAGGTAGCGGCGAAATAGGGGCTTCTAGAGGCCCTATAGTTAGTATCCTAAGATAAGTATAGTCCTAATCCGGCGGTCTCCGATCCGATTAATAATCCTAATACTAAGCGTCGCCTAAAATAGTTAAAAAAGAACTTCTCTATTCCTATTCTTAAGTTTTAAGTAGAGTTCTGTACTCGTGCCGCTATTTTACGATAATAATAACGGTATTATTCCGGTAGAGTTTCGGTAGCTTTCTATTTAGTTTATAGGATTTCTTTTTAAATAATATCTTATCTTTTTTATCTTTACTTCTTATATTTTATAATAACTCTTTTTGTATTCGTTATATTTTCTTCTAGGATCTACTAATTATATTCTAATAGCTAGCTTTTTTATTTAACTAGGAAGTAGGATTTTCTATTAAAGTATTAGTGATCTTTTACTTTTTTAATCTTTTATTTATTATTATCTTATAGTTCTAGTATCGGTATACTTCTATTATCGTTTTACTTTTTATCCCTTTATTTCTAGGGTTTAAGAAGTAATATATAGAATACGTTATAAATTTAATCGTACTAGTTTAGTAGAATTAGTTAATACGCCTATAATCCGATCTTCTCGAGAATTTAGAGAGGTCCGATAAATTTAGGTACTAATTTCTTTATTATCTTTAATCTTAAGTTTTTTATTAATAAGGCGACTAAGTCCTTATATTTAAATAATATTTCTTTATAGGTTTTATTATAATATTTCGTTTATATTTTTATTACTTTTCGCTATTATTCTATTAAGTCTTACCTTAACTTTTGTAGTTTTTTAACGCGTGTTTCTATTACTAGGACCTCTTTTAAAAGTATATCATCCTTAGTATATAGTCAGAAATTAGGCGAATATCTTATTAAAGTCTAGAATACGGATTTCCCTATTATTATATTAGAGATATTATTATATATAAATTACGTATTTCTTAGCAATTTTAGCCACGCGATCTATTCTCTATTAATAAAGTAGCGAAGATAGTATTCTAGCGTCTAGTTTATCCTTTCTATTTAATTATCGATTTATAGATAAAATACTATTAAAAGGCGGAGTTTAATATAGCTGATATAATATAACTTTGACTAAAATTTATTAGTGAAGAGTGATCCTCGATCTAAGATAATTCTATCTAGTGGTCTATACTATAGTTCTATTTTATTATAAAATAATTCTATAAGTTCTGTAGCGTCGATCGTTGCTAATATAGCGAAGAATAGGGACTATTTCGTTAGTCTATTAATAATAATTAGTATCGTGTTAATTTCTTAGGTTCTATTTCTGTTTAGTGGTAACCCTATAATAAAGTCTATTAATAGTTCGCTAAAAGGCTGAGATAGTATCGGTAGCGATTCTAGTTTACTATATAAGCGATACCTTAGTATTATTATTCCTTAATATATTATATATATCTAGACGTATTCTTTTATATTATCCTAAAGTCTAATCTAGTAGAACTTCTTTTTTAGTAGTATTTCGGTCCTATTTCGCCTAAAATAGCCTACTAAAAGATTATTATAATAAATATTTAGTAACTTCTTTCTAAGGTTCTCTCTTATTAGGATAAAAAGATAATTCTTAAATCGAAGAAGGCCTTTTAGGTTAATAGCCTAATTCTTAAAGTTTTTGAATATCTGATTTAACGCGGCTTTTAGCTTTTATATCTCTAGGTCCTTATCTTAGATCTATTTAATTATTATCTATAATTTAGTACTAGCTTCTGCTAAGTAGGTATACTCTTTTTTATAAATACCTTATATCTTATATTAGGGTATTCTTTTATTCTTTATAAGTTTTTCCTAGATAGCTTAGTTAGCTATTTTTATACTAATAGACTCTTTTTTACTTTTCGCTATATAGGTACTAAACTAGGGATCGCTTTCCTTTAAAAGTATCTCGCTAGATTTAAACTAGGACTTCTTAGTGATAAGGTCTATAACTATAATTACTTAAATACTAGCTTTTTATAGGTTAGATAGTAGCTCTTTAGTTATAATCTATTCTTATAATAATACGAGTAATTCTTTTCTTAGAGCGTCCCCCTAAATAGAATTAGGTTTTCTCGAAAGTCTATCCGTAGGATTGCTTTTTCCTAATTGGTGCTTAACTATAAAGTTAAATAATATAAGATATATATACTAATATATCTATCTTCTATTTAGCTTAGTTTATTTTATAAAAGATTAAAGGTTTAAGTAATCCGATAATACTTCGATAGTAAATCTACTACTTTTTAAGTATTATCTCTAATATTTAAAGGAGTATATAATTACGAAAAGTTCTTAGTCTAGTATACTATAATTTAACTCTACTCTAGAGAATGATTTTAACTAAAAAGTAACTAGATAATATTAATCTTAGTTATCTAGTTAAGAGAGAATACTAATTATTCCTTGATTTAATATATCTATTTTAATATATATTAGATATTAAAGATTAAAGTATTATAGTAGGGGTATATTATAAAAAACTACGATTAGGCGTTAAAACGCTACTTTTTTATAAATTATAAATTAGTAACTTCTAGGTTTTTTGCTATTCTTGCTCTTTTTAAGTAATATAGTCAAAGATACTATAATACGAGAGAAGTTATAGATAAATTATCGATAGAAATTATAGAACCTAATAAAAACTTAGATATCGTAGTAACTTTTAGATTCTGGCTACGAAACGATAGCGTTAACCTATCGTTAGTCTATTGATATATTATCTTAGTTTATAATAAATCTAAAGAATTCTACTCTTCCTTAGTAAAATATATATTTTAAAGGTTTTACGTAAAATCCTATTTTCTTTATTCTTTTAAGGATTTGCTAGATATAACGAGTATACGACTCGCGGTCTAATAAGAATATTAGAATATTATCTAAATACGCGATATAAGAGATATTAAGTAATCCCCGTAAGGCGGTATAGATATAATTCTAAAAAATAGTAGAAGTATTAGTTAAGCTAAATAGTATAACTATATATTTAAAGTAATTATAATATATATAAAATATAGTCTTTTATTCTTCGCTCTCTCGAATATAAATATAGTAATAGGCGTCCTAGATATCGATTTTGCTAAAGTATTTTGCTTCTAAAAAGTTAATCTAAAATCTCCGAAATAAAAGATAAAGGGTATCGATTTTTTACTGTAACCTTATTAAATCCCTAATAGTCTATATATAGATATAATCCTCTATCTTTCTTCGGAATAAAAAGGATTAATACTCTAGTAGGACTTTTTAAGGGTCTAATCCTTCTATTTATAAGATTTTCGTTAATATAGGTTTGTAATATTTATAATTCGCTTTATAATAAAGGGTATATTAGTCTATAAGGTAGGGAATAGTTATTTTCTAGCTTAATAGTATAATCTTATAAATTATTAAATAAAAGGATTTATGATCGCTCCGCTAAGAAGATATTAATAAATCGGCGTAGTTCTAAGGGGATTTCCGAAAGATAGATAATTGATTCTTCGCCTTCTTTATAGGGTAACTAGATTTCCTCCGGGAGTTTTACGATAGCGTAGATAATAATACATTTTCGATATTCT